AGTAGTAATAAGAGGGTATTTTCTAATAGTAGTCTTTAGTAATATAAGATAATATATCTATTTATAAAGCTAAAGCTATATTAGCCTTATTTAAGGACTATTATATATAGCTCCTTATATAGCTAGTAAACTTACTAGATCTTAATCTAATTAAGAATCTTTAGAGTCTTTTAAAGTATAGGGTTAGGCTTTATTTCTCTATAATAAGGGTAGAGGTTATTTAGGCTATATAGACTAAATAGATAAGGCTGTCGATATCTAATATATTAAGGATCTACTAGAGTATTAGGGAAAGATATTAGGTAGTAATCGATACTAAAGGAGGCTATACAAAGTAGTGACCCACTTATTCTTCCATATATAGCTAGATAAAGGCTGAGAAACTAGCAGGGGTTCATATCATTCTTGCTAGAGCCTGTACCACACTAATGATCCACCTCAGCATCCTGGCCCCAGCGAAGAGGAAGAAGCTATTGAATGAAAATGGAGCCTTATACCTGCTGACCGGTCTGCTCGTATCTCGAAGGCGACACACGCAACCAGTGGCGACTCTGCTTCCTCCATGAAGTAGCTGCACACATCTGCATGACTTGCTCTAGTCCTTTCGGAAAGCTGCAGCCGCGCGCCTGGCTTTCTGCATTGCTCCATCTTGGATGCTGCTGTGCCGATCCGAAATGTCGTTGTTGAGAAGCCGCAAACCCAGTTCTTTTCATGTCGAAGTTGGCGAAGTGCATGATGCACTTGTCGACGCTTTGAGCTGCCGACCGTGACCATTGAAAGGATGATGCCTCTGCAGAGCCAGGATGCTTTACCTTCAGCCACCTGATAACAGCTTGCCGGCCGTTTCCAATGTTCGAGAGCTGTGCTCATAGTCGAACGCCTTCAGCAAGCCCACGAGATGTGTAGCTGCAGCCACCACCACCAGCACATGGAAGATCTGATGCGAGCTTCCGAAGAGATCAAATGCCCCCGGTTTCCACTTCTCAGGGATTCGACACTACATGAGGGTTAGCACAGTACAACATTCATTTCGAGGGCGAGTGTCTTACCGCATAAAAGACTGCACCTATGATGTACAGAGCTCCTTGACTGACGACCCATGAGAGTCCGATTTGACTTTCCATTTGCTTGTAGCCGTATAGCTTGACGCCGTGAATGACGGGAAAGACAGCGCTCAACCCCATCATGACAAACATGAATGCTCGAAAAGGTCGCCATTGAGGTGATCTGAACTTGGGGTGCATCACCACGATGAGCGTGCCTGCGCCGATTGTGGTGATCTGTGAAGCTGTTAGCTGTTCTTCCATATCATACCGAAACTGAATTGAACTCACCATCGACCAATACACCTTCACCAGCTTCGGCTCAACACTGAAGCCATAATAAATCGACGGAATGAAACTCCCCCAAATCAAAAAGATGATCCCCATGTAATCCAACCGATTCCCAAACTTCGCCACCGCCTTCGAATGATTCGAAATCGTATGATACGTCGCCGACATGCCTAGACACGTCACGGCGCCGAGAAAGAAACACGAGAACACCATGACGTCCTGCGTCGTGGCCAATTCGAAGCGCGGCGTGATGGCGTAGAAGAGCGTGATGGCGGAGATGCCGGCGGCGACGGCGCCGATAAGGTGCGTCCAGATGTTGACGGTCTCGTTGTGCAGCGAGCCGATGCTCGTGGCGGAGGTGTAGTACGAGTTGGACTGCGGGCGGTAGCCGCTGTGGATGTAGTGATTGTCGTGCATCCATTTGGGGAGGTCGCTCCAGAGCACAGTTTTGGCCTTGGAGGCGGCTTGGGCGGTTGTGTCGACCACGGCCTTCGCCGGGTTGGGGGGTTTCTCGTCCATTATTGCGAGCTTGTATCTATTGAGGTGAGAGCCTCACGGGTATCATCATGTATCTATATGTATGTATGTTGTAGAAGGAAGTAGAGGTTGAGGTTGAGGATTTCAATTTGGCTGGAGCTCTCGGACCTTCCGCCGACGGCGCTCTCTCTCACATGTCATCGTCGTCGCTCCCTTCGTTCCCGTTCTCGCTCCCCCAAACAAAACATCCTGGATAGTATCAACACTGGACTCAACATACCACAAGGCGAAGGACCGATCCGGCGACACTTTGAAGACTCGACCGATAGCAAAGGCCCGATTCGGTGGACTGTATGCGAGCCCGCCCAAAACAACCATGTCAACATCTGTCCGCCCCCAACCGCGGCGAGGAGCCTCAGGAGCATGGAACAGACTGAAGCCCGGCCCCAGCGATCCTCTGGATGCATACACATTACCTTCGAAAGGCGAGACGAGGTACTTCCATGCCACGAGTCCGCGAGGGTCAAAACCACAGACATAACTAACTCCCTCAAAAGACTCCATGACTTCAAAACGCAAGAATCCTACCACCAAAAAATCGTCGAACGCTACATGAAATTCTGCGCCTCCTCCGGCGGACCCGACAATGGCCTCGAAGAAGCCTTCAACTCCCTCTCCGTCAAAGACTCCACGACTACACCCTTCATGCTCCCCTCAGACTCATCCACATCAACAACCCGGCCCCCTCTGACAACCCGCACCTCCACGACCCCGCGCCCCAACGACCTCCCCAACATCCTCCTCGCCATGCGCAAACTCCGCGAAGGAATCTCCGCCTCCCGCCGGACGGACCACTTCGCCCAACGCGCCTACATCTTCATCATCCACGCCACCATCCTCTGCCGCGCCTGGGAAGCCTACCAACCAGCCCTCCACTACCTCCTCCACAAAATCCACCCTGTGACCCCGCTCTCCGCCCCGGAAGTGCAGGAGTTCGCGGGGTACCGCGTCCTGGATCTCGCGTGCCGACAGTACGAGATGACGGATGCGATGCGGGTGCGCTTGGAATTCCAGCTGCGGGATCGGAGGCTCGGCGTGGTGTTGCACTCGCTTGTTCATGATGACTGGGTGCGGTTCTGGCGGGCGAAGAGGGCGGTGGATGGGTATCAGCGGGCGCTTCTGGAGTTTGCGAGTGAGAGGATGAGGGTGCATGCGTTGAAGTGTTTGGGGAGGAGTTATTTGTCGGTGGAGAAGGGGTTTGTGGAGAGGAGCGGGGATGCGGAGTGGAAGGAGTTGGTGGAGAAGGGGGTCGGGTGGATGTTGAGGGAGGATGGGGTGGTCGTGATACGGAAACCCAAGGCCAAGACTTGAAGACGATGTGATATGGACCTGGTCTTTTATCTTCCTTCCAATTGGGGTATTTACATCGCTACTAAGCAGGCGACCTCGACATAGTCGGACTCCTTCGACTCCTCGCCCTCTTCTGGCTCCTCCGCTGCCGCACACCCGAAGGCCTGGTGACATACGCCTCCGTCTCGGCATCATAATGCAACAATTCGAGCTCCAACGCCCACAGCGGCGCTTCGGGCAACACCTTCACGAAGCCCTCCGGGGGTCTATCTCGCGCTTTCCAGTACACCGTCGGTCGCTTGGCGCCTTCTTCGGACTCGACGACGAGTTTCCAGTCGCGGAGCGCTTTGCAGTCGTAGTCGCCGCGGTCTTCCAGGCCGGGGCCGTGGAGTTTTAGGCGGGAGCGCACGCAGGGGTGGATGTACTAGATCATGAATATCAGTACAGTGCAGGTGGAGTGTATGGTATAGGAACGAACATACCTCATGCGTATCCATCAGGGGATCAGACGTCGGCCGTCCATTCGTCGGATCCGTCGCACAGTACCGTCCTGGTGTCCGCACTTTCGATCCTCCCACTGCATACACTCCCTGCAAACCGCTGAAGATCTCCCCAAACGACCAGGGCCGCGGCTTTTGATTCGATTTTTCGTAGAAGATTTCGACCGACTCCCATTCGTCGTGGATATAGTCTAGATCAAAGTCGAGGAAGGGCTGGCACTGGGCCATCATCCACGCAAGACTTATCGTGGCGACCTGTTGATCATCATATCCTCCCCCGACGTTGGAGTGCGCCCCTGGAAACCAGACTTGGCGGAGGACGGTGGGGTTGCCTTCGAATTTCTCCCATAATGTGGGTGGGAATGCGAAGCGTCGCTCGTCGAGGGCGAGGGCTTGGAAAGCGTGTTCTATGTTGTCGGATAGTGAGGTGTCGTAGAAGGAGAGGTCTTTCATTTGTTGTGATTGGATGCCGATTCTGGTGAGCCAGCCGATTTTGGGCGCGCCTAGTGCCCCCACGGTATCCCATACTCCGACGACTTTGATCGGGACGTTTAGTCGAATCATCCCCAGCCGCTGGAGCTCTCGTCTGTATCTGGGATCTAGTGCGCTGGGCTTGTCCGGGAAAGGAATGTTCGGGTTCTTGGGGACGTAGTTCTCATCGTGTTGGTGTTTGACATCTCGATAGATCTCCGCAAGATACGGCTGGCCTTCGTTCGTCAAGACTCCAATGTCGCCAATCAAGCCCGCTATACTCCGCGCGCTGAAGGCACCTCTACTGAAGCCGAAGATGAAGATCTCATCACCCGGGACGTAGTTGGTGGCGATGAAGTTGTAGCCTTCGCGAACGATCTCCTCCAGGCCCGTTCCAGCGATGCCAAGGAGTTTGTTGCCAAGACCACCACCGCCGCCGACACCCCAGTGGTAGTTAACGATTTGCGGGATGCCGTCTGAGCTGACGGGTTTGATGGCACGAGAAATGCGTGTCACATTGCTGGGTATGGATATGGATGCTTTGAGGCTGCCGCTATCCGAGTTTAGCCAAGATCCTGGTTCAATATTAGCATTGCTATCTCTTCCATCAAGTATTAATCTTCTACAAACCATCTTCGCACAGAATAATCCGCTTGCTAGGCCGGCCACCTGGCGCAGACCGTACGCGTACGGTTTGACTTCTACTTCTCGCCCTGTCGGCTATGCTGGGCTCAGCCGACGAGACTCTCGACATGAGAAATTGCTGTGACTTGGAACCGCCGCCGCTATGCTTGGAGAGAAGTCGCTGTTGCGTCGCATTATCGATCTGTAATTGAGGCCGAAAAGAGTGTCATGAAGTGTACTGGCAAACGATGCTGGAGAGCGAGGGAAATGGAGCGCCGTGGATTTGTTCGAGGAGTGGTGTGGTGTGTGAGAAGTGCTCAGCCACGCGTCCCAGCCATCGTGTATTCTGGCTGTTGTTGGCGCTTGATGTCGGGTGAAGTCACGAGTCTTGGCTGGCGATGATCTCGTGTTCAGCAGGAAGACGATCAAGGAGAGATGGTATGTGTCCAAGTGCGAAAAATGCCGTCGTTGTTGGGCAGCCATACGGTGGGTGCTGCGAACAGAAATGGTGGTGTCCGGGTATCTGCACTCGATGGACTTCTTAACAACTCGGCATTCTGAAGAAGGCAGCTCTGGGCACTGTCAAGAACACCGAATGGATTCGAAAGATGACTTGATTTGGGATTCACTCTCACGCTGGATCGCGTCTTGACCGGACTTTAGAGGTGGTGTTTTGTAGAGAGATACTACTGTTCATAAAGAGCAGCCGAGTCTCAGTGCCGGACCCTGCCAGCGAGGGCCGAATCTAGTCGCGTCGACCTCACGTCTTCAACCGTACCCAGCCAGTCGCAAACCACACCCTTCGCTCGGTCCATCTTTGACATACACAAGTTTCCGTCCGGCAACAAAATCGACAGTCCTCCACCTCGTGTGCTGAAATTGATGGCGTTGACCCACGCGCGCCATTAGACTGACCACACATCCTCGACCAGCCCCCGGAAGGGCTCTCGCACTGACAGAGGCTCTACACCTTTTCGCCCAACATGCCGCCCTTTCGCGATGATCAGATCTTTGTGAGCATTATAACTGGCTCGTGATCTTCCTTTTACTAATGTAAACTTTGTAGATCATCGCACCCGGCTCAGAGACCACCCTCGCCCAACTCGGCCTCCCAGAATCCTTCACCCCAGCTCGCTTCCGTCTGCGATCGCGCATGTTCCTCGGTGAACAGTCTGGCGAATACGAACCCGTAAAGATCAGAAAGAAGGAAAAGAAAGCGAAGCCTGAGACAGAAGGTGCGGCCACAAATGGCGATCACTCCACGGAGGAGCCAGAATGGGAGGAAGATCGCATATCAGAAGACGGCGCTGTGTGGCCGATACGGAAAGGCTCGATCGTAGACTGGCCGTGTTTCTACGCCCTCATGGAGCACGTCTGCAACACCGTCAACCCTCCCTTCCACACACCAATTCTTCTAATATCAGAACCCAGCTGGACACACAAGGAATACGAGAAAGTCGCACAATTCTTCTTCGAAAAGTTCAAAGTACCGGGTCTGGCCATGATGGACTCTGCTCTGGCAGCGACATACGCATATGGCATTCCAACCGCGACTGTGGTGGATGTGGGACTGGACAAGGCGGATATCACTTGCATTGCAGACTTCATGAGGCAAGACATTGGCAGATCGCTTGCTGTTCCAGACTGTGGTGGTGAGGCTATGACACAGCGGCTGGAAGAATTACTGAAAGGCCGGAAAGGCTTTACAAGAGACGTGTGCGAACAGTTGAAGAAGAGCACCATTTGCGAAATTCTACCAGCCGACGCCGAGGTACCGGAGTCAGACGCTACAGAGGGTGCGACCAACCCAGCTGCAGCTGCATCTACCGGCGCGGATGGTGCAGCGCCAGGGCAGAGGAAGCCTTCAGTAGCTGGCGAGCTCCCCAGAGGCCCAGGTCCGGGAACAGAGGTTGGCGAGGAGAAAAAGTTGGAAGATGAAGAGGGCGTCCTTGATATTGCAAGTATCGTCACTGGAGGCAACATGGGCGAGTATCTTGCCCAGAAAGACCGTGAGAAGCAGGAAAAGGCCACCGCGAAACAGCAGCGGAAAGCGAGTGAGGCGCAAATACAGGCCAACAAGCCCGCGAGGTTACCAAATGCCAAGCGAAGTCGAAATACGTTCATGTACGAGGACTTCGCGCTGCACGATGCAATGAAGAAGGCTGGTATGACGAACCAAGGTATGGTGGATATGCAGGCGTCTCTGGACGATGGCGGCAACAAGGAGCCGCAATCAGCAGTGTCGGACAAGCCTGCCGATGCAGGATTTGAGAAGTCTGACGGCACCATGGACACATCGCCAACCGGTGGGTTCAGACGAGAAGTGGAAGTCGGGCCGGAGCGATTTCAAGCTGCTTCTGGCGGTCTACTGGATCGCCTGGCAGATGCCATCCACCGTACCATCTGGTCATGTGGCGAGCTCGGCAAGCGCAGTGATTTGTGGGACAATATGATCATACTGGGGAATGGATCCAAGGTCCGAGGCTTCAAAGAGGCGCTCCTCGCCAAGCTTCAGGCGAAATACATCATCTCGCCCTCATCAGCCACGATATTCACATCCGAACTTCCCTCGAACATGTCGACACCGATGGCTACTGGCGCAAACACACCGCAGCCGCAGCTTCCCGGTCAGCAACACCACAGCTCGGGCGTGAACCCCTTACTTCATGCCGCCCTCACCGCACAAAACCCGCAACTGCATCCATCTGCGCCTGGCATGTCGCAGCCACATCAACAGAACATGCATTCGTCTCACAGTCAGACGCCGACAAGCATCAAGGTAGCCAAGATCCCCGACTACTTCCCTGAGTGGAAGGAGGTCGGATACGATGAGGCATCGTTCTTGGGCGCGCAGGTGGCTGGCAAGCTGCTGTTCATTGTGGATGGCGGTGCGAGTAAGGGGTACATGACGAGGACGGACTACAACGAGCAGGGCCCGTCTGGTATTCATGATTTACGGATGTGAGGATGGGAAGGGAAAAACGATTGTGCATGTAACAGTAGGTACCGAACCCTTCAGAGTAGACACGATAAGATGCTGAGCGAACTTCGTATAGCGCCATCGTCCCTCTTGTGCCGCTATCATGTGAGTGCCAAGAGCACGCCGTTTGTCTTGCGAACACAAACTTCATGTTTCCGCTCCTTCCCCAAATTGCGGCTTCGTAGTCGGAGCGACCTCACCAACGCCAACCTGCCGATCTTTCTGCCACCACCACCACGATCACCATCACCACCATCCGTCCTTCGCACAAGTTTGCACCCTCTGCCGCAATGGCAGACTGCGCTGTGGCCGAGACAAAACTGCTTCATGGCCGCACCATCAAAGGAGGGGCACGCAATGCTGTCCTCAACACCGCCGAGCTCCTAGAGAACGTCCTTTTCAACCTCCCAGCACGACAACTATTCACAGTCAAGCGAGTAAGCCGTCGGTTCAAGGCAGCCGTGGAAAAGTCGATCGACATCCAAAGCAAGATGTTCCTCCGCATGCAAGAGCCTGACGAAAGCTGGGGAGTCCTTGGTGATCCACCACTGAGCGTTGTCTTGATCCCGCAACGACCGGGACAGATCTTCGGATGCGCGAACTCCACCATGAAAGTGGTCAAAGCGAATGGCGCATTTTTCAAAGACCCGCGCCAGTCTGCAGACGAGATGGCAAGGCATTACGGCCCACGGCTAGACCTGCACGCAGGCATGAAGTGGTCCATTGACGCATTCCTCAAGGGCAAGAGCCAACCTTGGGAGGATGTGCACATCACCGACCCGCCTTCTACCACTGTTCAACTAGACATGTGCCAGATCGACCTCGGACTTCGCCACAGATTCAACGTCTGCGCAAAGGTCGACAACCCGAGCGGTGTCACCCTTGGTGGTTTGCTCAGAGAAAGCTTCGCGCAGAAACGCCCACTATTCTTCTACAGCGATGGAGATGCAGTCGATCTGCGCGGTCGTAGCGTGCGAGAGTTTCTTGAGGATTCTGAACGGACAGTGGATTTGAAGCCGGCTTCGATAGTCTGCTGACGATCCATATACCCGATGTGGTGATTCCCACCGATGCTGAACGTGAGCGCATGAAGTTGCAGGTGGAGCGGGGTCAGACTGGTGGCGAGCAACGTGGCTTCACGTTCGACTGGGTAACGCCCGCAGACAAGACAGCAGCAGCGCGACAAGGATGAGAAGCATGTACAAAGGCGAGCGCCGAACGGATACTCTATCAACGTGGCCACTCGTTCGAAAGGATTCCATGAGTCGCAAAGGGCATGGGCACACATCCTGTGGAATCGAACTTTGTTCGAGTGGTAGAAGCGTCGACGGGTGAATGGGGTTGGATCAGAAGGCTCGGTTTCGCCAAGAGCTTTGAAGACGTGCAGACTTGAGGAAGAAGTCAAGAGTGGTTCTACATGTGACAGTGTAGGTATTCCTGAACAACAAGCTTGAATTCAATGCAACGCGAAGCCTCATTAAAGCAATGTCGCAGTCCCATCACCTTCGTGCCATCTGCAGCTCAATCCACGTGCGCTGAGTGAGCCTGCAACGATTTCCATGTGACTGCCAAGACCACGTCACCTAGCCCAGGGCTTTTTAAGCGACTTCCTCGAGCTTCAACTTCCAAACACGAACACCAACATCAACATCAACTGTCTGGCTTTTCAACCAGCTTACAACTCGCCGTCCACCAGCTCCAATACTCCATCACACCTCAGCAAGCTTCTCTTACCACCATGGCGAAACGCAAGTGCAAAGACAATCAGACCTCGCCTCCTTCCAAGTCGACACGCACCACTACCCGCACCACCGCCCACATGACCACCCGCACGACAGCCCGCACCACCGAGCCCGTGACGTCCGCACGCATCACTCGAAGCATGACGACAGAGGCCGCACGCAAAGCCGTCTTCAACACTGCCGAGCTCCTCGAGAACATTCTCGTTCACCTACCCCCTCGCCAGCTTTTCACAGTGCAGCGAGTCAGTCACCAGCTCAAGGCAGCTATTAAGGAGTCCACACAGATCCAGAAGAAGATGTTTCTGCGCCTGGGAGGAGAGCCCGAGGAGGAGTGGCTCGTAAGGGAAAGTCATGCAGGCTGGAGATTCATTCCCACGGACAGCAAGCACGCGACCGACGGAAGTCAGTCACGACGAACAGTTGCGAAAGCCAACCAAGCAATCTTCTCCGACTACAAAATGGAATTCAATCTTCAAGGGGGTGAATGCCTAAAATTCAACACCGCAACGCGCAAGTCCATGTTATCGCTCATCAAGGTGGGACACCATTCAGGGGCTCCTACTTACCTGTGCGACCCACCTTGCCTGAGCGCAAAACTGATTGTAGGCATTGAAATGCGCAAACATCACTTTTGTCACATCTTGATGGAAGTCACGAGCCAAGCTGGTCTGACATTGGGCGATCTGATCAAGGACGGCCGGCTCTCATCAGCGGAATTCCTCCCTAACGGTGACTTTACTGACAGGCCAGGACTCGAAAGAGGTCGGACTATTCAAGAATGTTTTGATCAGCTTGAGCGCAAAGTTGGCGCACCGGTCAAGGTCTCCGGCGCATCTGCAATGATCGATGGCTTCGTGATACCCTCGGAGGACCAGCGTCGTCGAGTCCTCAAGCGGAGATGAAGATGGAGCCGGAGTACACCCCAGGAGGAGAGCGATCTAATGGATTGACAGCGATCGATCGAGGAGCAAGTTGAAAAATTGGGCGAGGGGATTCCTTGATTTCAACTTCTGTGCCTAGCGTGAGCTGCTTCTACGAGCTCTTGGGCGGGCGTATTACACACAATATCGATCCAAAGGAATTCACTCATTGTCCCTCTCACCTCGTCCCAACAAGTCAGTCCACAATGTTCGGTCACTTCCCTCAATCGTTTCCGCATCTCTTCAACCTCGTCCGTCGTCGCGGCAGGGAACGTGATCCCATAGACGATCAACATCCAAAGCATCATCCGTGGATCCAGGTTGTCTTCGTGTGCATCCTTCATGCGGAACAGACACCGTCTCTGCTCAGCCTGGAGCCAACCCAGAGGCATCCTCATCTGGCCCCAGTATAAGAACGTGCTCGCACAAAACGACAGCATAGCGAGGCGAATGGCTTTGTCTGTCGAGTCTGGCGGCAGCGAAAGGCTCAGCAATCCATACATCACGGACGCCATTGTTTGAAGCAGCATTCGCTCTGGAATTGTCGTTTGATCGATGCCGGCTTTGTTAATTACGGCGCAGAAACGCGAGAGAACCATCCAGATCCTAGCTAGGCCATCGTTCCCGATCGAGGGATGCCTTCGAGTTGGTTCGTCTGATACTTCAAAATCCGGAAGTCGAAACGTCTCCTCACAAGAACCCCCAGGAAAAAGAATCGGCTCCTCCCCCGTCGCCAGCGCAATAGAAATATCACACCTCAACAAATCCACCAGCGATCTCGTCTTGTTCTCCCCAAAAGACTGCAAACCCCTCTCCCTCAAACTCATCATCCGTCCCAACCCCGCGATATGGTTCCTCGCACTCCCATACTGCCCCGTCGCCAAAGCGTGCATCCCCAGAATAATCACCGAATTGATGGTAATATCAGAAATCACACCCCGCCGCCTCTCCGCCTCCGCCAACCGCTCCCGCAAAATCCCCAACGCCCGTCCGTAATGCCGCAGACAACTCCTCCGCAGTTCTGTCGTGTTGTTGTGACGAACGACTTGATCCAAATACGTCTGCGTCCCGAAGACCATCACGTTCACGTACAGGGCGTCGCACGCCAGCCGACGCATGCACGTTGCCATCGTATCCGGGGCTTCGAAGGAAATGCAGCGCGCGAGGACGAACATATTCTCGTTGGTCGCGGAGCAGAAGCGGAGTGTGTCGTTCATGAGAGGCGGGTCGACTGGATCCGCGAAGTCGAGGAAGGAAAGGTCTGTGCCGACTCGGGGTGGGATCACCAACGATTGTTCTTCGGCAGGTTGATGGAAGTCCTCCGCCCGAAACACGGCTGTGCCTTGCATGGCAGGCTGTCGGGGATTTTGGGGCGCGCGCCCGCGGTTCTTGCCGAGCATTACATGCCGCCGGATGGCTTTGCGGGTGGTGGTGTCTTCGGCGGAGGGTTTGCGGCCTGTTTGGGGGATGAAGCGGATGGGGGCTGCATTGTTGTTGTGGCCCGACATTTGGTTGTGCAGTCCAAAGGTGGATGTTGACTGTTTTCCTCTTCGAGAAGACGGGAGGTGGGTTTCGATGTGGAGGTTTTGGGAAGGATGAGGCGTTTTATGGGGGAGTGTGATACGTCCGGTAGGCGGTGTCGCGCATGGCGGCTAAGAGGTGAGGTTGGCTTTACGGACGCAGGTTCAGCCGCAGCCTGGAGCTTGGGGTGGATCGACGGGGCCAAACTCCTTTGAGAGGGCGATTGATTAACTATTGCGGTATAGCGCATGCTTCAAAGCCTTGGGTGAACGAAGAGATGGCATGGTAATGGTGTACGGATGGGGAACGAAGCATATATGTAGTGTTCTTTTCCTGCTTGACTGTTGGGATTTGGCGTAACGATCATGAGCACATTTCCCTCGCCAGGGGTTCGAAAAGCCTCCCTCCTCGCACAGAGCCTTTCTTTCCAACGATCTTCTACAAGACTCAATTCTGCGAGAGACAAGCCGGCCTGCCAGCTGGCCTGAGCCTCTCATCGAAAGTCGCCATAATCACCGGTTCAAATGCAGGTCTTGGATTTGAGAGCGCGAAGCAACTGCTAGCATTGAACCTCTCACATCTCATTCTCGCCGTGCGGTCAGTCGAGAAGGGCGAGGCGGCGGCTGCGAAATTACGCCAATCTACTCCCAAGGCTACGATCGAAGTGTGGAAGCTGGATATGTGCAGCTATGTTTCTATCCAGGCTTTCGCGGAGAGAGTTGGTAAGGAGTTGACGAGATTGGACATTGCGTTGTTGAATGCCGGTCTGGTCAAGCCGTCGTTTGAATTGGTCAAAGAGACGGGGCATGAGGAGAGCATGCAAGTGGTACGTCGACCCCAAGTCGTGCGGTAGATGACTCGCTCATCTCGACCAGAACTACCTCTCCACAGTCCTCCTGGCCCTCCTTCTTCTACCCCATCTCCAAACGAAGCGCGCCCCAACCACCTCCCCAGGCAAACTAACAATCGTCAACTCTGGCCTTTCCCTAACCGGCAAACTCCCCCTCAACCCCAAGAACCCATCCCAGCCCATTCTAACATCCTTCGACGACGCCAAAACCTTCAGCAGCACAACCTGGTACAACACCTCCAAAACACTGATGCACCTCTTCCTGTGGAAACTGACCGAGTTCGTCTCCGCCGACGACGTGGTCGTCAATATCGTTGATCCGGGCTACGTCAAGGGGACAGAAAGTGTGAGCAATATGCCGAAGGTCACGGCGCTCGTGGCGAAGGGGTTTGCGGCGGTGACGGGGAGGAGCGTGGAGACGGGCGCGTCGACGTATGTGGATGCGGTGGCTGTGAAGGGGAGGGAGAGCCACGGGTGTTTTTTGACGAGTTGGCGGGTTCATCCGTGAGTAGTCCGTTGATTTCTGCGTTGAGGGTTTGCTGATGCTGGGAGTTTTAGGTTTGTGCCTTTTCTGTATACACCGGAGGGGAAGGAGTTGATGGAGAGGCTGTGGGAGGAGACTATGGCGGAATTGGCGTTTGCTGGTCCGAACGAGATTCTGTCGTCTCAGTCGAAGGGGTAGGGGGCATCCTTTGTTTCGTTTGCACATCCTCTAGCGTGGTCGAGATGAGCCTGCTAGAAGTGTCTACCAGGTACATGTAGGTAAATGCGTTGATTTAAATTGACGAGAAAGTCCCTGTGGTCTGCTCCTTCCTTGCCTGGATCGCGGGGTTGTGACTTCCGCGCATGTGAAGAGCGCTCTGACCCCAACCTTAAATCCACGTCACGCTTTCGCCTGCCACCTCACAACAATCAACATCAGCAATTCAAACAAACACCACGGACGCGCACTACGATCCTGGCCGACTTGAGACTTGTGCTTGATAACAAGTGTCGAGCAGCATTTCGCGACCAGTGGCTATGGCCGGACTGAAGCGAGCGCGACAAGACGCCGAAGAGTCGACAAAAGCAAAGGTGACTTACCTGGAGATGATGGCATACTGTAACATGCGCTGACATGATCTCGAAGAAGCAACCAAAGATCCACCCAAGAAGTTCCGTAACCACTCGAGGTGCCAAACGAAAGAGCGTGGCCGATGCTGTGTTTCTCACGACCGAACTGCTGGAGAACGTCCTTCGATTTCTGCCGATGAAAGACCTTCTGATCTCGCAACGAGTGGCGCGCAAGTGGCGCGCGGTCATCAGCGAGAGCAAAGAGCTACAGCAGGCTCTTTTCATGATACCGCGGGAGGCAGACACCGGCTGGGAAGTCATTATGGAGGCCGACAACGAAGAAGATGAGGAGGGAGGGAGCGCAATTTCGGCCATCAATTCCGTGAAACTGAGCCAAGTGGACACCGAAGTTGAGAATAAGTCCTATGTGAAGCATGGCGAGCTGAATCCGATGTTCTTCGAGCAGGATTCGGAGCTTCGAGACATTTGGCAGATATTTGAGGAAGGATGCACCATATTCGGCCTGAAGAAAGAGTATCATCGTCCCCGTGCTCAGAGGACCTGGATGAAACGACCGGAAGCCTCATGGCGCAAGATGCTGATCCTTCAACCACCCACTCGGGAGTTCTGGTACCACTTCGCATGCAAAAAGCTCAGCAGTCCACTGAGATGCGGCGACGAGATCTGGGACAAAGACATGACCGTAGCTGGCGTCATGGACAAAATCGAAGAGATCGAGCGGCTTGATGATGATGTGTTCTGCTTTGGAAGCCAGTTCATGTCCATCCACAATTCAGAATTGATCTGCCCAATCGAGGGCGACCAAGCTGAGATCGATCGGTGGACGCACAGACGGCGGACAATCGCATTGTGGAAGGAAGCAAGACTGGGGAGTATAGCTGGAAGCGAGATCGAAGAGTACGACGACCTCCTTGATAGTAGTGATGATGAAGAAGAGGAGGACGCCTGAGGGTGGAAGGAGCCGGAATGCAGTCCGGCATTCGAATCCATTCGCAGAGTTTGCTCGAAGGAAGCTGGCCAGGCCAAAGGCGTCCGAAGTCAACGATGTTTTGAGTGCTCACTTGCAGCAGTCCCCTTGCATGTTGTTAGTAGCTATATTGAAGTCTGAGCGAGTTAGAGAGTCTTCTGCTGGGATGGTCCTTTTTACAGCATTTCAACAAGACGCGTGTCGGTTCCGAGTGTGCGTTGACATCGAATGAAGTGTCGTCTCTGCCCCGCATCCATGCATCCAAACGCCTGATTGCTTCATGAACGGCCAAGACAACGAACCTCGTGGCCAGTTGGTGGCGGATCGCCAAAACAGCGGTAAGGTTTGGCGGAAAAGTTTGCTGATAACGTGACAGCTCGCCTCCATGGCGTGGCTGAAGGGCATTCGGAATGATGGGGAGGGGTGGAACAAAGCAGCCGCATGTGCTGGCCCCGAGTTGGAGAGTTGTGTGAAGACGGGGCGTAGTAGGTTCGGCTGGGGCGCAAGTGAGGACTGAGGGATATTTCTTGAAAAGCGCGCATCACGATGGGAGCAGAGCGCTGACGGACGAGGCAATTGTGATTGGGCCGGCTTAAGCAAGTGGGCTCGGGTGCATGGCTAGCGCGATCGTCGTCGAGGCTGGCTGGCAGCATTGGAGGCAAGCCAGTGACCCCAGCGCGGCGTCATGAGTAGGCAAGAATCCAGCAATCGTCAGGTACAAGACCACACTACCGCCGCTGCCCGCACGTCTGCTTGCCTCTGCTCTGCTCTGCGCTGCTACCCAGCTGGCCTCGGAACACGACCTGTTTCTCCTGTCTGCCGACTTGTTTCCTTGCTGTTTCTCGCCGCCGACGCCCTCGTGTACACGCAAAAAGTAAGCTCGCCCGCTGGACTCGACCATCTCTTATCAGAGACTTGCAGAAGTACATGCGGAGCCTCTGCGCACGGCGACGATGGCTTCCCAGGCGGTCTGGCATGCGGTGGTGACGGGGCGGAGGATAAAGAGACGGGATGCTGCCAAAATGCCTCATGCCGCAGTGTCTCACCGTTCACAGCCCCCCGCCCACCGCGTGCTTGCCTGCTGACGTTGCCATTGTTGCCGCACCACGTTGCTGCTGCCATTCATGGCCCTTGCGCTGCTCCAGTCACTGCAGCTGGTTAACCACCGCCAGAACACTAACGCCTACTGCAGTTCCTTGGACTTTTGACTCCCTCCGCCACCATATTCGCCCAGCATGTCTACCCCCAGCGTCCCTCCGCGTCCTCAGCGCACCCAAGCTGGCCACACGGCTGTCAAGAACGACACGCCCTCGATTCCACCTCGTCCCACCCGCAAGACCGACCCCTCACCCGATCGAGAGGCCTATGGGCGCTCGCCGCTGAATGGCCCGCCCGTGTCAATAAGCAGCAAACCGGTCCGCCCAGCGAGCGGCCGGAATAGTGAGGAGCTTCCTCGCCGCCCACCCAGCGTCTCGATACCAGACGTGGGCCATGAAGGAGAGGAGTATTCCAGCTTCGATTACCTCCCAGCCGAAGCTCATGGAGTGGATACCTCGAAATCAGAAGCTGCGGCCGATGAGCAGACCAAAAGTGTATCTGCAGACCTCCCGATGCACCAGCCTCGGGCCAGCGTGCCGCAATCCACCGCGAGGAGGCAGATTCAGACGGTCACGAGCACTGACTCCACCCAGGCTGCTGCCGCAGGTATTGGAAGGGCTCGGCCGGCTGACGATGTGCACAAAATGCCACCCCACGATGCTCGCACCGAGTCTCCTCTGAGTCGCGTGACCAGCAACACCGAGCCACGACGTGCTCCCTCAGCCGAGTTGGGCAATCCCCTTCGAACCAAGGCCAGCTTCAACCGTTCCACTCCCAGCTTGAACCCGCTTGAGCGGACGACATCTCGCCCCGGCAGCATTCACGGCGATGACCGTGAGCACGGTATTCCCGAGATTGGCGTCCAAGTCCCGCTACTGGCCATGGCTGGTGATGTTCAGGCGCCTACTCCACAGCCAGGCCAGACTCAGCACGCACCTGGCATTGGTTTCTTCAATGACGGCTCAGCCCGTAACCACCATCGTAAGAGGAGTTCGCGCCACGAGTTTGGGCCCCCGGATAGCTATGGTATCCGCCACGACCAGGATCACCAAGATCAGTTTGAGAGGGAGTGGGTACGAAAACACCCCCAAGAGGCTGCTCGAGAGGAGCTCCAAGCACACTTGCCAAAGCCAGAGACGGCCTTGAGCAGCGAGCAGCTGAACAGACTTGTTTCTGCTGGCTCCGTTGGTTAGTGGAATGAACTGATGTCGTGCGACTTATCACTGACTATCTACAGCTCAAGTCGCCACTCCTGGCACCCCAGATGAACATGAGGCCGAGGAGTACCTGTCCCGCATTTCGTCGGCAGCTCCATCTCCCGCCCTCGGAGATCGCAAGAAGCGCGCTTCAAGTGGCTCCCAGACCAAACCCGAGTCACCCCTGCGCAAGACCAGCTTCCCCTTCAACGACAAGAATCGTCTCCACCCAGACGACGCCCTCGAAGACGAGCCTTCTCCATTCACACGAGGTGGCAACAGCTATATCGAAGATGAACATGAACACGAGCACGCAGATGGTACTCCCATCCTGGCAGCCGATGAGCTCTTGAAGAGACCCAGTAGTGCTTTTATGCACGCGGCCGTGACACCCGACCCAGATAGCCACTACGACGAATACTACGACAGCGATACGGCTCGTCCCAGCCGTCGGGGTAGTGCTCAACCTCCAAGTCGCCCATCGAGTAGACCCAGCAGTGTCCACGGTACCATGCAAGGATACACTGGCGGTTCGCTGCACCGTTTCATATCCCACGAAGAGCAACATCATTCGGGTATAGGCACACCTCTCGAGGAGATTGAAGAGTATGAACCATTGTTTCCAGAGGATGAGGATAAGAACCAGACTAGCCCAAAGAAAGTGTTCAAGAAGAGGCCAGAGCTCGCACAGCACCACTTCCCCAGCCGCGACGTGTGGGAAGACACCCCCGATTCATTGCAATACTCGACCACCGTCTCAACGCCCGAAATCGAAAAGACTCAGCAGGTGCTAGACGCCGATCGAGCTGCTGCAAAGTCTGCATTCGAAACACCTGCCGAAGAAGCACAGCGTCGCCAGCAAAACGACAAGGAGAATGACATGACCTCGGACAACAAGACTTTCATAAAACCGCAGTTCAAGTCAGCCGTGGTTGACGATATGCATCGCCCTGGTGCACATCGTTTCCCAAGTTCAGATGTGTGGGAAGATTCACCTGACAGTGTGCGGTTGGTGACGACTGTCAGCGGTCCTCAGGTATGTACTATAATCCGTGTCTGTCAATGCGCACAACTGACTGCTTTTCTAGATGGACGATGCAAGAAGCCCTCCAGATGACCGGCCATCTACGTACGCTCTTCCAGGTAGCCAAGACGATGACGAAGCTCGTGCAACGACAGGCTTCAGTCAATCCATACGGCCGTCCATCCCGTCCCGGCCGCAGCGCGGTTCAAAGCTTGGAGAGGAAGTTAAGCCTTCAGAGATTGACGGGCAACGTGGTGCAGGGGCCAAGAGTCCGCCGAGTATACCAGAGAAGCCCAAGGTCCCTGCTCGTCCAGCTCGTCCCGCAAAGACGGCTGATGGCGTGGCTGCTGAAGATGCAATCGCCGCCGTCAAGGCGAAACCACCGGTGCCTGCGAGGCCTGGAGGTGAAAAGATTGCTGCCTTGAAAGCTGGTTTCATGAACGATCTCAACAACCGTCTCAAACTCGGTCCTCAGGGTCCACCTCCCAAGAAGGAGCCGGAAGCAGAGCCTGCGGAAGAGGAACAAAAAGCACCACTTGCTGATGCACGTAAGAGCCGTGCCAAAGGACCTGCAAGACGTAAGCCGGCGGCATCTCCTGTCCATGATAGGAAGTCGTCTGTGACTTTTGCAATGTCTCCATTGATCCACATGTGGTCGATTGATGAAGAGGATGAACTCAGAGTGCACGAGAGAGAGGTCGCAAAAGCTGCTGCAGCCGAGTCAAGAGAAGCTGAGAAGATACTCGCACAGAACGAAATACACAACACGGAATCAGCGGCACCCGCAGAAGATGTAGCTGTTGAGGACGTGGCCACGAAGATCAGCAACGCGGACCAGCCTGGCGAAGTGGCTCGTGAGCATCGCAGCTCCGAGTCGGAATTGAAGGCTGCTCTCGCCGAAGCTGGTGCAGCACCATCGTCATATGCCGAAGGTGATGTTCAAGACGACGCGCAGCAAACCAAGCTATCGACCAGCGAGATCTCCAAAGACGCGCCTGCCCAGACTGAAGACGACACGCAAGCTAGAGAAGAGTCCTCGACCGCCGCGCAGATCGCAGAGACCAAGACTGCAGACACCGCTGTACAGACTGGCGAGACCGACGTGACGACGACACTGCCATCCGGAGAACAAGAGAAGATGACGGCTTATCTTGGCGCCAAAGTGCCAGAGGAGGGTGATGTGATTATCAAAGATGGCAAAGACGTGCAATCATGATATTGTATTGTGTGAGCAGCGAGGCATTGCGTGGGCGGTGCCGTTCATGGCGATGAAAGCAGAATGATGGCCAGAAGCGTAGTCGAACGAACGCAGTTCGCTAGGATTCCCGAGCTGAATAGATCGTCCAAAACGTGCAATGGCTTGGCGTTGTCGTGGTATATCATTCTCTTTTCATTCATCTTATACATTCATCATCAACAGTGGGGAATGTTGATCTTCAAGAAGGCTGTGCAACGACGGTGTTGCCAATACTCCGGAGGGGTGAAAAGGCTGACCGACTTGTTTGGATATACGCCCTGTTCATCTCATCATGATGCTGCTTACAGAGACGGGATAGGATCATAGGCCTTGGCGCCAAGGTAGATGGAAAGGGTATTCTGTTCGGGGACTTAGCAGAAACGGGGTCAAGACACGAAGCTTGGCTGTGAGGGTCGTGGAAGGAAATGCAGTGTTGTTTTGGGAGAAAGCTTGGGATGGGGACTTGGAGGTTGCGTACGTGGTGCTTGCTTTTGGGACTTGGCTTGCGTTGTGTTGTAGACGGTATCGAGGGCAAAGATTCGGGGCCGAGGACGAGGAGGGATGTATTGACTGTTGGAGGGATGAGTTCAGTTGAGTTGGCCGAGCTGAATATTGTGTGGTGGTATGTACCGGTCTGAGCGATCAAGGTGCGTATTGACAAAGCAACAGGAATACATGATTCCTGCGACAACCTCAACTAGGGTTGAAGGTATCTCTCTACTCTCCCCTCTGCCCGGGTGGTTGGGTTCCTCGATCCTCCCTTCTCGATGCAAGGACGGACGGGCTGAATCATCAGATCAGATCTTGTTGATACTATTCCGGAGCTCGCGGTCGTTCACGAAAGTTTAAATTCGCTTCCTTTTCCCGTGCCCGTCTTCTATTTGCTTTCTGCTGACGATACACTGCGGCCTTGGCACGTTCACGCCTCTCTTGGCGTGTTCACTGCGGGCGCGGAGTCTTCTTTCCTTTCCAGCCTCATCTCCGTCCGCCCTGAGGCGTCCGTCCCGCTTGAAAAAGCAAAGAAGCGGTATGAAAGTAGCGAGCTTGGCGAACTGGCTTCACCTATGCAGATGAGCGACAGGCCTTGGCGAGGCCACCGCCCGTCTCTCTTGAATGCGAGCTTGGCGGGCGCAGTTACATATCAATCACTACTGCGCGGAGAGGTACGTTTCCGTCTGCTCTGCCCTCGTCTGGCTTTGCTGTTCTTGGCGTTAGCTCTCTTCTGCTGTCTGCTCGCTGTGCGTCTTGGCGGGCGCCATACCGCTGCCGCCGATGGCTTACTTCTTGTGCTCGCTGCTGGCTGTGTTCGCTTGGCGTTGATATGGCTTGGCGAACAGTGTCCAGGGACGAGGGAGGAAGGTGGTGGACGGCGCGGGCTGCGTGCGAGCGAGGCAGGTCCTCGTACTTAAGCTATGCAGCCCGGCTCGTTTCCAAGAGTTGGTAGTGTAAGTTGTGTGCCGTCTTTCTGTTTGCCACCACCACTTTACTGCTGCTCGCCACCACTATATGCAACTTTATTGTTTTGCTAGGTGCTTGTTTGTTGCCACACTTGCTTAGGGAGGACAAGGCTGGCTTAGTCGGGCTCTATGAAGTCCCTTTCGCTGGAGATGCTGAGGATGGCGGACTTTCTCCCCAATGCTTGTGTCTGTTCGGATGATCCAGCGAGTCCCGTGCGGGAGTTTGGAGATGAAGACCAAATAGAGCAGGACGATTCCATCCCAGCCAAGACCCAGAGACATCTTGCCTCTTTCCTCGCGGCTCATTCGAATCAAGAGGTGACGTCGGAGGATCTCCTCCCTCTCCTGATGAACTCTCCCTACATCAACCAAAAGCAAAAGATCCTCAACCGAACAATCCTCGACCCAACGCCCTCAACAGGTCTGCACTCCGTCTTCGCAGCCTGGATGGCCAGCCGCTTCGAGCGCAGACTCCAAGAACTCCCCGCAGAGGTCTTGTGCATGATCGAAAGCTACCTGGACCCGAGCGATCTCGTCTGTCTCGGACGGACGTGTCGAGCGCTCTTCCAAGCTGTCGATTACCAGATGGTCGATCTGAGGAATCTTTCGTTCGCGGAGGACTTGTGGCCGGTGTTGAGCGAGCATGGGTTGGATTTTGCGTTGACGAAGGTGCGTTTTCCTCAAAAGATTTCGTCCTTGGGGTTGGGAAAGTGCTAATTGTCAAGAGCAGGAACGACATAACATCTTGAAGAGACTCCACCGCGACCGGCTCGAAGTCCTAGAATCCCAAACCCGCAACAACACAGCCTGGCTGCCCTGCAGCTCGTGCATCAAAGCGCACCCGCGAAGATACTTCTCCCCCGCCGAGCGAGCGAAGTCCGTCCACACACGCAAATGTCTCGCTTCCACCGCCCCCATCCGTCTCTGCTCGCACTGGACTGAAGACTGGCAATCCCTCCGCCAGAGACGGGAAACCGCCGACTGCGAGCCCCGACCGCTGGATTTCTTGCGTGAGGATATGTGTGCGCATGTTGATCATGAGGCTCAGGGGGTCTCGAAGTCTTGTTTGAGGGATCTTGGTTCGGTGTTTAGTGTGGAACGCTCTATTACTGTCCTGCAGACAGAGGATAGGGATGAGATCGACGAGGACGCTGTGGAAGACGTTCTTAATAGCGACTCCTTTCGAGACATTCGCATTTGTCGACACGTTCGATTGGGCGACGAGGCGGTGCGCTCGAGTTTCAGACGCAGACCGCCGACTGGAGAGGGAGATTTACCAGACCTTATCATGGCCTCCGTGGGATACGTGCCGGAATTCGAACCTAGCAGCTGTACTGAGTGTGGACGGCATTGGCAGTTCAGTATCTCGGATAATCTTGGCTATCGGCAGGCGCCACGATATTCGCTGAGGTTGATTGTTGACGATCAAATCAGAGCTGTGAAGGATCCTTGGACGGAGGAGTATCTCAGGAAAGTGGAGGGAGGGATGGAACTGATGGAGTTGATGTACGAGTAGGATGTGTTGTGTTTGTGGTTGTATCATTACGCATTGAAGACATTAATCTATCGTGTATACTATTGGTCACATTCAACCTTCATATCGCCATTGTTAAGTATAATACAAGTAGCACGAGTGTCATTAGTGGACACTTGTGCGCCGCCCCGCTGCTTGTCGTTGCCGGCGAACTGCTCGGCGTCGTGCTAATTTGAGCGGGCGCTGATGTGATATCTCTAGATGATGAGGATGATAAGGATGAAGTCGTACTATCAGCCTTTGACGAGACTGCATCTACAGCAACAAGCCCTTGTGAGCCCATGGACACCATCTGTCCATCGATGGAGATTGCTGAGCCTCCAGGGGATAGTGTAGTGCCTTCGACGAGTGCGACATTGGTTGCGTCTGAAGGGAAGGATGCGGTGATTGTGCGGCTGCCGGCGATGATCGTGGTACCTGCTGGTGAGTCGTGTTGCTGTGATGGACTTGGATCGGTAGGTGGATCACTGGGCGAACTCGCTGGGGACTGGTTTGGTAATGTTACGCCTTCTTGACTTTGAAGGCCTGTACTTGCTGGCGGTTGATTCGCTGATTCTGGAGACGAAGGCACATTCTCCTGCTCGGCAGTGCCTGTAGGGAGAGCCACAGGCGGAGTCGGTGTAGGACTAGGTGAAGGATTTGAATACCCCGGCGGTGCTGTTGGCTTTGCTTCCAAAGACGCTTCCGTTAATGCTTGCGGTGGATCGAAGATAACATTTGCCTGTCTCGGGCTCCAGAACTTGCACTTCTTCCACTCAGGGACCATATCACGCAGCCTCGTAGGCACCGCTATCAGAGGATTGAAGTTGTCGAGGATGGTCTCGCACCAGTTCGGCTGGAGATATTGCGTGACATACTCCCCACCAGTATACGGCACACTGTAATCCAGACACTGATTCTGACACTCGTACGCACTTGCTGAGACCGGCGAGTTGAGGTCGGCGAAGTTGAGCTGTGTCCCTGGTCCGTACCCGGGTATCGATGTTTGGGTTTGATTCCACCATGTAGCGTAGCAGTTCGTGGAGATCTCTTGTGATTTGAACGCCATGATGGTGTTGGAGAAGGTAGGGCCTATTTGCGCGGCTGCGCCTCCAGGCCCAGTGAATGGCCGATACGCAGCGTAGAGTGTCTCGAATGATATGTAGACCGAGTCTGGGAAGAGGGTTGTCCCCAGCGTCGTGATGGGTTTCGGGGCGCTCGTAGGCGTGACGATCGTGCCATCGGGTCCGCAGAGGCCGCCTCCCGTTGTCGTGACGGGAAAGTAAAGCAGCTGCACAGGGCCGCCCTGGATCAAGCATGGGAACGTAGAATCTAGTGGATCGCCACACGCGCCATAAAGTCGAACCCGTGCGAAATCACGGTCTGAATAGTCGGTCAAGTTGGTGCCGTAGTATAACACGGCACAGTCGTCCTGATTGGGCCTACATTGTGGCTCGGGTATCACTGGAGATGTTGTCTTCACTATATTTGAGAAGACCTCTGTCAATGTCGTCACAAAGACAGTTGTGGATGGCGAATAGTGGGCTCTGGGTGTGCCGTCGCAGAGCTTGTACGTGCTGATATTACCCGCGGGATAGATGGTTGAGCTGGTGGTGAAGGTGGCCAGAGATGTCGAGTTGATGATGGTCGTCTTCCCCGAGATGCTTGATGCATACCACGAGGCGTACCAGGATGTATATACGTCCCAGCAGCTCTGTGCGTGGGTCACGTAGTCGGGATTGAAGTCGCCGGACCATGCTATGTTCGACTTTGGTACAGAGACAGTCCAGGGCGGTGGACCCGGGTCTGAAGTAGTGGCTACAGTTGATGTCGACATGGAGGCCGCTGGGGTGGGAGATCCAGAGAACGCTCGCCCAAGACCATGGAGGATGTAATTGCCTAGCCCGGGGGTTGGGGACTGTGAGGGCGTTAATGCATCGCCTAGAGCTGCGGTCAGCGGAATCCACAGGAAATGATAGAGCATCTGAGAGGTTTACCATTACTATTCTCGACAGCAAGACCAGTCCTTATGAGCAGACAACTCGCAAGTGCTTCCAGAAGGAGCTTAGGCATAGTAATTGTTTTCCAGCGCTCGATGACCTCATTCTCCGCCTATGTTCGGGGTCATAACAATCAAGGACGACCAATGCCAGTGAATGAGTGGTCGAGTCTTAGGCGACGGCTCTGGAGGATGGGCGACGATTGCGGCCTTGTGTCGAAGTATTGTTTCGCGCGTCGAGGAGAGCATGCGTCAAAGTTCTGAAGTCGGGATCCCGACGCCCGGTTGCTCGCAACGTCGCGCACTGCCTCATTCGATGCCACTAAAATCAGTCTTTGATGGTGGCCGCTTAGTGCACCAGAGATTTGTGTGTCAAATGCTCGCTTGCACGATGTGTCTTTTCTCCGTAGAACAGCAATGTTGTTGAAACAGAATGCTTTTCGAGCTGAAGGCTGGAGTCAAGATGCGGATGTATGTGGCGTTGAAATACGAGAAACAGTAGGTTTGAGTTTGACATAATGTCGAAAATACGAACAGCTTCTTCAAATTAGCTTTTTACGTCCACTGGTATCTCGTCTATAACAACCAATCAGAATGGGTGAAAATTCACCCTTTGTTTTCCTCCCATTTCATAAGCGACCGTTGCTCGTGCATTATGTTCCATCTCTTGTTGCACAATCTTCCATCCCACTCTCAGTCATCATCTAGTAGTTGGTGTCTGGGCCGGTTGGGCTGTACTTGTAGCCTGGGAACTGGTCGAAGAGACCAATCGACAAGTTGCCAAGCTGTGGGCAGCTAAGACCGCCAACAATTGGGCCGACGTACTTGTTGATGAGGTCGGTGACCGGGGCCAAGTCGTTGATGGCGTTGTCGAGGAAGTTGGGGATACCCTGCTGGAGGAGCTGGAAGGAGAAGCAGGCAAAGTTGTCGCCGGTGAAGAGGGTGCTGACATCGAGGATACCGCCGGAGATGTTGGCGACGTTCAGGCCGGTGAAGGTGTTGACCTTTCCGGTGTTGCCACCGAACTTGAGGGTGTCTGGGTAGGCGAGGTAGCCAATGGCGACGTCACCGACGACGTCCTGGGCCTCGTATGGGGCGTAAGATGGGCGGCGGTACTGTTTGGAGATATGTCAGCTACTGTCAGAACTATGATGCATATCGAAGCACTTACCCATCGCTCAGGCACGCGCTCCTGACCCTTGAGCCACGTGAAGTTGCCTGGCTCGCCAGCAACACCGAAGAAAGACTTGAAGTTGTATCCATCAAGGTATCCGGCTGGCTCCTCGGCGGTGTGGTTGCTCATGAGGTTGATGACGAAGTTGTATCTGCACAAAATGTTAGCATACGCGGGCAATGTTGGAGTAGTGTAACATACGCAGCTGGCACGACAACGACGGTAGAGAAGACACCGGTGAAGTAGTATGGGTTGTTGGCGATGGACTCGTCCTGAGCCTCTTCGAACTTGGCCCGGAACTTGTCGAGGGTGTAACGGTCAGATCCATCCTTGACAGCAATGTCGTAGACCTGCTCGAAGCGGGTGACGTTGAGAGAGTGAGCATCACCGTTGTTGATGTAGGCATCGCCACGGCCGATGGAGGAGTCACCCTCGTAGTTGTTGTGGGAGTACGAGAGACCTTGGCCAGTGCCGAGCAGAGCACCGGTCAGCTCGTCAGTTGGCAGGGGACCGCCGATGGACCAGACGCCCTCGACAATGTTGCCGTCGATCGCAACAGCATAAGCGGCAAGGACAGCAGAGATTCCTGGGCCCAGGTTGTACAGAGCGCCAAGACCAGAGACGGTCTCCTCGATGGAGGCAATACCACTGCGTGGGAGGTAGCCGTGGTTGGCGGCGGCATTGAGACCAGGGCATGGGCCACGGATGTCACCTGGACCAGGAGCGATGTACTGGTGCTCGCCACTGACCGAGACGAGCTGGTCTGTAGTGATGATGGATCAGCATTGATGTTTGGGGCATGTGGAAAGAGCCGCATACCTTCGCCGTCGAATGTTGGGCACACACGAGTACCGCAGTTGCTCTCCGACCTGGAGATGCCGAGTGCGTCTTGCTGGCGGGCCTCAAGGCTGCGACGCTCCACGTTGCTGAGAACAGAGCGGATGTTCATCTGAACATCACGGCTGTTCTTCATCGATGGGAACGCGACCGCGCCAAGCGCAGAGGCGAGGATGAGGGTGGTCTTCATTGTGATTGATTTCAGAATTGACTGGGTAGCGAAGAGTTGAAGAAGATGCTGAGTGAAGGAGGACAACCCTGCTGGGAGAAAAGAAGGCTCTACTTATACTTGCTCTGCCTCATCTTCTGCTCTCCGAGATTTTCCACCCATCGAGATGGTCCACTACAACAAGTCTTGCATTGGCATGAGATCGACATCATGCTGACCATTTCCGTCGCTCTACGTCGCAGTCTATCCACTCCAAGCTCCCAGGGTTTTCGCGCGATGAACATGTGAAGGGCACTGCTGTCCTAGGCTGCATGAGAAGTTCGCGCCAATGTAGCGCACTACCGTCGAAATGCGTTGTCTGCTCTCAGATCGACGAAGCCACAAGGCGCTTCTCCGTTCACTTCCAGGCAATGATCTTCACTTAGGCAGTGGAAGCAACGCAACGACGCAACAATAGCTTGGATGTTGTCGACGCTGAAGCCTCTTGCGTTATCGTTGGGACACTGGCCTTCACACGTTTACCGCCTTTACCGTGCACATGAAGTTCGCGCGGTGAGACCTGCAGCAGAAGCAAAAGCTTGCTCAAGAAACGACCGATATTGACGCCAGGGCTCGATTGATGAAGCGCATACTCGCAGGACGTCCGCAGTCTTCCAGGCCATCAAGACAGCGCAATCTCGCTTCGAAAGCAAGATCTTCCACAACATCGTGTACTGTATTATTATTGCCAGACTTCAATGAAATCGACCAGTGTCCGCCAGAGCGTCGTTCCCGGCTTCATCAAAGCAGTGGCGACGCCACGAAAGAACGTTCTGTCCGAGGCTGTTGAAGCGATCCACAGACGCCTAGAGTGAGAGAGTAAGCAACAATTGCGGATCCGTTGAAGGGAGTCCCGACCAATAGTGACCTTGACATTACCAGGCCTGCGGTAAGCATAACGCAGAAGCTTCGCCGGTAGTCGTACCTACAGACTAGTAGCTTGACGCCTCTGACAAGATTCTGCATGGACTCACTAGAGGCTTGTGACGCCCAAGCTTAATTTAACTTCTCTCATCCTCATGTCGTGCTCGAAGCTGCATATGACTCTATCACCAATGGCTTCAGTCTGTCGAAAGGATGGAAGAACGACATCTGCCGAGGAGATCTGCACCATGGTGCGTCCAGCTCTGCGTGAATACGCAACATCGTCGCCCGACTAGGTCGGTGTGAGGTCCAAAAGAGGCAACCGGGTCGAGGCCGCGATCTTGCAGCACCATCCTGATCTCTAGGAGCAGATGCGATCGCACTGCTTGATTGTTCGGTGGAGTCGGGCAGCTGCATGGCCAAGGAATGTTCCGTTCGCAGCAACGTGATGGTTTGCACGCCGCTTGAGTGAACGCTCACTTGCTTTTCTCAATAATGCAATATTCATGGCGATGGCGAATCGGTTCTCCCACCAACGTGAGTGGATGCCATCTGATGTACTCTCTGGGCGATCGACATTCGTACACGGTCGTCTTCGAAGGTGGACAACTACGCCGGCGTCCGGGTGATGTTGTGGGCTGTTGTTGATTTGAAAAAGTATCGTTGAGAGTCGAGGAGGTACGGTGGATACCACACATAGCATGTTGCAGCATGTTCGCAGAGCTTAATGGATGACGCCATCTTAGTCCTCAACGTCGTCTTTCGACAGAGCGAATGTGCATGTCGGAACGGTCGGCCGCAAGCCTTTTCCTCAGGCCGGAACATCGCTCGTCTTCTAGAGATGGGAAAACCTGCCGCCGTCGGAGCGTTCGTCGAAGGTTGGCAGCCTTTTCGTACCCTGACCGTCGCACACTTGCAAGTCGCGAATTATGTCGTGCTTTGGGTGGAACTGCGTGAATCTGGCTGTACCGAGGGTGGGGAAGTATTGCGTCTCTCTCTTCATCCATGGTCCCAAGTTCTGTGGCCGCTCAAGACTCCAGACTTCGATGTTGTGCAGTTGTTGGGTCGATGGAGTGCTGGTTGTGCTCGAGGTGTCGTCGGAAGTAGGCAGAGATCGCCCGGAACGGACCGCAGGCCGTTCTCAGGGGTAACATTTCAACACCCTCCATCAAAATTTGATTGAAGCTGACACTGCCGACTTCGATTCCAAGCACGACGGAAGTCCGACGACATTTCGCACGACCCATCGACTTGATCAAAACATCGCCTTGCTCATAATAATATACATACTAGCAACGATCTGGACATGATACCTTCTGCCTTCACTGAATGTCATTTCATGACACGGCGTCCTACAAGACACTCACCGACACCAATGCTCTTCTTCTCGACCAGTCCGAGTCTGGCCACGCATCCACTTGCTGCTCGAACCATGTTCCAATCGTAGGGACTGCTATCTGTTCTCATTCGTCCCAGCAAAGGCCTGCCACCTCGTAGCACCGCTCCGCCTTACGGTCACCCACCACCTGGCAGCATCGAAGCTGCTCAGAAACACATCACACAGGCTCGATGGTCGATTCGAGATGGCGAACCATGGACGAATAACAAAGAGCAATTCCACCGGAGGAATCCGCCCTCAAAGCACCTAGCATTGCATCGTACGAGGCGACTGTCGACAAATGCCATCTCAATGCAAGAACTCGAACGCTTCCACGGCTAAGCCGAGAGCTCAACACTGAATGCCGAAGGATTCGATCGATTTTGCAACACATGCGCCCATTGTCCAATTCCACGATCTAATCTAATCTGATCAAGGCAAAAGATCGTAGCCGTGTGGCAAGCTGGCTCTTGCTGATGGACCGTAGGCTCTTGGCGAGTTCACTTTGTTGGGTAAGTGGTAGCATCGATGTCGGAGGGAGTCGTCTCTAGAGCGGCTTCATACCGCTCTAGCTGGCTATATGGCAGGCCCGTCGGATCTTTCGTGTCTCTTTATCTGATCTTTCCTGCTCTCCTCTCACACAAGCTCACTCAACACCACTATGGACGGCGTTGCAAGCGGTAGCGATGCTGTGCCTTCGACCTCTACCGGAAGACGATCGATCCAAGCCTCACGAGACGGAGACGATGCAAAGGCAGCCGACCTTGGTGTCTACGAGCTCTCTAGGGGAGAAGACGACCACGAGCGCGACGTCGCAGTGGCCAGAAGAGGCGTGGACCGTGTTGAGGCCATCACACAATCTTGGTCCAAGACGTGTTTGATCATTGCCTATGTAACGTATGCGAAAGCTCCCCATACAAGACTGAGCGTGTTCTAATGCAGCAGATTCCAGCTTCTGGAGCCTCTACCTCCTTTTCGCGTTCGAGAGGTCGTTCTACAGTAACATCGGACCGTACATCACAAGCATGTTCGAGGAGCACTCCCTGCTGCCCACTGTCGATCTGGTCGCGAACATCATGAGCGGCGCGAGCTATCTTCCCATGGCCAAGGCGCTCAACATGTACGGTCGTGCAGAGGGGCTTGTGTTCATGGCTGCCGTCAGCATCATTGTCTTGATACTGACAGCCGCCTGTACAAACATTGAAACATATTGCGCTGGAGTGGTAGGCTACAATCGAACGTGCGCTCTCAGAACGGTCCATATTCTGACTACTTTTCCAGGTCTTCACCACAATCGGCTTCAGCGGTACAATCTACGCCGTGGACGTCATGACTGCAGACACTTCGATGCTGAAAAGCCGTGCCCTGGCCTACGCCTTCACTGCTTCGCCATACATCATCACAGCCTTCGGTGGACCATCTTCTGCCCAGTCTCTCCTGAAGCCAAGACAAAACTGGAGATGGGGCTTCGGTGCGCTCACTATCGTCACCCCTGCAGTCGTCGCAGTTCTTTTCAGCGTCCTGTTTGTCCACAACCGAAAGATCAAGCAGAACGAACCACCGCGCGTTGAGACTTCGGAAAAGCGAAACTTCTTTCAAAAGATTTGGCATTTTCTTATTGAATTCGACGGTACGAGCAACTGCAATAATGGGCTAAGACACATAGACTGACCAACTCGTATGACCAGCCCTCGGTATCTTCATCCTGGCTGCCGGCGAAGTCCTTTTCCTGCTCCCCTTCTCACTCGCTGAGAGCTCCGGCAAGCAATGGGCTTCAGCACACATAATAGTCATGCTAGTGGTCGGTTTCTTGTTGCTGCTCGCGTTCCCTGTCGTGGAAAGACACGCGCCGGTGCCGTTTGCTCCGTGGAAACTCTTAGCGTCAGGGACGCTCTTGATGGTGTGCGTACTCAATGCCGTCTTCTCCATCGCAGATGATACGTGGAGTGCGTACTTCACTTCCTATCTCCAAGTTGTGTATGGACTCAGCGTTTCCCATGCTGGCTGGGTCAATGGAACTTCTGGTGTCATTCGTGGTGTCTGGCAGATCGTTGTCGGTATTGCCATTCGGTACACGGTGAGTCTCGACTACGGCCACTTGGTTTCGCAACTCTTACTCTAACATCATCATTGTAGGGCCGCTACAAATGGGTCCTCCTCATCTTCATCCCCATCTACGCCCTTTTCATGGGCCTCTTAATCTACTTCCGCCGCCCAGAAACCAACACCGGCCTCATCGTCATGTCCCAAATCTTCCTAGGGATCGCAAGCAGCTCCATCATCCTCTGCGTCGAGGTTGGTGTTGTCGCGACAGTCGAGCACGTCGACGTGGCCGTTGCTATTGCCCTGCTCGGACTCTCGGGGTACATTGGCGGTGCGATTGGAAATGCCATCTCCGGGGCTATCTGGACGAATACGCTCCCTCAACAGCTTGCAAAGAGATTACCGGACTCGGCCAAGGATCAGGCGGATAAGATTTATGGTAGTATCAAGGAACAGTTGAGCTACCCGATAGGTTCCCCTGTTCGTGATGCTATCATTGGTGCTTATGCTACTGCACAGACGAGGATGTTGATCGCGGGGATCGTGGCGACGGGGATTATGTTGATCTTGACGCTGTTCTTGAAGAATGTTAGGTTGAATGAGAACAGGCAGGTCAAGGGTACGGTGCTATAGAGCAGCTCAAGGGGCACAACGGTTGAAAGATTTGGAAGAGTTGAAGAAGGATGGAGGTTGACGGCTTGTATGTAGCGTTGCTTGGTACGGACTTCAAATTCGCTTCGATGCTACGCCCAGAGGATGCAGCCACAGCTAAGTACGACTACGTAGGAGAATATGAACAGCTGATATGTGGCTCGATCCGCTTTCACGCTCCGCATCGTCAGGCTGCGAACAACAGTCGTCCAACAAATCACCGCCACGAACGAGTCACACAGGACAATCCGCCATATCTCCGCCCCAACAAGACTGAACAGGAAAACATGCACCATCACCGGCATGAAGCCCATGATCACCGCAAACCAAATCCTCACCGGCCACTCTCCCAACATGAGCGCCAGTGTCCTCCTACCAGCGGCATCATCCCCTTTCATATCCCTCACATCCTCAAAGATGAGTGGAGGCGGGTACGCCACAGTCATGAAAGTAATCCACTGCCGTCCAACAGCATCAATAGGAGCAACAAGCTGCCAAGCCTGTGACAGTTGTGCCGCGATCCCCATCGACATGCACAGTGTCTTGCACCAGAAGTATTGTCGAGGCGGACATGAGATGTTGATGACTATGGTTGATGTCTGCCATAGTAACACCCATTCGAGGACGCCAAACCTCCATCCCGTGGCGGTGTACAACCCCATCGCCACCCAGAAGCGATGCATGGCGCCTGAAGGTGTCATGAGACCTCAGGGTATGGGTCTGTAGGGTTTGTTGATCTTGTCTTCTTTAGTCCCCTTGGCTTGGTTGACGGCGTCGAAGATGTAGGTGTACAGAATGCAGAGGAGAGTCGCTCTTGCGAGGTCGGTGAGCGTGTGCCATGTTGAGAGGTTGCTGCGGAGGGAGACGGCTGTGACGAGGACCAGACCGGGGGTGAAGGAGGCGAGGATGTTGTCTGCGAGCATGCGACGGGTGATGTCCAATTCGCGGGTGAGGATGCGTTGGATGGGTTTGAGTGATTTTGGCCATGTTGTTGGTTTTGGTCTTCTCCGACTCTTTCGAGGAAATGGTTGTGTCAACGGTCGATTAACAGCCATACTCGATCGTTCAAGATAAAGAGATGAGAAGGATGAGGAGGGAATCCAGACGAAGGGAACATCGTGCATATCTGCTATGCACACATCCTTGCCCTCGACTCGGGCGCCGCCGGATCGAAGCAGTCTCCTATATCCGAACGAGCGGTGTCTCATGTTCGCACGTATGTTATTGGTATATCTCTTGTTCTCTTACTCGATTTGGTAAGGTGGCAGCGTTCACAAGCCAGCCACATGGCTCGCGTAGTCTTACTAAAGTACCATTTTAGGGAGCTTGATGTGCCAGGAGCTGTGTATCAGGGCGATGTACCTACTCACCTATTACGAAGCCTTGGGGGCCAGTAAATGTTCGCGCAGTATAGATATCGAAGCCGAGCGCATGGTATGTTAATCCCTTGCTAATTAAGAGACCAAACATGCTTGCTTACGCACTTGTTCTGTTTCTCGCTGCTCTGGCGTTGAACGTGAAGAGCTCTCCAAAGCGCCCAAGACCTACCAACATTCAACCAGCCTAGATGGTTCGAACCGGAGTTCATCGGGAAGCTGATATCATCGAGAAAGCCAGGCGAGCCAACGAAGGGAAGCCGTTCAAGATCTTCCATTATGCCGGTGAAGTGACGGTGCTGCCGTCGGAGTATGCAGACTTGGTCGCTTTTGATAAACGGCTGTCGCTGGGCGCATACCTCAAGAAGGTGTGTTTATCACTATAGCTGATAGCGGTAGAGCCAGAAATGACAGGATGTAGGACTTCCATACGCACCTCTCTGGCCTGAATCCGATTGCTGCTCTTCACGATGAGCAGATGCTTCTGCACAAAATTGTCAGACGTTTCTCGAAGAACCTGGCGCGAGACGACTTTCGGAGACTGCTCGTTTCTCAGGCCGTGCAGAACACCAACAGATTGTTGGGTCATACACAAGGTCGTGAACACAGATCCCATTGGGAAGACCACGCCTGCTGACAGAGAAATAGGATGGTCTGAGATTTGCATCTACGATTTCGTTCTCGACTCGGTAGCTCGCCTTGATGTCCGTGCTCTTTGGGGCGAGACGCTGTCAAACAACGAGGAATGGATCGCACTGGCCAAGACGTACATGCCGAGCGCTGTTGCAGCAGCGATACAACTTAGTATTGCACCAAAACCTATGTACTATCTTGTGCGCTTGTTAGCGCCCGACTTCAGGAGAGTCCTTAGATTGGCGAGACAAGCAGAGGATATAATCGTGCCGATTGTGGAAGAGCGTCGCAAATCAAAAGCCCAAGCTATTGCAGATGGCCTGCTTCCATCATTGTTCGACGATGCTTTCGAATGGGCGGAGAAAGAGTCTATGGGCTCTGAATACGATATTGCAGGCACCCAGCTGGCCCTCCTAATATCCGCAGTGCACACTTCTGCAGATCTAATCACGCAAGCACTGATCCTGCTCGCACAACGACAGGATGCGGTTTGCCAATTGCGTGAAGAGATCGAGAGGGTGCTGGTAGCAGAGGGTCTCGCTAGAGGAGCATTCCAGAAGATGAATTTGTTGGACAGCACCATCAAAGAGACTTTGCGGATTAAGCCTGCCGGAAACTGTAAGCCTTACTCGATGGACTTGTCGTAGGCGGGATGTTGCTGATGCAAGCTTCCAGTCTCGGTGCAGAGAAATAGCTCGAGTGACGTTCAGATCACTCCTGAGCTGAAGATATTGAAGGGCCAGAGTATGGTGGTCGATACCTCCAGGCGACTCGATGCTACAGTATTTCAGGACCCAGATATCTTCCAGCCAGATCGATTCCTTCGGTTGCGGCAAGACCCTAGATGGGGAGCAAAAGCGTTGTTGGTATCGACGAGTTCAGAGCACCTCGCTTTCGGGCATGGAAATCAAGTATGTCCTGGTCGCTTCTTCGTCGACTTGAAGGTCAAGATATTGCTCTGCCATTTGCTCCTATCCTTCGACTGGAAGTTGGCGCCAGGAACGAACACTGAGCCGAGCGCGATGGGTCCGTTGCTCATTGCGAATCAGAAGACGAGAATTCTGTCCAAGCGGCGTGAGGATGCGTTCGAGATGATGAAGCTGTGATACATATAGTTGTAGGAGAAAAAGAAGAAGGTGAAGTCAGCTTGAGTTCCGCCCGTCCAAAGTTTCATGTGAGGCTTGGCGCGCCAGCTCCCCACTCGCTCGACGTCACCCAAGCTCAACATCTCGTGTCGTCCCAAACAAACACCATGCGGCCGCAGCAACGGCGGCATCATGGCCTCCAAATCGAGATATCGCGATGCTGACGATGACCGGCGCGGTCTGATACCCGCCCTTCTGTCCACAATCAAAGTATGCGAAGCTCCCTGACATGGAAGCAACTTCACCTCGTCTAACGCGCGCAGTCAATCCTCCTCAAACCCATCTCGCCCTTCATCTCGCGCCCCGCCCTCCGCGCCTACTTGACCACGATCCTTACCCTCGCCACCGCCTTCATCCTCCTGCTCTACGCCATCGCCGCCTACGTCCTCTTCTACTGGTCCTACATCCCTCGCATCGGCTTCGAGCGCACCATCCACCTCCAATTCGACAGCGTCTTCACCCTACATACTCCCCACCGCACGTCGAACCCCTACCCCTACGGCACAGCGACTCTCGCACCGGATGTGGTGAGTGCACAAGGATATGATGTGTGGATTGAATTGGACATGCCGCGCACGCGGGAGAATGAAGATGCGGGCAATTTCATGGTCGAGGTGAATCTTTACGCTCAGTCGGACAGAGGAGAAGGCACGCCGACGAGCGGGAATATCATCGCACCTCTGAGAGCAGATATTTCTGCGACGTCAGGCTCTATGGACCCGAATTTGATACTGGCGACGTCTCGCCGACCTGCTATCCTGCCATACAGGTCGCCTTACGTGGACCTCATCCACAAGCTCACCGAACTCCCCTGGTACATACTAGGCTTCCGCTCTGAAGAGAACACCCTCAAGCTCCCCATCTTCGAAAGCATCTCCTTCGCCAAAGGCCCCAAAGCCGTCCCCAGCACTCTCCACCTCGAACTCCAAGCATCCTCGCGTATGCAAATCTACAGAGCACGAACGCGGTTCCACGCGAGGTTCCGTGGTCTACGCTGGATAATGTACAACTGGCGCATCTTATCTGCCATTTTCTTCATCAGTGCCTTCTGGATCACAGAGATGGTCTTTGCTGGCTTGGCGTGGGTGGCCTTGGCTTTCTACTTCCGGGAGGTGAGGGAGCGGGATCCAGACGTCAAGGCCGAGGAGGTACATGAAGTGGCAGAGAATGTCAAGCGGGAGAACTACGACGACGACGAGATGAAATTGTCGGATACGGAAAGGCAATTTCCTACGTTCAGCGGACAGCCGCCTCTGAAGTATGAAAGCCCTTCATCACCTCGGTTGAAGACGGAACCTGGACTGGAGGAGGGAGGCGCGATGATCATCCCTGAAGCTGTGGCCAAAGCTGCTGAAGCAGACGACGAAGAAGATGTCGACTTCTTCGATTCCGGCATTGGCACGAGTTTGGATTCCGCGGGACCTGGTCGAAGGGACAGCATGCGCAGACGGCGAGGCCGCATAGGGAGCAGCAGCCGCAGAGATGACGACGAGAGGCTGTGATGTGTGCATTTGAGTTTTCCTTGTAGAAAGATACCCCGAAGTCTTGTCTTCAGTCAAGCTCTCGCATATGTAGTATATACTTGTGCTGTATTCTACCCTTTTCTGTCTGTCAGTTGCTCGTATCATACTGTTTCTCGTCGAAAGATCAACATCAGAAAAGCGAAAGTCTATCCAAGAAGGAACCGACAGTCCCCACGCTCGCAATGTGAAAAGCCATGCTCAAGAACGCTCACAAACGCTGTTATCACACCTTCCCAGTCTGCCTCCTCAACTTGCCTCTCAACTTCTGAAAAGCCCCCTCATCGAGCGCCGCCTCCTCAACGCCCTCCTTAACAATCCTCCTCCTCTCCGCCCGCCTCCTCTCCACCAACCCCTGGCTCACGCCCCCAAAGCCCCCTCGCCGTCGAAAGCACACCTCCATCAACCCATTGATGTCCAACATTCCCCTTGGTATTGTTTGCACGACTTGGAAAATCTCCATTGGGTCCGAGACACGAGTAATCTGCGGTTCTCCGGCTTTGAAGATGGCGAGGGCGATGCGGAAGAGCGTTTTGCTGCCTTCGAAGAAAAGGCAGTCCCAGACTCGGAGCACGGATTCGATGGGGAGCGTGCCGACGAAGAGGGACATGAACCAGGCCGTGGTCGCCAGACTAACAGTTGGAAGTCGGAGATTACCCCCGGCGGGACCTATCCCGCCCATCATGCCGCCTTTGTCGTCGAGTTTGCTCCAGACGAGCGGGAGGGAGTCTTTGATGCAGGACATGAGGACGGCGATGTCGACGTTGGCGCCTTCGAGGGCGACGCCGTGCGTTCCCGGGAGGTGGATGGAGGTGACGACGTTGAGGAGGGTGAAGGCTTTTTCTTCGTCTTCGTCGAGGAAGAGGAGCAGCAGGCCGGCGATGAAGTTGAGGGATTGGCAGTAGCCGATCGAGGGGTTGTGAATGGCGAAGGCTTGGAGGACGCGGCGGAGGGACTTGAGGATCGGTGTTTCGGGTTCTTTGGTGATGCGTCGTTTCTTCTTCGAGTCTGGGGAGTCGTCACCGCCTCCGGCGCCGGCTTGTGCGTCCATCATTGTACTGGGGTCAGGCTTAAAGCGGATGTTGTCTGGGAATGTCCGATGTAGGTCGCGCTCGATGTGTTCGCGGTCGTTGCTGCTCAGAAAGCCTTTGTCGGGCTTCGATTTCTCGACCAACTCCCAATACAGCCCAGGCTCCTTCGCCAAACGTCCTGGACCACCAGCGTACCAGAACCATGCTGCTCCTCGAAACTCCGGGGGTATGCCTTTTCTGACGTACCGTTTGATCTTGTCAGATTTCGGAGGAAAGCGTATAGCAGGCGAAGTGGTGAGTCCGTAAGATCGCATCATCGCATGCCACTTCTTCGACCGACGCTCGATGTGGCGGCTGTAATGCTTGTTCCACTGGTCATACTGCTCGACCGTCACATGCTGGGACGCTTTCTTGAAGCCATATCGGTCACGTGGAACAGCGCTGGGAACAGCGGCGGCAGTGCCTGGCCTCGACTGTTCATTGCAGACAATTTGCATCGAAGTTCGCTGGCCCTCCTGAGCGAAAGGAGGCATCGGTGCGCGGAGGCTGGGGCTTGGACTCGCACCAGGTCGAGCAGATCGCGGTACACCGAGGATGAGGATGCTAGCACTCTGGCTTCGGCGATGGGCGGCATTCGGTCGCTTCTTGGTTGGTGTTGAAGGTTGCGACAGCATCGGCTTCGGCACCTGAGGTTGTTGCTGGGGTTGCGGTTGTGATGAAGGTCTTTCCAACTGCAGTGATCTCACTGACCGTACTTCAGGTGTCGCTCGTCCAACATCTGCAGACCGTATTGACCGGATGTCCAGACTGCCCTTCGCGCTCCCGGCCGCACTCTCAAAGCCATTCTCGTACATCCCAATGGCATCCTCCACACTCATGTCCACATCCGTCAAACCGCCCTCATCCCAATCTTCCCTTCTCACTTTGACAAAGCTCTCGCTCCTCGAACTCAGACTGGTATGTGTGGTGTTGGTGCTTGTATGGGCCAGACTCGAGTGACTCGTCAATGCACTGCGAAAGCTCTCCCTAATCTCATCCTCTGCCCTCGGACTCGGCCTCGCTGTATTGAAGCTGTCCGGCGTCAATCTCCCATTCATGTCTTTGTGGTGCTTGCTCGAAACTTTGTGTTTTATACTCCTCAATCCTTCCCCCACACTCCTCGAGCTTTTCAATTTTTTCCCCTTCTTTCTCGGCGAGGACAATGGACTCGTAGCGGGAGGATGCAATGGACTCGAAGGTGGCCGGGTAGTGTCTGGGTCGGGAAAAGCAGGCGTCCTCATCTCCGCATACTGCAGCACTGTCTGCTGTTGCTGGTCCTCCAACACATCCAACGCCGGCTTGAACTGTCTCCTGGGCTCCCTCCCCGCAAACGCATGCTCCGAGCTGGCTGTGAAGCTATCCACATGAGGCATTGGCGGCTGCACAGGACTCGGGTTGAATCCTCGCAACTGGTGCAAATGGTTCTGCTGCACGCTACTCATCCTAGGCGGGGGAGGCATGAACAACGGCTTCGGCACAGAACCTTTCCTCGATTGCATCCGTCCATGCGCCGAAGCTTTCCTGAGCGGCAGATGCGGTTCTGGCAATTCACCACTCGGCCGGCCTCTCCGCAGCGACTTGGACCTCCGCGGTGGTGAAGTCGTGTCCATGGCTTCCTTGATGGCCTCGGCGACTGAAAGTGTGTGCTCGGGCTCCCAGCCGCGCTGCTGCTCTGCAATATGCGGCATCCCGACTGGGGAAATCGTCCACTTCCCTTTGCAGCTAATGTCTCCCAATGCTCTCAGAACTTATTGCCGCCGCGACTGTGGTGTAACGTGAGACGACCGACCACAGACCGCTGTGATGTCAGTTCCCTCGTCCTCCTCCTCCCTGCTCATCTCTTCCCTGCTCCACTCGGCGGCTCTGTCTGAAGAACTGACGGGTATCGCACTGGTTTCTGCTCGTCCTCGCACTCTCGTTCTCTGGATGCTTTTCACTCCTTAGTCATGGGCGTAGAGCAAGCAATCTGCCGGGAAGCGCTCTGTGCTGTCGTCGTGAAACCACCCCGGCCCAAGAGCAATCACCTATCCTTGCCCGCCAAGGGTCATCGTATTGCTCCTCTTGCGAGAAAACTCTCTGCTCTTGTCTGTCCGGGCGTGTTGTTTTGTAAACAGCAATCGCTGGTACTGTCTTAGACCCGACAGGATCGAGGACAACGTCTGCTCTTTCAACGGTGCTCATCAAACGCGAGCCATCCTGCAGCGAGCGTCGTCTCGAGCAGCGGAGCGATCCCGCCGGCACGCGGAAGCGCGGCAGCTGAGATCCGATTGCTGGAATCGGACAGCCTCGCAGACCTTGACACTCCAAGGCAGGGATGGCTGGCTGATCTTACCAACTGCAGCGCGTGAAAACACACGTGAGGGATGCATTGAAAGATAGGAAGAACCGCCCCGCCAGTCCCGTGGAAGCGAGGGGTGAAGAATGTCAAGCTTGCGAAGAATCAGGGGATCGATCTTGTCGAAGGTCATACCTGGTGTGCTGTTTCGGAAAGTGCTAGATGTTCGAACGAATCGCGCGAAAGTACGAAAATGCCAAACGCTATGCCTGAAGACTTTCACCCAACCCATGCTTCCGCTCCAACAATTCAATCACGAGTCATCCAGCCGTACCTGTCCGCAAACACTCCTTGACCCATTCGCTAGGCCAATCGTCACACTCATCGTCTCCGCCGCCATCTAGTCAAGCTCCCTTTTCAACGCCGCCGCTTGCAGGCAACCTATCCCTGAGCCACCGCAGTGTAGCCTCTGTGCCCTTCTCGAGCAGTCTGTAGTTCGGCACACGGAACGCGTTGCTGCCCACGTCAAAGTTCTTTAGACCCTCGTCCCAGAGCAAGCCAACTTCGGCAGGTAGCTGCTCAATGTCGTTGCTCGATAGATTGACTGTATTCATGCCACGAAGAGCATCGGCACTGATTGATGTCATCCTGTTATCGCTAGCAAAGAGTGTAGTCAGCTGAGGATACGTCGACCGCAACGCCGGTAGGGAACCGGCCAACCGGTTGGTGCTAACATTGAGGACTCGCAGGCTCGGTGCTTGCAGCTGTGATGTGAGAGGTTCGAACGATGAGATGCGACACTTGCTCAAGTTCAGTTCCTGCAGAGATGGCAGAAGCAGCTCGTCAGACAGATAGTCTGCGCTCATAATGTTGTCCGAGAGGTCCAGCACTCGGAGTTCTTGGCCCATCCATAACGCCGGTGGTATGCACGTGATCTTGTTCAATTGCAACAGTATCTGCCTGACCTCGTTGCTGTTCAGAAACGAGCCTAGGACGGGTGACAGGTCATCAGAGAGGTCCTTCGATGCCAGGTCCAATACGCCACTGGCTTTCAACGACCACATCGAAGAAGGCCTCTCATAGTCGCCGATCACAGTCACAGGGCTAGTAGGCTCGTCGAGGTCAACGGCATCGTCCACCTCTGGCGCCAACCTGGATTTGAGATCCCGTTTGATATCTGCAGCGGTCATGGTCAAGAACTTCTTCTCCCGCAGTGGATTGGAAGCCAGTATGAGCGACTCCAAACTGTCCATTCGTCCAATCTCAGGATCGACTAGGCGGATCTCGTTGCTTGACAAGTTGACATTTCGGAGCTTGCGAAGGCTTGTGAAACCTTCCGGGAAGTCTGATATCTTGTTGTCCCCTGACATCAGTGTGATCAACTCAGTCCATCCAGTCACAGCAGGCAGTACTGTCAGGTGGTTGTTGGTCACGTCCAATGTCCGCAACTGCGGCATATCCAGGGACTCGTAGAATGTCAAGGCGGCCAACGAATTGTTGGCTGCGTTTAGTATCTGCAAGGTAGGATGGCCACTAGGGCCGCCTAGCGGGACCAGCGACATGATGAGAGCATTACTGCTGGCATCTAGCTCTACCAACGGCAGCTGTTGAATGGCCTCCATCGGTAGAGCAGTAAGCTGATTACCAGAGACGTTAAGCACCTTCAAGGCCACGAGCTCTCGCAGTGCTTCTGGCAGGCCAAGAAGCTTGTTTGCTTGCAGATCCAGTACTTCCAGATATGGCAGGCCACATATCGAGGCCGGCACATTCCCTGTTAGGCTGTTGTTGCCAAGTCTGAGTTCCTTCAATGTCTTGATTTGAGCAACCACATCGAGGGCAGGGTTCTCGAGCTTGTTGTGTGACAGATTGAGGGTGGTCAGCCGTTCCAGTCGCCGCAAACCCACGGGTACATTTTGCAACGAGTTGCCGTGAAGGTCAAGCAGCTCCAGAGCGCCAAACTGATTGCCTTCACCTTCTTCGTCCGCCGATAGATCCTCAGCGGAACGATCTGGGAACACATCATCACCCAACTGCTCGAACTCATTGTCTGCCGCAATAAATCTCGTCAAATCGACCACCTCAGCCCAATTGACTTTGCTTTCTTCCATTGAAGCAGCGTTATACATTTGACGGACTTCGACAGGGATCTCCTTGAGCCCCATTGCCGCAATATTGAGCTTGCCATCCATGCGGGCGGTGTTGATGCGATTTCGTAGAATGTGCTTCTCATCTCTGGGCGCTTGGTTGAAAGGATCGGCGTGGAGATCAAAAGCAAACTTGATATCGTCTTCACTCGCGTGAAATCCTTGCGGCGAGTCATGCTTGACAGCATCTTTCTCCTTCCGCGCAGCCGCTTTGGCAGCAGCGATTTGCTGTCGCAAAGCAGCCGAAGAGTTGGAGACAACCCGCTTGGGTTCACCTGGCGCAGTCCCTGGTGTGCCAGCAGGTTCGGCTCGTTTAGCTGGTGCAGGCTGACCGCCTAGAGCAGGCTTCGGTTTTGCTGTTCGCGTTGCTGTTGGTGCGGCTTTGCCACCGATAGAAGGCCTCGCTGCATGACCATTGCTAAGAGGTGCTGCCGATTTCTTCGCTGGCGTGGATGGGATCGTTGCAGTCGGAAGCTTTGCACCCTGCAACTTGCTGGCAAATCCGCCGCTAACGCTCCTTCGGCTGGACGTGGTGGAGCTGATACTAGGCACTCTTGACGTCGTCCGCGACGATGGCTGAGCACTGGCAGGAGCTTTCTTGGCTGGCGAGCTGGATCTGCTGGGCGGTCTCACAAAGTTGCCATCGCTAGTCCCTGGCCTGCTGTTGTTACTTCCGTTCCGACTAAGACTCGAAGCAGGCCTAGGTGGCGGGCCCATCGGGCTCTCAACCGGGTTGAAGAAACTCGACCTTCGGCGCTCCTTAGGCGTGGAGGGCAGAGACTGCAAGCTCTCAATGGTTCGATCTGACAGCGAGGGCCTCGAAGCCCTTGACTTAAAGGTATCGTCGGGAGGAGAATCGCCATCATCTTGGATGTCGAAGGGGGTTTCCTCGAATGACGCAGATCGCAGGCCTTGGCGAGAAGCAGAACGGAAGCTATCCAGTGAGCTTAGTTGGTCGTTGTGATCTTCTGCGTCTCCATTGACAGGCGGCCTTGCGTAGATAGTCGAGGAGGGCCGTTTGAGCTGCTTCGCGCGCGAGGAGATGGTGCCTCCTGTCGTCGACGACGCCCTGGCAGAAGCATTCTTGGAGCCATTAGGCGGATTGGAGCGGGTGGCGACTGGTTTTGATATCGTGGGAGCGTCCTTGCTTGGGGTTTGGGAGGTGCGGGACAACGTGGCCGACGATGCACGTTTGGCCACGCGAGAGGCTCCAGTGGTCGTCTTCGCGGTGGGCGCAGGCTCTGGTGCTTGGGGTGCGGAACCCTGGGCGGACCTTGCTTTGTTCAGCACGGGCAGCCTACTGGACGGCCTGGGCAGGGCGGAAGGCTTGGTATCCATGTCGTGCGGGCGTCAGGTGCGGTGCGGTGGTGGTGGTGTCGCCGCGTGCCAGCCTCGTAGATATCCTCGTCGCAGCAAAGGCAAGGAAATTGAGTGGCATGATGGGGCAATCTTACACCTCCTCGCCGCGCTGGATGCCGTTCAGGGGGAGTGTCCAGGTGCGATGTCGAGAACGGCCGCTACTGAAGCTAAGCGAGAGTAGTCGCGGCGCGGGCCGCACCTGCCAGAATCGCCGGTTGCTACCAGCAACGCCTGCTCCAACGTTCATCTCCCACCTCGCCAGCCACCTCCGATAAGATAGCCAGGGCTAGCAGCACCCTCGAAGAACTGCCAGCCCCCGACCATCACACGCTATTACTCCAACCCCCTCGCCGCCTTTGTCGCATTGTTCTTGCGACTCGATCCGTACCAAACACCACGAGCAAACCATCCATCGCCGAACCGTTCCATCTTTCCGACACCATCGCGCCGGTGACATCTTGCGCTTCGTTGCGCACTGAACACCGCAAACATGGACTCCCAAGATCCTCTGGATAGCCTGATCCCGCCCCCGAGCGTCTCAGAGCCCACCACGCCCGACTTGTCGCACACAACCATCCCAGAATCCACCGCCGCTGCAGTGTCGAAACTCCAGTCCAGTCGCATCGAGAATGCGCCTAGGAATATGACGCCTCCACCATCCACACAAGTACCTTCGTCGAGCCGTCCAAAGACGAGAACACCGACGCCGCCCATATCTCACATCTCTACGCCGCCTCCGACAGTCGAGCTGTCTGCGGAGAGTCACCGCAGTCGTGTTGCAGGTGGATCAGTTGGGACGATGAGCATGACTGAACTAGAGGCTGCTTCGCCCGAGGAATTGAGATTGAAGGTCACGGAGCTGCAGGCCGCACTCCAGGAAGCCAAAATGTCGGCGGCGCACCACAAGCTGCAATATCAGATGCTGTCGCAAGAAAGTGCTGCTGCGATTGAGCGCATGGCTGTTGAGGCGAAAATGGCTCAATTTGAGAACGAGGTCATCCACCACGCCGAGCAAGCGAGGGCTGCTGCTACACCACAACCTTCGCCGGCTCAAGAAGGCGTGATACCCGTTCAGAAAGATCTGTACCAAAGGATGTGCCGCGAGATTCAACTGCTCAGAGAAGCCAACAACGACCTGCATGCTGAAAGCGAGGCCCGTCAAGCGACCATTGGCCGCCAAGATGATCAAATTGCAAGCCTCTCCGACAAAGTCATCCTGATGCGCGAACGAATCTACGAGAACCGAGAACGACTACATAAGCACCGCCGACCGCAAATGCAGCATCACTTGGAGAGCACGCCTCGCTCGGTATACAGCCCAGCTCACCAACGCAGCCACCCAAACAGCCAACAGCAGCCTCAGCCATTCGCTGCGTTGCTTCAGGCATCTGAAATGGCCAGCCAAGAATCTGCACGATCGGCTTCTCGTGGAATGACCGGCAAAAAGGGCCACGTACGAAACATGCACAGCACTTCGAGTCTACCATCAACCCCGCAGCGCGTACAGAAGGTTCAGTACGAGACACCTTCGATGAATCGCACCCAACCTCTCAAAGTCCCCTCCACCGCGCCGGTCCCTCGCACCAGTGCGATGCGCACCCCGGATGTGTATACGCAGTCACTGCCCGTATCTCAAGGTTCGCAAAGGGCAGGACCTCCCTCAGACGGCACTGTATCCGCTTCGGACCACGACAACGACAGTGAAGCTGAGACCGACATCATCGACCAGGACGACGAGATCAACGTATCACAGGCATCCCGTGCGGCATCTCAGATGCTGAGGTCCAGCCACGAGCAACAAGTGAAACGCGACAGCTTCAAGGGAAACGGTATGCTTCAACCCAAGACAATGAAGCAAACGAAGCTTTTTGGCGCTGTTCGCAAGGCCAACGTTGACAGAAGTGAAGAACCGCCAGCCAAGCGGGCGCGGACAAACGAGAGTGCCGTAGGTCTTGGCATAGCCGGTGTAAGGCAGCGAAGTTGACTTCACTTCAAACCGCGCATGACGCGCTGCTTCTTGTATCTCAAAGACACATTGGAATGTGTGGCGTGAGGAATGGAAAAGGGTGCATTCATTGCACAGCAATATTGGCTTGAAAAGATAGGATACCCACTCTAATGGAGACGACTTGGCATCACCATACTACATTCACTCTCAACACCTCTACCTTCACTGTGAGCACATTAATGACTTCACTTGAATGAGGTGAGGCTTGGTCTAGGGCAACCTCACCTCGCGATGGCCTCATTGCTGAAGACTTCTTTTCTTTCTGCTCTCTTTCACCTTCTTTACACACATCGAGAGACCAAGGAAACATGGTTGGAGCGAAGCGCAGCGCCAGCAGCGCACCAGACCGGCGTATGAACAGCAAGGTATGTCACAACCATCAAGTCCAGAAGCGTCAATGCCAGGGTACTAACCGCCTGCAGAAACCACGCGTCAACGTCTTCAGCAGTCATGGCATGCTCACTCGCGGTATCACCACCGCGATGACCCGCAACGCCGTGCTCAACACGTCAGAGCTGCTGGTGGGTATCTTGCAGTACCTTCATATCTCCGATTTGGTCGCTTTCCGCCGGGTCAACAAATACTTCAAGGCAACCATCGACAGCAGTCCGCAGTTGCAGATCAACATGTTCCTGCGCAGCACCACGAGTTGCAAGCGTTTTTGGCTATACAGTAAGTCTGAAGGGTAGAAGGCATATGTGAGACATGCAGGACCAGACGGCTAATACCCTTCCGCGTGTACAGACCATGCCACCGCCAGCGTTTACCCATACGTACGGGGTGATGCCCAGCGATACGGCGACAAGTGGGTCGTAGGCCATTCAGTCATGCGGCCTTCAACTCTCAACCCACTGCTTTTCAAGACCGACGAAGAAGAGCGCCGACCTCCACTGAAATGTCGCGCTCGCAACTGCGAGAGCATTCGCTTTACTCAGCGCCCAGACGTCTCTCGGTCCAAACAGGATTCGATCTTCCATCGCATGTTCATATGCCAGCCACCAGTCGCTTTCGTCGAGTTTCAGATTACTTACAACCCCAACAAGTCCTCGCGTCGTCGTGCCATCGACGGTTGGCGTTACCCTGATTTACCCATCCGCGGCAAAGTCAGGAACAAGAAAGGCGTCACATTCGGCGATCTCATGAAGAAGATACGCGAAGAGATCAAGGAGCGCACGCCCGAGTACCTCCCAAGCAGCGGCTTTCGCATTCACGTTTCCGACAAGAGACAGAGCCGATTGTCTCAGGTTTGGATGCTTGGCGCCATCTTGGTCAGCGAGGAAGAGAAGAAAGTTGTCGAAGGGGATGTTGAAGACCCCAGACGCGTGTCGCCACTGGCGGAGAAAATGCGCAAGCCAGAATTCCTGCGCGATGAGGCCGAAGATATCAAGAAGAGCCATGGATGCTGGAGCAGAGGAGATTACGAGTTTGCTGGCGATCCTGAGATGAGCGAGGAGATTCGTGTGAAGTATGAGGACGGAGGTGTCCAGATGGATATTTGATCAAGAGGCATTGTAGTGAAGCGTTCTGGATGCTGGACACTACACATGGTGCCTTGGAATGGCTATGATGGATGACGCGAGATGCAAACGAAACGATGACGATGAAAGAAGTGCTCACTGACGATAACGAGGGCACGACGAACTGGGAGAATTGCTATTCAGACACGATGAACAATGATTGACTTGCTTGAGCGTCTCTCTCCTCATTGACTCCTAAGATTCACAGGTGAAGTTTCATGATGGCTGGGCACCTCGGCCATTCACCTCAAACACCGCAAAGAGATCATCCTCCGCCTCCTCCAACCCATATATATGCTTTAGCATCCACCCTACACTATCTTCCTTCTCCAGGGTCGGCGGAACCTCCGGCATTCTCTTCGGGACGTGGTCAGGTAAAGTCCTTCTTCGCTTGAGCTTGATATCCCTAATTGTAGCATCCACTTTCACGCGGTTCAAGTTGCTTTCCAGGTCCTTAATCTGACTCCTCAGCTTGTTTCTGTCAGATGAGAGATCCTCAATCGTAGCTTGCATTTCTTTCAGCCGTGATTGCTGTCGTTCTCGATATGCTCGTTGGCTATTGAGCAGCGTCAGCCTTTCCCGTTCCTCCAACATGGATTTCAGCTCTTCACATTGACGTATGATAGAGGGGCATACGCAGATCTATTCTGAGCTTTACGGGTGGAGTCCTTGTGCTGCTTCAAGGCGGCGGTGGCTTCCTCGAACGACATCGTCCGCTCATCGTGCATGCAGGGCATGTCCCAGCTTGGTGTCAAGAAAGCGAACATGTCGTTGGATGATGCCTCGAACGGTGAAGTAGCGTTGGATCGATTCGACGAACTCCAGCTTCTTTGGCTGTCGGTACGCTCGTAGTGGTAAGGATTGAATTCATCTTCTCGTGGTCTTGGGGAGGGAGACATGGTTGCTGGACTGATTGCGATCCTAGGCCAACTTGCTTGTCTGCTTTTCGGACATCTTGTCTGCCTTTTAGCATGTCGACGGGCCATGACAACGCCAGAACGATCGGCGATCTTCAAGAGATCATGGCTTTGCTCTTGGCGTGCTTCACAGCCATCCAACCAATTGTACTACCAAGGTCCAGAGCATACGATCGGGAGGGGATAGTGTCAGTGTTGTCATACGTAGACCGCCGGACCATGTGGTGCGTAGCATCTCAAAGCTTCGACCAGCGTTCCACGAAAGGCAAGAGTATTCGATGATGACCTAGGGGCAGAGCTGTCTTGTGGGCAAAAGTGCCGCGCTAAGCATCAGATAGAGCTCGACTGTTGTTTGCGGACCCCGTGGCGCGCAGTCCATGACTATTTGGCCAGTCAGCAAGAGGGTGGAGTTTGACTTTACCATGTGTAGAGTCTCGGCCAATCCTGCGAGAAGTATAGCGAAAGAGGAAGCTGCCTGTTTGGGAAGCTGCCTGTTTGGGAAGCTGCCAGAAACTGCTGACCCAGTGGAAAGAGCAGGAGCTCGTCACGTTTCCAGGAAGCTCTCGGAGGTTGCAGAGAGGCGTATTTCTCTTTGGGGGAACTTCGACTCTCTTATGCATTCGTTGTACTTTGCTTCTGCCGCCCACACTCAACCGATGATTCGATCTCGGCCGACAAATGTACTCTCGATCTCCACGACAATGCAGATTGAAATGTCAGTCGACCCCTTCTTCACAATCCCAAACATCCTCCTCGGTGTCGTTGATGTCCAGCATATCCCAGAGCACCGCGGCGCCATCTGCACACGCCTTCTCGGACCATACGAAAGGCGACGCGACCTCTTTCAATTGTTGTAGTCTGGTCACTCCGTTTCTCAGCAGAGTCACTCGAAGACTTTGTTCGTAGAACTTCCTGTCGGCAGATCGATACGATGCGATGCCGCATATGACCAACACCCAGGCCAGCATTCGTGCTGACTCTTGTGGCCAAAGATGGAACTGAGACGCTTCGAGGAAGTCCCGAACTTGTCTAACGATTTTATAATGCCACCCGGTGTCTGGAGGCATGCCCCAAAGCACAGCTATCGAATCTAGCCGAGCAGTCAATCGGCAACACTCATACGCCTCTTTCGAACATCCACTTCTTTGCTCTTCGTCGAGTTCATCCCAGCTGTCTAGCGAGAGGATCTGGTGGTGAGCAACGTTCCTTGCTTGGACCAAATGGTTCCAGTCATACTCAAGCTGGACGTCGTCTCGGGCCCAGCTCATGAGCACATCGATACTGCAGAGGAACGCCAAGGCCTTCAGCGTTTTCAGTGGCAGTCCTCCCGGTACGTGCGCGGAGAATCCATAGCCAGGCTTGAAGTCTGCCTGCTCTTCGATACAAGCAAGAGAGATGTCGTCGTGCAGTTTACTGAGGCTTGGTAGAAAGGGCTTGGTACCCGCCTGTCCTGCTCGTCTCATATCGACGCTTTGAATGGTCAACACAAGGCTTATGATTGTGGAAGCAGGAAAGCTTACCCTGCTGCAACGATCGCAAGACCCGGAAGACGAATCTTAGGCAACCCTCCTATTCGATGAACCAGCTGCATCATGGCCTTCACTGGTTCTGGCTCCACGAGTGTCCGGCCAAAGACACTGTCGAAGTTCGCAGAGGGCATGTGAGGTGACAGCAGAAGACCTCGATCTGGCCAGCTCTCCTGCAGCGTTGTCACGATGAGGGTGGCGATACCAAACACCGCAAACTCCAACTTGGAGTCATCGATATTGCTTATCAGCTGTCCAACTCGTCCTAACAGCTCTCCGCGATATGATTTCTGAGGACTTCGACCACCGGCCTTTCTTTGACAGCAGGTCGTCGTGCATTGCAGCGGCGACGTTGAACCCATGAAACACGATCGGCTCCTGGCAGTACAATGCGAACCATTCGAAGGAGCTCCAGAGTGCGTAAGCTCGACCACCGCCGACATTGAAGTCTACAGGCCATCAGCGAAATGATCAATTCTCATCTGCTAATCACTTACGGTGATGGATTCCCAACGAGTAAACCGGCTCACTTGCAGATTGAAGCATGCCTGCTACCATAGGCCCAAGAGCCGGATCAAGACTTCGTGTTGGCGAAGAACTGCTGTGCAGCCACAGATAGCGGAGCATCTGTTCGGAGATCTCCTCCTTCTGGTTGAAAGACGGTCTCGATATTGCCTTCCAGTTGACTGTTGGGGCCGCCTCCGAGGCAGTCGCTCCTTCATGACCCCGATCAAGCTGTCTGTCGGCGTTGCCATCAAAGCTCAGGACTTGGCCATGCTTTTGCGAAGTACTGACGGGTACACTGGCACTTCTCGAGCTCGCGTGAAGCTCATCTCCAAACAGCCCAGATGCGGTCGATGCGTTGCTACTCTCAACATTCGCGGGAGAAGTCTGCGTTCGCAGGAGTCTTCGTTGCCGATTGACGACTCTTGCAGTATGACGATGCGCCAGTTGACTGACCTTCGACTTCTCCCGCGTCGAGTTGGCACGACCACTGATGAATGCGAACTCCCGGGGTTCGTCAGGCCGCTTCGAAAGTCCGCTTTCCGGCTTGTTGGACGACATAATTGTGGCTGTCGATGAGTTTCGGTCCGAGCGTGCAACACATACATGATCTCCAGGCGATTCGACTCGTCGTGTTGCAGGCTACAGGCCTGCATCGATTGCATAATCAGAGTTGGCCGTATATAGATGTATTTCGGCCCCGTGCACACACTGCTCTAAGATCAATAGATCCGATCTTGAGTCAGTTGACTCCGGGCTGGAGTCTAGCACGGCCGTAGTGACCACTGCTTCTTCCGAGTGGCACACAGCCTCTCCACACCGGGGGCCAAGTCCCTTTCAGAGCCATCCAGCCGCACAAGATGCACGCCTCCCGTCGAGAAAAGCCTTAGAAAGGTATGGTGTCAACCCAGCCATGACCGGATCCAGAGCTTAATCATCGTTGACAAAGACTCGTCTAGACGTAGTTCTGCACTTGTACAGCGTCATGATGTCCTGGTATTGGAGATTGAGGCCTTGAATCTCGGCCGAGAGGTTAGGCCAGACACGGCGAGTATGGTAGATTGAAGCGTATTGGTCAACGGGCGGTTATGATGTTGTCCATGATGTTATTTCCATGCAGGCTAGGAGCTGTGAACAAGAATGATGTTATAGCGGGCTGAGGGCTTTTTCGCGCTGTGTAGCCAGGAGAGAAGGATTCAACGATGGACCAGATAATTGTATGAAATGAGACGAGGTAATCAGAAACCAAACCTTTTCGCAAACTATTGAAAATGACAAACTTCCAGTCCTGTTAGCTATCGAACACCGCCTCGGAAATGCAGACTAGACCACTCACTTTTGTTCATTGTACATCGCATCAACCACCACAAAGATCTCCATGGCCATCTGCTTGAAGGCCACATGATACTGCTCTGAACATGCCGAAAAGTGGTCAGGATGCCAAGCTAGGCGCTCTTTCTTGAGGCTGAGATCCGGAGTTCCCATGAAGGCAGCCCGAATATTGCAGCTGCATGCTTGTAGAGACCTTCTCGTGGCTTGGCAGGAGATGTTGTTGCACGCCTGGACTGGTGGCTGGGGAAAAGTTTGCATGGTCGTGTAGTCCGCGAAGGCGCCCTTGATCTCCTGTCGCCACTGTTGAATGGTTTCAGTGACCTCGACAGGTGCTTGCGGACAGAATGTGTGGAAGAGCTGAGGAGATTTATTTGACTCCTCCTGCATTCGCTGCTGCTGTTGACGGGTTCGACGAGCTGCATCTGCCTTTCCGCGGCGCTGCCACTCTCCGGGGCTCTTCATCTTCTCGATGACAGCTTGCAACTGAGCATATCTGTTCTGTGCTAGTTGCAGTGTGTTCTGTGCTGCTCTGAAAGTAGCCTCCGCGGCTTGCGAGGTAGGTACGGCGTTTTGGAGCAGGCCGGTATAGATCCAAAGGTCGTCTTCCAATCCTGGCATGTCAGGGTCGCGAGCCCGCTCGGCCTGAATGCCGGTGATCTTAGACTTCAGCTTCTCAATGTCAGCTACGGCGTTGTTCAGCACATCTCTTGCCTGTCCTTCAGACTCTGAGCGTTGACGACGGCAGCTCCGGCTTTAATGATCTCCTGAAGAATGTCAGCGATGGTTGATCGATCCATTGTTGCAGTTTCTCAAGAGTTCGCGTCCGGCCCAAAAGTTGTAGAAGGTTGAGAGTTGGGAAAGGGAAAGTTGGGCTCTGTCCTCGATGTCGAACCCACGGGAGTATATATAGAAAGCCCAAAACATTAGGAGAGAAAGCATTGTCCGCGTTTTGCACTTTGTTAGTTACAATCCTTTGTCCGATGTAGTGACAATAGTGATACAGCATCCTGTGACAATGCAATTGTCTTGTTCATGCTTCGGCGTATGGTCGCTGCCGCCCCCTCTCCCACGGTGACGTCTAGCCAGTCAAAGTGTGGGGAGCATCAACTCATGATCATCCTGTAAGACACTCTCAGGATGATTCGATGGTGCTAGTCTGTGGTAGATGTTGATGTTGATGTGAAGACAAGGAGACAGGCACACAGACTTGAGAGACGCGACTGCGCGTCTCGGCCGAGTCAGCGCCAAGAAGGAGAGAGTGAATACCTGAGTCAATCCCAGCAACAAACTTGGACTTCATCACGACCTCCCTCCACCAAGTCTCCATACAAAGCAAGCATTACCAGGCCTTTGCGAATTACATATACAGGATCAGAGGCTCAATAAAGTCTCCATCGGCGGATGGAATCGACGTGTTGAGCTGGAAATGCAAACGCCTCTGTCTGGACACAGTCACGGGAATGACACCACAGGCCCCAATGATCTTGCTGGCAGACACATTTGATGAAGAGCCCAATTGCAGAGAAGACCATATGTCCGGCATTCGGAACACTGTGGCTGTCAGCTAATGAAAGTCTGGCCCAAGAAACGATTTCCTGATCTTACCGCATCCCCGTCGGACAAACACCACAGCATCTAAATGTGCCTTGCAGTTGGGCGTGCTCCAGAAGATCGTCTTTAACGTCTGCCCTCAGCAAGTATCAAGTAAACATCTGCACTCCGCCGAGTCCGACTTGCTTCCAACATATCCACACATCGTTCCTTCTCTCCCAACACAGGATCTTTACGCCTCCCCTCATGATGTTGCCTGGGAGGCCTCTTATCATCACTCTCATCCACACTTTGGCTCGCCCTCTTCTCAAGTCGACTTAGCAAGAAGCATCAGTTGTTGCCTTTCCACGTCGGGTGCCCTGCAGACTTACCTTCGGCTAACGCGTCAATAGCTTCGGTACGCCAGTCTGGATACTGTTCCGATACCTGTGCAAGCTGGTTGAATATCGACTCCCGTCCAGTGTTGATCGTCACGCCTTCGTAGACAGACTTCAGATTCGGCGAGAAGCATCGTAAGAGCGGACTTGAAAATTGCTTGTCTGCGATCAAATCGACAGCTTCCATGGACAGACGCTCGAGCCGTGCTTTGACGTACTCCGGTTGGTTTGAAGGGAGAAACGTCGGGCATTCTGATAGTTCCAGATCGTCGGAATGATGTGATACGCTTGATGGTGATGGCGACGAATATGCTTCTGAGTACGCTGGTGAGAACATGGCTGTCACGCTGTTGACTTTGGTACGGAACCGAGTCGTCAAAGGCTTCAACATATAGCGGCCGAGTACTACGGACAACACATCTATGAGGGCAGGTCGGCTACTTGCACCATCCCCAATTGGTGGCGGAGAGCCAGTTGCGGCGACACCGCACAGCGTGGACTGCTCCGAGAAGCTTGGCAGAGCGGGCATGTTGACATGCGCCTTTCCCACGTTCTGTGAGTTGGTCTCTTGCTGATTCACCAGCTAGAAAGAACATTACTAAAGGAACACAGCGATTGCAGACTTCGCCAAGCGATCCTCCAGCTGATCTCAACTGCTTTCTCAAGCTTCTATCGAGCGCCGAACCCCAAGGATCTGGTTAGTCGAATAGGTTGCTTCGACGCTATGTCACTCTCTGATGGTCATGATAGCCCTACGACTTGACAAAGCTACGTGCCGCGCCTGGTTCAAGGTTTTGACGACCCACTCATATTCCAGGGCTGAGCTTCGAAGGGCTTTGGCGCACCTGGGAATCAAGGCTTAAACCTAATGCACTCTCCAGCTGTACCCTCTCCCTACGGCTGGAAGGATTTAAGCCTACTCCAGTACATCTTGCAATCCTACTCCCACCTCGTGGCAAGGGCTGATACTCTGACCAGAATAGGAGGAGTCTCTACTTGATGTGGCATGAGGTGTTCTTCGTGCGCATGACTGTCCTATGGCTGCACAGCAAGCCCTCATGGAAGATCCGATACCTTTTTGCCAAGAGGCGCTTGGGATTGCAACCCTTCATCGACGGTGCGCCCTGCAGCAAAGCCGAAGGCGGCCTCTGAGCATCGATTCACCTGTTATTCAGCATGTGTCCATCAGCTATTTTTGATACAGCATTACAAACCTGGAGCCATTACTGAAGGAGCCAGCACTACTGAGATCGGAGAGTTCGGCCGCAAACTGAATTAAACGGCCACAGGGAGAGATTAGGGCTACTGGATAGCATGTGCGGCCGAGGCTATCACACATCACGATGATGGGGCTTGACCTTGGTCGGTCATTTCTCACGGTCTATGACAAAAGCAACGTGGCCTTCGACGAGGTCCAAGCTAGATGCCCATCCGCATGAACATCGCCCCGATCGACTCCACTGATCCACCCCCTAGATCAAACCCTCCCATTGCCTTTAGCATCGATTCTTCATCCATCGACGCCTCCAACTTCCGCCTGCAGCTTGCAATGGCCAAGTTGACTGCTCGGCGGAGCCACACTTCTAGGTCTTCCTTAAACCGAGGGCGACGAACAGCTTGGCCGAGTGGTATCGTGGAAGACCCAATCTTCGTCTCCATCGCCGTTCGGTAAAGATGCTCGGCCAACTCGATGCCCGTGACTTCGAACACGTCGTCAGAGTCCTCGAAATGGTCCCGAAACCCCTCGAGAACGGCCTTCGTTGCACGATAGTCACCGAATGAGTACCCTGGCAGACAAGCCATCTTCGGGGGCGTCAGGCTCCTCAATGACATCTCCAGGGCCGTGAAGATCTCGTCGGCGTCGAAGGAGAATTCCCCGTCGACAATACGATGATCCAGTCGGATCCAGAGTTTGTTCTCTTTCTTGAATGCCACAGCTTTCTCCGACTCTTGGCTGACTCTGATCTCGTTGACGACGTAGTCAGTCATGATCGCCTTTCCACAGCTGGGACATTTCGCGGCCAGACAGCTCTCTGGGGTCAAAACCTCCATGGCGTCTCTCGTGATCGTGATGCTATGGTCGCAGTGCGTGTGGAGCTCCGCGACCCCGACTGCCTTCAGCTTCTCCTCCGTGTCGGCATGGAAGAGATTTGACCGAAAGGCTTCGATCACATCTGGAATCTGTCGTACAGCCCACTGCTCGCGCCATGGCTGCTCAAGCCATTCTTCCTCCTCGCGGTAAGCCTCCCATGGACTGACGCCTTCTTGGACATGGTAGTAAGCTCGATCGGACTCGCGACTTATCAAATGATCCACGAGACGTGTCCACGGATGCTCTGTCCAGTGTGATCGAAGGGCATTCATCTCGTTTGTGTTCAGTTCAAACTCTCTGGTCGACTCGAACTTGTTGACGGTGGCGCTCTGCAGCCTGAACCGATACACAACACACAGGAACTCGCGATCATCGAAGTACGAGGCGATCTTCAGGACAGACTCTCCCGGGAATTGTGAGAGATCTGCGACAGCAGCCAAAAGCTTCTCGTGCTCTCGCTGCCCACAAATTGGCTCTTGTCTAGTCGATGTCGAAATCATGGTGTTGAAGCTGTAATCCAGCATGCCCAAGAGTCTCGGATCGGCGGGTGGTCTGTTCCGCTGGCACACGTTCCTCGGGCCACACATGTAGCATTCGGTATCGCTTGGGAGTAGCTCACGGGCGAGATAGTGGAGGCTCAGAATGTGGTAGGTCTCGGCGGAGGCTTCCATCTCGAGACTGCTGAATCGAGAGAGGAGCTCGTCGACGGACATGGTGGTAGAGAGTCGGCGTGGATCAGAAATTCAGGAACAGGGGCGGTGGCAATAGGTCGAGGCTGTGATTCGATAGGGCGGTTTCTACACGATGAGCAGAAAGTGTGCCTGCAGATGAACTCTAGTTATCAACGTATTCGTTCACGACACGTCTGTGTTATTACTCAGAGCCTAGTGGATGCTACTGTCACTCGAACAAGTGACGGACAGGTCGTCACTAGCCCAAAGAACAACGCATTGTTAGAATGGACAAAGAAATACAGTGCAACTACTAGCGCACATTCTGTATGGCTTCGATTCCATTGCAAGGAACAAGAAATCGGATGAGACGAAGAGAGCTCTGCAGCCAAAGATGCGCATCGATATCATGAACTTTGACAAAAGCGCGAGTCAATTGGGGTGACTTTCCTCAGTAATGAGACTACATCACAACCTCATAGCTTCGACCCAGCCTTCTCCTTCTTCTTCCTCTCAGTCTCCGCCGCAAAGCCCGCAATAGCACCCAAACTCTCCTGCGTCCTCGCCTGCTTCCTCAACAACTCCAACTCCATCCGATTCGTCTCCAGCAGCTCGCCCCTCAAATTCCTCATCATCAACTCCTTATTCGTCTTCAAACTCTCCTTCGGCAACTTCACAATTCCCCTCGCGATCTTCAAAACCTCCTCGAGGAAATTCTCCTTGGGCAGGATCTTGGTCACCAGGCCAGCACTTTCCAGTTCGGCGGCTGTCATTCGTGCGCCTCCTAGGATTAGGGCTGAGGCTTTCTGGCGGCCCATGATGCGGGTGAATGTTAGGGATGAGCAGCCTTCTGCGCAAAGTCCCCACTGCGCGAAGGGAGTGAAGAAGAAGGCATCGGGGGCGGCGTAGACGAGATCGGAGAGAGCAATTGAGGAGGTTCCCCAACCTGGCAAGATTATCAGTCTTAAAGGCTCGAATAGACGATAAAAGGGATTTGGGGAAGAGAGTACATACCAGGAGCTGGGCCATTCACGGCAGACACAACGAGCTTATTGGTGTTGATGATAGCCTCGTGGATTTTGCTACAACACCGCATTTTAGCAACATCCCACACCAAAGAACCTTGAAATCAGACAACGCTTACCCCAAAATCCCAATAAACTCATCATTAATCGTCGCCCCTTCCTGCTGATTACTCTTATCCAACAAGTCCAACCCAGCCGTATAGAACTTCCCTTCGCCCGTCGTGACAATCACCCTCACATTGTCCGCTGCTTCAGCCCATTGCAACGCGGATAGAACATCCTTGAGCACCGCTACGTTCAGGGCGTTGGCGGCTTTTGGACGGTTATATTTGATGATGGCGATGGCGGAGCTGTCGATGCTCACGGCTACGTTGTCCAGTTGCGGGGGTGTTGAAGATGGCATTGTGGAGAGCAGTTGTAGGCGCGGTATAGATGGCGGTCGAGGGATATGCCTTAGGCCAGTGCTTGATCGTCTCAAGAGTCGGAGGAACATGCAGATGTTGATATGGTCTGGATTAATGAACTACTTTCCTGAGCCGAGGTTGTAGAGTGGGAGCGTCAGACAACGGTTAAGACTGCAGTCTCGAGTTATGAGGACAGGTCAAGTTAACGTTTGGCATTCACCACATACAGGTTGCTTTGAAAATAGGAACGGATTTCGAGAGAATGCCACATCGGAGAGGGGAACAGACCTGCATTCGAGGTGAAGTCGCGCTCGGTCGGGCCGAGCCTAAAGACCACTCCATCACCAAATACTCCTACGTAGCAATCTACAAGACGATCGTGCCATCAGCTCTTGATACCACGATTCAGCTTCTCGAAAATATCAAGAACTGCCGCTCCGCCACCCTCTTCGTCGTCGTTCCTCTGCCTCCCTCTCGACCCAGACCGATGGCCCTGACGGCTGGCACTGCGTTGGGACCTAGCCACTGCCTCTTCTTGCTCCTCTTCGTACACTTGCTGCGCACGCTCGTAGGCCAGCATTGCAGCTTCGTCTTCAGGTCTGATAGACTCTTGAAGCGCGCCGAGATCTTCATCCTCCCCTTCGTCTTCCTCGTCCGAACCAGGGGGCGAGTCAACGACTCCAAGTTCAGGAGATTTAAGTAGTCGACCAGGTGGCGATTGAACATCATCGCGGCCGCTACGATCTGATTGCGCAGATGCGATCCTCGACAGTGAGCTGCCACGGGCGTGGTTGGGCATGTTTTCCGAGCTTCGACTTCTGTAGCCAATAGCTTCTGCGACCCTTCTTGCTTCGTCGTCTTCATCACCAGCCTTTGACATTTCCCCAAGAGCTCCAAGGTTGGAAGACATGATGGACATGCGGTTGTTGACATCAAGCAGGTGCCCTCCCTTGCCTCTAGGAGCATCCTCGGACTTATCTAGGATATCCCTATATCCGCCACGAGAAGGATCCTGTAGGCGTTTCTTCTTCTTCGCCTCTCGCTTGCTACTCGGCCGCACCACGATGACCGGCACCGGTGAATATTGCAGGCAGTACTTACTGACACTCCCAGAGCTCAGAAGACCTTGGTAGCCCGTCAGACTCCGTCCTCGCGTTCCAACGACCAGGATCGCAGGCTCATATATCCTTATCATTTGCTGGATCGTGTCATGGACCTTGCCAATACTGAACTCCAGTACCAGCGAGATGGCACGATCGTCAGTGTTCTTCTTCTGAATCTCTTCCATGAATTTGGCCGCCTCTCTACGGTAACCCTTCTCCCCTTGACCAGCGCTCCATTTTGTCGCCTCTTTGCTGTCCTTCTCGACCACCCTCAGGCAGACCACCTCGTCACCATCATCCACTAGCTCATCGATCAACCACTCCAGTGCCGTATCGCTATAGTCGTTTGTGTCCGTGCCGCACAGGAAGGTCCTGCTCCGCTTCGTATAGACGTAGTCTCTGTGTTTCCGATTGAGAGTCAAGCTGAAGTCACTGGCCGCAGGGTTGGCAAAGGTGTCGAAGCTCACACTCGGGCGAAACTGAGGTGGTGGTGGCGGGCTACTCATCCGCCGTTGCCCCATTGAGTTGCGAACCGAAGTCTTGCGTTGAGTGGGAGGTTTGGCGCTGCTGCTGCGAGAACCGGTGTCTTTGGCGTGAGGCACGAACTGAACACTTGCTCGGCGCTCGGAGGGTCGTTGCCCGTCGATGGTAATGGTAGGACGGCGCCAGGGTGGCACGAAAGTGGAGGCTGCGTTGGCGGCGGAGGTGGTGCTGTTGGACGAGGCGTTCTCGAGTGGTGCGTTGGCCATGGAGCGGTCTGGCAGAATGGTCGCGGTGGCTGGATTAGTCGGTAGTTGGGAGTGAGGAGAGGGCTCAATACTGCCATTGGCGTTGACGGGCGTGCCCGAGCGCGGCGATGGCTCAGCAGACATGCTGGCAGATAAGGGAGATGCGGCGAGGTCGATTGGTAGAGCGATTGGACATGTGATGCTTGGCGAGTCGCTCAATGGCGAGGTATGTGGAACCAGAGATGGTTGGCGCTGTCGTTAATGATAGATGGTAGTGATTGTTGTCGGTATGAAGCAGTTGGCGAGAGATAGCGAGAGCGGGGAGTGCAGCAGTACATGAGCCAAGCTCGGCGGGTGCTGCGACTGGACATGGAGACGATTGCGGGCAGAAGGTGGAGGTGGAGATTCAGGTGTGGTGTCTGACTCGCGCGCAACAACTTTAATCAAATGCCAGCTAAGCCTCCAATCAAAACTACCCGTGGATAGGCGTCGGGCCAGTACACTCAAACCCGTCTGGGTCATCGACATTGTCGCAGAGATACTGCGGCGTCTCTCCGTCTGGCACTGTGACATTCACATCCTCGATGTCCACGTCCTGACAAGGCGCCGCCCCGGAGCACTGCAGACTGACCACTGCATCCGTCGACAAACTGCCCGTCACATTGCGAATTTGGAGATTCGACACCTGAAACTCACTCGTCTCACATGCTGGACTGCTGCCAAAGTATCCGTAGCAGCTCGACAGCTGGAAGACGCTTTGAGAGTCGCCCATCTCCAAGTCCTCCAGCAGGAAGTTCTCGATCCTTCCCAGGCCTCCGCCTCCTCCATTGGGTGGTATCCCGGTGTTCGTCCCGCTCCAGATCTTCGCATATGCTGCGTACCACGTTGCCTGGATTGTTTTGATCCTCCGCCCCGTCACATTTACAATCTGCGTGTACGCTCCGGGATACTGTCCAATCGAGCCGAGGGCAATGCCGATTCCACGGTAGAAGGTTAGATCTTCCATCAAGACTGCCACGCAGGAGGGTGTTAGCCATGTGGTACGGCAAGTCTCGCATACGCTTCTACCCTTCAGACTTACTGTTCGTGCTGTTGTCCTTTTGGGAGATGGCATCGTCGCCATTGTCGATGACCCATCGAGCAAACGTGATATTATCAGACCAGAGGGTATCTGCACCATCCGTATTTTGATTGAGTCGACGGGCCTCTCCGTCGCCACCACCTGTCCAGGACGAGTTGACGTAGATGTCCTGGAGGAGGACGTTATGGCTCCATTCCAAGGTCATGGTCCACATCTGAGATTGGATGAAGCGCATGCCTTCAATGACAGAATTGTTCAGTCCGCGGAAGGTGATGGCGTGCGGCCGGCCTGGATAGTTGTTCTGACTTCCTACCGCCTCATACCACGTCTGGCCGTTTCCGTCGAATGTTCCATATCCGTTGCCGTGCCACCACACCTGTTCGCCTCCAAAGAAGAAGGCAGAGCTCTGATTCTGGAAGCCAATAGGGATAGAATGACTGAGCCAGTAGTCGATATCCTTCGACCAGACGAGCGTACCGCGAACATCCACCTCAACATTGTGCAGGTCCGTAATCGTCATCACGCTGTTGACGTGGTAAGTTGTATTGTCGAAGACGACCTTTCCGTGGCGGCCGCATGTCTGGAAGGCCTTGATGATGAATGGCGCAGCGTCGCTGCCGTTCCCTGGGTTGTGGACATGGCAAACATTTGGCCTGCTCCAGGGCGGTTGAAAGTGCCAAGGTCCTCCTGGGTAATGATGCGGTGCTCGACCGTATGGGACTGGCTGGTAGTGGTCCTGAGAAGTCGCGAATGCACTGGCCAGTCCAGCCAGAGCTGTGATTACAGCGGTCCTGATGATGGCCATTGTGATAGATTCGCCCGGCCTCGTTCCTATTCCGTACAGCTTTCGATCATATTTAAATGTTGCTCAGTTTCTCCACATCCCGTCCAGCTCTGCCAAAGTTGCATGTACTCCAAAGCCAGTCATTCCTTCATCCGTATTCGAGAGGGGCTTCAGGATGATCATCAGCGGTGCAAGCGACTTGTGCGAAGTCAAACTTTCTGTGTATGCAATAGTCAGTCTGCATTCCTTTCGTCCTTGTGACTGACCTGCATGGCCAATATCAGAGAGAGTTGAAGCTGCACTTCAAGACTGGCCGCCAATGACCTCGTTTCGACATTACTGTACGCAATTATATACTCGCTGCCTGCTTCCACAACGTGATATCGCACCGTCGCCACATCCAATAAAACACCATACCCTAGACCCAGTTCCCGTTTTGTCTGTCCGCGTAAGGAGCGCTGCCGTTCAAAGAAGCTCCCAAATTCGTTAACCCAACCAGCTCCGCCGCAATGCAAGTATCTCAAAACACATTCAAATTCGTCGCCCCTTGACTTCTCATCACCACAGACCCGCAACGCCAGTGAACCAGCCAAAACTGAGGACGGTCACACCCGCCATGGCGAATATGGCGAACAGAGTCTGCCTCTCGGCTGCGGTGAGAGCCGAATTACATGTCGCGCAGACCCACTCGGCCATTGGCGTGTAAGGCTGAGGCGAGTACATGCCGAAGGTGAACTGGTTGTATGTGCCGAGATATCCGGCCATTGCTGTGGCGCTCACATCCTTGGCCGCATCGTGGATGATGAGAGTATAAGTTTCGGTAAGCAGAGGGACAGTAGCGCTGGCTTGGTATGCACCAGTATCCCAAATGACCGTTTGCTTTGGCCCGTCGATGGTCTGGTTGAGTGCAATAGTGTACGTCTCTTGATTGAGGCTGCATGAAGCCAGAATGTCGACCGCCGAGGGAGTAACGGAGAGGGAAGTGTAGTTCCAGGCGAAGGTGATGAAGTTGTTGATCTTGAAGTAAGACGATGTCATCGCATTGGGCGTGATCATAGAGACGCCACCGGCGGGCAGCCGTGCGTCGAAAGTCTTTGTGGTTTGCGTGCCCGATTTGGTACCGCTGCCCTTGCTGGAGCCCGTCTCTTTTGCAGTGCCAGTGGTCTTCTCTGATCCTGTTGCAGAGCCCGTCTTGCTCCCCGAGTCGGTGGTTTTACTATCCGAGTCACTGGTGGCCGTGGAGTCGTTGCTATCGGTGGTTGAGGAGTCGTTGTTGTCGCCGGTGGAAGTTTCCTCTGCCGAGCTCTCTGTTGTGGCCGTGTTGCCCTGCCTGCTGCTGTATGAGAGATCGAAAGAAGTCTTGTCGTCTTGTCTCTTCAGGATCGGTGCGACCTCTTGCTTCAAGGCCTCGAGCGGCTCCCATCCTGAAGGCCACGCCGACGAGACGGCGGAGAAAAGGAGGACGGAGGTGAGGAGCTCGGCGGGCCGCATGGCGACTGGACGAATACGTGTAATATGCTTAGAGGAAGAAGAAAATATCGATGGAGCTGTTTGCAATAATTTCGATGTCGATATATCGATGGAATGTGGTGTTCCTGGCAGTGGATGCAAGCTGTCGCGTCCGTCGTACCGGCCGAATTTGGATGAGCGAGCGGTGCGGTATGTGGAAGTAGCGATGGATAGCGAGCGACTGTATCGGCTGTCACGCGTGACTGCAAGATGCGATGGTTGTTGATGTGGAAGCGAATGTCGTGGTAGTTGTGGTAGGCGTGGTGGTGGTGGTAAGGATGAAGTGAGAGCGAGGATGCCGCACCTTAACGGTCGTGTGGTGTGTCTCAAAGGAGGCGTTACGCTAATTTTAGCAGTGGCAACCGTTAGCTCAGCAACACTAAACTCTATTTCTTGCACTTCAACTACACCTCCAACTCACGCTCTTACGATCTACTATCTTCCAGCGCCTGTTCTGCAAAAGCCCGTCTCCAATACCTCGATGGATCTAAACACCCTCCGCAACACCGTCGAACCTGCAAGACCGTGACAATGACCGTCAGCGCAGCCATGCCGCCAACAAAGCTCTCCTCGTGTCAGCGACTAACTGGCTGTCTGAATCGCCAATAGATGGTGTCGAACAGCCAGAGGAGCATCGCTGACATTGCCGCCAACTCTGCAACAGTTTCAGTATTTCTACGCTGTCCTCCGCAGAAAAACCCACTGCGACCAGTACATAGCTGTGATAGCAATCAAGCAAAAACCACGATACTTGAATCAACATACATTTGGTTTGGGGCGCCAGAAACCCTTCAATGGCTTCGATGTGAGATCAATGTGCACGTGTAGGAGATAAGACATAGTCGTCATCGTTCTTTCTCCATCTATACTCAGTGGTGTTTGCTCCTTTCAAGATAAACAATCGTGTGCCGAAAGGTCCGTGCTCATAGCCTACAATATTTGATTTCGCTCTCTCCAGGTTGGGCTGCGACGCTTCCAGGCGAGATCGTTGGTGTTCGACTGGGAATGGCCAGTTGTCGATGATCCTGCGTGCTCAGGAAGCTGGGGTTATGAAGGTCGACTGCTTCAGTAAATACAATGACTTTAAAATGCAATCCGAAGTCTTCATTCATGACCTCCCAACGCCAACGCTCAACCTATGCAATCTCCGCCGTTATGCATCCTTAACTGAAGACGTTTCCCATGTTGTGCTCCCTGATATACTCGCCACCCTTCTCCGCAAACTCCTCCCTTGTTACAAACGCCTGTCTGCTTTCTCTCTCCCCCGCCCAGCTGGCAGCACCTTTCCATGCATCGAGAAGGGGATCCTTGGCTCTCCTCACGCCCAGCTGCACGTCAGCTGGCAAGACAGCCCTCAATTCACTCTTCAGCCTCTCTTCAAAGCCTTTGAACAATGTATACCCTCCAGTGATGAAAACGTCCTTGAGAATGGCGTCTCGTTCAGAATGGCCAGAAAGCCGACCCATTAGAATGTCTTCGGCAATCTCCACAATACCGGCTTGATCAACACCTGCGATACTTGGCTGGAAGACGACTTCTGGCACTCGGATCCTCTCGACGTTGAGATGAAACTGGTTGCTTTCCCTCGCACTCTCGGGATCGAATGGCCAGGGTCCCCGGGCAAAAGCGTGCAGTAAACTCTTTGTCCAGTCTTTCTGTGCCTCTTGAGTGCTTTGCTCAGTGAAATCCGGATCGAACTTAAGCAGCTGCGACTCGATGCTTTTCAGTTGCGCTCCGAGATCTTCTTCCTCGTCATCTTCGTCATCATCATTACGCCCTTGCTGGATTTCGCGGTAGATCATCCAATCGGCATCATCGGCGCCAAAGCCATCGTCGTCGTTACCGCCTCGCCGACGCTTCCGACCATGAGGATTGTCGGAGGCGAGGTTGGCGATGTGTTTCATACGCATTTGTGACGCTTGAGACTTGCGGTTGCCCAAGTCTGCCTTGAGACGTTCTCGTTCCTTCATACGCTGGATGACCTCCGAACGTGCTGCCCTCCGCTCTTCGACCCAACTGTCCAGGTCGGCCTCTCGACGAGCGTCGTCAAGCCTCTGAATCTCCGCCTGCCTGGCCTTTTCAGCTTCCTTCTCAGCCTTAGCACGGGCCCGGGCGTCGTGATTGCTCTTCAGCAGACGTTGCTGACGCTTCTGCTTCAGTCCGTCCTCATCCAGCTCCTCATCTGGCACGTCCAGCAGTGGATACGAAGGAGGTTCCTCTGGCTCCTCTTCAAGGTCACCAACATCTTTGTTTCTCTGCTTTCGGATGCTCTTCTCCATTTCTTTGATCCTCCTGTCCAGCGCGAGCTCGTCCTTGAACTCTTCCTCGTCTAGGAGCAGTCTGGCTTCCTTCTTTGTGGTTTCGGCAATCTGCTGCTGCAACTGCTTGAAGTACTCCAATTCCTGCTCCTTTCGTACCAGCTTCTCCAACCGCATCTTCGCCGCCTGCTCTTGCAGCCTCCTTCCAGCCTCTTTTCTCTTCTCCTCCGCGATCCTCAGCTCTTCCTCGGTCTTCTGAACGACCTCTTTCTCCTGGAATGGCAATTGTACGATGTGATCTCGGTCCTCAAGCCCACTCCACTCCAAGATTCTCTGTGCCTCTTGGTCGTAGTCCTGACTGACATAGCAATGGCTTCTCACCAGGTCTTCGATTTGCGTCTCATTGACCTTGCCAGATGTGAGCAAGCCAGGGTATTTCGCCTTGAGCAGTCTCGTGAGATATTCACTGCACTGTGACCGGCCCCAGTCCAATCTGGTCGCGTGTGCAATCAAAGGCTGTTGATTCACCACAGGTATCAGGTGCGTGCTCATGTGGGCACTACTGACCACCAAGCCCGTCTTCCCCTCATTCTGCCTGTAGCTGAATAGTGAATCTACGCCGTACGCAACGCTGGGTACTCCGTACAATTCAAACAGTATCTCGCTCATCGTCTTGCGCGAATAGCCCAGATTCGCCAGGGGCTCTGTCATGACCACCGGACGATCCACAACGCCATTGGTGCCGTCTATACCCAGCTTGATGAAGATGTAGTCCAAGATGCCCTCCTGCACGTCCCAGTTGTTGATAATGTTGCTCCCAGGCTCATACAAGTTCTTTGCTTGGCCACGCGCTGTGCCGTCGAAGTAAATCTCGGAACCGACAAAGGTGAGTTTTCGATTGAGCTTGCGGTCGGTGTAGCGTGCCATGAACGGTGGGAACTGGAGGCGCGGAAGGGTATCGGTCTGCCATCCTGCGCGGATGGAGGAGCTGCCATTATCGATCACGATGGCGGTGTCGGGCGTGCTGGAGCGGTAGCCTGAGTCGTCGGTCGCGAGTTGGCCGCGGTAAGGCGGATCGCTGACATTATAGACGTGAGCAGGAGGCGGTTTGGGGGAGTTACGGCCAGACTGCGACTCGATTGGGACTGTGTAGTGAGGCATCGTGACGGAGAGGCGTTATGACATGGCTTGGGATATGGTGTTGACGGTGTGATGGAGATGGGGAGACGATGCAGCGAGTCGAGGCGTGTGGTGGTGGTGGTGGTGGTGGATGGTTGGATGGATGGATGGCTGCGCTTGAGCATGTGTCGGGGACATGAAGCAGAGGAATTAAGCTCCAACATCCCTGCCGACGATCGCGCTAGTCGACGGCCAGCTGACCAATCAGATACCTTCAATCCAACGTCACGACTACACTACCCACGCTGCACAATACAATAAACCTCCCCTTACGGTTGAGATACATCTACATTGACGCCACCCCATGCACCGCCACGAAGACAATTACATAGTGCATCTCCCCAAGCTCACAGCCGCGACGGAACGGGCGCCTTCTTGACGTCTTCCACGACCTCAGCAGCACACCTCGACCCGGATCGCAACGCCCCCTCCAAGTACCCCTTCCAGTCGTACGCCAGCTCTCCGCCCGCGAAGTGGATGTGGCCAAAGACCTCCCTCAACGCGTCACTGTACTTGGCATAGTCTCCTGTCCGCATGGTGCTCGTCGGGCCGCCTTCGATGTACTCCTCCTTTAGCCACTCTTTCTGATTGATCTCGGCCACATCCAGCACGGCACCTCTATGCTCCTCGCCCACGAGCTCCACCAGGTGTTCTAACACTGCTGTCTCCCGCTGCAATGACGAAAGCTGACCGAGCGACGCGGCCGAGTCCCCATGCGAGAAGAGGGCTAGACTGTAGTGCTTCCCGGCAGCTTTGTCCGAAGTATCCCAGCTGAAATTGATCGGGCCCTTGACGCTGAAGAAGGATCCCACGAGGCCCAACTCACGCCACCATGGCCTGGCATAGGTCAAGATGATCTTGATGTAGACTGCCGGCTGCGTGCGAGTCACAATGGCTCTTTTTGCCAAAGGAAGCGGTGGCGTGAAATGGATTTTGTCGTACGTTTGCGTTGGAATCGCAACGACCACCTTGGAACACTGCACAGCCAAGCCGGCTGTTGTCTCGACGATAACACGTCTCTTGGCATGCTGTACGATGGATTGCACCGGACTGTTCAATAAAACCGAGCCAGGAGGCAATGTCCGGGCCAGACCGTGGGCGATGGCTGATGTACCCTGCTTCACCTTCAAAGATTGTGCCCCGTCCTCACCTTCAGACGCCAGCGAAAGGTAGCCATTGCCAGACTTAATATAGTCAAGGACGTAATGCAGTCCGAGATCTCGGCTTTCGCGGCCTACGATCGCCGCGGTGAAGTGACGCATGGTTTGTTTGGCCCATTCGCTGAAGTTATTGGTTTGCAACCAGTCCTCGACGCTAATATCATGATGCTTTGATGCGGCGCTTGGATTGTTGCCGTCGATTTCGCTTTGTGCTTTTTCCAGAGCCTCGATAAGCTGCAGGAGATCAGCTTCGGCCCCGTGGCACTTGATGGGCGACTAATGTTTCTCATGCGTCAGCTCGATCTGTTGGAAGTATACACTCTGGTCCCGACTCACCACCGCAATTGTATCCCTGGGAACGGGCCATGTAACGCCTTCGGCTGTTTGCCAGATTGTCGCACCGACCTCGTACTGACGATACACTTCCAGTCCGAACTTTTGCGTGAGCGCATAGATCTTGGGTTGGGTGGTCTTGTTGATCCATCCTGCACCGAGCTCGACCACGCCTTCTCTACTCTTCAATGGAACCGAGTGGCCTGCCCCCAATGCGAGACTTTGCCTCGAGCACAAGAACCTTCAAGCCGGCTTCGTGAAGGTCTGCTGCAGCTTGAATCCCACTGAAGCCGGCACCTACGACCACAACGTCGCACTGGAGGGATCCAGAAACTTCGGGTATTCCCTTCTGCTGTTCCGGCTCGCGCCAAATATTCGCTTTGCCTGGAAGGACCGCCGTCGCCTCAACTTCAAAGCGAGCTTGCGGAACGGCGAGTTTCGGAACCAGAATCAACGTCATGGTAGGACGGGCCGTGACTCCATACGTTGTTTGCAGAAACTCCACTATAGGCTCAGCCAAGATCTTGGCGTTTTCATAGTCGAAGTCCACGACCAGAATGGTCAGCTTGACCAGGTCGCGAATTGTTGCGCCGCCGGCTTGAAGAACCTTATCGACGTTGAGGAGTGCTTGCTGGACTTCCTTTCGAGAATCTTGCGGTATGGAGCCATTTGGCAGGATGCCGACTTGACCTGCTGCTATGACAGTGCGGTTTGGCCCATCGAAGTGCACACCTTGCGAATAGAGGTCCTGTGTAGGAAGATCGGAAGGATCGAAGAACGTGGGGCGAGGCATGTTGACGATGTTGAGCTGTAAGTTTCGTGAGTGTAGAGGTCGTGTGCTTGCTTGGTATATATGAATCCGAGGGAGGCCGCGGCATGCGGATGGGTAATACGTACCTATCTCTGCGCTTAGATTAAGACCTTATCTAAACGACAGCGGTGGCTTTGACAGAAGCGTTCGACTTTCGACTGTACCCAGCCCTGCTTTGCCGATAAGGTTTGGATCACGGTTCTGGATGGATGTTTTCTGAAGGAATCGAGTTGAGCTCACGTCAATTGGGTGACTTGGAGGCTGACAGGTACGTTCAAACATCGACTTTGAATGACATTGCATAGAATTTTGACATAGCTAGCCCTCAGCGCCTGTCTGCTGGATCGCGACCTCAGAAATGCCTAGTCTGCCAACATTGCGGCCATATTGTGTACTGGAGCGCCGTACTGGTTCTTTGCATGAAACCACCAATTTACCAGAGCTATAACCAAGGCAATGACCACTACGACACAAGCATAATCTGGGACGACAATCAGTGTTTTGCCCATGCAAGACATTGCATTCACATACTCATTGACTCCGACGTAGCAGGTACAGCCAGCGGGAAATTGGAGAAAACCGCAACTACCACTGTGAATACAACGGTGAGGATGTTGACCAGCCACCCAAGAACCCCCGGGAGCCGAAAAGGCCGCTCAGGGGGTAGAAGTTCCGCCGACCGTCGTTGATACAGAAGAAGAGCAATGGGTATCATGTACGAGATCTGTTGGAATGTGACTGCCGAGCCCAGGAGGGCATTGAACGCTAATCGAAAGTCAGCCCGCGAACATCTCTTAATCATGGCCGCAGAATAACGGGCACCTGTGTCGGATATAACGTATAAAACACCACAGAGGGATACGATTGCCCAAGTCGCGAGGGACGCATAGAGAGGGACCTGAAGCGTTGGGTGTATGGTCATGAGTATCTCGGAGCAGATGAAGCCGTGGTCTCGTGCAAAGACCCATGTTAGTCTGGATGCTGTCTCTTGTGCGGCGGATAATATGCTGATTGCCATGACGATCATGGCGCAGGTAATTCCAGTGGCCATGGGGAGCGAGCGCCAGCCCATGATCTGCACATTGAGGGGAAGGTAACTATGATCATGTAAGTGTCAACTCGCAATGCGACCATCCCAGGACTTTCACTGACCCTTGACTGTTGATCAAAGCTTCGGGATCAGGAATTGCGTACACGACTGCCATGGTATAGCTAAATCCCGCTATGAAGCCCATTGCGATCGTCGCCATAATGATCTTCGGCACTGTGCGCTTTGGCCCTGTGCATTCTTCCGCCATGTGAGTAGCAGCGTCCAAGCCGCAGTACATGAAGCAAAGACTCGACATGCCCGCGAGGAAGCTGATGCCGTCCGGCCAGCCAGTCACGTCGGTATAGTCGACCCAAATGACTTCGTTGCTTGCCTTGGGCTTCGAGCGAGCGAGATAGCATATGAAGTTGACTAGGAAAAGCGAGAAAGTCTCGACGACTGTATAGGTCAGTATACGTCTCACTCGAAGCCAAGAGTCCACGGTGACTGACCTCCAACGATATGCAACCACGCGAAACGCTTTAGTAGGAGCACACCTGCCAGCAGCCCTATCAAAACCAAGCCCTCATAGATCAAAAACACTTGCCATCGTTGAGCCACGTATGTCGGGTGGTACACCGAGGCAAGAGCAGTAATATATTGCGACGGTATCATTGCAATTGCAGCGCAAATACCGATCCACGAGAATACCGTGACCAGTCCCGCTGTATAGGACAGTCCACGTTCCCAGCCGGCTGGTGCGAGGATTGACGCATAATGGTACTGACCTCCAGCGGTGGGATACACAGATGCCAACTCGGCCAGAGACGCTCCAATACAGATGAAGATGAGGGTTGCTGCTATGATGCCGTATACCAGAGCCGGAACACCGCCTTCGTACAGGGCGAGCTGGAGTGTGCCAGAGACGGAGGTCCAGCTGTTGCAGATGGTGAATGCCAACGCAAAGAGGGTGGATGGGCCAAACTGCTTCCGAGTGGGCTGTGACGTAGTGATGCTGCCTTTGTCAACGTCCGGGATTTGGTCGAGGCTGGAATCTCGTCGTGGCTTTCCTTTCGACATAGTGGCCTTCTCGCTGAATCTTGACTTTCTTGCGGGACGTCTTCTGATTTTGATATATACGCCTCTACGCCCTCCTCATGGGTCGACGCACGTCACGCTACTGTGGCTGCTCATCCGCTCCCAGCTGATTCACCCCGCATCCCCTCTTACCACATGGAGTCAATATGTTAACGCCTTATCTTATCTAAACGCTAGCGCTGCCGTTCTTGTATAAGGCTGCGAGGACGCTAAACCTGAGAAAGCTTCGAAGGAGGCAATCTGGGCGGGCCCTAAACTACGTGCACCAGTACATGTACAATGTCATAAATGGGGCACGTCCATTCCGCCCTCTTATCTAAACGACGCTTCTGCCGGCCCTCCCTTCCTCTCAGTTCTGTCTTGTTTCCCCGATAGCCTCTGTACAGCCGCCATCGTTCTCTTCTTGCCCCGCTCTGCTCGGCATGGCGCCTAAGCCGCCAGGAGTGCCTTTCCCCAAGCAGTTCAGGCGAAAATACACTCGCAGTAAAGGGGGCTGTTTAGAGTGTCGTACCCGTCGGAAGAAGTGTGACCAGGTCAAACCCATCTGCACCTCTTGTGCAAACAAGGGGTGGAGCTGCTTCTGGCCAGGCCCATCGGCAGACGGACAAGACTCTAGATCAAAATGCGAGCCAGCAGCGACTAACAATACTCCTGTCGCCAGTGAATGCCGCATGCGAGCGTGGCCGGTCCATCTTAGTGCATCAATGCTCGATGCGAGACTCGTCTTGCAATCACCCGCTTCCTGGCGACTCTTCGAGAACTATATCTTCAGCACCAGCAGAATGATGTCTACGCAGGCCGCCGACCGAAACGGTTTCATTACCACTCTTCTGCCAGCCGCCAAAAGGGACGAGATGACCATGCATGCAATCCTCGCTTTGAGTGGAGCCCAGCTCAACTATCAGAACGAGGCCGCTGTGGAGATACAACAGTCTGCCGCACGGCACTATCGGCTTACTCTGAGAGGCCTCCGGGATGCAGTGGGTAATGTGTCAGCATGTACGACAGGCGCTGAATGGTTAAGGCTGAGCTTGGTCTTGACTGTACTTTGTCTTATCGAGGTGAGTGCGAGACGACTGGTGTCGCTGACAGTCCGCACTAATCAATATTTTAGGTGCTCTCTGGCCAGCCTGACGGGTCCATCTTTCTGCATCTACGTGCGCTGCGGCATTTCGTTCTCAAGATTCCGCCGCCGACTTCCTCAGCGCAGGGTGATCTTCAAAGCCAGTCACAACGAATATTTGTCCTTGAAGCATACGCCTACTACATTATAGCCTCCAACATCGTTCCATATGGCCTCATGTCTGAGCGTTATGTGCCATACGACTCATTCATGACTGACCTGGGATACATCAAAGAAGCCGAAAGCAGTGGAACGTTCTTTTGCTGTGGGTACAGCCTTTTCGAACTCATTGCGCCGACAGCATCATTGGCCGCTCAAATCGTGGAGCACCAGGAACAGAACTCTGACCACTTGAAAACGAAAGTTTTGGCTGGATATTCATGTCTGGTGGATCGTGTCTTGCTCGCACAGTATCCTTTTGGAGGACATGTTGATGCTGTCAATAACACGGCTCAGCGTCGTGCCGGCGAACTGTACCGCACTGCACTTCTGATCTGGCTCAAGATTGCAATTTGGGAACTCCATCCAGAAGGGGAGTCGCTGCTTGCCCAAACTCAAGAGCATGTTGACCTGTCTCTGGGATTGCTAGAATCCGTGCTTGTCTCTTCATATGGCACCATCGCTCTTTGGGCACTAGTAGTCATAGGTTCTTGTCTAACGCGCCAAGCCGATATCGATCGGCTCCGAAAAATATTGTCGAGAGCTACAAAGTGGCGGTTGACTGTTGTGCAGACAGTGCTGCGTCTTCTCGACTCGCTCCACGCCGATTCCAAGGGGGAGATCGCTGGCCCACGTGGACTGATGAGAGTAATGCAGGATCAAGGCATCAATCTTTGCATGGCTTAGCTGGAGTAGTTGGAGATGAGAATTGTATCGATAATGACTGGCTCGGCCACCACTGGGATAACACGATTGTAAAGTCGAAGAAGCAGTTGCACCACCATTGGGGTTTGACATTATGCTACCCATCAAATGGAATACGGATACATTATTGAATGACGTCCTTTTGAGATCAAAAGCTCTGCTTTGTTTCCCTCTCTATGAGTAGTATCTTTTGGACTATCTGCACTTCCTGTTCCAGACTAAGAGGCCACTGACGTTTTATCGACGTTCCATCTGAATCCTTCCCAAACATAAGCCGCTCTGCAGCAGAATGAGACTCATTACTTCGTGCCTCAAGCAACCTGTCTCATGACATCACCTTCCGCATCTGACACCTCAATAGTGGGTATAGGAGGCATCTCGTCAGCACCCTTTCGCGCCGTATGTCCTGTCGATCCAATCTTCTGAGAATCGGGCTCCTTCTCAATGTCGCTCTCAGCTTTGCTACCCTCTCTACTCGGTACAGAGGGTATGTCATCTGAGTTCTCCAACACACCAACCGTGCTCTTCCGATTTCTGCTAAGTTCCACAACACGCGGTCGGAGAGGTTGTTTGAACGAACTCGTGGCCACGGCTTTCTGCACGCGGCTCCTCGCGCGACTCACTGAAACTTGACGTGCCACCGAGACTTGTACAATCTGCCTTTCCAGATCTTTTGGAGACTTCACACGAGGATATGGTTCGGGTGCTTTGCCTTTGCCTTTGCCGGTCTCTGGTGTCGGTCCTGGAGGAGAGACGACCTTGACTGGAACGGAGGTGATCATGTCCCATGCCGGCTCGCTTTGCTCAAGCTCCTTATGAATCGATTCTCTGTCCGTGCAGGTCGTAACGGTTGTTGGCGTCGGGATCGAAGCTTCGCTGAAGAAAGCCGAGCCAGGCGATTCAGGGGAGCTCTCGAGTGTGCTTTTGCGCTCTTTGAAAGCGGCGGTGACGGGCGAGACTGCACCAGGGGGTGCCGTGTTGGAGCGTACCAGTGGCCTGGGTCGGTGAATCGCCGTCGAGGGACCCTGCGCTGTCATTCCCTCGATCTCGACATTTCTGCCCTCCACTTTAATCGACAGCGACCGTGACAGATGAGGGGAAGTCAGGCTGCGTTGTGGTATTGCTGAGATGTGAGTCGAGATACGCAAGTCCTCACAACTTTCTTCATCTGTAGCTGGTCTCTTGCCTGATTTCTTTCGTTGTAGTCGAGACTGTCTCCGTTCAAGCAACGACGGCTTCGAATCGTTCGAAAGCAGCTTCTCAAACATGACGCTGTACCTCTCAAATTCGGGTCTTTCAAATGTCACTTCCAGCCTTGGCGTTCGCGCGATCGACAAAGCCTCCATGCCCTTGTTGTCTGACGATATTGGCGAGTCGTGGCGATCCTGCTCTTTGGGAGAGAAGATATCTTCAGAGTCCTGATATCTATGTGTTTTGAGGCGAGGAGATGGTGTCGAACTTCCACGAGTGTAAGGCACACGACTGATTCTGGCCTTCAGTGCTGGCATGAAGGAGGTGCGATCCACCTCACTGCGAGATTCGGGTCGTGTCTCGCCTTGATGAAGGGAGGGTGACCCGGAATGCATTCGTCGATGTTGTTTGTTCGAGACAGGCTTCGGCGAGGGGAGCACAGGCGACGGTGCTTCCGAAGGAGCCAACGTGCGGATGATGGGAGAGCATGGTGCTGGTGGATCGCCAGGTGAGGTTGGCCGCTGCGCTTGTGTGGACTTGGACGTCCAGCGAAAGATGGTACCTAGGGTCTTCCAGCTCGACTTTTTCCTCCTTTGCTCGGGACTTTGATTGAGAATCACATCTTCCCCGGGAGGACGAGGTGGTGCACGATTGGGTGGTTGATGCATCCTCGTCGAGATGTGATCCGCTGTAAATGACCGGCCCCAGCTGGGCGGCGCGTTCGAGGGACTACCAATAGCAATACCAATCTTTGGACTTTCGTAGTTCTGCAGGGGACTCTCGTGTTGCTGCAACGGCGACGGAGAATGGTGGAAAGTGGCACTCCGTGGGGGAGGGGGTAGTCGAGGTGAAGGTGTGGGGAATCTGAAGGTATCCAGGCCGTCCTTATACTCAAGCGTCTGGCCGACCAGGTGGAGATCCTCGCTACATGTTGGCTCTTTGACCTCTCTGGCCGCCGTGCGAGCCTTGGACAAGCTGCGCTTACGCTTCTCCAGCCCCGCCGCTGTATTCGGTCGCTTGCCCAGAGATTTCCTGTGTTCCGCAACCGCTTCGTCGATGGATTCGAAGACATCGCGGCGTGGTTGATGCTCAGCCACTTTGCGCTGACCCATCCTCGGACCTGCACCTTTTGGTTCGTCTTTCTTCATGCGTGCTGAGTGGGACCGCTCGAGGAATTTCATGTTGGCGGGGAACGTTCAAGTAGGAGCGGTTCGCAGAATGTCAAAGCAGTGCAAGGTTCAGAACAGCATAAGTAGAGTTGACATTTCATGCAGAACTCTCTTCGGTAGATTGCGAGCGTTTCGAAGTCTGGTGGTAGATATGTGTATAAACAGAATGAAAGGTGAGATGCGGTAGCGCTCTATCCAGAGAGTCGGGTGTCGCGGATACAACACAGTCGCCAGAGAAGGAGTGACTCTGAAACTCGAAACAACACAGCTGCGAAAGAAACCTGTTGGCAAAGAGAGGAAGAAGGGATAAGCGGAAAGCAACAGCACAGTGCTGGACGTGGCAACGTGAAGTAGGCGGGAAGACGGTGACGATGAGCAGAAACGGGTGAAATTACCTTCATTCTCTGCCCGCCGCTCGCGCAAACGAAACAGGCGCTCTTGGCGGACTCGCGAAGCGCAGTGCGTAATGAAAAGGACTCAACATGTTGCTCAGTCGCTGCAGCAGAGAGCCGCCCGGAGAGGCCAACCCGGCGCGCAATCCTGGTCTCTCATCCCACAACATCGTATCCCGGCCAGCCCTACCGCGTACGGCAGAGTCAGCGACAGAGGCTGGCTGCAAGAGGAGCAGAGCGCATGTCGTCGGCGACGCAACGCGTGGTGAGGCGTGGTCCGATTCGCAGGCAGGACGAGGAGGAGCATGTCGGTCTCGTGTGTTGGTGCTGTGTGCTCTGTTCAAACGTGGGCGGGTGGCCGTGTTGCGCTGGCAGCTGATTGCGGCAAATTCGAGGTGCGTCCAGTGAGAATATGAGGTTCGGGTTTCAGCTTGACGAGGCGTCACCCGCGCACGGACCATGCGGGAGTCGACTTGCGCTAGCGTCTCGTTTCAGCGTTTCACAGAAATCGTTCCCACGTGATCTACGATCCATCCTTGTCTGGCCATGGAGACCGATCGGTCGCGACGTGATGACCCTGAGGCACGATAACCGCAGCCGATCGGATCGGATCGCAGGGACTGGCGATAAGGAGATTGACGGCGGCACTTTGAGTCTGTATTGACCTTGCCATCCAAGTCCCTCGTACATCGTTCCCTGTATGCAAAACGCTTGCCCGCTATTGATACCTTTGAGAGAACTTTCTCTGAGGTGGTGACTCTCACCTTGATAATGTGGACGGCTCGTGTGCTGACCACAGGTTGAAAGGTGGAGATATTTTTGCCATTGAAACGATGCAGACATTTTATCAAGCTCAAAGCGTGTGAGTCTGGCCAGAAAACACGAACTTGAATCCCCTCAAAGATTAATTCCTTTGTCTTGTCGTGGGGGCTTGACGTGCGATCGAAGTCGTCCGATCGTTGATTCGAGAAAGTCGCCCTGTGTCCCTCGTCTCTTGTTTGGGAACGAATACTTGCTGTTTGGCTGCGAGATGTCAAAGAGAAGTGCAGGATCGAAGTTCACCATACCTCACTACACAAGGCGGCCTGGCGTTCGCGAAGAAGTGTGGTACGAGCTACTTGCTGGCGCAACGGTTGATATGTATTTGGGCGGCCGTCATTCCAGATCCTTTGCTGCTGACCATAGCTTCTCATCGAGATGTGTACTTTAAGTGAGCATACTGAGATGTATGGTTTGACGTTCGAAGTACGTTCGACGCGAGTCTCGCGAGCGATGAAGTTGTCGTGGCAAGATGATGTGGTTGAAGCGGATCTGGCGGGAGCGAGCCGGAAGCCGGGCCAGTAGTGTGGGGCCCCAAGCGCCAGATCTTGACCTGCAAACATCACGCCCTCTCCTCCACCTCCTCCACCTCATCTTCCATCATCAACAAGACATGACAGCCTTCATCTGCTCCAGCTCACCGCTGGTCACGACTACGATCGGCGAACTCAATGCAGACGAGCTGTCCCAAAGCCGTGTCTGCTGCAGCTGTAGCCTCCAGCCTCTTCTTTGTTGCTAGTCGTACCGAGGGCCTGGAATCACAGTCACCGCCGCCATCACCATCGCACAGGCGCTTGCCTCGAGCTCAACGACGTCTTTGAAGCCGACAAAGTGCGCCCTGGCCCGATCATCACGGCAGCCCATGGAGGACAAGAAGGTCTGTTCTATCGGTCCCGAACAAAGCAGTGATGGGGATCATGCGCCTCGGTACATGAGCCGACAGAGTGCATCGCATCTGATAGATGGCCCCGAGCTCGGTCGAACATCGTCTGTGCTTGGCGGCACCTCTCCAGGACTGGCAAGAGCGGGTCGTCTCCTGCCCTTCTTTTGGACGGTTTCTGAGGCGCATGCAAGTACTTCGGCATGCGGTTAGGTAAGTCACACACATGCAGTGCTGATCCCGCACGGCTGCCAAGTCGAGACATGTATAACTGCTTCGTGATGAGCCTTCCTTTCCCGTCTACATCATCCGCAAGAGATTCTTCGTCTTCTCTTCACTGCCATCTTCTATCTCGATGGCAGCCGCCCCGAACACGCTTGGATGCGTCGCAGCTGTCGTGTCGGCATTCCAGAGTGGCGCGGATCTCTTCCAGAGTATCAAGGATCGCTCAAGCAGGAGGAGGCGCATGAAAGAGAGTGACTGGGAGCGAGCAGTCGAAGGAAAAATTCTTCACCGATCTCTTATTGACGGCGCCGTCCAATGCCAGGCCGTCAGCGGAGAGAAATGTCGCCAATTTGGAGAGGAATTTGTCAAAGGCGACGCCGTTACCATGTCGGAGCTGCAGAATGTCATGGTGACCCTTCAGACTGAGGTCATTAGTGCTTTGCAGATTGGACGAGCTGTCCAGAATGCAACCCTGGATCTGTTGGCGCTGCACGAAGTTGTTGTCGTGAGTAAAGCCAATGCTTTGCGGGCAATGCATCACCTTTGCAAGCGCCTGATGACAACGGCGCCGCCTCAATACGGGACATTGCACTCTCCTGTTCAGTCGCCAGGTCTGGTGAGCCGCCATTCTTTCGCAGCACGTAGCGACAGTACTCACGGCTGTTCGGATTCAATGGGTGTGAGCATACCTCAAGCAGTCTCCATGCCTCCACCGGGAATACCTGAAAGAAGCCCAGCACGGATGTTGTCTCGACTCCAGCTCAAGGATGCATTTCCAAGACGCAGCTTGACAAAGTCACTAAAGGCCCGATCGTCGGCCTGGTTTCTTCAGAGTAAACGACATGTCGATGCAGAAGTGGACGACGATACCGAACGCAACAACAGAGCTTCGATACACGACTCCGCCGTGGGTAGCAGTGTTGCCTATTCACATCATCATCACTCGACAAGCATTTTATCGTCTGACCTTGATTTTATCGAGCAAAGGCGATCGTCATGCGCAACGGCAGACTCGTTTGAGCATCCTGAGGATTTCTACACCACAGCACAGTGTTCACCCCAGGAGAAAGGACACGCATCATCGCCTTCGCTTTCACGTTCGAGCAAATTTCAACCACTCTCGCCAACGCAGTACGAATTTCGAGACGACATATCAAAAGCCAGTCACGTCGCCGCCATGGAAGACCAGTGTCTAAAGCGGTCGTCTCAACAGCTGCCCGCGTCTCCCTTGCGTGTTTTCCCAATGCAAGCCATTCATCCTGCCCTCCGGTAGTCTGTACCGAAGAAGTACACATCAAGGGCTGCGACGCAAAGTTTAATCTCAACTCTCTCATCAAGCATGGATCATTGGACTGCAAGATCTCTTGTAGCTGGCCATGGACAGATCAGGTTGTGGTGGAACGCGCAGCAGTTTTTATGCGAGATCGATCCCTCTTCATCGCATCTACCAGCCGTTCTCATCGACGTCTGGAAGTTGATAGAAGCCGAACCCGAAAGCATTGTCGCCTCTTCCGTACCCGCGGGTGACCTCCGACCTATCCAACATCTGTTGGATCCACGAAGTCATATTAAGATCTCTTCGAAGAACTTTACCAGCCAACCTCAGTGGAAACAGCCAGAACAAAGCGGGAGTGCCTTCTGTGTCTCGGGTGTGACATAGCTGATGCTCGAAGCTGCACACAATCTCAAGCGCTGCTACTCGCATTGATATCATTCCTGGTACCAAGACTTCGAAGGCGGGACCTGGGTTGGATCGAGATTTAGTTGCAACATGCACAATCTGCAGTTGGGCTTCTTGCACGCTGAGCTCAGAATAGAGCAAGCCCAGAAGACAAATCAACACCGCGTTATAGAGCGATGTCTCAACGCTTTTCGCAAAGGAGCTCTGGCGAGGTGAGGCTGCAACGTCACTGCCATGACCTGGGTGACTGGCTCTAGCACTCTCCGTCCCATCGGCTGCACCACGAGACTCCCAAACCCATCGCCATCGAAAGAGTATGTCGAGCTGCTGCAGGACTCGATGTAGCAAGTCATGGCGCAAGGAGGTTTCATCACATACCCGGAGTGCTCTTTGATCTTGTAGGAACCCAGGAACATGAACCAATATGTCTACCAATTCGTCCTGGGGACACTTCGAGGCTGGATCGAGATGCCACGGATCGATTCTCCACTGCTCGTCCTCCAAGAAAAGCCTCGTCCGTTGTAGAAGACCAACAGTCACCAGAGTTGCGCGACAGCTCGAGAAAGCCGCTCGAAGGGCCGGTCGACAAAACGCCTTTGGACCGGCGACTTGAAGAAGCCTGAACAACCCCATCACATGACTTTGAGACTCTGCTTGGTCTGCGTGGGAAGAAGAGTGAAGAAGGAATATCAGTATGGGTACCAGGAGTTCTGCAAATGTTGGATCCGACGGGTTTGCCAATCCAGCTCGAACCTTGGTGATAGCTTGGCCATACAGTTCCACGCCTTCGATTTGGAGATCGTTTGACGCATGATACCGGCCAAAAGTCGTCTGTGAGAAGGCAGAGCAAGCTTGTTGCGACAGAACTCCGAGTCTACCCTGTGCGGAAAGCCGAAGCGACGGGCTGCCGTACGTGGACCATACGAAGTTCGTGAAGAGGAACGCGTATTGTATATCAGGCTTGAATGCGACCAGACTCATCTCGCGTGGGAGAAAATTGTTCTGCACTGTTGGCTCCGCCGTCACACCTCGAGACGATTGAGTAGCGATGCAAAACCCCAAGGCTCGTTCGTAGCCTGTTGAAGTGAGCCAACCATGGGCAACATCAAAGATTGCGGCCGACATACCTGCACACCTGTACCCGGCTTTGAGACATCTTGCACATGCCGGCTTCTCTTCGCCTTGAGATGGCTAATGTTAGCCCGAATGCCAACATCATACAGGTTTGCTTACATACCGCATCTCACTCTCCTCTTTTTGCAGGTGTGGCAAGCTCTGCTTTTCCCTGCAACTCCAACCATAGAGCTGGATTAAACACTGCGTGTCGAGAATTGCTTCCTCATCCGGGGCGGCCCATTCTAATAAACAACCACACGAAATCGGGCCTCCGGTTTCAGCTCAAGCACCTCGAGCAATGCTTCCAAATATGGGAAAGCGCCTTGGCTGGTAGCAGGGGTACGGCCAGCCGGGTCGTTGATAACTTCGAGTGGGCTGAATGTTCACGGTGATGCCGAAGTCAGCTGGGAGTACGTAGTAGTTGGAGCCAGGCCGTCGGCAAAAGACTATTTTCATAAACATAAGCAGCGTATCACAGCATTTGAAGCCTTGCCTCGTCGCAGCACTGGACGCCGTATGGAGAGCTGAAGGCTGAGAAAGTGCTAAGTGAAGATATAAAACAAGATCGGCTTGATGGCTCCATCTACAGCAACAAGCCATTCCGTTTTGCCTCACGAGCTCCGCTGAAGGTGTTCAGCAGATATAACTTCTTCGCTGCCATCATCGGCGCTTGTAGGCATTGAGGCCCAAAAATGCTACTATCCGCCAAACGCTCAATGCACCGAATACATGATCCCAATCTCGATCAGCTCGACAAACACGGTCTTCAACTTCACCCATTGGTCTGACGACTTTGCTCTCGAACAATTCCTAGCTGGCGCAACGACACGACCGGATGCTGGCTTTTCAGGTATCGTCGAAGGCACGGTACAAATAGATGCCGACTACAACATTGCCGCTTCGTTCTGCACCCCTAAGTACCCATCTGGCTACGGAAAGGAGAAGGAGATACTCCTCGCAACTCATGGTATTGGACCTGGACGCGAGCACTGGAATTCGGCGTACAAGCCTGAAACGTACAACTTCGTTCAGCATGCCATCGATCGACGGTATTCAGTGTTCTTTTATGATCGTCTCGGCTGTGGGTTGTCGTCCAAGTACGTTGTCTGAGACCTCTATTACTATATCCTTGCTAATGCTGCACAGGCTGTCTGGATACGAAGCACAACTCAGTCAGGGCATTGCAGTACTTCGAGAGCTCGCTACCATCGTACGCGGGGGACAGTATACTGGAGCGATTGGTATGCCTTCGAAGCTTGCCTTGATTGGGTTCTCATATGGATCGTACATCACTCATTTCACCATCACCGACACTCCTGACATCGCCGATGCCGTTGTTTTGACAGGTATTGGGCTTAACACGACTGGGGTCAACGGGAATGGCTTGCTCCGGTCTTTTGCACCTCGGATTGCTAGTGCTCAGAAGGAGAAGCGTTTTGCTCAGCTTGACAGCGGCTATCTAAGCTGGGCAGATATCTTGGCTATGACCTTGAAGTGAGTTAGTCACGAAAGTCTGAACGCTCTTTGCTGACTGACCGTAGCTACTTCTACTATCTGAACTACGAGGTCGCGGCCGCCGAGTACACCGAAAGGAAGAAACAGGCATTCTCGATCGGAGAGTTCCTGACCTTCAACGGAGGCTTCTATGGCAATTACGACGCAAGCCGGTTCACTGGCTCCGCTTTAGTAAGTGGGATTGATGTTGTACACTTTCGACTTGCTAAACCTTTGCTTAGGCCATAACCGCTGAAACAGATTACATAGTCTGTGACGGCTACTCTCCTGGCATATACGACGAGCCTGCGGACACGTATTACAGAAACGCGAAAAAGTTTGTCAAACATCTGGTCCCCGAGGCAAGCCATAACATCAATTTCCACAAGAACGCTCCAGCTACCTATGGTGTTATTCTTGATTTCTTAAGTGAGAACATGTGAAGACAATGAAAAAAACTTGGGATACGAATAGATCTGCGGGTCGGTTACAGAGGGAATAATTGTTGTTTACAGAGTTTCTACATTAAGCGATTTGCTTCAAGCGCGTCTAGTACAGCCTTGCTTGTTTTCCAGTCACCCGCTTACATTGCTTTAAGTTTCTTTCACGCGTGAAGCGCAGACATCTCGTATAGTAGATCTTTGCTTATATATATAACAAGGGAAGTTTATATTGTTTCTAGACTTAGAACGCACTCTACTATACTTTTTCTAGACATCTACTTATCCTGTTAACTGTAAAGCCTCTGAACGTGCAGTGCGGTTTCCGCTTAGACAGAGCACTGCAGTTGTGCCAGATTGGGACATATGTCACCGTTCAAGCTTCGCATGGCTAGACACGAACGCAGTTTGTTTTCAATTTAGGCAGTTTCCATAGGTTCTTCAACAATTCTATTGCAATCTCCGCAGGACCGATTTTAAGGCGAGCTGGTCAAAGTGCAAGTTGGACGAGAGACAGAACACTCAAAGTTCAAAATCCAGAAGTTGGAGAACAGGGAGGAAGAGCTCCAAATGTGAGAACCAAGCCAGGAGCCTTTAACAAGCGAAACGAGACTGGAAGGTCTATTGTAGCTCCCAATCATCGATGCAGCTTACCCTTACTTAACAGAACCTTGCAATACTTTAGTCTTTGGCTAGAAGCAAATTGTTCTCCTGTTCAAAGTATGATGAGCTTTCGATGCTAAAGATGAAACGGTACTCGCTCCCCAGAGCTTGAACACTAACGCCGAAGATGACAACAGCCAGGTTCACGCTCAACAACAGCAGAATCGCCTTACTTCTGGGAAGTTCATTTGCAGCGCAGAATTTATCTTGTACGTTCTCTTGTGAACGCGAGGCAGTGTTCTGGTTTGTTACTAACCGCGTCGAGGGCCAGCGGCAACTTCGTCTGTAACAACAAGGGACGCCATTGGTCGCACTACCAAGCCACGAGGATTCTGGATCGCGTCGAGCTCTACATAGAAGAGCTCCAGGAGACCGAAAACCCCAACAAGGCGCCTTTTCGGCCATGGCAGCCCAGCCAGCGAGCCAATCTCATCGTCAACATAGATCAGCAGACCAAGACTGGCCTACCAACGCGCTATTCCGTCCACGGATCGTCTGGAATCTTGGTCAAGTCAGAGCGTCGATATGGCCGGACCAACTCGCGTCTTCGACGTGTGCGTAAGTGGATCGATATAAACCGCGATCAGCTGGAGAAGTGGTTGGATGAGAACACGTCGGCAGATGGTATCCTTCTCGACCGTAAGTACCACGTTTGGGAGATTCGTTTCCAAATATTAACATCTTTCAGGCACTGTGCCAACCATCGATCAGCGATATCGTCGTCGACAACACGAAACACACATCAGTTCTGTCTGGCATATGAATCTGATCGATTCCATCACACGCATCGAGGCGAGTGTTGTGCATTTGCTTACCTGATTCGCCCCTGTCCAGCGCTTGCCTTATTTCTTTTCATTCTTTGCACACTCCTTATGCCGCTCCGAGTGGTGATCCCCGTTACTCGCGAACTGTCCAAGGTGTCTGGAGAACGATTTGAAGCCTGGTCGATCCAAAGAACGCAGGGATTTCGCTGCGTTCCACTTCGACTATTCTCTCCTCTTCCAAAGACTAACACCTTGAGCAGATTGGAAATTTTTTCCAGGTCAGATTCCTAGCCCTGTACTCCGTCCCCTTCCAGGAGATCGTGCCCACCGCAGAGCATGTCTTTACGCGAATTGCAGGCGCCTACGGATCTGATGGCGACTTCAATTGGACTGCGGCGGGCGGGAGCGTTTCGTGGGTCAAGGCCGTGGAAGCAGCACGAGTCAATTATTCGTTCCATTACGACGATATGCACAAGAGTCACCGTCCGAAAAGTCTACACTCGGGATATCGATCGCGAGCTGGATCAGGCGGTTATCGAGTACCTCGACGAGGACAAGGTGGGCAGGGTATGAGAGTTGGAGCGTGAGCTTGCTTGGCTTCAGGACTTTCGTCGGATTTTGGAGAAGATACGGGATTATCCACCTGAGGTCCAAGTGCCTGATTCTCAGGGAGACTAGTAGTATTGAGAGTTGCTTGGGGGTCGGAGCATTCAGTCTTGTATCATATGGTTTGGGAGAATACGTACGAACTGTGAATTCAATTCAAACCGCCTTCACTCCCGCATCCTTCAAAGCCTTCGCCAGCTTCTCCCTTTTCTCGCCCTGAAGCAGCGCAAACGGCTTCCTCACCCCACCCGTAGACCATCCTCGCAACTCCATCCCCGTCTTCACCGCAGCCGCATAGTTTCCTTGCTCCAGGAGATGACACACCGGCCAGATCTTTGACCACAGCTCTCGCCCACGCCTGATATCATTCTGCACAGCAACAGCATCCCACAGCTCCATAGACAGCTCCGGGATGATGTTGGTCGCGCCCCAGACCGACCCTTTTGCGCCTCCTGCCAAGCCGTAGAAGGTGAGTGTGTCCCAACCATTGAACGTCGTGATCTCGTTGTGTCGGTGGAACAGCAATTCAGTCAGGTCCGGCGCATTTCCAGACGTATCCTTCATGTATTGCACGCCAGACTTGGTCAGACTAGAGAGCTCCTCCGGAGTCAACTTCATCCCACTAGCTGAAGGAATGTTGTAGTAGACGATTGGGAGGCCACTCGATTGATGGATTTCGCTGAGGAGGCCATGCAGCTCGTCCAAAGACAATGCGTCGTAGAACGGCGGTACGACCATGGTTGCTGCAGCGCCAGCTTGAGCAGCATGGACAGCGAATTCGACTGCCCGTTCGATGGACAGATCACCAATACCAGCAACGACAGGTACCCTTCCAGCTGCTGACTTCACGCATGCTTCCAGTAGAGCCTTTCGTTCCTCTCCAGATAAGACCGTGAACTCTCCAGTACTGCCTCCTGGGACTAGTCCATGGACACCGGCGTCGATAAGTCTGTTGATGTGCTCATCGAGTGCTTTGAAGTCGATTTGCTTCTTGTCAGGGGTGAAGGGGGTAATGAGGGCAACGAGGATGCCTTTGAGTTCTTTCTGTGGTGGCGACATGATTGAGGATGAGTAGGAGGAGCTTGTGAGTAGCAGACATATTGAGCATCGTATATACGTTGAGTGTATGTCGTCTTCTCTTTCCTACAAGAACGAAATGAACTTGAAACCTGGACAACCCCGTAGTTGGAAAGTCACCCCGAGCTGCGCAGACATGCTTCAACAAGGGTGCCTGATTGTCGAGTGCAAGGCCGTCGAAACTGCCTTGGCGCCACACTGCGTAGTCCTCGGACAATCTCTATTCATCTTCTATCTACAAACTACAGCTTCGCCAACACCCCCTCCGAATTCAAATATGTAACGTGATTCCGCGAAATGTCCTTGATCGACCGACACCCAGCCAGACCCATAGTCAACTTCAACTCCTGCATCAAGATCTTCAACGCGAGCTCGACGCCTTCCTGGCCGTTGTACTGCGACACTGTCAGCTTCGTCAATAACTACGAACAACAAACTTACCGCCAACCCCCAGATCGGGATCCTCCCAATAAAACAATGACTCGCTCCCAACGCCAACGCCTTGAAGATGTCCGACCCTCTCCGAATGCCACCATCCACGGCGACCGGAATCTTACCCGCCGCCGCAGTCACACATTCTCGCAACGAATCCAAAGTCGCCGGCTGCCCATCCAGCTGTCTTCCGCCATGATTAGACACCACCACGCCATCGATCCCATACTTCACCGCCAGCATGACATCCTCGGCAGACGTCACTCCCTTCAACCACAGCTGCATCTTCGTCTGCGACCTCAGCCACGGGATAGCGCTGTCCCAGTCGAGGGCCGGATCGTAGTCGTACCCCTTCGTCTCGTCGATGTTTTGCTGAGCAAACTCCTCCTTACCCGTCAGAAGCAAATTGGGCCACTCCATGTCCTCGGGCAGACAGAAATTGTTGCGGTACTCGTTCAATCTCCGGCCAAGCATCGGGACATCCACCGACAAGAAGAACGCCTTGCACCCAGCACTCTCCGCTCGTTGAAGAATCTGCTTGGTGATCTTCCGGTCCTGTAGCACGCACATCTGCATAGCATAAGGATTGCCTTTGCCTTGAGCTGCTACGGTTTCGATGGGCTCGGTGGCGTAAGAAGACAAACACATGGCGATGCCAAAGTTGGCCGCTGCTCTCGAGGTCGCCAATTCGCCGTCCGGATGAGCCAGACGTTGCATTGCCGTTGGTGAGAACCCAAGAGGGAGCGAAGTCTTGCAGCCAAAGATTTCCGAAGTCAGATCGATATCCTTGACGTTGACGAGGATGCGCGGCTTGATCTTGTAGCGATTGTAGGCCTCTTCGTTGTCTTGTAGCGTGATCAAGTCCATAGCTCCCTCGTTATAGTAGTCTCTGTACATTTTCGGGAGCCTGCTGCTTCCCAGCGTCTTCAAATCCGAGATGGAATGGACTTGAGGGTCCCATGTTGCTCCGCGGTTAGCCATGATCGAGTGTGTGGGATGCAGAGCGTGGGAAGCTGGGAGGTGTAGATACGTCGAGCTCCATCCTGAAAAGGCATGCTCTCAATGTCAGCCTCCAATCGGCGAGGGTCATGTCCGTATCTCGAAGGCATGCAGAGATGAGGTGGGGAGGATTGAAGATGGAAAGCCACCCCAGATTCTCTAACACCTTCCTGATCTAGAACGTGTGAGCTGTGCATCGGCATCCACACCCGAGACCATCTACAAGCGAGCAGCAACTTCGCCTTGACAATGCACCCAACCACGACATCATGAAGATCTTTCTGTGAGTAGTCTATACCTTTGTTCATTCTCAGCTAATGGAGCCTTCAGGACAGGGGCGACTGGGTACGTAGGCGGAGAAGCGCTGTACAATCTCTACCACTCGGGGGACTCACACGACATTGCCGTGCTCAACCGCCATGCTGAAAGCGATAAGTCCATCTTGGAAGCTTTCCCAAAAGTGCGAGTGGTTCAGGGCGACCTGGACGACACAGAGCTCATCGAGAATGAATCCAAAGCCGCAGATATAGTCTTCCGTAGGTGTGTTCAAATGTCACAGCAGACCCAAATTAACGTCGACAGATCTGGCCAGCACCAAACACCTTCCAAGCTCGCAGGCAATCAGCAAAGGGTTGAGTAGTCGAGATAAGCCAAGCTTCTGGGTCCAGATGTCTGGTGTAAGTTTTGATGCATTTGAGAAGAGTTCGACTTATTTCCTGCAGGCCTCCATGTTCTCCGTCCCCGACATTGAGCATAAGTCGTATGGCGAGCCGCCGTCCGAGATTATCAACGACGTTGACGACACAGAGAAGATCCGCAAGATTATCACCGACAACCCAGCCCGGACTGTGGACCATCTGGTGCTTTCACAAGATCGGGTGAAGACAGCCCTGATCATCGGTCCATTGATCTACGGCACTGGTCGAGGACCCGGCAACACGAGAAGTATCCAAGCCCCTGAGATGGCACGGGTTACGCTTCAACAAGGAGAGGGCTTCCGTGTTGGCGCTGGGAAGAGCGCGTGGAGCAATGTTCACGTCCAGGATCTGGGTTTGCTAGCAGCTGACTTGGCGAAAGCCGCAGCAGAGGATAGAAGTGGGTGCTGGAATCATGATGGAGTGTATGCCGTTGAGAATGGCGGTTTGGTAGGTCGTCGTCCAGGGGAAGCTCTGCGGAATGCTGATCGTGTTGCAGGAATTTGGAGAGCTGGGCGAGCTAATTGCAAGGGAAGCACATGCTCAAGGGTTGATCAAATCGTCGAAAGTTACGCACGTCATGTCGGCAGACGAAGCAAACAAAGCCATGCCAGCTGGGGCTATTTTCTGGGCCACGAACGCAGTGACAGTTGCCACGCGGGCGAGAAAGCAGTTGAACTGGGAACCATTGCAGCCCAGCCTCACCGAGACGGTGGAGGAGGTCGTAGAGATCGAAGCCAAGAGGTTGAAGTGAGCTGGGGATCGCGATCATATCGAGTATAGTTAGCATGCAGAGAATGTTCGTCAGCAGAAGCACGATGCTCACGTCTGAAACATGATGCTTAGACATGACCACAAACGTACATACGATCGAATGGAAAGATTCAGCATTGCCTGGTCAAGCAATCCGACGGTAGTCAAGAAGCATCTCAGGTCTCGGTCGGCCACATCTGGCTAAAGGTCCTGCACGGCGCTGAGGCATGATCAAGCTATGAGGTTGGTCGAAATTTCACAGAGCATAGTCAGCGTATATGCCTAATGAACGATCTCCACCCGTCAGATTACTAAACAGGTCCCGCCATTTCCACCCATTATGCGCAGGTATATCATGACTGGCGTGCAAATGAAGTGAAGACTTGCCTGCCTATCATCATGTCTCTCCTCACCAATGGCGCTTTCCCGGCAATCAAGCCACACACTTCGCTCAAGGTCTCGGCCGAAGAGCGTATAAACGCCGTGGACTTTGTTAATCGTGTCAACCTCCTTTTCGAAGAGTACGACACCGAGAAGCTTCTAGACACTTTCACTTCAGACGGGGTTGCATATCACTTCCACGGCACCATCAAAAATCGAGAAGAGAGGCGGAAGTTCTTCGAGGAAACTTACCCATACTTGATACCTGGAGTTAGTCGCCACGCATCCAACCACATCGTCGACAGAGATGAGGAGACCGGAGGAGTCATCGTTCGATACCATCTCCACTTAGTTCGGTATGCCTGGCCAGGCGAACAAGCAGACAAGCTCAAGGAGACCTCTGCATATGAAGTCCAGACAGATGGCAACCTCCCTCAGATCTGGCTTTTCTCCCCGATGATCGATCGACTCAAGATGACGGATGATGGCTACAAGATATATGAGAGATATGTTGGAAGCAGTGTAGTCAACCCGAAGTTGGACCCCGCCGTCCAGTGATCAGGGCTGAAGTATGTTATGGATGATCGATATGCCATGCAGAACTTGTAGCATTCACAGCCTGCTGTACATTCCCTCCTTCTGCGGACGCACGTCAATCTCATGACTCCACGCACTCTGTGGCTGCGTATGCAGAAACCAATAAGTCTGGGCAAGATCTGCTGGCTGCAACAGATATGCATCAAGGTCCTCCAGTTTCTCCTTTGCCCCCTCCCGCTCCCACTGCCTCCGTCGTACGCCGCCAATGAGCTTCCCATCCACAGGACTGTCGACAACGATGAATGCTGCATGGATACCTTGCGGCTGGTATTCCCTCGTGATGATCTGACACAGCGCTCGCAGACCAAATTTGCCAGGCGAGAAGCTCGACAGTCCAGGTGCTCCCCGAAGTGCCCCTGTGGCCCCAGTGAAGAAGATCGTGCCTTTCTCAGCCGCCAACATATCGGGTAGGACACACTTCGTAGACCAGAAAGCACCGAAAAGGTTGATCTTGGTGAAATTCTCGAACTCCTCGGACGTAGTATCCAGTATCTTTCGGCCGTTGACTCGGCGAGCACCGGCATTGTACACCAGGACTTGAACAGGGCCTAGCTCTTCACGTATCTTCTTGAAGCTGGAAATGACAGACTCCTCGACCCTCAAATCCGTGATATAGTATTTTGCCGTATTCTTGCCATAATCCGAGTCGATTCCCTGGGCCATAGTCCGAAGCTTCTCCTCGGTACGGGCAAGAAGTGCAACGACGAATCCTTCTGCATTGAAGCGGCGGGCCACGGCTTCGCCAATACCGGGTCCAGCGCCCACAACCGCGATGACGGGCTTTTTGCTGCTGTTGAGAGACATGCTGGTGGTGATAATCAGGAATGAAGATGTCGGCGAAGGCCGAATGCTCCTTTTCAACAGAGGTGACGTTAGGAATGTCGGTTAGTTTGTCATCTTGCAAGAGCCGTGATTGGCTGGAGCGCAAGCCAGGTTTCCGCAAGCAGTATAGCGTCTCGTCCTGATCACTCAACATGCCTCGCCTCTCCATCGGCATTATCTGAATGACGAAAAGAATGTCACGAGATGGTGTTGAGCACGTGAATTGCGCTAGTGTTGATATGTGTCTAGCTGGAAGCCAAGTGACACTGCAACGCCATCACGAACGAGGAGTTCTCTTGTTGATTTGACGCGCTGAGTATTTTCACACTTCAAGACGTTGTTGCTCTGAGTAGACAGCAATCGAACACAAAAGAAGCCTGAGTGCCATCCTGCGCCGACTTAATCCTCTAGAAGCTTGTTCCATCTGACTTTCAAAATTGGGTGAGGTGAACGTTTCATGTCCTCCAAGACGGCCTCAAGACCTGCTTGGCACGTAGTAATAGGCTCTGTGGGCGATGTGGGCCTACGCGTCGGGGCGCCATGTACTCTCTTGGAACTTCCGACGATCGACACACAAACATTACCAAGCTGTTGAGAAGCACAGATAGGGGTAAAGACTACTTCAGTCCTGCCCAGTTCCCTTTCCCCTGCACAGCTCGTCCACAGCCTCAGCTTCCCTCTGATCATGTCTACCCAATCAACCGCGACCACTCGCTATCTCGAGGCAGATGGCATTCGTTTCGCCTACCGCCTCATTGGCAATTCGACTATCAATGGCACTGACAGCCCACCACCTCTCCTCATGTTGAACCACATTCGCTCAACCATCGATCTGTGGGATCCATACCTTATCGACAACTCATCACCTACGACTATGCTGGTCTAGGACACAGTGGTGGACCTGTCGGGACAAGCATCAAAGATTTCAGCAGGAACCTGATATCCTTCTTGCAAGCTCTCCTCCTAATCCTAAACACCCCCATTGTGGATGTGCTTGGCTTCTCTTTGGGAGGATATGTCGCACAGCAGCTCGTCCTCGATGCACCTGACCTCGTCCATCGACTCGTCCTTTCCGGCACCGGACCTAGTCTTGGCCCAAACCTACAACGCCCAATGGCAGAAATCCAGTCAGACGTTTTCGAAGACCCTGCAGTCGTTGCCAACGCCGTCGCAGCGTTCTTCCCTGCCATTGTCTCCGATTACGGGTATGCATGGATCAATCGCTCGCTCAGCAGCCGTGCTGGCATCGCCGGTACCAACGGGGAACCACCGATAGCGCCATTCACGGGCGGAGTAGCACTTCAAAATCTGACGGAGGCATATCTTAGTTGGGACTCGGACCCAGCGCCATACTCTCTGCTGCAGACGATACAAAAAGATGTTCTCGTAACCGTGGGCCAGAACGACTTGGTCATACCGACAAACAACGGCATTGTCTTAGGACATCAACTCCCGAGAGCCAATCTAGTCCAGTATCCAACCAGCGGCCACGGCCACCTCTTTCAATATGCTGGAATTGCCGCCAAGCAGATTTCTGGGTTCCTCAATGGAGACACCTGGCCAATATCACCATTCTCGGCCGGTAAAATCCCAGCAGATGCCGCGTGAGGGCTGAAGGAGCTGCAGTAGTGAATAGAGAGCTTGAAACGTACACACATAGTTTACCACGAGTTTATATTCTATATAGATAATGTATTGAGTCTTTTTGTTCTTCACTTGAACTGGTACTACACGATATAATTGCAGATTGAATTCCCTCAAAACCTCAGCTGCTAGCACGGGCAGCTTTGCTGAATGTCAGAGCTGGCGTCGGGACAAGGGTGAGCCCGGTCGGTCGTCAAGCTGTCAACGTCCGGCCAGAGGCTCACTCAGCCGGAGCCATGACAAAGACACATTGAAATCTGCAACTGCCTGACAGTAGCCGAGCATTCGTCTAAACAAACGACGTTTCAACCGAGGAGTATAGAGGGAGTGCGAAAGCGGCAAACCGAAAGCATTGCTTACGTTGACTTTGCTGACTATTCCAGCTCCTCGGGGACAAGGCTACGGTTTCGATCACTAAACAGGGCTTGGAGATAGATCACAGTATACAATGAATCTGTTTTCGCGCAAGATTCGAGAATCATTCAATCAGCAGCGTATTGGCACGCAATAGACGATTCAGAGGTCACTGAACAATATGTCGACGAAGTAAGTGAAAATCAATTGCGCCGAGAAGACGGAAGCTGATACTTGAAATATGAGAATTTGTGGACTCAATCATCCAAGCCTATGGCGGGCTCGATCGATACTCAAAGCTCTCCAATGTAGAGCTCAAGTTCGACTTCACTGGGGCGACCCTGGGTCTCAAGGGTAGACATACACACCTGACTCCAATCGCCTCCGTGTCGACGACAGAACAAAAGGTATCCTACCGCGGACTTGGTGGGCCTGCCGATGAGGTCTGGGTCTTTACGCCTACCAAGGTCAACAAGCAGCGTCCTGACGGCAGCATCATCGGATCTCGAGAAAATCCACGACAAGCTTTTGCCGATCACAAGATGGAAACTCCGTGGGACGATTTCCACTTCTTATACTTCTCGGGATATGCTCTTTGGCAGTACATCAACTTCCCGTATCTGCTAGCTCGGGGCGATATCACGACCAAGGAAATTGCCTCCCATCAGGAGCAGGGCGAGACTTGGAGGGTGCTGAAGGTCACATTTCCAGATCCGTCTGCGTTTGCATCACACAGCACCGTGCAGAAGTACTACTTCAACGACAAGCTTGAGCTGGTACGACACGACTACGCGCCTGATGTTTTGGCTGGAGCACCGGCAGCACACTACACTGTGGACAACGTTGTTGTGGATGGCATGAAGTTCTCTACATCACGGCGCGTTGTGGCATTGGGCCCGGATGGAACCCCAATGTACAATGGACCGATTCCAACACTGATCAACCTTGCATTTAGAAAGATTGCATTGAAAGGCAGTGCCGCGGTGGAAGGTCCAGAGAACGTATGGTCTCTGACTGATGCCCCATCGCCACGGGAATAGATCACATTAGTAGACGTAGACGCATTGATGCTCATAATATACCGTTGATCTCCTGATATTGACTGCTCCGTACATGTACGAAAACTTCGTAAAACCATGTCTCAGATCGATTCAGCAGCGACGCGAGAAGACCTTCGATTGTTTGTCAATGCCTGATCACCACTGTGGGCACGTTTGAAATGCCCCTTACCCATTGTGACCTAGCATACGCGTTCAAAGAGCAATCCGCATGTGAGACAGTACGTCAGGCAGGAGGGGCAATTACAAAGACATCGGCATGGTGGATCCGCCTGCTCTGGCGTCTCTTGGTCTCATATCCATCTCTCACGCGAGAAGACTGCTTTCTGATCCATCGAACTACCATCGCCTTCATCACGATGTCGGAGACTGTCCATCGCGTAGTCGTTGTTACCGGAGCATCTCGCGGTGTTGGTGTAAGTATGCCTCCAGCATTCAGTGTTTAGTCACTCACACAGTACATCAGTTAGAATGGGTTCGCCAGCTGAACAAGAAAGCTGGTACGCTCATTGTCGCGATCGTCCGCGATCCAAACAAGGCGTCATCACTTCAACCTCTGTTGAGCAGCAGTGTCGTCGCAGTGCAGGGAGACCTGTCTGATATCGAATCGTTCTCGGTATCGAAGCAAGAGGCGTGCGTGATTACACGATGGCTAACAGCGAGCCAGGCACTGACTTCCAGGATTTCGAAAGTCACAGATGGCAAGGTTGACGTTCTAATCAAGTATGTACAATAGCCGTCGTCTACACAACTTACTCTGCATCGGCAGCTCTGATTTTCGACTGCAGCAACGCTGGCATCATGACAGGAGCGGGCGCGGATAGCAATCTCGGAATATCGAAGTCTACTGTGGGTGAATGGCAAGAGCAGGTATGCACCGTCTTTGACGCTGATAGACGTACCCAAAACATTGTTGACACAGCGTCAGTTCCATGTCAATGTGACTAACCCAGTGTTCTTGACTACATCACTGCTTCCTTTGCTGAGGAATGGGCGTGAGAAGAAGGTAGTCAACATCGCTTCGTTCTTCGGAGACACCGAGTGGAGTCTTGCGCATCCTGAGCTGCAGAATGCTTCCTATTCAGTCACCAAGGCCGCGATTACCATGGCTACGATCAAATTTCACAACGAGTGAGTCATCGACGGTTGATAAATTCGTACGCCAACTGACCGACGCGAAGATTACGAGAGGAGGGCTTCACGTTCCTTGCCTTGAACCCAGGGTGGGTAACAACAGATATGGGCGGATCATATGTAGGTGGAGAACAATCCGCTTCTGTCCGAGATCTGACACAATACAGGCTGCTTTGACCCCCGAAAGCTCGATCTCTCAATGTTTGAGCTTTGTCAATCGAAGCACGACTAAGGATAGTGGTGGATACTACTCTCTTGATGGACGCAAGGAGGGAGTCACGAATTGAAAAGCCACATATACTGCCAGGCTTGGTAGAAAGATGGAATGATAGTATATTCCCCACAAGCCATTCATTTCCACCACGATCTACTCCTCCCACGGTGCCTTCCAGTCCGCAAAGTAATCACCATCGCACTGAAGCAAGCCTTCGCCCGCCTTCAGCCAGTCCTCTCTATTCTTCGTGAAAATCTCAATCTGAGGCTTCAGCTTTGTCGTATGCAGGTTGAAATCATCCACGGTGCCAATTCTCATGAACAGCTGGCCTGGGAACTTTGTGCTTGTTCGATACCTGTGTCTCCATAATCAGCGGCTGAAGCTTCAACACAAGTGATGAACATTACATCAGGCTTCCACACACACTGCAAAAGCTGTTCGTCATCTTACTTCCGCTGAGGCTTCTTGGCTTCCCGGAGAACCGTGTAAGCGTGTCCTGGCCACGGACATGATTGACGGAGTCTTCGCTAACGATGAACACGGACGTGAACATTGAAGCAGAGATCTTGTGGCAATCAGAGCAGTGGCAGGTCAAAGTCGTCACAAGCCCTGGACCTTCGGTAGGCTGCATGTGACTGTGTCAATGGTAACTCCAAGGCAGGGTGGCAGTCATACGAATGAGAGCTGGACCGCTGCACAGAAGCAGGTAGCGGTCGCTGTGTGATCTGTTCCTTCGCCCCTGGCTCCATCGGATGGTAGGGGGATGTTAGGTGACATGACTCTGATGGACACGGCTTTGAAAGGGGAGAGGTTACAAGGCTGCCAGCGAAAAGAGACAGCGCAATGAGCATTCTCAGAGCCAAAGCCTGGGTTCTTTGACCCCATCCGATTCGTAAGGCTTGTCTTCCCTATGGATCGCGCTAATGCTGACCTTGCAGGTGGTTCCTATGCTGCCAGCTTATCAACTACGAGGTGAATGGTGACATGGAACGTGGACCCACCCGACCTGTTCTGTCTTGGATTGCTCCCTGAAGATTAGCCTGGCCTGATTAATGATCATGAATAGCGTCAGTGGGCGTTTGAAGTACAAGTTAACAAGAGCGTTGATAGATCAGGCGACACGGTCCGTAAGCAGAAATGAAACATGTATATCAATCCATTGGACCTCTTTCGATATTGCGAGTACGCTCTAATCAACATCTGCTGATCCCCGAAAGTGCTAGAGTCCATGCCTTGCAAGAAAATCAAACGTCAACAGGAAGCCGGCAGTCGCATTGTTATGCAACGGCAAGGCATGACCAGAATTCGGCTGAATGGCAGCTTCAATAGCAGCAGCATTTGGGTAAGTCTGATTCAAGATCTTCACATCTGCGAGACCTTTACAATCACCCCTGCAAATGTAGAAGTCGAATTCGGGCAGCAGAAACTGAACCGGGCCTCGGAATGAAGGTCCAGGGTTGCCGATGAGTGAGAATGCGGAAGCGAACTCGCCGATGGGGACAGGTTGCTTGATCTTATTTCCATATTCGAGGAGTTCCGGCGTAAATGCGGTCTTTGGATCACCTCCGAAAAAGATGTTCTGGATGCCGTTCTTCTTGCTCACCACGTAGCCACTCGATCGATTGAAAGTCTTGCCAGCATACTCCACACTGAATGAAGTCGAGCCAGCGCTGGCCAAGTATTCGTTCAGGATATATCCAGTGATGACTGCTCCGTCGCTCAAAGGGCCGTATCTGGCGATGAAGGCAGAGGTCAGGAACGACCCAAAGCTGTGACCCACGTGAACAAACTTGCTCGGCTGTGTAGTATTGTAGTGTGTTTTGCTTGCCAAGCTGTACAGCGTGCCGTTGCGGGCCATGAGGGTGAGCTGTCGTAGAATCTCCAGCTCCAACGGCGCTTGTACGACGGTATACGCATCTGGGTGATCAGATTGGCCAGTTCCCAGACGATCGTATGTGAAGATAGAGTATCCTGCTTTCAACGCTGCATCGACGTAGGAATGTTTCGCCGGTTGATACGTTGAGTCCCAATAGCGAGAGTCGTAATGGACGCCATGGGTTGCGATTTGTAGGATGTCCTTGCTGCTGCCAAGATGAGGATGGCATAGCTGAGCGTGAATGTTGAAGGTGCCAGATGTCGTTGTGTTGCGGATGATACTCTCAATACCGTGAGGGGTCGTCCTGGTCGCATCGAAGATCGCCCAAGCTGTCGCTTCGAGGTCGTTATCAACCCTTGGAAGGTCATACACAGCGCTGTCTGCGGCAGCGTGGACTGGGATATCAAGTTGCTGGCAATTTCCATCTGGTCTCGAGAAAGTATGGTAAGGATGCGCGTAGGCACCGCGGCTGTGAAGAAAAGCGACAACCCCTAATAGCAGAGTAAGTGCCATTCCGAGAATCCGTCTAGACGATGATAACAAAGATGTGCAATGATGTGAATCTGCAAAAAAACAGAGCAGAGATGAGGACGAGATATAGTCACTAGTGGCAGAGGTACAATGTCTCCGGTGGCAATGCTGAAGGCGAGTACGCCGTCAGGCAGTGCAATGCGCGCATCGGTTGAGGAATAATCTTTCAATTGTCATAGCGCCGCGGACGAGAGGCATGCAAGTGCGTATCCGCCTAGAGTATGGGTGCAAGCCAGCTGAAGTAGCTGTGACTTGAACAGCCGAGTACGCCAGCCTTCAGCCGTTGTGAATGCATCCAGTTTGGACGACGAACACCAGAATACCGTAGATGGACCAGTAGATTTTGAAGCGAAAAGTCCTCGATCAGCAAAGGCGTGGTAGGTAGACTGCGCCCTTTTCATCCAGGACGTCCGTCCATTAGTCCGCATTTCGTATATAACACATTGGCTACAACACACCTTTGAGTAGATTTTTTGATGAGTTCATCTCGGGGCACATCATCCCTCCCTGCTCCTCGTCGTCTCCAGTTAATTACGCCCATTCTGGTCTCTTCCGCTGAACCAAATGCTCACAACCACGCGCTCTTGTTCCCCTGATCCCTCGAGCGAGACCTCAACAGGCTCTCGGCTTGCCTTGTCCTCTGGTCCAGTATCCTAGAGACGTCATTCAGCGTCTCTCTCGCCAACTGCTCCGCATCTGCACTCTTAGTCTCCGCCGCCTCCTTCAGTTGCTGAAGCTGAGGCAAGATCTTCGAGCCATCCGGTAATCTACTCAACCAATTTGACAGGCTGCCGCTCGAATGCTGCTGCGTCTTCTTGGAGATGTCCTTGATGAATCGTTCCAACTCGCCGGTGCTGCCACTCATGACGGCCTGACGGATCTTCTCCGAGACTTCCTTTGCTCGTGCCTGCCGTAAGGTGTCGATATTTTCATCAACGATGCGCTTGACTCGGGGGTTTCGATCGAGCATGGGTTGCATCTGCTCCATGGCGACGTACCAGGCCTGTTCACTTCGAGATTTGATGTGTCGAGCTTTGTCCTGCACGATCCTGTTGATACGGTCAACAGTAGCGTCATCAACACCTTGCTTGACAATTTTGGAAACCTCGCAGAAGGTCTCGTCCACCTCTCTCTTGGCACCTGGCCCAAGACGATCACCCAATCGCCTCAACTGCTCGAATGAACCATCCAATCTATCCCTCAACGAAGGGTTGCTTTCCAAGATCTGCTGTGCGACATCGCCTGCCAGTGATGACAGCTCTTCAAGTCTTCGCGACAGGATGTACCATGTTGCGTTGACAGTCTCCAGGCTCGTGCCTTTTCTTGATGAGACGTCTCGTAGCTCTTCGTACGTATCCCGCACAATCTCATTCACTTCCGTCCCATGCTTTTCTCTCACCGTCTCCAAGTCACTAAAGGACTGTTCAACGAACTCGCGCCCACCTGGTATCCATGGAGAATACTTGTCGGCCACCTCTTTCAATGACCGAATGACTTCGTCAGTTGGACCGGGGGTAATCTCTCTAAAGTCGAATCTGAACTGCTCCGGCCCTGGACTCTGGTAGTTCTTCGCTTGTTCGATGGGAAAGCTGGTTGGACGGGGGTCGATGTAGTTCTCCCAAAGAAACCAGGCCAGCAAGACAACGCCTCCACCTACGCAACCAACTGTCACCGCTGGTCCAAAACGACTGTTGCTGCTGTGGTGGGCACCATGGCCGGTCCACGCGTTGCGTCTTGAGCGAGTGGCGGTGAACGACCGCTGGACAAATGGCCTGGGTGGCTTGTCCCCGACTTGATGTCGAAGAGTGTGTAGCGTGCGGGTGGCAGCTCTACTGTAGACCATCCTCTGATTGTCCGTAGGTCGAAGGTTGAAGTTTTGGTATAGTCGTGAAAGTAAAGAGAGAGTACAGTGACGAGGAAGACACTTACAAACTTTTTCCTTTGCCCTACATGAACTTCACATGCTCGTCCGATCTCGCATTTTCCATGGTCAGCCAGAAAGATGGAGCTGGCGATGCAGGTACACGGGCGTGGCGACGTCTTCCGACGTCTGTCCGAGTGTTCCACGATGCGCGCAGGGATCTTGGCCATTCACATGCGGCCACCATCGTCTGATGATCTTATCTGATAAGATTTCTCGTGGCGCAAGGCGTCCTCGCTGATGGCGCGTTCCCAACGACATGTCCGTTCTGTCGAGGCCAGTGGCCGTACTGCGGCCTTGTCTCAGGAGGAGGGTAACGTTGTCGATATCGCAGACCAGGAGGCGGTGACAGTAGTGGCACGAAAGGACACAGTTGTAAGTCGGCGCAACAGGGAAATACAGCACGCCTGCGATACTGTTGTCTTTTCGCTATGGCACACCACCTTGCTCCCGTATTGGCATCCACACTTGAAGGTCCTCGTTTGCCAGATACTGCCGTCTGTCTCTCTCGTCGTCGAAGCAGCGTGCCATGGACCATGTGAGGGGTAGGCGGCATTTCCAGAAGCACCAGTCCGCCGCCCTGTCTGGCTTTGACATATCCGGTCCACAATCCTGTAGCACGTTGTCTTCGTCTTGATATTCGATGCTGTCGAGGCGATGACGATGGTGTTGTTGTTGACGACGATGCCGAAGCTGCCGGCGGGAGTGAAGCCGTCGGAGCTTCGACTCGCCGAGCGTCCTGCCATACCAGCTTCCTCTGACGGGGATGATGCAGACGGCTCTCGGTCTCATCAATACCTGAATCAACTGTTGCGGTTGATGAGGAATGCCATGAAACGGCGCTGATACACACTGCTCACCCCCTCACCCGCACTCCGCCCTCCGTCCGCCGCCAAGCCGTGCCCCAGCTCCCGCGCCGAACAACACGACGACCACCTCCCTCCCTCACCTCCCACCGCTCTTGAACCACCTCCCATCCACCACCACCACCAAACCCCCGCGCCCACCGCGCCTTGGCTGGTCCTCCCGTTGACGCAGCAGCCGCCCTGGAGGCGTCGCCGTCGCAGCCATGGCCGCCGCGGCCTCGGCCATCTTCAACAGGGGCATGGGCACCCAGGCCAAGGACAACACCATGCGCGGCCTCGTATCCTTCATAGCAGACCTGCGCAATGCACGAGCCCGCGAGCTGGAGGAGAAGCGCATCAACAAGGAGCTGGCCAACATCCGCCAGAAGTTCAAACAGGGCAACCTCTCCGGCTACGACAAGAAGAAGTACGTCTGCAAGCTGCTGTACATCTACATCCTGGGCTGGAACGTCGACTTTGGCCATCTGGAGGCCGTAAATCTTATTTCCGCCAACAAATACTCGGAGAAGCAGATCGGCTACCTGGCCGTGACGCTGTTTCTGCACGAGCAGCATGAGCTCTTACACTTGGTGGTCAACAGCATACGGAAGGATCTGGCTGACCACAATGAGCTGAACAATTGTCTGGCCTTGCATGCAATCGCAAATGTTGGAGGTAAAGAGATGGGTGAGGCGTTATGCGCCGAAGTGCACAGGCTTTTGATATCACCCACATCGAAGCCTTTCGTCAAAAAGAAGGCTGCGCTTACGCTGCTGAGACTATATCGCAAGGTCCCCACCATTGTACAGCCGGAATGGAGCGAACGCATAATCGCCATCATGGACGATCCGGACATGGGTGTGGCGCTGTCCGTGACCTCTTTGGTCATGACCCTGGCACAGGATGATCCAGACTCGTACAAAGGCTGCTATGTCAAGGCTGCGCAAAGGCTGCGGAAAGTCGTCGTGGAGCACGAGTACTCTGGCGACTACGTCTATTACAAAGTCCCGTGCCCCTGGCTGCAAGTGAAGCTCCTGCGATTGCTGCAATACTTCCCACCATCAGAGGACTCGCACGTACGCCAGTTGATGCGTGACTCCTTACAGACTATATTGGACAATGCCATGGAGTCGCCGAAGAATGTTCAGCAGAACAATGCACAAAATGCTGTTCTTTTTGAAGCCATCAACCTGATCATCCATCTGGACACCGAGCGAGACTTGATGGTACAAATCTCCACCAAGCTGGGCAAGTTCATCGGCTCAAGAGAGACCAACGTTCGATACCTAGGTCTGGAGGCCATGACGCATTTGGCTGTCCGCGCTGAGACCATGGACCCGATCAAAAAGCACCAGCAGATCATCATCGAGTCCCTTCGCGATCGAGACATCACAGTACGGCGGCAAGGTCTGGATCTGTTGTACAGCATGTGCGATTCTACGAACTCGCAAAAGATCGTCCACGAACTGCTCAAGTATCTGCAGTCCGCAGACTACGCCATCAGAGAGGAAATGGTACTCAAGATCGCCATCCTGACCGAGAAGTATGCCACCGACGTGAAGTGGTATGTTGACATCTCAATGCGGCTCATCGCCATGGCTGGCGACCATGTCAGTGATGAAGTATGGCAGCGAATCATTCAGATCGTCACCAACAACGATGAGCTTCAGGTATACGCCGCCCAAAACATCCTGCAGTACTGCAAGGCGGACCACTGCCATGAGACTCTGGTCAAGATTGGCAGCTACATATTGGGCGAGTTTGGTCATCTCATAGCAGATGTCAAAGGATGCAGTCCAATCGAGCAGTTTTTGGCACTGCAGGCCAAATTCGGCTCCAGCCCACCCAACACGAGGGCCATGATTCTGTCTGCATTCATCAAGTTTGTAAACCTCTTCCCCGAAATCAGGCCACAGCTCCTTCAGGCTTTCCGGACATACAGCCACTCGTTGGATTCAGAGCTGCAACAGCGAGCGTGCGAATATCTGACCATAGCGACGATGCCCGACGATGCCCTCCTGAGGACGATATGCGACGAAATGCCCCCTTTCCCTGAACGGGCTTCGGCGCTGCTATCAAAGTTGGACAAGAAACAAGGCGCTGTCGGTGACAAGCGAACTTGGGCGATCACTGCAAAAGACGGTCTGCCCACCTTGGACAGGAGCGGGACTCTCAAGAGGAACTTCTCTGCTGGTGCAACCGCGACTCTCCAGTCGAACGGTGCCACAAACGGCGTCAACGGCTCTCATACCAACGGCGCGGTCAAGACTCCCATCGACGAGCTAGCTGGGCTCGACCTCACAAGCGGTGGTGCTCCAAACCTTGCCAGTGCCTCACATTTGTCACCAGACTGGGAGCCTGGATATAACAGACTGTTGCTCAGACCTGAAGGCATTCTCTACGAAGATGTGCAGATACAAGTCGGTCTGCGGTCAGAGTACCGCGCGGAAGTCGGGTGTATCATCTTGTACTTCACTAACAAGTCCTCTGCACCTATTCAGTCCTTCACCACTACGCTTGACAACCGCTCGACCGAACATCTCAAGCCAGACGTCAAGAGTCTCCCAGAAACGACAGTCAGACCAGGCGAACAAACTCAGCAAATGATTATGTTTGAAGCCAGAGGCGTTTTCACTGATCCCCCAACAATCCGCATATCATACATGGCTGGTGCACTACAAGCGTTGACATTACAACTACCTGTGACGCTGCACAAGTACATGGATGGCGCGGTGCTCAGCTCAGACGATTTCTTCAAACGCTGGAAGCAGATCGGAGGTGCACCACGCGAGTCACAGAAGATCTTCCAGGGCTACGACGTGTCGTCCGAAAATACTCGAAGGCTTCTGCAAGGCTTTAAATGGGGCGTCCTGGACGGCGTGGACCCGAACGCGAGAAATTTCGTAGGTGCCACGGTAGTGCACACAACTGCTGGAAAGTTCGGATGCTTGCTAAGGTTGGAGCCCAATCACGAGAATAAAGTAAGTTGGGACATGGGAAACATGGCGTCTGATACGTTACTGACCATTCTTTACAGTTCTATCGCTTGACCGTACGAGCGACAGACGAGGCGGTTCCGCCGGTGCTTGCAAAAGCCATGGAGGAGAGATTGAGCCAGCCTTTTCCCAACTAGCATCAGTGGGCAACATATACCCAACACAGCGCAGCATCGTTCGCAGGATGATGGGTAGACTAAAGCATGGACTAAAAAGCATTCTGGCGCTGACGGTCATTGGGGATTGGGTATACCACTTGTAAAGCGTTCGTCGTTACTGAAATGTACAGAATCTACTGCATCGTATACCGAGAGCTAGGAACTTTTATCGATCTGCTTTTGCGCCTTAGAAAGCGCCCACCGCAATCGAGTGCAGTTATTAGGTTACTATTTGTAACACTCTACTGCCGTGTTTCGGCCAGCACCGAAGCCCAGAATGAACAGCGAGTAGAGGTTGTAGAGGTGACTGCCTGTACCGAAGACCCTTGGTTCTGAACAACAATCTGCTGAAAGTGACCACCAGCTGCAAATTGAGTCCAAGTAGGCGCTTGCGAGGCTTTGAGCGGGTTCGGGTCGAGGGTCTTTGTGAACGAGATGATATAGTTCATCATGATCGCGGACACCGCAGCATTCTCGTTTGCAAAACTGCCGAAGCTGAGCGCATTGGTCACCGTGTCGATGAGGTCGAAGAGGCCGGTGTATGGCCCCACGTTGGGACCGAAAATTGCTCCAAGATCGATATTATGCGGGACACCGTAATCAAAAGCTCTCGTGACGGCGCTGGATTGGTTGAACTGGTACCTCCAGACTGGCGCAACCTGAGAGGCGTAGGTGGCGATGAGGTTGCCCGGGCACGTAAAAGTAGCGTCGCCATATGCTGCCGCTGCTGCATGGTAATAACTCGATGAAGGTGGCAGGTAGAGGGTGTTCACCTGCGCGAGGTCGCTCGAAGATAGATCTGGATAGTTTGCTGCGACGAAACTGGTGACGCCAGCAGCGCTTGAGATGGTTTTGGGGGTGAAGAGCGTGCCCTCGTCCGTAACGTCGCCAGATATCAGGGGAACTTTGACGAATTTACTTTGTTGGTAGAGACCCAGTGGATTTCCCTGTACGAAGACGCCATCAACGACAGGGGTCCAGATATACTCCGCGGCCAAAAACTCTCCAGGGTACGTCAGGGGAATGTTGGCTGTCTGCAATTTCGAAATGTCCACGTTCCGAAGGCAGGCCAACTGGTCCAGGCTTGTGTCGCATCCGAGAGTCGACGAAAAGTTGCGGAACTGAATCTCTTGGTAAGTGGCGTGGTTGACTGTCGGATAGAAGTAGGCATCTCCAATCGCCCCAACAAAAAGGCCATCGTCTCTACCTCCGTAGGCACTTAGGTGCAGACCCACGGAACCTGCACCAGCGGACCCTCCGAACAGAACAACGTGTTGTGGGTCACCTCCGAACTGTTTGCGATTAATGGATGCTCATAAGGGGGTTTAGGAATTGGACAGACTTACTTTGCTGATGTATTTTTGAACCCATCGGAGCGCCTGCTGCAGCATCAGCAACTCGTGCAGACATCTGCGCCTGGGCAATCTGTACCTTGCGTTGGTCGAGAAGTCCGGCGTTCAAAGATCCGCCAGCTTTAACCTCATCACCCGCGAGAAATCCCAAAGCACCAACACGCTTTGATACAGGTCAGCGTAGTGTCGCCAGGTTGGCACGGCGCAGGCATCAGAAGGGGGAGCTCACGTAATTGAACTGCACAACGACGACACTCTGCTGAGACTGCACAACAAAGTCGTCAAAGTTGTAGTTGATAGAGTTCAGCTGTGCAAAACCGCCACCAGAGAAGTAGAACAGCACAGGTAGCTTGGAAGTGCTGGTGGCGTTGGATGGAGTAGTCACGCTGATGTACAAGCAGTCTTCGTCCAGCGTAACGCCTCCCAAAGGCGAGGTGCCGGTCGTCTGGCCGACACCTACACAAACTGCCTTGAACTGAAGCGGAGTCAGCCTGGAATGATGAAAAGGCCTTGAAGAAGCAAACCTCGGCAGCAGATTGTGTACCAGCAATAGCAGGCGGGTCCTGAGGAGGTCGCCAACGCAATTGGCCGACCGGGGCAGCGGCATACCTCATGCCGTAAAAGTGCGTGATGCCGTTGTTTGCTGCGATACCCTGGTAGGCCGCATAGTCGAGCGCAACAAGGGGCTGTAATGATCGGGGGCTGGTAAGTGATGCAGTCAACGACAAATTGGCCAGGCCCAGGACAGAGATCAGGACCATGAAACGAGCCATTGTAGATCCCGAAGCAAGCAAGGAGTTCAACAAGCTGCAATTCTGTCGCGTTTAGACCCAGGATGTAGCGAGCATCTTATATTGACGAACTTGGACACATCGTGTCAGCTCGACAGACTTCAGAACGCTCCGCTATCCTCAACACGAGGCCAGCTCGACTGATCACGACAACGAAAGTCGTCTCGGTGTGCTCATTCAACTCGGATAAACGGCTCTATTGCTTCCGATTCGTACGCTCGGATGAGCGGTGCTACTGCTTCTGGTCGCTGTGTTCGCTCTAACTTAGATAAGCGCTTCGCCCGCTTCTACTGAGGTTAACAGCTCTTTATAGAGTAGACTAGTAGACCAATTTTACTGGTCTAAACTTAACTTCTAGTACTAAGACCAGTGCCACATACACTTGTAGTTCAGGATCCTCGCTCCTAACCGATCGTACTCCAGAGGGGAGATCCAGCTGTCGTTGGTCATCCTAAGTTTCCCGAAAACACTACCACCCTTCCACGCCAGAACAGATGGGTCGAGCTCACGTGGTGGAGGAGCAACGAGGATCTCCTTTGGATACTGGGGCATCGCCGCACGCAGTCTTGTCTCGAGGTAGGCCTGCAAATGGGGCGTCTTGGACGCACCGCCGATAAGCATGATGCTGCCGAGAAAATCACGGCGCTTTCGCTCGTCAACCATGTCACTGTTTCCTGGAATCTTGCTAGCCCACTCGATGGAAGTCAAGATGGCACGATCCAGGGGCATAATCGGAACCGTGTTCTCTATGATTTCGGTGTCGGGTTGTGGCCCGTGAACATCCGGCAGGACGTCGCCATTGGCAGCATCGGCATCAGGCATAGGGGTTCCGCCATCGTCTGGTGGCGGTGATCCGGCGACCGACGATCGAGGAGTGCCGTCGTTGTCGCCGTTGAGATGTGTGGGCAGACCCAGCGGGCGCTGTTTGCTTGGTGTTCCAGCAACATTTGGTGTTGCCAGAAGGCGTGCTGGCTTTGGCGTGGGCGCCACCACGGCTGAGGGAATGTTCTGGTTGACGTAATTTATCACGGCTAGCTGTGCCTTTGACGTCGGTTCGTTGGGGCGTTGATCGTACAAGTCTACTGAAACTGGAATGAGCTTTCGTCGGCCAGTGAGCTTGCTGGAGTTGTCGAAGATGGACGGCCTGAAATATCCCATTGGAGCCAACATTCCCTCATCGTAGAGTTTGAATTGATACTTCCTGGTCTCCTGGCCGTGGACGCGAAGGTGAAACTCGAAGGTCTGAACGCTGATGTTCTCGTCGCTCATCGTGGTGTACTTCTCTTTCAGCTCCTCCGCCAATAAGAAGTCGTGGCGCCGCATGAGGTTGAAGTCGCTGTAGTTGAAGCGGTCGAACAGCATCATCTTGACGAACGTTTCCGTGACGTCGAACCCGCCATACTTGAGGTTCACGCGGGAGTCTTCGATGCACATGCCATCCTCCACACAGCAGACTGTCGTCTTCTCAGCGCCGAGGTCGATCATACACGCCGTGCTAAAGCCAGCGCCGAATGTGGCCGCGAGAGACTCTTGCATGAAGCAGACCCGCGCGAAGCCAAAGTCGATAATCATTTCTCGCAGGATGGTTGCAACGATGTTCTTCTCGTACAGATCTGGTATCAGAAAGACGCAGCTGTATTGGTTCCAGTCCTTCTTGTGGGGCATTTCGAGCTGCGTGTTGAGGCTGTCCTCTAGAATGAGAAAGAAATCACGCAGCAGCAGATTACGACTGCTGTAGTCCTTCTCATTCAACCACCCATGACGGACCGGCCAGTACAGATGATACTTCGGTTTTGAATCCTCTGGTATTCGAAGTGCAGGTGCTCCAACAATGTACTCAGGGGCTTCGGTTGTGTCAGTCCAGTCAATTCGCAGCGGGTCGTTGTGTTCGGAAATCATCTCTGGCGGGTTGGTGCTGTTCCACTTGGTCACCAACTCCCGTGAATTGGGCAGGACTCGGCGTTTGTTCTGCCGTCTCGCCGTTCGAAACTCTGATGCCATCGCGTTGTACTCTTTGGCAAACTATCACCTGTCAGCTTGTAGCCATGTCTGCAGTCTGATGCACCTACCTCTTCACCAAACCATTCCTCAGGAGGGGCATCTTCGTCAAGCTTGATACGCTTTGGTAGAGGCTCCGCATCCTCTGATTCAGTCCTGTCAGACTTCCTGGCAATGACCATCGGGACGGTCTTGGGCAGTGCATCGGTGGCGAAGCCTAGACGCAGGTTCTGGCTCCCGATGTGAATGACGACCGTTTTGTTGCCATAGTTTTCTCCCATGTCGTCCATGACTACGTCCTCATCGAGATCTGGGTCGACATCTGGAAACGGACCCTGTTCGCCATTCTGTGCGCGTGCTCTGTCCAGATCGACGGCCGCCTTCTTACGGCGATCCAGACGTTCTTCCTGTTGGAGTCGCAAAGCAAGAATCTGGTCATCTCTCTTGAGGAAGTCGCTGTTTACATGGTGGTCAGCAAGAGTAAACTAACACCACCATCAAACAAAGGCATGAAAATCTGCATGCTCCAAAAGTCGAGACGTTGATACCTCCGGACATATTGCACGTTCAGCGCATAGAGATCTTTCTTGCCTTTTCTCAAGCCGTCCAGGATCTTGCGCCCCACCATTGTCACTATACTAGGCGCCGGGGTTGTGGCGTTTGTAGAGCTGGCGGTGGTGGATATGCAAACGAAGCCTCAGGGGCGAAAGTGCAGGCGGGGGCAGAAACGGAAGTGACGACTCACGTGTAGTAGTTTTTCTGGTTGATCATGTTGACCTGAGGCCATGTTGTAAATTCCATATTATTGTCCGTGCGCTGCAGCCCTACGAGATGCTTAGTATGCATGATCCCTTTTACGGGACTGCGGAGGCGTTTTGCGTGTCGGTGCCATCAGAAGGGGCGGTGAATGCTGTGCCTGTCTGCATGGGTGCCCGCCCGGCTGCTGGATGTACTCTTTCGAGGGCAGTTTCATGGTCGTACGTACCTTCTTCGCGCAGCAGAGCGCGCTGCGAGCGTTTGCCCACCATCCTGGGCGGATGTCAAGGTTGGAGGCGAGGACGAGGCGGCGTATCTCTGGTCGAGTCTATGTTCGAGTCCTGGTCAGAAGAGGAGGTTTTCGATGGGCGAGATTGGCGCTGATGAAGGAACGATGTGTCTGTCGCAAGGATGAGCAGTTCAGCAGATGCGGGCACATGTGAAAGTGGGATCCATGGGCCTCTCGAGGCCGTTCGACGTCTATGGTACAGAGCCGAGTCGCTGCATCTAGTCGTGGGACGGGTATCGCGACTTGTGGCGCGTTTAGACTTTCGACAGGGGTCGTCCCGCCCGCGCGCGCTCGTCAAGTCGGCAGCACCCCACTTGCTGCTGGCGACGCCATTTCATGAGTTGTGCCTTGAACACCTCAACAGCTTTACCTCTGCTGCCAGCACATCGCCGCTGAACCAACACCCCCATCCTCTTCGATACAACATCGCCCATAAAGCCGGCACCATGGCAGGTACGATTCCTCATCCTCGCGACGAGCATACTCCACCTTGAAAGCGCCCAACCATGGCTAACAACCTCTGTTTGCAGACTTCGAGGGTATCGCGAGTACGTACGCCGGGCTTGAGGGCACCACCGATCATGACCTGACACCGAGCAGAGCAATTCGTGCAATTCTACTACCAGACCTTCGACCAGAACCGCCAGCAGCTCGCATCGCTCTACGTACGCACAACAGGCCCGCCAACCGGCATGGCATGCGCAAAGAGATGATCTGACGAGTGTGATACAGAGAGAAGACTCGATGTTGACCTTCGAGCAGACCCCAACCCAGGGTGCTGCCAACATCGTTCAGAAGCTCACGGTATGCGAATGTAGAAGTTTGGAGAGGGAAGATGAACAACGAGCGGTGACTGATGTGTGCTTGGTGACGTAGGATCTGCCATTCCAGAAGGTCGAGCACCAGGTTGCAACTCTCGATGCGCAGCCAAGCAATGGATCAGGAGGCATCATGGTCGTAGTGAGCGGGGCGTTGTTGGTATGTGAACGAGGTGCCTCTGTGCAATGGAATGAGCTCTGTCCTCTGACGTAGTGTTTCCAGGTTGACGAAGAGCGCCGGCCCATGAGCTACACGCAGACCTTCCAGCTTCTACCAGCCGACGGCAGCTACTATGTCTTCAACGACATCTTCCGTCTCGTCTACCCTGCAGGCGCCTGAGTTATGCTCAGTCATCGGCGATGAGGGAGGAGGGGAATGACAGGTTAGCTCTTCGCGGAGCGCAAGACATGGGCACGCATAGGAGTCGGGATGGAGAAAAGGTATACCAATGTGAGAAGAGCAGTGCTAGGAAGACTAGCATGGGTGGATGCTACTGAATACTGCATGCCACGATTTCACACCCCTGCGTACACAAGTCCTCAGGCCAACCGCGCCAGCATCTTCTGTGGAGCCAGAAATCCCATCCTCGGCGCCTTCAACCTTGTAGACGGTCTTGCCAGTTCCACGCAGATTCGATGTTGCATTGAAATCCCTCTTTCCTCAATCTCTTATCGCAACGCATGTCTAATTTTATCCGTCTCTGTTTCACGTTGAATACCTTCACCTTGGTCTTCAATCAATCCACTGGAGCGAAGGGTCGATATTTCCTGAAGTGCGTTTACTAAGAACAAAGAGCATTTCACGGAGAACCAAGCCGTGGTCTGGTCAAGTGCTGTGGACCCAAGCGAATCAGTGGCGAGGCCATTCGGAAGGAATTTCGCAAGAAGTGACTATATGACAGTGAGGCCTTATCTGCGTTGCTCTGCCTCCACATGTCTCGCGCCATATCTGAGAACATCATGCGGTCGTCGTGGCCCCCAAGATCTCGACCACGCGGCCTAGCCGACTAATGCTTGCCGTGGTTCCATTGTCGTTGTTGTTTGCAAAATCGGCAAGAACCTGATGGCCGAGAGTCTCTCGGATGAGCATCGACGACAATTCTCGACAGAAGCGCGGACATAGCAATGTTTTGTACAAGAGTAATAGTGGTGGTCGATGAAGGAGTGAAGTCTAAAGGTGTCGTTGCCGTGCTCACGCCCACGTGAAAGTGGGCCCACAGACCCTTGACCGCAGCTGGCTGGAGTGCTTGCTGTACGCGACTGCCTTGCGAAGGACAAGCTGACTTCCGCAAGCAATTATTGAGGCTCTGTCCACCCTCATCCCTCCGTCACCATCATCCCACTGCGATTTATTGCGCTGCCTGAACCAACCGAGCCGTCGTTTAAAGCGCCAGACGCCCGCCGACCGCGAGACTGAGGGCTGATCCAACATCCCTGACTCCATACGAAAGCTGTCAATAAGCAGGCCACCTTCTCTCAGTTCGACCTTCTGCCGCACCCACAGTCCCGAAATCGCCAAAGACCGTACTCCGCCCTTGACACTCAACCACAATGACGCTCGTCGAGGAGTTCAAGTCGAGGAATTTCAGTGAGTCTGCCCTCTCAACTAGCAGTCAACAGATGGGCTGACCGAGACACCGCGCAGGTATATACGGCCAATGGTATGCGCAGCCGCCAATCCGAGACCTCGAGTATGCAATGAACCCCAATTGACTCCCTCCACAGGACCGGCGTCATCTGCATCATCCTCTGCTTCGCCTTGGGCATCGCGAACATCTTCAACTTCCACTGGGTCATCCTCTTTAGCGTCATCTGCCTGTACGAAGCCCGCAACTTACTACGCAAAACCCCATCTAACTTTCTCAGTGTATGCGCCTTCATCATCCTCTTCATCGAGATCCCGCTCCTGCTTCGAATCTGCCCGACTTCGCCCAAGTTCGATGCCTTCATCCGCCGATTCGAGACCAACTACATGCGCGCGGCAATCTACGGCGTCATGTCGCTCATTCAGTGGCTATCCATCATCGCAAAGGTCACCTCGCTGATTGCCGCTGCCGTCGTTCTCCTGTTCGCAGGTCTGTTCTACGCGCTGGCTGGTATCAAGGGACAAGAGTTCCAGAGCAGTAAGACGCTGGGTGGGCAAGGTGTTGCACAGATGATCGTATAAAAGAGCGAGGTCTGCGAGATCAGTGGAGAGATGATGTTTGTTGATGCTGGAAGGAGTTTGGCGGATACCAATGCCACGAGTCTTCTTGCTGGTTGTGTTGAGCTTCTATCCTGCTGGATATTCTGAGCTCAGGACACGCGCTTCTAAGCGCTTTCGAACTTGCATGGAGCGAGGAGTCAACGAGTTTACGTATACTGTACTTTTACGAGCAGACGAGCTGCTGTCGAAATAATGGGGCCTTTACGAGTGCGGTACCTTTTGGCACCGAGTTAGAGAGACCAAAGTCACATGCTTACCATTACCGCATTTTCAGCAATGTTTCACAAGACTCTGACGTGCAAGTTACTTTTCTTGAACCCACGTGATTTCACATGCTGCTCGCGTAAGAATAGCGCACTCCACCTCCGCCGCCGATCTCATCAGCACACTGTCATGGCTTCCCAATCTGACCACCACCGCCGACGCGAGAGCCATTCCAAGCGCTCTCGCTCACCTTACACTCGAGACCGTGAAGATGTGAACAGAAATCGATCGCGGTCGCCGCACCGAAAACGCCATCACCACCACAAACACCACGACCGCACGGTGAAGACGAATCTACCATACAAGAGGGCGCAGTTGAAGAAAGACGACTTCACCGAATACAAGGCTCTGTTCGCAGAGTACCTGGATGTGCAGAAGAGCATAGATATCGACAGCATATCGGAGCACGAGGCCAAGGGACGATGGAAGAGCTTCCTGGGCAAGTGGAATCATGGGGAGCTCTCACAGGGATGGTATGATCCTGAGATGAAAGAGCGAGTCGACGAGAGGTGGAAGACACGGCCGAAGGCATCCCGACCCAAGCAGCGGGTGCCTGCAGAAACCAACGCCGGCGAGGAGGATGAAGATGAAGACGATGATGGGTATGGTCCAGCTTTGCCTGGCAAAACTTCCTCCCGACCAGGTCCAGCTATACCGAGTCTAGACGACCTCCAACACCGCCAAGAGCTCGCCGACGAAGACCGATCGGCACGAATAGCAGATCTGCGGTACGAGCGCAAAGCAGACCGCAATCTTCAGAAAGAACGCGCGGAAGAGCTAGCCCCACGCGCAGATCCTGGCTCACGAGAACGGCAGATGGAGAAGAAACAGGTAGTCACGGCTGTCAATCAGGAATTCAAAGACGCCAAAGATGGAGGAGATGTGGAGGTTGGTGACAATGAGCTGATGGGAGATGATGGTGTGGATGGCTATAAGAAGCAGGTGAACGAGATGGAGAAGAAGAAGAACGAGAGAGAATTGAGGAAGGAGGAGGTGTTGAGAGCACGCGCGGCTGAGAGGGAGGAGAGACTGCAGGCTCAGAGGGCGAAAGAGGAGAAGACGATGAGCATGTTGCGTGGTTTGGCGAGGGAGAGGTTTGGGTGATATCAAAAGAACCTTTTGCACGGACAGGCGGTTTACAGTATTCTTGTCGTTGCCATGCTTCGACGAGGCACTCTATACAGCGAGAACGGAGTAGCTGAGCAGCCTCGCCAGTTCTACGCACCATCAACTCGACGTCTTCTGTCCGATCACAACATTGAAAGAGTAGCCATCCCCGTCCTCGAATCCCGCCGCAAACATGGACCGCAAGTCTTCCTCCATCTTCGCCATCTCCTCCGCACTCCTCCTCGGACTGCTGGTTCTGCGCAACACCCCACTCAACATCGGCAAGATCTTATCGCCCAGCCCGTCCAGCTCAGGTTTGTCCGGCCTCGACACCGGAGGAAACCTATACACGGTCTCATGGATCTCACTTAGGCCGCCCACTTGTTTGAAGAGGCCGGTGAGCTTAGGCCCAACCTCTGGATCAAGACCGACGGCGTTAGCATCCGCTCGCCACAAGGGGTAGTGAAACCACGTCTCGGATAATAGTGTGCCGTCCGCCTTGATGCAGTTCACGGATGCTTCTTGAACCTCGAGCCAACCTCCCGGTCTCAATAGCCCGGAAATGTCAGAAAGGTACTTGGGCCAATTGGTCATGCCCATGAAAAGCAACCTTTCAAACACATAATCAAACGACCCAGCTTCGAACCTCGGATCATTGCGATCCTTCATGAGTTCAAAGATGTCTGCCTGGACGTACTCGATATTCTCCATCTTGGTGTACCTCCCATCTGGGACCGCAGAGAAATCAACGCCAATCACCTGAGCATTCGGGTACATTCGTGCGAGCAGGTAGGTCATGGCGCCCGTGCCACACCCAACGTCTAGGATCTTCTTTGGATTTGATACCGGAGCGTGGAAGGGTTTGCCGCCCATCAAGGCCACTAGAGATTGGGACTGGCCATCTAGACGGTCGTGCTCTGAAGCGCTGCTGTTCGTCAGCTCAGATCGGCCAGCACAGGTCGGAACCCTTACTCATTCGGCAACAGATACACACCCGCCGCATCATAGTATTGTCTCCCATCGACGATATTGTTCGCTGCTGCCATGTTAAAGACGAAGGTACCAATCCTACAGCTCTCATACAGGCAACTTCCAAGACATCCTGTGGCCTCCCATTCAGACAGCTATATACCGCACCATTGCCCCTCGCATTTCAAGCCCTTTTGGGGCCCCTGAACGCGACCGCGTCCCACCTAAGGACTCCTCGCGTCAAGTGCTCAGAGACCGGACCATGCTTCCGACCGAGATAGGGCTGCGGGACAACAGAGTAGGCATGCGTCCCGCACGAGGCTGCAATCCGCTTTTTCGCGCTGTTAGGGTTTGCGCTCCTTCCACCTGACAAACTTCCGGGGGCTGTTTGTACTGATGATTAGCAATGCTATCCTCTTGCCTCGGACTATTGTACTCATTCGACATTCGAGTCCTCCGGAGGGTTCACTTGCGTGAACCAGAAACAAGGACGATGCGTTGCCTGTAGTCATGGCTCGAGGCTCGAGGTGAGAGACAGCCTATTTTACGCGGTTATCTCATTCGAGGTGATCGTGGAGATTTCCTTCACCACCGGTCAATTTCCCCCAATCGAAGCATGCCTCGCAGCAGTGTAGCTGGCTCATCGACATGGCACATTGACATATCTTCCAGCGCTCGAGATGAGCTTCATACCATGAAAAGTGGGAAAGCTGTGCCAGGCCCAGGACGACACGAAACGACATGTCCAGCTTGCCAACGAGTGCATTGCAGCTTCTTCGGCGTCAGATCTCGAAAACAATAACCCGTGGGCGACCCTGGGAGACATTATATAACATCACATTGGCACCAATTGACCTTCTGACGTCGTGCAAGAACGTCCATGGACTTTCCGGACGTTACCCATCTAGACCTCAGCCACGAGTCCGCCACGAGAACACTACTGCTCGAAGAATGGCATGTTCACCACCCGGAGCAGTGAGCAGGTCGACTTAGACCACACCATTATTCAGCAGACTCCAAGCGAGGATCGGGAAGTGCGAGCGCAACGAAGAAGAAGCTGAGAACAATATGTTAAGTGAAGCACCTCAACGCCTACTGGCGAGCTTTTCTCATACTGTTCCACCGCAGAGATGATATTTCTTACCCCAGCGCTTGTTTTACTATCGTTGGTTCTGTCAAGTGTCAGCGCTCAAAGATCGTCAGTAAAGCAAAATGAACACCCATATGCTCCCTACTCCGTGCAGTGCCCAACGAAGTCTTCATTGACAAGACCGGCCAACTGCCTCAACCACCACGAGAGTGCCTACGTTTTAGCGAGGAGGAAGAAGGCCTCGCATTTCCTGGACCAATGGCTCCACAAGACCGTACCCGAATGGCCCCTAGAGGACTGCAACACCCCAACTTTGGCCCTCGCTCTCAGTGGCGGCGGGACGAAGGCTGGCTTGACGAATGCTGGTGTGATCCAAAACCTCGACGGTCGCGAGAGCGGAAAGTCATCCGTCAAGGACCTTTTACAAAGCGTGACTTATGTGTCTGCTCTTTCCGGCGGAGCTTTGACGTTATCTGGCATCATGGCCAATGACTTTGCCAAAGTATCCGTGTTGAAGAAAGAGCTTTACAATCGCAGTTTCCAGAATCCGTTTGGAATTGCGTTGAACAATTCCAAAGTCTTGGTGAGATGCCGGAAAGTCTTCGCAAGTGGTAGATGTGTTTGACTGACAACGGAAGCAGCTCGCTGACGTTGCGAGCAAGACGGCGGCGGGATATCCTGCCACGCTCCTGGACGTGTACGGCAGGACGAACGGGTACAACTTCATTGGCGCAGCTCCAGCCGGCGCTGATGGTCTGACGTGGTCGAATATCACCACGCAGCCAAGTTTCAAGGACCATGAGGCTCCATTTCCCATCATAACCATCTCCCAAGCCAATGTCGAAGCAAATCAATGCGAGCCGACCGAGATGGGGGCGATATGGGAAGTTTCACCTTTCGAGTTTGGAAGTTGGGACGAAAAGGTCGATGCGTTCTTTCCCACCAGGTATATGGGCTCGACGAATGGCCGGGGATCGAAGACTTGCACTGCTGGCTTCGACAATATCGGGTTTATCACGGGCGCGTCGTCGAACATCCTGACAGTATGAGTCCATTGCCCCCAAACAACAGAACACCAACTCACAATCTCAGGGCCCCGGAAAGTGCTTCCCCCGAAACTTCACCAAATCCGACCTCAGCGCACTAGCAACAGTCATCGACGTGACCTTCCCCAGCAACGTCCTCCTCAACCCCTACGCCATCATCCCAAACCCCTTCCACCTCGACCCCAAAGCCGGCGTCATCCGCAAACAGAAATCTCTCTACGGCACCGACGGCGGCGACACAGGCCAAAGCATCCTCCTCTTCCCCTTCCTGCAGCCAGAACGGCGCGTCGATGTCATCCTCGCCATCGACGCGCAGACGTACGCTCCCGGCAATGTCACGAATGGCTCGGCGATCTATAACACGTTCCTCTCCGCGCAAGCGAACGGGCTGGCGAAGATGCCTCTGATCCCCTCGCCGGCGGAGTATAAAGCGCAGAATCTCTCTTCGCGCGCGCAGTTCTTTGGTTGTTATGAGGAGGGGAAGACGACGATTGTGTACTTGCCGAATGATCTGTCTAGTCGGATTTCGAATCAGCAGTACTTTTTCTCACCCGAGGAGATTGAGTATTTGTTTGTGGGAGGGCGGGATTTGATTACGCAGGAGGGGGATGAGGAGTGGCCGGGGTGTTTGGCTTGTGGAATTATGCATAAAGAGTCTAGTGCTCTGCCTGGGTCCTGCGGGAGGTGCTTGGAGAAGTACTGTTGGAAGCCGAGTTGAGGATTGTATCTTGAAGGTATATAGATACATGTCCTCACACGGACTATCGATCGACCTACCATCGTTGAAGGTATACACAGTCCAAGAAGTGTCGTATGTCACAATATTCAGACTTCTCTAAACAGCTTCACCCCCGAATCAATCTGATTGGGAATATTGTTATCCGTAAACTCCCACCACCCTATCACCAAACAAGTCAGCAAATCTCTCACAAAACGACACATTCAACCTGCGAGGAAAAACTCACCATCACAACTCTGCGCCACCACCCCGGGAATCTCCATCTGCCTAACCAGCTCCGGCTTCTGCATAACATTAATATACAACCCCTGTCCGACATGCCACGCAATATGACAATGGAACGGCCACACGCCCGGATTATCCGCTTTCAACTGCGCAACCAGATACCCATTCGGCTTGAGACTCTGCGTATCGCGTCTCTGCGGATTCGTCGGCCGGACAGCACTAACCCCATCATACGCGCCGACGCCCTCGTCGACGACGTACATATTCTGGCCGTGCACGTGCATGGGGTGGCCGAAGGGAACGTTGTTCTGGAAGATGATGCGGATGGTGTCGTTGGCGCCGAAGTTGTAGACGTTCCATTGGGGGTCGTCCGGGTAGGACGTGTTGCCGTTGTAGGTGAGGTTTAGTAAGGGGTGGTTGTAGTTTGCGCGGAAGGTTTGGCCGTTCATTTCGTAGTGCGTGTAGCCGGTTTCGTTGACGGTTTGGGTGATTTGGATGGTGATTGTGGTGTCTGGGGGGTCGAGTTTGATGGGGTAGTAGGGTTCTGTTAGGGTCAAAGCGTCGTTGCCGCAGTTTATGAGGGTGGGGGTTATGAAGTCGAGGTTGGGGAGTGAGAGGGGTTTGGTGTTGGTGTCGATGCCGTCGTAGTAGACTGCTGCGAGGGCGAATGGTTGAAGCGACAGAGCACAGAGTACTGGCTGGCGTACTCGAAGCCAGTAGGCCCCAGGTATTTGATTCGCCGTGATGAGGACGTCCGTCCGCTGTCCGACAAAGAGCTGAACTTGACTGACAGTGTACGGCTTGACGGCGACAAAGTCGTTTGCGACGACAGTCATCTTGTGGCTGTCCAGGCTGACAACCATGAATGCTGCCGCAGAAGTGTTGATGATGCGCAAGAGATGTCTCTTCCCTCTTGTGAAATTGAACTTCGCCAGTCCAGCATTGCTCGTACAGTTCGACCCTGCTGGTGCAGCCGAGCAGTCTACATTGCCTTTGCCTTGGATGAGAGTGTTGCTCGACGTGACAAGTTCCGCGACAGCTACATTGTTGCTTTCGGATTGTTGGACGAGGGTGTAGTAGTCTGTAAGGTACGAGTCTGATACAAGAACTGGACCGATATCCACGACATCGCTTCCTCCACCAGGGTAGTTGTCTCGTGGTCCGTGAATGATCATCGGGCCGAGCAGACCACCAGCATACTGCGCAGAGTAATGAGAGTGATACCAGCTTGACCCATACAGATCCGCCTTGAACTTGTACGTGAAGGACTTCCCCGGAGCGATTGGACACATCTGCACAGACGGCACGCCATCGTACCAAGGCGTTTCTTTCTGAAGCAGACCATGCCAATGAAGCGCCGTCCCCTCTTCCGGTCCAGTGATTGAATTCGTGACTGTCACTTCAATCATATCGCCCCAGTTCGCTTCGATCAGGGGCCCTGGGTACTGCCCATTGATGAGCATCATCTCTTTCGGTATTCCCTCAGGAGCAAGTGTTGCTCGAGCGATTGTAAAGTCATAGGATCGAGTCACGCCCGTATCAGGTGTCTGCTCATAGACGTTCGTGCCACCAGCCGTCATATTGCCCCACGGTATTCCTTGTGACCCGCCCAGGAAGGGAGGCAGGACTGGCGTTGGGAGCAATCCAAGGGTACTGTTGCCATTCTGTAGAAGGCCAGGTAAGATCGAGACCAGAACACCGACCGAGCTCAGCAAGTTGTTGATGAAGGTGACGTTTCCAAGGCCATCGAGGATGGGGATCAGACCGGACATGGTTGTACTTAGATCAGGGTATTGATCAAGTTATTCAGTCGAGTAAGGAGACTGTAAATCCCTTCTATCCCTCATAGCCGGCACGAAGGATGCGCTCACTCGGAATTGAATACTTGTCGTCCTTGGGCTGTCGACGGAGGGCATGCGCTGGTAGCATCAAGCTGGACAATGCCACAATTATAGGAATCATGTCAAGCCTGGAGACGTAGAAAGCGAGTCGCATACGAGAGCATAGCGCCACGCTAATTGATCTTTCAGAGCGGTCCACGATAACAAGCTTATATTTCGCCTCGGCTGGTTGGTCCATCTTTGGTTCAGTCGAAAAGTCGGTCGTCGGAAAAGCAAGATAGCCTTTCGATCTGCGTTGTGCAGTCGCTTCGCAGCTGTAGGCCACCGTAGAGGAGGTGATTAGGGTGCACCGTGAAAGTGATGTGGCGCGAAACTGCGTTAAATCGTCTCGTGATTGGTTGGTTCGTTTGTATTTCGCCCGTTTTGGTCGTTGAGCGGAGTCGTTCCTCAATTGCACATCATCTTGGTGTATGTGGTGTTGGCCTTCGACCTCGCACTTCCATCGAGATGATCGAAAGATATGAAGTGGATACTCCCCATCATGAACGCTTTTCTTGACCGACAATCGGGCCATTGGCTCGTTCGTTTGTTGTTTACATAGTTGGCCGAATTGTGTTGATGAAGATACAAGGCCTTCACGATCGCAGTACAGTGGCAACTTATCCTCGCTCGACGAGTTGATGATGTACGTTGGGAAGGCCGAGTCCCAACGGAGAATACAGTCTTGTCGATTGGGCATTCGCGAAGGACCCAGGAGCACTCTTAAAAGATCAGTGATGAGCAAGTTTGAGACTGATAGTGCATCGAGCTTACGCCCAAAGGTCTGTAGACATAAGTCGATCATAAGGCTTCATGGTAGCAACTTGGCCTTAGGCGATGTGGTGGTTTTGGTGGTGTCAGCCCGGGAAGATATCCAGTGAAGACACCTGGCCATGGAAACGTCCAAGCCAGAACCTGTGCTCTCTTTTGATCGATGAGGTTTCCTGCTACGTTCCGCATTGTGCGAAGGCATCTTCTCCGTGATGTAGAATAGCCCCCAACTTTGCACGTGATTCTGCTGTCTGAAGCTGCAAGGCACAGCTAGGCAGCTACCGTGCACGGATCATCATTCGATATAGCAGCATCTGGGAAGCTGATATATTCCGCTCAACCGTTCATTCTTCAACCATTTTGCATCGAAATTCCAGGTGAAGATGGTCCAGACCAGGACGAGGAAGTACAGGGTAGCGAAGAAGAGTTTCGAGAAGTCTGCCAAATCGAAGGTGAGCTTTCTGATTCGTGATCCACGAAGGCGAGATCCCTGCACAGAGTCCAGAAGGTCCTTGGAAATTTCATAGACATGCGATTGTCAAGACGAGCTTCTGGACGCCTGCGCGACTCTGTCCTCTTCTGGCAGTCAACAGCGGCTGGCACCCAGTGGCACGGCAATGTTCGGCGTTCCGCTTACAGGGCCAGCAAGGCGAATACGTCAGGTTCAATTGCAGCGAACACATCATGTCTAACTTGGGCTCGTGGAAGAATGTCCTAGTCACTGATCCGCCGTGCTTCGAGGCGGACGTGAGCCTGAAATTCGTGGTTGGACATTACGGCATTCCCGACGGAACGATGCATCTGAACCGGAAGGTGAGAAATCTCGATGGCTTGAGATTCTCAGACCTGATCATTGGTGCGTTGAAGATGCCGGGCCGAGTGTCCTGGTCTGTGAACGGAAGGTCGTACAACCATGAGTATAAGCGTCCAGATATGGTGCTGAAGAGGATGGAGGAGCGGCTCGGTGTCAAAGCTATTCTCGACGTTGGACGCGAGCAGGCGGCTTCGTATACCAGAGCATTTTTGAGCGGGATGGCGATCCCCGCCGAGGAAGAGTGGTCGACTGTGAAGTTAGCTCCTGGGAATCAAGCTGGATAGCATACAAAGCGTGTATAGAACACATATGTCATTTCGAATCTTCAATTCTTACAGTGCTTCCGTCTGGAAGATGCACGCCATGCTGTGGGCTGTCATCCTCGACAGCCGAACTCCCAACGCGATGCACAATGCCGAAAGTGCAGACCCATATAAATATCCTCGTTATGAGTTCTCCCCTACCGTTTGCTGTGACCTTGTTAGCATGGTCCCACCCAGTCGCCTCCTAAAGAAAACTCACCACCAACCAATCCATACCCTCATTAACACCTTTCCCCGTAATAGCACTACACGCCATAATACTCCAATTCCTATCCTTCAACTCCCCCAGCTTCAACGCCTCACTGATATCCCCCGCCCCCTTCGCCCCCGGCTGATCCTGCTTATTCGCAAACACCAACAACGCCGCATCCCTTAGCTCCTCCTCATCCAGCATCGCCCGCAACTCCTCCTGCGCCGTCTTCAACCGATCCACATCCGTGCTGTCAATCACAAACACCACCGCCGCCGTGTTCGCATAGTAACACCGCCAGTACGGTCTTATGGAGGTCTGGCCGCCCAGGTCCCAGACGTTGAAGTTGAGGTTCTTGTAGGTGACGGACTCGACGTTGAAGCCGATGGTGGGGATGGTGGTGACGACCTCGCCGATTTTGAGGCGGTAGAGGAGGGTGGTTTTGCCGGCGTTGTCGAGGCCGAGGATGAGGATGCGGATTTCTTTTTGGGCCCAGAGGAGCTTGGTGAACATGGAGAGGGCGCCGCCCATGGTGGTGGGTTGTGGTGCTGCGGCGCTGATTAATGTGGTGGTGGTTGTGGTGGATAGAGAGGTGTTCTTTCAGGCTCTCTGGTTCGGTGTCCGTGTGGGTTAATATGCTGTGGTTGGCGATGAATGGGATAGCTTTCGATCCGTTCAGAGACGTCTCGGGATATTGCTGGAGGTGTCAGTCAGTGGTGTATCCAGGCGAAGAGTGGTTCGAGCAGTTGAGTGTTGCTTACCTGACTGACAGCTGCCAGGGACGGCCGCAGGTCCGGCGGGCTTTGTCCGTGCGCTGCTTGCGATTTGCTTCAAATTTCGTTGAAATCCATCGACCTGCTCTTTCTTCCATCCCACACACCATCAAACCCGACTTCACCTGCTCTGCGCCGACGCATGCCATACGCAAATCAAAGAATGAGATGCCAGTGTATGAGCCTTCTCTGGGTTTCTGCGTAGCTGCCAGAGCAGGGTCGAGTCAAATGGTACGTCCAAGCAGTTTTCTTATCATCTCCCTCCCCTCACATGATTAATTACAAACAAACGATAACTGTCGACCACACCATGGGAACACAAACATTCAAGCTCAACAGTATGAACTGAGAAGATGACGACGCATTGCATGAGACACTCTTCGGCTGGATTCAAAGCTAACGAGGTCTTTCAGATCTAGGTTCCATGTACAACAGTATCATACGATATTCCACCACTCAATCAAGCGCCAACAGCCTTCAAACTCTTCACAGTATCCACGATGGAGTCTTCGAATGACCTCCACTTCACGCCCAACAACTTCTGTGCCTGACTGTTATCGACCTTGAATATGCCCTCTTCAGGCAACGTTCCGCCGGGAGTCTTCTCCGACGGCACCTTGTCCTTATACTCGGGGAAGTTCTTTGCAATGACATCCGCAATTCGCCGGTTGCTGAAGTGACCCTCGGTGATGAAGAATCGCTTGTTCGCTGCGTCCTCCTGCTCCATCGCCAAAACGTGAGACAATGCAAGGTCACGAACATCAACCCAGATGAAGGTGCCAGTTGCTGGGATCTCGTCCTTCCACTTGCCGAGCATACAGTCGCGGATTCGCTGGTTGGATGTGTTCAGTGCATCGAGAGAGTTGAGATAGTGGACGATTGGACCCAGCACAAGAGGAGGGCACATGGTGGACACGGTGAAGTTTGGCTTCTCGTTCTGGACAAAGTCCCAGGCGGACTTCTCGGCGAACGTCTTGGAGGCACGATATCCCGTCGCTGGATCGTTCTCCGCCTCCTCGGCTGTGACTGGGTTCCAGTCGGCTTCGCTGTACGTGTGTTCCGGCCATGACGCCTTCTTGGGGTTGACGATGGATGCGAAAGAGCTTGTGACGACAACGCGCTTTACGGTCGGCGCGCGCTTCTTGATAGACTTGAGGACGCCAGTGGTCCCAATGATTGCCGGGTCGAGCAGTTGCTTCTTGACGTCGGTGACGTTGAAGTGGAACGGGGAGGCAGTGTGGATGACAGCCTCGAAAGGCGGATCGGAGACGACGGCCTTGTCGAACGCACCCTCCTGGGCGATATCTTCAACCAAGGCAAAGTCCAGCTTGTCCTTGCCATACTTGGGGTGGGCCTCCTTAATCTTGTCGGCTTTCTCCTGTGATCGGACGGTCGTTACGACCGAGTGGCCATGCTCGAGGAGGTAGTCAAGCACATGAGCGGCGATGAAACCAGATCCACCAGTCAGTAGGACTCTCATATTGCTGGCTGTAGATGCGTGGAATTGGGCTGTTTGGGATGAAAGGAGGGGAGGGAAATGTCTTGGAGATTGAGCAGAAATGGCGGTATAAGTAGTGGTGGCGAGGAACGGCCTTAAGATGGAGCGAAACATGACAACTTTTTCCAATGCCTGCATGCACCTTTCAATCTTCTATCTCAAATCGGGCGCGGTGATGTCATGACCAGTGATTTGATGGGCGATTTGATGATGAATCCACGGCAGAGGCTTCGGTTACCACGGCCGGCGACTTTCGATAGGGCAGACCAGAGGGTGAAGAAGGCCGGTGTTGCTGGTTGTCGACAGCGATATGGCTGTGTGTCCCCCTCGTCTGACCAATATTGCCCTGATGTATCGGTGTTAGGTGGAGTTGAGTGCGCGTGCGGCCGACCAGCCCAAGCCAGCTTCGGCGTCGCAGCTGGGAGAGCTCCAACGAACATGGGCTGCCTAACCAACCTTGACCTTCACCACCACGCCCAACCCTAGGGCCACCCACCGAACAACTCTCCGCTCCAGCACAACCCACCATGGCCATGAACTTCGCCCCCTACCAATCCTCGCCGCCCGAGAGCGAACGTGCCAAATCGCCGCCGCCGCCGCTACGCTCCCCAACCGCCTCGCCCAAACCGCATCAACAACACCGCCGGCAGCCCTCGCGCAACATCTCCTCCGTCGCCGATCAAGAAGACCCCTGGGCCGCCGCGCGCGCACAGAGGTTGCCTGACCCATCGCAGTACGCCGACGACGACGACCTCGAAAGCGGAGGGTACCAAGACCTGGATAACTCAGGCCCCCGGCCTTACAACGATCGGTACAATGATTATATTGGAAACAGCGCGCTGCAGGGTGGAGGCAACACGGGTGGTGTGAGCATATTCGAGACGTCGCTGGGACTGCCGCTGCGGATTGAGGCGTGTCTGGCGTACTTGCTTCTCCCTCCCGCGGGCGGTGTGGTGCTCTTGCTGTTCGAGCACAAGAGCGATTATGTGCGGTTTCATGCTTGGCAGAGCGCGTTGGTGTTCAGTGCGCTGTTCCTCATCCATGTCATCTTCAGCTGGACGGCCGTCATGAGCTACATCATCCTGGTCTTTGATTTGCTTCTGATCGGGTATCTGGTCGTGGGTGCCTGGAGGAATGCTGAGACGTTGGACAGGGTTGAGTTGCCGGTGTTTGGAAGGCTGGCAAGCAGTTTTGTGGACGATGAGTGAGGGAAGACCTGAACAGTTGGGAGAGTGGGCAGGACGAGATGATGTTTTTCTTCCGTTTCCTTAGCGATGGCGTTCGGGGGTGGGAGGGAAAGGGTTTTGAGATTCGTGAGCTCTTATCTTCCTTGGGTAATACAGTGTGTTGATATGCTGAGGTGTATAGATACCAGTTGAATCCGCGAAGTATCGCGAGCTCTATAGCAGTTGCCAACAGTGGATAGAAGTCTTATATCGATATCCATCGTCTACCTTGACCGTATTCCCATGGAGTGCTGCAGAAGGGTAGGAGCGGTCTTCATTTCACCAGCCCTGAACCCGGAGTATGGCCTGGACACAGCAAGCCTCCAATGACTTCTCTAAGCGGCTGACTACAGCTACTGGCTTGTACATACACCAGTGTTGGCAGCTGTCGATCGTACCCTATGCGCCAAAGCTCCTGGAGGGAATCCCCTCAACATTGGCGTTCGACTAGCGGCAAGTCGAACCTCTTATAAGACCGCGAACAATCTCTGCGAATGAAGAACCGGGTCGACTCCCCTTGAATGCGCAGCTCGTGTTATTGTTTTGTGGACAATGCCTCTTGACATCGAAGGCAAGACTGCCCTCGTCACGGGTGCTGGATCAGGGATATGCCTGGCCTTTGCACAGCAATTGCTGCAGAAACGCTGCAATGTTGTGATTGCCGATTTGGTGTTGCAGCCGGACGCTGAAGAGACTATTAACAAGCACTCATCTGGAAAGCCAAGGGCGGTATTCATCAAAACAGACGTCACCGACTGGACGCAGCTCCAAACCGTCTTCGACAAGACGATTGACGAGTTTGGATCTCTCGACATCGTCTGCCCCGGAGCCGGAATCTTCGAACCGCCCTCCTCTACATTCTGGAACTACCCTTCACCAGTCGACACAGCGGTAGCTTCATCCTACAAGACTCTAGACATCAACCTCCAATCCCCAATCCGCTGTACGCAACTCGCGATCGATGCCTTCGCCAGACAAGGCCACAAGCACGGCGTCGTCGTGCACATAAGCTCCAGCGCAGCCCAAGTCGCCGCGTCACCGGTCCCCTTATACGCCGTGAGCAAAGCTGCGATTTCCCATTTTGTGCGATGCATGGGCGTGCTGGAGTAGACGATGGGCGTCAAGGTCGTGGCTGTTGCACCGGGGACGACGCAGACGCCTTTGTGGGATGCTAGTGGGAGGCGGGGGTATGTGGATGAGGAGAAGGGGGATGAGTATATGCAGCCTGGGGAGATTGCGGGGTGGATGATTAGGATGGTGAGTATGGGTTGCAGTCTTTCGCTCGTAGTGTGGATGCTGATTGCATCTTACGACAGGTCACGGAGGAGGAATATGGAGGCGGGACTATCTTGGAAATTGCAAGGGAGAAGAGCAGAAGAGTCGAGTTGTTGAATGATCCTGGGCCTGATATGACGGCCAAAGGGCTGCGAATGTCGAATCTCGATCTGGGGATGAAGCAGATGATGGAGGGGATTGAGAAGAGTTTTGGCAAGTAGTCAAAATACTAGGGAATGCCGTACTGATGAAGACAACAGTTCCTGACTGCCATCGCTACTAACACGGTTCTCGGTATCAGCACTTGTCCAATCGTTCCTAGCCTGATGTTGCAAGCGCAGATAGGCCACATGCCTGTCACGGCAGATTGGTATCTTGGCCGTGTAGGTTTTCCCAACAGAAAACAACTAATGTGCTTTATACAGATGCCCTTTCAAATTGTTTGTGGCAAACTACTCTTTTCAAAAAGCAATAGAACATTGGATGGGTGTGGCAATGGCTCCTCTCAAACGAGCTATCGTCACGTCTCTGGCCTTGGTCTGCGCATCAACCAACGCCTTCCCAACAGCAACAACCCTCAACGGAACGTACACCGGCCTCCACAACGCAACAACCAACCTCGACTACTTCCTCGGCATCCCCTACGCCCAGCCCCCGATCAACGCCCTCCGCTTCCGCAACCCCGTCCCCCTCAACACCTCATGGACCGGTACGCACACCGCCCAAGCCCTCGGAAACAGCTGCATCGGCTACGGCAGCGACATGGCCGGCCTGACTCTCTCCGAAGACTGCCTGAACCTGAACATCGTTCGTCCAGCGGGGAGTTTCTCCGAACCACTCCCTGTTGCGGTGTGGTTCTACGGAGGAGGGTACTACGAGGGGTCTGCGAACCGACCGGCCTATAATCAGACGAGATTCGTGGCGAATTCGGTGGAGATGGGGTTGCCTGTTATTGGCGTGGGGTTTAATTATCGGTTGACTGCGTTTGGGTGAGTGGTCGATCTCATCAGTCTATTTGTTGACGAGTGAGTGCTGATGGTGAGTGTATAGGTGGCTTTGGAGCGAGGAAACGCAGGCGTTGGGTGATACGAACATGGGGCTGAGGGATCAGAGACTGGTGCTCCAGTGGATTCAGGAGAATATCGCGGCTTTTGGGGGTGATCCGAGGAGAGTTACGATTTATGGGGAGAGTGCGGGTGGGATTTCGATTGGGAAGCATCTTATGGTGAGAAAGAAGTTCAATCGCTTCGTTGGGTTTGATTGTGCTGATGAGAAGAATCCCAGGCATATGGAGGCCGCGACGATGGGCTCTTTCACAACGCCATCCTGGAAAGCGGCGGTCCCCTGGAGAAGTGGCCGTATGGCTTCACGAACGCCACGGAGTACATGCTGACTGTCTACAACAACCTGACCGACGCAACATGCTGCTCCAACGCCACCAGCCCACTCGAATGCTTGAGATACCTCCCCTTCTCCGCCCTCAACGCAGCCTTAAACATCACCAACACGTGGATAGCCGGCACAGGCCTCGGCCCCTTCATCGCCACCCTCAACAACGATATCCTCCTCCAACCCGCCACCACCCAAATCTCCACCGGCGCCTTCCTCAAAGTCCCCATCCTCTACGGCACCAACACCGACGAAGGCACCGCCATCGCCCCGGCAGGAATCAACACGGACGGCGACTTCGCCCGCGAGATCTCCAAAGGCGGCCCTGACGTCCCCACCATCGAAACCCTCCAACTCCTCTACCCGGACATCAATGCCATCGGCATCCCAGCGACGTACAACCCACTCCCAAAAACGCCCTCCTCCTACGGCGCGCAATGGAAACGCGCCGCAGCCTACTGGGGCGACATCGTCGAGCACGCGCCGCGTCGCGCCGTCACGACCGCGTGGGCGAAACACAACACCACGGCGTACAGCTACCGCTTCAACGTCCAGCCCGTCGGGAACGCGGACGCCATCGGCGCGACGCATTTCGCCGAGGTGGCGTGGGTGTTTGATAACGTCGATGGGGTTGGGTATGAGATCAACCCGTTTGGGGACGTGCAGAGGTATAGGGAGTTGGCGGGGTTGATGGGAAGGATGTGGGTTTCTTTTGTGTGGTTTTCGGATCCGTATTGGCATGGTTGTAAGTTTGTAGTTCCCATCCCATCCCTCGTGTTGGAGGAGAGATTGTGCTGACGATATTTTTGTGCGTAGTGAGTGATATCCCGACCTGGCCGAAGTATGAAGTCGCTGGCGCTGGGGTTGGGAGCAATTTTGTCTTTGAGGGGAATCGGTCTTCGTGTGTGGAGGTGGATGATTTTAGGGCGGCGCAGATTCAGTACTTGATTGATGTTATGCCAGGGCAGTTTCATTACTGAGGTGTGAGGCGGAAGGCTTGGAGGATACGGTCGTCGCTCCTGAATGTTAGATGCTCGATCTCGTTCTGGCCCCTGATTTCTCGGTTGAGCAAGTCGTGGACTATGCCAGCGAGAGTTGCCACAGTCTAGGGAATGTCTGCGATGTGTCGGAGAGTCGGGATAGTGTAAGATAAAGTCTTACTTCCGCGCAGAGAGGCCGCTCTCGTGAACGTGGCGACAAGCACAGACATTTGCGCTTGTATTTCTCTTCCAGCCTCGAGCGTCCTCCCACCAACATAACCCCCACCCTAAAGCGACATCCATCAGAGAAGTCCTTTCATCACACCAGCAGCAGCGATGCCAAACACCACCACAACACCACCACCCACCTTCACGGCCTGCAACAAAGTCTGGTCCCTCCCCGAACCCCGCAACCACATCCTCCTCTCCCTCCCTCTCCGCGACCTGCGCAAAGCCCTGCTTGTCTGCCGCGACTGGTCCTCCCCCAGCACGCCCATGCAAGAAGTCGTCTTCCTCAAACCCCGCGGCTCCCACCGCATCGACATCGTACCGAGCGAGGACTCCGCCGAAAACTACTACAACGAGAAAGGCTGGCGGGATCCCTGGATGCTCAAGCTGCGAGGCCGCGAGAGGCGGTGCAAGCCGGTCCTGAACCCTTTCTTCCCATTCGATGACGGCCGTGTCCCGACGAATGTCCTCTTCTTCCGCCAGAGCGCGGCGTGGCATTCCGCGGATGCCACGTGGCCGGACGAGCTATTCCTGCAGCCGCCGGCGGTTCGCGTCAAATTTGTGTGTCTCGGGGGGTATCTGTCGAATGCGCTGGAGCCGCCTAGCAATGAGGATATGGATGCGATGTACGAGGGCGTGGAGGTTGTCAATCCGTCGGGGGTGACGCTGGGGGAGGTTGTGGTGGCGCTGAAGGGGCATGTGAATGAGTGTGAGGATTGTGAGTCTTGGATGCAGGCTGCGGCGGATCAGTTGTTGTGGCAGTTTCATGGGTCGAGGGAGGTGGTGGGCTTGAACTCGGATGTGACGGGGCTGGAGATGTTGCGGGTTATGCGCGAGTGTTGAGGAGGCGCAGACGTTGAAGTGAGGTACTGGACGGTAGATGAGAAATCTTCGGCCTAGCGTAGCCGCGAAGGAGGTTGAGACGTAGGTCGACGGCATGGATGAAATGAGAAAAGTAGAGATAGAGAGTGTATGAAAGTGGGAAGTACTCTTGCATAACATCGCCGCTGATGTCGATGGTGATGTTCGAACTGATTGTGAGATTGTATTATAAGACTCATCCCTTGGTGCTTGCTGAGTGAAGTAGATGGGCGTACACAATCAGGATGAAGATAAAGAGATAAGAGAAGGGGCCCATTCAAACGTATCGTCTCATTACTTCTACAAATCGCTACCACAGCATCGACACATTCACCACAGGCGACGTATCCCATTCAGCAGCATCCTCGGGCTGGTCCATCTCAAGCGGCCGTCGGTGCCAATAAGTCACGAAGCTCTGGGCCGCCCGCTCAGTATGAAACCCCAGAATATACACCTCCGGGGGCGTTCTTCGCTTCAGTTCAGCGTACTTCGGATCTTGTGATGATTGAGTGTGTCGCATGACATCAATCCTCATCTGCTCCTCCTCGGTGCGGTCCTTCAAAGCGTTTAATGCATTTTCATCATTCTGGATCGGGGATGGCATTAACTGAGGTGTCCATCTGGTGACTTTCATGTTGAGCTCTTCGCCGCCGTTCCAGCTGAGTCCTCTCGCTCTGCCGGTTTCCATTAGAATATGACGTACTACTGATGGGCCTAATTGTGGGCCTTCCATCGCAAGTCGAACTTCAAATGGCATCTTGTCTTGGCGAGAGTTGATGCTCTTCCAGCCCTGATTGCTCACAAGCGATTGCATGACTGGCGAGAGTGGTGGCTTGAGTTGTCTGAGCTCCAGCTTTTGCGTGGGTGGCACAAGAGTGTACGCTTCGATTGCTGCATGAGCATCCAGGCCCTCAATCATGTATCCCGGCGGTGGCGGTATAGGAGAACTCGTCGAGGTTGGCGTATGCACGGCTGCCAGATTGTGAATGCGCTGGACGTGACCTTGATACGTGAAGGCGTTGAGTGCCGAGGAGAAGAGTAGATAGTAGGTGTTCTGCTGTTCAAGACTGGCGAGGTCTCGACCAGGAATGACTTTGAGGATGTCGCCCTGTTCCAGTCTCCAGCCTTCCAGATGTCGGCCTTGAGGTACAAGACGTCGAAAGTCTTCCTCTGTGAGGTTCGGGCTTGCATTTCTTAGGACTAATACCGAAGTTCCAGGTCCAGCGGCTGCCATCTCGGCTTCCAGCTGCTGAGCTCCCCATGATCTATCTGTACGATTCGATTTGCTGGGCGTTGGTCTTGGTTGTGCTGTAGCATCTGGATTTACTTTCGGCAGTGGCACACGAGGCACCTCCCGCGAGGCTTCCGGCTCCTCATTGCGTTTCGAGATCTCTGGGAAAAGCTGCTCTACCAGGGAAGGCTCCTCCACTTCGGGACTTCGTAATGGAGTAGCATCGCGGGCATCGTCTGATGTTGGGCCCTTGGACTTACGAGGCCAATGAATGTTCCTGCGTGTGCGATTTTTCGGTGCTGGCAGCGGCTTCCTGTCATCGCTGAAGCACCGCTGGAAACGACGACATCCCGAAGACCAGACTGACAACGCAGTACGCTGAGACAGGTGCCGCGCCGGGAGCATCAATATGTCGAATGCAGCACGGCAGACGATTGACTATTGAAGTTCGACGAACGTTCAGGAGTACAGGTGTAGTCGGGGATTTCCCTTTAGCGAGAGAGGTCGACTTTGCAAAAGTCGTGTCGGGCGGGCGGGATGTTCAGATTCGGCAGTGGCGCCGAGATGCAAACGACTCCTGAGATGAGCTCCTATCGGCGTCAACGGCTCTCAGGCCTCGCGGCGTGGCGGAGGATGGTGGACGCCGTGTTACTTTTCTTGTCGACGACAACAGCGCGCTGCGTCGACGTGCCGCTGCACGATAGATGCACTCCTGCTCCTTCTTCCCTGTCGTTGCAGCGGCTCGGAAGGGTGTACGCAGAGTTTGGTATGCATGCAAACCACGACGCACAGCGAAACCCGTCGGATGTCGAACAGGACCTGTATCGCTCTCCGTGTTGTCACGATACTCGAAATCCTGCTGTTAGTCTGCTGCAACGTCGATGATCGCAGCTGGTATGGGCAAGTGCACCGCAGTCTGTGCTGGTATATGCCATGTGAGTGAGGGGGTAGAGGAAGAGCAAGAGCGGTCTCTTACAATTAGCCCGAGCATAGTGCGACATCGAGTTGAGTGGTCACGTGTACCGCAACACAGCAGGGAGGCGAGAGCAATGTCTAAAGTGAAGCTTCAAATGAGGTTGCGAGTGAAGGCTCGTCAAATATTCCATCTCCTCGATCTCTTCTCCATCCGTGCCACCGAGACATGCATCAAGGACTGTCTCCATATATCTCGATCGGGGATAGCTCTGTAAAGTCTTGGCAGATCCGAAAAGCTGTGCCACCGTTTGCGCGCCTGAAACCATCCCGGAGCATGGCGTCCACGCTTCTGCTCGCACGGCAAAGCTACATCCTTCGTGCATGCCACTGCACCTGTTCTCCCAGAGCTTGAACCCGCACGTGGCGCACGCTTGAGACCTGCACTGCGCGCTACAGGACCCCCTGGCCGTCGATAAAAGAGTAGGCCTCCCGCAGTCGCCATGTCTGCAGCTCCTTCCACACCGCAGGCCAAGAACCAGGCCAAAAAGAAGATGCTCATGACCGACACCCAGCACGCCGTAGTGCGTCTGCACCCAGGCACCCAGCTGGAGAGCGCTTTCCGGGTCCATCTCATGACCGAGAGCCTTGCGGAAGCGAATCTGAAGACCGGCGACATCTGCGAGATCTCGAGCGACGATGGGACGCTGGGTTATGGTATCGCGTGGAGGGCTGATGATCGTGCTGGGAATCGACCAAAGACCAGGCCGGCGAAGATGACGGAGACATTCAAGAATGCATTCGGCTTTCTCGATGGGTCCAGAGTCACTGTCTCTCAGACCGACGCCAAGGTCTATCCTGCCGAGCGAATGGTCCTGTCAGATGTCACGCCACCCGAGTTCAACAGTTCAGACGACTTGGATGCTGGCAAGTGGGAGATCAGAGTGAAGAGTCTATTCGGTAAGTTTACTGACCATTCCTAATCGTCGCGATGACTGGGATTGCCCCACCAACTCAACACCCCGGACTGACTTTTTGGCAGTTAGTTGCGAGGCTTTGGCTCCTGGTGTCACTTTTGAAGTTTCAGGAAGCAGAGTCAAGAGCAGGAAGCGATTCTACATCGACAGCATCGACTCCAGGGACGCCCCTGCCGACAGCCCATCATTGTTCTCTTTTGAAAGCAACACCGATATCAGCTTCCCAGGAGGTATCGCGGTGGCGCCTACCGCCATGTCTCAGCCCCGTCAAAATGAAGGCTCGAACACACCTAACGGGACCGTCAACGGCATCATGTCCAACGGCACGAACGGAGGGCGATCGCTGGCTCCCTCTCCAGCTCCTCCCACACGGTCCCTCTACCAGCTGAATACTGAACGAATTGGCGGCTTGCTGAAAGAGTGCGAAAAACTGAACGCGCGGCTCCAGTGGCTATTGTCGACGGCGGAAGAGCTGAACTGTGCTCGCAATCGTGTGCCTAACCATCCGATCTTGCTCCATGGGTACGAGGGAACTGGCAAAACGCTGCTGCTTGACCGACTCGCTGAGGCACCGTTTCGCAAAGTGGTTCGCCTTGACCGAGCTAAGCTTCCTGGAGGTACAATCTCTGCCAACAAGAAGTTTATAAGAGATACTTTCGCAGAAGCAGTCAACGAGCAGCCATCTCTTATGATTCTGGACAACCTGGATCAACTAGTTCCCACCGACGATGCGCACTACTACTCTGACGTCCTTGGGCCCGAGCTCAAGAACCTGAGGAAGCCCGGCATGCGAGTCATGGTAGTCGCAGCAGCAAAGAGCCCGACGAGCATTCATCCCTCTCTACTTGGCCCTCAAGGGTTCAACTTCTCGATCGCACTGCCTATTCCGAATCTAGAGGCAAGAGAGCAGATCTTGAACGTGCTGCAGGAGAAACCGACATATACGAAGAATCCCCTTTCCACCATCATTGCGGAACGAACCCATGGATATACCGCAAAAGATGTAGCCGCTCTCCACGATCTTGCTGTCAACCACGCCTTCGATCGCTTTTGGCATGAATGTGCGGAGCAGGCGATGAGCCGATCGCCGACACCACCAGCGTACGATGACATTGTGCCGCGACTTGACGGATCTTCCGCAGCTCCAAGCACACCTAGGTCGCAGCCTTCACCGGAGCCGACACTCAAAGATTTCGAGATTGCGCTTCAAGAAATCAAACCGGCTGCTCTCCGCGAAATCTTCACTGAGAAGCCCAAGACGAAGTGGACCGACATTGGCGGTTCGGACAGCGTCAAGGAACGATTCGACGAGGCTATTGAATGGCCACTACGACACGGAGACCTCATTCAAAAGCTCGGCATCCAAATGCCTAAAGGTGTCTTGCTCTATGGTCCTCCAGGATGCTCCAAGACGCTCACCGCGCAAGCCGTCGCCAACACCTACAACTTGAACTTCATTGCCATCAAGGGTGCCGAGCTCATTAGCATGTATGTGGGCGAATCTGAGCGAGCAGTGCGTGAAATCTTCAGCAAAGCCAGGCAAGCAGCACCCTGCGTGATCTTTTTCGACGAGATAGACGCTATTGGCTCTGAGCGCGACAGTACCGGAACGAAGGGTTTGAATGTCCTCACCACGCTCCTGAACGAGATGGACGGGTTCGAAGCGCTGGAGAGGGTGTTCATCCTCGCCGCCACCAACAAACCAACTTCACTCGATCCCGCATTACTGCGCCCAGGGCGCTTCGATAGCCACGTGTACGTGGGCCCACCCAACGAGATAGCGCGCAAGGAGATAATCATGCTCTCCACGCGCGGCGCTACCCTGGCCAAGGACGTGAACTTCGACACCCTGGCCGCGGAGCTCGAGGGCTGGTCGGGCGCCGAGATTGTGAGGATTTGTCAGAATGCAAAGTTCCCTGACCTCAGGAGAAGGCTGAAAGGTGAGGAGGATACGCGCGTGACGGCGGCGGACTTTGCGAGCGCGCGCGCGGCGGTGAGCAAGGGTATCACGCCCGAGATGTTGGAGGAGTTTGAAGCGTTCACTTCGAGGTTATCCCAGGAATAGATAGGGGGTCAAGCGTTCGATATGTTGGTTCCGTAGCGTGGTATCATATAGTTTCTTGGGGATGGATGCGCGTTTCACATTGCCTTCTCTTCCCAAGTTTTTGGTATGTGAGCTACTCTTACCTGCGGATATATCCCAAGATCTCCACTCGGTCAAACATGCCAGTACAAGCATCGATAGCATGATCGTCTATAGGTTTCCGAGGATACCCTCTACAATGTTCCGGGATACTCTCGTTACAAATCCATCTCCTCTCCACTTCACCATCTCAGTCTTGGCATCGTTCGCATTTGGACAAATCTATCCCCGAGAAATTAACAGGGGCAAAGATGTCAATACAAGACTCGACAGCACGGTCATCTATACTGTTCCGGGGATACCCTCTCTAAAAGTGCAATTTCTTCTCATCTTCCAAGCGTTATCCCCAAGGCTTGATTTACATCTTATACATCGAGACATTGTTGAGAGGTATAGACGGCCTTGGATCTTCAGGGATTATTACACCCTACATCGCCGGGGATCTTTTGCTCTCGACTTCAGTTCGCGGCTATCTGTCACTTGAAAATTTATCAACTTACTTTAGTATCGATCTCTAGGGATATGCAATTGATTGAGCTGTTCGCAATATCTCTTCAGGGCAAGTATACTTCGAGGAAGATAGTATCGAAGAGGTCTAAGTTTCGAAGGTCTTTATGCCGGCGAAAGTCGGCGCTGGGCCTTTCATATCGGTAGCAATTGATTTCTCATTGTTGTAGATTGTTGATTACGCCAGCACTCCACGCTCCATAAGGGTCACGCAGCTAAAGGACGCCCGCAGTAGAATTCAAACGTACCGAGCCACGCTGCTCTCTTCAAGCCCCATCCCATTATGTCTTCACACAAATCTCTCCTCTCGGTGTTGTCTTGACCACGTACGAGTCCCCCTACCAGCAGCCTACGCCTACTTGGCACTCGCGCCCCGTCTCTCTCCCTTGCAACCTCCGAGCTTCTCCACGCACTCCCATCCCGTCACGACATTCACATCCAGAGTAAGTGGGTCCTCCATAATACACATGCTCCACGCAGGGGCCTTTTGCTCCTCTTTCTTGCACGCTCGTTCCTCAATGGTAGGGCAAAGTGGACATTTTTGAAGGTGCTCGTCCAGAAAGTTGGCTATGTAGCCCATGTCGATCTGTTGACCTCGATGTCCAGAGGAATCGTTCATGCGTATCATACAATCGGCTTCAAGTTTTTGACGACTTTTCATTCGCCCCTTGCAGATGAATGCCGTTGAGGCAGGTGGAGGCTGCAGTAGCAACATCTTCCTCCACGAGGCTTCCACGCTCTGGAGTGCTGAACGGGATTCTGATTCTTCGTTGTGTTCGAACAGACTTTGACGCAGCTGTAGCACTATTCGCAAACAATCCACATATTGGTTGATGAACGGGTTGATATAGCAAGCCGGAGATGGGACTTGCTCGCAGAACGGCTCATCCAGCCCAGAACAGGCGAGTCCGGGCATCAGAAAGTTGACATTGCAGGGTGCAGCCCTTCGGAAGAGGGCCTTCTCGATTCTATCCGACTTCTTCACCACTTGTTGCCATGTTTTGCAGACACGCTCAGCGAGCAGCAGATCGCGAAGTGGCAAGTGCAGTAGAGTCCATTCGAGCAGCTCGTATGTTTCGAAGGCGCAGGCTGCGGCTGCCATATTCGTCGGAGAGGTGATGTTCCAGAGATATTTTGTTAGGTGTGTTGCATTTCGTGGAGTGCGTTTTGAAAAGTGGTGGTGTGAGGCGGTGGCGGTCAAACAGTACACCGGTGTCCGAAGCTTGGCGTAGTCGGTGAACGATCCTTGTGATGATCTATTTGTTGTTGTTGATGGCGGAGAGGTGTTTCGCTGGAGAGGGGTTTTCGAAAGGTCGACTTCTAGCTGTCACGAGACATGGATGCAAGGGAAAGCATGTGTGCGCTCCTGCCGCGTTCGAATTTTAAGCTTTGCGCTAGTCCCCTCGTTCAAAAGTCCTGTCATGTGACGCCCACACGGTGTTCTACTTCCATACTCTGAACACATCAAGCAAACACCAGACCGCGATACCGCAAAGATGCCGTCGCCGATCGTCATAGAGATGGACGGCGAGACACCAACCCCAGCGGCTCACGCAGTGTACGTATGCGATCCAAACCCGATCACAAGATCATGTACTGACTCGCCACGAAAGCTTCCAGACAGCAGAGCTCCTCGAGAAGATATTGCTTTCTCTCCCACTCACAGATCTCCTTCTGGCACAGAAGATCTGCAAGTTCTTCAAAGCCAGCATCGAAGGTTCCAGCAAAGCGCAAACGGCGCTGTTCTACCGTGCAGCTGGATCAGACCTCCTCCGCTTCGAGAAAACAGGACTCTACTCGATTGATGAGGCCGAAGGCTTCTGGTCCCACGTGAAGAGCAGCCGCAAGAGCAAGCCCGTCATCAATCCTCTCATGCGTCGCTTCATCATCACTCAATGGATGAAGATGAACTCGATTGTGCACATCGGATTCGTGTCGCCGGTCTTCGACAGGTCGGCATACATCAACCCATATCTGGCAGTTGACGAGGAAGTGCAAGACGAAGACGGAGGTGATGCAGACAGCGACATTGGGCCGCGAAACATCGACGAGTTAGAGGCATTGCACAGGAAGGGTGCGAGCTGGCGCCAGATGCTCTTCATGCAACCGGCGTGCGAGATGCTCAATGCCAGGTGTGACATCACGCGCAAATCGTTCACCATCTCGAATCCCAACGGAGTCACCCTGCAGAACCTTGTGGACGGACTGCGGAGCCATTGGTTCGAGTGTCCAACGTGTCCAGTGAACTTCAACATTCAGCGGTGGGATTACCAAGGATATCAGCGTGGGGAAATCGTCCTCGACGAACTCGATCCCATCAACGACGCATGGAGCTTGCTGCATGAGCTCGAGACCAAGTGAGAAGAGCGGAAGAACGACCAGTTCATTGCACACCACGAGAAGAAAAGGTGTGACGGAAAAGCCAGAAGGGACCGACGGTTTGATAGACGGGGCGGGCGACAGTTCGCTGCTTAGGCGGTTTGGATACGACGACATCACATGCAGAAACATGGGCAGGCAATGGATCGCGATCGTCCACGGAATCGGATAGCATGGCCACGGGAACGCAAGAAGAGGTGAGACGGCATACATGAAGAAACAGTCCTGTTTCGTGTGGTAGTGCAGGTAAAGATGTATCATCGTAAAAGCTCGGTCCGTTATTCGTCCAGTGTCCAAGCATATTCAAGCGCCTCCCTATCCTTTTGCTTGTTCCTTGCAGCAAACCACTTCCTCTCGAACCCATTGCCCCTGTCCACACCATCCCACCTCCAACCCGGCCGTATACCGTACCGATTGGGCTCGAAGGCACCCTGATATGTCTTGCCGCTGCTCTTGCTCTTCCCGTTTTTCGTGCTGCTCTTCTTGGTCGTCAGAAGCTGTGCCATGGGATCATTCCACCTCTCCCTCTCCTTCAGCTCCTCGTTCATCTTCGTATCATCCACATGTCTCGCAACAGTCATGACCTTCGCTTCTTGCAATTCTTGCCTCCTTGCATCTTTCTGCTGCCTCTGCACATCGCCCTTCCTCGCCTCTAGCTCCTCTTTCTGTTTCCTCTCCTCTTCCCTCGCTTTCTCTTCAACCTCCGCCTTCTTCTCCTTCACGTTGATCATCCGCCCAGACGCATCACGATAGATTGTCTGTTGTGCCAGTCCACCAGAGTCCAACCCTGCAGCTTTCATCGCCTTCCTCTCCGCTTTTTCTTTTCTTTTCAGAGCGGCCGTGACTTGTTCCGCAGTTTGTAGCCCAGCCATAGCACCCGACGCCATCGTCGGCCCATCATACTCCCCACCGTCCTCCCCAACTATCGCCGGGTCCTCATCATCATCCTGCGCTCTCGCATTCGACTCCGCCTGCGCATCTGCCAGAATCGCATCTGCAGCCGCCTGGTCTGCGTCTTTGGGTGCTTCCGCCCCGATCCTGACCCATTTTGACTTCTTCGTAGGTTTATTCAATCCAGCAGCTAATGCGCCACCGACTATCGTAGGTGCATCTTCGTCTTCGTCGCCATTTTTGGCAGGTTGGTTGGTCCAGGAATTTACGTCGTCGTCGGCGATTACAAGGCCTTCTGCTTTGGCGGCGTCCTTTCGCTTGCGCTTTTTCGAGGGCTTCGAGTCTGCTGAGAGGTAGTTCTTCGCGAGGTAGTCGGCGAGACTCATGGTGGTGTTGCGTGTAGAAAGATAGAACTAGTAGTTCAAAGTTGAAGTCCTCGATTGACGTCACGTGTCGACGTATGAATGCCTGAGGCTGCAACAGCTTGAACTCTACATTACCAAACTTGCATGAAGGGCGTGAGTGTTTGTGGGAACACACGAGGAGAATGTGACGACTTTGGGAGACATGCCACGATCAGAAGAGGCAGCATCCTGGTACACGATGGTGTACCGCGCAGTACGAGAGATACCTTACGGCAGAGTAACCAGCTACGGCCATATAGCACTGCTTCTTGGATACCGTGAGTACAAGTACTCTATACCACACGTCCCAACAGCCTGGTTGCTGAACGAGTACATGTAGCCGAGCGACCACGGTATGGCGACACTGCATCTCACGGGACGTAGACCAACAACAGCTCACTGCATGACAGTCAAGTGGGAATGTGCCTGAAATACCTCCCATCAGCGACAGACCAGCCAGACGCGCGGTACAACAGCGACACAGTCCCGTGGCAGAGAGTCATCAACTCCAAAGGGGTCATCAGCCAAAGGCGAGTTTTCTGTCGTCATATCTCATGGGTGGCTAAACTGTCCAGCTGACTCTTGGAGAAGAGGAACAAACGGCGCAGCAAATCAAGAACGCGTGCTGAGCGCTGAAGGTGTGGAGGTTGGTCGTGGGGATCTCGGGGAGCGAACAGTCGACTTCTCCTCGTATGGCTGGTTCCCAAATGTCCTTCCAAGCGAGGAAGAGGAGGAGTCACGCGAAGAAGAGGGTGTCTAGGCGCTGCAGCCGCACAGAGCGATCTGATCGATGCGTCTGCACCTTGTTGCCGCCGGAGAGGATGCTGTCGTGATGGAAGTGAGATCACGTAGACAGACACATGAACACGTCGCTGTCTCATCAGACCGCCGTCTCCGCCAGCGCTTCAGCGAATGCTCTCAACACGTGCGATGCTGCACATTACCGGGATGACAGGAATGTACCTGTGCCGGAGCCCGCCGACCGAAAATAGCGAGTTGGAGCTCTCTGTTTGAGGGCATGCAGGTGCATGCACGAGCTGACGTCGGTTCGTGGGGTCCGCGTTGTGCCGCGTCCGTCGAAGTGGGCAGAGGTGCAAGCTCACCTCTCGTATCAACAAAACAACGAAGCTGTGTCGGAACACCGCCTCACTGGCAGCCTGTTTGATTGCCCATGACCTCGGCCATGACATCCATGCGACGCGGCCGTGGGCCACTCGTTGTCACCACGTTCATGTCCCATGACGAACCTTCAGCGAGCCGCCGTGGCGCAATCAATGTCTCTTACCGTTGCTCCCCCCACCTCCGGAGCGAGCGCGTTGCCTTGATAATAACAAAGACGCCCATTGACGTGCTCGTTGTTCTCTGCTTGTTGCCGTCGATTGCAAGAGCAACACCCCTCCCAACAAATCACCAGTCATCCAACTCATCCACCGCTTCCAGCACCGCCCTGATAGACTCATCGCGGTCTCGGACATCCAAGCCACAGCCCCGTGACTCAGCTTCAGCAGCAGTCACGCCTCAGTCGGCCACTCTCACTGTTGTCTTTGACCAGGATCATACCTGCCGTAATCACGTAGCTTCTGTTTCGTTCTTTGTTCTCCGCCTCCAGTCGACAATAAACGCCCCAGCCCATACTCACCTGATCCCCCGACCTACGAAAGACCACTCCATCTCCAGCTCGACACCACCCAGACATTAAGGTGTCCATTCAGTCAGCCTTCCAATCGATCGACGACGCGACGACATCCCCTCTCCAACTCATCAACACCTCCAAACGCGTCCAACACCCTCCACTCAACATGTCCGCTGAGCAGACCTTCTCCCAGGCCGACCTTCGCAGCAACGCTCAGTCTTACAAGCGCGACGCTACTCACAAGCACAAGTGGGCCTTGGGAACCTCGGACGGTGTGGGCAGGGCTCCAGGCAAGCCACGGCCATACCGTCCATCCGAGACGTGAGTCACCGCCGATGAGCAATACCTGAAGGATGTATGTAGCTAACAGCTAGCTCTTGCAGGGAGTACAACCTCAAGCGACGTGAGGAGAAGAGCGCCGTAGCTTCCCTCGCCCACGGCACCAAGATTGCCCGCAAGCATGACATGCTCGAAGGTACCGCCATGACGGACGACTCTTCCGGTAGCAACTCAGACGAGTACGACGAGACGCCTTCGCCACCTGTCGATGCCGGTGTTACGTATTCGTTCGACCACGCCCGTGGCCCAACCAAGGGCAGCCAGATCTTGAACGTCGCCCTCGCCAAGGCTGTGGAGAAGTTTGAAGAGCGGGAGACTGTCAAGTTGGTCAAGAGCGAGTACGAGCTGCTGGACTCCGAGGGCGAGGCTGTCACTCCTTCGCCAGCGAAGAAGCGCAAGGGCAAGAAGGCAGCTGCTGAGCAGGCTGTTGTGGTTCCAACTGAGGATGAAGACTACGAGTTTGTGTAAAACAGATTCTCTCACCTCAGCTCTTTCACGACTCTTGCATACGGCTGTTTCTTGGACCATCCGGCGTTTCTTCTCCAACAACCACGTCTGTCCTTCGACGGCACACAGCTTCTGCCCACACAAGCTTTGCCAGTATTTTTAATCGATTTTGAGTGCGGAGGAAGGAGGGATATGCATCGGGAATCGGCGTTTCGAGTGAGATATCATCCAGCACGGTCATGAGAAGGACACCGAGCTCTGAGGCGTTCTTTGAGGATATGACGATGATACCCAACGCCTATGATATGGCTTTCACCAGTAGTTGTTAGTGTAGCAGATTTGGCTGTTACCTTTTATGGAATCGAGCAGTGCCTTTGCTGCCGGCGTGCAGCAGGCCAATACCGCGAGAAGATTTCCATTCCCTCTATCGTTGATAGGTCGTCGTCACTGTCCGTGACTCGTGAGTACAAACGTTCATGCCTGGGAGTAGGGTGAAAATATCAAGTTTGCTTGGGCTGTCTCATTTCCAAGGATCGGGAGCGCGCTTTGACCGCCAAATCCGAATGCCTCAGGCGCCCACTGACGGTATTGTGTCTCAGATTTGACTTCACCTTGATTGTCCTCTCCTCCCTTTCACAGTCCATCCGTCTTCTCTTTCTGCTGCAATGTCAGACGTGTATCGACCTCAGCTTGGTACAATGCTCTCTTCGGCTTGATTGGCTGCAACAGGTAGGGCGACCACATGGTTCTTCCTGGCACACTCAAAGATTGAGTTTACTAGAGACATCTGTACGAGATCCATTGTCTCTTTGTGTTCGATTTTTCTTTCATTGAAAAGTTTCCTCCTACAAACAAAACAACAGCATGAGCAAAAGTCTTCAAGCTCTCTCGACCGGTGAACGATGGCCCCACTCATCGACTTCTCGAAACGGGAGGCCAGCTCATCCGCTGCGGGAAGTACAGATTTTTGCGCCTCACGTCGTACCAGACCAGCTAGGCGATCAGAGAGTCGGAAGAGTCACCTCGCCCGACTAGTCCCCAACCTCCTCAATATCCCCCAGGCTGCCACTTCGAACGACGAGACCTCATGCCTCAGGCACACCTATCGGCGGCAACGAGCCAATGAGATTCAGCGGACAGGCACACCAACACGAGTCACAAGCGCGCGCGGGTCCTTGCGACACCCCCCTGAGCGAATAGCATGGCCGGGCTGGACAACCGCGAACCGTCTCTGATCAGGTTCGCGGAAGAGTCAGAGGACGCGGCGGATGGCTTGTATAAATTCCGCGAGTCGCTGCCGCGCAGCGCCACGCGCATCACAGCGATTGTGAGCGAACTGTTTGCGATTTCGTCGGCTTTGCGCGCCATACACAATGAGGACGGCACGAGGCAGTATGGGCCGTCGTTTTATCGGATTCAGGAGGATTTGGGGTTGGTGTTTCGGAGTCTGAGGATGACGCTGGATGAGTTGTTTGGTATGTTTGCGAGGGCGAGGGAGAGGCCGGATCAGATGGTGTGGGAGGATCTGAACTATCGCTTTGATGAGGTGGAGAAGTTTGGGTTGTTGGAGAGGCTGGTGTGGTATCGGCATTTCCTCAATGCTCAACATGAGATTCTGGAAGGCCATCGATCGCAGGGTTTAGGGGAGTTGAGGCAGGATTTGAAGGATGTACTGCAAGCACAAGAGGCCGCACTGCGTCGACATAGTCGGACTCCCATCTCTGGAACGAGTACCCCCCGACCTCGCCCTCGGCGGCCCTCCCGACCGGCACCATATCCCATCTCGCCGACAGTCTCGTCCAGCGACCACGACAGTTGGGAGCGACCGCCGAATCTGGGACCTGCCCCTGAGCCGCCAATATCACCACTGTTCTCTTCGGGCTCTTCTCAAACGATGTCTTCAAGCCAGACATCCTACTCGAGTGAGACGTACATCCCGACCACCCCTGGCCCTCTGGTGCACTGGTCTGAAAACATCTTCGATGGTCGCCATCCCACCACGCCTTACCGACAGCCGTTCCAGTTGTTGGAACGATCGTCGTGCCATGGCGATGCCGATCCTATGTGTCTGCAGCACCTCGTCCGGGACGGCTTCCAGAGAGCACTGCAACTCTCCTTTGACGAAGAACGCTTCTGGGTCCGTCTGTACTGGCGACCTACAGACTTCCGCGCCCGGATCCTGATCATGACCGCCGACGTCCACGGCCAACAACTCCACTTCTGCCAGCCCCTGACGAACCTGAAAGTCATCCGAAAAGGCTCCAGTCTCCAACTCTGTCGCTTCCGAAGAGAAGGCCGCTACACCCTTTGGGCCCGCTTGAACTTCATCTTCCACGAACGAATGGTCCTCTTCTACTCCACGTTCGTCGCAATGAAACGTCAAGACCAACGAGGCGTCGGCATCCGCCAACTCGTGGATGACGCCGAACTCATCAGCGATGCTGGCGAGCAAGAGCTCTTCGCAGGAGAAATGAGGCATGGGCAGATGTACCATGCCTTGCGCATCTTTCGAGACAACGCCTCTGGTGCTGTGCGTCTGGAAGCTTCTGCGTTGAGAGGCTCGAAGAAGGACGTGCCCATCTGGACGGCGTTCGTCACCAAGTATGCGTATGACCCGGACTGGGCACACTTCGAGGGAAATGGAGTTGTGAGTCTGATTGCGATTCGGCCGCCTCCGTATGTATTCATCCTCAGGTATGAGCCGCCGAGGAACTCTCTGGGGGCGTATGTGTTGCCGTTTACGAGTAATGAAGGTAAGCTTGTTATCTTCACTCTTTGAGAAAGGCTCGTACTGACATAGCCGACAGATGCAATGATGTTCATGGAGACATGGAGCGGTCTTGGTAGACACGTTTGAGTGTGAGAGTGAGTGGTCTTTTAAGGCCGGCTTAGCGATGGCGTTTTGGGGATCTTATCACTCGACTCTGTTTGTTTGCGATGAGGGAGGGGATTGTTGGGGCGTTCAAGCGATGCTGATGCTGATGATGAGTGAATGAATGATGAGTTATGCTGATAACGACAGAGATGCAAACGGCCTGACGCGTGGAACTGGAATAGGGCATAATATCTCCTTGAAATCGGGTGGTAAACCACTCTGCTGTGTCTCCAAACACTTCATAAGATACTACTGATTGGCCAGCATCATTGCCGACTCCTTCTATGCAAAGCTCAGATGCGGTCTCGATTCTGGTGCAGCCCAAACAGAAGAAGATTCGAGGTTGGTTCCGACAGCGCTGTGTCACAGCCATGCATGCCTGTGCGACCCTACACCGGTTTGAAGACTCTTGCAGAAACCACCCTCTCCATTCTCTTCGAAGACCTCCGCACTCTATTCCACGTTAACGCCTTCACAGCCCCTGACACAATGGTAGACCCAGAGAGCGAGATAATCGACGCTCAATCCACGCAAGCCTATTCAAGGCCGGTGATAACAAGCGTCACAACAAAGCCACCCGTCGCCAAAGTCCTGGCTCTACCAGAACTCCTAATTGAGATCCTGGATCATCTCCCCTTCCAAGACCTCTTCTCCAGCTCGAGAACCTGCGGTGGATTCAAAGACACCATCAACAACACAAAGACGCTCCGGGAGAAACTACCATGCGAGACCTTCAAGATGATCCGTCTGTAGCGGATCAAGAAGACCGAACCCCCGCACGACGAACAACTAACCCCAGTACTCGACGCCTCAAACCGCCCAGTAATCAATAGCTGGCTTTTGTGTCCGCTGATTTCGGCGGGACAAACCCCTTCCTACGACCCTGTCCGCGATGACGGCGTGGAGGACTACACCACGGCTCTTGACATCGCGACCAGCTTTGCCGCTGAGGAGTACTTCGCCAACCCAGAGACGTGGCGGCGCGTGTACATCACCAACCCGCCTTTCAAGCTCGCAAACATCACGCTGGAGCTGCGTTTAGAACACCCGTCGGGACGGACGCTGAACGCGGCTGCGTCGGTGGTGGTCAGGTCTCGCGACGGCCTCACGCTGGGCCAGCTGGTCGACGAAGTCATGGCGTCTCGCATGGTCGAGGTGTTTAGGAGCGACGGCCCCGAAGCGCAGATGGGTGGGAAGTACTACAAAATGCTGCGGGGGACGAGTCTCGCCGAGCGGATTCGGCAGGGCGAGGTGGATATGCGGGTGAAGCCGAGGGTTGTGGAGGGACGGTGCTGTGTCTGCTTTCCGAGAGACCCTGATAGGAAGGCGAAGCCTTCCAGGATGGAGGATAGGAGGATTCCGTTTTGACGTTGTTGTCTTGCTCGGTCTGTGCTGCTGCGATTGCAGATTGATCGACACTTCTGTCCACGTTGATCGTAGTCAACTAGATTAGACATGGAAAGGCATGCGATATAAATCAATGTAGTCAGCATCATTGAGCTCGGGCTCCTATATCATGAAGCTCAGCTATGAGATAACACCATCCTTCTTCAGCGCCTCTATTTCGCCGCCGCTCATCCCCAGCAAGCTCGACAATACATCATCTGTATGTTGCCCTAGCGTCGGCGGCGCGCTCCTTATACTTGGCTTTGACTCTGAGAACTTGACTGGAGGTGAGACAAGCTTCATGGGGCCACAGGAAGGATGGTCGACCTCTGTTACCATGCCGCGAGCTTTTGCTACATAGGTGTTAGCAGTTGATGCACGGAGGAAATAAAGTGGTTTCAAGCTTACAATGATCATGCTCCAGCGTCGTCTTGACATCGTTGATGGGTGCATATGGCATACCGCTTCCTTCCAGGATGTCAAGCCATTCTTGAGTGGTCTTCGTCTTCGTAGCAGTCTCGATGATCTCCTCGAGCTCCACCCTCGACTTCACTCTGTCAGCATTGGTCTTGTACTTCTTATCCTCCGCCAGTTCTGGTTTTCCAATCTTGTTGCAAAGGATACCGTAGAGTCGATCGTTACCGCCGCCAAGCAAGATGTCTCCATCTTTGGTCTTGAAGGCTTTGTATGGCACGATTGAGGGATGAGCGGTTCCCCAGCGGCCTGTGTCTGGCTTGCCGCTGATCAGGCATGAGCTTGCTAGGTTGGCGAGAGTTGCGATTTGGCAGTCTGCTAGACAGACATCGAGGTGCTGGCCTTTGCCTGTCTTTCCTCGAGCGATGAGAGCGGCCATGACGGAGTTTGATGTGTAGAGACCGGTTGTGAGATCGGTCACAGCAACGCCGACCTTGGCCGGAGGACCATCTCTGTGGCCAGTGATATGCATGAGGCCCATTTCGCTGTCAATGTATCAATATATATAAAACTGATGAGTCGAACAGTACTCACGCTTCCACCATAACATCGTAGCCAGCCTTCGCACGGAGAGGCCCAGTCTGTCCATAACCAGTGATGCTGGCGTAGATGAGGTTTGGATTGACTTTGCGAATGCTCTCATAGTCCAAGTTATACTTCTTCAACGCTCCAGGAAGATAATTCTCGACCAGAACATCGCAGTCCTTTGCCAATTTGTGCAAAATGTCGACACCTGCTGGATTTTGGAAAGATAGACCGATGGACTTTTTGTTTCGATTTACCTGTTTTCCATCAGCAATCGCATTAAGCGGTGCACTGAACTGCCACGTACTGCGAGAAAGTAGGCACTCTCTCCTGAGCCTTGCTTGCCGCTCGATTCCGTATATGAGGCATACGGAGGACCCCATGCTCTCGTGTCGTCTCCACGAGTTGGATGTTCGATCTTGATAACTTCGGCACTATCTCAGCATGAGCTTCACGGTCCTCATACTTCAGACCCGGAAGGTCGTACAGGGCTCATCGTCCATACCCGAGGTCGCCAAGGATTTGGGTGCAATATGGCTACAAATCGTTAGTATACGGCCTCGTACAAGATGAATTGGTGCAAGATCCTACTCCTGCAAGAACTCTGGTCATATCAAGGACCCGTATGCCTGCCAATGGCAGGGAGGCTGCATCTGCACCGCCTGCTGGAGTGGCTAGCCATCGCCGCTGTTGTGGGAGTGCTCGGACCGCGACTTGGGAGGCTGACGCTCGGCTGAAGAGCCGCAGTGATTTATGAAACGACATTGAAGTCTTCAAAAGCACCGTCGAAGGTCTAAAGCGTTATATCAAAAGGCATTGGACATCCGCACGAACCGCTCGCGGTCGGCATAACTTTCCAAAGGAGTGCAGACGGCCTCGGCCCGAGATCGGCGGGGCGAAGTGAATGAGCTCGAGCGTCACGCTAATTCCACCTCACTTATTCTCTGCAAATCCCCATTCGCAGCCATTACCACTCTTGTCAAGATGTTCACCGGCATCGTCGAGAAGATAGGCAGTACGTCTCCTATCGCACGTCTTGTTTTCCATCTCGTTTACAGCGTGCGCTGACGCCCACCGTCCAGCCGTCTCCAAGCTCGTCAAACACGATGAATCATCGAGCGGCGGCGGAGGTACCTCCCTCACCATCAGCGACTGCGCCGAAATCCTCGACGACTGCCATCTGGGCGACAGCATAAGCATCAATGGCACGTGCTTGACCGTGACGGAGTTCGAGAAGGACTCGTTCAAAGTCGGGGTTGCGCCAGAGACCTTGCGTAGGACTAATCTCGGGTCGCTGAAGGAGGGCAGTGGAGTCAACCTTGAGCGAGCTGTGAGCAGTACCACGCGCATGGGAGGACACTTTGTCCAAGGCCATGTTGATACGATCGCAACAGTCTTGGAGACCAGACCGGACGGCAATGCTGTGACGTTCCGCCTGCAGCCCAAGGACGAGAGCGTGCTGAGGTATATCGTCGAGAAGGGATACGTCACATTGGATGGTGCTTCTCTCACGATTACTGCTGTGAACGATGACGAAGGATGGTGGGAGATCATGCTCATTGCATATACGCAAGAGAAGGTGGTGCTGGCCAAGAAACAGAAGGGAGAAAATGTGAATGTCGAAGTGGACATGGTGGGAAAGTACGTCGAGAAGAGCGTGGCTGCATACTTTGAGACCAACTCTGGCAATGGCGGTGCTATGCTGGAGAAGATGGTGCAAAAGATTGTGGATGAGAAAGTGAAAGCGTTAAGATAGGCTGTACGTGTAACTACCACCATGCCACAAAAGCTAATGTTTTTTGGTTGGCTTGTATATGTGTTTCAAGCCCGTCAACTATACACCTTGTCGCGCTGCTTTAACACATACAACGGCCCCGGAACACTTGATCTTGGATTACGGCGCCTTCAAGCCATCGTTCTAAGTCTGCAGCCTTTATTGGATCGCGACAAAGGACTTGGTCGATGTCGATGGTAAAGGCGAGGTCTTTGTTCACGCACAACCCCGGAGTTCCTGTCGACAAAGACTCAAGTCTTTGATCATTAACGAGATGCTAAATGTGAATACGTGCATAAGTGAAGGGCCCCCGACTCCTTGAGAGCGTTATTGCCGCCTTTGACCGAATTCAACAACTTCTCACGCCAATCTGGTATTGGTATACTTCTCAAATCTTACATTCAGCATACAGTTTTCGAAGTGCGATATTCAGGATGCCTCTCAGAACGAAAGTCAGCAAGGCGAGAGAGCAAGATGTCGACGATGCGATGGAGAAGGCAGCCAAATCGTTGGACAAGTACTACAAAGCACTGGGAGACTTCAGAGATCTGAGTGACAAAATCGAAAAGTGCGAAGATGATATGGAACATTTTTATAAGCAACTTCATCGTCGTCAATACAGTACAACCCAGGAGAAGATTCGACTCGAAGACAAATACAATCTGGCACGCAGGCACAGTGAACACTTTCAAGAGCAATACGACCGCGCTCATGGCCGCGTCGACAGCGCCAAAGCTACGCTTGACAGACACCGAAAGGAGTACACTGAGCTTGACGCTATGTTCGAGGACCAAGAGGATAAGCGCATGGCTGCGGCATTCAAGAAGTTGGACGAGGAAGAACGGGAGCGTCGACAGTGGTTCGAGGCAAAGCAGCGACGACGTCGACCCTCTCACAGCCGCAAGGCTGGACCAAGCTCTGATCAAGCTCCCCGGCCGGAGTATTCGCGGCACTCCTCTCGAAAACACGACCAACAACCACGCCAACCTCCCCAAGGCCAGCAACACCCACCCCGTTCCCAAGACCAACCCACGCGTCCAGCCCCTCCCAACCGCATGCCCACAGAGCTAACCATCACCAGCTGGCGTCGCTATGTCGATGACTGCTTCAAAGACTACTCTTCTATCAAGGAATTCCCTCACCCACCAATCATGGGCAGACATGATGACCCAGCATCGTGGGAGAAAGACCTCAAAGCCTTGTTCCGACAGCTCGGTGAGATCGACCTCAAGAAAGAGTCATATCGCTGGCATCCTGATAAGTTCTCGCCGTGTGAGGAAGGTAAGAAGGAGAAGTTTCAGGTGTATGCGAGGGAGGTGTTTGTGGTGTTGAATGCGATGGCGAAGGAGAAGTAGAAATATTGAACGTTGCCTGGTCAACTGCAGTGTATTGTCTTCCAAATTGGTCTGTCCTTGCGTCCTCACCCCTGGATTATCGATCTGTAAGCCCCGAATAACGAAAACTCTCCTTCCATGCGCCTATCTTTCTACTTAATGGTGATAAGATACTGAAGATTATACCCAATGACCTTGTGATATTCGCTCCCATTGTCCTTATGCCTTCCAATGGTCCTCAAATTCAGCAGAGTCCCCTCTACGTCGAAGTCCAACCCCGTGCGCTTGCTGACCTCCTTCCAGATCTCCTTCAGCTGATGTACATCACACAGGAACGTAGTGTTGGTCTTGCTCCCCATCGAACCCGCACCGCTGAGCTTCATTTGCTTGCCTCCAGGAAACCCATTCTGCGAACCCACAAACATAGAACCAGGCCGAGGCTTCAAGAGTCGCACGAGCTTGCTAGCCATTGCGATCTGGTCGTCATAATCGTAGAGGTGGATGAATTTGGCACACCAGATGACGTCTATCTTGCCGACGAGATCTGTCAACGACGTCTCCGAGAAGTCTTGACCGGCGTCGACTTTCATGAAACTACCACGGAATGTCTGCCGGTCTCGGAAGAAGTCGTAGCCGATGTCGAAGAATTCTGGCTCCAGGTCGAAGCCGTACATGTGATCTGTTGGAGCTCCGTCAAAGGCCAACTGCCTCAAGTCTTGTGCGATCATACATCCGCAATCCAGGATTGACGCTCCATTCTTGACTCGCTCGAGTACCTTCTCGTATGCAAAGTGCAACAAGATCATCGGGTTCAGCCATGTCATGGATCCGACTGACGAGTATGGTGCGACTTTGAAGGCTCGGCGCTGGGCTTCCTTGATGTGTGAGACGAGTCGGTCTTCAGGTATGGCGGTGTACTTGAGGAGCATGTCCCGAGAACGCGGCTGTAATGCGGCGTCAACCTCTTTGTAGAAGTAGATCGCCTCGTCTGGATTTTCCGTGACGTGAAGGACAAAGTCGCCATCCTTCTTGTCCGCTTCCGCCATCGTGAGAAATTGAAGAACGGCGGTACGATTGATTGTTTGATATTCAGCTCAACGATGTATCTTTGGCAAGAGAACGACATCGGAGATGTGGTGATAAGTTGGAACGATCCATGCCACGCACACGGACCAGCAATGTCCTGAACGAGAAGATTGTGCGCGCCCGCGTAATCAGGCGCAACCTCATTGTGCGGTCCTACCCTTTAGCCGCACGAGCAGCGCAACTCGCAGTTAACTTACCTCATTGAGCTGGATCCACTGCATTACGGTTGTGTTCTTGCAATGGCCTCAGCAGCGCTCTGCTTAGTGATGTGCCCAAGACTTACTCTTGCCTGTTCAGGTCAAGCAAGATCCGGTTTCGGGCCGATGGTATGGTCATTTAGCGTCATGTTTTGAGAGCCGCTCACTTGCACTCACCTTGACGATACGTAGGAGTTGCGTTTACAAAGTTGCAAAAGGATACATGTCCCGGAGGCAAATTCTTCGTCATGCATTTCGACTGTCTGAACTCGAAGGGAAACGGAGAAGGAAGGAGCATGATGCTCAAGGCCCCTGTGGTCGACTGATTCGTATGGGCCACTTCTCTTAGGTCTGGTGTCTACAAGTGAGCACAATGTTGGCGGTATCCTGGAGTAGAAACATGGGACTTACGACACTTTTCCCTCCAACATCAGTGATGGGGGCCAGTTCAGCTCTTCTGAAATCAGAAAAGAGTCAAAAGTGTCGACTACATTGAAAAAATTTCTGTCGTGGTGCTCTTACATTGTGTCGAAACATGAAAAGCTCATTGGGGGCTTGGTCTCTTGTATGGAGTCGTCAAGATCCGTGCTTCACGATTCCCAGGACTTATCTCCTAGCTCTTCGTTCAGACTCGTAGGTGAGCAGTCTAGCACCGTCAAAGCCGTAGGGGTACCTACTGAGTTCTTCTCTGCGTGTGCCGTCGTAGTAAGTAGGGCAGAACAAAGACCACGCCAGTTCGATGTATCGAGGGGTCCCCTCACGTACGGCCGCAATAGATCGGAGGTATCGACGGCTTGCTCTTGCTCGAGACATAGCGAATGGCGTCTCACGTGGCTCGTAATGATTTGCGGCGATGTGAGCAGAGGCTGTTTCCATCAACCATATGAGGCAGCGGCGCAGCCGCGAGACAGCGCCAGGGTCATCCCTGCACGACCGCACCACTTTAACAATTGAAGCTAGTGCGTAGGAGTAATCGCAACATCAGACACGGCAAGGTCGAGGTGAAGTTCTAGACAAAGATAATGGTCTGGTCACGCATTGCCGCTGTCCAGAGTGACTTCGTTTGCGTCTGAGCAAGGCAACGGCAGCCCAAGGCTGACAGCGAACCCTCTCGGGAAGCGAATTCAACGTTCCAGGTTCTCGATCGGACGAAACATGCAGAAGCCAACCGCTCATCGGCGTGTCGTCAGGGGCATCTCTAAGCGTTCATGGATGCGGTCTTTGGAAGAGTTCCAGCATGAGAATATTGAGATCGAGATCGAGTATTGCTGGTCCGGTCATGCCACCTGCCACCTGGAATGTTGCTGCAGAGAGTTCTCACTTGCTTGATCTGGAACGCCATAGCGTGTTGCGGGACATATTCTTCTCTTGGCCATCTAGAGGCCTGAAAACGCCTCGGTGTGTTGTTCGACCGCACATTCGTGAGTGAATTCGAATGGTCTGATAACCGCCTTGTTACAGACTCGTCACCTTCTTTTCAGGGATCCATGCTAATGGCGTCTTGAATATTCTAGGCGGTAACAGCGGTGTATGCTCTTGGAGAATATTCGCGTGTTGATTGGCACAAGGTGGAGGCCTAGAGCGGAGTATCGTAATGCTCGACATAATGTTGTCCAAGTTCCGAGGCGAAAGAAAATAGTCTGTACGCCTCGGCACGCAAAAGTGTTTTCGAGGAAATCGATTTGGGTTCGCGAATTCTCGCAAGTAGTCGTCAGCGTAGAATAGCTCTTGACGATTACGGCGCCTAGAGTTCGATATTGTTCTCTCTACTGCGCTCTATCTTTCCATGCTCCGCTGTTCGAGACTCGGGATTTGCTGTGAGATTTGCAGTTTGGAGTGCCCTGAGGAGGTCATCCTTTCCACCAGGACGGAGATCTCTGCCCTGGCCTATTTTGTAGGAGGAAGCTGAGGTTGTGAAGATCCATTTCAGAGGTAGCTGCAAGAGTGAATCACGCAGCGACTGATGACCGTACTGCTGAGATCCATTTTGCGAGCTTTGTCATCGTAGACAGTGCCTTTTACAGTCTTTTTGGTCGTTTCTTCGGCGGCTGTTAATTCCCAGTTCATTCCCTGTATGGCTACGAATGTCAGCAGAGAAGGTATGGCTGTCAGGACACCCAACTTTGAAAGTGTGGCAAAAGCTCTCCCCAATCACATCGCCTTCGATTCGACTTGTCATCCCTGAGGGACGCCGTCGTCTGTGAGGCTGCTTTACAGCACCGCAGAACGCCATAGTGGGAAGCAAGAAGAATGGCGATCGTCCAATGAAGAGGCAGGTATTACGTCCTCGGCAGCTATGGCCACTTGGCGCTACCGTTTTGCGGAGTCGCGAGTTCCAGCCGTTGTGCCAACCCCTTTTGAGCCATTTGCGTCGATCTTCCAACTTCACCTTCTCTTCTCGACCATCCTCCCGACGTGTTCTCCATCAACACGGTAAGTCACATACACTACGCTCTTTAGCAGCATGAGGCTTTCACTGAGAACAGCAGAAGAATACATCGTCGGAGATTTTACTTCCATGACTTGGCCACAGCGGCAAAGCAAATCCTCGCCCTTACCTCCTACGTACTTTTCGCCAACCGCCTCGTCATGAGGCGTCCACTTATGGATATTTTACTGGCCGCCCGAAGACCACATGGCTGCAACGACCATCATAACGCCATAGATCCCGTCCCTTCGAACGCCTTGAGTGGAATCCTGGCACAACCACGTGCACTAGGGTCACTCGACACCTGTTCGAGATCGCAAGATTGGCCCGGCCTGGTGTGCTTGCTTATGCTTCGACCGAGGACTTGAGCTTAAGCTGAAGCTTATACCTACTCCATACCGGAGGACTCCACGTTTTAGACGGGTGGCTTCGAGAAAGACGCCACTCTCTGGGGAATGCCGCCTCCCGCTATGCTGCTAGTGCTCAGTCAACTGCAGCCCACAGAGGGCGAGGCTTGGGAAAAGAAGCGGTTACCGGCACCAATTGCACTTTGTTGCAAGACGGCGTCTCCGTAGCCTGAGAAGCAGCACCGCTCGTAGCAGCCTCGACGCGCTCATGAAGTGTATCAAGCTGAACCTTGAGACCGAAGTGCCTTGAAAGGGCGATTCGATGTCGATCGCGTCCTATTGATTACTCGGGGGCATTCAGGTGGGTATACCGCTTTTGTCGCACTTATGGTTTGGAGCGTCTATTTGAACGTGCCCTGGTCCCCAGCATTCAACGGCAATCCATCCCTTCATTGAATACCTTTCTACCCCGAAATCCTTTCGTTGTTTCTTCAACGATGTTTTCCAAGGCTCTCATCGCTGCCTCACTGGCCTCCCAGGTCACAGCATGGCCTTTCGTTGCCGAGTCTGTCGGAATGGACCCAGAACTGATGAAGCGCAATGACCGCCTTGTCGAGCGCGTGCCAGGCGATGCCGCCTCATGCCCCTTCAACCCAAACCATGTGCCAGCGGTGCCTATCTCGACCAAGTACCCTTATTGCGGTAAATAAATACGAGCCATGACACTACCCGTCCGATCCTTTGCCTGACTGTGGTGGATTAGGTGCGAAGAACGGTGTTCCCGGCAAGCAGGTGTGCCAGAACAACCTGGTGCCAGCCAACGGTGATACTGCCCACTACTTTGTCGCTCCTGGAAAGAACGACATTCGTGGTCCTTGCCCTGGTATGCAGCACTGGAAGGCATATATTGCTGAGACAAGCTGACAGCTCTGCAGGCATCAACACTGCCGCAAACCACAACTTCTTGGCCCACGACGGCAGTAAGTCACAAAGGCCATGGGCAAAATCGTGTCCGCTAACATCAACCTCAGTTACGACCTTCAACGAGCTTATTGACATGCGTAAGTCATAAGATAGAGGCACAGAAGCGCATGACTAACGCGGTATCTCAGAACAAAATGTCTACGGTGTTGGCTACGACCTAGCAGTGCTGCTGGCCGTGCTTGGTGTTGGTCTCGACGGTGATCCAATCACTGGAAAACTCTCCATCGGCTGTGATGCCACAACGAGGACTGCTTCCCCTGGTCTCGGCCCTGAGCTTGGCCTGGACGGCCACAACAAGTTTGAGGGTGATACCTCGCTCACTCGTAACGACTACTTCACTGGTATGTTACAAACTGCCGAATCGGAGACTAGCCTGCTAATGTGTCGACAGGTGGTGGTGACAACTTCAAGTTCAACTCGACCCTCTACGCGGGCATGATCCAGCAGTGAACACAGAGGAACGCAGGTTGCGACTTCGGTAACATCGCCCGGTACCGCAAACAGAGATACGACTGGAGTGTCGCCCACAACGGCAACTTCTATTTCGGTCCGCAGTCAGTGCTCTTGTACGGAGCCGCATCATTCCTCTAGTAAGTCGCTTGGTCTACCATCCATTCGAATAGAGCTGACTATCCTTCAGCGAGTTGTTCCCATCCCTCGGTGACCAGGGCAAGCCTGACCTGGTTACCATGGACTATTTCTTCCGTCAGGAGAAGCTTCCCCCGAACTGGTTCTCCCGTGTCCAGCCTTACACAATCCCGCTGGTCGCCGCCGAGATCTTCAAGCAGTACGAGGCGTACCCAGTTGCTTTCGGCGGTAAGCTACTCCCTATATTACCATTGCCGAGCACATGCAAAAAGTGGTACTAATTTTTGACGACATAGGTAACACTGGAAACCCCAACACCTTCTACGGTATTGGTCAGTTCGGCCCATCCATCTCCAACAACACCCTCCAGACCACCCCACAGGGTGTTGCTTGCCTCTTGTACCAGATTGCAACCGAGAACACCCCATCGAGCTTGGGCGGCGGAGGCGGTCTCCCAACTTCAACTCTGCAGTGGGCAGCCAGCAAGCTCAACTCAATCTTCGGTTCAGGCGGCAGCCTGGCATCTTTGGCCTGCCCACTCAACCACAACAACGCCTAGATTGTCGAAGACAAGAGGCAACTAGGTGGATAGCCGATGCGAAGGAGGAAAGACAAGGTATCACGATATGGCAAAACGGATGATGAACTTTATGTAGCGTCGTACAACCTTCTTGCTTTGCATTACCCAGCCATCTTCCCGTAGCCCTTCTCTTTGTCTCTCGAACAAACGCAAAGACACTCTGCTCTTGATGTGTCTCGTGTAGGCCCTGAAACGAATCACTATCAGTGTGTTAGCTTGCGAACCGCGGTACGCATCGCAGAATGTACAACACTGCGCCTATGCTCATAGGTGGAAGTTTTGACGTCCAGCTCTCAAGTCTCCCCAATCTCCCCTGCTGGTTCAAGGACTTCTGTACCTACTATACAATTTCTTGGCCGACCGGAATTTTTTCCAGCTTAGGAAAGGCGAAAATCATACCAAGACACTATCGCAGCTCGGTTACACATGATCGCCGACTTAACGTCGTCCTTCATGTTTCCCTTCATGCACCCCAGACTAACGTGGAACAAAAGCCTGATTGCTGGGTCACCTTGAACAAACGTTAGTACCAACGCTATTGTAACTTCACCTGCAGGTTCTCGGGGCAATGCGGTACGCGAAGGAGTTATGAACAGTCTAGACAGAACGTACGTTTGATGTGAAACGGACGATATAATTCCGCGTCGATGGTATAAAGAACGTGCCGTCGTTGGATTAAATGGAGACAGAACAGTATCAGCGCAGCCCATAGCCTGTCTTTTGCATAACTTCATCATCTCCTGAATTACACTCAAGTCAACATGCATCTTCAATTGATCTCCCTAACCGCTCTGAGCACCTTGATCAGCTCAGGTTCCGCGGCTCCCTCCAACGAGCTCGACAAACGCGCTTTCAGCTTTCCGATCCCGGCGTCAAAGGGCAGTGTCACTTACAGCAAGGCCCAGACAATATCAGGCACCTTTGACGGCGGGTTGAAGACTTACGGCAGAGGTGTTTCTTGCACTGGCGATGCCGAAGGTGGAGATGCCGATGCTGTCTTCATCCTTGAGAACGGAGCGACGTTGAAGAATGCCATCATTGGCAAGGATCAGATCGAAGGCGTGCACTGCAAGGGGTCGTGCACCATTCAAAGTAGGTCTTGCGGCGAGAATTGGATGATTCCGATGGCTCTGATTCCCGTATAGATGTTTGGTGGACGGATGTCTGCGAAGACGCGTTATCGATCAAGGGCGACGGTAACGCGCTCGTGAGTGGAGGTGGAGCCCAAGAGGCTGATGACAAGTGAGACGAACGTTTTCTATGGCAGGCCATCGTTACTGACAAAACTCAGGGTCGTCCAACACAACGGATTTGGAACGTACGTATGATATGCCCAAATAGTTTTCCCCTTTTCACTGATCGAACGCAGCGTTACGATCGACGGTTTCTCTGTCCAAAACTTCGGCAAGCTATACAGGTCTTGCGGAAACTGCAGCGGTAACGGCAAGGCTCGAAACGTTGTCATCAAGAATGTAAGTACCAGCTTGGTGACCGCGAGTGTACGGTCCTGTCTGACATGGCCATGCAGGTCAAGTCTTCCAACGGAAAAGTCCTCGCGGGAATCAACTCCAACTACGGCGACACCGCAACGATCTCGTCGACATGTGCGAACAGCGTCAAGCAGATCTGCACCGAATTCAAGGGCAACAACAATGGCGACGAGCCCCCTGAGGTTTCGAACGGTCCGAGCAACTACTGCAAGTACTCCAGTGTCCCGGCGTGTTGAAGGAGACGTGAAGAGAACGCCGGACTACGGCGACCGGTGTCGAGCATGAATAACAAGGTCTGAAGATGATCAGACAGGGTCGAATCCGCAAAGCGTTCTCTTTCAGTATTCCTTGCATGCAGGCAGTCGTTCAGAGTACATAGCTTCACAAAAATGAAAGAGGGTTCCAACTGTGAGCTCAGGCCGCAGCAATGACACTCTGGGTCAGCCGATAACGTGCATCCTTTGCATGCAGCAGGAGTTGTTGGATCGTGGCCCTGTCGAGAAGTATCCGTCATTGGTTCGCTCGCAATCGAGGTTTTTGTTGTGCACGCTTTCATCCTGCTAGGCCCTAGCAATGCGATTTATCTGTGAGGACAATAGTTTTGCGAATGACAAGAGCATTTCTTCGAATTCTGCCTCTTGCCAAGCTCTTATTCTATTAGTGGATTCATCTCTCCATTTGAAGTACAAATACGAAGACTGGCGACCAAGCCTCCACCGAACACGTTATTTCGAATGCCCCATGCAGTCGCTTCGGTGGTCTACTTCTAGCCAAGCTTCGGCCCTGGAATCCTGGGATCCATCGAATAGAGTTGAAAGCTTGCCCACGATTGAGTTGAAAAGAAGCTCGGCATGTGACTCGCTTGACAGGACGTCAGGCGCGCAACTTCTGCTCGAAGCAGTAATGTACCGAATGAATAAACAAGATCCTGATCAAGAGTCATCGTTGAGGTACTTGGCAGCTTATGTAGTCGCTCTTGGCCTCGCCCATGTGATGTCGACGGTGAGTGAATGTTAACAGGCCACGCAAGCAGCTGAACGAACCGGTCAGGAATTCGCAGGTCTTGAATGGCCGATACGAGGGCCGAAAGATTTCCCTTCCTCGACTGTACTCCGGCAGAGATTTGAGGCAGGGAAGAGGGTTTGGAACAGACCGTGCTAGTGTTTGACGGGAGGAGCCGTCAGGAGCGGATTGCTCTTTCTGGCCTGCGGTGATGAAGTTTAAACGACTCTGAACGACACAGCCCACATCTCAGCCCCGTCACCCATTGGATGTGTTTACATCAGGCATGATGATGTTCGGAGCACGAATGGCCTGGAATGATATTTCAGCGGTGGGCGCGAGGATGTCCGCGACAGTATATAGGTCGACTCCACGGAAAAGCGTATCGCTTCATTGCGGTGACCCCAATTTGTTCACACCGAGGAGACACCAACAAGGAGTGCAACCATGGAGTACACCGCAGACGTACCGTCTCAACAGGCCCCTGATGATACCGGCATGCCGACTTATATGATATACCGAGATGTTCGGCCCGGGGAGCCCTTTGACCCTTCAGCACCATTGCACTTCCTCCCACCCAAAGACAGCGATGAACTCTTCGATGCTCTGAGGTTCGCCTTCCCACACCTCAAGACACACTCTGAGCGACTTCGAGATGCGACAATCAAATTCCTGCTGGAAGAGCAACATGCTTATACAGCTACTCCACCACCTCCAGCCCCTGTAACAGCGCAGCCGGTTCCTCAGACTCTCACAGCCTCTGCCACGCCCACCGCATCAACCTCGTCTAGTACGCTGAACGTGTGGAATCATGCCACGGTTGGCACCAAGGGAAAGTTCAAGCACGTGCCATCGTCTACATCGGGCAGTCAGCCATCTTCACTACTTACAAAAGACATGCCACCTCAAGAGGACATGACCGGAGTCTTCAGCATCTCGTCCGTCCAGCCAAAGCAGCATCAGAGGCGCAGAATGACAGAGAAAGAAAAGGCCGACTACAGGAAGCGGCGAATGATCAAGGCGTGCGACAAGTGTGCAAAGCGGAAGAGAAAGGTGGGGATTTTGCCCTACAAAAATGCATCAGAATCACTAACAAAGAGAAGTGCATCCACAACTTCGCGGGCAGTATGTCTCCTCAGCCGGAACAGAACCCATCAAGACGAAATGCCAGCAAAGCTACGAGGTAAGTCTTTACCAGGGCCTCGAAGAGAGAGTAAACTAATCTGACCCATCACAGTGACATCAGCTCCCCAAATAGCATTGACTCCCAGGATCAGAGTCTGAGAGAGGCATCGCAAGACAATGTTTCCCTGTCAAGCCAGTTCGCAAACGAGGATATGCAATTCGACTTCTCTTCCAACAATGAGCCTATGGATGGAGTTTCCGGATTGCAGGATTCTAGCTACACCATCTGGGACATACAAAACGCAGCAAACTTTGCCGCAGATATGATTGATCCTGCCCTCCAAATTCCATCACTCGGGACTTGGCCAGTGAGGACAGGGGCTTGCGAGCAAGACTGGACTTCGCAAGACCAAATCATGGCAGACTGGGCGATCGACTTTCCTCCTGCGCCAGTGACACCCCCAATCCTGCGCATGGACGAGTTCCTTCAGTTTGGCGAGGTGTTTCCAGAGCAATGGCAAGTTCCTTGGAACCAAGATAGAGATGGGCAAACGGTGCCTTTCGTTCACTCGGCGCACGGCGAAGAGGAATATGTTTTGCCTGAAGACAATGAGTGGTGTATAAGTCGGCACCGTAGGCTAGTCGGGGAGAAGCACCGGGCTGTGCTCCAGGGCACACTTTCGGCCTCGCGCCTTCGACAAAACCAAGAAACGATGGGTGAAGATGATACGATGGATGATGTTCGCCGCCATCGATCTCTGACATATTACGGACATCCCCTCCAGAAGCCAGAAAAGGATCCCAAGATTGCGGCCGACGACGCTTCGTATGGAGGCGAGCCTTTCGATGTACAGGAGATGGTCGTGTGTGGACATACAGCAGCCGCAGTATACGCATGGCGCTGTGAGGCGTATGGATGGGTCTTTGAGACCCTCGTGAAGAACGCGTCAACATTTGCCTCCGTGTTGACCCTGGTGGCGTCTCTCCTCCGCCAAGGAGAGAAATCCACGGCTCTAAATGGATGGCCGATGGTGGAATCGCCACAAATCGTGGAAGAGAACGATGGAGAAGAGACTGTGGTTGTACATCACCCCTAGAGCGAGGGAGAAGGAGTAAAGTTCATACAAAAGAAACAGCAACGAATGACTTGACTGGGTTCTGTGCAAGAGCACTTGCTCTCGCTTTTAAATCGTTCAGATGCTGGGGGCTATTAACAATTGCAATCTTGAGATTAGCTGCGCTCTCGTTTGGCGTTCGTCTCCAAACAACGTCGGCGCCTCCGTTGGTTCAGCCGCTGGATGACTGTTCGTCTGCAAGCAGCTAACCATGTTGCCCAAACGAGAAGGCATCGCCATGATTTTGAGTGACTCAATTTGCCGTTAAATCAAAATGCACGCTATAGCCATCTTGACCAAGCCCAGTAGCACGAGCATGTGAAAGTCTTGGCATTCACTCCTCCCGCCGAGAACGTCGGCTATTGACCCCGAATTAGGCAATTGTTGTCGTCAGCACTAGCCGACGGAGAGACTTCACCTCATCTCAGACCTCAACTTCACATCTTGCACAAAAGTTAGCAACAAAGCCTAATCGAAATGGCGAGCGCAGTATCAGACCTCTCCAACCGGCAAGCCAATGACACCCGCTTCAACAAAGAAGCCGCCGCCTGGGACTCCCGCCCCGGCATACACAAAGCCAGCAAACATGCGTGCGGAGCCATCCTCGCACAACTCAACAGTCTCGCCCCAGAGAAACCCTTGCACGAACTCGAAGTGCTCGAAATCGGGTGCGGGACTGGCGTCCTCTCTTTCCTGCTCGCTCCACACGTGAAGCGAATCGTAGCGGTCGACGCGGCGGAGGGCATGATAGATGTGTTGAAGCAGAAACTTGATAAGCCAGATGCGCCGAGAAATATCGTCGCCTTGGCTCTTTTACTTGAAGATCCAGAGGATCCGTCTCTTCCGCCTGCAGAGCCGAGTAAACCTGATGGGCCAAGGCTGAAATTCGACCTCATCACGAGCCATCTCGTGCTGCACCATATCCCAGATCTCACGGCTGTGCTGCAGACGATGCATGAATGCCTCGCTCCGGATGGTCGTGTTATGCTGACCGACTTTCAAGATTTCGGACCAGAAGCTCAGCGGTTCCATGCGAGATCGAGAATGGAAGGGGTTTGTCGGCATGGAATTGCTACGCTCGCCATGGAGGCGCTTATGTTGCAGGCTGGGTTTGTGGAGGTTGAAGTTGAGCCTAAGTGGACTATGAGTAAGACTGTGGAGAGGTTTGATGGCGAGTTTGGAGAGGTGGGGATGCAGAAGGAGGGGATGGGGAAGCAGATGGATTTTCCGTTTGTGTTGTGTTGTGGTGTGAAGGAGGCGAGGCATGTATTATCGTGAGGCTTGGGAAATGATAGTGATGAAAGCAATGCGTGGGAGGGTCTGGATAGGAGGATGTCGTCGTCGTTTAATAATGTACAACTAGGGTATCATCAAAGCCTGTCCTCCACGCAGCAGCCATATATCGCTGACGAAATCAGGCCTGGCCATAATTACTGATACTGGACAATACTATATGCCCTTGCCCCTGCATTTCCGTGGCTTCGTTTCTCATACAATCGCTCAAGTGCAGACCAGCTCAAAGGGCACCAGCGCTTAGGACGTTCAATTATTCATGTTTTTAATTGAACAGGACGACCTCATTGCTCATAGCATCCAGAACCGCCACCACCAATGCTTCCATAACCTTCGTGGTACAGTTGTGCAAGTGAGCTCAGTCTCAGTGGCTCTGCTCAGTTCAGCAGCACTTTCACGCAACATCGCAGCATCGCCTTCAAGATGTCTGTCTTGCAATCCAGTCGTCACTTCGCTCGTCTCCACTCCAGCAGTGATTGATGTCGTGTGAATGACAACAGGATGCCGGACGTAGCTCCAGTACATTCTGCTCCAGGAGCTGTTTCTCTCCCAAAACTGCCGATCAAAACCGAGCTTGTCTGACGATGCTTCTCGCAGGAGCCATAGGTAAGATTTCAGTGCCCGGCGAATGTCGTTGAACTGGCAATCTGGCCATTGATTCTTATGCTGCCAAGTCGGGGTTGAGTGCCACGGATGCGTTCTGTGACGGACGGCACCGAGGTCGCCGATGAGCCAGTGCTCATTTGATTCGACGAGAATGTTGTCTGGCTTGATGTCGTCGTGACATAAGTCTGCTTTGTGCAGTGAAACAAGCGCGGAGAGAAGATCGTTGAATGTAGGTCGATGTATCTGATCCAATTCCTCGACACCGGCTTTCTTTTGGCAACGCTCACGTGCCGCCAGGTTTGCCAGTGTTCCGCCAGAGACAAACGGTGTGACTAGTGCCCATGACCAATGACGCCCTGACTGAAGTATGAAGTAATCCAGAACTCGAGCATATGATCCCCGGATTGACGTTTCACCTATGAGTAAGCCAGCCTCGATCTCCGTAGGCCAAGCCGTGGTATAGTTTCCGATGTCACTGATCAACATCTTCGGTGGAAGATGGTTTCTGGCGATGTTTCTGAAGATTTTGATGACTACTTGGTTCCCAGTGGATGTGTCAAAGTACAGTCCAGCTGAGCCCTCATCCCCTTGGCCCAAGTGTCGGAGATAGTGATACTGGTCATCGATGTAATTATCGATTCCGACCGTCCGGATCGGCCTCGGTGGGAGCCAGGCGTTCTCTCTTTGTTTGAGACTGCTGAAGTCGGTGCTCTTCCGCTTGATGCTCTTGTCATGAATGTCTCGTACTCCATGGAGAAGCCCCAGTATGCCGAAGAGCGAAACCGTAGTGATTGCCAGTAGCCGCGCCCATCTTGGAACGCACTGATACTGTCGTTGCCACGCTGTTCGATATTTAGGATGCCAAGATAGGGGATCGTACTTCGTGGCCATCAAGTACTTTTGGTTGAGAATGGTCGGTGGTAAAGGTTGCGGATATCAAAGGTCAGAACAACAAGTCATGAGCACGAGACATGCCACCAGTGACTGAGGACATACAAGCCAGATAAACGGCGTTCTTCGTGACACATGGCCGACCTTGGCAGGCACTCGCAGCAAGCTCCATTCCATGAGCTTAAGTGGCTGTGTGCCAGCCGCAAGGCAGGAGCAGACCTCTTAAATCGGTGTTATTGGCAAAGCGTGATGCTGTTTGAAGAGCCATGACGCCGATCCAAGGCAGTGCCTGCATCCAAGGCAAACTGTTGGCTTGTCCCGCGGAAGGCTGAACCAGTGTGGTGTTTGAAGGCTTGACTCCGGCTTGGCAGCTGATCAGGGATTCGCTCAAACGGACCGTGGCGGCACATTCCTTTGTTTTCAGCGCTTGGTATCAGGCACGGACGCGTGTTCGTATCGAATTCGTTCCCGTTCGATGTACAACATTCAGTTTCAGCCTCAATGGCCTCGCCAGCTTGCAGAACCGGTTTTAAAGCTAGGGAGCACTGCATACCCGAAGGACTCAAATACACTCGCTTCCGGAAAAGTCGGTCACTGGTGACATGGCAGTGGAGCACGAAGGCCATCGAGAATTCATGCGATGCTCTTGCGTACATTCGATCAGATAAGCTGCTAGCTCATTCCTCTGGCACATACTTGCTCCGGGCTCTGATGCGTTCTCCATATCGATCGAATGCAAACGGTATGGGTATGAGCAATATGCTTACGAACCCCAACAGGCTACAGGCCCATCCGTTACCTAACGCTTCGAACATCTGAACTGCAAACAGCGGAAAGGCAAAAGCTGCGATGTAGCGGGTGAAGGTGTTCGAAGCCTGGTGAAGGAGCATGCCATTAGCTTCCAGCATCTCTAAATATTGACGAGATCTTGTTGGATTACTCACTGATGCGGACGCGCCGTATTGTGATCCATAGCAGTCCTGTAAGAACATCAGGGCACAGACGAATATGAGCAGGTTGCCGCAACTGAAGAAAGCCTCCGTGATGATGGGCGAGATCCAATGGACAGAAGGCCTGGCTGTCCAACCGAACCAGAAGAGTCTGTATGCGAAGTCAGCTCAACGTACTTTGGGTACTGGTCGCCGCCCAGTACTTACGATATCGGAAGTAGCGGCGCACCGATTTTGGCGATGATGAGCTTCCTCTCTGAAGGCAGCCTGGCCTTTGGATCAACCTCGACAAGTCTCCTCGTCTCCTCTGCCCATCGGTATTGGGAATAGTAGAGTATTATGGCAAGACCGACAATACTGCCGACTGCTTGCCCAAGATACGTCAATCCCGTGCTACCCAGATCAAATCCATATGTGTTCTCAAAGACCCAGGAGAAAGCCGCGAAGAATGCATTCAGCAACCCGAACGTGAAGGCGGTGTAGATGTCGAAGAAAGTGACAATCGGCTCTGTCAGCACCATGTGGATGGGCCTGGAAAGGGTCTTTTTGGCGAAGTATGCGATGAATTCACCTTTTGTTCGTTGAGGCTCTGCTGGTCCCTGTATACCCAGTCGCTTTGCCCTGGCTTTCAGGATCGTAAGCTTGTACGTCTCTTTCATGAATAGCGTGATAGCGAGGACAATGGTCAAGCCAAATAACATGATCCACTGGGTCCATCGCCAATCACGTTTCTCTACCACGAAACCACCGATCTGAAGGGTCAGTGTCATTGAAACATCAGAGACGAAGAGTAACTACTCACCAGTGGTCCAAACACAGGCCCCATTTGAACACTCGTCACGAAAATAGCCATGGGGACTGATCGTTCATTTGGACGCCACACATCTGCTGTGGTGCCGGACCCAATGCTCAACCCAGGGCTTGACGAGGCTCCGGCAAAGAATCGACAGACGATAAGCGAAGTGATGTTGGTCGAGAAGCCAGCCCCTATCGTGAAGACCGCGAACAACGGCAGAGCTCCAATGTAGACGATTCTTCGACCAAAAGTCTCGCTGAGAGGAGCAGCAAGGACCTAGAAACGTCAGTCACGGAGGCTGGAATCATCTCGGCTAAGCTCACAGGTCCAAAAGCAAGCCCGAGAAGATAGAAAACGAAAGGCAACAAAGCAACCTCTCGCTTCACTCCCATGTCCGCCATGATGGAAGATATCGCTGGTGTATAGACTGACGACCCGAATGGACTGCCTATCATTAGCGATCATTGCGATGTGGAGTGGCCTGGACGAACCATAAAAAAGCAATGCTCGTGGGCACCGCGGTATGAAATACCCTTTTCAACATCGACCAGTTCTGCGGGTTCGCCGGGTCTCTGGCAGCATCGGGGTACCAGTCGGTCGCTGTTGGGATTCCAGATCTGTTCTGAGTAGCTTCCAAGTCGACATCTTCGTCGATGTCTTTCATCGGCTGGGTGTCAACCTTCTCGCCCTCGAAATTGCTCTGTGGCGTTGCCGGCTCCATCATTGCCATGACTTGAATGGGTTGAGAGCATGAAGGCCAGTATAGATTGATGAGGATATCGTTCTCATATACTTAACAGAGTACGAATCAAGAGACTGCAGATGAACCTCAAATGCGAGAAACATACCCCTCCGGCAACTAAACCCGAGGCTGGGCTGCATCAAGGCGCATCTACCATTTTCATGAGTCACGCAATTCATGCAGCAGCAGCTTGCGTATCGACGGCAACTCGTGATAGACATTGAGTTCTTCTCTGAGCGATCCGGGCATGTTTCGGAGTTGAAGGATCTGCAGTGTCGCACTTTTTGAATCATCATCCTCCGCGTATACGGGCTCGGTGATTAGTATCGGCCATAGCAGCTGTTTCTGCGCGGGATTTCGGCTTTGGCTTCCACCAAAGTTGACAGATCGCTGCCGTGTCCGCATGTCATTGATTCCGACGGTTGAAGAATCTTCAGAGGATCATCTCCTGCGGTGCAACACAAGGCCACGGCCGAGTATAGTCCTATCACACCCTAGCAATCTTAACCCTCAAATCCACTCCCGGTCGTCAATCCGATGTTCCTCCAACCAATCGTGGATCCGATCCCAAGGCTTGCACACATGCTGCACATTCCACCCGTCACTGCCACCTACATGGGATCCGAAGGTCGTCTGCCGACCCTCCAGCGCCGTGTCGCCATGGCACATGATTGCCTGCCTTAGGTAATCAAAACAATGGCTCAAATGCTCGACTGGGTCTTCGCCCTCCCGCGTCAGACCCTCATCACCGTCGTCTTCTGCCATGTTCATTGCAAACCTGCCGTGATTCAATGCCAAATCGTTGAATCCGTGCATAACCATGAACAAGCAGTGGAGCTGGTGGGTGATGGAAGTTGTGTAGACTGGTTTCTTGTATTCGATCAATGGCGGGGGTATGTTTGGTCGGCCGGCGCAGTCAACAACCTCGACGAATCCGAGACCCTTAGGGACAAGCTCTAGCCAGTGCTGCTTGATATTGTTGATGAAGGTGGGTGACGTAAGATTTCCTATGAATCGGCTGTCCGGCTGAAATTCGATTATCTGCTGTGGAAGTTCAGGCCAGACATTGTTGATGTCTCCGGCAAGTTCGTAGACTGGCCGGTGACCGGAGTTGTGTATTTTGTCGAGAAGGAGAAAGAGTATCACGCCGAGTAAGGCGACATTTGAAAGCCATGACAAGGCTGAAAGCCCACCATAGACGCGTCGCCGGGGTAGTTTGGGCCCGAGCGAAGTATCCTCTTCATTGTAAAGCAGCTTTTCATCTTCATCGGTCTGTGCATGCGGGTAGTCGTCGACATAAATTCTGTCTGGTCCTGGCATGTTGAAATGACGAAGCGCTTGTACATGCAACTGGTATGATAGTACGTATGAATTCTTCTTCGCCTGTAATGGGTGCAAGGTGACGGTCCTGCCATATCGTCAGCTCTTCTTTCCCAACAATGGAGTCTCTGGTGGGAATCTTGCCATATCGTCAGCGGCTTGCGGCCACAGTAGAGCCTGCGTCAGCTCACCACGCCAGCTCAAAGCAGAATTTGCAATGGAAGGTAGGCATGGTACATTCAGACTTCGTTGAAAACCTTGTCAAAGCTCTGGAGGACGGTGCCGCCAATTTCGCCGGTAAGGTGACGTTGGACTCATCCCTGCTGAACACAGAGCGGCACGGCTGGCTGCTCACCTCCAGTACGGGCGATGGGCGTTTCGAGAGGTGGTATGCCATTGGTCCTGTGCAATTGCCGGCCATGTGGAAGCCCAAGAACAAGGACACTTTGGACCGACATGACGGTGATGGCGCAAGCCACTAAGCTGCCAAGCCTTGCTAAGCCTTATTTTGTAGAAAGCTTATGGTTTCTTCCACCTCTTAGCAGCTTTGGTGACATCGAAAAACTGCATGGCGGCACCGCAACTCTGTCGACCTCCTCATCTGCAAGTGCTTGTACCAGGTCCTCCACGATTCTCCACGCCATACTAGCCTGTTGCGGATCGTGCCGACTGCAGCTCTACCTGAAAGCTGACCTCACCCTACCCTCCGATTCTTCACGCCTGCCGTTAGTTGCCCTCACCGGCACTCTTCGGTCGAGTGCGGCCATCGGGGCCCGGTGACAATCCCCCAGTGTCGATCTCCTCCTCCACGACGAGGCCATGCTCTCAATGTCGATCCGGGTCTCAACGCACGTGGTAGCGTTGATCGGTGGAGACACAATGTCGACAGTCGGAGAATTTGCAAGTCTAACCAACATACCCTCACTGATTGCGATGCTGGCTCAAACCCAAATGCCTTGTCGACTACCTCCTCGCAATGGTTGCTGGATGAGTCTCTGCCCAGGCAGAACGCCTTGCCTAGACGCCACCATGCACCGAGATGCCGCTTCGGAGGCTTTGAAGCCACAATGTCATGTAGGGACTCAATAGTCGACCTTGCAGAGCTGTTTAGTTTTCGCCTACCAAACTTTCCCAGCAAGCCACGTGCGCTAGGCACGATGTTGCCGATATATCCCCCAGTTCTTTGTCAAGGAGAGTTTCTACATGCGCCTGAGTTGCTGATCCCTGCCTCTGTCAGACAACATCCCTTCCAGTCGCGCGAGAATATTTCCCGCGATGAGAAACATCAGAGCTAACACGGAAGCCAGCAGCAGGCTCGATGACGTCTCAACGTCGCCCTTGGGCCGTCAATCCCAACAGCAACGGCATTGCCAGTATGGTTGTGCCGTGCCCCTTCCAACGAATATATAAACCTTGAAGTCGACGGTCCAAGACAGCGTTCATCCAGCCAGACCAACGACCAAAGACAGAAGCCAGCAGAGCGCCAGCGCCTCCCAAGTGCAACCCCTTTCAACACTACCGTCAACCCCACCCCATCATTACCTCTTTACCACATCTTTCAAGTTCACTACCGACACAATGCACTTCTCCACCGCTACCATCATGGCCGCCCTGGCCGCCAACGTCTTGGCTGTTCCCGTTCCTCAAATTGGAGGTATGATCACACCTGGCAAATCTTCCAGCCTTCAGGTTTCGATTCGTGGAAAGTGCTAAGACATGTCTGTAGGAGAGGCTCAGGCCTGCCAGGGTTTGGTCAACGGTGTCACAAATGGTGTTGGCCAAGGAACTGCAGCAGCGCTGAACAATGTTGCCGGCAACGTCGCTGGCGCCAAGGCTGCCACGAGGAGGTTCAGATTCTTCCGCCGCCAAGGCTCTGGTCTTGCTGCCGGTAAGTGGCTCCTGGGAGCACTAGTTTTCTAGGAATACAAGGACGTGGCTGATGATTGACTATCTGCAGCTTGTTACGATGTCGTCAATAATGTGGACCAGGGTACCGGTTACGCCGCCCAGAATATCCAGGCAGGCGCCGTTGGCGACACTGGCGATGAGTGCACTGGCGACTGCGCCGTCGGCAACGCTCGTCGTCAGGTCGCGGACATCTCCAACGGGGTCCAAGCTATCAGCAATGCCGCAGGCGCGGGACAAGAGACCGCACCCGTCACGGGTGCTGTTTCAAGCGCCGGGAACGAGATCGATGCCGCTGAAAATGCAGCCGGTGCTGTGGTCGGCAATTACGAAGCAGACATCCCCGCAGATACCGGTGCTGCAATTGGCAACGCCATCGGCTCAGCTGTGTCTGGCGCCAAAGGCTCGGCCCCAGCCCGCCGCCAGCTCAACAAGATCGCCGAAGGTACGCAAGATGTTGGGGATGCTCTTGGCGTGGGTGACGAGATTGCGCCCATTACAACCGCAGAAGATAACATTGACGGTGTTGGTACCGGTGACGTGGGTGCTGCCGGAAACCAGGTCGGCGGAGCTGTGCAGGGCGCGCTCACCCAAGCTGGATCTTCCGTTCCATGAGCTCACCGGGAGAAAAGATCAAAGTGTTGAGTATGATGTCGTTATTGCGTGGGAGTTGGATGTTGGCTGCACTTGTTTCGTCTAATGCTTGTTCATTGGTGTTGTAGAGCGATCTCCTCAAATTACGTGCTTGTATCCGAGTTGTACTAAAGTAAAAAATAGCGATCTATCAATATTGACGATACTATATCTTTTACAGCTGCCTTGATAGGGAAAACCATGTTCTGCAACGTAGAATCCAAGGGGTCAACTTCATCGAGCGTAGGGGATAGAAGGAAGGAATTTGAGCGTACTGACAAGGGAGGTGAAGTTGTGAACCCCAGCCCCCAGATTATTAGACTTTCACCGGCAATGCTTGGCATCAACGTCATCAAAACATTGCCCTCCTTTCATTGGCTCAAGCATTGATTTTGATGGCAGTGATGGCAGTGATGGCAGTGTCACTCGCGCATCACCAGCAACAAAATTCACCGTCTTGCATCAACTGCGACACTGCAATTCAGCAGCATTGACCGACGACAACAATGTCGGCGTCCGGGATTAGAGCCAGATTCAACAATCTGGTGCGAAGGACCGGAAACAGTCAACGACAAGGACATCAGGACGGTCTGCTCAACGAAGAAAATGGAGATCGAAACGAACAGACTTCCCTTCTTGGCCATGTGCAGAATCATGTACAGAATGCAACAAGGAACACACCACGTGTTAAAGAATGGCCAGCCCGAATAGGACGCACTGTGTGGAAGGTCATATCGTCTAGCTATGTTAACATTCTGTTGGTCTTTGTGCCGCTGGGGATTGCTGCTGGAGTAGTGGATTGGCCTGCCATGGCGATTTTTGTGCTCAACTTCTTGGGCATCATTCCATTGGCGGCATTGCTCTCCTTTGCCACTGAGGAGTTGGCCCACACTGTTGGTCCGGCGATTGGAGGATTGCTCAACGCCACCTTCGGCAATGCCATCGAGTTGATTGTTTCGATCATTGCTCTGAACAAGGGGGAGTATCGTCTTGTGCAGGCCAGTATTCTTGGCAGTGTTCTGGTCAACATCCTTCTAGTAAGTTGCTCATAAGCTCGTCTTCAACACATGTAGCTGACCTATTGCGAACAGGTTCTAGGCTGCTGCTTCATTTCAGGTGGCATCCGACGACGCGAATCGAGATACGATCCAACCGTAGCCGGCATCATGTCCGCTCTCCTAACTCTGGCCTCCTCAGCCTTGATCGTACCCGCCATTCTCTACTCCACGCTCCGCGACTCAGCAGACGGCGACACGATTGACGTCCTGGCCGTCTCACGCGGAACAGCAATCATCCTGATCGTGCTCTACTTCCTCTACCTCGTATTCCAACTCCGAACACATTCCAATCTCTTTCGCGACGACGGCCCCGAACCCGAAGGCGACGGTGACGAGAACATCGACCCCGTACACGCCCAATCCAAGCACCACAACGAAGAGATCGAAACGACCCTCGGACCAAAAGGAGCCTTGGCCTGCCTCGTGGTCACCACACTCTGCGTGGGTGTCTGCGCCGAATTCCTAGTCGACAGCATCAACGAGATCGTCGAAACGACATCCATGTCCAAGACCTTCATTGGTCTGATCCTCCTCCCCATCGTCAGCAACGCCGCCGAGCACGTCACAGCCGTCATCGTCTCGTGGAAAGGCAAGATGAACCTGGCCCTCCTCGTGGATCTCGGAAGTGGCCTGCAGATCGCGCTGTTCGTCACGCCGCTACTGGTACTCTTCGCGTGGGCGATGGAAAAACCGCTGTCACTCCACTTCCAGCTATTCGAGACGGTTGTGTTCTTCTTGAGCGTACTCGTGACGAATTTCCTCATCCGAGGCGGGACGAGCAATTTTCTTGAGGGTTGCTTGTGTGTTGGTTGGTACTTGATCATTGCGCTGGCGTTTTTCTACTATCCTGATAACGACCCGATGACGAATGGGTGATGAGATCGTAGTGGGCTGTAATGTTAGCCATGTGCGAGCTTGCGCGTAACGATCTGTATAAATAGAAGACTTTCACTCTTGCAGTCGATCCCATGATCCATCTGTCCAGCCCCGAGCTACCCACCTGACTTCGTTTTCGACTTGAAGACAGCCGACAGATTGGAGAATGAAGTCGAGTCCTTACTACGATCTACTCTACATACAGCTTGGAGGTGGGAGAAGGGAGAAGAGGAATGGGGCGGAATTAATGGTAGTATTGTTGCGCAAGTACGGTGCCGGTGATGCATTGTTGACTTTGGAGTGGGGCGGAGGGGAGTGTGCAGGTAGATGAGTCGTCTTGCGAGTTTGGAAATTTCCTAAATTGTACGATGACTATTCATCTCCATACTGCTTGTCGTTGCATACCGCTAGCTAACGCACGTACGCTTGCTTATCCAAGATAGAGTGATCTGAAGTATCGGTTAGATGATGCAATAGAAAAGGACGGGAGGGCAAATACATTTGCTGCAAATCCAGATATAGCTCGCCCCTCGTGAGTTGCATCGGTGCAGATCTGAAGACGTCGTCAACAATCTCGTTTGGAAGACTGGTAACACTGTCTCTTATCCATCGGTCCGAGCTCGATAAATGGCTATGGATGCTGGCGTGGCGCTTTCGGAGAATGTCGCTCTTGATCTTGGGTTATTCGGTGCAGTCGCTCTGGCATGACAAGGCATGAGATAAATCTACTGCTTCTGGTCGCGCCGGATGCCATGGGTCGTTCTGTCCCAAGGGTGTTCATGTTCTTCGTCAGTCGTCAATCGGTCAATGCATCAGAAATGGCAAAGTCGCTATGGGCCAATGCTGCTTTGGGAGAAATGTCGCTTGTGGTCAACTGGCGCCTGGGTATCCTTGGAAACGTCGCTATGGGTCAAAAGGCCGAAAGTCGCTCTGGGGCCAAACATCGCTGGAAAAGTCGCTCTGGGTCTCGCTCATACGGGATGCACTTGGTAAGACTTCATCTCTCCAGGCTCACTGAACAGCTCCTCGATCGGATTCTTACTCAAAGCCTCATACCACTGCAGGAAGCTGCCAATCAGATATGCGGCAGATCCCCACATGCTGGACAAGTCGCTCTGGTATGCGGCCCAGGTCAAGGAACCAGAAGGAACACCAAATCCGGCGCAGAGCTCGAAGCCTACTGATCCGAGGATGGACCATACGCCGATCCACCAACCCAGGACTTTCGGCTCGGGCTTCCACCACTTTTCTTGCGTTTCGAAGGTGAACATGATACTTGCGATGAGGAAGCAAGCTGCGGCGACGATCTGTGGTACCCAGTACGCGCCGAGTTCTTGCCAACTGCTCAGGCTGTCGAGGATGCCCGGGAGGATGACGATGGCTGTAACGCCGTACAACGTCACACCGAACAGTTGGATGGTACAGGCGATGTATCCTATCTCATACACATGCTGTGTTCTCAACGCATGCCAGCTTGGCCACCATCGCCAGGTCATATAGGCGCTTTCATCGCCTTCTTCGCCGCCGAGATCGACTCCGCCACGGCGAGGCGCTGGAGCTTTGCCGGTTGGATAGATGGATCCAGGTCTCAAATGGCGATGCTCTTTGGTCTTCCAGCCTGCTTCGGGATCGACCGAGTTGGCGAGAGCTTCAGCGTCGTGATCTCGATGGTGCGGCTTGATGTGACCAACAAAGTTATGAATCTTGTCGTCAAGCAACTTCCTGCTGGCTGCCTGACCGTGGCCTTCTAGTAGCCTGCGCATTGCAGAGCCGTGGAAGGATCCATCATTGACAGCTTCCAAGTACGCCGCGACAGCTCCGATTTGATAGAAGAGGGCACCAAAGAAGAAGCACAGCGGACCGCCATACTTTTCCGTGGTGGCTGACTCGAAATTCTCCCCGAATGCCACAGGACCCCAGGCCATCGCTCCATCTGCAACGAATAGGGCCGACCCAATCGTATACGACCATCCACTCCAAAAGGCCATGTCCCAGTAGGGAAAGACAGTGCACATTCGCCACAGTGTAGAACCAATGTCGCTCAACTTTCCAGATATTCGAGGGGTGTACCTCAAGGGTAACAGAGGAGTTTCTTCCGATTCAATAGGTGGCATCATAGGCACGGCTATCGAATTGCGGCCTTTTCGGTTATCGCGAGATCGCCATATCAGAGCCATCTCCTTGGCTTTGTGCAAGCCGTGACTGTCCTCCTGGCTGGGGTCGCTACCGAAGCGGGCCTGCATCCGGATGGTGGTTGGATTTAGCAACCTGGTGACCCCTTCAGCCCTGACGCTGTGAAGGTGGATCTTATGTGCCACAGTCCTGATCTTGTCGACTACAGCCGGTGCAGCATCATCGGCAGCGGTCTTCAGCTTCTCGAGGACACCTTCGTGCTGGGATACGTCGTCGTCTCCACTTCCACTCTCGGGTCTGGGCTTCTTTTCGCTGCTGCTGGGTGCCGGACTGGGAGTCGGACTCGGCACTCTGAGTGGAGACGCACGAGTCGTCTGCTCTGGGGCCAAGTGTTCGGTCGGGCTCTGGGCAGGCGGACTTGGATCAGGCTGCTGGCTGTCGTCCTTATTGTGCCCGTCCCCAGCAAACGGATTCGCAAACCCTTGCTCCATTTCGAGTGTGCGGGAATTTCGGCAGCACGTGTCTGGCCAGAAAATGGACGAGAAAGCACGACCAAAATCGAAGCGTCAGCAAGCTTTCCTCAAGCTCTCGACAAGTGGGACCTGGCGCCGGTTTCGATCTAGAGGGCGTCACGAGGCTTCAGCTTAATAACAGGCTTTCGGTGACCTCACCCGCCTCCCAATTGGTGTCGCAACGAGGTCCTATCGTGTCCCTGCACGCTGATGTCGTTGTGGCGGATACCAACATCTCGTCGCTTTCGAGTCGTGCTCGCACTCAAAACGCCTGCAATGCCACCTCTGGATACAGGCACAGCATTGTCGCACGGCTGTGGAGCGGCTGGTGTACACTGGCTGTGATTGTGGCCTCTTCTCCGCCCTCCAGGCCTGCGATCGAGCATACAAGACGGCGTCACTGGCAAGTCAACACCCACGCCTTGCTTACCGCCAACTCCACGCTGCCTCCTTCTTATCTTCAGGCTGTTCCTCGCTTTCCGGTTGGGCCACTTGACGGACGTATGACCAGATGCAGAGCATGTAGCGCATGCCAAGAGGAAATAGCAGCAAAGAATGAGGCCATACCGTGCATGATAATGCGAACAATGTTGAGACGTCGTTGGAGAAAAAGAGGAGTGGCAGTAGGACAGACGGTCTGTAGACGTGCTCATAACAGCACAATTGACCTTTACACAAGGTTAGTCACGAGCACAACAATCTTCGTCATTCTCTCGTGCCTGCAAAGCGCAAAGCGCATAACTTGTCAGTGCTGGTTACATATCAATGTTTACCGCTATCAGACTCTGGCGTGAGGCTTTCAATCAGCCTGCAACACTTGACCTGAGTGTTTGAATGCCCACCAAACCAGAACCAAACGAGTTCGAGATGCATTCGCTTCTTGTACCTGAGCCACAGTCGATGCTGTGCTGTGTGCAAGTGGTCTCGTCCAGCCTAGCATCCACGACTTCCCGCGGTTGATGGCCGGGAAACGTACTCCGAGCCGAGATCGCTTTTCTGAGCATTTACGCTCATTGCGAAGAAATTTTCGCAGCTCAGAGCAGAGTTGGACGATTGATGCACAAGTTTGGTGCCTTTCTCGGTCATGGCAGCAAAAGAAGTGCTGTGGTCAGGAGCGAGTTTTCGGAGAGACAGCCCCTGGCCCGAAGTCGCAGTGCCAATGTCCCTTAGCTCCGTCCTCGCTCTTCGCCGAGACGACTTCCTGTCTTCAACAACACACTATGTATTCCCAGCTATATCCTACAACGGCAGCCGCGGTCAAAGAACACATGCCATCTTGCTGAACCTTGTATGGCCGAAGTGCAACATCACTCAGCATTCACTTAACTCGAGCAGCGATGCCGGGACTGGTCATGACGAAGCTACAGCTCACAGCTCCTCAACAATCCATTGATATAATGTAAGAGGCATCCTCCATTCGAGGAGCAAAGGTAGGTCAGATCCTCTGAACATCTACTAAATACTATGTCTTCCACCACGAACCAACCAAGCAACCCCTCGGGCCAAACAGGCCAACTCGCCAACTGGATCCACTCGACCAAAATCTCAGACATCCCCCCAGAAGTCCTCGAACGAGCCAAGTACCTGATCCTCGACGGCATCGCCTGCTCTTTTGTGGCAGCACATCTACCATGGTCCGAAATTGCCGCGAAAGCAATTTTCAAAATGGATCCCCAAGGCCAATGTACGGTCATCGGATGGGGAGATCGTAAATTGCCGCCTTTGTCGGCTGCGTTGCTGAACAGCACGTTCGGGCAGGGTTTCGAGTTGGATGACTACCACTCTCGAGCGCCGCTGCATTCGAATTCGTTGCTGCTGCCGGCGTTGTTCGCGGCGAGCGAGGCGGAAGAAGGCGATAAATTCTCTGGGCTGGATTTCTTGAAGGCGTATGTTGTTGGCTGCGAGGTTGGGCCAAGAGTTGGTCTCGCTCTTCACGGAGGGGATTTGCTTTCAAGAGGCTGGCATAGTGGTGCTGTTCAGGGACCTTCTGCAACAGCCGCCGCGGTGTCTTCGTACCTGGGCTTGAATCCACAGCAGATTGAGTGGGCTTTGGGGACTGCATGTACGCAAGCCGGAGGTCTGATGTCTGCACAGTTCGGCAGTATGGCCAAGCGTATGCAACACGGCTTCGGTTCGAGGAACGGTCTCTTCGCTACCCTACTAGCACGAGAGAACTACACCGGCATCGAAGAAGGTAAGCTCAAACTGCCACTCCCATATCGCCCACAACTAACCCCTCATCCCAGTCTATGAACGCCCATACGGCGGCTTCCTCTCCATGTTCAGCGAAGGCGCCAGCAAATCTCCCAAATCCCTCCCCGACGAAATCTCAAGCGAACTCGGCACCCGCTGGGAAATCCACAACATCCGAGTCAAACTCCACGCCGCCATGGCCGCCCTGCACTCCACCATCGACGCCGTCGAGAACCTCCAAAAAGCCCACCCATCCCTCTTCGAAACCAAGAACCTCTCCAACATAACCTCCGTCACCACCAAACACGCCAAAGCCGCCTACGAACATGGAGGATGGATCGCGCCCAAGGACAAACCTTTGACCAGCACCGCCGCGCAAATGTCCATCCAGAATGCCGCGGCGTCGCAGCTCTACGACAGGGAAGTCTTGATGTCGCAATTCGGCGCCTCGAAACTCAACCGTCCCGAAATCCGCGCCATGATGGAAAAAGTCCACCCAAAGCACGACGCCTCCATCGACGCACAAGGCGACGCGCTGTTCACGACGAAGATCTCTATCAAATTCGCGGATGGCACGGAAGTCAAGGAGGAGGTGAAAGCGCCGAAAGGGATTTCGCCGCCGGCGAGCAATGAGGATATTGTCGAGAAGTGGAGGGGACTCGTGAGGGGGATTTTGGATGAGGGGAGGAGGGAGGAGATTGAGAAGACGGTGCTGGGGTTGGAAGGCGTGGGGGATGTGAGGGAGCTGATCAAGTTGCTGGCGGGGGAGGTGAAGTGTCCGATTGATGTTTGAGAAGGCATTGTTGTAGCAGCGAATGTTTTGGGAGACCTTTGTGCTATCTTCTCATCAATCATAGCATGTCATATCTCATAGACCATTTCTTTTCCCAGATCACTCCTTCGACGGCGCCTTGGCCAAACTAATCGGCGTCACAGTCCCACTCGTCGGCGCGCCCTCCAACGCCAAAGGCGCAAAGATGCCCCCAACCACAGGCCTATTGACGAAACTCGCCCCACTGAAATACTGCTCCCCGGTGCCCGTATCATACAAATCCGAAAAGGGATATTGTGACGGAGTCTGGTCCAAATACGTCGTAATGATACTGATGAACTGGTTCTTTGTGCTCGCCGATGCGATGGCCGCGCACCAGAGTTCCCAGTCGGCTTTGGTGGCCGTGAAACTTGATCGAAGAGGCACGCCGTAGCGCTGGAAGACGGTCGGGTAGAAGTTGGATTGGATGTTGTAGATGCGCTTGGGGACGAGCTGGAGGCCGAGCAGGGCGTCGCCGTAGAGGTTGTAGAGCAGGCTGTAGGTCGTGGTGTTGCCGTACTGCGTCTCGGAATGCGGTGGGGTGGCTTGGAAGTTGACGCCGTAGTTCTGCCATTTCTTGATGTAGCTGTGGGCGATGCCGGTGTAGTTGACGCCGTCGGTGGTGTGGCCGGTGCGGTTGGCGATTTGGGCCATGGCTTCGATGCCGACGATGCCCTTCAGGGCGAGGTTGGTGTCGTTTTGGACGGCGCCGAGGAAGTCGTCCGTGCTGAGCTGGCTTTCTGGGATAAGGGAGTCGTTGACGAGGTATTCGTTCCATTGGCGGAGGATGCTGTAGTGCTGGGCGAGGTAAGCATTGTCGCCGGTTCGCTGAGCGTAGGCGAGGGCCATGATGAGCATGTTGCCGCATTCTTCCACAGGTTGTTGTTCGACGTTTACTTGCAGGTTGTTGTAGCCCGTGGCGTTGGGGAAGTGGCCCAAGTCGTGAATGGAGAAAGCATACGGCCAGTAGCCAGCTTCCTGGTTGATGCTATGAAAATGGATCAGCAAGTACTTTCAGAATCTGTAACAAAGACAACTTACAACAGCGGATCCAGCAGGTACTTCAGAAGCTTCGGGTTAGTGTAAATTATAATCGGGAAGAATGGGAAAATGACATCGACAGTTTGAATGTCTCCATCGGACGAAATCTCCTTCAAGAAGATCCACGGCTGGCTTGGCTTGTTGGTGTACTCCAAGGCGCCGAAAGCTTGACGAGTAGCCAAGGCCGTAAGAGCATAGTAGTCGTCACCTCCAGACGCCTTCGAGTCTGCCTCGACCTTGCTGTCGAAAGCTTCTGACGCCGCCGAGATGTTCGAGTACTGATTGTAGAAGTACTCCACGGCGTCCGTCTCCTGGTTGAAGTAGCTCGTCCAGAGACAAGGCACCGACGTATTTCCAGCTGCCTCCTCAAACAAGATGCAGTTCTGCTGATGCAGACTGAGCTGGAACGTATGATTCTTCTGCCCGTTCTTGCCAATGACGCCCATATTGTGGGCAAAGCCGAAGACAGGGTAGTTCTGGTTGATCGGTCGGTAGTTGGTGTCCTGGGTATTGGCCAAGAAGCCGTCTCGGATGAATTGAGTGCGCACAGAAATATCAGACCCCTGCTGATGGGTGAGGTTCCTCGTGTTGTCGGTTGCGTAGTACCAGTAACCCCATTCGGCCTGCTCGGTTCCCAAGTCGGTGAACTCAAGCTGCGTTTGGCGCCAGACTCTGTGATACGCCACACCACCGGCTCTTGCGTTCACCATTGCTTCGGCATTGGTGTGTGTTGTTGCGTTGAGCGGAGGCTCAGCAACACCGCTGGGACGAACTCCTTGACTGGAAGCATGGACCATCGCGCCAGTGTGGGTGGGTGCTCCTTTCAGTTGATACTGGGTATGTGTGGCGTACGTGGTGAGAGGGCCAGGTGCTGGTGCGGCTGCCTCTTGAACAGCCTCTACCGCATTTGGTTGTACGTTCGAATCCGAAGTGCCATAACTCCACTGTGCAACAGAGTCACGAACTCCTGAAACCCATTCTGCACTGATATCGGTATAGAGTTGAACATTGTGTCGTCTGCCGTCCAAGCTTCGTACGGATGTGGTCAAGTATGAGTATGGCAGAGACATCTGCAAGAGCGATTCTGGAAGGACTGGGCTCAAGAACGTTGCAGTCAACTCCACTTGGCCTGCAACATCGAGAGTGAAGATACTGGAGGTTGGCGTGTATTCATATCCGGTCTGAACAACGTAGTAATTGGTCTGGCCAGTCACGTTGGGTGCACCCATCCAGGTGTAGGTAATGTCTACACACCTAGTCAGTGCATCGAACCTCGCTCAGCAAGCATATATCCTCACTGTCGACTCTGATGTATCCCGTCCAACCTGTAATTTGACCAGCCCAAAAGGTAGGCCATTGCCCAGCAAGATATCCCCCGTTGCCTCCATTGCTGCCCGCCTGTTGCCTGTGGAGAAGAGTGGCATTAGTTACCGTCTCTTAAAAGGCTTACACAGTTGGGCATTACCATGTGCTCATGTAAGGGCTTCGCACGGCGAGAGGCAATGATGGTGGACGCAGTGGTGAGAATGTTGACTGGGCGCCGCAAAGCGCAGCAATGCTGGCAAGGACCAACTTCGTCCACATCTTGGTGAGTCTCCAGAGGGGCAGAAGATGCGAGACGGCGCAGAGTGGATACAGAGCTGGGGCTTTATAGTGGAAGCATAAGCTTCCCCAGGTGATCCTTTTTAGATCTGCCCTCGTGTCGATCCCTGGTTTGGATTTTGGGTCTCCACGATGCAACGATGGAGGTGCCCATTCGGATCCTTTGAACACTCGACCCGCTACAGAATGGGCAGGTCACAAACTTTGGAGCAGGCGTTCATGTGCCAGACGTGCCGCATGTTTGAATCTTGTCTAAAGACGAGGAACAACTTCTGGAGATCGGACCGGGCTCTCCAATGGTCTCCATTTGGAGGTGGCCTCGATGAATGGTGAATCGCAAATGCATACTGGTCAGTTGAAGTCCAGTACCTGACGACGATTGCATTTTTTGCTTGCAGTACAGCTTGCCGTGCCACTTTGACCGTCGGCGGGGTCGGTGGACTGAAGCGGCAAAGAGGATGGTCTAAATGTTGACGTGGAGGTAGATCTATGCATGGATTTATTGAAAGTGACGAACGATGTTCTCCATGGGGCATCGTACCTGCATAAGGGCATGCCTTGTTCACCCAGAGTAAAAAGCTTCTGAAGGCTTGACGGGCGACTTTGTGGAGCCGTTCTCTCTCCGCTTACTCCGCCTTTTCCACCCGGCTCCACTGAATATCGCAGTCAAAGATGCCGCAGAGCCGACGACCATGTTCTGCATCTTTTTGGAGATGAAATCCTGCACAGCGGTCTTTTCAACTCCCGTGACCCCATGTTGCGTCTGGGGATGACGCTCATAGTTCTTACCTACAACGAGGCCGCCCTGACCAGGCTTTGCATCTTGGTAATCCGGTACGAGAAGTCATGTCCAGATGATGAGCACTGGCGCGTACAAAGCCTATGTCAAGTCCAAGTCGTGGTCGAATCTGTCGGATTCCAAGCATTGTCCCACTTGAAGGATTGCTCTCCGCGTACATCGTTGCGCTGTCGAATTGTGCGCGGTCTGTTGAGGGATTACCTACTCAGGGCTTGGATTGTCCAGTATCTTGTAACGTTTTCAGGTTTCAAGCGTCTGATCTCGTCAAAGGGCTTGGTAAACGGACTTTCGGCGGTCTTTTGAGGGTCTAGAAGATGACACGTGATGCGAAGCCTCCTTGGAGAGGGGTTTGGCAATGACGCCAGCCAATGGGGTCACTAAGGGTATTAGATGATTCTTGGAAACACTGTGACATGTCAACAACAAGGATTCGAGACAACATGTTAAGAACGTAGACGTCCCGCGGTGACCGAAGTCAAGGAAGAACATCTCTCACCTTATGTCGACATGACCGACAGTGGGACTGTGAGCGGATTCGCCGCTGATACTTCGAACTTGCCAGAGCAATATCTGGACGCTCAAGGCCGACATCTCGGGACGACATTCGACGTGCTGATCGTCTGTAACGTGATCTTCCACGAAGACCGCGTACTTCTTTTTCACACCACTTCGGAAAGGAAGTCCTGGGCCAACAAGATCGGGGTGCCAATGTACAGGCTTGCTCGACCAGAAGACGAAAATGACGTCGCAAGCCTTCTGAGATCGCGGATAGATCGTGGCATGGACTTGGATGTGACGGTCGAAGAGTACGGGAGGGTAGCCTGCCGGACGCAAGTGGGCCTGGATCCGGCAAAATTGCAGAACAGCAGACTAGCCACGGCGCTCCATACAGCAGTCAGCCCGGCCATGCTCGAGGACAGCGTGTGGCTCCGAGCAAGCCTGCTTTGGACTGTTGAGCACGTGCCTCAGTTGAAGCCAGACGACTATGTGTGCCGGGAGGTTCTCTGGGCCACTGCGGCAGAGGTCGAAGAGATCCCCAGCGAGGACTTCCTCATGAGCGTGAAAGAAGACATTCAAGCAGCGTTTGAGCTGAGGCAACGAAGGTAGTCTTGCAGTTGAACTTGATTTCGTCGAATGGGTAGCAGGGCGTGCGTGCAATTGTGGCTTGGGTTAGGAAGGCGTCTTGTGCTGAGGTTTCCATTGTCTGTAGTTTGGCGCTTTGCAGTTTAACCAGACCAGAGCGGTATATGATGGGTCGCTGTTCCAGAGAGGTTCTTCGAGGATACGTAGAGGGAGGAATTGTTGTTGTTTTCTCCGTGAAAGTCTATCGCGAATTCACGCGTTGGAGCACTGACCAGCCCAGCGGAGTCAGGTCCGCTCTATGTTTTCGCGCCGCGCAGCCTGCTTCCATTCTCCAACAACATCTATTCCAAATCAGCCTACCATTAAGACAATCTTGCGACAGACCATGGTCGATCTGGACAATGACGACCACCACTACAACATCGCGCAACGCATACTTCCTGGATACGGACGGAACCTCGTGGAGAAGGATGCGCTGACGACGACAATGTCATTAACGAATGCCATCGCCGCAAGAGGTCAGCGCCGCGGCCAGGTACAGAGGCAGCGATGGACTTCAGAACAAGCTACGGCCCATATGTGGTATCGTTGCCGTCTCTAGTGGGATCTCTGTCTCTTCAGGCGGGATCTCGGCGTGCGCTGGCTACGGCAGAATGGAATCAAACCTCAGTCTTAGCTTCTTCACATTGGTCCCAGATGAAACAACCCACCACGAGCTTGCATTAGAGTTCTTGAGTATGCACGCTGACTTGCACCGTGCAGGGACGAGGTGGGTAGGCTGCATGGCTTCGATGTTGCATACGTACAGCCTCAACACGTTCTATCCGGAGCGCTCGTGTTTCCAGTCCTTTGCGATGGAAGTCCATGTCTGTCGTCAGCTACGGCCAGCTACAACCATGAGCTTGGTCTATTTGACGATTGGGCAAGATAACTAGTTCCACAACAGATTCTGCCTCGAAGGATACCAGGGCTACTTCGGCACGGATTCAGCGCTGACGTCCGGTAATGGGCTCACTGCAGACGCGAAAGGGACGTCATACATCTCAGAGCCATATGAGATCAAGATGTCGAGCACGCTCTTCTGTCGTACGACCAGCCAGCGGCACATATGTCTGGCCAACTCTGTCGACCACATCAACCGACATCAACAAAGTGGGCAACTTGCCAGCGAGCCGGACGACCTCCCTGTCCATCTCACTGCCAACAGCGTAGTTTGCGATCTGACAGAAACATCTTCTTCGATTTCGATTCCGGACCCGCCACCGAAGGCCCCAGTTTTTATAATGCACTAATGCCGGAACCCCGGCTACGTGACGACTACATCTGGGGCAGCCAATATCGTGACGTTTACCTGACGAAAAGTTTGAGCCTCAACTATCTTTCGCTCCGCGCAACGTGGGCGACAAATTTTTGTATGCCAGGCCGCCACGACTGAACGAGAGGTTTTCCACGCACCAATCTACGTCAACGACCCCAGCGCGAAGGACCCCGGTCGCCCCAGGCGGTCTTCGCGTGCATTGCCTCCAGCTCTGCTAAACCTTTGATCGTTCGACTATTCATTTGTCGAATCGGCTAACGAGCGGATGCGTGCAAGGCTCGCGGGAAGTAGATTGTTTCTTGACATCTGCATGGGGCTAGGCGGAAGGGCGTCAGACGCTGGTCGGTGGATACTGAGCCTGCCGTTCCCATGCCGTAGTCCCGCTCGGCCTCACAGTGAGATCAGAAACATGCCATGCTCGACTGTCTTTACCTTTTCGATCAATGACGATTCAAGTTAGTGCCACGACGAACATTCACACGTCAGGATGTCCAAGGTCTGTGCTCGAGCCCGTTGCTCGCATATAGTCTCTAGTCCTCGTCGTGGGGTCTTTCGTTTTCCTTCCTCACCTCGCGCTCTCTAATCTTCACGATTATCAAAAAGATGTTCGCCAGGTCGATTGCCACCTCTGCAGTTCTCGCCAGCCTCGCGGCTGCGGCTCCAGCACCTCAAGCTCCATCATACGGCTCCTTCGCATCCAGCGCTACCAAGGCTGCTGGTTCTTTTGCAGCTGATCAGTCTGGCAATGTAGCTGGCTACACCAACGCCGCTGCTCCATATGCCAGCGAGGTGCCTACATCGCTCACTGCCGTACCAACGAGCTTCGGTTTGAACTCGCAGATCTCGGCAATTTACACCACCGCCCCAACATCTGGCCCAGGCGCTGCCGCCCCGCAGAGGAGTGAATTTGTCAATGGTACGCTGGCATTCTTGGTCATGTAAAGGAGTTCCTTCTAACTTGCTGTGAAGGCACGACCACCCATGGCCCATTCAGTGGCGAGGCCACTACTACTGGTGCAGTCTCAACCACTGCCCTCGGGCAGACCATCCCAGCTCTACCACCGAACCCAACTGCCATCTACTACAACACCAACGGCGAGTTGACCAAGCCCCAGCCAATCCCTTACACCCCAGCTGGCGGCTTGGGTACCAATGGCTCTCAGCCGCGTTACATGGTCGAGAGCGACTTCGACTACGAGTCCATCATGCTTGGTCTCTACCAGGAATGGATCGAGCTCGATACCTTCAACAATGCTGTTGCCACCTTTTCCGAGGAGGACTTCTTGGCTGCTGGCCTAACAAAGGAGGACATCTCCCTCATCCAATTCATGGCCCAGCAGGAGCAAGGCCATGCCACCCTTCTATCCAATATGCTTGGTGAGACTGCGGCTCCTCAGTGCACATACAACTACCCTTACACAAACGTCCGCGAATTTGTTGAATTCAACTCCATCCTCACCCGCTGGGGTGAATCTGGTGTTTGGGGGTTCATCAACCATCTCGACTCCCGTGAGGTTGGCCAACTCCTCGCTCAGTCAATCGCCACCGAGGCCCGCCAGGAAATGATCTTCCGGCAATTCTCCGGTCTTCACCCAATGCCAGTCTGGTTCGAGGCTGGTATCCCACAGTCCTGGGCATGGACCTACCTGGCCCCATACATCTCGTCTTGCCCCGAGAACACCACCCGTCTGGCATGGCAGAACTTCCCAGCATTGCACGTCGCCAACCAGGCCAACATCAACCGTGTCTCGCCCAACGACACCGCTGACTGGGAGCGCGTTGACAACCGCACCTCCAGCCCATCTACGATCCCACCTCAGGACGAGAGCTGCATCAACTTGAACAAGACCGGTTATGGTTGCGGCCCAGCCATTACTCACAACCGCTCAGAGCCCCTGACCTTCCCCGGCAGGCAGGTTCGCCTGTTGTGGGACGCGCCTGGGTAAGCATACAATCATCACATTTTCGTTCTTCCAATATGTACTAATATCGTCCAGCCAAGCCGTCGGTCCTAACAACAGCTACGTCACCGCCACCACTGCCGGCGAGCCCAAGTTCGTCGCCTGGGTCGGACACCTCAACCTCACCTACACCGACCTCACCATCACCGGCCCTAACCAGGGTTACACCTACCAGCCAGCGGGTGATGTCTACCAGGGCGGCCAGGGTATCGTCAACGACACTGCTTTCATTGCCCTTACCGACACGAACACGTAAGTTATCATCCCCTTCTGTATGTACAACTCCTGCTGACAGCACCATAGCTACCTGACTCCATTCAACCTGAGCATGATCAACCCACATGTTGTCGCTCTTGGCTTGTATGCTGCCGGTTAAAAGGTGACACAAAAGAGACGATTGTACATATACCCCCATTGCATGATCACCAGCTCGCTTTTGCATACGCAGGGCGCGGTTGGCGTGTGAAGATAAGATATGACGATTATGAATATAATGTACGACCTGTTATTAGATCATTTACTTGTGTGCTTACATTCGGCTCTGCTTACTTGTGGCTTCCATCTTGACACTCACCTTCAGCGATCCTGGACGCGCCCAAGGAGATTTCTCTCTCACCATCGGAACGATCTGCTCACCCATTCAACTGACATCCGAATCTCCTCCCCTCGCACGACAAGATCATCTCTCGTTCAATACTTATGCCTAAACCACGCATTCTCACGATCCGTCAAATCCGCAAACTCCACATCCGGCTCCTGCTCGATCCCCGCCGTCTGCTTCTCCCGCTTGCGGTTCTGCCACACATACCACGCCAGCAACACGAGCGTCAGCACGATGGCGACGGAGTCGACGGCCACGATGGTGACCTTGGCCGGGGTGTACGAGGGGGCGTCTTCGTCGCGGAAGGTGAGCGGGCCGAGGATGTTGCCTAGGCAGAAGGACATGAGGAGGATGGCGTTCATTGTTACCTGGGAGATTTAAGTTAGTATGAAAGAATATCATGATAGTATCAGGTTTGCTCACCTTCTTCGTGTGCCCAGCCTGATTCGCCGCCGAAAACGAATACGCGCACGGTAGGAAAAGAGGCTTCTCAGGAGCATCTTCCACATCCAGGCTCACATGGTGTATCTGCTCGTTAGCGGGAGCCATAGTGAGCGCAAAGTCGACGCCAGAACGTTCCTTTGGACGAGGTGGACAGAGAGCGACGTTCTTACCGTAATAAAATGGCAAGAGGAGCACATATCTTCCATACAAGACCTACCGCACCGCTGGCCGCCCGGCGAAGCTTCCATGCCAACCGACTTGGCGGAGCTTGAAATGGGAGGCAGAAAGTGCATATCAAAGTCGAGCCCCGCAGTGAGAGGATGATATACAGACTGGTGATACTGTTCCAGTGGACGGAAGAGGAAGGTGGATGGCCTTTATCCGCCGCGGGCTAAACGGCTTTGGCCGCTGGTTTGGCCGATGCAGGTACTTGATCGCCGCGAGATGGAGATAGGTAGGTATGTATCTTCATGTAGCGACAAGACGGTCATTGTTCTCAGTCGAGCGGCCAGTCCTAGTGTCGATATTTCCCGATCGTTCGGTAGATAGGCCGGGCTGGAGTCCGAAAGAGTATGTACTGACACGAAACTGTAAGGCAGGATGTAGGTCGAGCATTTTGTGGTCTCGCCGCTTCGATCATGGTGTACGGCAGCATTTTTGAGGTTGCGTCCCAGTTCTGAACATTCTATGCGGACTTGCTTCGAAGGTAATGCAAGCCATGTCAGACAAGTACGACCACTTCGACCGGAAGACGAGGAGATGTCGTCGGCTTCCAAAAATAGGCCGGGCGTACACATGAGCACGATCCCGCAGCTGCCATTCCATTCACTCACCTTCCCTCGGTCACCGCTCGTGACCCTTCCCTCTTCCATCCACATCCACATGAAACAAGCTACTTGTGTTGGCTTTTATCCTGATCGATCTCAATGGCTGACCACACCTTTGGGGAGCGCTTGAGAGCGTCAGAAGCGTAAGATGTACGGCGCGGACGTGCAGCTTCGATCTGCACGACTTCTATTCTTTACCGCTGGCCTGCGGCTGAGACAAGGATTCACCCACCGTCCACCAACTCAGCCCCGACGTCTAGCCTTGCGCAGAAAGCGCTTCTCTCGTCATGTTCTGCCTCTGCTGGAATGATGGCTTTCGTCCTTGATCCTCACCTGTGCTTCCAAGAGGACAGACGCTGGCCGACGGGAATTGTCGCCTTGCTCCCTGGGATTCCTTGACAGAAGCAACGACAAAGCAAGGCTTTGAAGCTTTCGACGTGTACATTCGGCTCCCCAGAGTGCGCGGACTGAGTGCGTGTACTCTTCCGGCGACGGTATACAAGACTGCTGTGTTTTGAAGCAGGAGCCGAACGAACACAGACCAACACCTTCCCGCTCAGACTGGAGGCTAGATTACGTTGGTACGGCAGTGCATGAGATAGAAATGGTTGAACTCCATCAACGACAGGATCCTCCTTCACGTGGGGACTTGCTGTCTTCGCTGAGCTCGCTGAGCTCAGTGTTGTCGTCTGCGGCATCAGCAGCGTCCGCAGCTGCAACGTCCGGTATGTTGTCGCTTCTTAAGTAACGATACTGCACCTTGAGCCTGACAGCCCTTTTCTTAGCTTCGATTGAGCAACAAGACTCTTTGCTTGAGACACCCACTGTTACAGATATTATTGCTGGACCAACGGTTCCTGCTGCCACAAATGGGGGAGAAGCGCCATCAACGACCGCAGTCAATCCAGCTTCATCTACAACAGACAGTTCGAGTTCGAACTCCACAGTTGCCCTCAATGGAGAGTCGTCGAGTGATAGTGGCGGTGGCGGCGGTCTGAGCGAAGGTGCAAAGATCGGTCTTGGTGTTGGCTTGGGCGTTGGCCTGTCTCTTCTCATCGCCTTAATCGCTGGACTCTGCCTCATGCGTCGACGAAAGCGAAGACAGGCGCAGATGGGCAAATACACTCCTCAAGCGCAGTCGGACCTCTCGATGATCGAAGCGCCTCAAGCAATGGCCGCAGCACAGACTCGGGGACTCCCGCAAGAACACTACGAGCCTCCGAAGCAATACGACGACTATAACGAGTATGATCCGCCCCATCAACACGACGTCTTCGAGACTCCTATCAGCGCCATTGCTCCGTCAGACATCCATATGCCTGCGCCGCGAAGTGTGCCTGATGCACCGCCTGTACTGACAATACCTACCCCGGACCGCTCTCCTTTGCATTCGATCGTGCCTTCGATTGTGCCCTCGCCAGAGCATGGCGCTTCACCTGTGTCGCCGGTGTCGATGTCACCAGTGTCACCTATTGGAAGTCGGGCGCCGTCGCCCAAACATGGTCAATGAGAGATGATGTACGGCTGATTTTCATTAATAATATCAATACCCTTTAGATGCCTTAACGCATCTCACCTCACTTTCAACTTCATTGCTAGCCTCATTCACGACCTCGCTCCTTGCCCTGTGTCTAACGTTACATCTAACCTCACTTTTAGCTTCACTTCTACCATCACCCAAAACCTCAGTTCTAGACTCATATTCGAGCTCTCCTCTTCTGCATACTCGATCGCGCCCCTCCGCGACCTCATTGCCACAAGTGGGCCCTCCTTGTCCTCGAGCATTGTTTGCTTCGAAACATGTCTACCTGTCGTGGAACAGTACACAAGGGCTAAGCCTCAACAGTGATGTTCTTAAAAGCAGGATTTCCTCTTCGACGATGCCGAGTGCTCAATATCTCAACTCCAATCTCCGGCATATCGACTGGCTCCCCGGAAGTACCATGGCAGCTCCCTTCGGCTTCTCTGTAGGCGACCTGATCGCTGCATGTCGTGTCCTGCATACAGGGATGAAAGCTGTGGTCCACACGCACCAAGCAGAAGCCGAGTATCAATCGACCATCGCCGACCTCGAGTTTTTTCAGCTTGTCATTCAAAATTTCACGACTTTGCAGAACACTCACAGCGACGATGAAGACTCAAGACACTACGCTGAACATTGCTGTCGCCCAATCTCGAAGTTCCTGGAGAAGATACGAAAGTATGAGAAGGCTTTGGTGCCGCAGACAGGACGAGCAAGGTCGCCGAAGACACTGCTTTTCAAGGCACCCAGACAACTCAAGTGGGCGCTATATGTGAAAGAGAATGCTGAAAAGGTTAGAAAAGAAGTCGAGCCGCGGTTTTGTGCTCTCATCTTGCGTCTTACCCTGCCGGCAAGGCGGGATGTTGTCCAAACAAAGGAGACTTTACAGGTCATCTCAAAATCGGTCAACAAGCTTGAAGTCACCAGCGACATGGTGTTCTCAATAGTAGAGGAGATCATGGTCCACACGGAGCCACACTCAACAAAGATCGTGGCTCGAAGGAGGCAAGATGCCGACCTTCAAGTTGAATCCGTTCCCCGATTTCGCATCACGATCGGGTCTGTCGAGATCACGAAGCCTGAGACTCTCGAGCTCCTGATCGTGATCCTGATCTTGGTCTACTCGCCCTCGCTACCAGGCACCCACAGGCTCATCTGGCAGATTATAGTCTCCGCCCTCCTCGCCAAGCGTTGCCTCCCAAGACCACCAACCACGCTGTTGGACACCAACATTCACCTCACCGACGCGCTTGGCCGATTACTCAGTCTCTCATTCGACGATTTCCGGTACTAGACGACTCTGAAAGCCCGCCTAGACATCGCTTTCGACGACTGTCCCGAGCGTATGAACGTCCGGAGTCAGAACTTTGGATTTCTACTCCTCGACAAGGGGCAGCGGCGAATTCTTGACTTCATGACGTGGACGAAGGAGATCTATCCCGGAGCAAAGGTAGCCATGGTGATGCTCGTGCTCGGCATCGGCCGGGAGATCGGCGAGTGTCCACGATGCGGTACAACGTCTCACAAAACGGATAGGTTTGGATGGTCGACCTGGTGAGTGAGCCTTGTTCCCATCCGCCCGTAGGAACTTCTCTGACGGTGGCCATAGTCGAGACTGCGCTCTAGTCCACCGACTAGACAACCGCGAATTCATGACCGCTGAGGAACAGTTGGCATTGACCGACGAGCTCGACCACGGTGAGGAAGGGTATCTAGACGACATCGAGTGGAACGTCGACGGTAACGCAGACCACAGAGAAGGAGATAAAGATGTTGCAGCTTTCAAAATCGTGCAGTGGTTTACGGAGCCGTGTGATCGATGCTCAGCCATCTTCATCTCCATCCCTAAATTGATCGAACACTTGCACCATGTCCACGGCGATCAACGATACGAGGTTGGAACCACTCAGAACCTCGATCATGTCCGAAGCGAGAAGTAGAAGTTATTGCCGCAATTACACCTGAATTCTCTCCCGGCGCTGTTCTCCTCCTTCGTCTTCGTCGTGACAACAGGAACCTTCTGAGTCTTCGCGAAGATGCTGCGGCCATTCTCTCTGCCGCGATACGGAAATCCGCAAAAGGGACAGGAGCCGATGTAGAGCCTGTTGCTGGTCATGTTGAATGGTGCGTTGAGGAGGGGAGTTGCGTCTGGTGATGGCCAACAGTGGAACAATCTGCTTTTGTGAACTCGTACTGTGAGGAACGATGAACGATGGAGATCGATAGAGATTGGTTTTTTCGATATATATCTAAGATCATGTTGTTCGTGAATACTGTCTCTCTATTGTGAACCCTGTCGTTCGATCGTGAAGGCTGTCGCTCTAACCGTGAATGCTGCTTTTTAGATTCGACTGTATTCACGAAGTCTCTGTGAACTTGGATGTCTCCTCTATGTAGTGAATGCAGTCGTGATCTAGGAATTGAGGAACAGAGTGAACTTAGAAGTAAAGTTCAAAGTGAGCTGGACAGTGAGAATGGAAGTAATCCTACAAGTAAGGTTCAATAAGGTCTAAAGTGAGCTATGAAGTAAAAGCAACAGTAAGCCTAGAAGTAATGCAGAAGTGAAGTCAGAAGTGAATTAGAAGTGAGCCTAGGGGCAATCGAGAAGTGAAGCAAGAAGTAAGCCTACGAGTAAAGTCAGAAGTAAAGCAAGAAGTAAGCCTAAGAGTAAAGCAATAGTAAGTCGAAAAGTGAAGTCAAAAGTAAACAACATAGCGAGATCATCTTACCTTCTACTCCTATATTAGTCTACATCAAGTACTCTACCTCACCTCTAAATAGGACCTCATAGTAACTTCGACGCAGGAGGTGAAGTCAAGTACCCTCCAGCTTTTCGCCCCCGAAACCTTGGATCAAAACAGAAACCACCTCCATGGACATAACACCTTGCGGGACAAAACAATCATCATCATCGTCAAGCATCAAGTTGAGATTCTTTCTTTCTTTTTTTCCTATCCTTTTCTAATCTCACACATACACACACATACTCTAGCAGTTTCCCCTCCTCCTCCCATGTCGTCCAACCAGCAGACACATAAGCTAATAATAATACAACAGATAGTCCGTTACCAAAACTTCGGCCGTCGATTTTTGTCTGTTTGGGAGCTCGCGCCCCACGCGCCCCTTGGTATACTCCCACATCCTTTGCTCCCTCGCATAGTACAACACTAATCAAACAGAGGCGTCTCCTCTAGTACGCATCAAACATATCGTCGAGCTCGTCCATCTCGATATTCTCCGGACTCTGCAAGCTCTCCCACGCAAATGCAGGCTCCGGGAGGTCGATGTGGTAATCCTTCCCACCGAGCATCACCTCCATTTGCTCGTCCGCGCTGTGTTCTCCAACTTTCGCCTCGCTCATGGTGTCGATCCGCAACCCGTTCTGGGGCTGAAGTACTGGACTGCTGAAGTCCATGTTGTGTGACGTGGGCAGTTTCAGGTGCTCGGCCGCGAAAAGCGCAACAGCTGCTTCGCTATTCTTCAGCGCGGCACTCTCCTCCGACTCGTCGCCCTCGATGGACATGGTCACGCTCTTCGTATCCTGCTCTGCGCCTGCCGACACGTCGCGATCCATGTTCACGTCCTGCTGGCTTTGTTGGCTGTTTCGACGTTTCTGCGCCTCCTCGTACAACGCGCTGGCCGTTTGCTTGAAGTCGCGCTCCTCGTTCTCCAACGGTGGACTCGCGGCTCTCCTCGGATGGGCGTAGCTTGTAGGTTCCCGAGACATTGAATTGCGGCCCGAATATGATCCGCCGGGTGTTGGCGGGGCATCGCCATGGTCCTCGTCGAGCTCAGGAGATGAAAGGTCGACTTCTGGCGACGGCGATAATGCTTGTCGTTGTCGCAAGTAGCGATCTTCTTCGTCGGCGGCAGATGCAGACGATAGCGAGGGAGAAATGATGCGATTTGCCTTGGGAACTGGCTCGGCGACTTCCGGGATTGGCTGGTGGGGAGTGGTGGTCAGGTAGAAATAGAGTCGACGGGGGTGTACTGGCGACAGATCCTTGGCTAATGGACAAGGGCTGATTGCAGGCCACTGACGGTGCAGGTAAGCCGTCAGCCGGGAGGATATCAGCGCTGAAGGACTGGCAGATCTGTGTAGAATGTTAGCAACGTTTTTACGAAGAATATACTGTGAAGGTCGATCATACTTTTCGACAGCGTGTAGCTTTGTCGCAAGTGTCGCAGCGAGCTCTTTGACCAGATGTGGCCTGTTTCCCGTCTTCTCCAACTGTTGTAGTGTCGCGACAACAATGTCATCGTTTATACCTTCAGTGTCGATCTTGTTGCTGCCTTCGGCGACTGGGGAGGGTGGAGGTGACAGTTCTGCGGCCGGCTTGGGCTTCTCCTCTTTCAAACGGATGACGGTGGCCTGGGGCGGGTTCATAAGGTTCGGAGGCGGCGATAGCGATGTATGCGACCGCTTTGATTTCTTCACCGGAGGCTCTTCGCCTTCGACGACGGTTTCGGGCGGTGAGGGGTGTGACTGTGTTCGCGATCGTTTTGGGGCGATGACGCCGAGGTCGCCCAGATTGAGGCTCTTGCGGCGGGTCTGCATGGTGGTGGTGGTGTCGCGGGTTGGAGTATCGATGGGGAGGGTGTATGTGGTGTGCGAGAGCTGAGCTGTGCTGCGCGACAAAAAAGGCGTGTTGTGTGGTGGTTAGGCACAAAGAATGCTGGCACAGCTCTCCAGAGCTAGGTGCAGCGACGGCGATTGGCTGGGGGTATGCAGTGCGTTTCGGGGACGCAAGGGTTGAGGCGACGGCGATGGCTGGCGCGTTTGTGTAATGGTTGAGTGGAAGAGTGGGAGAGGTGCAGTGCAGGTCGTCGACGTCGAACGTTGATGTGTGCGACTGGCGCAGGCAGCGTGTGCTTGCCTGTCAGGAGATGCAAGTTCGCCCGGGAAGTGTCGCTTAGAGAGTGATGCCGAGCCGAGTACACAATAAACACCCTCCCGGATGCCTGGCGACGGCGAAAGCGATGATGGCGAGATGGTTAGTATGTCGATGAAATTGATGTCGAGAAACAGCAGACAGCCGTGCAACAACCAACACGACGAGGCCGCGATGAGTAGTTCGCCCCTGCCGACCTCCCACAGCTACGCAGCTACGTCTTTTCTGACTTCTCAAGCTTATTCGAGGATAGTGGGTCTTTTCCTGGCCGGCTCACTGGTCGACCGGAACGCAGACCCTGTTGCTTTGTTTGCGCGGTGAGCGTTTTCCCGACCATCGACGTCGCCTGACGACAACAGTGTTTGTTGTTGTGATCTGGCCGTTGGGATAATTTTGTGTTTTGCAACGAGAACATCTCCCCCGTCCGTCGCATTCCACAGAGTTCGTGTCCCCTGCTAGGGTAGCGTTTCCCAACTTGTCACAAATAGCGCAGAAAAACAGCGCCACCACGAGGACAACAGCCGGTCAGTCCTCTTGGCGAATCGGACGACAGCTTTTTTCCGACAAGGTTTTGTCTCGAACTCGCTTCTCGCCCAACCTGAAACGTCATGCTTTCTTATGCGCAACAACCACACTCCTCATCTCATGCCACCAGTTCGAAATGCCAATGCGCTCTTTGCTGGGAGAAATATGCAGGTATATAGCGCTGCACACACCGCCTGTTGCTGCATCCACATTACCATCCGGCTTTCCAACGACTCACGAAGCTCTTTCACACTGCATCGGCCGCCGCCCGGATCTGCACGTCGATGATGCAGCGTCCCGATCGCCTCAGTGCAGGTACACCTTTACGTAGGTTCAGCTCCGCCCGCACGTCGGCAGAAGCCTCGCTCGCTCGTTTGTCTTGGTACAGCCCACCATCTCTCGATTATTTCGTCCCAATGGCACTCCCCACAGAGCGCCTTATCTCAGGGGTGATTCGGTGAGTTTGAGGAGGCGTGCGTCTGGACCGTCGCCAAACAACCAGAGGATTCATGGGAAGCCGATCGGCACGTCACTGGTCTTGGGTGATGATGCGGGATAGCCCCTGAGACACTGATTTCCAGATTCGGTATGCGTTCGATTCGTGTGACATTGCAGGTGTGGCACAGGTCCAAGTAGCGATAAGACGTCAAGTGAAAGGTAAGTAAACGAGAAAGTGAGCTGTGGAGCCAAGATAAGTGAAAGATCAAGTGAGGTCGAAGTAAGGTTTTATGGGTTGTCGACTTAAGGAAGTTGCGAAGTCGAACTGACTGCTCCTACATGACCGGCGCAACCTAATTGCCGCAGAACTGAACTGCACATCTACACGTCCATCGAATACAAAACATAATCGCAAACATACCCTCTAGCTTGGAATGCTACTACCACTAATGTCAGCATCGAAGGAGTCTTTAACTCATCCATTTTGACCTGCTATGGAACGGAAGATTGCGTCGCAAGTATCCGGCCTATTGACGTTCAGATGCGTATCCTTTCGAGACAGCCTTTCACATGTAGGAACCTACAAACCGTCGCAGATGATGAAGCAAGGACGAACATCTCAACTGCAGTTGCTCCTGCCTTCTTTGTCTAAGTTGACATCATACGAATGACTTTAAGAAGGTGCTGCAAACGGGCATACGATCTTGACTTCAAAGAGTAGGTACGACGACAAATTCACATTCCAGCTTCCTCATCTCGAATCGAACTGGACCCCTTGCGCAGAACAAGATGCACTTCTTCACGATCCTAGAGCTCGCGACGTCCGCCACAGCAGGTGTCGCTGGCGGACGCAAACCCAGCCGTCCTCTATGGAACCAACGCGGACCAGTGCGAGCGGGTCATAACTTCGAGCAGACAGCAGGCTTCGTCGAGAAGACACACAACCTCGCTCGAGATGCCCGAGACGCTGTTCAAGCCCGACTTCCTTTCAACAATGACGAGGTGCAAGACGGACCAGTTGACACAGGCCCATGGTCAAGGATCAGCGCTGGGCTGAAGGACGCTTGGAATGCTGTTACACACGGAGTCAACCAGAAAGCTCATGAAGCCGCTGAGCTTGCGAAAGCGCATGCTACGATGAGTACCGATGCCGGAAACAACAAATCTCCTAAGTTGGCCCTGCGGGATGTCGACGATGAAGCTGAAGCTATGCACAACATCCTCGAACGAGCAGAAGTGCATGGCGAGGTGTACAGAGCTGGCACTGGGAAAAAATCACACCGTCCTGCTAGTTACCGGCTTGGCCAGCGCGATCTTGATGTCGACGAGGACGAGATGCCGGAGTATGACGGTTCTGTCGAGTCTCGCGATGCTGCGCCTTTCGATGAAGATGATGATGCATACGATGATGAAGACGAGCTCCAGGACTCGGACGCAGACGAGGATCATCTCGCAGGGGACGAAGTCTTCGATGAAGAGGAAGCACCACCTGAACAGCCCGAGGAAGACACAACCCGAACCCTCTCAGCTCGCGACGCAGACCCGGCACGCCGTCGTCTCTTCCACCTCGGCAGGAAGCCCAAGCCCAAACTCGCCAATCCATTCCACGCTCGCGATGTGGAGGACGAAGACGGCGATGATGATATCGAAGAAGAGGAAGACCTCGCCGAACGTGACTTCCTCGATGGGACAAAACCCATAGTCTCGAGCGAGACAGCAGGTGCTGCTCCACCACCTCAGCCGGCGCATCAGACGAATGGTTGGGGCAGGCAGCATGGTCATTACCGTCATGCGGAACCTCCGTTGCAAGCTGGGCCGGGGAAGACGAGGAGTGAGAATGAGAAGAGGTTTTTGTCGTTGGGTTGAAGGGCGTGGGACTGCTGTAGATGTGTTAGACAGACATGAAGTTATGAGTCCTTCTCGACTGATGGAGTATCTACTAAAACGTTGATACCAATCACAATGGCACAGTAGATCCTGCAACAACGGGGATTGTTGACTTGATCCTAAGTTTAGTTACTAATGACAAGCTCGATGAGATGTTAGCAAAGATTGCTATTGTGAAGACTTCGAGGATTCGTGGTATAGATTGTTGGAGGGTGAGTCCTGATCAAAGGCGTCATGTTTCTCAATGCCCTCTCGATCATGGCATATGAAGCTTTAGGTCGTATCATACATGCTCTACCCCTGAAGCGAGAAGGACCTCCTCGTCTATTCTCCTAGAGAGCTACTGGCATATGAAACGTCTTTCGGACCGGCCTTTGACTTGCTCGCTCACTTAATACCTCACTTCCACCCTTACTTCCTCCTTCACTTCCTCCCTCACTTACTTCCTCACTTCCTCACTTCCTCACTTATACCCTCCCTTGCTCATTCCCTTACTTCGTCCCTCAATTCTCCCCTCTCTCACCCCTCTCTCACCCCTCCCTCACCCCTCCCCACTTCCTCCCTGGCCCCTCCCCTCCCCTCCTTCCCCAATCCCCTCACTCAAACCCGCCCCCCCCCCTCAAACTCCCCCACCTCACAAACCACCACCTCCCCTCAACACACTCAAACCCCACACTCGCCACACTAGGCCTCACAATCCCCACCGGCACGCCACTCAACTCCAAATTGACAAAACTCTCCGCCTTCCCCCGCCTTGTATTAACATTCGTATGCACGCCCGTCACTCTCATGCGATACTCCGGGTTCTGGCGGCGGCGCTCCGCCGTGAAGAGCAGGAAGTCGTGGAGCGGGATTTTGGTTTTGGAGGCGCTGTTGGCGAGCGCGCCGACTTCCGCGGTGAAGGTGGGGTGGAAGTGTGTGGACCAGGGGGGGAGGAGAGGGTTGTGGTTGGAGGTTTCGAGGGCGGTGGCGATGTCTTGGAGGAGGGACTCGAGGTGGGAGATGATTTGGGCTTTGGGTTGGGGTGGGGCGCGTTTGGGTTTGGGGGGGATGAGTGTCTGGTCTTGGGAGGGTGGGGAGGGTTGTTGGGAGGAGGAGGGTTGTTCGGGGGAGGTGGTTTGTTGGTCTTCGTTATCCTGGGGTTGTTCTTGTTCTTCGTGGTCCGAAGACGACGAGTCCGATGAAGGTTTGTGAAGGTCGTCCATTGTTGTTTAGCGTAAACCGTCCCGAGCAGAGGCATCCCTCGATGATATATCAACAGCCGTCCCGGCATGTACCCGACCTCGTGTCCTCCAGCTGCAGCTATACACACGAATACCACCTAGCCTCGCAGGAATGAGCACATCCGAACCCCCAAGTGCCGCGCTGCATACACCATTCCCCATAAAAATCCGCCCTAGGCGACAGCAAGATAGGACGACGAGCCGCCTCGTGGCCGTGGGTCCTGGCCTAAAAGGGGAGTGCTCGCCTAGTAGGGCGTGTGTTGTAGGATCGACCTCGCAGGAGCTGACTGCAGGGGTTCTGATCTCGCGACTCAAACAATGTTGCTGCCTCAGTATAAAAGGCTATGCTCAGCCACGGAGCGTTGTAAGAGGTATGGAGCCCTGTTTCTGTTTTGTGAATGTGCGTTCGTCATCTCTTGCGGCGCTGCGATGGGAATGCGGCTGATTGTCGAGATGTTTGCCAAGTCTTCCAGGCAGCCGAATTGTGGACCATGGCGAGATGTCGGTATTATTTGACCGTGACGAGCTGAAGGGCATGGGATGGAATTGGTATGTCTGTCTTCAGTCAGCGAAGTAGCTATGAAAGGAGGGAGTGAGGGCGAGTAGATCAAGAAAATAAATAAGTAAAGCAGGAAATAAAGCAGGCAGTAAAGGAGAAGGCAAAGCAATTAGTGAAGCAGAAACTAAAAGAGAAACCAAAGGAGACAACGTAGACAAAACATGCCTGTAAGTGAAGGAAACACTTCGAACGACCTGCTACTGTCAACGCATAAATTTACATTATGTAAAACATTAACTTCTCTTCCCCAACTCTATCCCACCATCATCATCCCAATCATCATCGTGACCACCCACTTTCCTACCAACAAGAATTCCCGTCGCGGTGAGTCCCACAGCAACCAAGAACCAACTCTCGAACCAGCCCTCGACAAAGCGGCCTTCCAGCGGCGCTCCAAGGGCTTCGGAGATGACGCTGCTCACTTCTGGTGGCAGGTTACTTCTTAAGAGGAGTGCAGAGCTGATCACGTAGGTGCCAGCGATCTGCGATATTATGAGTGGGAGACTGGTTTGTGCGTGCTGGAGCAGGCCAGGGGCGAATCTTGCGAAAAGGCGGAAGGTTTGGAGGACGGCGTTGAACGAGGCCAGGAGCATTACGCCGGAGAGTAAGAAGCTGATCTGCCGCGACCAGGCGGCTCGATCGAGATTGCTGTCCCAGTGGGCAGTTAGAAGGGCGAGGAGGTTGTTGATCGGATCGCTGGTTGCGAATGAGTGTGATGGATTCCACCATCGCCGGAGTGATGAGAGGGATGTAGCGCAGATCCGGTAAGCGCAGTATATGGCGAATATCATGTTGGCAATGTTGAGGAGCCGGCCTGTTTTGCTTCTCGATCGTTCCTGCTCAGCATGTCGAGAGCGGAGATTGGAGAGCGAGTTGGCCAGACTGAATCTCATTGTCTCCAGTCCAGAGACCTCCATTCGCAGCGCCTTCAGCTCTTGCACTTCATTGGACCCACGGAACGAACCAATAACTCGGCCCATGATACCAGATTGTTCGACCGGAGATGCTCCACCACCTTCAGACATCTTGCGCTCCAAAGCTCGCACTCGGCTCTGCTTAGCTGCGAGCATTTCTTCCGTAGCAGTCAGACCAGCTGCTTTGCGTGATATATCATTTTCTTTCACGACTCGATGTCGAACTCCAAACGTCTGCCAAAGCGAAGATACCGCAGCGAATCCAGATAGCGAGGCCATGAGGGATATTCCAATGATCCCAATCCTTTCCAGACAAGCCTCCGTGAACGCATGATCACCCTCTGAATGTCCATGGTCTCCTTCATGCAGCTTCTTCCTCAAGACCGAAGTCTGAGGAATATACCAAAAGACCACTAACCACGAAGCCAAAAGCGCGAGCTCCATGGCAAGTCGAAATTTCGGCCGGGTCCTGCGCGTGGATGCCGTGTCTGAGGGTGTACCTAGCAACCCTTTCACGATGCCATGGATCTCCAGCGCCGGTGTAATTACTATGCTCAATACTAGCAAAGAGCTCAGCGTGATCTGCAGTGCCAATCCTCTCGCCGCAGGATTGAGCGTGTTGGATATCTCGCAGAGAAGCAACTCCACCAAAACTGCCGACAAGCCCATGCTCGCCGAGAAGACCCATGATGCCAGCTTTTGCGCAGAGGGTTTCTTCACACTCTGCCACGTACTACTACCACCTCCCCCAAAGACATTTTTATAAAAGGTGGGTAGTTCATCTTGCCCGCTCTTCCTCTCATTGTCGCTCGAAAGTATAGGCAACAGCCTCCTCTGGGCGATGACAACCGCCGCGATCCATGTCAAGAGAAGAGGCGCGGAAGATAGGACAATCGTCGAGGGAGGAACGGAATCGAGGCTGCGTCGCATATACGCTGGCTTGCAATCATCGCAGTCGGTGGAGGGGAACATGGCTATGAGAGAGGCCAATGTCTAGAGGGTTGCGATCGCGTGGCGGGTCGTAAATGCGGTAGGTGATGCATTGGCAGCATTGAATTGTGATGAGAAGGAAGAGGAGGAGTCCAATAGCTGAGAATGGGGTGAAGGTTGGAGCGGTCCTTGAGTGCCTTGCAGTATGTGGCGCCCTAGGGTGACGTTTTGAACGCCGCTGATCCCTGGTGTCTGCGCCGAAATGCGAGAACGATTGCATAGCACGTGACGACGCGACTTCTTCACCCAGACATTGATAGGTGAGTGAATGAAAACGAAACACTTATGTGTGGATCGTATCAGTTAGCGTGCACAAATGAGTACTGCACGCCTAGCCAATATAAAGTCTTTACCTTCTTGACCACAAAAGTTCCAGTCGTCTCCTCGCCCAACTCCCCCCAGCAACATTCGCAAAGCGACGACAGCCTACCAAAGCTCCCCCCAGAAAAACCCAATCCCCATCATCATGCGCCACATAACAAACCCATCCCGCCAAACCATCCTCCAAACCCTCCACTTTATCAAACCTCATCCACAACTCCGCCCCTTCACCCACACAACCCGCAAAATGGTGCGAATAGAAGACATCCGCCCCTCGGAAGGCGCAGACCCCCAAACCCTCCTCCAAGACACCAACGCCCTCGTGGAGGAGTCCGGGAAATGGACGCTCTGCAACGGAGGCAAAGGTCTCGAACGTCCGTTTAAATTCAAGACTTTTAAAGCGACTTGGGTACGTCAAAGCCGTACCACTCATTTCCCACCATCAATGGATTTGCTCATGTGTGGATGGATATATAGGAATTCATGACCTCCATCGCGACAGAATGCAAATCGCAAAAACATCACCCGGAGTGGAGCAACGTGTACAACAAGACGCACATTCGGTGGACGACGCATGCGCCCGAGGGGTTGTCCGGGAAGGATACGTATATGGCGAGGTTTTGCGATGAGAAGGCGAGGGAGTTTAAGGAGGTGGAGGTGGCGGAAGGGGAGGGGAAGGTGGGGAGGGATGGGATTGTTGAGGCGGGAGGGTGTTGTGTGCCGAAGAAGGCGAATGTTTGAAGGGTATTTGTAGGATGGGGCGATGTAAGATGACGGTGGTAGGAAAATGCGAATGATTAACGACTGTTCCTGATTCGAGACTGATACTCATTTTGCTCAACGAAATGCAACACCACCACCCAAAGCGAATCAGTCCGCCACCGCCTCGAAAGTACAAATCTCCTAATCAGTATCCATACTCTCAATCTTAATAGCCACCCCATCGACCATCACAACATCATCAGCCATCTTATCCAAATCCGTCGAAGCTTCACTCGAAGACGAGCCCACATGTCGAGGACGCTTCACTGTATCAAAGACTAATCTCGCATGGCTCGAAAGCAACTTCAGACTCGGGGCTTTATTCATCAACGATTCGTCGTCGTGGATTGTTAGTTGTGAGAGCACTGGTAGTCGTGTGGGTATCATGGCGAGAAACGAGAGGTACATTGCTTTCAGCAGCTGCGAATGAATCTTTTCTGGCGGGGCGATGCTCAGATTCCGTAGGCCGGAGAGTGATCGAAGTGCTCGGTCCAGTTTTTCCAGTTCTCGTTGATACAGTCTCCAAGCAGTCGGGCGTGGACTTGTTCTTTCGAGATCGTTATCGAAGAGCGATGACATGTCGATGTCCGTCAACCGTAGCGACAGTGTTCTGACCCGTTTCAGGTCGGCCTCCTGACTTCTCTCGACCCATGAGGTGAGCGTGGCCTGGGAGGAGAAGCTGACGGGCCGTTGGTACAAAGTAGGCGAGGCTTCCATGTAGATCTGTTTGCAGGTGCGCAAGAGAGATATGTCGTTGTCGTTGTCAAGCAAGGCGGCGGCGTAGATGGCAGTTCGTAGTTCGGCAGGCAAGGCCAGTAGAAGTGAACGATGCTTTTTTCGACGATGGTCGGCGTCTGACGATGTCTGCAAGACCTCTGATATCTCTTCCAGGATTGTGATCTTTGTATCTGTATTTGGGTTCGTGCTTGGTGTGAGTGGAGTATCTTCTGCTTCAAAGAATGCGGCAACGGCCATGATATAGACCGAGCGACTCTGGCCAAGGGTAGTGCGGTATGATCCGCAACCCAGTGGTCCAACGATGGTGATGTAGGAAGTGATCGACGTGAGGCTCTAATCTGACAACCTTGAAGGCCGGTGAAATGGATCATCATTGTGATATACAACCTTCTTGATACCGCACCCTTGACGCACATCCCGACCATGATCGACAGTGGTCGCTTGCGCGGATATGGCGCCTGCTGCATGATGCTATCCACGAGAAAAAGGCGTCCCAGCAGAGATACAATGGGTCGGTAGTATCCGGTTCGGAGACGTAGGAGGGTGCATTGAAACCTCACCACATCACTGACCGACCTCAAGACCCACCATAATGACGAGAAGGGCCAACCAGTGGTCTCTTAAATTTGCGCAGATGGCTCAAATGATCGGCAAAGGCCATGCCCAGGGTCCATACGAAGAAAACGAGGTCGAATGCATTGACCGTCGTAGCCCAGGAAGACGACGCCATGCATCCCATCCATGGCGAATGGTAAGGGTTCAGAAACGTGCAGGCGGGTAAGACACGGCGGCCACATGGCACGGCCTGACGTCTGCGAGAGCTGGCAATCGACATCAGGCGTCGCACTGAAACCTATCGTGCCGTGTGGTCGTGAGAGCCGTACCGAGTGAGTCCGACAAAAGGCAAAGTCCATCTCCGAGCAATGAGCAGCTCAGACCGCCTCTTAACTTCCTCGCCTCGACTCGGCGTACATCTGTATCGCCATCGCGGCGTGGTATCTGTCAGTCTGATTCAGCGACAGTCAGGACAGATCGACGGGTGCGCGAAAGCCGCATGCTACAGGCCTGTCAAGTCGATCTCTGCAGCCACCGGGCAGACTCGCTACACCAGCCATGCACGAAGAACTGTCTTGTGCGAATGAGGTCGTCTGGATCGGGGCATGCATTTTCCTGACCCGAATTGGGACGTGAAGTCGAGCGCATTGGCCGGTTGGCAGCTCGTGACGAGAGCGAGCAGATCGTCTTCCGCCTCCGACACGGCAGCCAGGTTGGCCGACCGAACATGTCCGTGGACTCGGCTTGGGGGGATGATGTCGCTGGAGCCCCTCCAAGCGGACTGCCGATGCTGGGCCTAGACGTGAAGACGGACGTCAAGAGAGAAAGTCTGTCCCGTGTCGATCTTTGTGGCAGTCGCGTGGCCGCCACTTTGTCCAAGCTCCGCATCGCGTGTTGGTGCATTCGAGCTTCCATGACACGGCATGCTGTGACAGCCTATACAACGACCTCTCAAATAGCAACATGCTCACCCATTTGATTTGTACAGACACAACGAAAAGGCAAAGCTCGGTCGAACATGACGAACGAACGAGGACGCTGGCTAAGCGATATATGAGAAGCCTACAACAGCGCCTTCCGCGTGGTGATAGAAACAGCCCACCCCGGTACGCTCTGCGAGTGGCGACGGCGAGAAGGGCGATACTATTGCCAATACGCCAGGCTGAGAAGCCGCATCTAGGCAAAGGCTTTTCGCACATGGCCAGCACGTGTGAGCTGGGTTTGTCGCATGTGTAGCGAGACACAATGGCAGACGTGTGGACGGGTGATCGTCCGAAGGGTTGCACGGCGGCCGTAGGAACAATCGCATTGCTGGCGGGAGGTGGATATTTGAATCTCAGACATCTTCGCCTAGTACTCGTGGCAGCCCAAGGCGAATGGCTCTGAATGCATCGAGGCCAGGTCGAAGGCGTTCGTGAAGCGAAAGAAACGTAGGTGGCAGTTTGGGGTTGATGGTCAGTAATGCATTCCAGTCAGAAGACGAACAACACCTGCGCTTTCCATTCCCGCCCACGCTATGCCCGCGTAGACACTCCTAGATACACTCCCGGACGCAAACCGTGGCACTTGTAAAACACACAAATGAAAAGCCCGTGGTAAAAGTACAGTATTTCTGTCGTTGCCACTGACTTGCCCGCCGAGACCCGGTAAAGCCGCGTGGTATAATGCTCCTGCTGCAGCCACCACGTGGTGAGCACATGTCTTCAAGGGTGGTATCGTGGCTAAATCCGCATGTGGATGGAGGCTTGGACGTTTACACTCGGAGAAGTTTGGCGGCGTAGTCGGCAATGAGGTTTTCCGTTGGGAAAGCCATCTCCTCGAGCTTCTGAGCGTAGGGCGTTGGGACCTCAGCGCCAGTGACGCGGACTGGAGGTGCCTCGAGGTAGTCAAAGGCGTATTCCGCGGTCAGGGCGATGAGCTCTGCGCCAACGCCGAAGCTTGGGAAGCCAGACTCCACGGCCATCATGTGTCCAGTCTTCTTCACCGACTTGATGATAGCCTCAACGTCCAATGGCTTGATGCTGCGAAGGTTGATGACCTCAGCTTCAACGCCGTACTTGCTCTTGAGCTGCTCCGCCGCCACGAGGGATTGACCAACGCATCGCGAGAGGGTGACAATGGTGAGGTCCTTGCCGGGGCGCTCGATCTTCGCCTTGCCGAACTATAATCATATTAGCGCGTGATGGTGAAGTAGGGGGAATTTGGAATCACATACAGGAATGACGAAGTCGTCGCTCTGCACCTCCTCGCTGACCTGGAATGGCAGACCGTACAGAAGCTCGTTCTCGAGCACACAGACTGGGTTGGGGTCACGAATGGCAGCCTTCAGGAGACCCTTTGCATCTTCGGCAGAGTATGGGGCGACAACCTTCAAGCCGGGGATTGAGCCGTACCAAGCAGAGTAGTCCTGAGAGTGCTGAGCAGCCACACCAGCGGCGAAACCGTTGGGGCCTCGGAATGTGATGTTGCAGGGTTGGATACCACCAGACATGTAGTGGGTCTTTGCGGCGGAGTTGATGATTTGATCAATGGCTTGCATGGCGAAGTTGAAGGTCATGAACTCGCAGACGGGGTGAAGACCAGCGAGCGCAGCACCAACGGTAAGACCGCAGAAACCGGACTCGGTGATGGGGCTGTCAATGACTCTCTTGTCGCCGAAGCGGTCCAGCAGGCCTTTGGTGACCTTGTATCTGTGTTGTAAGACTCAGTCAGTCTGGTGTTCTCTTACAAGCTCACTCTCTTCCCATTCTCGCAGACGATCTTGAACAGATCCGAGATTTTGGTATGTTTGACATTTCCCGAAGCATTGGAAGACTCACGCGCCATTGTATTGTGCAACCTCCTCACCCAGCACGAAGACCTTCGGGTTCTTCTCCATCTCCTCGACCATTGCCTCATTGAGCGCCTCTCTCACCGTCATCTCCTTGGTACCCGTCGCATACGTCCTCCATCTCGACGCGGCCGCCGGCGCGGCGACTCTCTGAAAGCTCGATTTCGGGAATGCTGATGGCGAGGAGCGGAGCAGCTGCGCAGCAGGGCGGAGGAGACGGGCGCCGGCCATTGTTGTGATGTGAGCACGAGGTCGTCTGGCGGGAGGTGCTTCGAGGCCGGTGAGATGTGAGGAGGAGGGTGAGGTGGTGAAAGGAGGGCGAGCGTTGTAGCGAACGGAGCTCCCAACGTATCTCTATTTTCTGATGAAGTCGGCCCGTCCTCCTAGACTTCCCGACGGCAAGCTTGAAGCGTGGCTCCGCACCATGCGCGAGGGTCTGATGAACTCAATCTACACTTTCAACTAACCTCACTTCACCTCACTATCTAATCGTGAACACTCGATAGTGCGTATACCTGATATATGTTGATAGAGGGCGGTGCCATCTACCTGAGAACTCGTTGAGATCCGCTATGGAGGACACCACCGACCCGAGCCTCCTATTGAACCTCGCACCGGAACTCCGGACATTGATCTGGGAAGCACTGTTCTCCGAACCCTCAGAACGGACAATAGACGAATACGTTCATCCAAACAAGAAGCCTCTTCGTAAAGACATCCTCTCCATAACGCTCGTCAACCAGCACCTCCGCCACGAGACCCTCCCCATCTACTGGTCCCACACAATCTTCCGGGTCCTCCACCGGGGCCATCGCGAAGACTCCGCATTCGACGCCTACTTCTATACCTGGCTCCAGAGACTCCGCGACGAAGACGTAAAACTCCTTCGACACTTAGAATTCAAAGTCAGAGTCCCGTATGTGTTGCCGAAACCGGAGTCTTTGCGGGATCCTAGCACTGCTATCATCAATGTCGATCTAAATTGTCCGCATGTTGATGAGGGGATGAAGGTGAGGGGGTATTATGAGACGTGTCCGTTGGCGATCTTGCCATGGGTGAGGAGGGCTGTGGCGAAGGTTCCGCGGGTGGAGAGGAAGCCGATTGTTTCGAAGGAGGTTCTGTGGGATATATACGAAGCGTGCTACCTGCTCACGAGATCCGATTGCCGGGAGAGGCGGACTTGGGCGGAGTTTCAAAGAGCTTATGAGCTCAATCAGTCGAGGGCGAAGCCGCTGCCGTGGTCTGAGAACCTTTATTATGAAATGTCACAGGAAGTAATCCACGGACCTGCGTGGCGTGAAAGGGAAGAGCTCAAGAAGGTGAGCATGGGGAAAGTATGGGAGTGCCGGTGACTATCTGATAGTACAGATCATCGGCTTGTACAAAACGTACTATTTGATTGATGATATGATGCAGTTCTGACTGCCCGTATCAATGCTGTTCGCAGTATCTGTGCGCCGGACGCCTCGCTTTTCATCCCCAAGAAATCACAAGATCATGTTCCAAACCCAATGATCCCTTCAATCACTCGCCTGCCATCGCCGCATACTCCACGTCCCCTTGTCCAGGCGGTGGAGCGACGGCTGCCAGACTGTCCAACTCATCGGCTGCGGCTGGGCCACTAGTAATCGCCTTCTTGCCAGGGGCACCGCCAACTGCTTTGGCAGTACTCTGTACAGCACGGCCTGCCTTGGCGTTTTCCAGTCGTTGATCGCGATCCATGTTGTCGAGTGGCTTTGGCTTGCCCCACTGCACTCTGAGCGGTACACCCTTGACCACTGCCCTGCCTTGACATGCAGCCGCCGCAGCTTCAGCTCCAGCTCGATCCATGTAGTTCATGAAAGCGCAATGTGATCGGTGACTGCAGACGATTGAGCGTAAAGCGCCGTATTGTGAGAAGTGCGTTCGCAGATCGTGTTCCAGCATGTCGTCTTCTACGCCGGTAATGAAGAGGGATGTGATGTTAGTGTCTCTGGGTGGCAGGATGTCCTCAGGCTTGATCGGTAGAGCAGCTCCAGATGGAAATCCTTTGCCGCCTCTCGCGCCGCCTCTACCACTTCTGCCAGCACTCGCACCTCCGCGGCTTGGTGCTCCATACGCAGATCCGTAGGCTGACTTGCCTCTCGAGTCTGTCGTCCGGATCGGTCCTGGTCTGTGTCCTCCTTCTGAGCTCTCACCTCCCTCCAGCAGCTTCTGTCCGCCCTCTTCACCTTCAGCTTCTAACCGCCTCTGCTTCTTGTAGTATGGTTCTGAGCTCGCCAGCCGTCGCAGCAAGTCTCTCGCCTTGTCATCCGTCTGCTCATACCCCTCCAAGCCCCTTCCCTCCTCAATCTCCCGCTCGTTGTTTTGCGCGAAGTATTCCCGATTGACTTCACTCTGCGGTCCCGGCGCAACCATCTTGAGCGCAGCATCTCTGATCGTGATCGGCAGACCAAAGCTCAGATCAAGCATGCAGCACTGACAGCAGTTCTTGAGTCGCGCGCATGTGAGACAAATGCCTGTGCGCTTTTGCCTCGCTGTTCGGTCGGCTTTCCATCTGAAGACCGTGAAAGGTCTGGTGCAGAGCTTGCATGCGGCGCCGTAGTCCTCCTTGAGCATCTGGACGTATGGGTTGTCGCTGAGGCATCGCTCGCAGACTGAAGGCAAGTCGGTGGTCTCCCAGCCTGAGCGATTCAGATCTTGCTTGATCTGTGGCGGCATGGTGGGGGAACTTTCCGCTGTATATTCTCGAGTGACGGCGTGGTCGGTGGCGTTGACTTGTGTCCAAGGCAGTCGCAATACGAGGAAGACAGCGGCCCTTGGGAAATGTTCGTCGAGAAAGGGAGTGAAGGTTCGGGGCTGTCGAAAGTGAGGACTTGTTTTTGAGGCAGGCACTACAGCATTTCAAATCTTGAAGTGAGGACTGGAAGTTCGGAGCTAGCCGCCATCTCCGCATTAAGGTTTCGCTTGTGGCAGACGCTAATTCACTAAGCGAAACCCTAAATTTCCCGGCCAGGGACATCGAACGATTTTCCCATACGAACCTTTACGAGATACTAGATTGTCAACGTACGATTGTCCCACACATCGCTGTCTCCATTGTCCAATTGAGACAGACGTATATATAAGCTGTTCATTCGATACGCTCAAACCTCCTCCACAACTCCTCAAGCCGAACACAACACAAACATGGCACGCACGCAAGCACAACTCGAGAAGGAGGACAAGGAGCGCGACCTGGCCTTCAAGCAAGCCCTCCATGGCAAGACCGGTGCTGAGAAGAACTCAATCATGGCCATGATGGGCAAAGACCATGCTGCACAGAAGCTCGCCGTCGATTCGTACTTCAAGCATTGGGACAACAAGGCAAGCGTAGAAGAGACGGAGGAGATTCGCAAGGCACGACGAGACGAGTATGCCACCCTCACTCGTCACTACTACAACCTCGCAACCGACCTCTACGAGTACGGCTGGGCACAGAGCTTCCACTTCTGCCGTTTCAGCAAAGGCGAAGCATTCAGACAGGCCCTTGCCCGACACGAGCACTACCTTGCCCTGAAGATGAACCTGCAAGAGGGCATGAAGGTTTTGGACGTTGGCTGCGGTGTCGGTGGTCCAGCAAGAGAGATTGCCAAGTTCAGTGGTGTCAACATTACCGGCCTCAACAACAATGACTACCAGATCGAGCGCGCGACAGCCTACGCACAAAAGGAGGGACTTTCGGACCAGCTCAACTATGTGAAGGGCGACTTCATGCAAATGAGCTTCCCGGACAACAGCTTTGATGCTGTCTACGCGATTGAGGCCACTGTCCATGCACCCAGCCTGGAGGGTATCTACTCGGAGATCTTCCGCGTGCTGAAGCCAGGCGGTGTCTTTGGTGTGTATGAGTGGCTCATGACCGACAAGTACAACAACGACGATCCTCACCACCGCGAGATTCGTCTTGGTATTGAGCAGGGTGACGGTATCTCCAACATGGAGAAGATTGACGTCGCATTGGCTGCCATGAAGGCTGCTGGATTCGAGTTGGAGTTGAACGAGGACCTTGCGGACCGACCTGACGAGCTTCCATGGTACTGGCCTCTTTCTGGTGAACTCAAGTACATGCAGAGTATCTGGGACTTCCCAACTCTTGCTCGTATGACGCACATCGGCCGTGGTCTTGCACACAGATTCGTCGGCGCTCTTGAATTGATCGGACTTGCGCCAAAGGGTACCCAGAAGACTGCCGACTCTCTCGCTGTGGCTGCCGACTGCTTGGTTGCTGGAGGAAGGGAGAAGCTGTTCACCCCGATGTACCTTATGGTCGGAAGGAAACCAGCGAAGTAGAGTGTCCGGCTTAGACGGGGGCTGACTGTTTTGATTGTTTCAATGGCCTGGGTTAGAGGCTCTGTACCAGCATGGCGTTGAGTCGTAGAGTTTTGTTAGAGTAATGTACAAGTACCCGGTGTGTATTGGGCACCGTCATTCGACATTCGACCCTTTTTTCGCGTCGCTTCTCCTCCATTATAGCTCTTCACATCGGAGTCTCGCTCTTCCCTCCCATGTTTACGACCTTCAGAGAGCTCGTGACCAGCGAACGCCTTCGTTTGATGGCCTTCTTTTAACAACGTCCACTGCAATGATTTGGACTGCATGCATCCGTCTCTTACATTGTAGATGTCCTCATCTTCAATCGTCGAGGCTAGAACTGGCTGTTTTTAATCTCCTTGAAGCTCTTCTTCGTCCCCTTCAAATTCCCAGCCGTATCATTATCCAGCCTCTGCGTATGCTCATGAATATTCAGCTTATACTTGTCGCCTCCAACATTCCTATCACACCCAGATTAGCACATCTCCCCTACCAATCCTTCCCATCCAATGTTGCACTAACTTCCCCTGCACAACGTTCTCCCTCAGAATAATCGCAACGCCTTGTGCATGTTCCAATTCCTGCGCGGCCTGAGGCGATTCTTGGGGTAGGGACTTGTTCTCGCGGAATCGTTCTTGGGCGAGCTTTCGCGCGGATTTGAGGGTCGATTTGTCGCCTGAGAAGGCGATTCGCGTTGCGCGGAGGAGGTGGCGGTAGGTTGCGAGGACGGCGGCGTGATTCGTGGACATTGTCGGGTGCTATCGTATTGGCATTGTGGGTTGATGGGGAGGGAAAGTTGATAGCTCGCGGTCGAAGGAAGTGAATGGTGGCTCGGCTGAACCTCGGATAGATTCCTGCGAATTTCTAGGTTGCCCTGAAATTGTTGCTCTTCTTCGCTCCTCTCACTTTCAGCTTCACAAATTCGCAAATTCGCAACAACGACTTGGCAAGATGGCTGCGATACAGATCACGGCTGAGCTGCCGACTCTGCCTGATGGCTGGAGCGCTGAGAAGGACTTCAAGGCTGTGGGCAAACTGAGCCAGCCAACACAGAAGCCGCTTGAGCCCTGTGGACCGTTCTACCTTGGTGAACAGCATCTTGGATTGCTTTCGATTGTATGACTGACGTATGTTCTATAGCTCACGCCCGCCGGCGGCGACATAAGCGTACCTTCTCCGAAGACGAGCGCATTCAGGCCCAGGAGAACGTCAAGAAGGTGGAGAAGGAAGATGACGACGATTTCGATGATAACGAGGATCCAATGCTCTTGCAGCGTGAGGCCAAGGACTGGAAGACACAGGACCACTACGCGATTCTTGGTCTGCAGAAATACAGATGGAGAGCTTCTGAGGATCAGATCAAGCGTGCCCATCGCAAGAAGGTCCTGAAGCATCACCCTGACAAGAAGGCGGCTGCTGGTGAGGAGGAGAATGATCAGTTCTTCAAATGTATTCAGCGTGCGACGGACATCCTGCTCGACCCAGTGAAGCGTCGTCAATTCGACAGCGTGGACGAAGCCGCGGATGTTGAGCCACCAAGCAAGAAGGATGTGCAGAAGAAGCCTGGCAACTTCTACAAGCTGTGGCGACCAGTGTTCGAATCTGAAGGCCGCTTCTCCAAGAAGCAGCCTGTTCCCAAGCTCGGCGATGACAACAGCACTCGCGAGCACGTTGAGGAGTTCTACAACTTCTGGTACGGCATCGACTCCTGGCGATCCTTCGAATACTTGGATGAGGATGTGCCTGACGACAACGAGAGCCGTGATCAAAAGCGACACGTCGAGCGCAAGAACAACAACGCCCGCAAGAAGCGCAAGAACGAGGATGTGCAGCGTTTGAGGAAGTTGGTGGATGATGCTCTGGCACAGGACGAGCGTATCAAGAAGTTCCGTCAAGAAGGCAACAAGGAGAAGAACAAGAAGCGGTTGGAGAAGGAGGCTGCTGAGAAGGCCGCCAAGGAGGAAGCTCAGCGCAAGAAGGAGGAAGAGGAGCGTGCTGCAGCTGAGAAGGCGGCACAGGAGAAGGCTGCCAAGGAAGATTCGAAGAAGGCCAAGGAGGCGGCGAAGAATGCAGCGAAGAAGAACAAGCGTGTCATTCGTGGTGCTGCCAAGGATGGCAACTACTTCACGGATGGTGAGGCCAGCCCGGGACAGATCGATGGCGCTCTTAACGACACCGATGCCTTGATCACCAAGCTCGACAACGAGGAGATCGCGGCCTTGACTGCCAAGTTGCAGGGCAAGACGGATAAGATCGAGATCAAGACTGTCTTCCAGGAGGAGGTCAAGCATTTGGTTGAGGCTGGGAAGGCCAAGGATGGCGAGTTCAAGACGTTGGCCTAAGTCTATTCAATCTCCAGTCTGCATTGAATCGGCGTTCATAGAGCATGCAGCGTGTAAGATGGCTTTTGTAGTGCAGCACTCGTAGAACAACAGTCACAACCCGACAAACGTCCCATTCAAATTTGACAGTGTTAACTTAACCTTCATACTCTCAGCCAAATGTATGCATTGCCATCGACAACACTTTTGACTTTCACATGATAGTCACGTGGGATACGGAGCTCAGTCCGCAGCTGACCAATCGTGGGAAGCATCTTGGAACTCGCCCTGTGTTCTTTCGGTGCGAACAACAATCTAACTTTCTCACCATGGCGACCTCGAATGCTGCAAGAAGCTGCCTACGATGCCTGCGAACATCACAAAGTCTCACACACCGACCCGTCTCTCGAACAATACCCCGCCGATGCCTCCATGCCTCGACGCCACTCTACCTCGATTTCCTCGCGCCGTCATGGTCCTCATCGACTCGAAATGCGCCACAAGCAGCGCTGCGGCGTAGGGAGAACATTGCGCAGATACCCCACCGAAGAGCAATCTCCTCATCACCCCACCACCAAGCCGTGGCAATTACCAACCCGCGCAAAGACGACTCGGGCAACGACATGACCATAACCATAACCCCCCGCGCCGCCAGCCGCCTGCAAGCCATCGCGCAAACCGACTCCAACCCCGACCTCGCCCTCCGCGTCGCCGTCGAATCCGGCGGCTGCCACGGCTTCCAATACCTCATGTCCCTCACTTCCACGAAAGACATGGATCCGGACGAAGACACGCTCTTCGAGAATGAGGAGGTGCTGGCCGGGAAGGGCGATGGGGAGTACAAGGCGAAGGTGGTGATGGACGAGCCGAGCTTGGAGCTGTTGAAGGGGAGCAGTGTGGATTATACGATGGAGTTGATTGGGAGTCAGTTTAAGGTGACGGGGATTCCGGGGGCGAAGAGTAGTTGTGGGTGTGGGACGAGTTTTGATATCGCGGCTTGACATGGCACAGCCAGGAGGAGTCTGATGGTTGTGGTTACGGACCTATAGTGGAGTTGAAATCGATTGTGAGGGAGTCTCCACGGCAAGTCTCACGAATGTACGAGCCACCCCCATACCAGTATGTCACGATACACCCTCCCCTCTCCTACAGATCCACGGTTTTTCGCAGGATAGAACGTGTTCGATTCGATGATTCTAGGTCACTTTTCGCCTGACGAGTTATTGGAAGGGGCTTGGTTCGCATGCTATTGATGGCTGGGATTTAGCAAACAATCGTATTCGTAGCCGATTTCTGGACTTGTCGGAAAGAGGGCTGTGTAAACGAGGGACAACCAAGAGGAGGTTATGGTTGTATTGCCAGAGTATTTCCTAGACGAATCCGGTGCTTTCTTCCCCACTCTCTTATCTGACTGCCTCTATCGTTTTTGTAAGGAACAACTTTGCGATGCCGAAGGCTAACGGACATACCATAGACTCTCCTTTTCCCCGAGCCTACGACGACGATCGATGGGCCAGCAAGCTGCTAGACGAAACCATGTCTTCCAGCAGAGGTTATAGCGGTTGAATGTTCTCGTGTCTGGTCGAAATCAACGCATGAGACCACTATTCCCCGGCCTCGGAGTGTGACCTGGCTCTCGATTATACTTGAGGTTGCATGATGGGCTTACGAGCAATGGGGATAGACGCTGCATTTTGAGCAGACTGGCCGTATCAACCTACCAGCTGAGTCGGAGGAAATAGGCGGACGACTGCAGACTCTGCTGGGGATCGAAGGCATTGAACCGCATGCAGAAGGGGTGGGGGTGCTGCGTTGTGCAGCTCGCTGGCGATGTCTCCAAGACACGAACTCGTCTTTTCGACTGCTTGGATGGATTTAAATCGGAGGAGGAACTTCAAGGATCTGGAGGTGTTGATCTGGCTCGTCGTGGGATGGATTCATGGCAGCAGTGAGGATGGCTGTCGCCAAAGTCGTTCCTTCCTAATTCTGTGGAATTCAGCATTCCGAGGCGCTACCCGAACCTTAGACCGACGACACCCTTTGCTACTTCAGCCTCGTGAATGTATCATCGTTACCAGTTGGCGACCTCAAGGTCGATATAAGGCGCACATTCGGGGCAATGTTTGCGTGGGACGCTGCGAAACGCACTCAACGAGACGTTCACCTATATCAACAAGGTCAATCCTCCTGTTCAGCCAGATGAGGATGCCCTGCTTTGGATCGTAGAGAAGCTCTCTTTGAACGAGTAATCTCGCCGAGACACTATGAGCATGCCAGACGCGATGCAGTCGGAGCAACAGCCATCATCAGCGCGGGTGTTGATGTGGCGTTCGAGGCTGTGAGAAGATCTAGGGCGGAACATACCTATGATATGCGAACGGACAGCGTGGACCTGCTCCAGCAAGCGTACGACATTAAAGTCAAATGCCATCACTCGCAAGTCTCATTCTTGCATGAATAACCCACGGTCGTGTACTGAGATCCCTTGCCAGGGCTACCGCACCGTAGCAAGAGTCTCCTGAAATTGTGTCCTCGCAGCCTCTCGAATCTGGTCTTCTTTCACAAACCCAACCTTCCTATACCAACGCCGTCCCGTCCGTTCATGGCCGATGTTCACGAGCAAGACTACCACTGAAGCTCGTCAAGATCGTGAGCCACAGCCAGAGAAATAGTATGAGAGCATCAACGTCGCCCCGCCACATCTGCACTGCACTTTCAGGCACGCTTCTCTTGTTCCTGAATCTTAAAAGTATGACACCGTGAAGAAGCGTCCCGATAACCTTATCGATGCCTCCAACTTCACCGTCTCTTGTCCTTTGGCTGGTTTCATGCTAGAACGACCACGTTGCCCTGGCCCTATTGGCTGCAAGTGTTCATGGAGAAGGGGAGCGGTGTGAATGAGAACAACTCGAAAAGTGGTTGGGAAACTGCCAGTTGTGGACCCTGCATGGGGGCAAGAGCCCCGCCGATCACCCCACTACATCATCTCTCGAGCTTTCTGTTGTTGACCTCTTTCTCCAACCTCACTTCACTTTTTCTCTCCGATTGCAACACCTCACCCACGAATACCACCACCACAATGAGCGTCAAAGAAGTGTCTTTGAAGCCCTTCACGGACCAGAAGCCTGGCACTTCTGGTCTTCGAAAGAAAGTCAAAGTTTTTGAACAGCAAGGGTACACTGAGAGCTTCGTCACATCCACGCTCAAGTCCATTCCTGAGGGCGTCGAGGGCTCCTACCTCGTCATTGGCGGGGATGGTCGTTATGGAAATGAACGCGCAGTGCAGTTAATCGCGAAGATTGGAGCAGCATATGGCGTCAAGAAGTTGCTCATCGGCCAGAATGGTATCATGTCCACTCCAGCGGCATCACACCTGATTCGCATCAAGAAGGCCACGGGAGGCATCCTCCTCACGGCTTCCCACAACCCAGGAGGTCCAGACGAGGACTTTGGTATCAAGTACAACTTGGCCAATGGCGCCCCAGCTCCTGAGAGCGTCACGAACAAGATCTACGATACCTCCAAGGCCCTCACCTCTTACAAGATTGCCGACATTCCAGACATCGACCTCTCCACCATTGGCACCAAGACTTACGGCCCTCTCGAAGTCGAGATCATCCATAGCACCAAGGACTACGTCGACATGCTCAAGGATATCTTCGATTTCGACCTGATCAAGGCCTTCCTCAAGGAGCACTCAGACTTCAAGATCCTGTTCGACGGTCTGAGCGGTGTGACAGGAAACTATGGTGTGGACATCTTCGAGAAAGAGCTTGGTCAGGCGGGCAGCACCCAGAACTGCGTGCCCAAGCCAGATTTCGGCGGACACCACCCAGACCCCAACCTTGTCTACGCTGCTTCTCTCGTCAAGCGTGTGGACAAGGAGGGCATTCACTTCGGTGCTGCATCAGACGGTGATGGTGACCGCAACATGATCTACGGTGCGAACTCCTTCGTCTCGCCTGGTGACTCCCTCGCCATCATCGCCCACCACGCCGATCTCATTCCATACTTCAAGAAGCAGGGCGTCTACGGCCTTGCACGCTCCATGCCAACTTCTGGTGCCGTGGACCTCGTTGCCAAGAAGAAGGGCCTCAGCAGCTACGAGGTCCCAACTGGATGGAAGTTCTTCTGCGGTCTCTTCGATGCCAACAAGATGAACATCTGCGGTGAGGAGTCATTCGGTACCGGCAGCAACCACATCCGTGAGAAGGACGGCCTCTGGGCAATCGTCGCCTGGCTCAACATCATCGCTGGCGTGGGTCAGCAAACCGGCAGCACTCCGTCCATCAAGTCCATCCAGCACGACTTCTGGAAGACCTACGGCCGCACTTTCTTCACCCGCTACGACTACGAAGGCTGCGAGAGCGAAGGCGCCAACAAGGTCGTCGCCCACGTCAAGGAGCTCATCACGACCAAGAAGGGCGACTTCGTTGGCAGCAAAGTCGGTGGCGCCAAGGTCGTCGAAGCCGATGACTTTTCCTACACCGACCTCGACGGCAGCGTGAGCAAGAACCAAGGTATCTACGTCAAGTTCGACGACGGCAGCCGCATCGTCGTGCGGTTGTCCGGTACTGGATCCTCTGGCGCCACGATCCGTCTGTACATCGAGAAGCACGAGACGGACGAGAGCAAGTACGGTCTGGACGCGCAGGAGTACCTCAAGGACAACGTCAAGGTTGCGGTTGAGTTGCTCAAGCTGCAGGAGTACATTGGCCGTGTCGAGCCAGATGTCAAGACCTAGGTGGGTCTTGACTACAAAAGCATGATTTGCGTGACGATGAGAAACGAGCATTAGATGAGATGAACGAACAGACAGCGTTGCGTTTGCTTGCGTGTGCATGAGACAAGTATGGAAAAGGGATGTGTAGATAGCCAGCGATACAGAAGCAAGCAAAGCAAGACAAACGCGTGACCTTCTTCCCACGTCACATGCGTACGAATGGTCTGATTGAAGTGGCCTAATCCAAAAAGGTGTTCATCTTCATAGCGAGGTCCTTATCCTACGGGTATCTACCTCTCATTCCTCACTTGCCTTCACTCCACCAGCAAACCAAGCCAAGCCAGCCGACCAACCAACCTCTATCTACCTCAGGTAAAACTCTTCTTCTCCTTAGTAGGACTCTCCAACGAAAACTCCGCCGAGAACAAACTCTCCCAACCACTCTTCCCCTTCTGAGGCTGCTGCCCTTTCGCAGGAGAAGCCTTCACCTTCGGACTCCCGCCTGTCGCGGCGGAATGCTGTTCAAGATGTCGTTGCAGGGAACGGACGGATTTCGAAGGGGATTTGGATCGTGCGCGTGGTTTGGAGGGTGAGTCGGACGAGCTGGGACGGATGGCGGTGGTGGAGAGTTTGCGGACCTGTTTGAAGAAGAGGCATTAGAATTCTGATGCGGGATCATTGAGTTGCCATGAGAGGTCTTGGCGCACCTGTTCGTGTTGGGGTTCTTCAAAGTCGGCTTTGGCTTCTTGGTGTTGTTGGAGGGGATGTTCGGCGGTGGTGGGCGAGGAGATGCCTAGACCGGTTGTGCCTGGGGGGCCAGGGAGGGGGCGAGGTTGCTGGCCGATGGACGATGCCTGGCTTTCCGATCGCTGTCGATTGCCCTCAGCATTTGGTGTGACGGCTGTCGTTGGAGTCACGCCCGCGACACCCTTCTTAGACGTGGAGCTACTGCGACGACTGTCCAAGCTCTTGTTAAGATGCTTGCTGGCATCACCGCTCTTACCACTACCTTTGGCGCGAAGACTGCCTTTTGCATCGACGTTGGCAGCCGCAACGGTAGACTTGCCTAGGCCAGGTGTCGTTGGTGCTGCCCCGGCTCCTCGTTCTTCCACGGCATGCACCATCCACCACGTCAGCCCATCAGACAAGTCGAACGGATTGTCGTCCTCGACTTGCATAGATGAAGGGGCGTCACTCGTCTCGTCGATACTCCTCCCATCAGCAGCGATGTTATTAGCGTTGGAACGCTGCCCACTGAGATCCACCACCTTCTGCTCCACCTTTTGTATTCTGGCCACAATGAAGTCTCGAGTGCCCAATCGCATGCCCTCTCTTTCGGCCAGGAAATAGTGAGGACATCCAATGTTGAAAGCAGCCCAGGCACCCTTGACTTGACCACCCCTTGTCGGCAAGAAGAGTGCAAGATCACCGTCTTTGAAGTCTCGCACTGCAATCTTAGCTTGAGCTTCGCTTCTGAGCTTGACAGCACGCTCTTTATACGCATCAGCCCGCTTCGTCGATTCTTTCGCCTCCTTGCTGTACTTCTTGGCGGTATATTCGAAGTCCTTGACCCGCTTCGTGACTGCATCAGCGAACACGTCCAAGTCGAAGCGTGAGACGTGGTTGAGGAAGGCTTCGAATTGAGCAGTCTCGTCCTCGGCAGTCTGGGAATCCGGCCAGTGAAGGAGTCTCAAATCCGCAGGAGGTTCAGTCTCGGTTGTTGAAGGCTTCCTCGTAGGTGGCGGCGAAGTAACAGAGATCTGTCGGCTCATGTGTGTGTGAGGATCGATGATTGTGGTACTGGCAGCCATCTTCGACGCACGCTCAATCGTCATCTTGTTATCGTCCTGGTACGAAATGACCAGACCAAGACGTTCCAACAGTCGACCAAGTCTCATATTCTGGGAGTATAGTCTCTGCGACACCTCCTTGGCCCGCTCTGCTCGCTTTTGCAGTCGTTCTGCAGATGCTTCGGCGTTGGTATGGTAGACCTTGTGCTTCTTTTGCAGTCGCATGAGCTCAATGTCGAGACTGTTAATATGCGACTTGGCTTCCGCGAGTTCAGAAGAAAGCTTCTTGGTCTTGGTTTCCTCATCGGTGACCCTTTGGCGAAGTACTTCAGACCCGGTCTCACCCTCCGCGAACTTGCTGCGAAGCATTCGTAGCTGTTCCTGTTCATTGGCGAGCTGCTCTTCCAGATCCTTGGCCTTCGCTTCTTCAGCACCCAGCTTCTCTTGAGCCTCACGAACTTGCTCTTCTGATTCAGTCTGCTTCTCAGCAGCGGTCGCCAATTCGGTCTTTTGTCGATCGTTGCTTGCCCACAAAGAGGCATTCTCGGTCTTCGCATATGCAACCGCTTCTTCAAGCTCTTTCACGTGCGCAGCAGACTTCTGGGCAAGCTCCTCAAGAGCTGCGGCCAAACCAACGAGCCCATCCGGTGATGCTGCATCAGGAGACAAGTGTGCGTGAGCAGAGGCAAGACTTTGAATATGCTCCGTCTCCGATTCGCGTCTCTGTTCCTGCTCGCGTAGGATCTTCTGCATCTCCTGCTCAGTCTGTGATTTCGCCGCTTCAGCGATCTCAACTCTACGCTCCAGAGCACTGCGAGCATCGTGCTCGGTAGCAGCTCTGGCAGCATGTCCAGCGGCGTCTTCCTTCAGCCGTATCATCTCATCGTCGATGCCTTCCCTTGATCCAGCGAGGCGTTCGATCTCGTTCTCACATTCCTCAATCTTCTCCTTTGCTTCTGCCAGCTCATGCTCCAGGCTGCGCCGTACATCAGCAAACTCGCGTTGTTGAGCCTCCATGTTCTCCATGAGGTCTTTCTTCGTCAAAGTCGCCTCTTCGACCTGCTTCTGAAATTCTGCGTCAGAGTTCTTGCGGGACGCGACCTCATCTTTGTACGACTGCAGCTCTGCCTCGAGATCAACGACGCGTTTAGCAAGCCGCTTCTCCTCGACGCCCTGCGCCTGGGCGAGGGACGGCCTCCTTTGCTTGCTCAAAGAGTTGTTTCTTGACGTATCATCCGAAGGCGCAACCGGTGGAGTGGAGATGCGATTAGGCAAAGCACCCTCGCTGGTCGGTGTAAAGACATCGCCGGTACTCGCTCGAGTCATCTGAGTCTGGCGGTGCAGCAGGTCCTCGAGTTTTCTGACACGACTCTTCTGCCCTCGAAGGTCTTCCTCAAGCCTTGCATTGCTTTCGCGAAGAGTCTTGTACTGCTCATCGCCACGCAACAGCAAAGACGTATCTCCAAAGGCTGCCTCGTGCATGCTGCCGTTCTTGAAAGCCTTTGCGTGTTTGATCTGCTTCCGAGTTGGCTTGTCAAGATCCTGAATGGCTTGATCAATCTCGTCTGTAACAGGTCCCTGCCCGAAGACACTGAGTAAGGCATTCAGATACTCAGTAAGCTCGTCACGAGTGGTCATGGGCCAGCTGCCGCCTTCATTCTGCAACGCAAGCTCGATTCCAAGCACTCGACTCTGCAAGGCGTCCGGAGAGACAACATCATCGACAGTCCTCATCCACTTCTTTCTTCGCTTGTCCTCTTCTTCCTGGTACGTGGCGACCTCTTCTTGCAGGGTCGCCGAGTCACGATTCATCTTCGCAACCCATTCTCGCCGCCTCACAGACTCAATCAAGAGCTGGCCGTATACTGAGGGAAGTCGTGATATGATGGACAGGGTCTGAAAGGTCTTGGCTTGATCTTCAGAGACATCGATCTCCTTCATCTCGGAGTACAACTTTGCAAGTTGGGATTCGACCTCGGCCAAAGTTCGCATATGCTCCAGTGATATCTCGGCGGCACTGTCTCGCTTTTGTCTGGCTCGATGGACAAACTCATTCACCTCGCCGCAGTAGTCGACAAGATTTGGAATGTAGTTCCTGGCGTGGAGGGCACCCATCTTCGAGATTGAGTTCATGTTTGGTTGGTTCCTGACCAAAGACTGTACATGATCCGAGTCAGATGCCATCTTGGTAACAACTAGGTGGATCTCCTGCATCAGTTGAGCGGGCTCAGAAGAGCTTTCGGCCATCGATCGGTTGTTGATCTGTTCCACGGCTTCAAAGAGCTCGTTGCTGCTTCTCGTGACGGAGTCCAGATCATCTCGCGCGTTGTCAACTTTTCCGACTAAGGCATTAAGGACAGACTTGGCTCCATTTGCAGCTTGCTTCACGCTCACAACATCGACAAACCCTTGCAGGGTGTTGATGTTGTGTTGAGAGTTACGCCTCGAGCCAGACGGAGGAGTCATAGGTTGGATGAATCGCGAAAAGTCGGCTCTCGCAGGTATGCTTCGCAGGCTGCCCAGGTTGTGTTCCCATCCATCGACATGGCCCTGCTGTTCTCCCAGAAATTCGTTCGACCAGTCCGCCGCTCCAACATACTGCTTCTCCGCCGTCTTGATATGTTGCTGCAGACTGGCCACCGCCACCGCCAGACTCCGCTCAATAACATGCTGTTCATCCTGGTATTGCTGCGCCTGTTTCGCCCGCGTGCTACATCCATTCAATAGCTCTGCCGCCCAATTCTTTCTCAATCTGAATAGGTTCTGCCATAACTCTATCTCGGTCTGGTTCGAAGGGAGGTCCGGCGCTGCAGTCGGTTGGAAGTCTGTGCTGTCGACGCTTTGGGTGAGGTCTTTGGAAGGACTGGTTGCCTTCTTGCCGTTGAGCAAGCTCGAGTCGAAGACGAATAGCTCATTCTCGGTCAATAAGGTCTGCGTGCGGACTTGCTTGCCCTGGGCGGTAAGCAAGATCTGGCTGCGCTGCTGGATGCCGGCCTGGTTGACGATCCATGACTTGAGCTGCTCGAGGGAGGTGGTCAGGCTGGGGTCGAGGACGAGGCGCTGGCCAGAGTGTCCGATATAGACGGATATCGACGACATGCAAGCGCGCCAGCAACGATGAATGGTCAAGTTGTGGTTGCTGGCGCGACGAGTGTGTATTGTTCAGGAGGAAGAATAGACCAAGTCATCGACTCTCTTCGTAGGCGACTAGGGACATGCAGGTGACAGTGGTGCTGGTGATAGCTGCACATGACTGATATCCGCGCGATATCACATCATTAGCCAGTTTAGGTTAAGGTTCGCGCTAACATTTCGGAGCGGCTACGGAGGTTGGTACCAAAAGTCCTTGCCACCCCCTCGGGAGCGGGCCGGGAGCTTGGTCCCGTGCTCATGTCTGCGCACGCGCGTTCTGAGATATTCACGCAAAAATAATAACACTATTACACAAATTTATAGTATAGATATTTTAAGAGGATTCGACTCCTACTCGTATCCTAACGCCTATACCTATACCTAAACTTTATTTTTATAACGCCGTTAACTACTCGTTTAGTAGTAATATCTATAGGTATTATAGAGCCTATATAGTAGTACTTCTTAGCCTATACTACTACTTCTTTTAAATACGTTATAACCTTTTTTATTTATTAGTATTATCTTTCTATATTAGTACTAACTCTTTATTAGTCGCTCTAAGCCTAGTAGTAATAGATAGGCGCGCCTTCTTAGTTATAGTCCGTTTTTAAGCTACTTTCTTACGAGTACGAGTATTCTTTACTTCTCTTTTCGTATTATCTACTTTTTCTTTTTTATTTTCGACTTACTACTACTTAATACTCTCTATAATCTAATCGATAGTTACCTCCGAGCCTACCTATCGACTATTAAACGCCTTCGTACGCTTATTATATAGCCGATTCTCCGAACTTTTACGATACTCGTTACCTCTTTTAAGCTAGATAACTTCTTTAATATAGCGGATAATTCGACGAATCTAGTATTAGATAGTAGCCTATAGTAGCTCGGCCTACGTTTACTACTAGATCTTACGTAATTTAGGCTTCTTCTTAAAGTCTCTATATAACTAAGTCTTCCTCTTTATCTAATACTAAACTAGTTTAATTATATTTAAATTAGGTAAGTTTCTAGGCTAAAGGAGGCGCTTAATAGACAGCTTAGAGTATATAGCGACGTTAGCGAAGTACTTATAAGCCGGCGTACCGTCTTTTTAGATAATTAACTAGTACTACTTTATAAAGGGTACTATTAGAGGTAATAATACGTCCTTCTAATACCTATACTAGTTAATCCTCCTTTTACTATTACGAGATAGCTTACTACGCTCCTTCGTAAAGCTCTACTTTAGTATTTAACGGCTCTTATTATCGTTAAGGCGTAGCTAACGCTCTATTATAGTAGATAGTTACTAGTTAATCTTAGCTTATTACTTAATCGCTTTATTCTTCGCTTTTAAGTTAACCTTAGTAGCTTTCTTTTTAGTAGTAGTCTCTATTATCTATACTTTATAAAGGCCCTTATAATCGTACGAGAAGTAACCCTAGAATATAAATTCGGAGAAGCCTTTAAATCGATTACGAATATAGGTCTTTATATTCTACTTATAGACTATCTACTAGACGCGATTACTACCTCTTCGAAGGCCGTAAATAATACTTATCTCGTCGCTCTATAATATCTTTTTCTAATTATTAAGCGTCTAATACCTATACGCTAAATACTACTATAACCTAGCCTCCTTTTAAGTAGCCGTTAACCCTAGCTTCTTTACTAGCTTTACTTTATAGTAGCCGGAATAATAAAGTAGCCGCTAGACCGTTATTAGACTAATAATAATCGACTTTAACTTTAACTACCGAGCTATTACTATATACGTTAGAGAGCGTATCTGCCGTAATTTAGATATAAGGTCCTTTACTATATTAAAAGTAGTATTAACTACTTTAACTAGCTAGCTAGTCCGAGCTTTATCTACGAAGAACTTATTATAGTATAAGCTACTATTAAACCTACGCTCTTTAGCTAACTTTATAATATTACGAATCTGCCTCTCCGAGATATAAGTCCGGCGAGCTACCTCTTTATTAGTTAGGCTAGTAGTCTTAAAAGCCGCCGTAGCCGCTTTTATAGTAACTAGATATATATTAGTCTAGCTATTTTATCGATTCTAAAGATCCTCGGCGTACGTTTAGACTACTTTATAGGTACTACTATTAGCTAGCTCTCTATATCGCTAAGGCACTCGATTAGTAATCTAAAAGGCTAGCTTTTGTACTATAAGTATAGTAGTAGTTACTATAGGAGTAGAGTAACTTATAGTCGACGGCGGTATCTATTTAAAGACAGTATAGCTTCAGTAATAGCTATGATTAACACCTTTACAGCAGAATAAAGTCAAAGGATCACAAAGTCTATTACTGATATGGCTAGTCTATCCGTTGCGGCCGGCAAGGGGGTGGCAAGGACTTTTGGTACCACCCTCCGTACCAGAGGCTGCATGACAACCACGGATCTACGCCGAGCATCGTATCTACATCCACATCCACCACATCGATCGCAACAACAGCGAGCCACTTGAAGAAGCGTCCATAAAGCCAGCCTGACAGGCAAGTCTCGTCAATTTCTCATCGCCGTCACCCGGTTTTTGTTTCACCATCTCCGCACCTGCCATCAAAATGGACCAAGAACAGCTATTCACAGAAGAATATGCGAGAACACAAGACGAGCAGGATCCTCTCAAAGACTTCCGCGACCATTTTGCGATTCCTACGAAAGCAGATTTGATCAGACCGAATATCGGCGGCAAGAAAGATGAAACCAACAAGGAGCTCTCAACATACTTGTGTGGCAACTCGCTGGGAGTACAGCCAACGTTGACCAGAAAATACTTCGAAGAATACCTATCCACCTGGGCGCAAAAGGGCGTCTTCGCCCACTTCAAAGAGCTGTCCGACACGCGCCTCTCGCCTTACATCGACGTCGACGAGGATGTACGCGGAGACATGGCCCAGATCGTTGGGGCAAAGAAAGAAGAAGTCGCCGTGATGAACACCTTGACAGTCAACCTCCACTTTCTCATGTGCAGCTTCTACAAGCCCACCAAAGACCGCCACAAAATTCTGATAGAAGGACGAGCCTTCCCGAGTGACCACTTCGCCGTCGAATCTCAGATCCGCTTCCACGGTTTCGACCCAAACGACTCGATGGTCTTCCTCGAACCGCCATCAGACGCCGACTCGATGCTTTCGACAGAGTACATCCTCTCCGTCATCGATCAACACGCTTCAGAACTCGCGCTTGTCCTTCTCCCAGGAATCCAATACTACACGGGCCAATTCTTCGACATGGCCGCCATCACCGCACATACACGCAGCCAAGGCATCATCTCCGGCTGGGACCTCGCCCACGCCGCCGGAAACGTCCCCCTCCACCTCCACGACTGGAACGTCGACTTCGCCGCCTGGTGCACGTACAAATACCTCAACAGCGGTCCAGGAAGCATAGGCGGGTCCTTCGTCCACGAACGCCACGGCCAAGTCAAAAATGTCGGGACCGAAGACGACCCAGCATTCGAATACCGCCCCCGATTGCAAGGATGGTGGGGTTCCCAAAAGTCCAGCCGCTTCGCCATGTCAAACAACTTCGAGCCCATCCCCGGCGCAGCAGGCTTCCAAGTCTCCAACATCTCCGTCGCGGACACGACGGCCGTGCGCGCCAGCCTCGACGTCTTCAACCAAACCTCCATGTCCGCCATCCGCGCCAAAAGCCTCAAAATCACCGCCTACCTCGAACAGCTCCTCGACCTCCTCCTCAAAGAACAAGAAGCGAAATTCGGCATTAAACTCTTCCACATCATCACGCCCCGGAACCCCGACGAGCGAGGCGCGCAATTATCTGTGAAGCTCGAACGGGGGTTACTAGACCTCATCATGGAGATTCTAGAGCATAACAGCATCGTCGTGGATGAGCGAAGACCAGACGTCGTGCGAGTCGCCCCCGCGCCGCTGTACAACTCCTATCAGGACGTTCGACATTTCGTGAAGGTGTTCCGGGAGGCGTGTGAGGAGGTGTATAGCAAAGATCAGGATTTGCGGGTTAAAGGAAGATGAGAAGGGTGCATAGATTGGAGGGAAGTGCAGTGCAATACTCATCAAATATGACATAGATCGAGGGCCATGGATAGTGATATAGAAGATGGAACGAGCTTAACGAATCAATGAATTGACACTGTCGAGAATTGGGAATTTCTCTTTTGCTCCGTAATCAGAACCGAGACCCCCAAGTCGTATCTATACACAACCTACCTGCCCGTCTAAAGGAGCAAATACAGAGACATGAGCATCGCGAAGTGAGGAAGACTGGACACACAGCGCGAAGATAAACAGGCGAGTGAGTACATGTAAGTGAGGATACCTCAAAATTCAGCTACTCCCAGAACCCAGGGTAGCGAATAGTTAAGAAGAGGCCCGAGAAAACGAGCGCGCTACAGCAGAGCAGACTACGTAAACGTCCAAAAGCCATGCCTGCTCCAGGCGGTCTCATCCCAGCGGTCATTTCGCGCCCAAACAATTGTGATTGACGATCCGAAAGGTGGCAGAAAGTAATCCCTCCGCCCAAAGCCATCAAATCCCATAACGAATCATCGCAACTAGCTCGGATTCGAAGAACCCACCACGGCGCCCAGATTCGGCAGCATCCCAGGCGCACGTCCGATAGGCATGCCTGGAGCGCCGAAACCAGTCGCAGGCGACGGTCGACTCGGCATGGGAGATCCTATCTCACCAAGACCAGAGTTGCCTCGACCTTGGTCTGGTGTACCTGCGTCGGCCTCCCACTTGACGGCAAAGGCTGGACTGCCATCATCCTTGCGCACGTGAAGTTCGCCACCGCCGTTCTGGCTGTCGCCTTCGGTCTCGCAGATTTCTTCAATCTCCCGTAAAGTCGGCGGTGAGTCGAGCATGGGTCGGTTGGCTTCGATCTGGTGGAGGAGCACGTCGACGTTGTGAAAGCCGTCGCCCTCACCGCGGTTGGCTTGGGAGAGCTGCTTGCACGCTTGGCAGACCGCGAGACGGATGGTCAGGGGTCGGCTGAGGCCTACGCCCGGTCGGTGCATGGGAGCCGCACCAATCGAACCGCCAATCGAGCCAAAGCCAGAAGCACCAAATGGAGCATTTTGGTTCGCCCAGTTGCTCATGCCTGGAGTTGGAAGACTACCCCAACCTGGCTGAGCGAGACCTGGACTCTGACCAAACGGCATGCCCGGCGTGTTCCAATTGCTTGCAGGCGTGCCGAATCCACCTGGTGCACCGAAGCCACCGATTTGACCGATACCTGGAGCAGGCATGGTGATGTTCCTCGCACCAGGTGCGATATTCGAGTGCCGTCTGTTGTCAGCCATGCTGGTGGTAATGGGTTCGTCACTGTCATCCAGCAATGCTGAGCTTCCGAGGTGCTTGGACAGATCGTCCAGATCAGTCGACCCTGTGCGATCTGGTCCTTGAGGCTTCACACTACTAGGCCGCTGAATCGGTGCTGGCCGTGCAATCGGCTGGTTAGCTGCTGACTCGAATCGCTCCTTGTCGCTGGACTGTTGGCGAGAATGACCCGACATGCTCTGTCGCTGGTCTTCACTTCCAGGGGCGGTTGGCGAGCTGCCAATAGGTGACGTCTGGTTCTGCTGTGGCATCGGGTGGTGATTGAATCCAGGAGGGGGTTGATTCTGACCGGGGCCCTCAAACGGATATCCTCTGCCTTGCGGAGCCATCATACCTGGAGGAGGCATCCCGTTCATGCCGGGGAACGACATTCGATTTGGCATGCCCATTGGCGGCGGTCCCTGGTGAGGAAACATACCCATCGGACCACCTCGCTGTGCCATGCTTGGGATCATGGGACCTTGAGGACCTTGGAAACCTGGGAATCCCATAGGCGGCATCCCACCAAATCCTCCGCCATGATGCTGGGGGTGCGGCATGCCTGGTGGAGGTTGAATTGGCTGTTGGTGGAGTGGTGATGCGCTGGAAATTGGATGTTGATTCTGCTGGCCGGGCTGCTGGTTTCCTGGCTTCTGCATGATCGTCTTCGGCTGGACTGAAGTCTGCGGTGCATTGCTTCCAGGAGAAGACGATTTGCTGGGCGCACTCGATAGCTGTGACTGTGCTTGCTTCGGTGAAGATGCAAGCGAGCCTTGCTGTGATTGCTGTCTCTGCTTCGCAGGCGTCGGCGCCTTTGGAATCGCGGGCGTGGCGATTTGCGGATGTGGCGAGGAGATGCCGGACGGTGTCTGCTTGGGATAAACCCCAGGGATGGCCACCATGCCAGGCTGTGAAGGGCGCTTCTGAATCTGCGGAGGTTGCTGCGGTGGGTGTGCAGCTTGCTGCGCCGTCTTCTCTCGCTCCTTTGCCTCCTTATCGGCCTTGACTTTCGCTTCACGCTCCTTCTTCTCGCGCTCCTCTTGAAGCTTGCGCTCTCGTGCTTCCTTCTCACGAGCCTCTCGCTCCTCTCGCTCACGCTTCCTCTGCTCTTCCTTCTTCGCCTTCTCAGCAGCCTTCTGCTCGCGCGCCTTACGCTCGGCATCCTCCCGCCGCTGTTGCTCTTCTTGTTGTCGCCGCAACTTGTCGGCCTCCTTTCTCGCCTTCTCCTCTTCCAACTTCTTCTTCTCTTCCTCACGCTTCCTACGTTGCTCCTCCTTCTTTCTCCGCTGCTCCTCCAACCTCTTCTCCTCCGCCTCTCTCAACTTCCTCTCCTCATCAGCCTTCTCGGCATCCCGCTTCGCCTTCTCCTCGGCCTTGGCGAGCTGCTGCTGCTTCTTCTTGTCTTTCTTCTTCTGCGCATCTCGTTGCTTCTTCGCCTCTCGCTGGGCCTGGAGCTTGTCTTCGTCGTCAATCTCCTCCAGGAGTTTCCTCTGACGTTCGGCCGCGACTTTCTCTCGATATGCAGTCAAGACCCGCTGTTCAAACATGCGAGCGGCAAAAATTTGAAACATTCGTCTACCTTCCTGCATTCGTTGCTCCTCGGTTAGCCCACCCTGTGAATGATCAGTTTGAGTTGTATCGCGACTTGCCAGCTGAAGGCCACCAACCATCTCATCTTCCTCCTCGATATCATCCTCGTAATCGTCTTGACTATCGTACGACCCCTCATCATCATCGAATTCGTCACCAGCGGCCAGGGGGTCTTCGTGAGCGTATGCAGGATCGTCTGGCGGATACCCAGGATGAGTCTCCGCCTCGTACTGGGACCGACTCTCACGCTGCATGCGACGCTCGGCGAGCTGCTCCATCATTTCGATAAACTTGCGGCCGTCGTTCTTGAGCAGATCGTCAGCGACGGTGAGGAGATTGTCTGCATTACCCTTTAGCCCCGCTTTCAGCTTTTCAACCCAGGGTGTTAGGATACCTTTGACAGTAAGATGTGAGCCAAAGTTGAAGAAGTCTGGCACACCTGCTTGAGCGCGGGGCGGCAGAGGTTCAGGATGCGGCTCATCATCTTCTTCAGAATCGTAGTCTTCATCCTCACTGTACTCTTCCTCTTCCTCGTCGCTGAACTCGTCGTCCTCTCCCAGATGCTCGTGCATGTGGCTGGTCTTGTGGTGCGGATGCGGATGCGGATGATGGTGATGGTGGTGATGATTGTGATTATGATTATGGAGATGAGGCGTAGGCGGGGGCACGTTCAGAGGGTGGTTTTGCCGATGCTGCAGAGGGTCGGGCATCATGCCGTCGGTGGAGGGCAGAGGGGGGTGATCATGGTGTGCGTACTGCTCAAGCTCCTCGTAGTAGCCTTCATACAGCACCTCCAGCTCCTCCTCGATTGCCGTCCTCTTGCGCCCACAGACCGTGCACGAGCAGGAGTGCTTCTGCTGCTGCTTCATCTTCTTGAGCACCGCTTCCTTCTCGATCTTGAGCAGTCCCTTGCGCTCCTCCTCACTTAGGCTCAGCCAAAACTCCTTGATATTCTGGCGCTCCTGCTGGGTGCTGGTATTCCAGATGTTCGGGTTGCTCTGGCCTGACCGAGGGGGCGGGCGTACGGCAGTTGCACCAGGATGGGCGTGCGCAGGCATGGGAGGAAGCATGTCCGGGTCGTATGCGCTGTGGCCATGTCCGACGGAGTGCTTTTTCTTCTTCTTGTTCTTCTTGCCTGTCGCGTGAGGGGGCGAGTGGACGCCGTTTTCGTGCGCATAGTGCGGGTCGTCGTCGTAATCATCAGGCTCGCCCTCGTCGGAGTAGTCCTCCTCATCGTCGTCGTAGCGGAGCGCGTCCTCATCGTAGCCGACATCGGTGGAGTCCGCTGCAGACGGCATGGGAACCTGTGCAGCTTGCTTGGCGGCCTGCTTTGCACGTCGCTTCTGCTTCTTGCGATTGCCGCCGGCCATGGGGGGAGCGGTTATGACGCCGTTGGCGGTGGGCGGCGGAGGGGCTTTGGAAGTCGCCGACATGGTGGGTGGAGGCCTCGCGGGCGGAGATCAGGACGGAGGGGACAGCTATGGCGAGCACGTGTCAGTCAGAAGCCGGAGAGAGGTGTAGTCGAGGTGCGTGTGGTGAAGGGCCAGATTGGAGATGGAAGGCAAGGTCGTGCCCGCAAGGTGTTCGGGCGTGATTCGTGCGGCGGCCTACCTTCGCTCTGCGGTGACCTTCTGCCAGGCCGGACTCTCGTGACGGGAGGGCGAATGGTGCTGCTCAGTAGCATAAGTCGGGCCAGCAGGTAGGATCGGTGGTACTGGTGGTGGAGGGGCTGCGTGGTGTATGTCCAACTAGGTCTTGCACAGCGTTGTGGCTGAGGATTGTGAGTGACTGACTCTCGGCTTCACCCGCTTGAAGCTCGCCCGACCACATTGATGGACAATTGATTGAAGGCTTGCAGACTATCACCACCACGGCTATTCTCACCACGCCCTCCAAGCTGCCACGAAACCAGAAATCTGCCAACAAGCCGTGAGGTCGTCAACAGCTTTGGTCCCAACTGCGGCCTCGGATCGAGCTTGGCGGACGCCTGTCCCAACCGTTGGCTTGAAACTTGACTGCGCAGCATTCGCGACGCCCGTCTATCCGTCCATACTACTGCGCCTCTTCCAACATCACCACCGCCGCTTCTCCTCACCCTCCCTCCAACTCACCCATTGCTGTCGCCGCCGTGCCCATTCTCTCCTCCATTCTACCCGGTCCCTGCACAATCCAAATCCGACACGGGAGTCAGGCCCTCCACAGGCAACACCCGAGAGCTTACGACGCGAAACAGCAAAGAGTTGGCAGCACCGGAAAGGCATTGAAATAACAGCCCTCCAGATACACCAACTTCGTCTGGCGAAGACTCCCAGCCGCCGAGGGCCGTAAGGCTGACCGACATAAAAATGGCGCAACAGGATACTCAGGTTATGCGAAGGTGGGTGGGCAGAGTACCCTGGCCGTGGACATGAATTGACTCGCGCGACAGGAAGCTGGTCATCATTGGCGACGGTGCTTGTGGAAAGACCAGTTTGCTCTCCGTCTTTACACTGGGTTACTTCCCAACGGTGAGTCTTGACCTCACACCAGCAGAGACGAAACAGCGACTTACGACAGCAACAGCGATATGTACCCACCGTCTTCGAGAACTATGTTACCGACTGTCGCGTAGACGGCAAATCAGTCCAGCTGGCTCTATGGGATACCGCAGGCCAAGAAGACTACGAACGACTACGGCCGCTGGCATACAGCCAAGCTCACGTTATCCTCATTGCATTTTCAGTTTCAAGTCCCGATTCCCTACATAATATCACTACCAAGTGGTAAGCAGCAATTACCAGAACACACAGTCCGCCAGCCACTAACATCCCCCTTCAATACAGGCACCCCGAAGTCCTCGAGCGCTGCCCGGGGGTCCCCATAATCCTCGTCGGCCTCAAGAAAGATCTCCGCGACGACCCCGTAGCCCAAGAAGAGATGCGCAAACGCAGCGAGAAATTCCTCACCCCGGACGAAGGCGAAGAAGTCCGTAAGAGGATCGGCGCCAAGAAATACCTCGAGTGCTCGTCACTGACGGGCGAGGGCGTGGACGATGTGTTCGAGGCGGCGACGAGGCAGAGCTTGTTGAGCGGGGACCGGAAAGAGAGGAGCGGATGTTGCGTGATACTATAAGATTGGGGGAAAGTACGGCTACGATGAGGAAGAGGGCCGCGCCCAAGGAGGGGAGATGGAGACAAAAATTGGGGAGGCCGGATATCAAGGGAAGAGACGCAATGAACGGGGCGGACGGAGGATCACATCGATGTTTTGTTGAACACCCAACAGCGCTTTTACACAGCACCGCAAGCGAAAATGGATGGAAAATGACATGAACTTGTTTTACCTGCTTCCCTTTTTGAAAAACCGGCAAGCGTGCGTGCATTTGCATAGAGAGAATTGCGTATAATCACTGCTGTTCTGCTTCTTCGAGCGGGCGTTTGTCTGTCGCGATGAGGCGTATCAAGGAGTTTTAGACAAAAGTTGAAAGGGTGCATAATAACTATCTGGTTGTGAGGGGATGTCTCTACGTACTACAAACGACTTTCCTTTTCGCCTAGCCTGGTTCTTGTGGTGGCTTGGTCTTTTCGTTCGCCTCAGGTTCAGGTTCTTGGTAGATGGAGTAGAGTCCTTTCTTCTGCTTTCTTTCTCATCCCACGTCTCGATAGTGCATCATCACGGACCGGCAGGGCAAGCTCTGTATGCTCAGCTTTGGCCACAATTACTTACGTTCCCATACTAGGACAGAGGCTCGTGAGCAACTTGGAGTATCTTGACAAGAACAGAGACCTGGCTAAGTCTTTCTACTGACAATCGTATCCCTGAATCTTGGAATGCATTACCATGAAAGATAAGGACATACCTCACAGCGATCCCATCGACTGGGTCAGCGATTACGCCCTCCATGGCAACCTTGCACTGCCGCAGTCCACATCCTTCAACACGAGATATTCGTTTGGCAGAGGAGGCAATGGAAGCCACCTCCAATCCTGACGTGGCGACGGCTGAGAGATCATGTAAAGATCAACTCATCCAAGATGGATTTACAGTGCGAGACTTGCGTGGGTGTCTGGCCAACTCGGTGAACTCGTGCAGCATGGCCGTTGCGACGAGACATGTGCAATTGGGTGTTGAGGAACAGACTCATGTTGGATATATAGCAGTGGAGTGAACAGCTGTCAGCGTGTTTGCTGGGTCATGAATCGATATTAAGGCGCCTGGTAGTAGAGGCGACACGGCCCTGTGGATGGCGGATTTGTCGGGAAGTCGTGTAGTGTTGGATGAGCTACTTCGTGTCCACAAGTGAGAGAAGCTGTAGTAATGGTCCCCGTCGGAAATTGACGGTCCTTGATGATGAAAAGACCGAGATGCAGGACGGTCTTCGGTGCTCATTTTCTGATGATCTCCCATTAGTAGCAACGTGTCTCACCTTCCAAGCGTAGAATAAGCCATCCAGGCGTCGCACGTGGCAGTCCGAGTGAATGAACATCAAGCACGTGATGCATGCCAGATACGGCAAGAGCAAGAGCGACGTTGTCGCACGATGATGCGTCTCGCTTGTATGCTTGGGACGAAAAAAGCGCCAAAGTTTCTGCAGGCCGCCAGCGCCGGGCGATGATGCATGGCTCGCCGCGCATCACATCACAGGGTCGTCGAGTCGCACGTGGGCTGGAGGGAGGCTCTTCTGTGTTCGCGGCTGAAGAGGAAGGATGTATCGTACAGATTGACAGCGCATGCAGTATCGAATCCCGCGTGGGATGTTGGATGACTGAACTTGCTATCAGAGTTATGTGTGAGAGCGCGGCAGTTTCGATGTTGGTGGAGAGGGAATCTGGATGGTGAGAGGTCGAACAGTCGAGACTGGTGCGAACCATGGAGCAGCAGAGTTCGATTCGGCTCGCTGCACCCGTCAGCTCCCCGGCATCCAGACGTACGAGGTAGCGAAAAACGCTATGCAGTCATACCGGTGGAATGGTGTGACTCTGCTTCTTCGGACGGGGTTCGACTGGTGCGTTGTCGTTGTTGGAGGTCTTCAGCTCTTCTCTGCTGTACTGGCAAGATCAAGTCATCGTGGAGGAGGGGGTATCCATGGAAGGTAGTCGAGACCAGTGAGTAATAAATAAGTCGTGTCGGCGATTGGCCGCTGGCCAGCATGTCGAAGCCTGAAGCACATCCCCCTGAGGAACGTCACGCCTGCGCGGCGATTTGGACCAGGGTCTCTCTTCCCTGACGAGATGCCGTCGACGTATTGGTATGAGTCGTCGAGCGGTACACCAGCGACGTTGAGCGTGGGGGAGTGCTATTGGTCGGGCTGCAGGTAAGAACCAAGGACATGATGTACATCGCGTACTGTGAGTCGTCTTCTGGGCAGCGGCATCTCGATGATGGAGCATCTGTGAGGCACACAAGAATGCAGCGGATGCATGGGGGGCATGGGCCTGCGGCGGGAGGCGACCCTTGGATCCATCTTGATTGGTCGCGCGGACAGGAAAAGTGCCAAAGTCTAGCTTCTGCACCAGCGAGCTGGTCGAGGAAGACGGCCGTCGACGCTGCGTAGATTCCTGCCCGCCATGTCAGATCCCGGTGCAGTGTTGGTGTGATGCGTGGCTCGTGGGCGACGAGAGTGGTGATGAACGTGTTCGAGGCCGCTGCATCGTTGCATGGGCAGTCCTGGCAAGCCTCAGCAGATTGTTCGCCGGTCGCGTGTCTCTTGACTCTTCTCACCGCCCGTGGAAGGAGCGCCTGGCAGGGATGTGCCTAGCGCCAAACCTTGTTCGAGATTTTTGGCTACCAGTACCTCGCATCGACTCTTCCTCCTCCTCCTTCTCTTCTGCTCTCCAACCAACCACTCCACTCACAGTAAGTCGGCACACTGCTCCAGTCGTCTCTTACGGCCATTCTCATCGTCATGATGTCTTCACCACGTCGCGAGTGCCCAATGCGACTCGGCGATATTTCTGCGCGCCGTCCTCGAGGCCGCAGGGTGAGACCGCAGGCTTCACATCCAGTGCTAACTCCCGTCTCCAGACCAGCAACGAAGCGCCACTCCATCCCATACGGATCATATCAGCGTACATTCATTCACTTCGTCGTCCAAGATGCCACAGGCTGTCGTTGAGCTCTAAATTCGCCGCTGGAGTCGTGGCCACGTGCTGCCTCTCCAGTCCGGTCAATTGCTCTTCGAGATCTTCAACCGAATTCGACGATTCACCCTCCGACTGCTCCAAGCACCGCTTGCTAGCAGCCACCCAGCCTGTCAGGAGACATCGAGTGCCCTCACTCACTCATCTCACAGGCATCGGCATACCGACCTCCGTTTGCACTGCAGACCACGACGAAGTATAGGCTTGACCACAGTGCAGGTTAAGCCCACAGCACTCTACAACTGCTCAGATTGTTGCCCGAAGGCGACTTACGCGATATACCTTGATCATACGGTGTGACACACGCTTTCTGCGTCTCGAATCGCTCCCATACCTCACCTCACCACCTCTTTCCACCGAAAAAACCCCCTCTATTTCAAGACCTAAGAAGATACATTCTCAATGGCGAATCAATCCACACACGCGATCCCGCAAGGGAACATGCAGCTCCTCCAGAATCAGAGGAAGCTACCAAAGGGCAGCCCAAAGATGGCGCCCATGTCTTCGAAGCAGACCAAGACCAACATGAAGACGATCGCTCACGGCCCGCGCACCGGAGATGCAGTCTCTGATGACAGCGACGATGGCGATGACGAAGGGGAGAGTAGTACTGATGACGATGATGAAGACGACGACCCAGATGACTTTGCCCTGTCAGGCGCAGCACGCATTGGAAACGGTGCTGCATCGCATCTGGCAGGGCTTTCGGATGAAGACATGTTTGACGACCAAGCAATTGCAGGCGCCCACCCAATTGATGAAGAAGACTACGCCGGCATCGACGCTATCAGTGACGCCGATGAGTCTGGTGCAGACGACCACGAGAAGAAGATCCTGCGCTCCGCCGAGAAGGACTTGATCGCAGAGTTCGAACGCACGGAGAGGCCGCGGACTGCGACTGCTATCACGAACGAAATTAGTGATCTCTCTCTCGTCGGAGGTCTCGCTGCTCTGGAACGTCGAACGAGCGTGCAGAGCGAAGACAGTTCGATATTCGATGATCTGAACCTGGACTTCAACCAGGACCCGTTCCAAGGACTGTCATCTGGCGATCGATTGTATCGGGAGATGATGACCGATGCTGAAGGTCTCTTGAATGGAGACATGTCCCTTTGGCGTACGGAACACGTGAGTCGCGAGAATAGCGCACCTTCGAGCGTGACGCAGAAGAGAGTCCGCTTCGACGACCGCGCCTCATCGCGCACTTCAAGCATGAGTAGCAACGACGACGACGCAATCAACCACTTCCCAGATCTCTTCGACGGCAGCGACGATCCCCTTCTGCGGCAATACACATTCATGACGGATGCTGCAGACGCCATTCAAGACAACGAGTCTGTATACGACTTTGAGGACGAGTTCGAACGTCAAGCTTTCGAAATCGATGAAGAAGAAAGCGACTCGCACAGCAACGAGAGCGACTTCTCCTGTATAGACTTCACTTTTCTTAGCACATGATATTTTGCTGACCTCTACTTAGCCGATTCAGACGATGGCGATACGACTGACGAAGAAGATCCCGAGGTGTTCGTCGCTCGAGTCAAGGCCATGAGAAATGCGAGTGAAAATGCAAGCACTCCAGCCAGCACTCCCAGCAGCGAACCAAGCACGCCCGTTCCGAGCAAGCGACCTACAACCTTGGCCCGCGCAAAGACTACGAACGGCCGTCTCAGCACGCCAAAGACGAACGATGGCCGTCCCAAGATGGGCACTTTCATGCGTGACCCCACCAAGGCACGCATCGAGATCGATGTCCAAGGCAGCGGCGTCAAGGTCGAATGCCCTCCAAACCCTCCTGAAGGCGAGCGTGCCCACTGGGAACGCGCACGCAAGGCTGTTGGTAGCCGCGATGGTAGTCCCAACGGCACCTATACCTGCGTCCGCTCTACACCTCGGACTGCCTCCGTGATTCCAAAGCGGCCGTTGACAGCCAGATCCACGCTCGGGACCATGTTCGATGGAAACTTGGACTTCCTTCGCAATAACGATGAGTGGGGAATCGCCGAGGACATCGTCATGGCTGCCCGTAATAACGCAACACGGGCTTCCTTCACATCCACGAACACGACTGGCGACTCTGCCGCTGATGTTGAGACCGATGTCAACATGGCAGACTTTGTTCAGATGGACGACTCTGATTCGGAGATGGAAGAGCCGCAGTCCGCAGCAAGTGTGATGTCGCCAACCAGCGAAGCCTTTGACGAGCTCATATCGACGCCTCAGAACGGCAACGACGGCGATCTGCTGTGTCATTTCGATCAACGCCGTGGTGTCATCTCTTCATTCCGCAACAACCAAACCCGTGCTCGTCACGTGAGCTCCCTCGCGGCGAATCCTGCCAAGCGTGCCCAGACATCGGAGGCGAATGCTCTTCAGAAGGGCAGACGTGCTGCGGCCAACACTCCAATGACTCCAGCTCGCAAGAACCGCGCCAGCCAGGACATCACCGGTGCGGGCATCAAGAAGGTCGCCAGCCCACTCATGCAGAAGCATCGCCGCAGCCGTGGCAGCTCGCTGTCAGGCATTCAGCAGACTCTGGCTCTGGATCGTTTTGGAAGCAAGCCCCACTAGGAAAAGGTCTTGAAATATCTGTAACGGTACACGACCCTACGTTTACACGACGAGACGGCCATTATCATCGCCCTGCATTCTGGCAGGCTGTACTACTACCAACGACACCGCATCACAACATCGACATCGACATCGCACCAAAAGCACCGACTAAAAGCAAGTACGCACGCACGCACGTTCGCGACCAAAGAGACCAAAAGATTGGATTGGTACGTTTGTTTGATTGTTTTTTCCTTTCGCTTTGCGGTTTTCTTTTCCCCATCGGCAGACGGCGTTGTTGCTCGAGGTATCCAAGCGCGGAGTAGGAGGGCGTTTTCCTTCGCGCGAGAAATCGTTCGTTCGTTCGTTCGACCTCTCTGGCTGTGCTGGAGCGGAAAGAAAGGCGAGGAAAAGTGGCTTTCTGTTTGAAGAGGTTTTTTCTGCTTGTTTGCTGCACTGTGATACCCTTGGGCGTTCTGCTGTTCGAGAGACATGGAAGGGCGAGAAGGAGGAGGGGTCATTTGCTTTTGCTTGTTTTGCAGTACTGTTTTACTTGTACGATTGATGGAGTGAGTGGTGATGGCCGTGGTGGTGCTAGTGCTAGTGGTAGAGGTACTAGGCCAGGTAATACACACAATGATGATGTTAAAAAACAAACAATACCTTCTCGTTTACCCAGCTGCTTTGACCTCTCCGATCTGCCTCTCCAGTAGCGATCAGGAAGGAGAATCAGCTGGTGGAGACGGATATTGACTTTGAGCGATGCGTGAGTAGACCAACCGTACAAGATCTCGATGCAGAAGAGGGGAGAGGTGGAGGTGGAGTTTGTTTGTTTGAATCTGGATGGTTGTCTATGTGGAGTATCTCATCATACTATATGGATGGTAACAGGCGACTTTCTATATGGTGGTGGTATTGACATCATCCTCATTCTGAGGAACGACCTGGTTCTTCGCCTTGGCCTTTCCCGTGGATTGCATGGAAGACCGTGTCTATGGCGTCCCTGAATCCGAGGCTGGATTCCCATCCACGACTCACTTCATCTTCATCTTCTCATCTCAGCTTTTGCATTCTGATCTGTTTCGTTCAAGTATCCCCAAAAACAAAAATCCCCTTCCCACTCCGATACCCCTCCAAAGTCCCCTGCACCGCCTGTACCAACTCCCCCTCCTTCGTGCCCCGTCCCCACTCCACCCTCTCCGTCGGAATATCCCTGAAAACGCCCCGCCTGGTAAGATCCAGAATCTCCGCCACACACTTCTCCTTCTCCTCCGGGTGGGCGTCGCTCCAGCGGGAGACCCAGAATCCTTGAAAGGAGATGTTTTTGAAGATGAGCAGGCCCATGGGGAGTTGCACGGGTTGCTTCGACATGGCGCCGTAGGTGACGAGCGGGGAGGAAGGGGACAGGTGTTTGGCCATGTTATTAACTAGGCTGCCGCCGACGCAGTTGAGGCCCAGACGGATAGGTTCGCGGCCACCGTTCGTTAGAGTTTTGAGCTGGTCGCGGAAGTCCTTGGAGGCGAGGTCTTCGTCTGTGACCACGACGTCTGCGCCGAGGGATTTGAGATCTTCCACCAGCGCTTCGTGGCCCGTCTCTCGCTTCCGCACGATGTTGATGGATCTGTAGCCCCAGAGTTTGCCCAGTTGGATCGCAGCGCGGCCGACGCCTGAATTCGCGCCGTTTTGGATAAACCAGTCGCCCGGTCGGAGGTCGACAAAGTCCTTCAACATGCGGTATGCCGTGCACGGGTTCACGGACACCGTCCCGACCTGCTCAGGCCTCAAACCATCCTTATTCTTGATCGCCACGAGGTTCTCCGCCGTCGTCTGCGCATGCGTCCGCCACGTCCCGAACCCCTGCTTCTTCATAATCACCCAGTCCCCCCTCTCGAACCCCTTGACATTCCCGCCTTTGGAGACGACTTCCGCCACGCCTTCATTCCCGCCCACGGCGATGGGGTCCGGCGTGCTGAGCGATGTGGTGAAGGTGGGTTTGGTGGGGTAGACGCCTTGGATCTGGTTGATGTCGGCGGGGTTGATTGGCGCCGCGAGGAATTTTATCGTCAGGAGGTCGCCGGTGGGTGGGGAGATGCTATGGCCGTGTAGTCGGAGGACGTCTTTGGGTTCGCCGTAGTTGGAGAGGACGAGGACTTTGGCTTGTTCGTAGCCGTAGGCTGAGATGCATCTTCTTTGGATGGTGGTGGGGGTTCTGAGGGTGGTTTTTAGGGTGGAGGTTATTGCCCTTGAGGGTGCCATTTCTGGTGGGTGAGAGGTGAGGACGATGGAAATGTTTCAATGGGTGGTGAAGGAACATGAAGCTTTGCTGCACCATGACGATGCCCTCGGCAGAACGGACTCAGCTCCAGCAGGGGTGAGGATTGGCATTGACTTCACTTGGTGGTTCTGACTTCAGTCTTCCCTTTGCAATACCTAATGATAGTATCAATTAAACGACCGACTACTTGCTTGAGATCTTCTTCAGACTGTTGAACCAGTCCGAGACTTTGCGACGCTTTCCGTCCTCATACGGGATCCCCAGCTTCTTCAGCACTTCGCGATTCTCATCCAGATGTTCCACGAACGCGCTCTTCTTTTCCGTCACCCTTGGAGTCGCTACCTGCTTCTTGAGCTGTGCAGGAGGTGAGTCTGCAAGGCTTTCTTGGCATGTTCCAGAGGTTGGCGGTGAGGGGGAACAGCGAGAAGGCATTGCAGGATGATTCAATCTCGGCCTTGGTGCTCCTAACCAGTCCGCAGGGCATCCCGTCTCGTCGCCATAGCCACCTTTTCCTGGCCCATACTCTTGCAGCAATGGCTGGGTTTCGCCCTCCAACGGACTCCAAATGCTGTCTTTCTCAACATCGTACTCTGATCCTTCTGAGCCCTCCACCACCCGGATAGTGCTCCTCGTCTCTTCTAATGTAAACGATGACCGCCACGGTACTATAGCATGATGGCCGATCGACGCCCACGAAGGTCTTTGTCTCGACGACGCATCTCTTGGGCGCCATACTTGCGAGTCGCTGCGTCGATGCTGCCTCCTTTTGCGGGATCCGCCGCTCGGCGATTCGCTTAGGTCCATCATCGAGTTTGGGGCGGTCAGCATGCCGAGCGAGTGTCGCGTGCTGTCGGCGGTGTCCTTCGGGCTTACTTCAGGACTTTGGTTCGATGCATGTGCTCTGGCGCGCTCAATGTCCAGTTCTATGGCTGGCGAAGTCAGTCGAGCTCGCGGAGATGACTTCTTTGAAAGTCGCATTTTTCCAGCTCTCGCGACAACATGCGATCTTTGAGCGATGCGACAGAATCTTTGACATCGACGTCACTGCCTGATTGCGACTCAAAGTGCTGTTCTTGGTATGCCACGCATGGTTCTGGATGCAGGCCTGCTGGAGTTGGTTGAGTTGATAATTTTATGCGACCAACTCGCCAATCTCAGGGAAACAGCCTGCCAACGTTTCGACGTCGTCAAGTTCGGAGCTGGAGATACTGATGGCTGGGTGCGACTGAACGCTAGGCGCTCGATGGAGGGTGACTTTTCCGGTATTGATGCTGCCGAAGCGGATGTAGTCGCCATCGTCGAAGTGGATGCTGCCATGGCTGACGCGGCGCACTGTTCGCGAGAGCAGCCTTTTGCAGGTGCCTTCGACGTCGAGCGGCGTTGCTAGCTCTGGAGTTGAGGCAGGCGTGATCAAGTCAAGACCAGAGTCCCAGGGAGTAGGCGCGTCTTCGGGATCTCCGTATTGGGAAAGAAGAGTCGAGCCGGATAGATTCGGCGTGCATGTGCTGACCCAGCCTGATGCGCTCGAGCTACCGGACTTGCTACCACTAGCCATCTTACTTGGCAGAGTGCTACTGGACGACAGCATCGTTGCAAGCTTGTGGCCGCCCTGGAAACCTGGTGATAGCTCCTCGAGACTTGATAAACCGGTCATGCCGGATTTCCCGTCTGCTTTCGGCGTGAATGTGGAGCGGAGGTTCTGGACCGTCTTCTTGAAGTGGCTTTTGAAGTCTGAGAGTCGATAGCGACTGGAGTCTTCTTGGGCCAGGAGAGCTTCATACTGCTCCCTGGCGAATTTCGAATGGATCGCCATCTCGGTGCTTGTTGCTAGACTTGATTGATTTGCCTCGCACTGGCCAACAAGGCACAAGCAGGATATAGTTCTTCGGCTGCTGGTAGGCGATATGACTGTGTTGATTCAACTGGGGATCGATGTCGCTGTGATGAATCGGTGAGAGACGGGCCTGCTGGTGCATTATATCTGGATGAGAATGTCGAAAACAATGTAAGAGGCTCCACGACTTTACCTGTGGCAGTGCTGGACCAGCACCATGGGGACAGGAACAGTCAGCTTTGATATTACCCTTCAGGAAACAGTTTCTCGCTGCTGGTCCGCCAAGCTTTTGCTGAAGCCAGGCTGTCGGGAGATGCTAATGCTTATAGGGACACTCTTCAGTGGCTCAACAGCAAACAGCAGCAGTATGTGGCCGTCACCACTTCTCCACGCAGAGAGAGCTGGCGAACAAGAGACGATGCATGCCCCAGGCACTTCAAACCCACCTCTTGCGTTTGCTCGCCGAGCTCTCCGAGTGAGTGCAGCTCCCATCTCCTCCTACTCCATAACCAACTCATCTTCCACGCCGGAGCAGCAGCTACAAAGGCAACATGCCTGACGACTACACTAACAGTCAAGCTGCTGGCCAGAATGGGGAGGCTGGCGGAGCTCAACCTGACAACGACAACCAGCAAGAGAACAAGCAGACACTCAGAAAGCTGCGCTCAAAGCCCAGTCTTGCCGCGCTCGGCCAAGGAATCTCAAATGTCTTTGCTGGCCTCTTCACTGCTGGTTCCTCGCCTAGTCCGCCTAGAGAGCGAGTTGCAAGCTTCGCTTACGAGGCGTACGGAGACGATCAAGGAGCGCAGCGAGTCAATGGTGGGATACTGTTCCCAGACCACCCGAGAAATGCTGTTAACCGACGACCATCAGAACGACGCAAATCGGGTTTCCTCGGCCGCCACTTCACGTTGAGCGGAAGGCGGTCTCGTGCTCCTCTCAATGCGCAAGACAGTGCGTACTTTTCCCATCCCCAGAACGTTCAACAGCAAGGCCCGGCTCCTCAGGATGTTCCGCAGCCTGTGCCGATGGAGAGATCCCCGGCCCAGTCTGGCTGGCGGAGACTCAAGAGTCATATCAGCATGCCAGCAATCGGCTCTGCCAGGAAGCGCAAGCGTTCCGAGAATGATCTTGCACAGTATAAAGAACCGGAATCGAAGGGCAAGAGCATCAAACTCAAAAGAGTCACTATTGCCAACCCGCCTCGATTCACGGCTCAAGACTATGCGCGGTCTCTCGAGAAGATCAGACCTCTTGCCGACCAAGCGGGTCCTTCCAACTGGCAGAATGTGGAGGGCACTCAGACCGATCAACACGCAGAGGTCTTCAGCAGTCAGCCTACGCTTGACAACGTCTACGAGCTCTACAGCGACATTGCTCCGGATCAGCGACAGAATTACCGTGCTCTGACTACTCCCAGAGCTATTCATGTCAACGACGAGGCGCTCAATGCACTCGAGGGCAATGCTCCCCACGATGATGGTAGCCGATGGAGGCTTGATCGTGGCGACAGAGACAATGAAATTGCTCGGGGCCTTGAGATTCTCTTAGGGGAGAATGTTTCTCGTACTGATTCCATGGCGGTGTCGATCGAAGATGCGGATGAGCCAGAGACGTTCGACCGTGAGCAGAAGCGGACGATGTAAGTGTAACGCTCTCACCCGGGACAATATCACACTAACGTCTTGCAGTAGCAGATTCCTGATGGAAGCCGAGATCCCAGATGGGTTTGAAGATCAGATGGAGGACTGAACAGTAAGTTCCACATGACAACTCTGACGCCTGATCACCAACTGACCAACCCACACTAGCGCTTCATATCACATGCCCACTTCGGCATCAGTGAATACAACACGAATCTACCAGACACTGCATCAAGCGACGGTGAATGGCGTACGGAATCTGGATCTACAGAATCTCTTTTGTTGGGTTTGGTGAATGGAGTTATTGTTTGCCTTTGCTATTGTTTCTTTTGTCAATGTCTTATATTACAACGCCTAGTGTTGCCGGAGCCTAGATAACACTCGCAGCATCTTGAAAACGGCACAACATCCTCCTGTTTCTTGACGAAGTCATTCACGAGCTCAAAGAAGACAACGACTGCAAAGACATCACTACTGCATTATCCCGACCTTCACCCACTGCCTAACCCCTGGCGATCTCCACGGTCCGCAGACCGGGGTAGAGCACAACACACAAAAAGCAAGCCCTCACCACCGACTGCCCCTACACACAGGAAGAACGAGCCAAAGCAATGCCCAAACCCCTAACAACCCTCCTCACCCACCTCCACCTCCTCAAACCCTCCCCCTCGCGCCCCAACTCTTCCTCCTCCTCCACAACCACCCGCCGCAAGGACCGCAAAGACCGCAAAGCCGCCAAACTCGCCCAGCGCGACCACGAACGCACCACGGAGGGATTATTGCGGATCGCACTCAAGAGGCATGACAGTGTGAATTCTTTCACGGCGAGGGATCCGAGTGTTTATTATCGGAGACGGGAGGATCATGAGGGGTGGGTGAGGCATGAGGCGGGGGGGAAGAGGTTGGGGAGGGGGTGGAGGGAGGGAGAATGAGGAATGAGGGGGGAGGGAGGAGTGGGGAGGGAGGAGGGGAAATGGGAGTGGGAGAAGGAGATATGATGGGAGTGCTCTCGCCCCTTGCCCGTCAGGTGTGAGGTATGTTGTCGACCTTACAGCGCGAATCGCTGGGAACCGGGGCCTTTCGAAGGAGAGCTCATCGCTGTCCTGCCAAATTTCTGGTCGATTGATGTCCATCAGAGCGGCTCGAACAGCAGACATCAGTCTCAAAAGTCCCCACGTTGAATTTGTCGAGGATTCGGGTACAATGCAGCCCACGGGTTCGGGTTAGGACTTTTTGAATCAGATGTTCCGCCGAACCTCTCATGGCATGCCATGTGTTACTTCGGCACCGAGAGAGTCTAAACAAACATCTTGTGTACGCATCCTCGCGGTTGACTCCGAACTCAGGCGGACCCTGTCTCATGCAAGGGCCTCTTTTCATCTCCGGCAAGTTCAAAATTACCACTCAGCCAGGCTTCCTAGTCAAAGGACCCATCTTCAAATGAAATATCTGCCTGCATGAGTAAGACTGTGTCCTTGTAGCCGGAGATGATGACAAAACTAAGGCTCGAGGTCCGTTCCTTCCTTCTTCGGTTAGCCGCTTGATCGACACTGGCGTAGCGCGCGGAAGGATTCAACGGCTCGCGTGGCTTCTTTTCAACCTCACTTTCTCCAGAACACACAAGTGCTGCTCAAACAAACAATTCATTGTGAGCTACAGATCACCCAGAAGTCTACATCATGGTTCCGGACGCAGATTCGCAACACTTCGCATTGGCAGCCATTTCCGGGACCTAGCGGACGCCCTTTTGTCAAAGTCACGCAGAATGGCAGCCAACCGCTTTCTTCGATTGAAACGAGGGCAACAAGAGCTCGTATAGCAGCGAATGTGGCCTGAGCCTGAGTGACAGGCCGGTCGCCGTCACGCGGATCTCAACAAGCTCTCCGATATCCCGGAGAACGGATATCATCCTGGATACTATCCTGGCCAAGAAACGGACCCTTTGCTACCTTCCCTGAAGCCGAAATCTTCTACCGTACGGCATTTTACGACGGGAGATCTGTACAATACAAGTAACAGGACTTCATTGGTCGAGTCCGTGTTAACTTATCGATCTAAATGCAACGACGGAACAACAGCATCAAAGCCACGGCAACGACAATGAAGCACAACTGACTGAAAGGCTTAGTAACGGACAAGGCCTACGGAGACCGTAACCCCAGCACACATCCGTGGCGCTCCATCTGATGGCCCAGGCCAGCACCGGAAATGGTTACTACATGCCAGCACCTGAACCCCGGCGAAGACGCACAGGAAGGGATCGACTGACTGCCAGTCAGTGGCAACCACGGCTACTGCTAGGAAGCATGCTGTAGCGTGCGAGTTGTTGGTCTCATCAGCAGCACCAACACACCCGTTCTCCTCTCAAACGTCTCAGTGGCCGCTCCAGCAAACCCAATGTCATGGAGCAGAGACTGGATCAAGCTATAATAACTGGACGGCACTGCCACTCTCAGCGCTTTTCTCACAATGCGTGCGAAATTTGTGCTTCTCACTCCTTACTGGGCTCCTCACGCCCAAACACGCTAATGGCGGTCCCCATCAACGCAGTGCCTTCGCACAATGTCGAGAAAGTTATGTACTCGGCCACAGTACACACGACCGAAAAAACTCTGTTCGTCACGTCAGTATTACCGGTGGCAACAGGAAAAGCCTCGACGAGGCGTACGACTTCTTATGCTCTCACGACGCCAATCGCGACGCGGCGGATCTTGATATCAAGCGCATCCGGAGGAAGATTGACTACTGGATACTTCCCATATTCTACCTGAACTACTTGCTACAGTTCCTGGATAAATCATTGCTGGGTTATGCCATCATTATGGGGCTGGAAAAGGACCTCGGATTGAAAGGCAACGAGCTCAACAATATCGCCTCTTCGCTATGGTGGGCGTACCTCGTGGCGTCTGCATTCGTGGGCCCAGTACTTAACAAAGTCCCCATCGCCCGATTCCTGGCATTCTGTTTGACCTGCTGGGGCATCGTCATCTCCTGTACCGCTGCTGTGCAGGGCTTTGGAGGAATGATGGGCATACGAGTCCTGATGGGGGTCTTCGATGCTGCCATCCCGCCGGCTTTGATGCTTCTTACCAGTCAGTACTACCGCAAGGACGAGGCTGCCCTCCGCTTCGAGCTTTGGTTCACGGCAGCTGGTAGTGGACTCGTGTTTGGTGGATTCATCTCTTTTGGCTTCCAATTTGTCCACACTGCAGGCCTAGAGGGCTGGCGTAAGTACTCTGTCATGTTATAGTCGAATGAAGGCTGACTGTAGCGATAGGCATCATGTTCCTCGTGCTCGGTGTCGTGAGCGTTTTGCTTGGCCTGGTGACTTGGTGGCTACTTCCTGATACACCCATGAACGCTCGTTTCCTCACCGACGCCGAGAAGACGGCTGTGATACAGTATGTCGCGGTCAATCAGACGGGAGTCTCGAGCCACAAATTCGAACGATCTCACATTATCGCCGCCCTTACTGATCCACAGATCTGGCTTCTTACTATTGGAAACATCGTCGTGTCTACGGGTGCTGGCATTCTTGGCATATACGGCGTGACCCTCATTCGCAGCTTTGGCTTCACGTCGAAAGAGGCAGCGCTATTGACTGCCCCAGCTGGAGCCATTGCAGTGATCCTGAGCATTCTGGCCGCCTTCACCCTTCGATATAGGTGGATGCCTCGCTGGGCGGTGGCAATGACTGGCTACGGACTGTCCCTTCTTGGATCTTGTCTAGTGGCCTTCTTGCCCAAGTCGAACAGAGCAGGCAATTTGATCGGCATGTGGATGGTTGCTTGCAGCATACCCACGATTGCCCTGAAATATCACTGGATAACCGCCAATGTCGCCGGACACACGAAACGAAGCATCGCAACGGCTTCAGTGAGCGCAGCTACTGCCATTGGAAAGTAAGTCGACTCAAATCACTTCCATGGCGAGGCACTCACTGACATATACAAAGCATCATTGGCCCATATGCTGTGCAGAAGAACGACGCTCCATCCTATCAGCCTGCTAGACTCACTCTGGTGGCCGTCAAGGCAGGCGCGATTGTTCTGATAGGGGCACTTGCTATTTACTACTGGTGCGCCAATCGCAGTCGAGATAGAGTGTTTGGCCCTCCTCCGACGCAGGAGGATGATAGTCTGTCGGAAGCGTCGGTCAGGAGTGATGTCTGGGCCAACCTCACTGACAAGGAGAGGAAGACGTTTCGGTACGTCTTGTGAATAATGTGCGCAGTGAGAAGGGAAGTGTGTGTTGTTACTGCCTATTGCCTCTAAGCAACATCATGCATATCTACCTTCGCGCTTCCATATATACCGTGAGTTGCAATTGGACGAATTTCCATACAGCATGCCTGGGTATGGCGTGCCTGTATCATGTTGACCGGTTCTTCCGTTCTCTTTACGGCCGCGAGCATCAGATCGATACGTTAAGCGGCAAATCTGGACAACTGATACAACATTCCGTACGAGATACTCGAGGCCAACCCCTTGTGTATCTTTTCGGTGCATACAACAATGAACGATCTTGTGCTCGAGCTCGTATACGAAAGTAGGACTGAAACGGATCCAAATACAGTCCGATACGACAACGCTCTCTTTGCCGTGTACATCTCCTCTCGGAACCGGATCTGTCACTTTGGCGATGCAAACTGCCCAAGGTTGGCAAGAACCTGGTCGTTCCGTGAGCTTTTGGCAGGGACCAGCTTTTATGGGTTGAGTCTGTGAGGGTGCAGTTGAGGAGCTTATAACAATCGACAGTGCACCTGTTGATGATTCTCACTCTTCAAGCCACGACCTACCTTACCATCGTTTGTTTTTCTGTGTGTCGAATAGCAAAATGACCAAAGCCGACCTCGAAAGACTCCTCAAAGCGTGCGAAGGGCCACTCCAATGGCACAAAGAGGCACGTCAGCATGCTTCATCTCAGAGCTCGACACTAACTGGTCGGATCCCGCTAGCTCAATAAAGACCCCATCCCCAACTTCTCCCAAGCCTTCATGAACAACCTCGAGTTTACCGACGCCGAGCAGAGATCCAAAACTCACGCACGAGTCTCGTTTCGCTTTCCTGTCCTCCACGAGTATCTCAACCACGCTGGAGATCTCCATGGAGGCTCGTTGGGGATGATTTTTGATATCGTGGCTTCATGGCCGATGTTCCTGATTGCGAGTCCGGATCTTTGGCCTTATCCGGGCGTTACGAGGAGGTTGAGTTATACGCTGCTGAGTCCGGTTAAGGAGGGGGAGATGGTGCTTGCTGAGGGTGAGGTGAGTTGTTGAAACCTGGCAGTAGGGTTGTGAGGCTTGTTTGCTGATGATAAGACTTTGCAGACTGTTCATGTCGGCAAGAGATTAGCGTTGTTGATGGGCGTCTTGAAACGGGAAAGAGATGGAGCCATTGTTGCGACGTGTGAACACGAGAGGTATAATACCATACCTCCGCAGATGAAATCGCAACTCAAGCTATAAGTCTGGCAGGAACATTGCATGATGTCGATCTTCCTCCATGACGTTAGCGCATCCATAGTGTGCGAATGTAAGTGAATGAATTGAACAAACTCCACAAATCCGCTACACCTTCTCCGATCGGATTTGTATTTCCGCAACCATCTCATCCTAGCAACTTGGCCGATCGCTTCCGGCACGGCGACTGAACCAACCTCGCCTACAATTGTGCCGAAGGCAGCTTTAGCGGGGCCTTTGACGGCGCGTCGGCGACTGCAATGGCCAGTGGTTGTGGTTGGATTACACTCACGAGACCATGTTGGACATTGACATGAACCTTGGGTAAAACAACGACTATCACGAGGAGATCAAATAAGAAAGAAAATAGTGCATGAAACATGTCCTGCCAAACCAACGGGCAAGACCCCGAAGCTTGCAACGACTGCTCCCAAACCACGTCTTGTACAGCCAACGGCAACCTCGTCGATATCGAAGACTACAAAACCGAGCTGAGCACTCTTCGAGCGAGGACAAAAGAACTTGAAGCAAAACTCGCCAACCTCGAGATTTCGTCTGATAAACCTACTCTGCGTTCGACGAAATGGTTTAACCGCGACGACGACAAGGCCATGTCCGCTCTCTACGTCGACAGATATCTGAACTATGGACTCACAAGGGAGGAGCTCATGTCCAATAGACCGATCATCGGGATTGCGAACTCCGGGTCGGATCTGGCGCCTTGTAATCAGTATCACACGACACTGGCGAAGAGGGTTCGAGAGGGAATCAGGACTGCCGGAGGTATTGCTATTGAGTTCCCGACGCATCCCATTCAGGAAAGTTCGAGAAGACCGACGGCGACGCTGGATCGGAATCTGAGTTATCTGACTCTGGTCGAACTGCTCTATGCGTATCCTTTCGATGGCGTTGTTCTTCTGACGGGATGTGATAAGACGACGCCGGCGTGTCTGATGGCTGCGGCGACGATGAATATTCCTGCGATTTGTCTGAATGTGGGGCCGATGTTGAATGGGTATAGCAAGAATGACAAGATTGGATCGGGGACGGTATTGTGGAAAGCGCGAGAGTTGCATGCTGCAGGCTCTATTGACGATGACGAGCTGAATGATCTCGTGCAGAAGGGGACGCCGAGTGTTGGGCACTGCAATACGATGGGCACGGCTTCGACGATGAATGCTCTGGCTGAGGCATTGGGCATGGCTCTTCCTGGGACTGCAACGATTCCGGCGCCGTACAGAGAGCGAGCGCAGTGTGCGTACAAGACTGGGCTGCAGATCGTGGAGATGGTGCAGAACGATCGTAAGCCGAGCGATATTATGACCAGGCAGGCGTTCGAGAATGCGATTGTGGCGAACACAGCCATTGGAGGTAGTACCAATGCACCTATCCATCTGTGTGCAGTTGCGAAACACATGGGGGTGAAGCTGGATCTTGACGATTGGGATAGCATCGGGTATCACATTCCCTTGATGGTGAATGTGCAGCCGGCCGGAGAGATGTTGTGCGAGGAATACTTCCGTGCTGGAGGTCTGCCTGCTGTGATGGCAGAGCTGCTTGACCAAGGAAAGCTGCATGCAAGTGCACTCACTTGCAACGGAAAGAGTATCGAAGCGAACGTGAAGGGACAGCATACCTGGGACCGAAGGACCATCTTAGCATACGACTCGCCCATGAAGAAGGATGCTGGATTCCTGCACATGACGGGCAACCTCTTTGACTCCGCGATCATGAAGACATCTGTGATATCCGACGAGTTCCGAAAAGTCTTCCTGGAAGACCCCAAGGACCCGAATGCTTTCGAAGCACAAACCGTGGTTTTCGATGGACCGGAAGACTACTACAAGCGAGTAGAGACTGCCAACATCGACGAGCGAACGATCCTGGTCATGCGTGGTGCGGGACCATTAGGCTATCCTGGAGCTGCAGAAGTTGTCAACATGACAGCGCCGGGCCACTTGCTCAAGAAAGGCCTGAAATACTCCCTCCCATGTGTTGGCGATGGTCGTCAATCGGGAACCTCTGGCTCACCCAGTATTCTCAACGCCAGCCCCGAAGCCGCAGAGAATGGCAACCTGGCGATTCTGAAAGACGGAGATATGCTCAGAGTGGATTTGAACAAACGTCGAGTTGACATGTTGCTTCCTGCCGAGGAGATCGCCCGAAGACGTGAGGAGTTGATGAAGAACGGAGGGTACAAGCCAGTCCCGAGCCATACGCCTTACCAGGACTTCTTCAGACGGGAGACTGGTCCTCTGAGCGAGGGTATGGTCTTCAAGAGAGCGGTGCAGTTCCAGCGAGTCGCGCAGAAGGTGCCAATGCCGAGAGATAATCATTAGGTTCGGTCTTTAGGTGGTGGCAAACAGAATTCTTTTTTCCCGCCCGAGTCGAACCTCTTCTGTTTCTGTTCACTGCATCAGACAAATAATAGCTCACGTTGTTATTGTGATTGCCAGTGCATAGTGCCCAGTGCTCTCGTGCGTATGAAGGTGCTGACTTGGGTAGTACATCAGATTAGTGATCTGTAATCCCGTGAGGACTTTGAGAGGGACAAGTTGGAGCTAGTGAGTAGACCTTCTCAGTGGCATTGAATCTGTACGGCATAGTTGAGAAAGTCGGTATGAGCCAGGGGCTATAAATGCGTTGGGGCCCATGCGTCGTCGTTGAGTATAAGAATATGGACAGCCCCTTGAGCAGCTATCGGTGATCGATCGGAAGAATCACCATGGCTTCCGTCGAACAGCGTTTCCAAGCTCTCGTGGAGCGTAGCACGTAAGTGCTAACATCGACCAGGGGTGTGCGAACTCCCTTGCTAACTCGTGAAAGCCAAGCCATACCTACCCACCGAGCACCACCGACCATCCGACAGATAGCAGGAAGGGAGAACGCTCCTGGAAGCATCTTCATCAGTCTGTCTCCGTCCAGGTCGAGGGATTGATCAATTTGGCTAACGTGTCTCAGTTGCCTGCTGCGATTCCCGAGTCGATCCTACGGCTATCTTCAAGATCCAGCTAGGAGGTGAGGCCAAGCACGTACAAGGAATTCGGAGTCCACGCTGACGGCTAGACAGAAGCGACGGTGCTCAAGAATGCCGGCGGTCGAGTGACAGATGATACGTTCCGGAGCTTGGGGGTGGTCGGGTCGATCTCGACTCTTGGGTTGATCGTTGTACTTCATCACACAGGTCAGTATTGAGCGAGGTGCTGTCGTCTTTGCTTGTCCATGCTCATTCACGTCGTCCAGATTGTGGTGGCCTTTTCCGCACCGACGAGGATATTCGTAAAATCTGGTCTGATCGTAACCCCGAACACGCCCAAGAGATCTCGACGAAGGCTTTCGGCACCTATAAAGAGTAAGTCAAAACTTTCCATCGTGTCAGAAGAGAATGCTGACAGCCTCACAGCTCGGGACTGGAAGAGTGCTTGAGGCAAGATGTTGCCAAGGTGCGAGGCTGGCCGCTGCTGCCCAAAGACGTTCCTGTTGTTGGCTACTCTTACGAGGTTGAGACTGGTAGGGTCACGCAGGTCGTATAACGTATGCTGGAGATGAGGTGGTGCTCTTTCGGATCCGAGCCCATTGTGTTCCGTACAGGGAGATAGCTCATTACACTCGACACAATCTGCCACCACGACTCTCGTCCTCATACCACCGATCGCTCCCCACTGCTGTGATGGCGTAGAAGATGTGACCTGGGTCATACTTATCTTTAATCTGGAGCAATCGATCGTAATTCCCTCCATAGAATACACTCTTGTAGTCCGGTTGTTGAAAATCGGCTTCGTTCAGATACGCCCCGCCTCCTGGTGTCAGTTGCTCAAGCAGCGGCAGATACGTTTGGGTCATGTCGTTTGCCAACACTGTGTCAGCGTGATAATCGCTGTAGTTATAGGCCCTAGGACAGACTGTCAGTGACCAGACTTCCACGGACGTAACTGGTGGTAAACTTACGTTCCAAGCACGCAATCGAAGACCGCAGTCCGCCAGATCGGGGTCACAGAATTGCCGCCTGGTGCAGATGTCCCCTGGGAGACGTTTAATGTCACTCCAGAGACTTCAATGCCAAAGTCGTCGGTCAATGTACGGAGAGCATCCAGCAGAGCGATGCTGTTGTCCTCGATCAGCGACTTTGGAATTAGACGGCCGCCCAGCTGAGCGTTCGACACGTTCCAGGGAGCGTTGTACGCGACGTAGCTGTCGTAGAAGCTCGTGAACTCTGTAATCGAGAGATCTAAGGGATGCACATCAGTAACCAAGTCAGTCGAGTGACTAGAAGATTGTTTCGCTTACTGTATGAAATATTGTATTGCTTGAGTTTGTCAAGCGTCGGTTGCAATAGGCGTGACATGTCTTCTCGATCCTTGCCCGGGCATGTTCCAGGCGCGAGTGAGAACGACTCCGTGGTGAGGACCCAGCCAGCCCAGCAGCCACTCGCGGTCAGTGTGGGCAGTGATTGGATCCAAGTATGGACAACATCCCAGTAGTGACCGGAGTCGACGCCAGCTGGGGAGAAAGTCAAGTTGCTCGCCGTGGTCGCAACATCAGGGTATGTCTTGACAGTCAGTGAGGAGACAACTCCGTAAGTACCCCCACCGCCACCAGACAAGGCCCAGTAAAGGTCCTGGTTCCGTTCGGGGGTAGCTATGAGGACTTGTCCGGTGCCTGTGACCACTTCCTATTCCAAAGCCTGATCCGCCGCGAGTCCGAACTTCGATCCAAGCGGTCCATGGCCTCCACCTTGAGTATAACCGCCAGCTACCCCGAGTGTAGGACAATTAGCTCCCACGTTGACCAGGCCGTGATCGTGAGTGAATTTGAAAGAGTCCTGATTCATGACCCCTGCTCCCATTTTCAATGCTTTGCCAGTATAGAACGACGAATTGTAATCCACTATCTGCATTTCGTTCACGTAGTGAGTCCAGACCGAGAGAGATCCAGCGCCGGCAGCCTTGCCCATATAGTCGTGTCCGGTATTTCGAATAGTAAGGCGGATGTTGTGCCTGCGGACGAACGCGATCGTTCTCGCGATGTCGTCAACGGATGTTGCGTTGACCGCATACACGGCCAGGTTGCCCAATGTACACGAGGTATTGGGTCCCAGAAACGGATTGCAGCTATTATTGGTGAAGTATGGTGCCATGATAGAGGAGCTGGAATGGATGTGCGTTTGTGGGAAGAACCATTCGCTTTGAAGCTGTGCACAGCTTGACTCGTCATATGGACCGAAGGTTGAGTTGTGACAGACAGCTCCAATGGGTACTGTTGCAACCAGTCTCCCGCCGACAGTGTTGTTGAACGCCTGCCATTCGTCATGGCCAGGCCAACAATGATCTCCAGGGAAGCAGCGGCATTGTTCTTCGCTACCGCTCCATGGAGGGTGGGAGCCGGAGCAGTGCAGGGCCGTGGTCAAGGCGATGGCCGATATCTTCAAAGTATGCATTTTGGCTTAGGCTTTCCTGAAGAACTTTGAAGACTGCAGCCCTACTGCGCCAAGGTGCGAGCCTTGTCAAAGATCTCTATATAGCCATTGTAGGTTCAAGGAACTCATCCCTGATCAAATTCTTGAGAGGGTTGCGTATATAACAATGCACCTAGCATGAGATCGGCGAAGGAAGACAGGGCTTGAGAGACTCGACAATCCTAGAGTACAGTGTTTGTAATGTCGATTCGTTCCTCGGAGCTGGCGAATCGCATATGGTGCTCTAAACGGATGGAATGGTGGACCCGGACTTCATGAGGATTCCATTCTAGGTACTTATAGGGCATTTTCTCACACTCATGTCGCAAGCAGAGCTCGTCGAAAAGCCGCTGCGCTCGTGGAGTGTTGAAAGAGGCAGACTCAGTCAACAAGGAATCTTCTCTTGGTCGTCTTCAATGCATGCTCAGGACGAGCGGCTTCACAGGGTCTTCTTCCTCCTATCGTGGACTCGCAGGCGATCCTGTTCGACCCACTGGTGCTTGCAGATCGTTATACAGCAATTGGAAAGGGAGTGCTCCCCTTCTGACCTGGCGATGACGATTTTGTTCCAGCCCGTTCAAGATTCTTCGGATCCCCTGGGTTGTTTCGTTGGTCAATTGGTGGGCCGGGCGACCATTCGCATGGAATTGTACGTCCGTATTGTTGGACAGTATGGTGCCGTATGTTTCATACTGTGTCGCTCGTGCTTCTGTCTCTCAAGGCATGTGGCCATGACAGAGATACTGCTATGCGAATATTGACGGTAAGCCTCATCTTTGTAGGTCAATAGTAAGACTTGAGATGATTGTAGCGCGAAGTCCTTGCTGCTCGTGAACTGAAATTGTATGGAGGAAGAGAATATTTGGAGGAGACTTGAACGTGGCCGTGAAGAGGGAGGTGAAGAAAGCGTCTGCTCGTAGGTCTACGGCAGGCTATTGGTAGCCGCACGGCAGCCTATATCGAACCACTGTCAACTTGCTCGACCTCTCGTGTTTTTCTGATCCTTCGAGCATCACTGCCACCTTTGGCCCGGATCATCAACGAACCTCCAACGCACGAGAAGCTGACCAGGCAGCCACGATGTTAATGTGGCTTCGCCCGATGGTCAAACTGGCGAGGAGGGCAGTGCGAAATATCTCCCTTCACGACCAAGCCACATGTCAATCACCCTAACTGTAGGCACCTTGTTCTACACTATGATTCGCAAGACGCACCCAAAGAACTGTCAGCCGTAGCTAGGGAATGCGGCCGCCTTCGGAGATCTCAAGACGGCGTGCAATCGGTTTGCCTGATTCCTTCAATGCTGGCCTGATCAGTCCCGTCTCATGCTGCGCAACACGCCATGTCATCATCCTCTTCTAAGAAAGCGTTGGTACGGCCGGCGATCCAAGGAGCAAGAAAATAGCAAACATCGCTCGCTGTTGGACTGCTCGCTATTTGCAAAGCGCTCTAGAGTCAAGCCTCCTGGCCGACGTGAGGCAGCCATCTTCTTGCCATACTGCGGTCTGGCGACACGCACTGTTAAACAAAGTGTCTGTCAGAATAAAATGAGAAGGAAACCATGGCTGTCTCCTTGAGCCAACTGTCCAGAGAGGCCTCGAAACGACAATCAATGGCGTACTATCCCACAACAGCGACGTATATGCCCATGCCAGAGCACTACCATCAGACGTATCCGCAGCCATTTCCTCAACATTCATACATCCCACCACCGCCTCCACCGCAGCAAAGCTACCCTCAGCAGCTTTCACGTCCGGCGTACTACTACAACCAGCGTCCATCGCTGGAAGAAGAACAAGTACCGCCGCCTCCACCGCCCAGGCCACCGAAAACACCGATTGAGCCTGTAGTCGAGCAGATACCAGACCTTCCACCTCGACAACGAGCCGCCACGATCATTGAGCCAGATCCTCTTCCACCGCATTCAAATCCTCAAGCCCTGACTCAGTCACAGAGCGAGGCTTTCTCAGCATCATCACCAATACCGCCCGTGCGAATTGGAAAAGAGGAAGTGTGGAATCCACAGACCGGGTTCGCTGTGTTCGTGATTACTCGAGAGGCCGCACATATTCCGAATTTCATGTCAAGCAAACCACTGGTCAACGTCACGAGGACCAATGGCGTGCCAATGGGGAGCGTTCGTTTCCACTCGTTGACGTCTAATAGCATCGATCTTACCGTCAATGGCCGTGGCACGTCAATATCGCATTCCGGCTTGATTCACAATCGATGGGGCTTCCAGTCGACGACCAGGCCGAACCTAGATGAGAAGTGGTATTGGAAGAAGGACAAGATAACGGGAGGTGCCAAGCTGGAGGATTCGAAGAAGGGTGGCCATACTCTGGCCAAGATGAAAGGCGATCTCTTGACCTTCGAGAGTGGACGTCTGAGTGACGCCTCCTATGATGAGGTGCTGTTATCGGCAGTGGCTATGGCAGAAGCGGCGAGAAGGCAGAAGAGAAAGGGCGACATTGCTGATCTTGCATCCGCCATTGGTGATTTTGCTAGTGGTGATGGAGGCAGCGGTGACGGCGGCGGAGATGGCGGTGGTGGCTCGAGTGGAACGTGAGAGATATGAAGACTTGACGACCGTCACGAATGAAGCTCAATGTACATGTAAATATCTCATCGCAAACAATACACAAATACTCAAACTGAGCACGTGACCAATTTGCGGAGTTTCGCTTCACCTCCGAGAAACTAGCATCCACGAACTCCATCTCGACGACCATCCTCACCCCCATCCACCCATCACAATGCGAAACGTACGAGCTGCCAGCCAGGCATTGCGCCTGGCCGGCGACCCATCTCGCCAACAATACGTGTGTCGAGCCTGTCTCGCCCAAGCCTCTCGCCACTTCTCCACCTCCCCTAAATCCCCAGCAGACGAGCCCTGGTGGAAGCGGATGCGAGAGTCCGTCTTCGGATCAGAGAAGAGCAAGAAAGCCGAACAATCACGAGAGGACAAACGCAAAAAGAAGCTGGAAGATGTCTCGCAGCGGAAAAAGGGCGAATTGGAGCAGAAAGTCGGCGCGAGGGGAAAAGAGTATGTGATTGCTGACGTGGTGGATACGTACACGCACAAGGACTACGTGTCGTCGCAGACTTGGGATGGACTGGAGAAGATTGGTAGTGAGGAGTGGGTGAGGAAGAGGGCGGATATGGGGGAGCAGTATCAGGGGTGAGTAGTCGCGGAGTTGGACGGTTTGGAGGACATTGTTGATTGATTTCTACAGGTTCCTCACGCGCAAGCAAAGCCAATTGACGAATAGTCAGTGGCAAAGACTGCTCCATCAGATTACTGTGGAGGTCTTGGCTCTGAAGAATGCTGGACGCGACGTGTTGGACGTGTGCAAGGCTCGCAAGGAGGGCGAGAGTCCAAAGATCGCCAACGTCACTGTTGAAGTGAATGAAGGTGTGCCGACGTTGAAATTCGAAAAGGACGCAGACCAGCAGGCAGTCTTGTCTGCAATTGAGGATGTAGGCTCCGAGCCCGTCAACGAACAAAATCTCCAGCAAGAGCTACGCAACGCAACAATGTCGACTGCAGAACTACCAGAAAACATACGATGGATGGCATTCGGGCTCGAGGACTCAAACATGAAGCTTGCGGTAGGCATCCTTAGACAAGAGGCTTGAAACCATGAGCTGACTATGCCTAGATCTTGAAACGAGCAATGCAGCTCACAGGCAAACGAATCCCAGATCCTGCCCTATCTAACGTCCGAACCCTCACCGATCTGTACAATGCATTAATGATCAAGGAAAAGCCGAAGAAGTTGACACAAGACCCAAAGCTGGAACCACTGAAAGCCATGGGCAATGTACAAGTACACGCAACCCGCCGCACACCTGTACACAAGGATAAAGAGGTTGGAAGATGGAAGATCATTGAGGACGAACTCAAGCTTCGCAACCTGCCAGTCTTTGGAACGAACTATGCTGGCGCAAAGCTCAACGTGGTCAGGTAGAAGGGGATTGCAAAGCAGAGTATGTACATTATCAAAGACATTTGTTCCAGACTCATTGCGCAGAACACACCGACGTTCCCTTTTGCAGGCAAAATACCAGAATCCACATTATACCAGAGGCTGATTGGAGAGCTAGGCGAGCTGAGCTGCAAGCTTAGGATTGTTAAACATCGTTCGCCTTCCCGATATTCAACTACCGGCAAGTCACATGACTAGGTTTTGTTCATAGGAGTCTGGCTGTCATAGACCTACCGACAAACAGTCTCATGGTCTTGCAGTCTTCTGGGACTAAGAGTACCGAATCTACGAGAGGACAAGACTACAGGATTGTGTTAGTCAGGTTTGCTGCAGCCTGATTATGTAACCGCCTGGACGACGAATAGCCCGACGGTATGCGACGTTTACCACTCTCCTGCAAGCTGCACCTGTGACCTCTGCACTGCCGCCGTCAGGCGTTGCCGGAATGCCGCCAACAGTGTCCGCCCACAGTGATCTGGACGGCGGACCAATCTCAAAAGCACATCTTTCGTTGCTGCGAAATGCCTGGCTCTTCAGAGGTCTGAAACGACCAGATTGCGTCGTTGCTGCGTGTATCCAATGGCGGCCAACACCACCATGTACGACCCTCTGGAGACTGTCAATCCTGCTGATCTCATCATCCCCAGGAGTGAAGACATGGCTGTGTCGACAAGTAATGTCTCTTCACTCCAGAACAGCCAAACCTTTGTGCAGAATCGTGATGAACCGAACATGGCACCTTTGTGGACGCAGACTGAATGGAATGGATTCGTGCAGCAGTCTGCTCAGCAGCAATTGGATGCCTATCCTACGTGGGAGGCCACTGCCACGAATCCTTATGGCGTCTATGGGACGAGTCCACCGACTCCTGGGTCTTTCAATATGCAATCCCTAGCTCGACGACTGGGGTCTTACGATATGACCAATAGCCAGGAAGGCAGCTTCGACCAGTTCAGCATCTCTCGGGACGCTTCCTTCGAGTCAGTTGAACAATGCTATGGGGGCTCTTCGACACCAGGACCGAGCAGTCGACGAAAGGCGAAACGAAGACGGGGCAGGCTACTGGCTGATATGACTTACAGCGGCCACAGTACCGTCTTTGAAGACAGCGATAGTCATCATTCCTGGACCGCCGCCGACAATACCGAGGACTGGGTATCCTACCTCCGCGAACGACTGACGGACTTTCGACGTTGTCGCGAGAGGGTCGCACTCATCACTTCACCCTTGCAGACACGTCAAAGAAGGAAGGTCCACTCGATGGCGAATCTTTGGGGCTTGAGCCACCTGAGCATTGGAAGTGGAAGGGAGAAGAGGGTGCTGCTTTGCAAATGCGAATTGACAAAAGCTCCCTCGTACTTGCCGTTTGGACTGAGCAAGCGATGGAACCCGACGAAGAACAACTGGTCGCCTGGCCTGGTAGATCCTAGAATCGTTCTGTTCGATCTGCTCTCGCCGCGGTTGAGCGCTACCAAGGTTCGGCAGTGTCTGAAGGAGGCCGGGCTGCCTCTGCCGACGAAGATCGCTATTGATCGGTTCAATCCGATGAAGACTGGCGTTGTCCAACCCGTCGCCACAGGCTATGCGATGTTCGATAACGCAGACGACGCAGCACTGGTTCTGCTCGCACTGGACGGCACGAAGCCCAACTGGAACAGTTCTGACGCCGAGATCGAATGCGATTATGTCCACTTTCCCCCTGGATTCGAGCTAAACAACGCGACCCTCGAAGCCTTCGATGCTCTACCCGATCTCGTACGCAGGGAGAATCTGAAGTTTCGCGAAGGAAGGATGTTCTCTAGCATCCGGTCGAGGGACGAGAACAACGCCCTGTACTCTTCGACTGAATCAGAAGCCGACGACTACAGCATCACTTCACCCGGCCTGTCCATCCCCACCAGAAGATACGGCTCCCGCAAGACCTCCAACGAATCCTCCTATTCCCGCGACCCAGGCTACGTCTCCGGCGGCTCCACTCGCAGCCTCGTGGCCTCCGACTACAGCTCGCAAACCAGCATCACCAAGAAACGCAAACGCGTGCCCAAAATCTCCGGCGGCTTCGCGTGTTCCTTTGTCGGCTGCGACCGGGTCTTTGACCGCGATGGCGATCGAAGGAAACACGAGAAGAACCATACGGCGGAACGGCCACATGTTTGCGAGAAATGCGGGAAGGGGTTTCTGTTTCCGAAGGATTTGAGGAGGCATATGATTGTCCATTCGATTACGGAGTTGCCTTCGGGGGGCGATGAGGAGCAGAGGTCGGAGCAGGAGACTGCGTCGACTGTTAAGGAGAAAGGAAGGGAGAGGGAGAGGCCGCAGGGTGAGTTGATGTAATATTGCCTGATTGATGATCTGCTGATAAGGGTTGCAGCTTCTCCGACAGCTTCAATCGCTGAAGATCGATTGAAACGCATCTATGGCAAAGCGGGACCACCAGATCGAAGGATCAGTAGAATCTCATCATTCGGATAACAGAAGAAATATCGTTGGATAATGTCCACATCTCAACTCGTCAAATCATAACTTGTACAGCCGTACAGTGGTATCTAAAGACATACTATCTCTTCCACGCATCATCTCCATCCTCAAGCTCTAAACGTGTGCGAGCACCTTGTCGGCAGCAGTGACGGTGACGCTGGGAGCCTGGTCCTCGACGAAAATGTGCTGCACCACGCCGTTGTCCACGACGGCGGCGTAGCGCTGCGAGCGGTGGTTGCCCAGAAGGCCCGAGGCGTCGAAGTCGAGGCCGGCGGCTTTGGAGAACTGCAAAATACCATCTCATCAGCAAACCAATTTCTCGCGGTTTTAACGGAGGAGAGGATTGTTGAACTTACAGCACCGTTGTCATCAGCCAAGAAATGCACAATCGAGTGGTTCGCGCCCAGCTTCTCCTTCCACGCCTGCGTGGTGAAGGCGTCGTTGACGGCGACGATGTAGATGCCCTTGACGCCCTTGGCGGCGAACTGGTCCGCGTGCTCGACGTAGCCGGGGACTTGCGAGGAGCATGGGGGTGTGAAAGCTCCGGGGACGCCGACGATGATGTCTGTTGTTGTGAGTGTGTTAGTACCCCGCGGTGTGGTATGGTGGGGTTAGTCTGGGGAGAGGAGGGTAGTGTTGGTGAGGACGTACTCTTGCCGGAGAGAGTTGCGAGATCGACGGTGCCCTTCTCGGGATTGTCTTCTTTCAGGGCGCCGCTGGTGGGCAACTTGTCGCCCTTGGAGAGCGTCTTGCCTGCCTTGCCTTTGAGCTTGTCGACGAGTCCGCTGGAGATGGTGGGGTTAGCCTGGAGGTTGCAGAAGAGGGTGGATGTTGCTGGCCTACGACATGTTTGCGGGGGATGTATTATCTGATTTGGTTTGAGTCTCTGATTGAACGCGCAGTCTCGATTCTTGTACAACGTGATGTTCAAGAACAAGTCAAGTATTTGAGGACAGGTAGTCTTTCTTCAACTGTCCCTGACCCAAGAGCTATCGATAGCTCTCGCCAATGATGTAGCTACAGTGGGCCTAGACCGTATGACGTTGTGTGATCACGACTTGCCAATGGAGTGTTGCGATCTCGGGTGAATGGGATGTTGCAATTGCTGGGTATTTGAAATAGGTGATTTGCCGTGCAGCACGTTGGACTCGCTAGGTTGAATTTCAAATTCTTTATTCGACTTTGATGGATCGCTGAACATCACATGAGCTCCGTTTGCCAGGATTCTTGCCGTCCATGTAATGGACTCGGACCTGGTCATGTCTCGTCGACAGATTTGTAGAAGAAGACGCCCAGTCCGTATGGGATATTGGAAGGCCCCGAGAGATGCACAATCATGCAAATCCGTTGAGGGCCATCCATCGGAGACGACTAGGCCCTCATCGAGAGATATTTCCAGCTTGGTAAGAAGTCCGCATCTTCGAGATAAGGCAAGGATGTAAGCGAATGCATGCACCAAGATGGATTGCGATAATTTGGAATGAGGCCTTGAACCCACAGTATCAGGCATCCATCAGCCCATGTTGTCAACTCCCCGAGACATACCTTTAAGAAAGTGTCGGCCCGTCGAAGGTGTAGGATTAGTCGCCTATGAAAAGACATCGTGCAGAGAGCGTGAGAATGTGGATTGTGATCACACACTCTATTTATATCTGCTGTTGTTGGGTCTCGGCATAGGCAGGTCGTCTATGGCGACCTCGATCTCCGTCATCTTTGGGCAAGCACCTGAAGCAAAGAGTAGGAGGGTTAGCATACGTCTTGAAGTGATTGGCATGCCCTCCGGGGATTCCTCTTCTGAGACTGCCAGTATGGCTATCGAGAGCATAAACTGCGTTCAATCGGCAGAGCCTCCACCCTTCGGTCTCACTCACATGTCGGTGTTCCCCAAACGAACCGTCCCACAATCTTATGTCTTATCAACAATATTCCCATACCTCCTGCATGCGAGTATCGATACTTCAGGCCCGGTATGCGGTAAGCTTTTACGCCTAGTAATGTCGAGATTGGCTGATACAAAAGTATGCGCAATAAGAATATGCGCTGACACTTCATGCCTAGCGAGAGAAGTTAGCAGAATTCACACAGCAGCATCTACTCAATTGGATAGCCAGAGCATCCACACTGAGCAATTCTCCGAGAAAGAACCTTGGAACCCTCAAATCTTCCTGCTGACATACATTTCATTCCTACAATGGCACCTGCCTTTCCATGGTGAAGGGTGTTTCCATGGTATTCAAGGGTACCGATGGGTGTTGCTGCTACTCCATATGCTCCTCCGAGCGACGTATTGGACAAGTCGATCAAATCGGCAATTCGATCTACGATAGGACCGTTGTGGGGTCCTTCGATGTTGTCGTAGAATTGGCAAAGCTGCTCCCGAAGTTGACTGCGTCGGCCATCCTGGGCGAGGCGCATCTGGATAGCGTCTCTGTTTTGTCCGTACAGACGTACCCCATGTGTATCCACGTAGGCGTCGACGTCCAGACCAGAAGCATCCAGGGCCATCCTGATAGAAGCACCTAGGGTATGGCCGACCCAATGGAAGCGCCTGGCGTACCAGAACACTCCAACCTCCTCGGCCGACACCACGACTTGTCGTGGGCCGGTGCCTGGCTTGATCGTTGTGCATTCATGCGGTTTGTCTTCGGCGTCCAGGCCCCAAGTGTTGTGATCGACATAGCCCCTGCCCAGATGGAATCCTGTCTTAGCATGAGCAGGAACCATGAAGAGAGGGCTAAGGTCGCCTGAAAGGATCGCACGCATTGCCATCCCATGCATTACGTCTTTTGGATTGCGCTCAATCGCCGTCCCGAGCTGGTATCCAGTCTTGAGCATACCCTCAAAGGCATAGAAAAAGTCTTTCGGCACGGTCACTCTTCTCCATGAAAGATCTCCATGAACATGGCCAAAATTTGGTCGCCTGCCTGCCAATGCACCGGAGCGAATCGAGTCGATTGTGCCCAAGGTCCATGGCACCTGAAGAGAAGGGCAGAGCGGTCAGCATGTATCTCACAATGACGTGTCAAGACCCGTTCCCGTTGACTGAAGCAGAGACGGTCTCCATAGAGAAGGGTCTATCTGCCCTTCAATTTGACGCACCAAACCTTTGTTGGCCCAGACAATCTCTTCCAGCTCCCGACCGCTGCCATGGGCCCTCGACTCGTCTCGCCAACGGTCTTTGAGCTCCTCAATCAGCGCACGACCAAATCCATCCGGCGCGACGGGCCTGAATCCTTTGGCTAAGACCATCATGTTGGCGCTCTCCGTGTGCTCCATTGTCGTCCACATTCGACTGTACCATTCCGCATCGCAGATTTGACCGATGCCCCGGCAACGCTCCTCTTTGGATGCACCCGAGCGCATGGCGTCGAAAGCAGAGGGATCGACATCATTGAGATAGACCACGGTCATCTTCGCCCGCTTGATAAGCTCAGAGATCTTGAGGATGATTGCCGTCTTCACCTTGTTTGACCACTGCGGCACAGAAATGTAGTCGTGCCATATTTCGAACGGCTTCTCTCCAGCAGGCAACCCATCTTCCAAAGCAACAGCAATCTGTGCAGGAAGACTCCGCACAAGGGTTTCGACTTCGACTGTGGACACATCACTCTGCTTGCGCTTGTGTTGGAGCTTGGCAATTGGTCGCCCCCAGACGTGGGAGATGGCCACGAATGGCGTGGTCTTGTAAAGACACTCCAGATGTCGGTGGAAGATCTGTATGGTGCGCTGCACTTGGGGTGCTTCTACCTCTTTTGCACATGGAAGAGCGGGTGATTTGCCCCTGATCTTATCAACAAGGCTGAACGTGCGTGCAAACGCCTTGTCAATATCAATCGCCTCGCGACACTCGCAGCAGACTGTTCCGCGAAGTTCCTGTCTACCCCAAAGTGATCGCAAGAATGTCCAGGACTCTGCTTCGGACTTGTCTCCGCGGAGGGGGAACCGCATAGTCAAGTGGACGTGTCTGATCGTTCCCAAAGGCGAGGGGTCCTGTTCTGGGCTTTCGATGGCCTTATGAGTTCTTATCCAGCTTTGACTGAACAAATACAATAGGCCTTATCATGTTCGCCAAAGACAAATTTCATACTATCCAGCGTGAACAGACGCAGAAGAATGTCCATCTTTCAAGAACATGACTGTCAGTATATCCATTGCTGAAAGGAGCCTTGTGGGGGCTCCTTCAGTCTGCTTCGTCATGCCTTGTTTCTTTCGAGAGACTAAACAGCGCAGCTCGCCGGTGAAGAGAGTGTCAGTGACAATGTGCCACGCCTGCGAACAGCGCAAGAGAGAGAACATTCGGAAAGGTGTCCATGGGGAAGGTTTGAAAGCAGAAGAAGGGCAAGGGGATGGTGAAATTAGCCTGGCGGGTAATGCGGATGTCGGCTGTTGCCGGAGTGGCCCGAGCGCCCAATCCTTCCATACACGTGTCTACCTCAGTGCCCTAATATCCGGCCATGTCTCCTGTTACTGCAACATGTTGTCAAGACGATGTACCACGTCGCCTCTCGCCGCGAAAATGTGCCGCTGCGTCGGCCACTCAGTGTGCAGGCAGTCGAACTAATCAGGGCCAAGCTTGAAGGGCAACTTGAAGAGTTGAAGGCGGTGGCAGATTTGGCGAACATTGACGAGAAAAAGAAGCAGTTCAGATTCGAATTGTAGATACTGGTTCAGATCACCTACTAGCAAGTATGCACATCGCTCAAAATCACCATGCTGATAAACCTTGCTTTGTCTTCCATCACCAGGCATCTTGGCCTACGTCCCCAACTTTGTCGACCATGTTTTGCGAGGCACAAGCTATAATCTCCCCAGAACAACTATTCAACGGTCACTATCCATGGCTCATTCTCGGCATCAAGTACCCTCTCTTAGACGCCAATAAGCTTCCCAAGACATCAAGGCTGTGTAGTACGATAAGTAGGTCCTGCACAGCCCCGGTGTTACATCAACGCTACGAAGAATTTCGTTGGTGTGAACGATCCCCCGATCACTCAACCATCTAGCAGCCATGCATCTCGACCATGCTATCCCATGGAACGCAGCAGCAAACAACTTCGCCATTGTGCGAGACAACACACGATACACCCCTCGCGAAACAAATGTCTTCGCACGCGAATCAATCGACGCGGAAAGCCTGCGTCATTTCTGCAGAGTCCTGGCCGACAAGATTCACGAGTTTGGCGTCACAGAGTCCAATAAGATAACACCACTTTCTGAGCAGCAGAGTGACCAGCTTTTCTCGTCAAAAGTCTGCGAGCTTCCAGAATTACTCTTCAACCTGGCACCGCACAGTACCAACTCGCTACGACACAACCCACTCGATACACCTCACCAAAGCTTGCAGTACTGGATTGATCGAGCAAAGACTCATGATTCCTCTGGATACACAACGGCGGACGCTGATCTCGCAGACGCCGTGAAGGCCTTGATAACTGTTTCTGCAGTATCTCCCACAGGTAGAGGCACAACAAGCAACAAACTCGGGCAAGAAGCTTTCGCCGCTGTGTTACGTCTAGCGAAACATCCGGAAGTGCCCTTGCAAGACCTTAACTCTCTACACTGGGGCCACTCTGTTGGCGTGCAGAAAGTGCAGGAAGTGACGTTGCAGATTTATCTGATGATCAACCTCCTCGAAGCGATCCGAGCCAGGTCAGGAACAGACGTTCAAGTTCATATGTGTGAGTTGCAGAGCTTCAGAAATTGGGCGTCGAACGCCTTGGCGGATTTCGATTTTCCTGCTCAGAACCTGATCCATTGGCATTTTTGGCAGATACTTGGGATAACGACGGAGCGTCTTGCAGAGTGGAAAGATCTTGACAAGCTCGAGGTGATTGACCCATTAGCAGAGGAGTCTGTCGAGACTCAATTTACTCTTAGAGAGTATCTGAAGGCGTGTTTTGGCATCTTGTATAGATATGATGTTTTGCAATGTCTGTGGGTTGGAGAAGAGCAGTCAAGGGACATCTGGACCAGTGAGATCGAATACTTCTTCAAGGGATGGAGGGCAGATATTTCGAGTAAGTAGAAAGAAACTCTTATATAAAGCTATCCATTGTGTCTTTTTAGATACCTACCTGGATGGTGGAGCCTGGAGGCAGTACTCTTTTATAGCGAAGAAGACGTTCGGCTAAACGTTGATCCGATAGATGAATGATTGGCTTGATGCCTGAGGCATCAAAAGTTCCCCGAATCCTCGGAATCCAGATTATCAAAGTGATCGACACCTCGTTTAGTCTATGTCCATTTTTCGTCCGATAGCATCATGAAGACCACTAAACACCATGATCAACTCTTGCCACAAGGACAGATTGTTGTTCCGGTTCGACGGCGATTTTGCGGACGTTGTGTAACGAGTTCGTGATTGCAGCGGAGTTCGATCTTAAGCTAGCTCAGAGGGATTGGGCTACTGATTCATCGTTGAGTCAGCGTGGCTTGGAGGGCGTTCTTGGACATGCATATCTGTTGTGACAGCTTGGCATCACTGTGTAGTGGTTGGGTGGCCTGACCTTGCTCTCTTCGCGAAAGCGCAGAATGGTCCAGTTCGCGCGCTACGGCACAACACCATCGATAGAGCTGCTTTTGGCTCCAACACCCGAGCGGCACAACAGTTTCGCTTGCTCGACGATCTCGACGAAGGCGTCATTCTTGCGATACTGATCTCGCCTCTTGCACACTTCAGGCAAGCCTAAGATGCCAAGCAGTCGGAAGGACAAGTAGACCTGCAGTAGCTCCAAAGCGTCTGCTTTGCAAGCATCCTTCGGATTGCAAATGGATCTAGCCGCATACGTCAAGTTAGCGAATCCGAGAGCCTATTCTGCTGCCGAGTTGTAGGTGTTTGGTACACTTGATGGGTTGCAGAGATGGTAGACCATGAATAAGCCATGGCGAGAGCCAAAAGATAAATAGAGGCGGGCAGACCTCGAGATTTGTTCTTGCTCAACAACAGCAATCGATCAATTCAATCACATGAAGTCTGCAAAGTCTGTCCTCAGTCAGCTCTTGCATCCAAACAAACATCATACATCGAGACCAAGCAGTACCATGAAGGGAGTCGTCTTCGAGAAGCAGGGCGCTGAGCCCAAGGTTGGGAACATCGATGTCCCAAAGCCAGGACCAGATCAGATCTTGGCCAAGTCCATCTATGCGGCGATGAATCCAGTGTGAGTATTGAACTGTCGTATTCGTCGGCTTGAGGCAACGCTGACTTTGTCGTAGTGATACAATGATCCCAATGATGGGTCTCCTCGTCCAATCCTGGCCAGTCGGTCTTGGCTGCGATGCTGCAGGCATCGTCGTCGACGCGGGTAAAAATGCCGCGAAGAAGCACGGCTTCAAGGCTGGAGACCACGTCTTTGGCTGCACTCGTCCAGGAGACATCCGATATGCCACTGGCAACGAATACTTCTTGATGGATGCGTTTGCTACGATGCGCAAGCCTTCGAACATCACATTTGCTCAGGCTTCGACGTCCGGTTCCGCTCTTCAGACTTCTGCTCTGGGTCTGTTTGAGGGGTTGAAACTGGCGGTCCCAGACCCCAAGGCTGCACCTGCCGACCGCAATGAGTGGGTTCTGATCCTCGGCGGCTCTGGCAGTGTCGGGAGCGCTGGGCTGCAACTCGCTCGAGCAGCTGGGTACAACGTCATCGCCTCCTCCTCGCCTAGAAATTTCGACAAGGTCAAGGGCCTCGGTGCGAACGCAGTCTTCAATTACGGAGACTCAATCGAAGACCAGCTCAAGGCTGTCCAAGAAGCAACAGGCGGCAACATCGGCCTCATCTACGATGCCACATCCTCCGACGACCCAAAGATCGCCAGAGAAGTCTTCAAGAACTCATCGGCAAGTACAAAGCTCTTCGCCACGACCAATGACTGGAGTGGTGTCCCTGATTTTGAGGGTGGAAAGACGTATGAGATCCATCTGGGTCGCCTGGGTCAAGATACCGAGGATGCGAAGCCGATCAACGAGGCGGCCATCAAGTACAACCCGATCATCCAGGATCTGCTTGCTAGTGGCAGGGTCAAGACTCAGGACTATGAGGAGATCGGAACTGGTGGCTTCGAGGACGCCATCAAGGCTTGGAAGCACAAGGGCGATGGTCGTAAGGTGATTGTGAAGATTCAGGATGAGTAGAGCTTGAGATGATTTGGTTTGAAAGTCTTTGTCTTTGGTCTGTCGGTAGCATAGCGAGAATAGCGATCGTTTCCACCTGTATTTTGTCAGTCCCTCTTCTAATGATGTGCAACATTCCGAGCAGCCTCATTGCGCTCAGGCTGCATATTCAATGCAGCTGTCCGCGTCGGAATTGTGCCTGCTTTGTTTGCTGGTCTTTCCGCCAAGCACTAATCGCTGTCACTACAACAGCATCGAAACGGGGGTTTCCAACTTCGACCTGTCACTATTCCTTGCGATACTGATACCAATGGAACGAAGGTTCAGGGGCACTTGACGCCGTCACCTTCTTCGGTACATATATGCGTCCGCAGATTGTATCATCTATTCTCGACATCTCTACTATTTGTTACTTCATCATTTCTATCCACAGCTCTTTCCTATAGGCCATGCCAAAGCCTTCCCAAGCGTATTTCATCTCTTTCTCGTCGGAGCATTTTCCGGTATGTCAAAGAACTGGTCGTGTGCTGAGGGTATCAGGAGGGGCGACGTTGCGATGATCTGACTTTGATCACGACGACACCTCTGCATTTCCGTGCCGTAACGTCTTGCCGTGTAGCAAAAAGATGGAGTTGATTGCAAGAGTGGGCTGACCAAGGAATTCGGAGGGCGTATAGCTTCGGAAGGCCTCGGATGTGAGGATTAAGGTATTGATACAACAATGTCTGGGCCTCCACCAATCACGGGCATGATATGACTCCAGCCGGGGCTTCTGTCCAACATGTATTGGGCGCTTGGTCTAGGGGTATGATTTGTATGTGAATGTGGCTTGTAAATCGCTCCTGGCCAACGACTAATTGAAATATCAGTCGCTTCGCATCAAATCAGGTGATTTGTGAAAGGTCGTGGTGGGTTTAATCCTCTTGCAAATGGTTGAGATATTAGTTACTAATGTCTCGAAAGGGTTCAATTCCCACAGCGTCCATCTTTTTGAAGAGGATAAGGGTCGAGGCGTTTGCACGCTCAACTTTTGCCATTCTCGGAGCTCTTAAACGGTTCCTTGAATGGTTGCTGGGTAGATGCAACGGCTTTGTTTTTTTGGGGTGGTTCCAATTCAGAGGCATGCCATTTTCTTCTCGGCGCTGAGTGACTTGCTAGGGGGCCTTTGGACATGGTAGAAGGGGCCAGGAATGTCGTAAATTTTAAGTGCCGTCTTGTAGCAACTGACTATTGATCAGGCGTGCATCAGAAGGAGATCGAAATTTTTGGGGGTAACTCCGCTGGCTGAGCTCCACGACCAAGCGTTCTTACACGGCCCAGCACACCTGCACTCCCATCGAGTTCAAGCCAGAAGTAATAAGAAAAGCTTGGAATCCATTCGGTCGACCCGGAGCATACATCAGAGCAATTTTAATTGGGTTCTTCGACGAGGCGTTGCCTCACAAAGGGCTTTCCAAGGGCGTCGCGGGAGTATTCTGGCCTCTCAGCGATAGGAGAAATTTCCAACAAGCCGTAGGAATGGTATCTTGAGAGATCCGGGGTATAGCGAGGGAGTCGAAAAACATATTGTGTAGGGTTGGCGTGGTGGTCACAAGAAGTCAAGAGGTGAGGTCAAAAATCGCTCCTTCCTAAACGGAGAAATTTCAAAAACAAGCACCATTTCGACAACGACATCAAACATGGAGTCGGCAAACACTCCAGCGCTTCTCCTTCTCGACTTACCCGCGTCCGCTCTGGGCGGTATCGACCTCCTGTCTTTCACCGTCACGCCTCGCTTTCGCGGCGTCAAGGACTTACCATCCGGCTTTCACTTCGCCTTCGCAGGCACCAGCACCGCATTTTCAGAGCGACATGGCCTATGGTTTCGGATACCTAGCAAGAGCGCATCCGATGGCAATCCACTCTTTATCGCGAGGTGGAATGCTGCGACGGAGACGCTTGAGGCAGAGACGGATGAGGCAGAGCGATTGAGGTGGCGAGCGAATTTGGGAAGCATCTGGAGGGAGGGGTTGACGCCATACCGACAAACGACGTCGAAGAGCAAAGCATCTGAGGCGGATAAGGATGAAAATGAGGAAGAAGAAGTCCACGACTGGCCGAGTCTGACTTCCGCCATCAGCGAGGCGCTGCTGTCCACGATTACGGTAGGAGATTCGAATCACTGGCACCTCACATCTGCGAGTTCTGCCAGGCGAGATCTGGAAGACATTCCAGGTCTGGATGAGCAAGACAAGGAGGAACTTCAAGCCGACAAGGAACTGCGCCTACTACCCATCGACCTCAAGCAAACATGGAGAGAGGGCGCCACTGGACGAGAGCGCACCGATGCAGCCCAGGATCGCTCGTGGGCCCTCGAGCACCTGGCTCGGGAACACTGTGATGATCAAGACGTCGAAGAGCTGATTGGAGAGCTGCAATTCTGCTTTCTCATGATCCTCACCATCAACAACTTCTCCTGTCTCGAACAGTGGAAGCGGATTCTGACGCTCATCTTCACGTGCAAAGCCGCTGTCTCGGAACAGTCTGACTTCTTCATCAAAGCTATTGCTGCTCTGAGACTACAGCTTCAGCATTGCAAGGATGCAGAGGGTGGTCTGATCGATCTTGCAGATGAGGGAGGATCACTTCTCAAGAGCCTGCTTGTGCGATTTCGAAAGGGCTTGGAGGGAATGACTGGCACTGGCATAGCTGATGTTGTCGATGAGCTGGATGACTTGGAAGACTACCTTCGACAAGAGCACGGCTGGCAATTCGGCGGCACTTTCACTCGCTCAGGGGTACTTGAGCTGGAAGACGGAGAGCAGGTACAGATGGAGAGCACGGCATACGACGAAGATGACGAGACGGGGGAATTCGCACCGCAGATTGTGGAGCTGACGCCGGAGCAGGCGAGGCAGTTGGGCATCACGCCTGAGGAGGCGAAGGACCTTGCGATAGGACTGAGCAGGGCAAGGTTGACGGATGGGGATCGGGTGGCGGATGTTGTCCAGGAGGAGGGCAGTAGTGATGACGAGGAGGAAGAGGAAGTACACAGGCATGAGGATGAGAGTGATGATGAAGAAATGCAAGATCTGGATGAGATGGACTCTCGGTTCTAGCGCAGGGCAAGGACCTCAGGTTACACAGAGACATACATCTACCTCGCCATCCTCCATATCACCTGCAAACCACCACACGACTAGTCGAATCCCATTGTCGTTTGCTCTTTGTGTGTTTCAGGACATGAAACACCCTCTAGCGTTGTAGACATGACCAGAGTCAGTATATGTTGACACTGGTCTTGCCCAAAGACAAGTCTCACTCACTATCATCAACCTCCCCTACGTCTTCGACTTCAAACTGCTCTCCTTCTTCTGCTCAACACCAATCCCAGTCACAAGCTCTGCTGAAGTTCAAGCTGGTCTCGGAACTCTTGAGTAGCACTCCCTAGTCTGCAGCCTCGCCAACACCCAGTCGACGCTCACTTGCGAACGATCTTGCACGTTCGAGCTGGTCTCGCAACCCCTTCGCAGCACCAGAGGCCCAGTTTCAAGTTATACCGTCGAGCTGGTCTCGACACCCTTTCGCACCTTCCATCACAACCCCCAACTGCAAACCCGTCACCGCAGCAACCAGCACCCTCAAAATGCAGATTGAGCCCACCTGCGACGCTTTCACCATCATCGACCAACAATCACCCGAACACCCTTACCCAGCACCAAACATGACCGCCGACCCTCCAGCTCAAGCATCCCAGCCCCAGCTTCCAGGCCTCGCCATCCCAGGAACTCATCACCCCCCGCGCATGCATCCTCCTCATTCAACATCTTTATCTCGACCAGCCCCACGCGGACGCCGCGATATCATTTCGTGGTCTGCAGATCTTCCTTGCGGCGAGCGGTGGATGCTGCCGTACAGCAGGAGCGCGAAATGGAAGTGTAGGTTTGGCAGAGCGGTTAGGTGGGTTGAGCGGAAAATTGTGAGGGATGTACCGCCATTGTAGGGTGCTACTTGGGAGACTTGTAGAATTTGGAGACAGGTGGAGGACGAGTGAGGGCAGAGCAGGGTGAGAGAAACTGTGATGTGTGAGTTGTTTGTCTTTGTTTGCGAGAGTGGCTGCCAGGTCAAATTTGAGATTTGCTGGCTGTTTGGATAGGGCGGGCGGTTCGAAGTGAGTACAGCTGAATGCAATGGTCTTCGCAAGTGTGAGAGTGTTCTCGGTGTCGACGATTCAAAATTCTGAATTGATCATAGCTTGGTATCTGACTTATTATGTCGGTATTCGTAGTGCCAGTCACTCCTGGCGAGGTCCGATCGCACTTGATAGTTCTCCTCGGCGTCTTCCACGATTTGCATATCCAGATCCACCACGGCCATGCCCTCTGCGGCACTGCCGAGTCTGGTCAAAGCTCCCGCATACGGTACGCACACTTGTGATAGACCTGCGTAGCCTTTGCCTGGTGGACCACCCGCGTTTGCGAAGACGATGGCTGGGAATCTGTCAGCATCGAAGTAGCATGATAGAGTTCATACATACCGCAAGTGTTCTCAAAAGCTCTTGCTGTTAGCATGCTGTCCAAGAACAGCCCTTCAGATACAGGGTTAATCGCAAGGCCGGCCTTCGAGCAATCCGTCAACGTCCAGAAAGTCGGTATGATAATGATCTTGGCGCCCTGGGAGATCATCTCCCTGAAAGCCTCGGGAAATGCGAGATCCCAGCAGATGAGCATACCAACCTTTCCCAGCGGAGTGTCGAACACAGGATGAGGATCATCAGAGCTGGAAGTGAGGTGTAATCGCTCAATGTCTCCCCAGAGGTTCTTCTTTACGTACTTGCCAGCAATCTCACCCCGATCCGTGATGAAGTAAGCAACATTGAGCAATCTTTCGTCCTTCGTGCCTGCATCGTGGAGCTCGACCAGAGTACCAGGGACAATGTTGATGCTGCACTCGTTCGCAAGGGCCAGATACTTGTCCAGATAAGTCTTCCAATGTGCGCAAGCATCCTTGAATCCGGGATCGTGAGGGTACCAGTTGAGAAGGTGGTATTCGGGCAGGACTGCAAGTTCGGCACCTTGCTTCGCTGCTGCTCGGACGAAGTCTGCGGCGACGTTGAAATTTCGTTCCATGGCCATGGGCTTGTGATGAGTTTAGTCAATGTAGTACTGCTATGATTGCTTGTGATTTAGGACAACCTTTGGCCACATTTGAATGACGGCTACTCGATATACCGGAGCCATGATGATCTCGTTTTTACAGTATGGTATCCCTTTCTATTCTCTGAGATGGACTCGCCGTAAGTGGTCTTGTGTGGGATTGGGACTGTGAGAGCGCGGTTGTTTTGAGTTATTCGAGTATTACCAGGTTTTTGCAATTGTTTCGATGAGGACAGCAGTCAATGCGAGGCAAAGATGACATGTGACGATCTTTGTGGTGAAGTCGGACGTCTCGTGCTCGCCCCACCTTCAACTTGGAAGCCGGCGCCAAGAGTTTCGCGGATTTTTGGTGGGCGCCGCAATTTGAACCTCGCCGCCGACGACACGACCACCACCGTCGCATCCACCACCACTTCCGCCACACCGCCAACATGAGTGTGCGACAAGGCCAAGGGTTCCAACAGGGCCAGCCCGAGCGGCCCATCGACGACGACTCGGACGTTGAGGAGGAGGCGCTCGCCAACGACTACCGCGAGCAGGTGGGCTACGAGAATGGCATGGACGACTATGCCCTCGACCGGGCACAATCGCTTGGAGGTGGCACACAAGACTTGGGGGCTCAGTTGCAGGCAGCGGCGACACCACTCGAATACGGCGCATCGATCGAGAACAAGATCCAGAGCTACGACAGCTACTGTAATCTTTTCCACTTCATCCTGAACAGCGACGGACCGGTGGATATCGAGGTGCCTTCGGTAAGGACAGACAGTGATGGAGGCGGTAAGACAAGTGCTAATATTGGGGACAGTACTACTGGGCATGGGATGTCATCGACGAATTCATCTACCAATTCAACTCCTTCTGCGCCTTCCGCCAAAAAGCTGCTTTCCAACCACCAAACTCGAACATCAGCGAAGACGAAGTCGCCGTACTTCGCGAGAATCCGAACACTTGGGGTTGCTACTCAGTCCTCAACGTCCTTTACTCGCTCATCCAGAGGTCACAAATCAGCGAGCAACTAGCAGCGCGGAAGAGGGGTGAAGATCCGGCTCCCTACGCTGGCGAATATGGCAACAGAAGTCTGTACCAGATGCTGGGATACTTCTCCATCATCGGTCTGCTACGAGTACACTGCTTGTTGGGTGACTTCAGCCTCGCCCTCAAGACCCTCGACGACATCGAGCTCAACAAGAAGGCCATGTTCGCCCGTGTCATGGCCGCCAACTTTACGACCTACTACTACATTGGCTTTTCGTACATGATGATGCACCGCTACGCCGATGCCCTGCGTGCCTTCAACCATATTCTCATCTACGTCTCCCGCACCAAGAACTTCCAGAAGGGCGCGCAATACGACAGCATCAGCAAGAAGAACGACCAGATGTACGCTCTTGTAGCCATCTGTGTCGCCTTCTACCCCACTCGCCTCGACGACACCATCCATACTGCTCTGCGTGAGAAGTACGGCGAGCAGCTCACACGCATGCAACGTGGCGGACCAGAAGCACTCCCTATCTTTGAGGAGCTCTTCCGCACCGCCTGCCCGAAATTCATCTCCCCAACTCCACCCGACTTCGACAACCCACACCTCAACCCCGACCCGATCGAGCATCACCTCACCATCTTCATGAACGAAGTCAAGACCAACATGTTCTCGCCCACCGTGCGCAGCTACCTCAAGCTCTACACCACCATGGACTTGACGAAGCTGGCAGGTTTCCTCGAAGTCGATGCGGATACTCTCCGCAGCTGGCTTCTTGTCAACAAGCAGCGCAGCCGCCAAGTCAGACACTCCGAGGGCGGTCTTCTGGAGGGTGACGTGGTGAACTCGAACGATCTCGACTACGCCATGGAGGGTGATTTGATTCACGTATCCGAGACGAAGACTGGCCGGAGGTTGGTCGATTGGTACCTACGAAACTTGGCGAGGACGTATTAGAGATGCGATCCGCCTAGTAAGCAGGAACTCCAGTCTTACATGGGGAAGGACCGGCGTTCAATGGGGCTATGGATGATATGAAAGCATGGAGATGACCGTGCATGGCAGTGCATAGCAAGGCGTTTAGCAGTTACGGGCTGAGATGTGAGAGGAACGCTCTATGGATGAGTGCTCCTCCTTGAAAGTACGAAAAAGTACGCATGAAGAAAGTCTCGAATACCTTGAAACCAAGCCACTGAAATTATCCCACCTACCATCGAACTCCCCAAGCGACAGACTCACCTCTTCTACCTCCTTCGTACCACAAACCCTTTGTCACCCCCGTTTCGACTGCGAAATGACGACCTCACCTTAGCGAACGCTTCAGAAACCCGATTTGACTTACCTGTCCCTTCCTGCGAGCTCGCTCGATCACCCGTATCATTGGTAGGAGTACAAGGCGTGTCAGGAATTTGGTGGATCCCTAAGCCTAATGAAACCCCAGAGCTCCGACCGACTTCCACGCCCTCCCCAGTGAAGTGCACCTGTCTGATGGACTCCGCTGGCGTCGAAGGGGCTGAAGCCGGAGTTGTGCAACTAGGAAGGGAGGGTGATTCCGGGACGTTGTGGACGCCTGACTGACGATGTCTTTCCTGTGCTACCCTTCCTTGAGAGACTAGGATGATGTCTGTGATTGATGGAGGCGGTGTTGATGCCGTTGTGGCAATGGAGGGGGTTGGGGATGCTGGGTATGTGCGTAGGGTTGGGCCTGGGTTAGGGATGGCGGTCTGTCCGTTGGTTGTGAAGGCGATGTGGCGGATTGAGAGGGGTGGTGTTGGTGGTGGGGAGTCTTCTGATGATGTTGTTGCTGGGGTCAATACTGTTGGCGAAGATGGACTAGAGGAGGAGGCAGAGTGGAGTGAAGGAGGGCTGCTACTCAATGCTGCAGTGGACTCGTCATCGATCATGATTTCGGTTGAGTCGTCCTTTGGAACAGTCTTGATTCCTCGTTCGTCGACCCTGGGAGCAGTCGCTTGTGCATTGCACGGAATGATCGGAGACAGCGCAAAGGGAGACGGGGTTCGTGATCGTCGTTGAGCAGGAGGAACCTCAGACTCGAAATCATGGGCTTCCAGTGGAGTGAGGGTATTCTGAGTGGCCACGAACTGAGCAATGGCACCTACATCTTGTTGTTGCATCCACGTTGCCATATGATCGTACGGCAGATTCGGGGGCTCTGGAACGTTCGCGTTAGGTGAGCCTGCCAGGAGGGCGTCGCAGGTGAGGTCTCGAATGAGAGTCGCTGTGTGGACATTGGACCTAGCAGAGCGGGACAGGTGAGTTGTGGCAGCCTGCTGCGACATGTTGCGGTCTTGAGGTGGTTGAGTCTCGGAAGCCTGCTTCTTGAGACAGTATCGGGCTAGTAGTTTGAGATTTCCGAGGCAGGTTGCTGTTGAAAGTCTCTAAGGAGTAGGCGAATGGAGCAAGTGGGCAGAGACAGTCTCACTCGGGCAGTGTCTGCGTATATGTAGCCCTTGGAGTGCCACTAGTTGTCTCTCGAGAACAAAGGCCTTGTATTAGCGTCCTTGGCCTTCTTTCAACGATGCCACCTCCCAGAAGCTTGGTATGGGGATCTGAGGTGTTGCTTGAGTTTGTGTAACAACATGTGTTATCACCCCATCTCCCAGGCATGGGACATACTGCTACTCGCTGGCATGCCTATTGCTCTAGGTTGCCTCCTGTGTCGACTAACAGCCATGTTCATCCAGATCGGGGTGCTGTGACCTTGACCTATAGAGAAGGCCACGAATAACTTACTAACTTCTGCTCCACAGCACAAGCCCGTCCCCGAATATATAGACTTCGCCATGGCATTTCTTGCGAATTTCTTCGGCTTGAACTTAGAATATATAAGATCCACGGCCTATCCGGCTCGTGGTAATGCGTCTTATGCCTTAATCACCATTCCGTCATCGTCCGGGCAATTTCTGCGTCGTGGAGATTTCGCTGCTGGATACTGCTGACTCCCCACGAATACCGAACACACGGGTGGTGTGAGGTGGGAAGTTCTGGACTCACGGGCGGGTTGGTAGCCGCATCCGAGTCGCACTGGGAGACGAGATGAGACGCCCGGCTTGGCGGACTGGTGCTGTTACATTTTACATCTTGGCTTTCACAACGACCTCATCGCCAAGGTGGAAGTCGTTGGTGATATTTAATGAACGTTGCCCGCCGGACCTCAACTGAAATCGCCTTTTCCCTTTCCAGCTCCTCAACCTTCACCTATCCCGCCGCGCTAGTCATCATTAGGGTTTCGGGATCGTCCGAGAGCTCTGACCTTCGGGCTGTGACGTTGGCTCGTGAACTCCGCCGAGTCTTTGAGGCTTTTGATGGTGAGTTCTCTGCTTTTCCTTCTTATCACAACCTAGCGCCTTGCCGGGCATGCTAGCAGCTGCTCAATACTTTCACCATACCTAACAAAATCACAGATCGCTGCAGAAACCAACCAACTCCAGCACACCTCGTCACTGGCAATTCAACCGAGAAGACGCCGTTATCGATTGAAAACAAAATAGTGGCTACGGTGACTTCACAGCGTGGGGCGCTTTTGTGAGAGCGCAGAGAAAACTTACCTACCAGCCCTCTCTCATACGCAACTCGGATCTCATCTTCTCAAAATCACGATCTACTCGATCTCTGAGCACACGCTCTCTCAACCACCTTCTCTCACCTCTCCTCTCACCGAAAATCTGCGACCATGGCGCAAATCACTCTCAGCCCGCCCGCCATGCCAGCCGGTCAGAAGCGAATTGCGGTCATGACCTCTGGAGGTGACTCGCCCGGAATGAGTGCAGCTGTGCGAGCTGTAGTGAGGCAGACGCTGGCCTCGGGGTGTGTATCATATGCAATCTACGAAGGGTATCAGGGTCTGGTAGACGGCGGTGACATGATCAAAGAGATGCAGTGGGAAGACGTACGGGGTTGGATCTCAGAGGGAGGCACACTTATTGGAACGGCGAGATGCAAGGCGTTCATGGAGAGACCGGGACGCTTGACCGCCGCGAACAACATGATCGAGCGAGGAATTGACGCACTGGTCATCTGTGGTGGTGACGGTTCGTTGACGGGAGCAGACAAGTTCAGAGCAGAGTGGCCGAGTCTCTTGGACGAGCTCGTATCGTCTGGAAAGCGGACAGAAGAGGGAGTGAAGCCATACAGACATCTGAACATCGTCGGCTTGGTGGGCTCGATCGACAACGATCTCAGCAGCACCGACGCTACCATTGGATGTTACAGCTCCCTGCAGCGAATCTGTCAAGCGATCGACTACATCGACTCGACTGCCTTCTCCCACCAGCGTGCTTTCGTCGTCGAAGTCATGGGCCGACACTGCGGCTGGCTTGCCCTCATGGCTGGTGTTAGCTGCGGAGCCGATTTCGTCTTCTGCCCGGAGAACCCACCTTCAGAGAACTGGGAATCTGAGATGTGCTCGATCGTCCGCAAGCACCGCGAGTTGGGCAAGCGAAAGACAATCGTCATTGTCGCTGAAGGTGCCCACGACCGGAATCTCAACCACATTTCCCCCACCATGGTCAAGGATCTGCTAACAAACAAGGTCGGCCTTGACACCAGAGTCACCACTCTCGGTCACGTCCAGCGCGGTGGCCCACCCTGCGCCTACGATCGTATGCTTGCCACTCTTCAGGGTGTCGAAGCTGTGAAGGCAGTGCTCGACTCCACACCCGAGACTCCCTCGCCCGTCATTTGCATTGTGGAGAACAAGATCGTGCGCAAGGACCTTATGGAGGCGATCAAATTGACGAAAGAGGTGGCAGCCAACATCGAGAAGAAAGACTTCGCGGCGGCTATGAAGGGCAGAGATGCAGAGTTTGAAGAGTTCTTGCAAGCCTTCAACATCACAACTGCTACGGACAAAACAGACCTGCTCCTCCCAGCAGAGAAGCGCATGCGCGTTGGTATCATCCATGTTGGTGCACCAGCAGGTGGCATGAATGCAGCTACTCGCGCCGCTGTTGCATACTGCCTGACCAAAGGCCACACTCCAATTGCACTGCATAACGGCTTCCCAGGACTCTGCCGTCACCACGATGATGAGCCCCTCGGCTCGGTTAGGGAGATCACGTGGCTTGACGCAGAGCAGTGGGCTTCAAAGGGAGGTTCTGAGATCGGCACCAACCGTGGTCTGCCATCTGAAGACTTCAAGACAACTGCATACTGCTTTGAGAAGTACAAGATTGACGCTCTGTTCGTCGTGGGTGGTTTCGAGGCTTTCACCTCCGTCTCTGAGCTGCGAAAAGCACGAGACCAGTACGATGCCTTCAAGATCCCCATGGTCTGCTTGCCAGCCACCGTCTCCAACAACGTCCCCGGTACTGAGTTCTCCATCGGCTCCGACACCTGCTTGAACGCCCTCATCGACTACTGCGACGCCATCAAGCAATCCGCATCTGCCTCTCGCCGAAGAGTCTTTGTGGTTGAGACGCAAGGTGGTGCCTCTGGGTACATCGCTACCATCGCTGGTCTGTCCATTGGCGCCCTCGCAGTGTACACACCTGAAGAAGGCATCCACTTGAATATGCTTGTCGAGGACATCAAGTTCCTCAAGGACCAATTCGCAAAGGACAGGGGCCACACTCGATCCGGCAAGATCATCCTGCGAAACGAGAAAGCCAGCAGCGTCTACACTACTGAGTTCATCGCGGACTGTATCAAGGAGGAGAGCGGCGGCAAGTTCGATTCGAGATTCGCCGTTCCAGGTCACGTTCAGCAGGGAGGAATTCCTTCCCCTATGGACCGTGTACGTGCTGTTCGTTTCGGTGTCAAGTCTCTTCAATATTTGGAGACCATGTACGGCAAATCCAAGGATGAGATTGCCAAGGACCCAATGTCCGCCGCGGTCATCGGTATTCGTGGTGCCAGAGTCAAGTTCAGCCCCATGGAGAAGATTGAGCGGGAAGAAACGGATTGGAAGGACCGTCGTCCCAAGGATGAGTTCTGGATGTCTCTCGTTAACGTCGTTGACACTCTCAGTGGCCGTCCCAAGGCAAGTCGGTCTGCCATTCCAGGAAGCCCAGGCAGCCCGGCCTTGACCAATGGCAGTAGCAAGTAGATGGTACATCATGAGCGATGAGTAGAGATTAGAGCGTGCGAGTTTGGCGTTGGTGGTGTTTGGAAAGACGGATTGTCGAGTCGAGCGGAGGTTCGGTTGTTGTTGTTGATAGAAGTCCACGATGATGAGACTCTCAACCTTATAATGCCCTGTCATGAAAACACGTTTTGACACCGTGACGCCTTCGCTAAGTCTCTTTCCATCATTCCAAGCGTGTCCAGCTCATGAATCCATCACAAGATCCCGTCATGTTCACCAGGTAATCTCTTAACCCGCTTCTGCTCCCAGTTATCCAGATCCTTCGCCGCCAGTTTCTGCATTCACACCAAATCAGCGATCCATCCACGTCCCCCCTTGTACACCAATATCCGTGAAGATATACTCACATAATACTCCTCCCTCAAATCCACCTTCCTGCGATCTTTCCCAATCCCCAACTCCTCCTCCTTGGTCAACTGCCGCACCTTGCGATCGTAGCGCTCATATCGCAAAGCGGTCGCGGGGGTCAGGAAGAAGGATCCTAAGAGCATGGTTGCGATGAAAGGCAGGCCGAAGAGCGCGAAGGGGTGCCGGGCGAGGGCGGCGCGATACCGGGCGGGGAGGGTTGAGGAGGCCGTGGTGGAGCGGTATTTTTTGGAGGGGAAGACGGCCATTGTGAGGCGCTGGCGGGGAGGGGTGGTGGGTTGTTTAGGGGAGTGGTAGAGGTGGTTGTGAGGTGATAGTGTGAGAGTGTGGTGGATTTAGAGTTTGGGCGATGTGGGGCGGGCGCGACTGCATCTTTTGGACGCGTTCGGGTTTGTGAGTGCCTTCTGATCTTCAACACATCTACTTTTCTAGTTTGCAAACATCGAAGTTGTGACGAGAAGTAGTTCCCAGGAAGACTGCACAAGACCACTGCCGCAGAGTGGTTGAACCAATACCGAACTCTCACCAAATTGGAGACGAAAGCGACTGGGATTCGGAAGCGACCTCGACTGGAGATATCGACATGGGAGACGAGTCGGGACGATGGCTCGCAAGACTGCCGGCGTGAATGGCGTCCATATGAACGGGGACAGTGTGCCTCCAGCATCGACTTTGGCTGCACAGATTGTTCAGAATCAGACTCGGAATGCCGCAAGCCAGCAAGTCCAAGCACCATCCCAGGGACCAGCACCTTCGTTTCAGGACCTCCTGCAGGAGATTCTACACAATCAAGCCGCTGCACAGGAGACTGATATCAATGTCAACGCACAACTCGTCAGCGTTCTGATTCAAGGATGTCTCTCGCCACTCACCTCGGCGGAGAGTCAGAACCCCTTTGTGGATGGCAACGAACTGCTTGACCAGGCAGGCAACAGTATTGCTGTGATTGGAATCACGATCAAGAGGCAACCTGATGTACTACTAACGCAGCTCAGCCAAGATGGTCCTTTATTGCTTCTCGACCTGTTGGCTGCACTCATCCCACTCTGCGGACGGCCGAAATGCGATGTCAAAGGCCTGCTTAGCTCTGCTATTGCGGCTTTCAAGGCCTCCATACATCTCTGGCAGCAAGCGAGAACGGTCCAAGAAGTGATACAAGATTGTGTGGACGGTATGTGACGAGATATCCATGGTAAGTGGACTTTTACTCATTTCTTATTACAGAGACTCTCTCTAGCCTTGAAGCTTTGCCGGCCAGCAGCTCCACTTCGAGCCTCAAATTGCCGCCTGCGAGAAGCGTGAGCAAACTGTGGCCAAACTCAGAGGGCAGCATCACCATGCCGCAGGGCACTAACACCACCATTCACAACCTTCCGCAAGCCTTTGCAGTCGCTCTCGAGCTTGTGCAAGTTACTGGGCTCAACGATGCCTGGCACGATGAGTCTCTACGTCGGGTTCAACAACTGGCGATGAAGTTCAAACAACAGCTGGAAAAGAACGAGTCGTGGGAGAAGCTGCTTGCGTATCTTCTTCATGCACCACAGGGGCGTCCTCTCATGGTCTGCCTCCTTCAGACTGCAGCTACCTCCAAGCTCACCCCGACCGTTCAGTCGATCATGGCCAGAGCATTGATGGAAGCATTGAGATCAAACGCCCAGTCTTACAAAGATGTCCTAAGGCCTGCCCTGCTCTCGATTGCCACCTCTACTTCCTGGCCAGACTTGCACGAAGATCTGAGGATTCCAGTCACCACCTGGTTTTGTCGCTTCTCCCAAACAGACGACGAAGCACCGGAGTCCATCACAGCTATGAAAGATGCGCTTCGCCAAGACAATGTCATGAGCGATAGCGAGCTGATGATAACCTTCCAAGAGCTGAGCGTTGCTCCAGAGTGGGCACCACAGCGATGCCAACGCCTGAGAAAACGACGCAAGCTCTCCGTGGAGCCGAAGGATCGAAAATCATCTATCGAGCATCAAGTCGGCAAGCTACTCATGGGTGTCGATGGTGCAGATCTATCAGCCATGTCAGAAGTTGCACCATCAGTGTATGCGTCTTTGAATGATGATGACAAGTGCCTTGCCTGGCAAACGCTGGCAAATCTGGCCGAAGTAAATACCGCTGCAGCCATCGAGACTGTTATACGCCTCATTGAGCTACCGGAACTACATGACACCAAACGTCCCCGAGTTCTGTCTCTGCTCGCGGCGCGAGCCTGCCTGGAGAGGGCCAGACCGGAAGCCCGGTATTTCTCGCTGAGCCTCTCGACATTTGGCAAGCATTGCCTCTCGTCGCTGCACAGCTCTCTTCGGGAATTGAGAATAGCTGCTGGGCAACTGCTACCATGCTTTCTCAAAGACGACGTGACCGAATCAATCCGAGACCAGAATCGTCAGCTAGCCCTGGAGTATCTCCGCACTCTTTCCGACCGAGATATCGCGAGTGAGCAGGAGACGCTGATATCTGCTTGGGGCCAAGTCGCCCTCTCATGTGGAGAGAGAGAACTCAACCTGGTCCTCCTACGCTTAGTCGACTACCTCGGCCATACCAACTCACTGATATGTGGACTGGCATTTTCTGAGATTGAGACCATTGCTGCCGCCAGGAATCAATCTCTGACAGACTTGTTTCAACCGTTCTGGAGGTCGATCGCGGTCTCCATAGTCCAGGATCTCAATTCGAAGCCGCACAAAGCTCAGCAATTCTGCGATCTTCTTAGTACGGATATCAACAGCTTCTTGGTTATGACTCAACGCGATACTCTTCCGTCGTTAGTGTTGACCAAGAAGAAAGATATCTTGCAGAGAATTGTCGATGCTCGAGGTAGCAAGTCTATCCGCGACATCTGCGCTCAGCCTAGGACCAACCTCGCGGCGATTCTCACGGTTCTGCTCACACAATCTGGGCCCGACACCGAAGAAGCCGCTTTTGCGTGTCTCACCGAGGTCGATGAGGGCTTCAAGAACACCGACCTTTCAGGACTCATCAAAGTTGATTCCGTGTTAGTCGCCAGTGAGCTTCTCAAGCACTGCGGTGAAGAGAGCGAAAGCAGGAAGTCTCGAGCATACCAAGCCTTTCAGACTTTCGCCAACATCGAGCAAGCCGCACCTGGTCAACGCAAAGCACATTCGAAATCTAGTCGTGCTGTCAGCGCCTTCTTTGAAAGGTACATCCTTGGTATTCTGACGCTGTTCTCGACAGTGCTTGAGAGTGGATCTGGCGGAGAGTCCACTTCAGAGAAGATACGATGCCTCAAGGCCATGGCTGAGATCTTCTTCCTTACCAAAGGCAATGTGTCTACGGCACTTCCGCAGATCCGTGCCTGTCTCCAATCTGGACTTGAGCAACCTGAGCTCTGTCGAGTTGCATACGCCGCGTGGCTATCGCTCTTACCTCTACTTCCAAGCGAGGATATCGTCGACATCGTCGACGAGACCTTTGTAGTCATTGCGAGACATTGGTCGTCACTTTCACCAGAACTACAACAGCAGACGCATGGAATGATTGAACAGCTCGTCAAGACGCACAACACAGTCCTGCAGGAGAACATCATGACACTACCTTCCTTGAAAGGTATCTCGCTTCTGTCGAAGTTTGCTGCAGAGTTTGAACGCCTCAAAAACCAAGAGAGCGTGGAGAGTCACATCCGAGCTTTCACCAAGCGGATTCGAGTCGACAGTGATACTGTGGTGTTTCAAGCGCTCACCGAGCTCGTACCGTTCCTAGAAGCTCAGCAAGACTTCATCCACGATGAAGCAGCCAGTGAGCACCCGCCTGCAATCCTGTCAGAACTACTCCGTGCGCTGCTTGATGTCACTGTCAAGTATTCCAATAGCGATGCCAAAGCGTCCGAGATGTGTGGCAAGGCGCTGGGTATCGTTGGTTCAGTCGATCCAAATCGCGTGGAGGCCACTAGGAAGAAGAGGCAAATACTGGTACTTTCGAACTTTGATCGTGCGAACGAAGTCATCGATTGGGTGATGGCTCTATTCGAAGATGTTTTAGTCAAGGCCTTCAAGTCCGTCAGCAACTCGAGAGCTCAGGGGTTTCTCGCCTTTACTATCCAGGAGCTGTTGCAGTTTTGCAATTTTGGCGAACTCTCTGCTCTACGGCCCCGAAGCACTCAAGCCCCAGATGCCAATCAACGCTGGTACGATTTGCCGGAGCACGTCCGCACCACCTTGACCCCTTTCCTTACATCGAGGTATGTTGTGACCAGCAACAGCACTGTCAGCGCACCCAACAGACAGTACCCGGGCTTTTCTCCAGAGACAAGCCACGCTCAATGGCTGAGGTCATTGACGTACGACTTGACGTTCAAGGCCAATGGCGATAACGCAAAAGCTGCATTCCCGATCGTGGCAAGAGCTGTCAAGGGATCTGACATCGCCGTCGCCCGGTTCGTCTTGCCATACATCGTGCTCAACGTTGTCATTGGAGGCATTGTCAAGGAAGCAGAGGGATTGGCGGCTGAGTTCCTGGCTGTCCTGAAAGCAACGTCATCCGTCCCATCGCAGCAAGAATGTATTCGTCTTTGCAGTGAAAGTGTCTTCTCAGTCTTAGACTATCTCTCGACTTGGCTGCGAGAGAAGAGAAAAGAGTTGGCAGAGACGAGGAATACTGCCTACAAGACCGGCATCTCACCTAGCGAATTTGACGAGCTGCGTGACATGGGCCAGATCGAGACTGTCGAGAACTTCCTCAACTCAATACCGGCAGATGTCATTGCCAATCAGGCTGTCGAGTGTCGATCGTACGCGCGAGCGCTCTTCCATTGGGAACAACACATCCGACAAGAGCGTTCCCTCATTCCTTCTGGCCGACTAACTGACCAACACGAAGCCTTGTACGACCGTCTGCAGGACATATACTCACAGATTGACGAGCCTGATGGATTGGAGGGAATCGCTGCCAAGCTACCAATCATCAGCGAAGAGCAGCAAGCGATGAACCATGCGAAATCAGGACGCTGGACTGCGGCCCAGGCATGGTATGAGCTCAACCTGGCGGATCACCCTCTAGACGTTGAGCTGCAATACCATGTCCTGCGTTGCTTGAAAGAGACTGGACAGTATGCACCGCTATTGAGGTATGCGGATAGTTTTGTGGACTCTGCAGTGGACGACAACCATCACCGTGCGGTGATCGACGCACATCTTCCTATGGCAGCTGAAGCATGTTGGATGACTGGTGACATGCATGGCCTTCAGAAACGCTTGACTCTTCAATCCAGTGAAGACAATCTGGCTTTCAACGTTGGCATTGGACGCTCGCTGCTTGGCGTGGTGAACACCGAAGGGGACGACTTCCTCAATGAAATCCGATTTCTGCGAAGGTCCATCACGGAAGGACTTTCAATGGCTGGAACCGATTCATTGCACGTTTGCCACGGCGAATTGGTCAAACTGCAAGCCCTATATGAGCTTGAAGCTTTGGCGACTGCCAACCCTGGCCAAGCGCCTGCAACCTTGAGGTCCCTTAGGCATGGTCTCAACGCGATGGGCTCGTACGTGCAGGACAAGCAGTACGTTCTTGGTATACGACGCGCTGTCGTGAAATTGCGGCAGGTAGATTTTGAGGAAGCACATGCCGGAGCTCTCTGGTTAACAACGGCGAGACTCGCTCGCCAGTCCAAGAACACCAGCAGTGCCTACAATGCGGTGCTCAAAGCCTTCGACTGTGGAGATCGGGGTGCTAAGCTCGAGGAAGCAAGACTGCTTTGGCATGATGGTCATCAGCGGCAGGCGATCCAGTCTTTGGAGGCCGCGATCGAGTCTGGCATCTTCAACGAACCTGACGCTGACCCAGATACCGCCATGGGTAACGGAAGTGTTAGCGTGAGCACTGCATCTGGCGAAATAAATGGACATAGACAGGACCCGCTCACAGGAAAGGCGCTGCTGATACTTGCCAAGTGGCTTGATGCATCTGGACAGAGTCAGACGAAAGACATGACTGATCGGTATCAAGTCGCAGCGAGACGCTTCCAACGCTGGGAAAAGGGTCACTACTATCTCGGCAAGCACTACAGCAAGCTCATGGACGCCCAAAAGGAGCAACCAAGAGACAAGCAGTCGCAGACTTACCTGACGGGCGAGATGACGAAACTTGTTATTGACAATTCTCTTCGCTCGATCCCGTTTGGCAACAAGTACTGGCATGAGACTATTCCGAGAATCCTGACGCTCTGGCTGGAGCTTGGAAACAATTCAATCTCGCGAGACCGACACGAAGACCAAGGGACATTCGACAAGCGTGTGAAGTCTTTGCAGGCGTGCAACAGGCAACTGCAGAAGTACTTTGAACGAGTGCCGGCGTATGTGTTCTACCATGCGCTCCCTCAGCTGATCTCCCGTATCACGCATCCACATCCTGAGGTCTGGAAGCAGCTATGTAACATTTTGACGAGGATTGCTTCATCACATCCAAGTCAAGCGCTGTGGAGTCTCTTGGCTGTAGTCAAAGCCAGAGACAAAGGACGTGTTGAGAGAGGCACCGAGATTCTCAACAAGCTCAAAGATCCCAAGAACAAGCCGAAGAATGCCGATCATTCTGGCTCCGACCTGCGGACTCTCATCTCACAGGGCCAGAGACTCTCTGATGGGCTGTTGCAAGCATGTGAGCAGCCCGTGGAACCTCGTGCAGTGAAGGTCAGCCTGCAGAAGAATCTACACTTCAACCACAAGCTGGCGCCAAGTCATCTCGTGGTACCTATCGAGGCGACACTCACAGCGTCTGCACCGAGTAACGCCAATGCTGAGACTATCCGACGCCACAAAGCATTTACGCAGGACAAGATCACCATCCAAGCTTTTACCGATGATGTTCTGGTGCTCAACTCCCTCCAGCGTCCACGCAAGATCACTGTCCGTGGCTCGGACGGGAAATTATATGGACTGCTGTGCAAGCCGAAGGACGATCTGCGAAAAGACCAGCGTCTGATGGAGTTCAACGGTATCATCAACCGAGCACTGAAGCGCAACACGGAAAGCAGCAAGCGACGACTGTACATCAAGACGTATGCCGTCACTCCTCTAAGTGAGGAGTCGGGTACCATCGAATGGGTTGAGGGAATCAAGCCGATAAGAGACATCTTGCTGAACCTCTACAATCGCAAAGGTATCCGACCAAACTACAACGAGATCAAGAAGGACCTCGACGTGGCTTCGTCTGCTCAAGACCATGCACATGTCTTTGCAGACAAGGTGTTGTGTCAATTCCCACCTCTGCTCCATGAATGGTTCACCGAGACATACCCCGAGCCGGATGCGTGGTATGCCGCGCGGTTGAGGTACGCACGCTCAGCAGCAGTCATGTCCATGACTGGACATATACTCGGCCTGGGCGACCGTCACGGAGAGAACATTCTCCTCGAAGAGAGCACTGGTGGTGTGTTCCACGTCGACTTCAACTGCCTTTTCGACAAAGGTCTCACGTTCGAGAAGCCAGAACTGGTGCCTTTCCGCCTCACACACAATATGACAGATGCCATGGGTCCATACGGCCACGAAGGCCCCTTCCGCAAGTCCAGCGAACTGACACTCGGACTCCTGCGCCAAGAGCGTGATACGCTCATGACAGTGCTCGAGACGTTCCTTTACGATCCGACGACAGACTTCGTCGGTAACAAGAAGAAGCGATCGACGGCGGGAGTGCCAGAAACTCCGTCTGAGATTCTTGAGAGCGTCTCTACGAAGTTGAAGGGATTGTTGAGGGGCGAGACAGTCCCTTTGAGTATAGAGGGGTATGTGGATGCTTTGATCCAGCAGGCGACGGATCATTTCCGGCTGGCGAGCATGTATATTGGTGAGTACTTTATGCCCTTATTTGTTTGATATTGGTAGTGTGTTTTGGATACTGACTGTGTTCTAGGTTGGTGTTCGTTCTTGTGAGAGTATGATAACCATGTAGAGAAGTGTGACGAGGAGAGCTGTCCTTCAATCGGAAGCAGAATACCCGTGGCACATCCAATAACACAACCTTCCTATTAAAAACTGATTACGCGCCTGTCTTTGAAGAGGGCAGTGCAGGTCTGTCGTCTGTGCATTGTGGCTGCAGATATTTGCTGCACTTGAGCTTCCAATCAGCTCGACGAACTTTGCTTGACCGGTTCCGTCCTCACTTCACTTGAACGGGAGTCTGGACGTGTAATCTTCATCACATCACTGATTGTGTGTTGACCCTTTTTCTTTTGACTGAAATGGGATCTTCATCGTGCCTGACGCTCTTTTACAGGCAGAACTTGAGAGAACCTCCCCTCTTTCGATGTTGAGGCTTTGACGACGAGTCTATCTTGAGCCTTCGCGGCTTTTTTGCAGCCTAACTTGCTAGATCCTTGTCTCAGAACCCTTTCCACGACATGGCATCCAAACTGATTGACTCGTGGTGGTTCGGCGATAGACCCCGCGACATACCCTTCTGGCTGCGCGATACCTATCCAGTACTGAGGGACCCTTCCGGCATCGAGGTCGTGTCGAGCATGGAAGAACTGACCGATCATCATCAAAAGAACGATCGACCAGGCGACTCGGCCATTTGGGCATTCCAGATCGAACAGTACATCGCCCGCAAGTCGGGTCTATCACAGCCAAGCCCAAAGGCGGTGACTGTTGCCTCCGCTGATGCATACCGCCCAACAATGCGAAATGAGGCACGAGTCTTCGAACTACTTCCGGCAGTATCGCAAGAAGAGCTTCGCGGCCGACTGCACTACGTCAATCTGGATTTCGAACATGGTAGCCTTGATCTGGACCTCGTGGAATTCGTTGGTGGAGATCCTAAATTTAGGCCTACCAGCGGTGTCTACCGGCCTCAGATTGGGCGCAGGGCGGATTTTGGCGTCTCCATGCAGTTGTTGAAGAAGATCTCGTACACTGCGGTCAGCTATGTCTGGGGATCGGGAGAGTTTTTGCACGTGGTCAAGCTGCCTAGTCATGACCTGGCAGTCACTGCGACGGTCGATACTATCCTAAAGCGCTTGCGTGGAGAAACGAGTTCCGTCTTCCTGTGGATTGACCAGATTTGTATCGATCAACGAAGTCTGGACGATAAAACTGCCCAGGTGCAGCTCATGGGCACCATCTACAAGAAAGCGAGGAATACCGTCGCATGGCTTGGAGACGAACCTGATAATGGGGCGCTCAGAGCTCTTCAAGGCTTGTACGAAGCCACGATGGGCCGTGATGAAGATCTGCTTGAGGATGAGCTGGAATATCTTCGACACCCGCTGAACGAAGAAGCAGACACCTTCGAAAGCCTCCTAAAGCTTTCCAATCGAGCGTGGTTTCAGAGGACGTGGATCGTGCAGGAGGCGATCTTGTCACATTCCCTATTCCTTATGATTGGATCTGAGACTGTCCTTTGGGATGATTTCGGCGGGCAGTGCGCGAGTGTTGACCATCTCGACTTGTTTGAAGATTCGAATGCACATGTTGGAAGTGGTGTCCGGGCCATACGCAACCCCGGACTGAAGATCGCCGCTGAAATGAGGCCTGCCAGAGACATGTGCTTTGGACTTAATGGGAGCGAGTCACTGCTGAACTGGCTTATGAGGACCTCTTCTATCAGGTCACAGCAGCCGCTATTAAGGAAGTTCAAGCTACGATTGCGAGGCGTGCGATGGTAGATGAGAATCTAAGCGTCGTACAGCATGATCTGACGCGGATACTGGACGCCGTGGATCATGACCCTGAGCTAAGCCATCTGCCTTCGTGGGTCGTGGATTGGTCTCTCCCAAGGCGGACTATCTCTTTGGCACCCACGAGTTCTGTGTTGTCAATTTACAAAGCTGGAGGGGACTTGAACATAAAGACAGCATTCCACACACCCGACGAACAGGGTCGTCTGGGACTCAGAGTGGCCTTCTTCGACACCATCGTTGATCTATCCTCTCCCGTCACGGATGCGTCATTGACGAATCAAGATCCCATGAATCACAATACCGGCTTGAAAGAAGCAATCTTATTCGTCAATGAACAAGATACCTCACATGTCAACAACTTCTTCGACATCTTCTGCACAACGCTAGTAGCAGGCAAAGACCGCTCCGGCATGCAAAAGCTCCCCAAAGAATACATCGAGATCCTCAGCCTGCTCTGCGACGAAACCACAGGCCGCAAACCCTCACTTCCACAACAAATCTACACCCCCCGGCAATCAAAAGGCTACTTCACCCTCTCGAGCCTGAGCAAACGACAGCCCGGCCGCACGTTCCAGAATCTGAAGCGGGCGTTTCGGAATGCGATGCTCAACAGGCGGTTATGTTGGACTTCAAGGAGCCATTTGGGACTGGTGCCGAGGTTCGCTCGGGGAGGGGATGAGGTTTGGGTTGTGCCTGGGCTTGCGGTGCCTTTTGTGGTGCGGAGGCGTGGGGAGGGGCGGTTTGTGCTTATTGGGGTGGCTTATGTTTGTGAGGTGATGGATGGGAGGTGGATGAGGGAGCATGAAAGGAAGGTGGAGGATGTTTGGCTGGTCTGACTTTGTCATCGATCTGGAGTCGGATGCTGCGCATCGATAGGCGTGTATTCTCCCGGTGATCTTGGCAATGGTAATCTCAGCCTCTGTCGAAGGTTGTCCACCGGTCACAGGCTCGTTCAACATCCTGTCCTGCACGCCACGACAATGTGGCAGGCCTTTATGATCGCGACACAGTTCCAGCCAAGGCCTCTACCCGCGCAGCCCACAATGTCAAGCAAATTGGCACGCTTGCTTCCGGCGATTCGTTCAATCCCGGCGATGCCTTGCACGCACTCTCAGCTGAGGTGAATTCTTTCGGCGACAAACACCGCATTGGCAAGGCCTCGCCGATACCTGGTACTTGTCCACCCTCAAAGTTTACGGAGCAGTTCCATACGATATGTTGTTCGATGATATACCAGATGGTATTACAACGGAGTCGAAGCTGGCATGTCCGACGGTGCATCGACTTTCAGAAGACGTGGATCGGAATATCGGCGACTTTCGGAGAGCGGTGTGGGAGTACACACTACGGCTCTTGAAGCCAACGTCAAACGCACATTAAAACACCTGCGGGCCTTCTAGCTATGGGCGGGCACAATTGACCCGTACCAGTCGGATCTCTTCCTGGGTCTCATTCTCACTCGCTGAGCGTGCCAATCCCATGATTTTTCATAAGGTGCTCCGGATGATTGGCTGTCGTTTGCTCCACATAGAGGCACCAGCGGTCTCGACTCTTAAGGCAAGAGTGACACGGCTGTCTGTGCTGACGAAGACGGCGTTGTTTGCGATCCCACTCTAAAGTTCGTTCGCCTGAATTGGACCTGGAATTGCCACAATGGCCTTGGTCTGCAGGTAAAGCGAAGAACGCTGGCTGAGAAGCAACAACACTGTCCCGATACAGCAGACTGCCATGATGGATGGCGTGCAGAACGGGCCGATTCGCATACTTTTTCTCGCTGTGGCTTCTCCTGTGGCTTCTCCGTGCTGACCCTTGAACATTGTCGAAGGCTGCAGCCTCAACCCAAAACGGCATAGCTGCCCTGAGAAATCAGCCTTGGCTGAGCCATACTAGCAAGCCGGGGAGACCGGCTAGGGATGGCGAGCGAGTTGGTCCTGCATCGAGCTAACCTGCCTTGGTCAATGCAAAACCACACACAATGACGAGCTGCGCCGTCTCGCCGCAAAGCTGCATACAACCTTTGCAAGACCGCTCGAGACTTGTGACCATCTGCGGGTGATCTCTTGGGATAGGCGAGCCTAGTCTAAGAACGACCATGCCTGGATGCAGATGCAGAGCTAAGTGGAAGCCAATGGCCCATATACCCTCGCTCTTGAAACCTCGAGCTGCTGGCTACGCGCGCTTCAATCACGCCCCTCCTCAACAGCTGTATCGTGACGTATATGGAGACGGGACTTCGTGGAAGCTGTTGTGTCCTTAGTATGATCTATTTGACCGTCAATCGAGCAGTGATCCCGCAAGTTCGTGCAAGCTCCCAATCTCTGTCAACAACCACCATCTAGCAATGAGAAGTTGCACAAGTCTCTTGCCATTATTGGCACTCAGCGGCGTATTCGCTAGCAGAGTGTACCGTGACCTCAATAATGCCGATTGCTCCATCTATATCGACGCTGCTCAGCGTGGACGACAACGGACAGATGCGCTCAGCTCTCCAGACTCGATTCAACACAAAGAACGCCTCCGCCAGAAGTTCCCGCAGACCAACAGCCATGCCCTTGGAGAGTATGAGGTAGATCTCGGGTACCAAGTTCACCAAGGCTTCCTATCGTAACTTTATTTCCTTCATGCATCATACAAACACTTACAAGTATACAGAAAGATGGCAAATTTGTCAAGTTTTCAAACATCCCATATGCGGCCCCTCCTATTGGTGACAATCGGTTTGCGCGTCCTGGAACCCCTGAGTACAATAAGACCAAGAACGACGGCTCCAGGAGTGCGATATGCCCCCAGTATCAGGTTGGATGGTATCCTGCCGCTGAGGAGTTTATCGAAGATATGTTGCTGATTCCGGCCTTGCCCTCAAAGTGGACCAAGAAGATCAACGTCGACGACTATGAGAAGCTCAACCCGAAACAAGAACTCGATCCGCGGTGTAAGTAGACATTCAGTCATCGACGCGGATAGTTCTAGCGCTGATCTAAATCGCTGTAGCGAGCGAGGACTGTCTACTGCTTGACATATCTGTTCCCAAGCATGTGTGGGATTGTCGGGGAAAGAAAGGGCGGTTTTCGGCTGCAGTTCTCGTCTGGTACGTATAGCGAAGACTGAGTGCCAAAGCATCGTCTCTCGGCACTATTTCGCATCGACACAAACTGATAATTTGCCAGGATACATGGCGGCGGGTGAGTTGTCATTGTCGCCCCATCCATTTGCTCTTACTCAAACTGCGTGAAAGCTACATCTCCGGCTCAAAGGACGACATCGGTAACCCGGAGAGTTTGCTGAAGACTGCAGATAATGAGGAAAATACTGGGGTTATCCACGTAAGTGTTCCAAGCGGAGACCCACCGCCCTGGCTCAAATCACTTCACAGGTTGCATTCAATTACCGACTGGGAGCGTTCGGCTTCCTTGGTGGTGGGGATCTGATGGATGAATATGGGACGCCCAATGCAGGTCTGTGGGACCAAAAGGTATGAGGTTGCCGGAGAAATATCACTGCATCGCTGACTTTGATTTGGCAGCATGCAATTGATTGGGTTTTGGATTACATCTGGGACTTTGGCGGAACTGCCGAGAGGTACATCAATGTTCGACTGATTTTGACCCGTATAATGAATACTTACCTCGATACAGAATGACAGTGATGGTACCGTGCTCGGGTTGTAGACAATGAAACTTAATCGTTAACCAAAAATAGGGCCAGGGCGCAGGTGCGTCGTCTATCCTGCACCACATTACAGCAGGGGGCGGGAAAAGTAAAGATTTGAAGCCCAAGTTCAACAAGGCAATCCTACACAGTCCGGCTTTCTTCCCACAGCCCAACGTCACTGTGGACGATATCAACTACAAGACGTTCCTGAAGCTGAGCAACGCCAGTACACTTGACGAGCTGGTCCAAAAAGACACCAAGAGACCTATGTGGGCCAATGCCAACATGGTACGTCGTTCTGCGTCCTCGCCCACTCCTTGTGAAATCACTCGTTAGGGGATCCCCCTCGGCGATGTGCCGAGTGAGATCTAGATTTGGCATATGCTAATTTATTTGAGGAAATAGACATACAGCAGCAGTTACGGGGGCTTTCGGTTCGGCCCTACGATTGACAATTTCTTCGTACCAGACTTGCCTGGGAAGCTACTCAAGAAGGGCTCTTTCTGGAAGGGTATCAGCCTCCTGCTTGGGCATCAAGAATTTGATGGATTGCTCTTCACTCCTCCGGTAAGCTTGCTCCCAGTTCTCAACAAACGTTCCGCGATGTGCGCCTAACTGATGTTTGTGGCGAAGTGGATACGGGACAACGCTCAACTTCGCGAGCATGTCAAGTCCCTCTTCCCGTCGGCGAACGAAGCTGTTCTGGCTGAGGTCGATAAAAAGTACAAAATCTCCGGCGATATGGAGCCGAAGTCTCAGATCTTTACGGCTTCTGACTTCTTTAACGTAAGCTACCAACTTCTTCAGTTGGCTATATACCTTGCAGCAAGCATTAACATGCACCTAGGACCTCGCGATTCGGTGTAACACGTATTGGCTCGGTGATGCTATGAGCGCAGGGGTATCGCCTGACCTTCTTTTCGTGTATCGATACGTCTTCAACGTTGTAAGTGCTATCGCGCGCGCGACTCGCGGAGCAAAGTTGATTGACTTGTGCGTTAGGTGCCTGCAGTTCATGGTCATGACGTTCCATACACTGTGAGTACTCATTCAACAAGAGGCTTGCCTCTACGAAACGCTTCGGTTTGTTCGCATCGTAGATCTTGGTTGACTAATTCTGTTCTGTATTACTACCCGAATCTCAAATCTTACCAAGTGCTTGACAAGGCGCTCGCAAGGACCTGGCAATCGGCTCTTCTTAACTTCACGCAGTTTGTCAACCCCAATCCATTGGAGACTGAGATATGGCCGAGATATACTGCCGATAAGCGCAAGGTGATGAACATTGGTCGACCTGGCCAATTTGCAGTACCCGACAACACGTATCGCCCTGGAGATGATGTTATGGACAGACAGCGCTGCGATTATTGGGCGAATGCACCATACTACACCCCGTCCGACAAGGCCAAGTTTGTTGTGCAGAATAACTTGGGCTAATGCTTGCAAAACGATTGGGTAGGGGGCGGAGAGAAAGAGAGAGGAGAGAAAGAGAGAGGACTTTTGATCTTGTGAAAAGCATGACTTTCATTCACTACAATGCCGGGCTGCGAAACACGATACGCGATTCACGTCCATCGACCCAGTTCTGAGAAGGGGAGTATATGTCCACTTAGCTACAAAACACAAGATGTGACTTACACGGTATCCACGATCCTCCACTACGATGCTTCATTTCCTCTTCCTCGCATTGGCTGCCGCACGTTTCGCCCTTACAAAGAGCTGCCCACCAGTCTCAGACTTGTTCAACGTCAACGTTTAGAATCTCTAGCCTGAAAAAACCGCTTCGGACCCGCAGACATGTCGTCTATGCCTGAGGCATGTACCATGTCCACCCATCCAGGAAGTCGTATGTAATTAGGATGTTTAGGAATTCGATTATAAGGATTCGTCGTAGATCGTGGGAGGTGGAGCTGTAGTACGCTTATAAGTGTTGTTATTCTACGTATAAGTTTGCCGGGAGTATTCTGTAGGGGATACTTCGGTCGTTTCCTAGAATATCTCATCGTTCTATTGCTCGAACTACCTCCTCTAGCACGAATATAAATCCTTGCAATTTGCTCACAATATTGTAGCGAACTAAGCTCACTCGAACTATCTCGAACCACCTAATCACCCGCAAGCCTAAGCACATCCAGGGTAGTGCGAGGTAACTAACAGTCTCCACTGATGAGCCAAAATCGCGAAGTCTTATGAATCCTCGCCGCGACCTTATCCGATGCGATGCTATTAACGGTGAAGCTGATAAGTGACACCCTCGCTTTCGCAGCAGCCGTTCGTGAATTATACACGGTGTAGAGATTAGGGTAAGCAGTCCGGTAACCTAGAAGATAGTTTGTGAGGACTTCTTCTTAGGAGATAATCGAGTCCCAGCTAACTTAGTCGATAAGATAATCGACAACTGGCACTACCGCGTGCGTTAACTCAATGCAGGCATTTCCAAGGCCCAGATTCGTTAACAAGGTCATTAGCTCGAAAAAGTAGTAATTGAGACTAGTCACAGACCGTCGTTGTACCTCCTTTCTGGCATAGATTCGTGCAATGTGCAGGCCAAAACTAGCTGACGAATGGTCGAGTCGGGGAGTATCGAGACATCAACCATAATCTTTTGTCAATGGCCCCTTGAATGGCGCTCTTCAAAGACCGTCGCTAGGGAATTGAAGGTGTCGGTCATGCGGCGACTGTCGCTGCCGAGTCGAGTCTGCCAGGCACTCCTCGCCGTTCGTCGACCCGACATGAACGAGATTCACATGGAACGGGGATCGCTGGCGTGCTCAGACGGGAATTGTTTACTCAGCTCCGTTCATGTATTTGGACTCGTATTCGATCATCATGGCCGTGGCATTTCGTCGATTGTCATCCCAATCCACATCTGGCCATCCTGCTGGAAGCGTAGAGTATGTAGGCAAAGTGTATGCCGCGCGACAAAGGCCGCGTTCTTCGCATTGCAGACCACACAGGTTGAAGAGTTTGCAGTAGCAACTTCTAGCGTCGGGGCAGAAGACGGGCTCTTTGCCAAAAATCACTACACCGTGTCAGATTCTTCAACTAGTCCTGCCAAGGCACTCGTCCGAGCGGGAAACATCGTGGCTATGGGCAGGGCCAAGAGCCGGTGCATGGGCCGACTTACTGTGCCATGAGTACTCCAGTATTCGCCCACTGAGGTCATCCCGTAGAGACGTTGTGAGAAGCCACTCCCGGAATCGTTGATAGTCCGTCTTGGGCCTTGCTCTGATCGCCTCGGCCGTCGCAGCGAATTGCGCGCAGCAGGCCGATCCAATGACATCTGGAACATCCACATCAGGAAACAGCTCTTGGAACGCTTGTTTGTAAAAGGACCCGGCTCTTGCATCGTTAGAGCCAGGATCAGAGGCGGGCGGCGGAGCGGTCGCGTCGCTGACGGGATGGATCTCGGCGGGGCACCCCAAAGTCCAGGCGCAACGCAGATTGACGTAGCCTTGGCCGATGACATGTGATATGTTGAGTCGCCGAAGCACAGCCTGGCCGTCATAGAACGGATCGTCGTTGTGCCACTGATACCTGTTCGAATGCGAGAAGACGATGGTGCGTGGAAGTTGCTCATAGTTATCTATTATGTATCTAACAGGTCAGCTTCGCGTTACGTTCCGCATTCCTGAAGCTGTAGACTTACGTCAAGTACGCCATTCCCTCGCGTCCTCTGTTCGCGGGCACTGTAAGATTGGCGGTGGGATCATCGGTGACATATATGTGCTTTGACCAGTTTTGGAACGAGTCCAGCCAGGTGGTATTATCCCCAGACTGACTGGCCACGACGAGCGCAAGATCTTGGCGGTCGCTGTATGGCGCAGTATGTTGAACTGTATCTGGAGCATCCCATGCGGTCCATTGGTCGTGGAGGATTTTTGTGATTGCAGAGCCCGCACAGAGACCGATGACCAGCAGCCAAAAGTTCTTCAAGCGTCGAGGATGCTTTCCAAGCACCTGCGACCAAGTCTGCATGGCTACGGCCTGAGGTTGAGAGTGGCAGGATACGTGCTCCAGCATGTCACGCGAATGAACTTCAAAAGGACATGGCACTGCTGTCTGGCGCAGCGAAGAAAGCGATTAAAAGCGAGAAGTTCGCCCGTGAGTGGACTTCTAATGATCGCTTTGCCTCCCAGGTGCGCTATTAGGCTCGTTCATATGCGCCCGCACGCGCGCCTACCTACAGATGCGGATCTAGCCTCACTACCCGCAGGCACGGATGCAGTCTACCTTTGAGTACCCCCACACCTGGGAGTGACAACAGAACGCTGATCATGTCACTAGCAAGCTCGCCCCGTCCCGTGTCCGTGGTGCGGCGCGTACGTGTCGACCCGCATATCGCCCCTGCTGAGCAGACTTTACTGATTGGTGCAGTCGATCTTAGCGCATGCACCAGTGTCGAACGAATCGCTCAAAGACTCCAATGACATGACGATAGAAGCACACAATCCAGCTTGAAACGACGGTCTTCAACTACCCGTGTCTTGATTCTACGTAGCATCTTTGCTGTTGCCGTGGGGCTGGCTTTCCCGTCCGATAAGGGATTCAGACACGTGGTGCCCCAGGCTCATTGACGCCACATCGCAGCCTTGTTTCCATCGCTCTCAAGGTCAATTCGGCGTCGGCGAATGTTTTCGTCTCTCATGTGTAGACTATTCCCCGCGATCGAGAGTCATTTTCTGTGTTACAAGATGCATACCTCGCACAGCGTCAACAGCACAGGCACCATTATGCACTGTGTCGCCGCAGCCAACAATTTGTGTTGTCGCGGCGGTCGATCTTTCCGATACCTTGAATCACGAGCTCTCGAGGAGCGGCGTTCACGGTGACGGTGACCTGATCCCTGCTGCGAGCAGAATCAAGGCGAGGGCAAGTGGCAGATGCAGATACAGATGGGGGAACCGCCGAAGCTCGTTGCATTTGGGGTTTATACTAAAGTGGATCGGCCTGCATGTTTGATTAGCACGCGGTTCAACAGCGCCACAGTGGTGAGGAACTGGAAGCCATGATTGAATCGCTTAGTCCTACAGTGCAGAGAATTATCTATATATAACTAGAACGGTTAACCGACATCGGTAAGATCCACCATTCCAACAGACGTGCACGCACGAACGCACTGCGGCGGCACAGGTTGGTGGCAACTGCACGGGATGAGGCTTGCAATCAACTAATCAGTGATCCGCCCAAGGCGAGTCCCAATGCTGCGGCCACTCTCGGCCCACTGTCTACTCTCGTGTGCACAGAAATACCCTTCTTGCTCCTGTCGTCCAGCCTTGGCCGTATTTGTGCCTCCCTTCGTCATGTTGCGGGATTTGAGTCAGCTGTTGTACTCGGTCCTCAGACGGCTCACCGTATCAGCATCGAGTAAGCGCAACCCGGACGACGACGAGCAGCTTATGAATCAGATCGTTTACGACAGCAATCGCTCTTTCATCTCCGGCAGCGATATCTTCAAGCGCGACAGCTGTACGGATGCTTTCGGGACTGGATGGAGCGCGAATATTTGCACGCCGGGCACGACCCTATGTTGTAAGACCTTTCCGCTTCAACGCGTTGACTGTCGCTCATTTATGAGAAGGTGTCAATCCAAGTCAGAATGTACCACTTTGCCAGCAAGACCTAGGCATAGGATGGTGCTGCACCGCGGATGGAGGATGCTATGCCGACTTAGCATCGGCGTGCGGCCAACCAGGCGCTGTGTCGTGTTCAGATCTGATAGAAGGCGTCTCCGAGGCCTGTTGTCCGCAATACACTACGTGTGCAAAAGGTATGCAGTTGTCGATGGAGTCAAACCGCATCAGGTAGTGTGAACATGACTCAAGGCTGACAAGCTAGGCTACAATACCACCACAAAATGGGTGCGCTGTAATATTCAACAGACCGCGCTGGACTCCCTGGGATTGTCACAGGGAACCCTTTCTGGAGCTTCGACGGCATCATCTACTGCATCGCTAGAGCTGTCAAAGTCCACGGCAGCCCTGTCACCAACAACTTCGTCGTCTTCGCTATCAGTTTCTAGCAGCTCTGTTACCAGCGAAATCGCCGCCAGTACATCCAGTGCTGTTGCAGCGAGCGCTCCATCAGCATCATCACAACTCAGCGGTGGTGCCATTGCCGGTGTCGCGGTTGGAGCGGCTGCCGGAGGCGTTCTTCTTGCTGTGCTTGTGTGGTACATGTGGCGCTACAGGAAAAGTCATGACAGTATGTCGCAACCTTTCCCTGACCCACAAGAGCAAGGCATGGTGCCGAATCGTACCACGGGTCTCTCTGATCCGAAGACCCTACAACAGGAAGTGCCCAGAGACGTGCCAAAGGCGGAGATGGCTGGCTCGGAGATAAGGTCCCCGGTAGAGCTTTCATCTGAGCGGATATGAACTTCACTTTGTAACTAGCTGTGTTGCTGCCGGCTTGCATAAAGATAGGTCAACTGCAACCTGTACCTGATCGATGTTCACAGAAGAGGCAATTAATCGGGCGATCTAGGCATGTGTGGCTTGCGCATCGACAGCCTATTCTTAAACGCAGAAACCCGGGGCCTAACGGCCGGCTTTTCAAGACTACAACTACTACAACTACGAGAGTATACCTCGATAACCCGACTACTAATATAGCAAAAAATTTTATAGTACATCTATAAATATCAAACCTCGAAGTCTACGAAGTTTAGAGCAAAAACATTAAGCATATATTATAATATTCGAGGATGTATTTTTCTAAAGTTCTAATCTTAATATCGGTTTCAGCTTCCTTACGATAAGGGCAAAAAGAGCGCGAAAAGTACGTCTAGATTATAAGCTATATAATATGTTATATAACATACTAACATATAGGGAGACTACTCGGTATATAGCAATACTATAGCTCGAGTTTTACTATCTTATAAGCTCTACATTACAAGTTCGAGATACTCGAGATACTCGAGGTGTAGTAGGTACAGTCTTCAAAAGCCGGCCGTTGGGCCCAGGGTTTCTGCGTTTAAGAATATGCCATCCATCTCTCGGGCCTAAGCAAACGCCCAGCCGGGCATATGTTCCAGAATCTCGAGCGGACTTTCGGGAATGCTATGCTCATTCTGTCTCCTTATGACGAAGATAGGACTTAAGGTGTGTCTGAAATTCCACGGCTTTTTATACTCCGGAGGCGCGGAAACGCATGCTCATGAGGTGATGGGTTGGTAATGGTTGAGCACGAACTCGTCTAAGCTGGATGATTTTTGGCTGGTCTGAAGGCAGGGCCGCTCGATTTTCAACCAAACGCTGTACATCACTCGTGCGACGAATGCGGAGGGAGGAGTTTGGAGAATCAGGTGACTATATCTTGTGAGGACTCTGTCTGGTGGTCTTGCTTAGGCTCGAATAGAGTAGGTATGATGCTGCTCTCAGTAGACAAACAAAGACGATAGAGCGGAAATTGATGGCCCACACTTTGATTTCACGGCGAGCCTGCTGTGGGCGAGTGAGTATGTCTTGCTGGTTATAGACCGCAGAGAGGGCCCCTACATTACGGTAGCTCAATGCCACACTGAGGCGTTCCAGAACCAGTCCCCTCTTGTCGATGGTCAAGGTAATCTCACAAACACTCAAAGAATATGCCTGAGACGCCAACACCACTTGATTTTGCATTTTTGTCGCGCGCAGTAGCCTCAGACCGCCGTTGAGTAGACCAAAATCTCTTCCGTTGGCTCACGTTGGTTCTCGTGGGGCTATAACGGTCCACGATAAAAGCTCGTAAGAGATCTTGTTGCGCGGGCTGAGCACGACTTACTTCTTCCAGCTCCGCCACGCCCCTTGTCCAAGTGGCAATGCCAATGATTCTGGGCGATCGCCACGGAGGGTTATGTCACAGGCATTGGGCGGACGTGCAAATTGACTTCAAATCGGTCAAAGGCCTATTGCTGGCCGGTCTGCTTTGTCGTTTGTCAGGCTGTTCCACCATAGTATGGCATTGTCCTTTGACACGTGAGGTTGGACAAGCGGACTTTGAAGGGCATCTCTTTGATTTCGTTCTTAGAACATCGTGCTATTTCTCTTGCTCGTCTTGACGGTACGTTTCGATTGCAGTGAACCGCTGACTACTTCAGCAGATCGTCTCCATCATAGGCTGCCCCTATCTTCAGCTGAACTATGGCCTTCGACGTCAAAGTACCACTGGGCTATCGCTGGCGTTCTCCGCGATGGTACATCATTTGCCGCGTTGCAATTGCTTTGTTCTCAGGTGAGGCTTGACACCCTCGACCCTTCTTTTGCGAAGCGTTACCAGACTGAAATACAAGCAGCGACCTTCATCTGCAGTTACATCGTCCCCATCTTGCCAAGCACGCTAGAATTTCGTTAGAACGCCGACAACTGACAGACGCAGGCTGCAACTAGTCTTTTGTCATCTGTACACACCGTTTTCGCCATGATCGCTGGTCCTGTGATTGGATACCTCGCTGACAAGGTCCCAACCCGAAACGCTTCGTTGCTCTTGTCACTGGGCGCGGAGATTGGAGGAACAGTTCTGATCATAGTATCGCGATCCAATAAGTCTGCTTTGCCCTGGTCGATATAGCTTGCTGAGATCTCTTTCAAAGTGCCCCTGCTCATGCTTGGCCGTGCTATCCAAGCGGTCGGAGGTAGTGCAGCATGGATCGTTGGATTGGCCACGTTGTTGGAGACGGTTGGAAAAGACAATACTGGGAAAGTCCTAGGCGGTATCATGTCCTTCTTCGCGTCAGTATTCGTGTTTGGTCAGATGATATCCGGCATGTTTCTTGAGATTGCTGGATACTGAGTTGTGTGGTTCTTCGCTCTAGGTGTACTGGGTGTGGATATGGTCATGCGGGTGCTCATGATCCGCGAGCACTGATAGCTTTAGCCTGTCACTGGGGAATGGCCGTTTGCCTCCTTAGCCTGGACACCGCATTGCCCCTTCAGGTCACCCGAACCTTTGGCTGGGATACTCCGGGCATCAGCTTGATGTTCTTGCTCTTGCAGATTCCCGTCCTGCTCTTCGGCAGTTTCATGGGCATGTTGAAGGATAGAATCGGAACAAAATTCCCCACAGGCTGTGGATACCGTCTCATGGCTCTGAGTCTGTGGATGTTGGGTTTGGTCGCAACAAATTGGTTCAGAGGACACAAGGGACAAGTTTTGTCAATGGTGGCGTTTGTGTGCGTTGGACTTGCTCGGACTCTGATCAGCGGGACGGCAATTTTGGAAATCACAAGTTCGTCTATCTCTTGCTTCTAAACCCCCTTCCCGAGCTGACTCTTGAGATGTCGACAGCGTCCATGTCTCTGGGCATTGCGGTGTTGGCCTCACTCTTTCTCCAAGGCAGACAGTGATCACGTCAGAGGACGTTAAGCGGCCTTGCCGTGGTGGTGGCAGTGGTGAGATATTTGGTGACTTCACAGTCTGGTCCTTTATACAAACATTTCATCGTTTTATTAATCGAAGTACCTTATCTAGCACAATTGTAAATTCTTGCAGTTCGCTTACAGTGTTGTAGTGAACTAAGCCCCCTCGAGCTACTATATCGCTTTTAACCCTAAGTACGTCTAGGGTAGTGTAAGGTAACTAACAGTCTCTACTAACAAGCCGACATCGTGAACTTTATAAATCCTCGCTACGACCTTGTCCGATGCGATGCTATTAGAAGTGAAGCTAACAAGAGACACCCTCGCTTTCGCTATTAGCCGCTCGTAAGCTATATATAGTATAGAGATTAGGGTACGCCGTTAGGTAACCTAGAATATAGTCTATAAGGGCTTCTACGTAGGAGATAATTAAGTCCTAGCTAACTTAGTTAACGAGATAATCGACTACTAGCACTACCGCGTGCTTTATTTAGCTTAATGCATGCATTTCCGAGGCCCAGCTTTGTCGACAAGGCCAATAGCTCGAAGAAGTAGTGATTGAGACTACTCACAGACCGTCGGTCCATCTCCTTCTTGGCGTATATCTGTGCAATATGAGGACCAAAAACCTTGTACTAGCTGGACACATATAAATCGACACCCACAGCCTTCACATCGATCGGACGATGAGGAGCCCACGCTATACCATCCACACATTTCATTGCTCTATGAACAGCGTGCACGAGATCTGCAATCTCCTTGATCGGTTCAATGGTCCCAGTGATATCGGAGACGTGTCCACAACACACAAGCCGTGTTTTCGAAAACAGTAATGGCTGTAGAGTCTCCAAAGCCAGCTCTGGGTTTCGATTTTTGCCCAACACCCCAGCTGGTGTCCACCATTTGATCGAAATTCCTAGGCTCTCTGCTAGCGCAATCCACGAAGAGATGCCAGCTTCAAGGCAGAGCACTGAGACGACGATCTCGCAATCGGCGTTGAGATTGGGGCATAGGGAGTTGCTCCGCGTTCGTAAAAGTCCTGTGGTCGACATTCCAAAGGCTGGTTTGGAACAAGCAGTCTCAAATGTTCAACAACCAAGACCTCGCATCTTTGCCCATTTGGCGAAGTGGTCGACGACTGCCGCTACCTCGGTCGTCTCTTCTTGCATTCGCATTCAGGCGCTCCCAAAGGCCACCCAGAAATCCATGTCGTACACTCTCGTGCCGGTAATACGCTTGCGCCAGAATTGTTCCAACTGCACACGCACTCGATGGCGTGGCACAGCGACAATTCATTCGACCTCCAGCCTCCTGGAATGACCGTTCTATACGCTTTGGAAGTGCCACTTGAAGGTGGAGACACAGTCTTCGCGGATACGGAGACTGCTTATGAGCGCCTCAGCCATGGCTGTCGCAAAAGTCTGGAGGGCTTGCAGGCTGCTCACACTTCTCGCGATCAGGCCGCACGGGCTCGCCCAGGTGGTGGAGATGTAGGTCGGGAGCCTGTCGACTCGATCCATCCGATTGTACGCACAAATCCTCGAACAGGGAGGAAAGTATTGTTTGTCAATCCGCAATATACGCGACAAGTTGTGGGCTACAAGGAGGAAGAGAGTGACAATCTTCTCACGTTTCTGCCTGACCACATCACGAAAAGCCACGCCCTAAAGTGCCGTGTCAGGTGGAGGGACAAGACAGTGGTTGTCTTTGATGTTAGTATTGCATGTTCTCGAGACTTCTCATTCCTCTGACAAAGCCTACAGAATCCCAACACCTGTCACTCGAGGATGACGGATTGGATGTATGGAAGGCGACTTCACATTGCAAGGTACGGATCTATCTTGTCTTCGACCCGATTGGTTTGCTGACGTTTGGGTCTTCTGTGCTTAGGATCATGCCTGGAGCTGAACGACCGATTTGATTGCGGCCCAAGAACTACCCTCAAATTTACATCTCGGCTCCTTTGACTTACATTTGACAGAGGGCGATCTGGGACTATCGAGAGACAGCTCAGATGGTAAATACATATCTTCTTAAGCAATTTGGGCACAATTCAATTGAATGCTTCCACTGTCGTCCAGGCCTGCTGTCCAGGTCTGCCTTGCAGAAAGCTCTACGAACGACCTTTGTAGCATGCCGAATGAGCAGAAATTAGAATGTTAACATGTTCATGCTACATTGTATTCATGCTACAAATTCTTGATGAGCGCTCTACAAAACGGTATTGGGCTTGTCGGCGACGAACGATGAATTAAAGAATCCACTTTGACCAGCAAGCACAATCAGGCTGTGGAACATGACGCGGCGTTCTCAACGGTGGACCCACCTTGGGATTCTGCTCGCGCTCAACACGACTCCTATTAGATAGATTCAGTTCGAGATACGATCGCTGACAAATTCATGATTTCGCCGAGAGTGAGTATATCTTGTCTCGCATCAAGCAACATCTGCTCGACACAGCAACAGCTCTCCCCGCCAGAACAATGCCTTCACCTACCCGTCCTACTTGGCTCGCTCTCCTAGCTATTGTGCAATTAGCCTGGACGAAGAGCTGTCCACCAGTCTCAAGCTCGTTCAACATCAATGTCCAGAATCTCTATCCTGAGAGCGCAGCCTGGGATCCAGTGACGTGCAGACTCTACCTGAGGTGCATCACAGCCTTCCGAACTATATCAGCCGCATCCACTGACTCTTCTTCCCTCCTACAGTTCCATCTACAACGCCACCCTAGTTGCTTTTAATCCTTACACCCACACCTCAGAAATCATTCCCCTTCCCGGCATCTCGACCTTCCACCCAACCAACTCTATCGCCTACCACGCCAACGGAATCGACTACGACGCAGTGTCAGGAGAAATCTACATCGCCGCCGCAGCCGCCACGGCCTTCGAAAGCACCATGAGCGGTGACTACTCGCACGCCAACTTCACGGGTCCGAACCGGGTGTTGAGATACGATCCTGTTCGAGAGGTTTTCAATGGGGATATCGACCTCGCGCCAGCGCAGAAGGAGTTCCAGGCGAGGAATGGCGACAAGCGAACGAGTGGGTTCCAGGATATGGCTGAGGACTTGCAAGGGAATTCGTATGTGATTGGGACGTTTGGGAACTCGATTTTGAAGATCTGTCGTGGCTCCGAAAGAGCTGAGTTGTGGTACGCTCCTGAGCATTATAATGCTACGTATGGGTTCGGCGGGATTTTCTCTGTTGGGGATACTCTGGTTGTTTCGGATACGCTTTCTGGTGGTTTGGTGACGTTCAATGCCAGGAAGGAGGTGCCAGAGCCTCACTACGTGCCTCTGCAAGGTCTGCCCCAGGATTATCGACCGCTCATGGCCGATGGGCTGTTTGCTCCAGGCAAGTATGGCGGAAAGATCGCCCTTTGGTCGGACGACTACAATGGAACGTCTGTGTACGGAAGTCATGATGGGTGGAAGTCGGCTCATTTCCTGGGTCTCGTTGAGAACGAAGAGCTGACGGCTGAGGGAGGCTTCACCGTGGCTTCGTTCGACATCGGGGAGAGGCTCTTTGTGGTCACGGAGTTCTTTCAGGTGAATCTGCCGCCTCAGCCCAAAGCGAGCTGGTCGACTGTTGATATCACCGCTGCGGTTGATGGGATTATCGAGAGGGCTGGGTTTGGAGAGGGAAAGGCATTGTCGTCTTGAGGAATTCAGCTTTCTGAGATCCACTCCACGAATAACGAAAACGGCATCTACTTCAACAAATACAGATTCACGTAAACAGCTTTGGAAGTCTGGAAAACGAAAGACGTACCATCCAGAAGTCCTATACTGTTGGGTCAAGAAAAGTCTCACAGCCTTCCCCGTTTAGGATTATATTCCATCCCTGCAAGCTGACTGTCCACCTCTCTGCATGTTCAGTAATCACCTCAGCCACACGGCGCAAACCATTGCTTTCATACTCACAAGGGACGGGAATGATTAGTTAAGTGATGTGGAAAATTTTATGAAACGACGAGATTGTGCGAGTTTGCTTGCCTGAACCGTGCTGGTGCTGTCGGCGTTGTGGTGGTTTTGAAGCCTGGGCTGTAGCTGACAGGCTTCGCCCCTTGTCTCGTGGCATGCCATGGCTATCGTTCGGTGGAAGATATAAACAGTCTAGAAGCCAATGCTTGAGAACGCACTTCAATCTTCAAACACTACCTCTATCAAGACAGCAACCTCCTTCCAGACCCTCCGCTACATACCACAATGGCACCACCACAAATCAAGACCGTCCTCGTCGTCGGCGCCAGCGGAATCGTAGGCACGCAAGCCATCAAACACCTCCTCGCCTCCAACTTCCAAGTCTCCGCCCTCATCCGCTCCTCCTCCACCAGCACTCCCTCCTTCCCCAGCGAAGTCCGCATCTTCAAAACAGACTACACCCCGACCTCCCTCCGCCCCGCCTTCGCAAACCAAGACGCCGTGCTGAGCACCATCTCCGGCGAAGGTCTCGCCCTCCAAAGAACCCTCGTGGACGCCGCCATCGCCGCCGGCGTGAAAGTCTTCTTCCCCTCCGAATTCGGCATCGACACCACGCACCCGGACGCCGCGACGCTCATCCCGTTCCTGAAGCCGAAGATCGAAACGCTCGAGTACCTCGAGACGAAGCAGGACCGCATCGCCTGGACGTCGATCGTCTCGGGGAGTCTGTGCGACTGGAGTTTGGATATCCCCTCGTTCGGGGGGATCGACGTCCCGGGACGGAAGGCGACGATTTACGACGACGGGGATGTCAAGTACGACGCCACGACGAGCGAGCAAGTCGGCCGCGCGATCGCCGCCGTGATGAAGCAGCCCCTGGACGTCATCGCGAACCAGCACGTCTACGTGAATAGTTTCACCGTCACGCAGAAGGAGGTCCTCGCGGCGCTGGAGCACGCCACGGGAGAGAAATTCGCCATCTCGTACGATACGGTGGAGAATCTGCGGAAAGTGGGGAAAGAGAAGTTGGCAGGGGGGAATTTCTACGGGATGTTGGAACTGATTGCTTCGAGTTTTTATGGGAGGTTTGGGGTGGCGGATTTTTCGATTCGGAAGGGGTTGTGGAATGAGAGGTTGGGGTTGCGGGGGGAGCAGTTGGAGGGGGTCGTGAGGGAGTATGTGAAAAGGAAGGAAGTGAGTGGGTGGAGGGTTGTGATTCCGGGGAGTGGGGATGGAGATGTGAAATAGGGTTTCTTTGGAAGTGTAAGATTTTGTGATGGAGGTCTTTCAGGAGTCTTGGTTTAGTTTTGAAGGGGTATGTGCAGCGGAAGCAGAAGTAGGTAAACTAAGGACGGTGATTTCAGGGCGGTCAGAGATGGTAGTATAACTCGAAGTAGATTCTCCATACAATCGGAATCGAGCAAGCTTGTGTAATAGACGTCTTCGAAATGTAGCCTTGCTTGGTTGTAATCAACTCGTTGAAAGTCGATTTCTTCTACTGTCAACGTTGCGAACGAGATAGCTCGTCTCAGCGAGACGGTTGCCTATTCGAAAAGCAGAATAAGAAACCAACATCATCATGAGCTTGCATCGGCCCATCCAACAACGCTCCCACCACAAGGCCAGCTGCCCGCAATCTGCCAAATCATCTCTCCTCTCACTTCATAATCGCCCACGCCCTACATACTCCCAAAAAACATCTACAACTGACACATCCCCTCCCCCTTGGAAATCTTCAACATGTTCAGCTCTCTCGCCACACCCAACCCTGCTGACCTCATCATGCGTGCAACCGTAGGTAGGCTATACGACCCTTCAATCTGACAAATCATAGACCCTTAGGGCTGCCCTAGCTAGCATGAACAGGTACGGATTGAGGAGAAAGGCTATACGGCTTTCTGAATTTGCCCTATAGACTTGTCTTGGTGTTGGAATATTATCTGCATTGCGATTATGGATTATGAAGCTACGTGTCTTGGTTGTTGATGGGTTTGTCGTGGAGGGGGGTTGGTATAAGACCCTCTGAAACGACCGTGATGGATACACCACGATCTTTCAAACATCCCAAGAAAAGCCCTTCGAAGCAATCATGTCTGCAGCAACCACGGATCCCTCAAAACAAGGCGTTGTCCGCACAATCCTCAACCGCCTCCCCATCCCCGCCCTCCCGGGGTGGGAATCTCGTACCGTCTTGCTAGGTACGAGAGCCCCTATTCACCCTTCCCATCCCATTCCAATCCACCCATAGATCCCCTCTCCTTCCCACTTCATCTCCCGCCCATCCCTACCTAACACCAACCTCGGTCTTCGCAGACTACCCCCCCTCCACCACCGCGCCCCCACACACCCACCCGGTCTCCGGGGTAAACTACATCATCCACGGCCACGTCATCTCCCAGTGGGAGAACGGTGAAGAAGAAGTCTACGGCCCCGGGGAGGTGTTTCTCGATCATGCGGAGAAAGTGCATACGGTGGTGAGGAATCCGAGTGAGACGGAGAGGTTGCTGGTGGTGGTGAATTATGTTATTCCGGTGGGGGTGGCGAATGTTAATTTTCCGGAGTGAGGAGGGAGCTGAGCGGCGTGGTGAGGGAGTGGAGGGTGGGGTCTAGAAGGAAGGTGGGCGTCGGAGACTGTTTTTGTGTCACATATTGAGGCGTATGAACCTCGAGAGGTCGTTGTCACTGCTGAGACATCAACTTCAAGACAGGCCATCGCCAATCTCAGGGTTCTCATAAGTTCATATCTCACTGCCGTATTCCCAATAGTATCAACCCCAACCTGACTCCAAACAACTCCACGCCAGCCCAAAGCATATGATGCTGTATCCTCCAAACCCATCCGTTCCACGCTCTTCTTTGCTCACCACCTCAGCTCCTCAAAGCCCTCAACCTCTCCCCCAACTTATCCTCCCTCTCTTCCTCAGCCGGCTGCTGAATCTGCTGACTGGGCGTCGCACTGTTCATCTCCTGACTCAACTCCACGCCCGCCTCATCCGCCACCTGTCCCATCAGTTTATCCACATCCTCCTGCGGGGTGGCTGTCGCCGTCGCCGAGGAGGTTGCATTCTCGTAGTATCCCGTCGCGACGTCCAAGTCTTCGAATTGCGTCTCGAAGCGGTCCATTACGGCGGAGATCTATTCCATTTCACACCGTCAGCATATCACATATCCCATATCCAATCCAACTCTTCGCCCAGAGTGTATATATCATACCTGCTCCAAATTCATACTCTTCATCGCACTATCCATGCCCCGCACCACATTCGCCATACTCCCCGTGACCTGCCTCATCGTCACCGCCGTCTGCACGCGACTCGACACGGCGTCGATGCGCGACGCCAGCCGCAGGAGGTTCAGGTTCTCGTTCTTCTTGCGGATCGCATTTTGGGCGTAGATTTTGGCGATGTCGGTGTGGTTTTGTTGGATGGCCTAGTATATCACGTCCAAGAGGTTAGAGACCGTAGTGGAGGAGAGGCTTTGGGTGGTATGGTATTGTGAATGCACCTTCTTCAGCTTCGCCTTCTCGGTCTGTTCGTCTTTGCTCGCTTTGGCTGCCTGGCGGTTGAGTTGCTTGGCTGTGAACTGTGAGGGTGGAGTGGGATTAGCTCGGTCTTTTCGTGCGATCTCCATGCGTCGACAAACCTTCAAGTTGAACAGGGCTTTCTCCAGGCCGGACATTGTGATAGTGGTAGATTTGTGGAGGTGGTTGTAGGGATAGGGAAGAGTTACTTAGTGTTGGAGATTGGAGATCGCGGGACACTGCTGCCGACGTCACGCGTGGGGTGCGGGCTGGATCTCGGCGGCTGAAACCTTAAATTCCCATTCACATGCTCGCCTCGCCTGCCACGTGGGACCTTTTCTACTTCATTCATTCATGTAATGGTCTTTCTGGGAGCAATTCCCGCGTGTACGTAGAGCATTATCTGTCGTGGTCATCATACAAAGCAAACTTCAAAACGCCGTCCCACCGAGAGCTGCTCACTCTTCGAAATGCAGCACGACTTTTCCTTAGGCACATTCCCGGTGCCTGCTCGCTATGCTTCTTCAATTACAAAGTCTAGACGCCGGAATACGGCCGCGTGTTGCCAAACTCATCATCATCTTCCTCCTGCACATTGCCTGCAGTCGGACTTCTCAAATTCTCCGTACGGTTCCTGTATGGATTGCTGGTGCTTCGTGTTGGGAGCTGGCTCATCTCCACGCTCGTGTTTACTGTAGGGACTTGGCTCTGCGCAGACTGGTACTGCGTTGGTTGGCTTTGAAGGGTTGGTCGGTAAGGAGAGGGTACTGTCGAGTATGTGGGGTGCTGGCTCTCTGTGTACGGCGACATGTATCCTGGGTTGTACTCGGTCGGCTGAGGCTCGTTGATCGTGGGGATTCCAGGACGGTTGTATCGCGAGGTCTCGCTACTGGGCTTGCGCTTGCCACGGGTACTCTCACGACGAAGCATTCCTCGAACATCGTTCAGATCTTGGTAGTCGATGCTCGTTTTGCCGCCAAGAGTGCTGGCGTCATCACGGCCAGTTGCCCACGCTGTCTCGTCTCTAGCGGGATCTGAGGCCGGGTCTCTCGAAGTCAGGTCGTTTACAATCTTCGCATCGTGGTAGCTGAGTCCGGCCATACCGCCTCTACCACTGGATGCTGTTGGGCTCAAAGGATTGGCTTCTTTCGCCTCCTGGATCTTCTTATTCGGCACCAGGCGAGCCTTCTCCCTTGCATCAGCAGTGTGTTCTGCATTTTCCTTGGCTTCAGAGTCCGAGATGGCGACAGAGTAGTTGGGGTTGGCCGCACTTCCAGCCACATCAGCACCACCACCTGGGGCATAAATAGGCACAGCACGAAGAGCAGCCACCAGTGCGCACATGAACTTGCTGCGTCTGGCTGCTCGGAGGGTCTCGTTGGCCCAGTTGCTCTTGTGCTTGATCTCCACCTTCAATTGCAGCTTCGACATGTCCGTCGTTCCCAAAATCTCAACTTCCAGATCCGGCTGGAAGTCGCGGTTGTGCTCCTTGTCGGTGACAAAGTTCTTCAACTCATTCTTCAAAATCTGAATATCGTCAAAGGAGGTGTCGAAGGAGATGTCCAGTGTGACTTGTTCGGTCATGGCCTTGCTGCGACTGATGTTGTCGAGAGCCAGACTGTTCAGGACGATGTTGGGGTATTGACAAAGCTGGCCTGTCTTGAGCCCAGATGCGCGGCGGAAGACCGTGAACAGCAAGCTGATATGCTCAACAGTGAGCGGATCGCCTGCAATGTCGACACGGTCGCCAATATCGAATGGATGCTTGACGAATAGGAAGATGCAAGAACCAAGGATCTCCTGGGCGCTGACCGAGAAGACGAAAGAGAGGGATAGAAGCGCGGTTCCGGTGGTCGCCAGAGTCGTGACGAAGTTGGTGTTGAGGAATGCGATGAAGATGAAGACGACCGCGACGAGGACGATGGTGCAGAGTAAGCGGTCCAGGACGTTGATGGCTTGGGCCACATCGACCATGCTGCTTGCGATAGCTTTGCGTTCGCGGCCCCATTCGACGATCGTCATAATCATCTCGTCGAGCGAGATGTCGCCGTTTCCATCGCGATCCAATGCCCAGTAAGCCTCTTCCGCTTCTGTCTTTCGCTCAGGACCGAGCACATCGACGATGTCTTCGTCCAGTAAAGACTCTCGACCCTCGACGACCAAAGACATCCAGATACGGCGAGCAAGTGCCTCTGACGTACGCTTCTTCTCCAGAGCGGTGACCACAACTGAATGCGCACCGTTTGGGTTGAAGACTTCCTTTCCAGTAATTTCCGAAGCGACATTTCCAAACGCAGACGTGACCTGATCACCAAGACGACCAATGTTATGGATGAAGCGCATTGGTGTTGCAGATCCCGAGCGGTGGTGCTGTCCTGCCTTGCCCTTACCACCCAGAGCAGACAGCTGCAGCTGATCAGAGATGATGTAGTCCTCTTCGGCGAACTCGTTGCAGTATGGTGGGAACAGGGTACGAGAAGCTTCGTAGAGTAGCGTCAGAATGAAGACCTGTCGCTTGGAGTCCTTGATCCTCGAGTTGAACTGCTTGCGGTGGTAGTTGATGGAAATGAGCTGGATGAAGAATCGCTCGGCCAGGAAGACAAGCGTGGAAACGACCGCCGCAGCCAAGATCTTCTGGACGATGTCGACCCAATTCGACTTGATCGTGTCGTGCTTGCTGTTGTAGGGATTCCGGGTCATGAGTGGCTTGAAAGTAGCCAGAGAAGTCACGGCCCAGCCGACCAGCGACAGAGGGATTTCCAGCGCGCGCAAGACCGTGGCATACTTTCGTACACCCGAACTGACGACTCCCACGAAGATTTGGAACACGAAGGGCAGGAAATGTGCCACCACTTTCGAAACCCACAAACTACACCACACAATCTCAACCCACACAAAAAACCATAGAATCGGCACACCTCCAAATCCCGGCGGCCCTGACTTGCGGTTCTCGAGGATGGCGCCCACGATGATGGGTACCGCGATGAGAATGCCGAGGGGCAGGACATAGAAGAAGTATCTCGTCACGATGGAGAAGGAGTAGATCTTGCTGTAGATCTTGCCCATGGTGGTCAGGGTATCTTCTTCGCCATCATATCCCACTCTTCCGGTGCCTTGCACACCACCCGTTGGCTTTGCTCTTCTGCCGCGAAAGAAGCCGCTCTTCTCATTGCTGGGCGAGTGGTCGCTGGGTTGATTTGATCTCATCTGAGCGGTGGTGTTCTGGTTGCGCAAGCCCCCAGTGCTGCTGGCATTGGTCTGGACTTGCTCGAGGGGGATGTCGATGGTGGCGTCGTTGGTGGGTGGCATCCCGCCGTGTTGGTTGTCGTTTGGGATGGGCTTGAAGCCTTCGCGAGAGAAGCGTTTCCGGTTGCTGGGGTTGGGTTGGAGAGAGGTCATGCTGGGCTAGAAAGAAATGAGAAGAGACTGCTGGTGAATTGGTCTTTGGTTGCGCCGTCGGCGACCCGCAGCCAGCACGGTGCAGCGTTCCAGACGCAGAAGCAGCAGAACCGAATGGGTGGGTGGATTGGACGTCGTCTTCTCCAGCTGTGGTTCGGGCACCTGGCGGAAATCAGGAGATGGTGAAACAGTGAGTCTGTGCTATGTCGGCCGTCCGATGTTGCGCCGGCAGACAGTGGGGGAGCGTGCAACGAGTGAATAACAAGCCTGAGAGTAACGACTGCGGGTGATTGATTGATTGAGAGTTGATTAAGGTAGAATGATTGAAAGAGGGAGCAGATCAAGTCCTTCACATGTCTTGCGTTGCGGGGAGGAGGTCGCGTTACGTACAGTACATGGGTCGCTTTTTTGGTTCCTGCAGCGTGCAGCGGCATCCCTGCCGAAACACGCCACAAGCGGCCCGGGGAGCTGGCTGCAACGGCCGTGCGGCAAAGGCCTGCGCCAGAAGCCAAGCCGAACAACTCTGCCATCAATCTCGACCAAACATTTGATTGAACCTGGCATGCGATCAATTGCCATCTGCACCAATTCTCCCTCAATGCTCATGAAATCGTGCAACTGGCGTTTCAAGGAGCTTTGCACACAGCGCTGCCTCCTGCCGGTGTTTCAACACCCACCAATTAGGAAGTCCGATCCCGTCGATTCGTCGTTGAGGCGAGATCCACCCGGGCCCAATCGTGGTGCGCGGTTGCGTGGCGATGCTTCGTGTTCACCGTCTTAACAGCGATCACTCTGCTCGATTTAGCATCACTACGCACAGCTACCATTGAACCGTCTACTCTGCGTCGTCACCTCTTCACGAGAATAGCTGATCTTCAATAGGAAGAAGAGTAGGACCCGAGGTCTTCTGGAGCAGCTCATCCAGAGTTCATGCTCGCCGTAACAGCTTCTTCCACGAGACGTCCGCTCGAGCACATCAGCGGCAACACTGTTCTCGACATTCTCTCCTCGAATGTGACTTCGCAAAAGGTGCTTTTCAGGCCATGAGCATTGAGTAGTGCATCTCATGCTTGCAGGCCCAGACCACACACTGTCCGAACAACTGCTTGAAGTCTTTGCCGACTGGTACACTGGCCATTGGATTGTCTGTTACTGAGGTGGAACGCAATTGTGCCAAGCTCCAGGAGAGAAATATAAGGCATATGAGTGATGTCTCCTTTCCGCTCATTCGCAGGTAGCGCACAATTGAACACCACGAAGATGGAGAAAGCTGGTGAGTAGTACGGCGCCGCCGTGACCGCCCTAAGCGCCCCAATCGACTCATGTCAAAGGTGGAGATTCAGACTATCTAGCATACGATTAAAATCGATAAGTATGGTCGTCAAGGTATTGATACATTTCTCGACTGCCGACTTTGCATTTTCGTCATCAAAATACACGAGGTGTTGAAGAAGTTGGAGAAATTGGGGAATTCGGAGAAGCCCTTCTTGAAACCCGAGATCCATCATTCAACTCTCGCGTCTTCACGACCTTCGACTACACGAGCCATCTTCAAGAACGAGTACGACCTACAAGTCCACTTCAAGACGGTAGCTCACCTCACCACCACCACTATGCCTCACGTCCAAGACGCAAAACAAGACACTCCATCCCACGAGTCTAAACTCGCCTACCGCGGCCCCCCCCCTCCCCAACGTCCCCGAAGACGTCGTGATCCCCAACATCCTCAAACTCGACGACAGCGACGAACGCCTCTGGGTCCCCCGATCCAACTCGGTGTGGTTCCGCCCCCTCCTCCTCTCCGTCTCCCAAGGCTACTTCGTCAACCTCCTCCGCGTCCGCAAATCCGGCATCCTCTCCCGCCACCGCCACGCCGGCCCCGTCCACGCCACCGTCCTCAAAGGCCGCTGGCACTACCTCGAACATCCCTGGTGGGCGACCGAAGGCGGGTATGCGTTTGAGCCGCCGGGCGATATTCACGCGCTCGAGGTGCCCGAGGATGTGGAGGAGATGGTGACGATGTTTCATGTCACTGGAGCGTATATCTATGTGGATGTGGATGGGAATCCAACGGGTGTAGAGGATGTGTTTAGTAAATTGCAGAAGGCTAAGGAGCATTATGAGAAGGTTGGACTAGGAGCGGATTTCGTGGAACACTTTGTTAGGTGATTGAAGAGGAAGCCATTCCATGAGCGGTCCTTGGAAAGTGTAGACCTTGTGAAAGGAGTCTACAGTTTTTGTTCCCCATCCTCGAGCTACATTCAATTCTGTCTCTTCATCTCAGCCATACATCTCGTCAATTCGCGCAAAAACGTTCTTCCGGACCCGCGGTATGTACCTAGACTTACTGATCCACACCCTTGTCGAAGAATATCATCTCAACTACCTCCAACAAGCATGAGGTGAATTCGCAATCCACCACTTTCAAATCACGCCGTGGAAAGACCCAAGACCATGTGCGGCAGACACGGCAAGCTCTCCTCTTGGCGGAAGCTTCCTGTTGGGGACACCGCATTTGCCATTGCGTCCTCAAACTTCTGACTCACGAGAGCAATCATTTCCGATCCAGTGACTTCCGTTTTGGGAAGTCTTGCTTGGATGGTACTCATTGACGAGCGAGTGTATTTGTGAGAGTCAGTGTCCGTGGTCACGACCTTGGAAGTCTTTTCAGTTTTTGTTGTGAGCGTTTCGCAGCTTCCGTGAGCTCGAACTGTGGGGTTCTCTTGAGATTCATCAGACTTCTTTTTTCATTTCATTGCCGAACACTCGAAAAAGACACAACGGGAACTCAAAAATATGCCGGCAAAGAGAAGCAAAGATGCCAAACCCTCGGAGGGATCTGGCAAATTGGTCGTCACGGCCCAGCAGAGCCGGTTCCATACCGAGATGGACGAGGAAAATAATTTAAAAGAGGTCAGACTCGCCCACTATTCACCACTCAAAATCCATCCGTTGAAAATGTCCAGATTATCGTCAAAGACCTCTCCATCTCCATCTCCAACCGCGAGTTGTTGTCTCATGCCACGCTGAACCTCCAACGCGGACGCCACTACGTTCTGCATGGGAGGAATGGCATCGGCAAGTCGACTTTATTACGAGCGATTGGCGAGGACCAGGTACCGAATATCCCGAGAGGAGTGAAAGTACTACTCTTGGGACAGACGCAAGCCTCCCCGGCTCTGGAAGACGGGCTCGGCAGTTTGGCGTTGGAGGATATGAGTGTTCTGGAATATGTCGTGAGGAGCGATGAAGTCAGGGAGAAGTTGATGCGGGAATCAGCGATATTGGAGAAGGCGTTAGAAGCGAGTGGGACTGATATGATGGCGGCGGTGCGGGCGTTGAGGAAAGTGGAGTTTGACAGGCTGAGCAAAAGACTTCATGAATGGAGACAGATCGCTGAGAGGAGGAGTGGAGCCAGGGGGAAGGAGTCGAGAAAAGTCCTTATAGCCCTAGAAGAGGAGATGAAGGTTGCCGAGGAGAGGCTTGAGGGTGATGTGAGTGTGGAGGAGATGAGTAGCGAGACAAAGAGAGCGGCGGAGTTGTTGAGCGAAGTGCAGACAAGCCTTGAGTTGGTGAGTTGATATCTTTCTCGTCAACCACATGCATGACTGACCCTACTCATAGATGGACGCCGCCGGCGCCGAAGCAAAAGCACGATCCGTACTCCTCGGTCTAGGCTTCTCCCAAGAAAGCATCGACAAACCACGCTCCCAGCTCTCCGGTGGCTGGAAAACCCGCTGCAGCCTCGCCTGTGCGCTCTGCCAATCCGTCGACCTCCTCCTCCTGGACGAACCTACCAACTTCCTCGACCTCCCCTCAATCATCTGGCTAGAACGCCACCTACAATCCATGGACTCCACCACAACCGTCATGGTCGTAACCCACGACCGAGCCTTCGGAGACGAAGTCGCAGAAGAACTCATGGTGCTTCGAGAACAACAACTCTCCCGCTTCAAGGGCAATCTCTCCGCCTACGAGACCGATCGACTGAAGCAGTACAAGTACCTCACGCGGATGAAAGACGCCCAGGAGAAACAGAAGAAACATATCAAGGAGACGATCGAAGGGAACGTGCAAGCGGCGAAACGAGCGGGCGATGACAAGAAACTGAAGCAGGCTGCGTCGAGGAAGAAGAAGCTGGACGACCGTATGGGAATGCAGGTTTCTGCCAAGGGAGGGAGATTTAAGCTGAATCGCGATCTGGCCGGGTACCACACCAGCAAACGGGATGGTATCGAGGTCCCGACGTTCGACCCTCCGGCTACGATGGTCGTTCCTCTCCAACCGGCGGATTTGAGGTTTCCTGGTGCGTTGGTATCGTTTGAAGGAGTTTCGTTCTCGTATGGTAAGAAGGAGATCTTGAAAGAAGTGAATCTAACGATTCATCCCGGTGACTGCGTGGGGATCGCTGGGTTGAATGGATCAGGGAAATCGACATTGGTATCTCTGGCGATGGGCAATTGCATGGGAAAGGGCAGTGCACTGAAAGGCTCAATACAGCGACACACCCGAGCCAGAATCGGACTCTACAGCCAACTCGCAGCCGAAGAGCTCGAATCCATCTCTGCCGAACGGCCCTCCCTAACCGCCCTAACCCACCTCTTGGAATTCGCCAACCTCTCCCCCGACGACGAACAACCCGCCCGCGGCATCCTCTCCGGTGTCGGTCTCGCAGGACGAATCGCCTCCGACGTCCCCATCGCCCTCCTCTCAGGCGGCCAGAAAGTGCGTCTCGCTCTGGCCAAGATTTTCTGGAATCCACCACATTTATTGATCTTGGATGAGGTGACAACGCATTTGGACACGGATACGATTCAGGCGTTGGTGACGGCGTTGAGGGGGTATGAAGGCGCGATCTTGGTCGTCACGCACGATCGGTTCTTTATGAAGACTGTGGTGGAGGGGGTGTCGATGAGAAGTCTTGCGGCGCAGTCGAGGCCGGAGGATGAGGAGGAGGAAGATGAAAGTGAAGAGGATAGTGAGGACGATGAAGGTGGTGATGGGATCAAGAGGCCGAGGACCGTGTATCGTCTTTCGAGGGGGAAGTTGATCAAGTTGGATCGAGGCATGGAGCAGTATGAGGAGATTGCTGCGAGGTCCGCGACGAAGCTTGGGAAGACGTGAGGAAACTGTCGGACGAGCGAGAGGTGGTTTTGAGCTGACGTGGAAGTTGTGCATGTTGCAATTTTCCTTGAGGTATTTGATACTCCTTGCTGGGCTGATGAAGAATCTATCGTAGCATGCTGTCCGCTCGTATAGCCCGATGCAAGCCCTATGTTTGTTCAACACTTCTATTCAGAATACGTTCAAGGATGATCACGACCGACCTGACTATACAAGAAGCCGAATGCCGGACACATCCTGAAAGCTCCTCACATCGACCGCCCAGCTCAGTTGGCAGTCCACTCGATGCCATAAAAGATGGTACATCCAGTATCCCCACACTCATCCGGACCTCCCATCTGCGTGAACTCATTGAGACAGCTGGCGGACAAGACATCCGCCTGATAGATCGGATCGGCCTGGCAGAATTCGTCCGGGTACACGTTCAGCGTCGGGTGATCCTCGAGGCCCTTGGAGCTGTCGACGAGCATCGACATGAAGCCGATGTCGTTGTTGGTGCAGACGTCCAGACTCGTCAGCGTCACTGTGGTGGACTTGTTCTGGCAGCTCAGGTCGGAGTACAGCGAGAGGCTGATGGTCGCTGAGGCGTCTGGTGGGTTTGTACTTGTGGATGTCCCCGTGGGGGTACCAGTTCCCCCTGTGTTGGATGGATCATAGGTGGGATTGGCTCCGATATAGCCGGGGACTAAGATGGTGCCGGCATCGCCCCCGCCTCCCATCATGGGGATCTGGCCGTTGGGCCCAAACGAAGCGGTGTATGGCGGTTCACTTGCGCAGGCGGTGGTGGTCTCCTCTGTGGTTGTCGAGCCCGTGGCGCGGCAGCCGACGTGGTCGGAGCACGAGGTGCTGAAGCAAGAGGTCGTGTAAGTACTCTCATCAGAATCCGGTCCCACGTTGCAATCCACCGAGCAGTCGGTGACGGTGGAGCTGGAGGAACATGATGACTCTGGATCGTCTGGATCGTCGGGGTCATCAGGATTGTCTCCCCCGTCGCCACCACTGCCGTCGTCGCTATTATCACCACAGCCGGGGCCTACGCAGTCGCCTCCATTGGAGCAACCCACACCTATACAGTCGTTGCAGTTTGGTCTCCCACAGCCACCTCCGCCTCCACCACCTCCTCCGCCACCGAGACTACCACAGCCGATAATGCAGATAGGCCCAGGTGGACCAATGTGCCCCGTTATTGACGGCGGGCAGAAGGGACAACCCGTAGGCGGAGGTGGTGCCGGCGTGGTAGAGGTCTGTCCTGAGGTTGGCGTAGCCGGTGGAGGATAAGGTCCCAGACTGAAGACGTAGTAGATGCCCGGGATAGTTTTCGTTGTTCCACTAGTTGTGACGACGGTTGATTCTTGCGAGAGCGTAGCTTTTTGTGATTCTATTAGCGTCAAACAAACCTCGCGGCAGTACAATGTTGCAGTAAATACCTGGCGGTGGCAAGACGCTGCTCGTTAGAGTGAAGACGGGGGCATTGGTGTCCGTCCACTCTACGTTCGATACAGGAACTTCCGTCGTTGTGATGGGTGGGAATGTAATGGTGGTATCTGAAGAGTACTGGTCAGAAAGGGACGACAATGAGCGATTGAAACAACATTCCACGTGCCTGTTGTTTTGGTGATGTATACGGTGGTCGTCACCATTCCACTCAAGGTCGTTACCAGCGGCCACTCCTCCGTGATCGATGTTGTGACGGGTGAAGGCGTTATAGTGGTCGTGTAAGGTAGCGTCCAAGGTGGAAAGACGAAAGTGCATGGGGGCTGGCAGGACACGGTCGGGCTGCCAGAATAGACAGAGGGATCGATGGAAACAACACCACTGCCGGATCCGCCGCCAGTACCACCGCCTCCTCCACCACCATCTTCGCCCCCTGTAACATTCAAGTCGATAGCCTGTAGAAAAGATCTATTAGTCCCACAACTCGGCAGAAGATGTGCGAGGGCGTACCCAGTCCGACGTTCCAGCAAACCCCAGGGCTTGCGCCCACTCACTGCGAGAGTCGTACGTGGCGCCTTTCATCCATGAGACCCACTGAGTATCGTCGTACACAAGGATATCACCCGCCTCAGTCGTTTCGTATTGCTGAACGCTATACTGTCCACCATTAATAATGCTCAGGATCTCAGTATTCGATAGATAGCCAGGGGTTTCTGGATGCTGGTTAGCGACGAGTTGAGGAGAACATGGGGGCTGCTATACCAGTGCAATTCCCGGGCAAAGCTCCACTGGCGGGGCCTGTGAACGTGCATTCTGGGGTGATGCAGTCTGCCTGGCTCATTTGGAAGCTTCGGCCATATAGGGGCTGGCCCAGCATGATCTTGTTTGCCGGGACTCCGGCCTTCGTCAACATGGAGAGAGCGGATGCGGTTTCGGTGTGGTTAATTTGGGATCTCAAGCAGTTGTCGTTGGGACAGCCGGGGTTCGTGAACTTGTTGCCATAGTCCCATTGCCTTGTTGCGGCTGTCAGCGAAGAAACCGGGGAGGGTGAGTGCAGCTCTTACCCGTGCAAATCATATGTCATGTAGATGAAGTAGTCAAGGAGAGGCGCCATGTCCTTGACAGGAAAGGCTTTCGAATAGTAGTACGATGCCGGCAGCGAAATCGAGACGGTACATTGACTTGGCAGAGCAGCGCGAAGAAGCTTGAGAAATGCGAGGTAATTCGGTCCACTGTCTGGGGAATCGATTGGAATGTCTTCTCCCTCGTCGTCAGGTGCACCCGGATACTACGGCGACAAACGTTAGACACTAGGCTGTTGGTAATGACGTTGTCACATTACCTCCCAATCAATGTCGATGCCGTCGATTCCCTCATTTTGAACGAATGCGGCGAGGTTATTTGCAAACGTCTGCCGGTTGTCAGGCATGGACCCCTGATCTTAGGATATCGTAGGTACTAGGCTGTGTCGGTTAGTATCAAGATAACTGTAGGTCATAGATGTACTCACTGCGGTCGAGAACGTCCATCCACCGAAAGAAACGACCCGTTTAAAACCCGTTTGATCCTTAAATTTGGCCCAGCCGTCCTCGTATGGGGTCACGGATGGTTCGAAGGAGTCTGAGATGTTGGCGAATGCCCAGTGGACAATGGTGTATCTCTCTGGTATGGAAGCGACCTATAAATGACCGCACGGTCGATCCACACTAAATGATTCGTAGTATCCGACCCTCTCGAAGGTAGCAGGGGGAGGGCCGGAGATGATGTCGGTCCCGCAGTTGGATATGCACCCATTACTCCCCGGCTGTGCTGTTCCAGGGTTGCCAGTGTCTCTGAACCGAGCAAAGGGGTTAACATGACACGTCACTTTAGACGATTATCATCTATTCGACTTACGCTGGATCAGCCGTGCAGAAGTCGGGAGTGATTCCTATGAAAGTATTAATACCTATCGACGGCTCCTGCTCGAAACATCGATTCTTACCGCATTGGCCGAAGATATCGCAGCAAGCGTTCAAGGGACACGGATTGAGGTCAGCCCAAGTCGTTGGCTCGGATGTCGCCTGCGTATTGTTGACCTGTGGACCGCACACCGAATTCGGTACATTAGCAGGGAATGGAGGGATACCAGTACTTAGACAAATTTTCATTCCCACGAACAGGTTGCCACAGCCTTGCCAGCCCCAAGTCTGGTTGTTCCGGTTTTTTATGTCCTGCGTGGTCATCTGATGTGCCTCGGCGATGGCCGCGCAGTAATCATCAGGCTGTATCGTATACGAGATGCAACTGCCGTCTGGATTCTGCTGAGGGGAAAAATCCGGCAGGCTTCCTGCGGAGCAGCATGCATACTATCTTGGTCAGTGAAGAATGGAGCGTTTCAAGAGGCGACCCCACCTCATCTGGGGTCAGGCTAGAACAGAAGGCACTGCTTCCATTGTACGACTCCAGTTGATCCTGGGAGATGCCACAACGTTCTGCTACTGAATAACAACCATCGCCAGACTCGACTAGACAGGACGAATTAGTCTTTGATGGTGCATTGGCTCAAGGAAGATGTCAAACCTTGAGTGTAATTGCAGGTGGCTCTGACGACAAGTATTGATCTCGCTTCTGGAGCAATCGAAACTCGGGTTCCAGAAAGGCGCTGCACCTGCACGCCGTCCCAAGGCTGGCTTTGGTCTCCTGTGATGCACCCTGCTTGGTCCCAACTCCGCAACGTCGTCCCCACCGTCAATACAGACGTGTCATAGATGACACCGAAGTAGTCTGCACTGACTGTCTTGTCGGCAGTGCCGCACGATTGAGCAGCAAACTCGGAAGGTGCTGAATTCTGGCCTACCCGATCGTGGAACTTGCTAATCGCAGCAGCGGCACTTGACTTGTCGAGTTGAGATCCGATATATGCCCCAGCAACCATTGATTTCGAGCGTGCAAAGATGGTGGACGCATTGTTCTCTATTGTTGCAATGTAGTTCCCTAATCCGTCGAGGGCGGCTTGAGCGGCAGCAATGTCGGCGTCTCCGCCGTTGTTTCCACTGACGAGTTGTAAAGAGGCCGCTGCTGGCGTTGTGTCGTTTAGAGAAAGCACTTGTCTTCGTGCAAGACTTGGTGACGAAGCATTTCCCCGTGCTGGATCAACCGTCGCCCTATCAGAAATGCTCTTCACTCCAGCAGTACCGTCTGGCAAGACCGTACCACCTGTGGCTGTACAGGCCCTGTAGTAAAGATGTTTCGTATTGGTAACGTTGTTGTAGATGTTCGTCTCGAAGATCACAGTGCCGTCGCAGGCATTGAGCTCGTCGAAGCCATAATAGTATGTCCAAGCAGATGGGTTCGAGCCGCTTGGGTCACACTCAATTGGACATGGTGAGATTGCTGAAACGAATTGCGTTTTGGCAACTTGGGCTTCAAGCAGAACGTTCAACAATATCCCTGAGATTGAAGTACTGCTGAGTCCGTTGGCTAGTCTCATGGTGGAAACTCGAATGTCGTTGAAGGAACTCCTCAGGGGAGCAAGAATGATTGATTCAGCCTGGCGCGAGAAATCCTCTACCATATGCGTAGACAGTCTAGACAGTCTTCTACCTCGCACTTTCGGACCTCGTCATAGATGCGGCGGGCCCGAGATCCGCACGCAGTCTGTTGAGATGGTTGTGTGTAAGTGGAGGCATGACACTAGTGCTGAGGATACCAATGCCGTACATCTAGCCAGAAGAAGAATCCCCTGCCCTAAACAATAAGAAAGTGGATCCTGCAGCCAGTCAGAGCCTGGGGAGAGCCTCCAGTCTTCGAGTCTGCCTCGAACACAAAATGATCTTGACTTTCGTTGTAATAGACTTTTCTTCATTGTGTTCACGCCGCGTCCCAACCATGTAGCCTCTACGGAGTGGGCGGATGAATCAAATTCCCGGCCCCAAGAAATGAACTCTCTCGATGTGCTCTTGAATCCCCTCTCGCGACACCCGGTAGTGCTGCAAACTGTGCACCCCAAACATGGCAGTATCAATGAGGCGTTCCATCTTTGCAATCCTCCTGGTTCTGGTCATTGCAAGCGCGTGGCCGTGAGTAATCCGATTTTCTTGTTGCCAAACCCCACGTTCACTGGTTAAAATTGTTGTTAGGTTCGCTTCAGTACCTCGCACTACAAGTGGAGTGACCAAAAGAGATGACGACAGTCCTGCAACGGGCTGTGGTCCATACTGCGCGGCTTGCAAAGCCAACACAGGATGTACGCCTGTCTCGAAGCGCAGTCTATCCAATTCATGGGACTTCAGCTCCGAATACACCCTGAACAACAATGGTTCGACAGATCGTGTTCTGCGGAAGCGAGTTCTCGAAGAAGTTGATGCGGATGATATTGGCCAGTATTTGAACGACCGCGAAGATGAGAATGACGTTATTGGTTTGGTGGAGAGAGTCGACGACAGCGATTACAGTGTCACAAGGCTTGAGAAGTTCAGCGATTGGCAAGACACCAATGAGCCTTTGATCATGGGCACTGAAAATGGATTCTTGACTGGATGTACAATCTTGACTGTGGTGTCCTCGCAGGCCGTGTATATGGTAAGACCCATGGATTGTTTCAAGGATCTGGAATCGTGTTGACCAGATACGCTTCAGGGCCACTTCTGGCAGAACTTGGGGTTCAAGAATTTTAACAAAAAGGATCCAGAACCAGCGGACTTTCAGGGAAACGTCGCCAACCTCATCACCGGAACTGGTGATCTGTTCTAAGCGATAGGGCCAGCATTAGATGTCTCTCTCTTCCCTCAAACCGAGCCCATATACGTCTCGATCATGACGCCGAAACACGCAAGCAACGGGAGGTTGTATTTTCCGAAGATTATCAATACTGATCTCAAAAATTTGCTGCAGGGTCTGCTGGGTTCTGGTGCGAGAATTGATGTCGTGGGCTACGTGGCGAAGAATAAGTATCCCAATAACAGTCCATTAGGCCGCGCTCTCTTCGAGTACGATTGTGATGCCGATGGCCATGGAAACGGTGACTGGCGTCTGTGGTACGAGGCTAGGGTAGCTCGGGGGAGGTTATTGGGCCAGGAGGTCATCCCATCGGCTTAGGGCTGTCGGGCAGGGCTGTGGGGCGTCTGTGAAGCATGAAGCACGGGCCAAAAAGCGCTTTCCCTATTGCAGGATAGAGATGCAAGCGTAGATGTAGTGAGCCGCAGTACCCGTGGACGTCACGCAGTATGAGAAGTACACGTACCCCATGCACACATATATGTATCTCCATGCCGACTTCAATGGAACCCTTTGGTTTCCCCTTCCTCACCCTTGTCCTACAACATTAGGCTCAATATGGCCGCAGCCGGTCTGGAATGTCTTACCAGCGAGCTCTTTGAAATGATTGTACAGCGTCTGGACTTGAGCAATGTCCGCAACCTGCGCCTCGTTTGTCGGAACGTTGCGTTCAAGGCCACCCAGGACACCTATCGACAATTCTTCCGGGTCAAGCATGTCGACCTCACCCGCCCTGGTTTGGAAACATTCGCTCAATTAACGTCATCCGGGGGATTGGGATGCCTCGTAGAGCATTTGACGCTTGTGGGCATAGTGTACAATCCGACTTTACTCGAAAATGTTGTCAAAAGCGGTAAAAAGTCCGTTCTGAGGGAAGGCTCCAGCTCATACATGGTCTCGCGATCATGTAGCGAGGAGGAATTAAAGCAAGCGCGAAATGATCTTGAGACCATGCGGCGACGACAGGCAGATCTCGATGAGCTTCGACAGCAACGTGTCGACGTTTCACTGCTAAAGACGGCACTTTGTAACCTCGCGGCAAACATAAACCATACACCGCTGAAGAGTCTCTCGCTTCAGATAGCCGTCTATCGCGAGAACACGAAAATCAAACTCAGCCCAAGCGACGGCAAATGCTGGAAGTCGGTATTCGAGGCTACAGCGAGGAGTTTTGTGCTAGCAATGTCGTGTCTTCGCGATAGTAAGCTCCCTGTGGAAGGGCTGGACATATTTGCGAAGAAGCCGGAATCTCTATGCTGCAGCCTTCCTTGCGACACGCTGAATCAACTCGAGTGGGCGGTCGGCTTTGGCCCTTCTTTCACAACACTAAAGTCTCTATCGATTAGCATATCGGACCCCATCGCTGATGAGTCGGAATATCACGCTCGCAAGTCCGGGGACCCTGCCCAGAAAGTTCCATTCGAGTTAATAAAACAGAAGCGGGACCGAGAGACATTGAGGGCCTTGATTCTGGACGAAGGGAATGTATCTGGACTCTGCGAGATGCTTAGTGTTTGCCATCACTTGGAGGAGCTGGAGCTTTCAGCCTACGCCCTTGAGCGTTCGGATTCTGAACTTGAAGACCTCCAAGAGACGATGCGGCGCCGGTATATGGACAACCTCGCAAACCATATGATGCCACTAGTCCAACTACGCAAGCTCCGGATTGGTGGGCTCAGTGCGAGCCAGGAAGATCTTTTGGCCTTTCTGAGGAACCACAGCAGCTCGCTTCGTGGCCTCGAACTCAGCTCCATCAGCATCGATCGAGGTTCGTTTGCTCCCGTCATGCTCTGTATCCGAGACATGAACCTTGAAAGTATCCAACTGGAAGACCTATGGGAGAATGGGGACCTGGTACTTCTCAATGACGAGATGGAGTCAGAGTACACAAAAATAGGTGGAGACTACCTTGGACAGAACGTGATTAACATCACGGGAGCAGATACTAGCAACAAGATTGCTTATTCTCCGTATCGTGGACCTGCTGTAGGCTCCCCCAAGGTCAGAAGGTGGCAACAGAGGAAGAAGATGGATTTTGGAAGGCTGTGATCCTGGCCATGGGAAAAACCACAGCTGGTTGGCGACGGTACTACTGCACAGAATGCCGCCGGTCCAGTCTTTGGTCGGATGGTAACTGGACATAGCATCGGATGTCAATGCACCAGATTTGATAGGCTTGGCCCGCCCGTGTGCTGGTGATATACATGTAAAGAGCGTGGAATCTGAAGCAAGTAAAGTGACGTATCCAGGTGAGATAAGCTCCTGCCAGACGAGGGACACCGGCCAGGCAAACACAATGCATCTCAGCCACCTCAATCCATACGTATCTAGCCTTTCCACGAAGAAAATCTACGGATCTATCTCCACAATCTCCTCTGCTCAGACGGAAATACATGCCAGCGGACCATGTCCCCCACGCCCATCTCCATCTCAAGAGCCGTGCCTGCAGACATTGTCAACCTTGTCACCATTCGCCGCGCCGCCTACGCCACCGACCGTCTCCACGCCCTCGGCCTCCCCTCTCCCATGACTCCCTCACAGAAACAAGCCTACCTCTACTGCCAGCTCGCCACCATGGAGATTCGCTTTACGCTGTCGAATAGGTATTACTTCAAAGCCGTTGATTCATCAAGTGGGAAGACCGTGGGGTTCTCATGTTGGAATGCACTGGAGGGTGATTCGAAGGGTGCGGAGGGTGGTGAAGGACCGGTGATGCCGTCCTTGCCAGGCTTTGTGGACAGCAAAGTCTTCGATGAGATTGGTAAGAAGTTCAAAGAAGCAAAGGAGAGGATTGTAGGTGGACGGGGGGATTTTTGGTGTAAGCTACTTTTTCATTTCTTCCATGCCCTCGCCTTTTCCTCCAGGGGTCTATCAGTATTCATCCCCTAATTCACGTGTAATGAATTCCAGACCTCCAAGCAATGATCGTCTCCCCCTCCCACCAAAAACGCGGCATGGGGACCCAATTACTCAAGCATGGTTTGAGGGAGTTGGTCGATCGCGATGGATTGGATTGTTATCTGGAGGCTTCGGAGGTGGCGGCGAGGCTGTATGAGCGGAATGGGTTTGTGCCGTAGGTGGCGATTTTGATTGAGGTGGAGGAGGGTGGAGTTTATACTGTTAGAGGGATGTTGAGGAAGGCGGGCGGCTAGATTGAGATTTTAGTGAATCGGTCGAATGGTGATCAGGGGTTTTGTTTCTCCTCGGGTTTGAGATCTTCTGCTTTCCGCTCCTCTTCTCTACGCTCCTCCAGCAATTGCTTCGGCGTCTTGCCCTGCTCATCTTTCACATCAGACCGAGCCCCGTAACCCTCCAACAGCTTCATAGCGTCGACCTTCTTCCCATCTGCAGCGAAATGCATCGGTGACCAAGTGGCGTACAAGGACCGATTGCGGGCGGGAAGAGTGTTCTCGGGAAGAAACTCATTCACGTCTGCCCCGCGCTGAATCAGGAGCCGCATGGTATCCAGCCGGTCAGACCCAGCCGCGGCATGTAGCGCCCCTGATTGAGGAATTACAGCGCCATGCTCCAGCAACAACTCGACGAGTCGAGTGGTTCTCGCAGGAGCGGCTTTGGACAGGAGGGAAATCATATAGCTCCCATCCCTTTTATTGCCATAACCCCCATGCCCGGGATGTTTGACGGTGGCGCCGTGTCGAAAGAGTAGAGCAACCATATCCGTCATGCAATACCTGACAGCGTGATCCAGAGGTTGGACGCCATGGCCCATGTGGAAGGTGACGACGCTGGGCTCTGCTTCGATGAAGACCTCCATGATATCCAGGTGATGCCCGTACATCACTCTCAACACGGAATGGTATCTTATGAAGTCCAAGGGCTCCACGTCGTGCTCCTTGCCGAACTTGAGTAATGTTTTCACGACGTCAATATGGCCGCGCGGGGCCGATCGGTTCATACCCCGTACCAAGTTTTCCATCCATCCCACGTAAACTCCTCGCGCATCGTTCTGGACATCTTTCTTAACTGGGCGGTGTTCGCTCTTGATACACCACTGTGTGTCGAGCATAATCTTGGCCCAATCTGGGTGTGAGAGCAAGTCCCGAAGTAGGATGTCGTCGCCCGATGTGCAGGCCTCAATGAGAGGGAGGGCGGCATCCACATCGCCTTCCGCAACATCGAAAAGCTCGTTCGATGATTCTCGTCGTTCGATATACGTCGATCGCGCTGCCTGAGATTGTGCCATGACTGCTGTAGGTTGATTCCTCGTGGTGAATTGCGGGTGAGCCCGATTTGTAGAAGTTCAGATGTGAGTAGAAGCCTGTATATTTGACAGGCCCATGAGCGTGGACTGCAAGCTATACTGCAGCTGGCGATTGTTACGGAATTCAGCCTATGCAGCCGAGCCGCACCTTCTATGACTCTACTCCGGTGAGGCGCCAGATTGTGGCTGTGAAGCAGCCAGGCGACAAGCTAGTCCGAGATGGATTATTCAATTGGCAACGTCGCCACCAAACCCGACAGGTCTTCGCCGGGGCTGGTTTTGATTGGGCGGATTGTAAGGAAGAATCGCCATAACCTGGTAAAGACGACCCATGCCTTGTGGACTTTGGTCGATGAGTCGCTTCCACCCGCTTTCGATCCTCTTCACGATTTCAGTCAATTCGCTTTTGTCTTGTCCAGTAGAGCCAGCACGTTCTTTGTCGACGGCCCGTTTTACGAGCTGCGCAGCCCTCTCTTCGATGCCCATGGACAAAAGGAACCGCCCTTGATCTACCGGGCCATGAACTTCAACTCCTGGTGATGAATTGATGGCGGTCTCTGCCAAAGCCATAAAGTCAACATCAGCACTAACATCAGTAGCTCCAGCTGACAGGAATGGCGAGACGCGATTGTGAGCGCGAATGCCTCGGAGTGAGTTCGTTGGGATTGTAGCTGCTGGGCCGTAATCGATCATGAGGGCAGCTCCAGATGGCTCAGGCTTCTGGACAGGCTGCTCTCTGGCAGACGAAACCTGCCTTCCAGGAACAGCAACCTTTGGTTTGGATGCTGCTTCGATCTCCTGCTGATTCGACCCGCCTAACCGTATGGCAAAGTCTCGCACGTACGCCTGGCTTTCAGGGCTGATCTCAATGGTTGCGCCATCAGTCTCCTTCAACGCTGTGTAACGAGGCGAAGTCTCTGGTAGGTACATTGAATGTGGTGTTGCTGTTCTTGATAGCGAAAGTTCAAATTCTGGCTCGCCTTCTTTGAGTCTGTGCGGCGGTTTCGGCGAAACGAGCATTTCCCTCCACTGGCTGGCTTCTGATTGCTTTCGCTGTGCTTGAATCGGTCCGGTTGGAGTCTGGATCGTGTTTTGCTGTTCAGGAGATTGCTTGATGGCTTGAAAGATGTGTATAGGCAAGGCGTCGAAGAACTCGTGTGCGATGATAAAGGGTGTCTTGCTCGCTTCTCGAGGCACGAAACGTACGTCCTCAGTCCAGACAATCTTGAGGTCCGGCGAATGTCGGCTGACACTTTCCCAACCCAATTCAGTCTTTGCCATGCTATTCTCACCGCAGAGGAGCCGGTGCTGAGCATGTCGTAACGTTTCACTGGCTTCGATGAGATACACAGCCTCGATAGCCTTGGCAAAAGGTGGAAAGTTGCGTATTGTCTGAAGATTTCAGTGTTTCAGTATCTGCGACTCTACGAGAACGTGCAATATATCTTACACGCAGCATATCATCCATCAGAGTGCCTCTTCCAGGGCCTACTTCCATCAGGTATACGCCCTCGCTCTTTCGTCCCTGTGCAATCCATTCTGCAACGATCCAGACACCAATGAGCTCGCCAAATATCTGGCTGATCTCGGGCGATGTGACAAAATCTCCTTTTGCTCCAAACTGATCGCGGTCAGAGGACAGAGCTCCTGTGTAGTAACCACCTAGATCGGACGTGAGAACTTGGCGCATGTACGATGCTACTGGGATCGGACCGGTGGTCTGGGTCGCATCAGCATTGAGTCAGTCTCAGTCTACCGTACCGCTGGCCATACCGTGATCGCCTCAGCCAATTGTTTTGCCAACGGGGTTGACCATTTGTGGCCTCCTTCTGAGGAACTCCATCTTACACCAGGAAGTCTGCTACATCGTAAGTTGATCTGAGCAGTCCGCCGTACCAACTTCCTGGCGGTGCGGCAAAAGCTGCCACTCATCTTCTGCAATAATGAATGTTGATGCTGTGTGAGAGAAAGTCGGATCTGGGACATCTTTCCTCGTGTGGTCCGAGCTCACCTCCGCGATTACGCTAGCCCCAGAAAGGCATCTTTCCGCATCGCAAGGGTAACATCACCTTGCACGAGGCTGCAAAATACAGAACATGGACAACCGCGAGGAGCACAGTCCCTGCTCAGCACAAGCATCATTTGTGCAAATGGGCCGAGAAATCATCATGCTCATTTTAAGCTTGCTCTTCATGGACTGCTTTCCCATTGATCAGGGCAACTTTTGATGAGCGAGCGTAGTAGATACGCGTCCTGCATCACATTTACAGAGAAGCTGTGACTACAAATACAAGTATCGAATTGGTACAGAGGATGAGCGGGACTATGGCAATGAGACTTTGTTTCGACGTGTTGTGATTCTACGACTTCCGGGGAAGATCATACTTCTGCGGGCATGGCACCACTCCACCACACGGTCCACACCCAGCGCACACCCAAGCCGCGAAGGACGAGTATCCCCTCAGCAAGCCTTCCCATACTTCTCTTCTTCTACTTGCCCGACCCCCCCGTCTCCCTCATGAATTTGTCGAAGTCCTCGTCAAGCTGTTTCTTCCGTCTCTCTTGCTCCTCCTCGGCCTCAAGCGCCCCGATCAAGCGCCTCAACTCCCCAATCCACGCCATTATCTGTGGCAATGGCTGCTGCTCCTCCGCCGGTTTTGCCATGGCTTCGTGGGTAGCCCCAGCAATCTGCGCATTCCACCGACTCTCCACCGAACGCGCGACCTCCGATCGAGTTGCGAGTGGCATTCTCCTCCTCCGATCCTCAAGCGCCTTCCTGAGCGCGATGTTCTCCTCACCTACGTCTCCGAGATAGGCGCCCCACTCGTTGTTGTAGTCGATGTCGCTGAGAGGAATGGCGGGTTTGGCATTCTGTGTTTGAAAGTGCTTGCACAACTCCCTGTCGTCGGCTTCGAGAAGGCGATCACAGATGCGGCAGCGACGACCTGACAGTGGCGGACGCTTGTAGCCTCTTGGACCGACGGGTGCGTTTGGGGGTGGCGCTGAGGTGATGTTAGCTTACATACTTTCAAGTGCACCTTCGTTCAAACTTACACGGTAGAGCCATGTCTTGCTGCTTGCGTTTTAGCTCTTGTTGTGAACTGATGATGTTGTAAACAGCGCCCTAACATGAAGTGATATATAGGCACGGCTCTGTTTGCTTTGCCAAGGCGCAGAGCAAGCGCTTGGCTTCTCTTAGGACTCCAGGAGAAACAAGCAGAACAAAACCTCCTGCATTATTCCACCAGCCTGGTACTCCATGCACCTTCGGAGAATCTAGCGCAATCTAGTCCAGGCTTGTGGTACATGCAGACAACGGATAGGCTACCACTTGCCCTCCACAAAAGAGTTCTTGGAGCTTTAGCAGAAACAAGCAGGACAAAGCATGCTGGAGCTTTCCATCAGCTTGGTCCTTCATGCAGTTTCTGGTATTCGAGAACATTGCTGGCTGAGATCGTGGTTCAGGCGACGGATGAGCAATAGCTTGGCTTGAACATGAAGGTTCTTCAAACCTCGGCGGAAACAAGCAGGACAAAGCATTCTGGAATTTCCCATCAGTTTCGTGCTCCACGCAGTTTGGGGGATTCTGGCACATAGGAGGCTACGACTGTAGGGCACACGCCGGCCTCGAAACAGACTTATGTTGCTGGGCCTTCTAGTAAAATCTCGCAATCAGCATTCTTAGCAGAATGGTGAGATGGCAGTTGGAAGGAAGATGGGTAGAACGAGGTCCCCACAAAGTCACACCGCTTGTGTCGTCTTCGAAAAGTAGATGAGCAGTCAACAGTACTCGAGAAATGATTCGATGGATGCGTGGCTTCTATACTGACACGATAAGACGAGAATGGTACATCTAAATAGCGTTGTCTTGAACCTGTCTTATCTTCAGCAGAACATTCTCTTTGCTGGGACACCGTAATATGACAGCGCCCTTTGTTTGCACATGATTCTGCCGACGCGAGCGAGAGATGCCTTATCGAGCTTGACATTTTGCATCCCAATGGTCGCGATCCGCCGGCCGGTCGGATCTTGAAAGTCTCGATATTGATGGCGAAGGCAGGGAAAGCCCGGCCAAAGGTGGAGAGCATCATTCTCATATTGAGTCCCCCAGTAGATGGTCGTGTTCCACTATTCCATAACAACGGGAGGCTTTTCGATCATGGTTGGCAGCAGGTTGGTAGCAGAGCCCTGAAGAGGCCAATGCTAATACTGACAGGGTAGTCTTTTACCAAAACTTGCTCCAACATGCGTTCACCACGCTTGGAGGCTAAGCGTGGGCCATGGAGATCCCAATGGCGTGTGTAGAAAGAACAGGCCTTCTCGAAAGTTTCCAGATCATGGTGTTCTTCGATTAGCTTCTATTTGCCTTGCGGGAGTATGTCTAGCATCCTACAGGTCCACCTTCATGTAGCTGCACGGGCCGTCCAGAAGAGGTCCTCCAACGAGGGCACCGTACATGGTCTCCATCCCGTCCCGCGGAATTGGTCCTGCACGCCATCTCTGACACACGTCTTGCAAGTTTTCGATGCACCAGTCTTGCATTTGTACAGCCTGCCGGTATTTGAGAGAACCCGGAGAGTAGAGTGATTTCGTTTCCCTTTGCTGAAGCCTGCTCCAGGCGCCGAGAGAAAGCTCGAGTGGAAGTATCATGCCAAAGCTGATGAGGCATTGCGCGGGACTAGGCTTCAAGGCGTAGTCGAGGCACTCCGCGACAGAAGTCGCGGCGTCTAGTTCCACGTATTCGGCCTCTGCGAGCAAGCACTGGTCATCTGAGATTGTTGCCAACGTTACCAGCAAGCCTCCAATGAGCAGTCGGTAGGAGTAGTATCGGGTTGCAAAGACGAAGGCAGGCGTTGATTCGAACTCGAGAACTGTACCGGTTGGGGACTTCGTTTCGCTGCTGAGCGACGTCGTTGTCCAAGACATGGCTGCCAAAGCTTCTCGTGCCCATTGATCTTCTGCTGAGTAACGGAGTAGGTTCACCAATTCGATGACCTCAGCCAGGCCCTCGAGATCTTCGGTGCAGTCTCGAACATAACACACTAGGCGTGGTATTTGAATGAGCAGATCGTCGACAATCTGCGTTGTGGCGTCGACTTGCGGCGGTGCACTGAGGTCAACCGATGGGCGAGCGATAGATTCGAGTTGGGACGGCTCTCCGAAATGGATCGCCGTCACGATCTATCATCCAATTTAGACAATAGTCTCATCCATAGCAGAGAGGTTCGACGTACTTCAAGGCAGCATATCATACTTACAATGCTCTGAATGGCGGCGTTGTTGGGTTGATCTTGGAAATGGGAGTTGAGTAGGTGACAGACGCCCTGCAGATGTGGGATATAGCGCCAGGATGCGACTCCGAGAAAGTGCTAAGATCCGATCAGTAAGCCCATAGGAGCAAATATAGCGCCAGTCAAGAACTCACCTCTGCAGCATAATGCAGCATTATCGCGACCACTAAACTCAATTTGTCGTCTCCGTCTTCGGAAGACTCTATGCTAGATTGCAGGCTTCGAAGGGCTCGAACTCCAATTCTGCTCGCTCGCTTCAAGCTCTCCTCGGAGTGCGATTGTTGAAAAGCAATCATGCTCTGCAGGGCATATCGCAAAGCGAGCTCGAGGCAGGGACTGTTGCCGCTGTCTGGTTGTGCCAGCTTCACCCAAGGACCTAAGGGATTGAGGTCGAGCGCTTCATAGCCAAAGACGGAGCCCAGGTCGACCGCACTGGTGGCCTGGGAGTCTACGTTCACGGGTGAAGGTGGCTGCGACTTTACGGGCTCAAACGTGAGAAACTGCCCTCGGCCAGCTTCAGCCTTTTGGTGACGCTTCAAGCGGTAGGTGCATGTGACCTTCTTGCGACTCTCGACGACTGCATTGAGGGCGTCAATCGGCGTAATAGTGGCATCCTTGGCGACCGAGCTACGGTCGTGAATGAAGACAGATTCCACATAATGGCAAGGCCGTCGTTTGATGCTGCATGGTCCACACATGGGCCATTTCTCGTCGCACTGCGTTGCAAGGTCAACCTACAGCCTCGTCCCGGGGCAGTGATTAAGCATAGCGGGCGCACCTTGACCTTTCTCTTCCTACACGTTTCGCATTTGCCGTGTCTGGTCATGGCCGCGCAGAGGATCTCGCTGAATGTGCTGGATAAGCAGCGACAAGACGGGAGGTTCGCATCTCGCCACGAATGCAGCACTGGCGCCGCGGTAGCATATATCCATCTCTCGCCCACTGCCAGCCAGAACGGCGCAATCACGACCTAACGGAGCGCTCCGAGCGCAGCTGGACGTGAAGTCGCCAGTTGAAGGAAGACCTAATCTTGGCGATGCAAGGGTAGAGCGCTAGCGCCAACCTTATATGTCGGCAGGAAGGAGGCCGCCGACCCGATTCTTAAACCTTCTCGATACGTGCATAACCCTAAGTCAGCAATGCGAGTTATAGCTCAGCTGTCCCGCCTAGGGCATTGACATTTCCGTGAAAAGTGAGCTAATCCCGGCTTCTCTTTCGCGTTCGTCGTTTAGCTGACTGGGATAGACTCACCATGACCTCGCGATGGGCCGATACGGACGAAGATGCGGCTGAGGACGCACGGCGGAAGGCAGAAAAGGCGGAGAAGAAGAGGCTGAAGGCGGAGAAGCAGCGCAAGGCAGACGAAGAAGCTCAGCAGCGTGCTGCAGCAGATGCTAAAAATGACGCGCTGAATGGACACGAGTACGACCACGAGCGCCCCTCGAAACGCCGACGCCTATCACACGACAACATACCAACTACGCACGAAGAGGAACGCAAGTTGCTGCGCTTTGACGCCCCCGCATGGCAGCCTTGCCGCTCGGTGGAGCGCTTTGATCGTCTGAACCATATCGAGGAGGGCAGCTATGGGTTCGTGTCTAGGGCAAAGGAAGAGGCGACTGGGGAGATCGTGGCGATCAAGAAGCTGAAGCTGGATGCTGCGAGGGATGGCGGCTTCCCAGTGACTGCACTGCGCGAGATACAGTGTCTACGGGCTTCGAGACACAGGCATGTGGTGGACCTCCGAGAAGTGGTTGTGGGAGGATCTGGCACTGGAGATGTCTACCTGGTCATGGAGTTCTTGGAGCACGATCTCAAGACGCTGCAAGAAGACATGGACGAGCCGTTTCTGCCTTCAGAAGTCAAGACCCTGCTATTGCAGCTGGGGAGTGCAGTGGAGTTCCTGCACGATCATTGGATACTTCACCGAGATCTGAAAACTAGCAACATATTGATGAACAATCAGGGGGAGATCAAGCTTGCAGATTTTGGCATGGCGCGGTTTTGTGGCGATCCTGCCCCAGTCAATTTGACGCAGCTGGTGGTCACTCTTTGGTACCGGTCGCCGGAGCTACTTCTAGGAACCTCAACATACGACACGGCAGTTGACATGTGGAGTGTTGGTTGCGTCTTTGGAGAGTTGCTGACCAAGAAGCCTCTGCTGCAAGGGAAGAATGAGGTGGATCAACTAAGCAAGGTGAGTCAAGCATCCAGTCCAACGTCGACTGGGAAGAAGAGATACGATATGCGTTTACCAATTCATTGACGTATGCACAGATCTTCGAGCTCTGCGGGATTCCTACCGAAGACACTTGGCCCGGCTTCAAGCGACTACCGAACGCCCGTTCGCTTCGACTACCCTCAAACAGCAACAATGCTCACGGCCCGATCGTGCGGTCTAGATTCCCGACCCTCACGAACGCTGGCGCAAGCTTGTTAAGCAGTCTGCTTTCATTAAATCCGTCGAACAGACCCTCCGCCAAAGAAATGCTGCAGGATCCGTATTTCCAACAAGATCCTCGACCGAAGCCCACTGCAATGTTTCCAACATTCCCTTCGAAAGCTGGACAGGAGAAGAGACGACGACAGGCCAGCCCTAACGCTCCTATTCGCGGCGCAGCTCCTGGATTGCAGGGTGAGATGGACTTCAGCTCAATCTTTAATGGTAGGGAGGAGGAAGAGAAAGGGGGAGGGTTTCAGCTGAAAGTTGTGTGATGAGGGTAGGGTTCAGGATCTGCCTGACTTGTTCATAACCGAGAGACTATCATCAGTTTCAATTGCGCGTGCGGTACCATATCATCTCTGGTACCTCAGTGCTGTGATTTTCATCACTCATGCAACCCATAATATCCTATGTACTTTTTCATCTCGCGCAATGCTCCTTTACTTGCTCAACTTCTCCGCCTGCTCATCCACCGTCGACTTCATGGGACCCTTGCCACTGCCACCCGTCACACCAATGCTCCCCTGACCCGACGACGCCACACTGCCATCCTCATTCTTCAAGCCCTCGCCAGTCTCGTGGTCAGGAGGTGGAGCCGCCTTGGAGGAGCGGTCAACGCCGGAGGAAGTGGGTTGCTGTGAATGAGTCGAAGTGAGTCAGCTTGCCGAAATTTCCCGTCATCCGATACGGGTCGGATACGTACCTCGTTGCCGGCCGGAGTGCCGTGCGTGAGGTTGTCGCCGGCTTCTTCGGCGTTGTGCGAGTGGCCTGATCCGTCGCGGGGCATTTTGATTGTTGGTATTTGTGGTGTTGTGTAGAAGGAGCTTTGGTTGTGTGTTGGTGCCGTTTGGTAGGATGGGCGATGGTTTGGAGTGTATTGTTGTTTGGATGAAGAGGAGCATGCGACTGTGAAGAGCAGACGTGTACTTGTACCTGGACGATCTTTTGCATGTGCGGCGGGCGGCCAATGTCATTATGATGTCACGGTTATGGGTCGAGTGAATGATGAAATCTGGTAGACATGTGGAGCCATTCAGCTTGACAACTTCGCTTACAACAGGTGTAACAGAGACTTCAATTGACTGTGGTATACAGCTGGAGTGTTGGTTTGGTAGATGCATGTGTGCATGTGAAAGGGAAAGCAAAAGGCGAAGATTGGAAGCTGCAGGTGAATTCGGCTTCGAGATTTAGAGTTCGTGGCGTCTCGGCAAAGTTGCCGTGAGTGAGAGACTCCTGGACTTCACGTTCAGACAATTTGTGCTTTCGAGGAAAACATTATTGTATCATCAATCGTTTCGATCCATCACCACAATCGAACCAAATCTTGCTATGCCATGCGGAAAGGCGTCATCAAGAAGATGAGCACAAGACCACGCCTTCCACAATGAGCCTGCTCGGCCTGCCGGCTGCCTTGCGACTGCAAATATGGAATCGACATTTGGCTTTGCGAGGAAAGGCCAAAACCTGCCACAGAAACCCTTTCCCAGTTAATTATGCCCCTGGCAAGGAAGCCTTGTCCTGGAGAAGGCGCTATGTATCCGTTGAGAAGACCTCTGAACAGCAGCCCGCCGATGGTGATTCGTCTTTAATAACAGGCCGCTCCATTGGAGATGCAATGATGTCCCACCGACTGCGGTCCACACCCCCAGAGAACAAGCCCAAAACTGGCTTTGAGCAGTTCGCGGAATCTACGGGTTACGAGAATATCGCCGGCACATCGTTGACCGCATCACAAAGACGAAGACGCAATCGATCATGGCGAAAGGCAAAGGCAGGAATTCCATTGGCGATCAAGACAAATTTCGATTCCAGTGCCGAGCAAATAGTTTCTGCCGATTCTCAGCAAGCGATCAAAAGCCCTCCCGACGCTCACGATGCCAACGATGTCCCCTTGAACCTGCAGTACATGCAAACTCGCCTGGAAATACCCACGAGCGCGCAATACCCATACGCGGACCCAAAACTTTTCGATCCACGTACAGCAGACGAGGCCATCCGCAAGGCTTGTAAGCAGCACTTGAAGCTCGACACGGACCTGCCGCAGCACTTCAAGTACAGAACACGTCAGGGCACATTTGGCTGTGCAAAAGCTCTCGTGATCCCCTCCTTGATCATAATCCGGGAACTCGGCGAGGGCAACACCGCATCCGATGCACGCGCTGCCGCCACTCTGCATGTATTGTCAAAGTTGCATACCGAAGGTGTTCTGCACCGGCTCGCTCCCAGCCCACCGCCGGAGACTTTAGCAGCTCTTGACGCAGAAAGAACTTTTCATTCTATCATGTCTACACTCAAGGATGACTACCAGCTGATTGGTCCAGCACTTTTTGAGCCGAAGTCGATTGACCACACAATTCACAGCGCCTTTCAAAAAGCACACATTCCATGGAATGTGGAAGGACAGACGCAAGTCAAGGAAGGTAACATCGTTCGCTACAACCTCCGTGTGGAACTTCCTAACGCTGTCAAGTTGGCAACCGCCGGCGAGGGGCGGAACAAAGGCATCGCCAAGTCTGTGGCATGGGCGCACATGTTGAAGAAGTTTCAAGAGAACGGCATCTTGCAAACGCTGTTTCCTACACGGGGCGAAGATGACGCTCAAGCCTCTGTAGAAAAACCAGAGGAGACTTCTGATGATGAAGCGGCAGATCTGGAAGATCTGGTGACGGTCGACAAGAAGACCATGAAGGCCGAAAAGGATGCCAAATTGGAGATCTACAACTGGGCCGCGCGACTGGGCATGAGTCCCGAGTATCATGCCAGAGTCGTGAAAAAGCGAGAACCAGGAACAAGGAAACAGGCGAAAGCGAAGTACTTGGAGCTGGCGGAAGTATCAATCGAACTGAAAGATCTGGGGCTCAAGACGATTCGGCTTGGGCGGACTCTTCGCATCGCTGAAACCGCTGCCGCCATTGCCTTCAAGTCGGCCGCGGAGGAGAAGGAGAATGCTGGTCTCATTCAATCTCCAACAGCAGGTGATCGCCAATGGGCGCTCCTGAACTTCGATACAGCAAGCCAGTTCTTCGATTTCTACCGCAACGTCAAGAAGGACACTTACCTGGAAGTCGAGGCCAAGCCATTTGTCATTGCTGGAGAGACTCACAACTGGGCTCAGATTACCATAAACGACCAAAATGTGGGACGATGGGTCATTATGACGAGAAAACCGGTTGCCGAGCAATTGGCGAGATTGACCGCCGCTGTCGAGATTGTGAAAGCCGAGCCGCAGCTTTTGGACCAATTTGCGGCAGTTGTACGTCAGAGCCAAGGCAAAGTGCTAAGAGAAGTGCGGTCCATCAAGACCAACATCGATAATCGCACAGTCGAATTGATGCGGAATGGTGTGGTGGAGGCAAGACGTGCAGGCTTGTCTGACGTCCGTCAACCACTGCTCCCTGTTGACAATCTACTCCAAGATTCCAGCAACCGACGAAAACGAACTCTTTCACAGCTGGATCGCCAAGTGTTCAGCAGGAATCGGATCAGAGATCTGCGGAAACGCGAGGGTGAAGCTTCGCAGCGTGATGACAATGCAACCACATCGCTCCCCATGAGCCAATATCGCACGCAGGTCCTTGAGCTCGTGGCAGGTAGCCCTTACAGTATTATAGTCGGCGCGACTGGCAGCGGCAAAACGACCCAAGTCCCGCAGATTATTCTGGACGACGCAATTCGGCGTGGAGATGGAGGTTTTTGCGATGTGATATGCACGCAACCACGACGTCTCGCAGCAACCTCTATCGCAACTCGAGTCGCCGCCGAACGCCATGAACCACTTGGCATTGGGGTTGGATATCACGTCAGATTCGACTACAAACCGGCGAGACAGGGGGGCAGCATCACATACTGCACGACTGGAATTCTTCTGGAGCAATTGAAGCACGACATCGATGGCATCTTTGACACAGTCTCCCATATAATCATCGATGAAGTGCATGAAAGAAGCCTGCCGATCGATTTTCTGATGGTTCTTCTCAAGCGCGCTATCAAGAAGCGACGAGATGCTGGAAGACCAGTGCCGAAAGTGATCTTGATGTCGGCTACACTGGACCAGGAATTGTTCGCCAACTACTTTGCGGAAGAGCAGAGTGATGGGCTGAAAGCTGCACCTGTCTTGAGCGTACCAGGTCGAACGTTTCCTGTGCAGGAGAGGTACATTGAAAACATCTTGGCCGAGTTTAGCCCCGAAGAACGAGCCCAGCTGGATGCGATGGCGGAGCTCGACAAAGGATCGACGACTGAATACCTTGCGTCCGAAATGTCATTTGCGACAAGTGCGCAAAAGGCAGCAGCAGCACCAGTCATTGACTGGAAACGTGAAGTGAAGCTGGAGCAGAGCGAGGAAGATCGAGCAGCCGCCCGAGAGAAGGAGGAAGCTCAGGTCCCTTTGTCGTTAGCTGCTGCAACCATCACGCACATCTGTCGAAAAAGCGAAGACGGCGCGATTCTGGTGTTTCTTCCAGGTCTGGCCGAGATTGTTGCGGTCCGTGATACACTGATCCAAAATACAGAGTTCGGCATGGCGTTCGACGATGCAGACAAGTTCAAGATCTGCTTGTTACATTCTGCGCTGCCTCCGCATGAACAGAAGGATGTCATCGAGCCTGTCGCCAAAGGATGCCGGAAAATCATCCTCTCTACAAATATTGCTGAAACGAGTGTGACTGTGCCGGACGTGAAGTACGTGGTGGACAGCGGGAAACTGCGACAGAAGCGATATGACCAAGCACGCCGCATTACCCAGCTCGTCACGACGTGGGCGTCCAACTCGAATGCAAAGCAGCGAGCAGGACGTGCGGGGCGTGTGCACCCGGGCGACTACTACGCCTTGTTCAGCCGACAACGTCGAGAGGCAATGCCGGCATCTGCTCCTCCTGAACTACATCTCAGCGATCTTCAGGAAATCTGTCTTTCCGTCAAGGCCCAAGGTTTCGACGACTCGGTTCAGTCATTTCTGAGTCAGACTATTGAGCCTCCATCAGAGAACGCCGTGTTGGGTGCAGTCGAGGCTTTGAAGGAGATTGAGGCCCTCACCCAGGATGAAAGCTTGACGGCGCTGGGAAGAACTTTGTCCAAACTGCCGGTGCATCCCTCTCTTGGCAAGATGATTCTTTTAGGAATCGTATTCCGCTGCCTGGATCCTATGATTGTTCTCAGCTCACTCGACCAGGACAGATCTCTGTTCGTGTCGCCGCCCGGGAATCGCGCTGCGGCGAGGCAAGCTCTGAACAGATACAACCAGCACAACTCCGATCAGCTGGCTATCTACGAAGCATTCAAAGAACTTCGTACTCTCCGCAGCAAGGACGGCTTGTCCAGTGCGGAGCACCACGCACGGCGAAACTTCCTGCACTGGGGTAGTTTCAAATCGGTCGCAGCGACTGCAGCATCAATAGAGAAGATACTGATCGAGTCGCGCCTCGTTCCCGAGAATCCGAGTGCGAGCGTCTTCCGTGAGCCGACTGAGTATGGCGGTGCGGCGCTCAATCGCTACTCTGACAATCCAGCATTGATCAAGGCGCTCTACCTCGCTGGTGTCCACCCCAATGTGGCCGCCAAGAACCCTGGACGGTCCCTAGCACATCGTACGCAGGCAGAGGACAGTGTCTTGATCCATCCGAGTTCCCTCAACTACAGCACCAGGAAGATTCGGTCGGATGACGACAAGCTGTACGCATACGAGTCGCTAAGGAAGACTGTCGACGGCAAGACTATGTTCATGAAAGACACCACCTTGGTAACGCCGCTGCTCACGCTGCTCTTCGGCGGAAAGCTCCAAGCTCAGGGCTTCAAGCTGACGATGGATGACTGGCTGCCTTTCAAGATCGAGAACCTCGATGACTCTGCTTTTGCGACGAGACTGGTCCTGGAGTTCAGGAAGGCTTTGGACCGGATGCTGAACGGGGCTTTCAATTCATTGAGCGAGGTCCGGGAGGGCGTCACCATCGCCGACGACCCTATAAGAGATGGTTTTGTGAAGGCTACGGTGGCGGTGTTGGAGTGGAGTAGCGAGCAGAAGGAGAGAGAGAAGAGGGACTCGGGAATTTGGGTTCCGCCTCAATGGAGGAAGGTGGTGGGAGAAAGTGATACTGTCGAAGCTGCTCAGCATTGAGGGGGTGTGGCGGATGTATCTGTACTGGTTGCATAGCATGGCGATTGCATGGTGGTGGAGTTGGATAGATAAAGATACCCCGGTAGGTTTTGTACATTATCCTCGCTCTTGAGACGGATCACCCAAGCTCTTCAATAATTGATTAGGCCATCATCATCTCCTGTACCTGGAATGCCGCCTTTCATGTGTCCTCCTTGCGGTTCAAGACTACTTCACCTGATGCACGCATGTGTGGTCGAAAATAGAGTTTAAGGTTGACGCTAGCAGGGATCAATCTAGCGCAAAGTCTAAAAAATTAAGCGCACCTGTAGAAAGCATCGTGATGGCAGAATGGTCAACCACGACAATAGCAGGCCGGACAATATGAGCTTATTGTGAGCAGCATCTATCCGGCCTCTTGTTTCGTCCTCCTCCTCTTCCTCGACATGACCACCGTCAACCACTCGTCTCGCCAGAATCGCACCGTCACCTAGCAACGACTCATCCACCAGCAACTCGCTTAACTTCAACGTCACCAACTTCACCCTCTCACCAAACACACCCACCCCACCAACATCAGCATGTCTCGCGGAGGTCGTGGCGGAGGCGGCGCCGGTCGCATGGGCGGCAGAGACCTGCCCTTCGAAGTCGACGCTGCCCTCGAGGAGCAGATGGCCGCCTACCGGGGCTACGCCGACGACGATGACTGGACCAAGACCCTCTACCCGGTGAGTTGAAGCCACCAGCTTCATCCGCCACCACCAGACAGACAACTGACATCTCGCAGCCCACCGAAGTCTACAAGTACATCCCCGGCATCGCCCACGAGAAGCGGCTCGTCAGCAAGTGGCGTGAGCACCGCAGCGCCATGCGCAACGGTCCCCTCTTCATCGACGTCGCCACCACCGGCAAGCGCGACCTGGCCGAGTTCAACGCCTTCGAGGACATTGCCACCTACAGCAGCAAGAAGGCCAAACGTGCCGGCGGCTTGCCGAACCTCAAGAAGGTGCCCATCGGTACGTGTTTCGCCACTTCACCTCACGTTTCACCGCTAACTTCATCTTCACAGTCAAGGACCTCCTCCCGCGCGAGCTCTGGGACGTCGTCAGCGACGGCGAAGAGGGCGGTGACAACCCCGACGCCACCAAGAAGAACCTCGCCTTCCTCAAGAAGCGCAAGCTCGACAAGCTGGCCCAGTTCGACGAGGGTGCCGATGGTGACGCTGCTGCCGACGCCAAGGACGCCGATGACGAGGTCAACGAGGCCGACCAGGAGGGCGAGGATGGTGTTGAGGAACTCCAAGACGATGACTACGAAGAAGATGAAGATGACTTGGGCAACGACTACAACGGCGAGCAATACTTCGACAATGGCGATGACGCTGATGATGACGGCGATGACGGAGGCGCCAACGAGGATGCATGGTAAAAGAAAAATGACCCCCACGACATGACCGACACGTCACTACACCCTTCACCTTACGAGAGCTTGAGAATAGCTTTTGGGCATTTGCGATACCCCCTTCGGATACCAAGATTAGTGTACCCATACAGGACACCAACATTGGAGATCTGCACCTCACGTTCATCACTTTCATTTGCACCACTTCCACCCTCACACACATGTTCCAGAAGATACTAACGCAGAGTAGGAAGGAAAAGGAGCAGCGCGAGGAGCAACGCCGCCGTGAGCGCAAGTGCGAGCTGAAGTCGAGGCGGGATTACGACATCACGCACGAGCGCATCACCTGGGACCGGCATGCGCAGGTGATTGAGGGATGCGAGTACATCTCAGGCTACCTCAATCGCCGTCTCCAGAATGCCGCTCGCGATGAGGCCGAGGTCGAGGAGGAAGAGGCCGAGCGGCGGAGCGTTCGGGCGAGAGCCGACGAGACTCGTCGCTATGGACGTGCCGATGTGGCGAAGAAGAAGGTTCGTCTTCATGGTTCACGCTAAGATTTTCTGCTTTCCTCTCTTTCTCTCTGTGCGATGGATGAGCGGGAGAGATGGATATGGGATGAGTGTGGGAAGGATGACAGAGCACGACTGTACATCACTGTCTCGAGAAGTCAACGGCTGTCCATGCCATCGAAAGCTTGTACAGCAAGCTTCTCTACTGTAGTGTGAATGAAAGGGATAGACTCTTTCACGGCTTCTTGCTTTTCATTTCGTCTCCCTTTGTCTTGGATTCGCTGCTTCTCTTCTGAGAGGTAGCGATCTTCTTGTCTTGATGCACAGAGGTGCTTGGGTTTTGGCAGCTCATCTCCATATCTTCGTCTACGTCCCTGCTGGCGATACACTCTTCGTGGGTTTAGTAAAGGGAAGAGTTGTTGGGAGAGGAGATTGCATCTCTGCTTTCGTGTTCTGAGTCATCATGCCTCCCAATTTGCTACAGGGAAAAGTTAGTCCGCGTCGAGTATCCGAGAGATGTAACGGCAGTCCTCATTTGGAGCCTCCAATCATCCAGGCAATGGTTTACGGAGTAGACTTCTGTTCTTATCATAGGGTGGTGAGATGAGAGCTGGGATGGATATCTGCATCGTTGAGGGTTTGATTGTGCCCCTGAGACCACCTCTTATGGGCTGACCAGACGGCAAATTGGTGCGAAGACAGTGTTTGAAATAGCTTGGATGGTTCTGCCCCTGAGATTCCAAGGGCTCAGGTAGGCTAGTCGAGTATTTGAGGAGGAGTCATCGAGAACAGTTGCTGCGTTTTCTTTAATGATCATCATTGGATGAGTTGGCTCAGTATATCTCCATACATGTCTAGATACGTAGCATTGCCATTCCTCAATACCCATACCAACGCCTACGCTTAAACCATCTGAACAGATTCATTCAGCAACATCCCTGGGTTCTCGACCACATCTATGCCTTCCTCGAGAATCGGCTCAGGAAGCTGTCCTTCGCATTGCTCTTCTCAATGACTTGTCCTTCGACAACATCGAACCGCTTGAACTTTCGTGCCGGTACACGGTTGGCATAAAGCGCATCGATGTCTGCATTCGTTCGATTCTTCGTCTCTGGTTGAAGGAAGTAGAGTGCTGCCATAATGAACAGCTCGGCACCGACGAAGAGGAACATGATCTTGCCGCCCCAATTCAGCTGATCCGGGTTGATGAAGTATGGGAAGACCGAAGACACCAAGAGGGCGGTAAGTTGCTGGCAGACCAGGACGAAGGAGATGGTCTTTGGACGAGTGGCTTGGGCTGAAGTCTCTTGAGCAACGGCCCAACCATAACATCCTACGGTTGCAGTGTAGAGCATCGACCAGGTGATCATGAATGCCAGGAGAGCGATGTTGGCGGCATGATTTGTAGTAGAGGCCAAAGATGTCCCGCCGATGATAACGGACCAGAATATAAGCAGAGTGCCTCCACCGACAAGGCCCACTCGGCGTGGTACGATGTCTGAAACGCAGACCGCCACGAAGTTCGACAACAGCTGGAGTGTCGACGAGATGGCAGTGAGTTGAAAGGGGTCGCTCTGGCCAATCAATTCAAAGTAAAACGTTTGATAAGTGTTCGCGAAGTAGCCACCACTGAAGTTCTGCGACTGGAGACCGAGGACAGCCACAAAAGTCCGGGCTCGGTGCTCCTTGCTGAAGATGGCACGCCAGCTGGTCTGGCTGACTCCATTGGCTTGTTGCTCTTCTTCGTGGAGTTCTTTTTTGATGGTAGCGAGTTTAGCCTCGACGTCGGTGCTGTTGCCATAGAGCCTGAGGACAGCCTTGCGTGCATCTTCTTCCCGACCCTTCTTCATGTACCAGACCGGGGATTCAGGGAGGAACGGCAGGCCAATTAGATAGAGAGCAGGGACCACGAACGTCATGCAGAAGGCCAATTTGAATGACCATATGCCTTGGATCTTCGAGGAGCCGTAGCCAGTGAGGGAAGAACAGAAAAAGCCGAGGACGATGATGACGTTGGTGAGGGAAGAAGCGGTCGACCTGAGATTTGCTGGAGCATTCTCGGTAACGTACAGTGGTGGTGTAGCTGTCGAGAGGCCGACAGAGAGACCAAGAAGTAGCTTCGAGACGAACAGCACTGGCAGGTTGGGTGCGAAGACCAGGGCGAAAGACGATGCCAGCGACAGGATGACGGCAGTGTAGAGCAAGAACTTGCGTCCCCAGACATCTGCGAACTGACCAGCCGCATACCCGCCAAATACCTGCCCAATCGTGGAAGCTGCATTCCAGAGAGATTGCCAGAGTGCAGGAATGACCCATTGTTTGCCCTCGGCGTAGTAGTTGCCATAGACTTCTCTGAACTCCGGGAAGGCAATCGCCACACCAGACAAACCTGCATCGTAGCCCCATCCGAAGACAAGAAGCATGCAGTACAGTGTGAACCAGACAAAGCGTTTCTCGGCCTTGATCGCTGCCCATAGTTTGGCATACTGCTCTTTCGCTGTGAGGTCGGTTCGGGTCGGCGAAACATCAGGATGACTGGAGGTCGAGGAGATGGATTCGGCTTCAACGTGGACGGCGCCCACTTTTTCGACGGCGACGTCTTCCATGGTGACTGAGGCTTTGCGATCCATCGCGGCTAAGGAGATCTGGTCTACAAGGATGCGAAAGAGACCTCGATGAGATTGGGGATGAGATGCTTGCTGATGATGAATCCCGAAAAGGAGTCGTAGCGGCCATCTTATGTATCTGGCTGGAGTACATAGTGATCGGTCGAATATGGAGAAGCACACGAGGACAAACCGTTCCCGCATGGTCACCACGAGTCTACCCCGTGTGTGGCGTCCTGGGGAAGCGAGAGAAGTCGGCGAAACAGCCTGCATTGGGACTCTTGAAGGAGCTCGGCGAAACTCCTACCAAACCTTCTCCACACCTCCACCATCCTCCACGATACAATCTGGAGGCCCGGATTCTGTCCCCATTCAGATTACTCCGCTATGGATCCTCTCTCCAGTCCTCCGCATCACGGCCCTTCTCTCGGCCACTGAGATCTGCGACTGCGACTCTGATGGAGCTCTGCCGCGGCGTCTTCACGGTCTTGGGTAACAGCAAGCAAAAATGCTCTTCATGTCCCTAGATTGCCCTTCGCACGTTCTCACCCTGAGAACATCTCTCTACGACTTGCAAACATGGCGAATCTAAGCTGCAGCAACTCATCTGGAGAGTTGACTCCAACGAGCTCTCTCGAATCCAGCACCGCTCCGTCTTCACCTCCCGCTTGGAACCGCCCAACCCCGACTTTCAAGCAAGAACAGCTCAGCAGAGAAGAACGGTTCTCAAGATGGCGGCCAAAGTACCATTTGATGGCAAAGGAAGGCTGGATGAATGACCCTTGTGCTCCTGGCTACGATCCTGCAACTGGGCTATATCACCTATCCTTCCAGTGGAATCCAAACGGCACCGATTGGGGAGACATTGCTTGGGGATCCGCGACTTCTCCAGATATGATCCATTGGAATCTAAGAGATCAGCCTTGTCTCTCGCCTGAGACATCTTACGATAACAAAGGCGTATTCACTGGTTGCTTTATCAAAGCTCGAGATGAATCGATCACGTATGTGTATACATCTGTCAACCATCTACCTATACATCACACTCTGCCGCACACGAAAGGCTCGGAGTCTTTGAGCCTCGCAAAGTCCCACGATGGCGGGAAGACTTTCGAGAAGATAGCTGGGAATCCGGTCCTTCCATCTGAACCTGCGGGGCTTGATGTGACGGGCTGGCGAGATCCCTATGTATCTGCCTGGCCCAGCATGGCAAAGTTTCTCGGCTACAACGAGGACGACACTTTGTTCGGCATCATTTCTGGTGGCATCAGGGATGTGACACCGACCACTTTCCTATATGCAATCGACGCAAACGACCTGACGCAGTGGCAATACCTAGGCCCACTCGCCAACTTCGGGCACAACTTGAGACCTTCACGGTGGTCTGGTGACCTGGGCAAGAACTGGGAAGTGACAAACTTCACTACAGTTCATGACAGCAACGACTCAAGAATACGTCGGGATTTCCTGATAATGGGAACCGAAGGTTGCATACCAGAGCGGCGTCCATCAGCAGCAGACCCAGCGTCGTTGAACCCTTCTCGTCCTGCTCGTGGCCAGTTATGGATGTCAGGCATGCTACAGAAACCTTCAAAGCCCTCTAATGGTCCCGTCAACTTGACCTATAGCTTTGGTGGCCATCTCGACCACGGATGCTTGTACGCAGCCAGCTCCTTTCACGACCCTGTATCTCAGAAACAAATTGTCTGGGGCTGGATCACGGAAGAAGATCTTTGCGATGATTTTCGCCGTGCGCAGGGCTGGAGCGGCGTTCTGTCGATGCCACGAGAGCTGCGAATACAGACATTCCGCCATGTAGTAGGGGCGTCTGCATCTTCGTTGGACTCCATCACTTCGATTGAAAGACAGATAGACGATCGAGGTGCATACACCATCCGCACCCTTGCGATCCAGCCTTATCAGCCCCTGACAAGTGCACTTCGCAATGGCCCATCTGTTTGTCGAGCGACGTTGGCGAGTACCGAGCTCAACTCTGGACCCTTCAATCCGCGGTTCCGAGCAGGTGATGTCCAGACAACGCAGTGGGAACTAGACTGTGTCTTCAAAGTCTCGAAGCGCACCCAACATCTTGGATTAAGCATTGATCACGCTGGTGACTACTCTCGCGCAACTACACTGTTGTTCGATCAGGCCAGCGAGACCTTCGTGATCAACAGGCCTGCCTTCCCGATTCTCAACTCCTCCGAGTTCATCAACAGCGAACCAGAGCGAGCTCCACACACTCTGTTCACAACACGGGATCCTGTGACTGGGAAAGTGAGCACAGAGTACTTACACATTCGTGCTTGGAGAGACAACTCCGTCCTTGAAGTGTTTGTTAATGGCAGGACGGCTATCACGACAAGGCTGTACGCTGCTGAAGAGACATTTGGCATGCGCTTCTTCGCAGACGATCATATTGACGGCATCGTTGACGTACCAAGCGAGTTGGTGTCTGCGACTATCTGGGACAACATTGGACTTACTTGAAGATGGCTCATGAAAATTTATGGCGTTACATTAGAGATAGAATACTGCATTGTGGTTTTCTTACAGGTGTGGTGTGCTGGCAACTTGTCGGTCTGATTATACAACATTCAACAAGCCAAGTCGTCAATTTTTCACCCGAGATCGCCTCTACATTTCACCAATGCGGAGAGTAACACCGGTATCAACTAGGCTTCCCCAGAAGTGTTCTCGGATGCTTTCTCGGTCAGTCCATGGCTTGAATCCCTCGTCTCGTGGCTCAGCTGATACCGAAGAGGATTTCACCGACGGCGAATTTATCCACATTGGGAAGGTACCTTTGTACGGCACGATGGAGCCTTCTGGGGTTTCTGCGGAGCACAGCTGGTTGCGAACTTGGGGAGCGGCCAAAGGACGGGCCTCGAATGGAGACCATGGTTTAATTGCAGCATATACAAGGCACGCTCGAGGTGTGTTTTGCGGTGATCAGCCGTCCTCAAGTCTTTGAATTCTTTTTTCTCACAATGCCTCACAGATTATCGCCTCCGAGAGAGCAAACTTCAAGTATGTCTTCCACAAACGTTGAAAAAGCCTGGTGGAAGGAGACTGTTGTCTATCAGATCTATCCAGCCTCGTTCAAAGATAGCGATGGAGACGGCTTGGGTGACATTCCGGGAATTATCAGCAAGATACCTTACATTTCATCCCTTGGAGTCAATGCAGTGTGGCTCTCGCCGATTTACAAATCTCCCCAGCATGACATGGGCTACGATATTTCCGACTACCGTGACATTCACCGACCATATGGAACTCTAGAAGATGTTCAAAGGCTCATCGATGAGCTTCACAAGAACCAGATCAAACTCCTCATGGATCTGGTCGTCAACCATACCAGCGACGAACACGCGTGGTTCAAGGAGAGTCGGTCTTCCAAGCAGAGCCCAAAGCGAGACTGGTATTTCTGGCGAGATCCAAGATACGACGCCAGTGGTAATCGTCAAGAACCCAACAACTGGCGAAGTATTTTTGGAGGAAGTGCATGGCATTACGACGAGACAACTGATCAATACTATCTGGCATTGTTTCTTCCATCGCAGCCCGATTTGAACTGGTCCAACGCAGACATGCGACAGGCGACTTACGACGACATGCGGTTCTGGCAGGATCGTGGCGTTGATGGCTTTCGGATCGACAGCATGAACTTGATGTCAAAACACCCGGACCTGCCAGATGCTACAGTGACGAGGCCGAAGGAGAAGTATCAGGACGGATCGGAGTTCTTTGCCTCAGGGCCCAAGATGCACGACTATATCCGCGAGATGCGAACGGAAGTCTTCGATCATTATGATGCGATGACTGTTGGAGAGCTGGGCTTCACTAACGATGAAAGATCTGTCTCTGAATATGTGGCGAAGGACAGGCACGAGCTGAACATGGTTTTCACTGGAGACATCGTCGACATGGACTTCGGCCCTGGTGGGAAGTACGAAAGGGATGATTTCCATCCACGTAAGATCAGACATATCACCAACATGTGGCAATGTGCTATGCCTAAGTTCGATGGCTGGAACTCCGTGTACCTGGACAACCATGATAGCGGAAGGTCGTTGAGTAGATATGCATCAGACAAGCCAGAACACCGAGCTGCGTCGGCGAAGATGCTCGCTACGTATCTCATGACTCTAGCTGGGACGCCATTCCTGCTAGCTGGTCAGGAGTTTGGCATGGCTAATCTCGGGAAAGACTACGGAGTTGAATCTTACATCGATGTCGAGGCAAAGAATGCATATAACGCTATTCTCTGGCAGCGTGGTGGCAATAAGTCCTCGATGGGCGATGTTTTGCGGGAGATGCAACGGAAGGCGAGGGATCATGGACGTCTGCCGGTGCAATGGGACGACTCGCCCAACGCTGGTTTCACCGCAGCAGATGCGAAGCCTTGGATGACGATCAACAAGGACTACATTGAGTGGAATGCAGCGAGTCAGCAAAGCGATAAAGAGAGTGTCTTGAATTTCTATCGTCAAGTGCTTCAACTGAGGAAGGACTATGTCGACTTGCTTGTGTATGGCTCGTACAAGCCGCTGGACGAAAAGGAGACCGGCGAGATGGTCCTCGGGTATGAGAGGGCTTCACCTGATGAGAGTCAGCATGTTGCTGTCTTGTTGAACTTCTCTGATCAAGAGCAGAGTATCAGTGCAGCGGGATACGATGGCTACAATACTTTGATCTCGAACGGACGAAGTGAGGTTGCTGGTGGGCGTGTTCGATTGGGGGCTTATGGTGCTGTGGTGTTACTGAAGGATTGACAAACCGGTGAGTTCTTGAGTTGCATGGCGATGGTGTTTGGTCAGTAGATAGATGAGGACTTGAATTATAATGGAGTCTGGATTGGGAAGAAAGGCGCTGCTAGGAGACAGCGGAAGAATATTTATCCGGCTTTCACGAGCGTCCGAGCCGCGTGCAGACCCACTTTTCTCAACCCCGCAAACATCTCGTGGCAATCTCGTTCCCCAACTCAATCTCGCCTTCACATCCTCGCCCCCAGCGAAGATGCATCGTCTAGCATGTTCAGTATCCTCGACGCCGTGGATGGAAACATTACTGCCGGGCCAAAAACGGCGGCGAACCGTGCTTGCGACCAGTGCAAGCTCCGCAAGGTTCGCTGTGATATGAGCAAGCCTTGTCTTTGTTGCAGTGGGAAGGGCATTGCATGCACGTATGATAAACCGAGGAAGAAGAGAGGACCGCCTGGGAAGGTTGGTAATGGAGTAGTGAAGCAGCAACGAGGCTATTCCGGCTACGAGAGAGGCGCTGCTGGTCTTACGCTGAGCCCGACATCAATTCAACTGCAAAGCGTTTCGAATGTCGACCTCAACCAAGGCCCTAGCAATGTATACAGCGGGGACTCAGCTCCTTGGCCTGCACCATCATCTTCTCACCAGGCAGATCTATTCAGCTCTTCTGATTATACCAACATGACCTCTGCGGACTTGCATTTTCCCCAGCTAGAACGCAGGTACACGGAACAAACCATAGGGTCAGAAATCTCAGGTCCTGCTCTCACCGACGAGAATTCTATAGCAAGCCCGAATGCCTTCCTCTTCCCCAGTCTGCCAGCCGAATCGCCATCTGGAATAGCGGATCCATTCGGTGCCTTGCTGGACCAAGAGCTGCCTGAACTCACCACGGATGTTTGGCCCACTAAAGTCAATGAAACGACCTTGCTACCTTGGATCGACGTATACTTCAAGCGGCTACACCCGACTATACCAGTTCTCAGCCGGGCGAACATGTACTCCGATATGCTGTTACGGAAGCATCGCATTGATCCTCAGCATGGTGCAATGCTGTTGAGCTTGTGTGCTTTTGCCATGACACAGCCAGTTCAGATGCACGAGAGAGCATCGATGCCGTCTCGAACTGTCCAAGCTCGCATGCTGATGGAGGAGAGTGTGAAGATGCGAGTGGCAGCAGACTTTGGCGAGGACCCGTCGGTGGAGATGATCCTGGCGAGCTTCTTCTTGTTCGCTTGTTTGTTTGGCAGTAATCAACACAAGGCGGCTCGACATCGGCTGAGAGAGGCCGTCGATCTGGCATACTCACTCGGATTGCATTTGCCAACGTCGTACCAAGGCCTGAGCCCCGAGGCAAGAGAACAGTGGTTACGGACTTACCTGGTTCTGTCAGTCACAGAGCGAGCATACGCATTGCAGCAAAATCACGCCATCAGCTTTCGTGGGCAACCAGGCATCACCGCGAGGTTCATGCAAGCCTTTGATCCCAACATCACAGAAGAGTACATCTCATCGCTGATATTTCAAGATCAGGCTGATGCCGTCGGAATGACTGGACTGCTCTACCTTATGGACACATTCGATGCGATTGACGAGAGTGTCATGGATTGCTGGAACGGCTTCTGCAGGCTCAGCGACGGTGCTTGTGAGTCCTTCGACAGACGAAGAGCCTTGCAGACATTTCGAGCCCAGCGGCGAGTTCGGGAGGCATGCGTCGCCGGCAACATCAGCTTTGCGCCGTCGGTAAATCCGCTGCCTCTGTCGCGGCTGGTAGAAAGCCAGCAAGCAGATATCTCTGTAACTCAATTCTGGACCTGGAATCGACTGTGGAACTTGTGTCTGTCACATCAACTCCTTCGAGAAACTTCAGATCATCCAGAGTTACAATATGACTTCGCCTGTCACATTGCGCATGCTCTCATTGCCTACTGCAACAGGCTATCGTTGGCGGCGATGGAGGTTCATGGGATCGGTATGGCCGAGAAGATCTTGGACGTGGCTATGGGCATCGTTATGGCGCTGAGCACATCAGGTCAACTTCGGCTGGATACTACATTGACGCCTTTAGATCCCGATGTCATTCCAGGAAGTGAACAAGCACCCGGTAGCAATGTCACGGTCCAAACCTTACTGGAATCACTCGGTCGTTTGCTTGCAGACTTTCGAGGAGGAAACCACCCATACAGCGCCAAGCTCGCAGTAGCACTGCAGCAATTTCCGGGTCTCGACAGTCAAGTTGGATGAAGCGACTGGTCACGCGGTGTGAGGACCAGCCTTTATTCTTGCACGTCTCAAGCACTGCGTATTACAGCGGACTCCCATTTGCGACGAAGACCTCAAATGAGTCTTAACCTGCGGTGAAATGGTGTACTGCTCCTAGGCCTGTCTTGTTGTGAAACATGATCTCACACAAGAGCCCGGTCACGGACCTGCCGCTGAATTTCATAGTTCACGCAAAGGCAACATCGAACCCGGCGCTGCTGCCAGTCTCGTGCAGAGGACGTACTTTCAACTTCACAGCTTCCGACAGCGTCAAGTCACTTCGCCAAACGGCATCAAGTTCAAGCGCATTACACCATCGACTCGCCTGTCCAGATATTATCCCTCGACTCCGGAAACGGTTACAAAATGGCACAAATTCACCCCATGTCACCCTCTGAACAATTCTCCCGACACAGCGTAGTACCTCCACCCCGTGTGTTCACTGAATCTGGCTGGATTGAGGGCTACAAAGTGGGCAAGGTGAATTGTTTTCTCGGTATCCCATATGCACGTCCACCGGTCAAGGACTTCAGATGGCGCAAACCGTCCCCAATGTACGAGTGGAGGGAGATCCTCCATTGCAAGGATTTCAGACCCAGATGCCCGTCCCTAAGCGCACCTTTTTACGAGACCCGAGAGCGCTACGCTTGCGAAGATTGTCTGTACATGAACATCTGGGCAGCTCCAGGAAAGGGCAATCCAGTCATTGTTTTCATTCACGCAGGCAGTTTCATCTGCGGATCCGGATCGGACAAGGCATGTGACGGTGGCCGAATGGCATATCTGGGGGCCACTGTTGTGACGTTCAATTATCGAGTGGGTGCATTCGGCTTTGTCGCGCATCCTGAACTCGGAGCGAACTTTGGGTTGCTGGATCAACAGGCTGCTCTTGCTTGGGTACGCCGCAACATTCACCGATTCGGAGGCGACGAAAACAACGTCACGCTCTGCGGTGCATCGTCCGGAGCTGTATCGGCGCGTTGGCTCATGTCGACGCCAGCAGCATCTTGGAATTTCGATCGTGTGATCCTTCAGAGTGGTGGCTTTGATCCAACGCTCAGCACATATCCATGTCTGTCTTACGATCAGGCCACGAGGTTGACTGGTTCCTTGTTCGACAAGCTGGGCACCCACGACACCGAGGAGCTGCGCCTTATACCCATGAAGACAGTCAAGGAGGCCTCAAGTTTATTGTTCTCAGAGCACTGTCGCAACTCGATACTTCAAATCCCGCAAACCTTCGTATGGGCTCCGGTCATCGACGGCGCTACTTTCTTCGACATATCGCTTGAGCACTGTCCGTTGCATGTACCCCTCATGCTGGGCTGCAACACATATGACGCACAATACTCGATTATGCCAGGACAAGGTCCACCGAAAGACATGTTGGCGAGGTGGGCAGAACGCTACTGTGGAGCTTCCTCGCAACGGGTCATCGACTGCTTGGAAAAGTACGAAGGAGACGACTCCGATCGTGCGGAGCGATTTGCCACCGCACTATATTTCTTGGAACCGTGTTTTGCGACTGCATTTAGATATCACGATGGCGGCCGACGCAGAGTCTACCTCTATCAATTCAACGCTGGCCGCTCGAAATTTGATGGGACACGTGAGAACGCATGGCATACTGTGGAGATTCCTTTCGTTTTCGGTAACCTGCCGCGCTTCAAGGATACGTATCTCTTCGGAGATCAAGATGGTCGAGCTTCAGAGCAGATGCTGCAGGCATGGATGGCATTTGCACGTTCGGGCGAGCCTCGATGCGAGCTTGTTCGCCGCTGGGCACCTTTCCCCAACTCGACAGCATTGTTTGGGAACAGAGTCGACAAGGCCGATTTGAAAGTGATCACCGAGTTACTTAACATCATGTTGAAGGAACGTGGCGATCAATTGTTTGGTAGATTGGAATTTAGCGACTTGGGCATGTACGAGCCGTCTGATGACGAGCACAGCTCACAGGACGGCGAGCCCGACGAGATGGAGGGAGTCGAGTGACACAACGGCCTCTATGTACTCGAGATACACTTTCTTCTGCAATTCGAGAGCAGAGGTGCAGGGTGCAGTGACTATCGAGCAAAGTACAGTGCACAGACACAAGAAGAGGCCCAGCTAAGACCAAGCACAAATCAAGCGTCAGCCAGATACTTGACATAACTTGCCGAGACGACACCCAAGATCCAAGCCTCGTTGATCTCCTCCGAGGTCAGAGCACTGGAGTGTGTCCCCCAGCTATGACCACACCTGCAATTACTCCCTCCCTGTCCGGGTGCAAGGTCATAGTCACGGCAGCCGCAATCCTCACATGGCTCAATGTCAGCCATGTCCTCCTTTTTGCAACCATTGTTCTCCCGGTGTTCGAACCGCTTGTACCACGTCTTGCAAAAGCCGGCGATGATGTGTCCATTCTCACCCTTTCGCTCATGGTAGCCCCATGCATGGCCGCAGAGGCAGTAGTATGGGTTGCCTTCGGCCACTGCCGCTTGGCTCTGCTTGCGATCATCGTAGTCTGTGCAATCGCAGCCATCTTGCGTGCATGTGTCGACACGATCGATGTCGGTCTTCGTCGTACCGTCACGCTCGAATATCAGCATGCTCTGGTAGTATTTGGAGAGGAGATGCTTGGCAGCTCGCTTCTGGGTCTCTTCGAGATCTATATCTGAACTGATCTCAGTTGTGGTGATGACGATGCTGTTATTTTTGTCTTTGGAGTCGATGGCGTTTTTGATTGCACGCTCGGTGCTGTAGAATGTGGCTTTGCTCAAGGCCTCTCTGGTCGCTTCTGTTGCTGCTGCTTGCCCTGCTGCAGCACCGAGGACTTTTGCTTGTGCGGTTGCGAGGTCGCCGGGGAGAGAGGAGAAGTATTGAGCGCTTGCATGGCCGATGGCTCCGTGCGAGGCGGTGAAGACCTCAGAGCCGACACCTACTCGCAGTCAGAACATGGAGTCATTGTCTCGCTAGGACATGGCTTACCTTGAAGGGCCGAATGGAAGAACGTGGAGGTATGATTGGCGACGGATGTCAGGGCATCCAAGGGTACATGGGTGGCAATGTTCTGTGCAGCTTGTTCAGTAGCAACTTGTGCAACATGTTGGCCAGCCGCTTGAGCTGCATGCTGGGCGCCCATGGCCGCCGCATGTCCAGCGGCTGAAGTCGTCGCATGGTGTACAGCCTGACCCAACAATGCACCGCCTGCTGGAATGATCAGTTCTGCTGCAACGCAAGGCCCAGCTCCGAGGAAGAAGTCCCGCTTGCGAACACTGTGGCCGTCCCAGCCTTGCTCTCGAAGCCGGCGCTCGATCAGATCGCACTGTCTGGAGTTGACGTTGATGCGACGAGCATTGATTGCCGTGATGCCCCAGGCCAGACCAAAGGTGAAGAATCCTGCTGCTCCGCTCGCACTGGCGCCTGCGCTTGCACTGATCACGTTCTGCTGGATGATCTTATGCTCGGCGCGGAGTTGGTTCTCTGACATGGCGCAGATCTCATTCCAGTACTCATTTTCGTCCAGGTGTTGGAAGCGGTCCCACTTCTTGCCCATTATGCTATAGATCCAACGATGTATACTCTGGATTTTATCCCAGAGTTGCTTCTGCCTTGCGATGCTGAAGAGAGTGGCTCAAGCCTTTCCCACGTGGGTGACAGCGTACATATATGATATGGTGTTACATTCGAAAGGCTGCGACATGTACTCTACCTACCCATCACACATCGACCGCGTCCACAATCGCTTAGGAGAGAAATGTCATTGGGTGGAATTCCTCTGTTCCAGCGCCATGTTCTTGGCCGTCAGGCCACCCTACCTACCTGAAGATTGAAGCTTCGCAAGCATAGCAGTGATCTTGGGAGCTTGAAGTATATTGATGTCGTCCATTACATATCTCGATGAGATCTTACCCCAGATAGGAACTGGCTTTACCTAGTGAATACTCAAGGAATGTGAGTGGCAAGTCCTTTTGGGGGGTATTTGACAGGTAAAACAATGCATCAACGGTCGAGATTTGGACTTGTGCGTGGGCATTCATGGCTGGTAATACAAGCTATTGAGAGTCCACATCTGTTGAGTATGTATTGCCATGGCAAGCATAGAGCACTTACTGCGTTCTCGGCTTGTCTACCTCGTCTTGTTTCGTCCCATGCCATACTCCTATGTCGATGACCTTCGCTCCAATCCGCCCTAGCTTACCTTACGCAGTCCACGCAGCTCTCCTCATGCATACACACGCACTCTTCATAACCTCGAAGGCGATGCGAAAGGGAGAAAAAGGTCGCGGGCGGATCAGCCGCCAGGCAAACAACAGGTCCTTATCCAGTTTGATGTCGGCTTGTAAGACGCTGTCATGCAGTTCGAAGTGTGAAGTGGCTGCTCTTCCCATGTAACGTGGCGGTTTAAGGTTCGGATGCAAGCATTTGAGCTTCGGTTGCTCATGTGCAGCCTTATGAGGCTTGAGAGGCGTCCATGGACGGGTCGAGATGTAGTTGATGAGTGGGGAAAGGGGTGGCCTGACTCCCGAAGTTTGTCGAGTTATGCGTGGGCTCTCGATATGCGCTAGTGATTATCAACAGTTATATCATACTCGCTAAGCTAAAAATAGACGTTCCTCCTGCAAGCGCGTTGACTTCTCCAAACACCTCCTCTTTTGCTCTCATGCTGTCCTTGCACACAACATGGCTCCCTCGAGAGGCTGCAACACCCCGGTGGCTGCAACTGGCCCACGTAATGATGAGCTCACCTGGCATGCGATAGCAGCAGCCAACATTCTGGAAGCGCAAAAGCGAAAAGGCCGAGTCGGAGGCAAGAAGTCTCGAAGGGGATGCTTTAACTGTAAACAGAGGCGGATCAAGTGCGATGAGACACCTTTAGCCTGCAGGAACTGTGTCGAGTCCTCCCGCCGATGTGATGGATACGCAGCAAGACCATCTGAGAAGGCTGCGAAAAACAGCCATGCACTTATCGGCCTTCGACTATCTCAACCCCTTGGCCTGGAGGAGAGCGAGAGACGGACGTTTGATTATTTCCTTTCTTGGACGGCGCCTCGACTTGGCGGTACATTGGACAAGGACTTCTGGTGCGGACAGGTGCTTCAAGTTGCTCAAGTAGAGCCGGTGATTGTCGACGCTCTTCTCGCCATTTCCAGACTCTACGAGTATCCACAGTGTCTCTCAGACATCCATGCGAACAGTACACAGGATGAGATGATGCTCCCGTCAGAGTCTGTGGGGACATCAGCCCTTGGTACTGGACGTCCAGAAGCATACACGAAGAGCTCAACCGGGGACGATCTCAGCGCGGTTCTCACCCACCAACATGGGCTTGCTGTGAAGCATTACAACAGAGCTATCTCGCGCCTGATCGATGACGTGGCTTCCGGTAGAGCTACACTTCTTGTGGCACTGCTGAGCTGCGTACTGTTCATTTGCGTTGAGTTCCTCCGAGATAATGTGTTTGCAGCCCTGAACTTGTTCACAAAAGGCTGTCAGATCTTGAGGTAAGTCCTTCCGGCGGATCACTCTCAGCAACCCAGCCAGACTTAGTGTCGCCCTTCACAACTTGGAAATCGATCTGACGGCTCGCAGACAAATAGAACCTCATAGCAGCGGCTTGGACCAGGCTCTGTACACCTCTCTCAAAATGACAATCACACGACTTGGCATACTCGCCGCAATGTACGGCCATCCAGACCTGCTTGTAGGAAGATCTATGACTGGCGAGATCGACGAGACTGCACCATTGGAGACCATGTCCGACGCCCGTGCTGCGCTTTACGTGGTCATTTCGGACAGCCTTGAATTTCACCGTGCGGCTATCCCCTGGAAGAAAGCAATGATGAGACAGAGCACACAGGAACAGAGCTCCCCGGACAGTACCCAGTTCTTGGACGAAATCAATGAAAGCGTTTCACCACCTTCTACTCAAGGCTCGCTTCCGTCGCCCTCATGGGACGAGTCTCCTCTTACAACCACGAGTACTACTCCCGACCGTGCGCAGCACAAAGTCGACATGGGTACGGCTCCTACAACATGTCTCACTGCAGAGCTGCCATCCAGTGCGCATGTCCATGGCTTGCTACTTCGACAGCGAGCTCACTATGAGTCTCGCTTGCAACGCTGGAATCAGGGCATGCAAAGGATTAAGACAAAGAGCGACGATGCATCATCCATCCTCATCATGTATTACCGTGCGACTATCATCCTGATGGCGAGTCGTCTTTCGCTCTACGAATCAATACACGATGACTTTACCCACGAGTACGAGGAAATTATCCGCTACGCCGAGACGTACTACAAATCGCGGTCTGAACAACTCAGCTTTACCTTTGAACCGGGCGCGATTCCCATTCTGTGGATGGTTGCAACCAAATGCCGAGTGCCCTCGTTGAGGAGGAAGGCTCTGAAGCTTATCAGGAGAGCTCCGATGAAAGAATGTATGTGGGCAAGAGACTCAGTCGCTGACTTCGCCTCTCGCATCATTGCGATTGAAGAAGGCCTGTCGTCGTCCTCCGAATACTCTGGGAACACTGAAGACCCTGTGTCATCACCCCTCGATGAATCTCTCCCGCCTGAGTCGCCAAGGATTCACGATGCCGAGATCCTGAAAGATGTACACTCAGGACGGTCTGCTATGCGAGTCACTCGATACTTGGACGGACCTCATGGCTCGCGGGTTCAGTCTGTTCAATACTATCCAATCTAACACTCTCTTGCCAATGCCTGCCGCACTACTGCCGACAAGCCATTCGTCTGATATGATCCCTCCCCAGGAACAATAAGATTACAAGCTTCTGGCCGGAAGAAGGAGCTTTGTGAAGACGACCAGGACGAACCACTCCTCCAGCGGTCGGAGTACACTCCGTTCTAGGCCAAGCTTGATCCACTTCACGACAGCTCGGTCTAGGCGTTCAAACCGCAGCGCCACGTTTACGTTGGGGCAATGCGATCTCACTGCCTTGTTCTCCTGGCGTAGCAACACCGCCAGAATGTGCGTCCCGCCGCCAAAACAGTGACGAAAGAGCCTACCCGTTCGACGTGTGATTGGATGATTGGTTGGCACACATTGAAGATGGGCCCGCTTCCAAGAATTATGCATGTGTCTGTTGGCGAGGAAGAGCTCTTTAGGCTGCCTACGGGACGCGCCCGTTCTCCGACCTGCTTGTCCTACCTCACTTTTATTATTACTGACCCTCACATCCCTTTACATTATGCCTGAAAACGCAACTCTGCTTCAGGGGTTTGAGTGGAACTGTCCCGCAGATGGCAAGCACTATCAGCGCCTACTCAAGGCTCTTCCCAATCTCAAAGCATGCGGTATAGACAACGTCTGGCTGCCACCAGGCTGCAAAGCGAGCAGTCCTGAAGGCAACGGTTACAATGTCTATGATCTGTTTGATCTCGGAGAGTTCGATCAAAAGGGTGGTGTTCGAACGAAATGGGGCACCAAGGAAGAATTGCTCAAACTCGCCAAAAAGGCAGAAGAGCTAGGTATGGGACTTTATTGGGACGCCGTGCTCAATCACAAAGTTGGTGCAGATAAAAAGGAGAAGGCGCATGCGGTCGAAGTGGACGACAATGATAGGAACAAGGAAGTCTCAGATGCGTACGAGATTAACGCTTGGCTTGGGTTTGATTTTCCCGGACGAGGAGACAAGTACAGCAAGATGAAGTACCACTGGTATCATTTCTCGGGAACGGACTACAACGCTGCGAACGAGAAGAAAGCAATTTACAAGATCCAGGGAGAAGGTAAGAGCTGGAGCGAGAGCGTCGACGACGAGCAAGGAAATGCCGATTTCATGATGTTTGCCGATATCGACTACAGCCATCCGGAGGTGCAGGAAGATGTCAAGAATTGGGGCGAGTGGATTGTCAAGGAAGTCGGACCGGCGCTAAAAGGATTCCGCTTGGATGCCGTGCAGCATTTCTCCGAAAGGTTCACGAACGAGTGGGTGCAATATGTGCGGGAAAAGTGCGGAGATCAGATCTTCATGGTTGGAGAGTCCTGGGTGGGAGACGTCGAGACCATGACCAAATGGCTGGACGCCATGCACAGGAAGTTCTCGTTGTTCGATGCACCGCTTCTCTACAACTTCTCGAGACTGAGCACGACGGAAGAGGCAGATCTGCGGACTGTCTTTGACGGGACGTTGGTGAAGGCGGAGCCTGTGAACGCTGTTACGGTGGTCATGAATCACGACACTCAGCCTGGACAGACAATGGACACAAAGATCGAAGGTTTCTTCAAGCCTTTGGCATACGCCTTGATTCTGCTACAAGATGCCGGATATCCTTGTCTGTTCTACGGCGATCTGTACGGTATCAAAGGCGACAACCCCGAACCGCCATCTTGTGGGAACAAAGTCCCAGATATCACATTGGCGCGAAAGCTATACGCCTATGGTCAGCAAGATGAGTACCTGGACAATGCTACATGCATTGGGTTTACTCGTCGAGGCAACGAAGAGCACCCGGACGGTGTCGCTTGCGTCATGTCCAACGCCGGCCCAGGTGAGGTCAGGATGGCTGTGGGAGAGCTACACAAAGGCGAGGTCTGGACAGATGTGCTTGGATGGGAGCAAGGAGAGGTCACCATCGATGACGAGGGATATGGCTTGTTCAAATGTCCTGGCACCAGCGTGGCGATTTGGGTCAAGAAGGACGCTGAGGGTAGAGATCGATTTCCAGTGGACTTCGACAACGACATCTATGCTGATGGTGAGTGAAATCTGATTGTGTCTATTTAGAGGTAGATCTAGAACATGTTCTCTGCTTTGATGCTGTCAACCCTGTACACTCTCCACTCGCCTCTAAACTTCCTCCATTTGAACACGTTCAACAGCATCATCTGCATTTTGTGTGGTCCAAGACCTACTTTCACCCACTGAAACACCGTAGCGTAACCACTCGACTCACTCACGTCCGCCTTGGTCTCAAAAACTTCACTGTCGCTCAACTCCGAATGAATCTGCAACTGCTCCGTGTATGAGCTGTCTCGACCCGACTGGAAGTCCTGATCGTAGAAGCTGCAATAAACCTTGTCATGCCACAGCTGATGGTACTTGGTCCAGTCTTGCTCCTTCATGGCGTCGTAGAATGCGTTGCAGACGCTGATCAGTCCCGGCCCAATATCATCTGCGTCATACGATCCGAGTGGTATATCGTGCACGGAAGTGTCGATGTTCGGCAGCTCGTCGTCGTGAGAAGTGTGCATAGGTTCTGAACTGTCGCTTAAGAAAACGGACTCCTCGCCTTGGACGCATCGGTACTCCGGGCTCTGCCAGCCTGGTAGCTGATGATGGTGCTGCATATCCAGTACAGATGCCGGCCGCTGTGACGCGGAAATGGGCGACCTTCAGGGTTGAGTAGCAGTGTCCTGGGCTCTTTGACTCGATAATCGCTAAAGAGCGCTCCAAAGAACGAAATCATGCGTTTTTCCGTGCCATCCGACTTCTGATGGTTCCAAGGTCGTTATAAAGCTATCGGTGGCGTGAAGCTGATCGCAGTCATATGCAAGCTGAGGTTTCGTCCCGGCAACGGGACAGATCGAGTTGGCTAGACCCTGACACTTGTCATCCGACTGGCGGTGTACAAGTTTTTAGAGATGCGCATTTGGTGTTGTTTTCATTCTAAGACCAGAACGGTTGAAGATATGTCGTAGACTTGCCGAGCCCAGATTTGATTGATTCCTGCAACCTCAGCTGCGGGTTTCGGCCTGAGGCATCAGATCTCCTACGACGCGGTATCGCAGCAGACACAACATGCAGGCGAACCGTGTCACAGAAGTTCGGAGAGTCCAGCCGTGCTGCTGCGTAGCTGAAACTAGTGTTGCAAATGCGAGTGTTATAGTACATTCACTCACCTTATGCCAAGAAACCTAGCGCGAGGCTGTGGCTTCTCAATCAGAAGGAGCTCGAGTCGAACTGGCACTACACCGCCGAGAAGGTTGTCTCAACACTCCTCGTCACACTCTGCACTGAGCTGAGAAGCAATCGAGACTCGTTCGTGTTTTTCCTCTTCGCTGACTGAAGCCAATCCAGTAACAAGATCAGGGCAAATCAGTTGCAAGGGAAACGCTTGGGAGCGAAACGGAAAGCATTCGGATGTCGGAAATCTGTATTTTATCCCTCTGAGATTCAGTCGTTTGCCATATATATGCTTCGTCGTGTTGTCGGGGTCATATTCTCGTCTTCAGAGACAAGGCTGAGGCCGAAAGCCGAAAGCCGAAGCAGGGGAAGTTTGACGGAAGACTTGACGATGGATGACCGCGATTGAATGGCAATAAGACCACGGAAAACCCTCGCCAGGTCAAAATCCGACGATGAAATAATTTGACCCTGCCTGCACAGCATTGCAAACGCGCCAGCTCATGACGGAGAAGACGGTCGGCCTTAACGGTGTTAGGATTTCTGCCGGGTGGGGCCCTTGCAGCTAGAAATTTGTCAAGGGTTCGCCGAAAAGACGGACTGGGCCAATGGCTCTCAGCCTTGTGGTTTGTCTTGAAGACTTTGCTGTGAGTACATATAGAAGAGGAGATAACGGTCAAGTCTTCTCGCTCTGTAGCAAGCGTGGACCGTCAGCTTTCATCAAGTCTCAACTATCTATCTACTTCACCAAGACCTCTTCCACAACCAACACCATGTCCCAACCCACAACCCTCGCGGGCCTCACCCCCCGCGAAGCCATCGCCGACGCCATGTACCGCTGCGTAATCGGGCTCGACACGGCAGACCTCCCACTCTTCGAATCCGCCTGGTCCAAAGACTCGCCCGTCCTCTTCGACATGGGCACGGGCGCCATGCACGGCCTCGAAGACATCAAGTCCAAACTCTACAACTTCATCGCTCCCCTGGACACGCATCACAACTGCAGCAATGTCCGGATCGATGCGAAGCCGGGGGCGAAGACGGCGTATTTGACGGCGTATTCGATCGCGCAACACCATCGGGCTGGCGAGGGGGTGGATACGAGCACGAAGCATTTGACTAGTGGGGCGCAGTATTTTCTGGATGTGGTCGAGGATGGGGATAGGGTGTGGAGGATTAAGGAGTGGAGGATGACGGTTATGTGGTTGGATGGGGATGCGAGTATTGTTGGGAGGTAGATTGGGTTTATTATCATTCTTGTCACGCATCCTGGTGCTCTTGTCACATAGAGGTAGCGGTATGCATCTATCAGCGATCAGTCTTAGCAACATCCCCAGTATAATCCCGCGAACTCTCATAATCAGGCGGCTTCTTCAAATCGCCTTCCAACTCGGCCTTTTCACCGTCTCCAACAGTCTTGATATCGCCTTCAAGTTCTCGCCTACCCACATCACCAAGCCCAGTCTTTGGATCGCCCGCCAACTCTGGCTGCGTACTACCTTCCAGCTCCGCTCGCAGAAATGTGTTTTCAGGCTGGGTTCCCGTCAGCTCGTGACTGAGGGTGTATCCCCCGGCTTCGTGGGCTAGATCTGTTGCTGCTTTCTCGTGGATTGCCTTGCTGTCGAGTTGCTTCGCATGTGAGGTCGAGCCTGGCAGTTCTGCAGGTGCATCGTCTTCGTTTGCTTGGGCTGCTGCTAATGCTTTCTTCGCTCGTCTCCGTCTCCAGAAGAGGATGAATCCAGCTACAATCGCTAGAATCACGAACGCTGCTACCCCAACACCAACACCAGCCTTCGCCCCTGTCGAAAGGCCACCCCCACCAGACCCCTCAATCACATCCGCGGTAATAAACATCCCATTATCAGTCACCGTAATCGGCGGCACAGTAGTAGGTGACGGTGGAGCCGTAATGCCCTTTGCAACATTCCACTCCCCTGTCTCCGTAGGATGATGCGGAAACAGCGACAAATCCTTACTCTCCCAGGCAATAACTATAGGCGTATCCCACGCATACCCACTCGTCGTGACGGTCGTGCCGTTCCCCACGACTTCGACGGAGGTCGTCTCGGGCCACGAGGCGCAGTCGTAGTGGACTTCGGAGACGTGCATGTACCAGGGGCAGCACGTCGCCATGGTCGCTGCGCCGCTCATCCATTGCGAGGCGATGGAGTAGGCGGAGGGGCAAATGCCGGGGGAGATGTAGACCCAGCCGTCGTCGAGGACTGCTTCGGTGGGAAAGCAGTCGAGGGTGTAGCCTTTCCAGATTGAGAGGACGCCGTCGGTGGGTGCGTCGGTGTGGTCCAGTCCGGAGGGGGAGAGGGTGTATGTCCGTTGGAGGCATGAGGAGGGCGGTGTGAAGATTGTGGTCAGAGCTGAGGTTAGAGTCTCTGGGGATTGTGTCGTGCTGGCCATCTCGTCAGTTCGAGATGTTGAGTGTGGGTGGTGGTGAGGAGTGCATTCTTCAGCTGCAAGCGAAGCTGTCCATATGCGTTGCTAGTTTGATAGCATCATTATCAAATGTCAAGCTTGAGCGTGTGCGTAGGCGATTCGATAATTGAACCAGGGGGATCATTGGCTTACTCATGATTCGTGTTGCTGTAGCGAGGCGTCGAGCAGGGATTGAAGCCGTGCTGCAGCGCTTGGCGGCATTGATTCAGCTCAATCGGGAGTGAAGAACTGTGGAATTGATAGGAAGAGTCTTTCCCAAAGCTCTTGTGTGGAGCCGTGAGGATCTGGACCTTTAGAAATGTGGGTTTCGCAGCGCCTGGTTGAAATTTTCCGCGAGATTCCAGGTGTCGAAGAATGACAGCCCTCCTGCGAGTATGAACCCGACTTCCAGCGGCAGCTTACCTTGCATAGCGGAATATAGGCGGGCGTGGACTGTGACGTCGAAACTCGTATTTCATACCTCATTAGCTTCTTTAAGAGTTTCGTCTCTCATGATGGCAAAACCGAACCCTCCGTCGTCGCTTTACTGGGCTTCTTCGCGTCCAAGCCAATCAACATCGTAATCCACTTGCCCAGCCTCACACTTGGCTGGTCCAGAATCTTTGTAAACACCCACGCAAGCAGCAACGTCATGGGAAGATTGATAGCCAAATCAACCCAAAACCTCAGATCAATTGCATAGAGTCCCCACTGCGGTACCGTCCACGTCCCATCCCAAAATGATCCCACGAGGTGCGGATCGGGACTATCACCCAGCAAGGCGCTCACACGGTCGGGGAGGATGCGGAAGAAGGGGACATGCGTGAGGTAGAGCATGAAGGAGACGTATCCGAGGAATTTGAGGGGCCGGGTGGAGAAGAAGCGTTGGAGGAAGGGGATGCGAAGGACGGCGTAGACGACGAGGAGCGAGGCCCAGCTTTGCCAGTATCGGTAGTATCGGTCGTCGCCGTATTGCTCGGGGATCAAGCTGGTGAGCCAGACCCAGCCGGGGGTGTTGGCCGAGTAGTTTATGTCACCGGCGTGCGAAGGCTCGGACAGGAGGTAGAGACCGACGTAGAAGCAGAGATGGGCGAAGAGTGTCGGCTTGTGGGGTGTGAGCGGAGGTTTTGGTGTTTTCTCTGCCCTTCTTGGTAGACGTTTCGAAAGCCATTCGGGTGTGAGCTTCACAGATCGAACTGCTGTCCATCGTTCTCTTGCGCTTGAAACCCAGCCAGGAGTCGTCTTCGCCCACTTTGGAGTCAACTTCTCGCCCAAATCTCTCACTTTCTCCGGTGGTGTAAATCCTCTCTTGACTGCCTCCCCAATCGGCCAGGTATCCACCAATGCAAGCACCATTCCAAACACGAAGCCCGTCATACTCCACTTCCACATTCTCTGTAGCATGATTGCCGATGCACCAAATAGCATCAATGCGGCCATGAGCGGGACCTTGTGATCTGGACCATGCATGCCGAGCGAGAAGATGAAGACGAGTCCGAATACCAGTAGACTTCCCTTCAATTCGATTGGTACAGTCCACATGGCCACGTTGTATGGGTACGAAAAGAGGTTGCTCCCGTGCTCTCGAAAGATGGAGAAGTAGTCCACGCTCTTGACCCAGAAGAACTTCATCTCCGCCCAGATTCCGTCTTCTTGCGGTCTTCCACCATCCCAGGGTAGAGGCAGTACCAGAGGGCCGGGGACGTGCAGGAGGAAAGCATCGAGGAGTGATAGCACGATCGGTGGGATATACAATCGCAAAGGCCGGCGTATCAGTGCGCTGAGCAGAGCCCTGCGACATTTAGGCGCTTTGTCTTGCTTGAGCTTCCGGAAGGAGCTGATGCTGAGTACGTAGCCGGACAAAACGAAGAAGATGACAACGGCAGCGTTACCTCCAGTGCCGAACATGAGACGGACAACGGGTAGTTGGACGAAATGCCACTGATCGCCGTTCTGCCCGAAGCCGAATTCCTGGCCGCCGCCGCCCATCTTGTGCTGGACAAAGACCCATAGTGCTGCCAGACCTCGTAATCCGTCGAGAAATTCGATCTTCACAAACGATTGTTTCGGTGCGGTGGTTTCGGGTGGTGAAGGTTCGGGAGGGACATGTCGAGATTGTTCTTCGTCTTGCTGTGTCGACGGCAGCAACGCCTCGTCTTCTCGCATCTCATCGCTATCTCTTTCGTCGCCTTCTAGCATGGGCGAGAGTTCGAAGACCTCATCCTCGCGGTGCTCCATCTCGTCCTTGTCCGGCTCTGGCATGTTGCGGGGGTGAGGGCGGAGAGAAGAGAAGACGGCGACGACGAGGATTTCGCCATGAAGACATAATTCGACAAGCTATCCACTATCTCCACTGCCCCAGCCAACTTTGTCGACAGAGTTCAATACCAGGCGTTCGGTAGTGCACAGGTACCGAGGGATGTCGAACCAAAGTTCGCCGTGGTTGGCTTTGAATCCTTTGCGGCGTTGGCGATCCTCCCAAGGCTATACCGTTAACGTCCACTGCAGAAAGCGCTCTCTCCAGCTGACAGTCATGGCCGGATGGGGGAAGAGATCGAAAAAGGCAGTGTTGCAAGCTGCATTTTCACCTTTGAATTGGCCAGACTGTCCAACTTTTGTCAGGTCGTGTGCAGTTGGTACAAGTGAAAGCAAAGGTTGGAGAGTTTGGAGAGTTTGGGGAAAGTCCCAAGATTCGGCGTGAGCTTGTGAAGATGATGTGGGGCCGCAGCGGATTCCTCGGCAGCGCTACGATTGGCAGAGCGGTATCCGCCTTTCACGTGACACTCTGAGAGTCGACGGCGCTTCATCGCTTTCGTTAGAAGCTGAGTCCCTGCATGGACTACTGCTCTTGACCAAAGCAAGGAAGTGGAGGGCGATGATAACGTGTGAATCGAAATAGCTGTTTGCCAGCCTCCATATCGCCCATATCAAGGTGTTCATACATATTGAGAAGATTAGCTTACGTTCAAGACTGACCATCAACCTGCTCGGTCACGGTCCCACTCTCGCCAACATTCTGCACCGGAGTGGCCGTCCCACTCGAAGCGTTGTCCGCTTTTTGTTCTTCATTCTTCTTCTTGGCCGCAAGTTGCCAGCTCGGTATCGCAGCTTTGTTGCCAAGTAATCGGCTGTACGGTGTTCCCGCACCGTCGCGGTTGGGAGCACTCGAGAAGGGCATCGAGTTGCTTCGCTCTGTAGATGTGGTTGTCGATGTGTTCTCGGCACCATTGGCTTCAACCCCGTTTGTGGGAGGTTGAGAATGAAGACCGTTCGGCTCTTGCACAGCGGGCGCTGAAGATTGAGGCGTCGATGATCCATTGACAGGACCAGAAACACCGGGAATGCCAGCAATTGGTGACTGTTGCTGCTGCTGCGACGGGCTTGCAAAGCTCGGTGTGGCTCTGCTGGGCGTCTGCATTCTATTGGCAACCAGCGTCTTCAAGCTCTTCATCTCGACATTCAGATCTTTCAAACGGGTATCGGTCAGCTCCTTCTCCTTCTCAATGGCCTTGGGGATCTGGTCTCTGATCTCGTTGATCTCTCTCGAGATTCGCTTGGCCTCCAGCTCGCGTTCCTCATTTGCCTGCTTCATCCTGCTGATGACGCTCTCCACCTCTCCCAGCGCAGTATCCAATCGTTCTTTTCTTGCAGCTTCGGCATCCTTGAGCTCCTGTGTATCCGTAGCCAGCTGCTCCAACAGCGCAAATGCCTTCTCAAAGCTGGCATCCACGCTAGCCTTGTCCTGCTCGAGCTGAGGTGGTGTTGGCGGTGCGATCAGAGGGTAAACGTATCGTTTCGCCGTCCAGTACAAACCATACCCCACCCCGCCCATGACCGTCGCCGCGATGAAGTAATCTCTCCAGTCTCGCCGGGGAGCTTCTGGAGGCGGTTGTTGCCAGTTCTGAGGGTAGCCATATTGTTGTTGGTATCCGTTGCCGTACTGTGGAGGAGGTTGGCGGTACTGGATGGACGGGGGCTGTGAGTTGGGTGGAGCGGGCGCTTGGCCTACGCGGGCGAGCGAGGCATCGATCTCATCTTGGGTCAGGTTCTTGGATCGAAGGAAGGCGACTCGTTGTTCGACGGGTGCTGAGGCGACGGATGGATCTTGGAGGACTGTATATGCATGTTAGACTGCGGCCATCACGAGATCACAACCAGACTTCTTTCTCGTACAAGAGACGGCTCCCTCAACCAGGTCCTCGCGGACCATCTTGACTGATCTCCCTTCAAATATTGACGTCGATTGATTGGAGAACACTTCACTTGTTATGAAAGTGAGAGGGAAAGTGAGAGAGTGTTGTGATGTTCACCTCATCGGCAAATGGCTGCTGGGCCGAGGCGATGATCGCTCGGCTGACCTGCCTGAGATCTGCTCCCTCGCAACGACGCTTGGCATTGTTTACATGTGCAAGCGCGACGCCCAAGACTTCACCAAAACCACCGCCAACACTCACAACTGTGCATGACATTACCGCCAACAGTCTACAGCCGTTGGATTGAACAGTTGGATACTGCGCGACCGCGATGGCACATGAATCGGGTCTTTTCTCCGCCCGGCGGCAGCGTGAGGTGAGTTGCGACACGGCCTTCGATTGAGACGATGCTAACAGCAAACATGGCAGACTCTCGGGCCCGTCTCCCACAATGCCTCCGCCATCCCGATGCCGTCCTCCGCCATGAAGCGATCCAATTCGACCTCGGGTTTCAATCAGGCGCCATACTCCACGAACCACGCCCGCTCGACGTCTGGATCGCGCATGTCGCTTGCGCCGGGACGACCTTCGCAGCCCATGTTCCACCGATCATCGTCTGGCGACAACCTGGCGGGTATGGGATTCTCTACAGTGCAGCGACCGAGCACACAGAACTTGTTCGCCAGCACGGGCGGCAGAAAGAGCTTTGCGCCCATCACGAGTACACCCGCTCCTCCCCCGCAACTCGACGCCAGTACACAGCGAAGAAGCAGTGTCTACAGTGCGAGACCTTCAGCGGCATTCGGCCCTGCAGCGCATCAATCCTTCTTTGCGACGGCGCCTCCTTCCACTGCCATCCCCACTGACCCACGACGGCTAAAAGACCCCAACACGCGGAAGATGATGGGCCAGGAGCTTATGGAGTTCCTGACCCAGCGTAACTTCGAGATGGAGACGAAACACACCATCACGCCCAACTTCATGTCCTCGCCGACGCAGAAAGACTTTGACATGATGTTTCAGTTCCTGTACCACCAAATCGATCCGGCATACCGCTTTCAGAAGAACATCGCCGCCGAAGTCCCTCCTCTCCTCAAGCTAATGCGATACCCATTTGAGAAGAATATCTCCAAGAGTGCGCTGGGTGCGGTAGGTGGAGGTAACTGGAGCACGTTCCTGGGCCTTCTGCATTGGATGATGCAGCTCGCAAAGATGATGGAGCAGTACAGCACGGGCATGTGGGATGATGCCTGTATTGAAGCTGGGTTCGACGTCAGTGCAGATCGCATCACATTCGACTTTCTATCCGCGGCCTACAAGGAGTGGCTACATATCGAAGATGATGACGACGAGGAAGAGGAAGCGAAGCGAAGAATCCAGCCTCTCGTCGATGCGATGGCAGTCAAGTTTGAACAAGCCAATTCGGCCAATCTGGACCAAATGCGACAGTTCGAGGCCGAGTCCAAGGAGCTGCAAGCGCGAATCGATGAGTTGAGTAAGAATGCTCCACGACTGGCCAAGCTGGACGAGACGATCAAAATCCTGGAGGAGGATCGGCAGAAGTTTGAGGTGTACAACGACAGCATGAACGCCAAGGTGGAGAAGTACAGCCATCGAGCGGATCTTCTGCAGCAGGAGATTGAGAAGTGCGAAGCTGAGATGGCCGAAGCAGAGGCCGAGCGGAACGACTTGCAGCAGAAAGTCGACGAGCAAGGGCTGAGTGTGCAGGATATCGACCGCATGAACACCGAGCGCGAGCGTCTCAGCAAAGGCGTCGAGGCGACACAGCAGAGGCTTGAGGAGGCCAAGGAGCGAACTGGGAAGAAGGAGGCCGAGACTGGAGCCAGACTCGACGAGCTCGAGAGTACAGTCCAGAAATTTAACGCCCAAGGGTATCAAGTTGGGATCATACCGCCATCCGCTCAGAACGCCAAAGGAAACGACTACGAGCTGCGCCTGAACATCAACTCTGGACCTGACTTCACCACTTCGCAGCTTGGTGCTTCAAACTCGCATTCTCTATCGTCCTCGGATCGATTGCTTGCAGATTCGAGCAATGGCTACCAACCGCAACATCTTCTCCCACACGCAGATCTCAAGACCATGAAGCGTCAGCTGCAGGACCTGCGCAAGGAGATTTCTGAGAAGCGGAACGTCGGACTGGAAGAAGACATGGCCAAAGTCGATATGCTGGACAAGACTCGGGAAGCCCTGGAAGACAAGCACGCCGAGCTTGAAACCCTGAAGCACCGAGTTAAAGGAGCAGCAGAGGAGTTCGACGGTATGCGAGATGTGTCATCGGCGCAGTCAATGGCCAGCGATGCGCAGATCGAAAAGATGGAGAAAGAGTTGAACAGGATGCGTTCGACACTGGGCGAGTCCGTACAGCTCATGGAGCAGAGGGAGATGAGCGTGAATCTTGAGTAAGTCGCGATGCTCCATCTTATCTTGACACAAATATGCTGACTTCGATACAGGTACGAACAACTCACACTGCGGTCCGGCGAGCTGCGAGAGGAACTTCACACCGAGCTGGAGCGTATGCTGCAGTATATCATCAACTTCAAGATCCACATCCAGTCAAGTTTGGAGTCATATGAGGAGTTTGTGGCCGCTGAGGTGGAGCGAGAGTGGGAAGAGCAGAATGCTGGAGCCGATGATGGCGAGGTCGATCCGGATGCGATGGAGGAGTGATTGATGAAACGACTGATGATTGGGAATTGGCGTTTGGGACGAGATACCTCTTGTGCGAGAAGGCCTTTGATATGCTGTCTTGAACGATGACTAGTTTCATGTGCAAGATCTATTCGTCCATGTGCTGTTGTGATCGGATGAAGTCGACGGCTCTACCCGCTCGCCTCGTCTGCCTGGGCCAAGCCGACACTCGTACCTCACTTCATGCCCGTCATGGACGCCATGGGATGAATCTGATCCATATCGACCACCGCCCGCCGCTGCTGGACCCCCGACATCCCCCTTACCCTCCCTAACACCCTCACCACGATGTCGTCCTCAGCGCAGCGGGCGCTGGACTACCTCGAACAGCAACCGGGCACCACCTTCACCAAACTCTACCAGCAGCCGTCGACCGCCCTCGCCATCTTCCGCCGCATGCTGCCTCACCTCGCCAAAACCCTCGTCATGGCCATGCTATATTTACCGGCGCCCTTCCCCGCCGCGGACCTGGAAGCGTGGGTCAAGCCCGCGACGAAGAGCAACCAGGCGAAAGAGCAGGCGCGCAGCACGTTGCAGCGGTTGAGGATTCTGTTCGAGGAGAGCAATCCCGCGGATGGGGGGCGGACGGCGTATCGACTGTCTCCTGCATTTGCGAAGAGTCTGCGGCAGGCGTTGACGGGGGGCGGGAGTCACAGCTCGTTCGGCGTGGCGTGTTCGACGCCGGATAAGACGCCCGTGACGGTCGAGTACCTGGATGCGTTTGCGCGGCGGCAGTGGGAGGCGATATTGTATTATGTCGTGGGCAGTGCGAATGCGAGTTTGAGCGGTGAGGTGGAGATCACGCCCGGGACGAAGAAGTTGTTGCAGGATGGGGGGTATGTGGTTTTGAGGGGTGGGGGGAGGCAGAGGGTGATTACGACGGAGGGGTTTACGTTCTTGCTGCAGGAGAGCAATGCGCAGGTGTGGAGTTTGTTGTGTTTGTATTTGGATCAGTGTCCCGCGGTGAGATTGAGATATCCTGCTTGGAGATGGTATCATACTGATATGGTGGCAGCTCCAAATGGACCCGGTGGACGTCTTGTCCTTCCTCTTCACCCTGGGATCCCTCGAACTCGGCGTCTCATACAGCAGCTCCAACCTCACGCCCACCCAACTCCGCATGCTGGAAGACCTCACCGACTTCGGCATCGTCTACCGCCGCTCCGGAGACTCTTCTCGCTACTACCCAACCCGCCTCGCCACAACCCTCACCTCAGACAGCCCCGCCCTCACCAACAGCACCGCCATGACGACGACCATCACCGCCCCAACCTCCTCCCTCGCCGAAACCGCCACCTCGAAAGGCTACATCATCCTCGAAACCAACTACCGCCTCTACGCCTACACCTCCTCCCCGCTCCTCATCTCCATCCTCTCTCTCTTCGCCCACCTCCACACGCGCTACCCCAACCTCATCACGGCCAAACTCACCAAACCCTCCATCCAATCCGCCATCACCTTGGGAATCACCTCGAACCAAATCATCGACTACCTCACCTCCCACGCCCACCCGGTCCTCCACCGCCCACACACCCCGATCCTCCCCCCCACCGTCGTCGACCAAATCCGCCTCTGGCAAATGGAAGGCGAGCGTATGGAAAGCGTCAAGGGCTACCTAATCCGCGACGTCGGCAGCATGGAAGATTACGACAAGGCGGTGAAATTTGCAAGGGATTTGAATGTGTTGGTGAAGGAGTTTCGGGGGAGGGGGAGTTTTTTCGTCACGAGGATGGATCAGATGGGGTTGTATTTTAAGGAGGCGGCGGCGAGGAAGAAGGCTGCTAAGGAGATGGCCGAGGCGAGGGCTGTTGCTGCTGCTGGGAAGAGTTGATGATGAGAAGATGTTTAGGAGAAGGAGGAGTGTATGATTATAAGAAGTGTGGATTTTGGGCATAGCGAGGCGTTTTTAGGGGGAATGATATCGATATACCATGGATCACGGATACGAGAAAGAAGGAGGGAGTTTGTTTGACATGGGCATGAAGTGGCATTCTGATCCTTGCATTATTACTTCGTGAGTATACAACGTCTTGTTCGACTTACAAGGTCGGTTGACCATCTCGATTACACATTACCGTACTTTGCGTTCTACGCCTCGACAGCGCATATTGTATCCCGACTCTGTAACCTGGAAAATTGCCAACTCGAATCTTCGTCTTCCATCACCCACCCGACGACACCAAGCTCTTCTGTCTCCGTCCCAGCAACCGATCCATGAAGCTGATCTTCCGTCCGGCACTCAGCGGCATCCCCGGCGAGGACCCATTACCCTGCTGACCGCCTTCCCTGAGGCTCATCTCCAACGCGCAGCTCTTTCCAACTACCGGCCTCGCCAACTCCGGCAGACTCAGCGCAACCGCCAGCTGCTTCTGCCATTTCAAGAAACTCTCACGGGCTTCGTCATTCGCGCATTGGAAGTACAGACGTTCGACGGCGCGGCGCATGCGGGCGGTGTTGGCGGCAGGTGTGTGCATCTTGTCCGTCTCGGATTTGGACTTGTCGCTTGTGTGAGCGAAGGGTGACGATTGGTTGGAAGGGGATTCGGGCCCGAGGTTGATTGAGGCGAGCAGGTCTTGGTTGCGGTATCGGTCGTTGAGGGAGGAGAATCGGCCGGTCCAGTATGCAAGGGGCTCGGCGCGGTAGACCTTGCAAAAGCATGTTAGTGGAAGAGAGGTGTTCGGTGGGAAGTACTACTTACCGATCCCGCTGTCGGCTCGAGGGTCTGGGCTCTGGATCTGGATTGCACTGGTTGAGACTGCGCAATGGGTGTCTGCTCAGAGACTTGACGAACATGGCCGGGCTGGTTCTCATCCGTCTTCGACTTTGGCTGCTCGAGTATTATATCTCTCAAAGGTGTCTTGGGTGGTGGTGGTGGTGTGGGTGCCTGCTTCGCGGACATCAACCTCGTCTGCTTGATCTCGCCATGCGGTGAGATGCGATTGCTCTTGTTGGTCAGGACGGGCTGCGAATTCCACCTCTGGACGGGCTTGCCTGGCGTGGGTGCTCGGTCCCTCGAACTGCGATATTCTGGACTGCTCTCATACTTCTGTGAAAGGCGCTTGTAGGCTCCAGCTGGAAGTTGCTCGTACTTGGAGAGGGATAGAGTGGAGCCGGAAAGAGTGTTGGCCGAACTGCTCAATTGCTGCAAGACCTCACGAGACTGAGAGCGGGCATGGCGGCTTTGGTATGTGCGTGAAGGTGGACTCGACGAGTAGAAGCTGTCGCTGTCGAGCATGTCCATGCTGGAAAGGGGCTTGATGGGGCTGAGTGAGATGTTCTCCTTGAAGGCCGTGGATCGGTGATATCCGGGGCTCTGCTCGTAGGCGGCATGCAGCAGCGGCTCTGTATCCGATCGACTCAATTTCTTGCCCCTGGGCAGGTTCTCGACTGCTGCCAAGCGTGTGGTGGAGGAATGCTTCCTGGTGGATGCGGAGGGAGATGGCAGCCGACTCGCCGAGAGTAGGGAAGAAGGAAGTCGCGCATGCGATTTGGACTGCACCAAGGGGTTGTTTGACTTCTTGGCTCGAGTCAGGAGCGGCAAGTTGCTGAAGGTCCTGCTGCGCGGCATGCCTCCGATGGGGTCGTCAGGCAGGCAGATGTAGCTGCTTCTTCGGGATGGGTACTGCACTTGTGTTTGCGTGGGTGGCGGAGGGACGGCCTGGATGTTGTCGTGCTCGGTGAAGATCTGGGACGAGTTGAAGTCCTTGTCCTTGTCCTTGGCATTGTCGGGGGGATGGGCGAGGGTGCTGCTGGAGAGGGAGGCGTTGCTGGTGGAGGAGGAGATGCCGGTGACGTTGTTGTTGGAGCGGCGGCGGGTGAAGGGGTTGAGGGTGTGGAACGAGGCGATGGAGCTGAGCCGGCGGAGAGAAGAGCGCCGCGACTCGGCCTTGGTCTCGCTCGAGTCGCTTTTGCGGGACGGCATGGCGGGCGGATGTGATGGAGAGGAGGAGGTGAAGTCGAGCTTGGAGATCGGATCGAAGTGCAAGTCCTGTTCAGAGCAGGAAGGACCAAACCCTGGCAAGTCCCTGCTTCAAGTGAAGTCATATCAGGAAGAAGGCACGGCAGAATCTTTCACAAAGCAACCGCCAAACACTCAAGAAAGACCAATACTACCAATTGATGATACACACGCCTCGATTCACACATCTCGCCGCCAAGGCCTACCTCGATCAGCCATTCGCTCTCGATACTTCCCTGGTCATTCGCATCGCACAAGACCTCTAACTGCTATCGTACGCATGTTAGCTACGCTGCGACGTCGACATACGTCCAGAATCCTCACAGCGCCAGCTCGATCTGAGGGACCCATACATCCCCGTCTTCGAGATGTTGGCGGCCTGGTACAGAGATATGCGATGGCCATGGTCAGGAGAAGATTTACGAAGAGGAGCAGATCGGGCTGAGCTGGTTGCTGGGTTGTGGCAATCATGCTGTGCTGAGGTGGTGGGTTGATGATGTCGTGCGAGAAAGGGGATAGCGTTCCTGAGCGATAGGATTCTCGCAGGATTGCCGGGGATTGCAGAAGTCATTGATGATGATGACCATGACGAGACAGACGATACGGCGAGACAAGAAGCGAATCACCCTGACATAACGTCGTGTTTCACCAATGAAGCTGTTGCACTTCTTTGTCCTACCCTTCTTTCACGATCATTCCCGTGCACCAGAAGCATGTCTTAGCCTCAACCGCCAACTTCCCATGCTCCCTCCACGGCGTGCGGTATCACCAGGTCGAGACGGTCCGGAAACTGCACCTCGACCCTCCCACGCATGTACCAAGTCCCTTCTTCTTTCCAGAGTACCTCAATCAACAGTACCAGGGTCCGCAGCAAGCACAGTAGGATGAGCACTACGTGCAGGGCTTGCGTGCGAGCCCAGTGCTCGAACATGCGTATGTCGATGGTGATGTTGAGCTGCCGGCCTGAGACGACATGAGCTCGCATGGTACTTGCGAGGTGCAGAATATGGACGGCGGAGACGGGAGGAAACGTATCCAGAGCAAGAGCAGTCCCATATCACGGCCCATGGCAAGAACTTCTGGGCGGCTGCCTTCGTAGAATCTGAAGTGGATGATCAGCTGCAAGTCGCATGATCGCTGCTCGAGAATGATGAGACTTACATTGGGCATTTCAGGCATGAGAATTGCTCGATCCATCGCATCTTGAGTTTGTTGATGATTTGGAGTGGGAGAAGAGAGTGGGGGTGGAAGCGTCGCGTTGGATGCACTTTCTGCCTCCTCATCACGGCAAGGAAGGCATGACGGGCCCAGCACCCAAACCTCTTCCATGCACAAGCATCTCTTCGACACCTCCAGCAGTCATGATCATACTACCAAGATCCGCCCCCATCATCAAGACTCCTCAGCAGGCGACTCCAACAAAAGGACAGCAACATCATCTGTATAGCGAACATCCGTAAGCGAAATCTCAGCTCTCGCCGGTCAATCTCCCAGAAGATCAACCAATGCCAACGATCGCGAGTCCAGAGGTGGACCTCCATTAGGTCCAGCACTTGGATGATTTCGACAGCTATGACCAACGCCGTGAAATGGCGGAGGAAATTCAGCTCGCTCCAGGGATTGGATAGTTGTTCGATGAGTCTGGTGTCGGAGCTGCTCATGGTGGCCAGTGGGGTGGTGACTTGGGGGCGATGGTTGTATGTTTCACCACAAATTCTTAAGTTCGGATGTGAGGAGGAAGTGCAGCGTAACTCAGAACAGGGAGACGTTCCGTTTGTATCTCCAAGCTCGATGATGAATGCATGTCTCAAGCCAGACCCAGGCATCACTCGCTTTCATGCAGCTATCCGACCGGCGGCATACCCTCCAGGCTATGCGCCAAATGCCATGTCTTACCACTGCCGATACGCTAGCGGCAGCTCCTCCTCCTTAACCATCTCATTGAACCACAAACTCACGACCCGTGCCCGGCAGATCGCCAGCAGAAAGGCGTGTACCCGAACCTGTCTCGTCCATCTTCTCATCTTCGACCTCCGGAACCGTATGATGCATTGTGTATGGCCCCGTCGCTGTCTTGTCTGGATGGAGAGGATGTCGCAGAGGCCTTGGATGGATACGCCGAGGAGGAAGCCGGTCCAGATGACGAGGAGTTTGACGTCGAGGGAGGCGAGGGTGATGTCGGCGTTGAGATTCATGATGAGAGAGGATGTGCTGAGATTGTTGACACCTTGCTGGATTGTCTCGGGTTGGAGAGGTTTGACTGATGGAGTGAAAGCGACGTCAGGGACGTGATTGATTGAAAGAAAAACAACCTCTTCGTCACTTCTCGATTTGCCGCACATGCACCTCCGACTTCATCTTTCACCACGTCCACCAAACCCTCACTACTCCTCGAACACCCGCTCCCTCCCCGCAGAATACGCCGGCGGCGGCGTCTCGACCTCCTTATACCGCCGCGGCAAAGTCTCATTGCTCGGCCGTGGCGGGCGGGCTGCAGCTGGCACCGTCGTCCTCCCATCCCGCAGGGGAATATTTTGCTGTTCCCGGCGGATCCTCTCTTTTCGCTTGACCAGACAACGCGAAATACAGCCCAAAAAGAATGCTGTCGCAATTATCGCGAGAAGGACGGAGATGATAGAGATGAAAGACTTGTCGGCTCCGGGAGGGTCTACGCCTGGGGTCATGTTGGAGGGCATGGTGGGGACGGGTGGCACTAGGGCTTGGTTCATCTGGAGCGTCGTTGGGGGAGGGTCAGTGGTGCTGGTGGTGTCGGATTTTCACGGTGAGAGCTGATATATGGGGTGTTCGTGCCAGATGGAAAGGATCTCACGAGAAGCCTGCGATCTCTTATGGCACATCTGGAGATGGCAACATGACTACCCAGTCCTCCCTGTTGAGCCTTTTCCGTAGCTCCATTTCGAGACCCTTCGCATGGAGAAGAAGCGAGATGATCGCGCGACGAGATCAGGATTCTGGCAGATCTACGTTTGCTATCAACTGGGGCTCTTCGATGTTTGCCTGGCGACTATCCCACAATATGCGATTGGAAGCGAATCGTTCTTGGAGACAGCATATTGAATGACACTTTCAAGGGTTTTAACACACGGCTTTCCCCAACATCTGTTGAGGGGCCGTGCCAACATGTGGATGGCAGAGGATGTTGTTGAAGGTGAGAGTAGTGAGAGGTGAGGTGAGAGGGCGCGTATGGGGGCCTAGAAGTGCAGAGCTCACGAAATCAACAACCCAGCCCGGACCACGCCTTTGCTTTTCAGGATCGAGGATTCGGCGCAACTCCTCCTGAACCACGACATGGCAAGACCACGGCAGCGACCACAATACTCAGTCGGACAATCCTCGAGTAGCCGATACTCCCGCTCTCTCGCCCCTTGGTATTGGGACTGAAATGGCCGACCCCGACTCCGCATCGTCACGCACTCCTCTACCGAGGGTGACTTGTCCAGGTCGATTCGACGAGCGTAGGTATCTCCATAGCAGCAATCCTTTCTTCATTTCTATACTGTATCTTTCCTAGTAATCTTTCTCTACATTCTATATCTTCAGAAATGAAGCGCAGCTTTCTTTCAAGACACCAGAATCGAAATGGAGCAGCCGATGGAGTCCCTGATAGAGCTAATGCACATGCGACCTCTACTGGCGAACCGGTCAGCCTGAGTTTGGACGCCTTGATCATCGGTGCGGGTTTCGCTGGCGTGTATTTGTTGCATAGACTTCGGCAGGAGGGTTTCAATGCGAAGATCGTAGAGGCGGGCACAGGACTGGGAGGCATCTGGTCAGTCCTCAGTAGCCACTGGGACGGAACGCGCTGACATTGAGCAGGCATTGGAACAACTACCCAGGCGCTCGAGTCGATTCGCAATATCCCGTCTACCAGCTATCAATACCCGAAGTCTTCAATACCTTCGAATGGACCGAGCATTATCCTGGATCGCAAGAGCTGCAGAGATACTTTCAACATGCGGACAAAGTATTGAACCTCAGTAACGATGTGTTATACAACACGCGCGTTGATGCGGTGAGGTGGGACGACACGTTGCATAAGTGGCATGTTGAATGCGAGAATGGGACAAGAATTACGACCAGATACCTGAACTGTTGCATGGGTTTCGCAGCCAAGCGCCATTTTCCAGCATGGCCTGGCTTGGAGGACTTCGAAGGCTATATCTGTCACTCCTCATTCTGGCCGGCTGAGGGCGTTGACATGAAGGGGAAGAGGGTGGCAGTCGTTGGGCAGGGCGCCACTGGCATTCAAATTGCTCAGGAAAGTGCGAAAGATGCAAAGGAGCTCACAGTCTTTATTAGAACGCCCAATACCGCTCTTCCGATGAACCAGCGAAAGATCAGCGAAGAAGATGCTGCCACAGTCAACAAAACCATAGCTCACAGGCTACAGACTGAGCGCTACGGCAACGCAGGAGGCTTCTTGTTCGGCAACCCGGAGAGGAAAATGCTCGAAGACTCCCCAGAGGAGCGGGAACGTCTCCTTGGCGAGTTCTATCAACGAGGAGGTTTCGCCCCGCTCTTTGTCTACGCCGATATCCTCACCGATCCAGTCTCAAATCGATTCATGTACGACTACTGGGCGAAGAGGACCCGCGCTCGAATCTCAGATCCTGTCAAACGAGATATCCTGGCCCCATTAGAGCCGCCCCATGCGTTCATGGGCAAGAGGCCGAGTTTGGAGCAGGATTACTATGAGCAATTGGACAAAGACCACGTCAAGCTGGTGGATCTGAGGAAAGTCTCTGTTTCGCATGTTGTGCCCCAAGGCATTGTCACCTCAGACGGCGAGTTGCACAAGCTTGATATTCTGGCGATGGCGACTGGTTTCGATTCGTTGACTGGCTCATTCACGCAAGTGAAGATCGAGGGGATGAACGGTATTGACCTGGAGCAGAAATGGAACACTGACCTTGGTGCTCTGTCTTATTTGGGCATATCTGTTGCGCAGTTTCCGAATCTCTTTTATGTGAGTAGTTGGACAAGATGCTCTGATCGAGTAGCTGACGATGCAGCAGACATACGGTCCTCACGCACCGACCGCCTACGGCAATGGACCCAGCATCGTCGAACCTCAGGCAGAATGGATCGTCAAAGTCATGAAGCAGATGAACAAACAAGGCAAGACCAAGATCAACGCCAAGGAGTCATACGAGCGCGAGTGGAAGAAGGAGGTCAATGATCTACATGCGGCAACACTGCGACATAATGTCGATTCATGGTACATGGGTAAGTCGAGACAAAACAATAGCGCCACAAGACCGCGGCTGACGATCTCCTCCCACAGGCACAAACATCCCCGGCAAGCCACGCCAGGCGCTGAACTATGCTGGAGGCTTGTCGACTTACATTGCTACTATCAACGAGCGGTTGAACAGCAACTTCGAGGGGTTTGAGGTGGTTTGAGCACGTTTCTCTCTATTCCCTGTTTGTGAAGATGGGTTGTGCTTATATATAAGACCAGATCTTTGGCTTGCGTTCTTAGCAGTACGCTCGGTCACAATACAGGCGACGAATTATGATGAATATATTGTTTCGGTGATGAGGAGCAGCTCGCTCGGTATTGTATTCGTCTCCCTTCTTGGAGCTTCAACGACAGGTCATTGGATAGGATTACTCGATTGAACGGTTTCGAAACGACCCAGCGTGGCAACCTCACTGACCCGGGCGTCTGAGATCCGATCCGATCGATATCACTGATGTGGTCAGGATGACGACGATTTCGAAGAAAATGTCACGAAACGGGTGGCCACGCAGACATGTTTGCCTGTTGGGTCAGAATGCAGGCCGGCAGTGGTGGTCGAGACGGAAGAAACAGTAAGACAGGCGAGACTATACCACGCCAACAGAGGTCACGATACCCACTGAGGAATCGCATATCAGGACATAATCCAATGATCGAAGTGACCTCTCTCCGTCGCTTTCTGGGTAACCAACGCGCCTACATTGTCTACAGCACCATGTTGTGCCAGTGAAACGAGGAGAGCGACCGGGTAACGGCAGCTCTCACATGGCCGCCATTGGTCTCGCGCGACGCATGGCCCTGTACCACAGCATCTATTGAGCAAGCTCCCCTCTGCTGCTTGCATGCTGGATGCGCCATCGTCGACTGCCCTGAGTACGGATACCAACGGCTCGCAGATCAAGTTTGTGAACAAGACCATCTCTCACCATTTCCTGCTTCGGCACCGAGCGGCATCGAACAATTGAGGGAAATGGTATCTCGTAAAGCTGTTCGCCTTCCCAGACGGAAATGACGGACTCTGTAGCAAGGACTGCCTCAGCAGCAGAGTGCAGCTTCGTGCCTGTTTGATGCGAGTCAGCAGTTCGCATTGCCGTTTCACACGCGGGGACGAACCGAGTGCGACATGATATCCTGGTACGCATCACCCAGGAAGCTTTCCCGCAAACAAGACTGCCCCGGTCTGAAGACGAATCGATCTATATATGGCGTCAACTATATTCCAGAAATGACGAACATCACCTCGCGATCCCTCAAGCTTTTCTGGCAAAGAGATTTGAGGTATTGAAACGCCATGTGACAGGCATGCACGAGCTGAGCTTGCTGGTACACGGTCGTGTTCTTCTGCCCTTCAACAACCCGCCCTCATGACTTCTGCGGCGCGACACGCCCCAAGGTGGCATTGCGTTTAGACAGGGAGACTGCATGAGTCTCGACATTTGCGATCACTGCCGATGCAATTTCCCTACCGGGGGTTTGTGTGGCACTGGACCTATCGTACAAGAGGCACGAGTATCCCTCGGGAGGCTCTGCTTCTTGACATTTGTCGTTCTTACTGCAGTCTGATCCCCCAGTCTTTACTTCAACGTTGTCGCTCCTTTTCTACATTCAAGATGTCAATACTTTCTTTTCTTCTTGGGGCCAACAGCTTGGTCTCTGGCGTCTCGCAGCAACTGAGCAATGGTATGAAGAGAGACCATATCGCACGGTTCCTTTCGTGCTAAAAAGATGCTCCAACAGGTGCAAGCCAACTGGGCACGCTCAATGCTCCAAGACTACCATCCTATCTCGGCGGCGATTCGGTATGCTTTCGATGTAGCCACGATATGGACAATTGCTAAGAGATTCAAAGAACGACGGAAATCAGAATGCCCCAAGCCCATATCCCAACAACAGCGGTCAAGATCCATACAACAACGCGCCTGACACTGGGGTGGTCAGGAAATACGAATGGGAGATCTCGAGAGGATGTCTAGCTCCGGATGGCTTCCTCAAGTGCGGCATCTTCATCAACGGCGGCTATCCAGGACCACTTCTCGAAGCAAACTGGGGAGATACCTTTCAAGTCACGATCCACAACAATATCACTGGTCCTGAGGAAGGCACTTCACTGCATTGGCATGGCCTTAACCAGAAGGGGACTCCCTGGTTTGACGGCGTACCAGGAGCTTCGCAGTGCCCGATCGCCCCTGGATCCTCGTTCACCTACACCTTCAAGGCTGATCAATATGGTTCGAGCTGGTATCACGCCCACTTCAGCGCTCAATACACGGATGGCGTCTTTGGTCCGATTGTCATCTATGGACCGATACACGAACAATATGACATCGACATTGGGCCAGTGTTGCTGGTCAGAGAAAGTTCCGAATGTTGGGTTGCTGTTGCTAACCATCGCAGAACGATTACTACCATACGCCGTACTACCAGAATGTGCAAGCCTCGATCGGGAAGCGCTTTACGCCGAGCTCAGACAACAACTTCATCAACGGCAAGATGCCATTCGACTGCTCACAGGCCGGTGGACAACAATGCACTCCCAACGCTGGCGTGTCGAAGTTTAGGTTCAGATCTGGAGCGAAACATCGACTTCGGCTCATCAACAGCGGCGCAGAAGGGTTGCAAAAGTTCACGATCGACGGACACAAGATAACGATAATCGCCAATGATTTCGTCGAGGTCAAGCCATATCAAGTGGACGTCGTAACTCTGGCAGTAGGCCAACGAGCAGACATCATCGTGGAAGGGACAGGGAACCCAGGCGACTCGTTTTGGATGCGCAGCGATATCAGCAAGTTCTGCAGCTTCACCAATCAGCCGCACGCCCTTGCGGCGATCTACTACGAAGATGCGGATACATCTTCCACGCCTCAATCGACTGCCACGCCCTATCAAGACAACAACTGTGCCAACGATGCACTGCAACTGACAGAGCCGTTGTTTCAGCGGGCACCGCCTTCTCAGCCTTCCATCACTACCCATATTGATATGGAGTTTCAGCCGAATGCCACTGGTCAGATGGTGTGGATGATGAACAATCAGTCCTTCAGGGCAGATTACAAGTGAGTCTACCAAAAATAATCTCATGCTCGAACCATGCTTAACCAGACCTCCACAGCCAACCAATCCTTCTCCTCGCCAACGCCGGCAACACTTCGTACCCTGATCAGCCAGAATGGAATGTCTACAACTACGGCAACGCGGTATCAGTCCGCCTCATCCTCACCAGCATCGCCCCCCTCCACCACCCAATGCATCTCCACGGCCACAACTTCTGGGTCCTCGCCGAAGGATACGGAGAGTGGGATGGGACGATTGTCCGACCTGAGAATCCGCAATACCGTGATACACATCAGATGGAGCGAGGGGATCCGACGAAGGGTCCGGCCGGACAATCATACATCGTGATCGAGTGGCTGGCGGATAATCCTGGCGTATGGCCGATGCATTGCCATATTGCGTGGCACTTGAGCAGTGGGATGTACATCAACGTGATGGTAAGCTGCTTCTTCGTCTTGTCTGGGGAGGAGGCAATGATACTGACTGCTTTGCGTAGGAACATCCCGATGAGATCCAGAACAATATGCAAGTGCCGGACGTCATGGCGCAGACTTGTCGAGATTGGTGGCAGTTTAGCGGCAGTAACGTTGTCGATCAGATTGATTCGGGTGTTTGAAGAGGTGCAATGGAAGTATGGAGGTCAAGATTCCAGAACGACAGCTTGTGTGAAGCGCTTTTCGTATTTCATCTTGTAAGGGAATGGGTGTTCTTTGGAAGAGACAGACATGGAAATGGGGCGAAGATCCCAGCTCATGACATTGCTACATCGACTTCATCTTCTGAAGACTCTCGCTTGATGCAAACGTATCGCATGGTAGTGATCATCAACCACTAACGGCTACATCACTCACCACTCGGGCCTGGCAAGACCGTGCCAAACGCAGGAGCCTGACCAAAATCAGGCGAGCCGTCTTCGTTCCACTCGACCACTTTTGCGTTCGAGTATCGGTTGCTGCCGCAATCGCCCCCTGAGTTAGGAGTAGAATGGTACACATTCCAGATCTCGCTCTCGTCGGGGCTGATGAAGAAGCTGTTGATCGTCAGTAATCTTCACCAACAGGACGGTGACAGAAACTCACCTGTTATGCCCGGTGCCATAGTTTCCGTTCGCGGAAGAGAAAACAGGTCCAGTTTTCGTCCAGCTCGTTGCGAGCATGGGATCGCCCCCGTTCCAGGTCAGTAATCCAAGAGCATACGATGCCGTCCAGCAATACGACCCCGAAAATGTCAGGAATGTCTGCCCGCCATGATACAAAGCATGCGGCCCTTCATTGACCGGGAAACCACCCTGGCTCTCCCACTCGGCGTCTGGAGACGACAGAAGCGCAGAGTCTCCGATCGTGGCGGCGGAAGTCATGGGCGCTATGTAGAGACTTTGTTTGCCATTGTCTTGGAAGCCGGAGTAGACAAAGTAGTTTTGGTCGGGGAAGCGGAGGACGGTGCCGTCGATTGCCCAGCGGTCGGAGACGATGGATCCGAGGTAGGTGTAGGTGTCCCATGGTGATGAGCCGCCTGAAAGGGATCAGTAATGGGATCGGAAAGTTGTTGGAGTATGTTGTGCTTACCGACTATGACATGCGATCGTTGGTCGCCGAGCGGATTGGGTCCTGCGGAGTAGTAAATGTGCCATCTGGAGGACATCAGATTGGCTCGCGATATCATGGCGGCGAAACTCACGCTCCATCGATGTAGTGCATTTCCGGCGCCCAAACATTGCAACACCTCGAAGGTGTGGAGTCCACCCAGACTTGTTTCGTCTCTCCATCCTTCAAGCCCTCGAGAGTCGTTGCTCGCGTCATCTGTAGGTCACTCCATGTGGTCGACATGAAGTAGTAGTACCCCTCATGGTAGGTGATGTCTGGATCTCCGCCATTGACTTCCCTCAAGGGATTGGAGTACGTAGCTGCGTAGGTGAAGCCCAGGAAGAATGCTGAAAAGAAAGTGGAGATTTTCATGACTGCTGTGGTGGCCGGTGAGAGAGCGATATCCTACCTTTTTGGTTTTGCTTCAACGTTCTTCCTTTTATATCCTACAGCTTGACCTTGAACCAGTTTCATGTGGTCTACATGGATTGCCCGGTAGCTGCTCGTTCCTTGGGAGAATATAGCACTTTCTTCACGGCGGAGAAGGCGATAGGTGGAATGGCAGGGGGTCGATAGAGACAAGCACTTGGCAGTAGATCACTTTATACCGCCTGCAGGCGTACAAAATGGGGAAAGAAGATACATTTGGGCTTGATGTGAAGGAAAGAAGCGACAAGGTGAAGTCGACGCCCCTGAATTTCACGCCGATTCTTGGCATCGGCCTCCAGCATTTCTCCAGCTCCTCCACGTCTCCATCCTCCGGATTCAATTCTTCCTCCAATCAACATTTCTGCCGGGATAAATTCACCTCCAGCGCTCGTGACTACCACGCTTCTTGGTTTAGTCGACCCACGACACCCGCTTTTCTTCAGAACCTCACTCGCCTTGTTCGCGTCTTGTTCGTTGGCAGTGACGGCATCATGCTGAACATATTCTTGAGCCGCAGGTTGTACGGCGTCGGCAGCATAACCGGGTGCCTGAGCGCCACCTGTGCAGCGATCGATGGATGGATACGACGTGGTGTTGGACGTCAGTCGTGCTGCTGGTAAAAGTACTAATAGTCTCTTATCTCCCATTCAGTTCTCTATTCCGTGCTCGTCCTTTCGCAGCAGTTTCAAGATGTATCATTTCAGCAACATCTACGTTCTCGCCGCCTTTGGCACCATTGGCGGCGCCCTCTTCGGTTTCGATGTCTCCTCCATGAGCGCCTGGATCGGCACAGAGCAATACACTGAATACTTCAACCACCCTGACTCAAATCTCCAAGGCGGCATCACCGCATCGATGTCTGCTGGCTCATTTCTCGGCGCAATCGCAGCTGGATTCCTCGCAGACCGACTTGGGCGCAAAATCGCTCTGCAAATCGCTTGCATCGTCTTCATCATCGGCTGTGCAATTGTGTGCTCCTCGCAGAACGTTGCTCAGCTCATTGTGGGACGAGTCATCAACGGTCTGGCCATCGGAGTCTGCTCCAGTCAAGTCTGTGTTTACCTCGCTGAGCTGTCCCCAAGCGCCATTCGAGGCAGGATCGTCGGAATCCAGCAGTGGTCCATCGAATGGGGCATCCTCATCATGTACCTGATCTGCTACGGTTGTGCCAGGACTGTCTCTGGACCTGCGGCGTTCAGGATCGCTTGGGGAGTGCAGGCTATTCCAGCGATGACACTCGCTGTGGCACTGTTCTTCTTCCCGGAATCGCCACGTTGGCTAGCTGGAAGAGAGAGGTGGGAGGAGTGCCTGGACGTACTGGCCAACCTTCATGGAAAGGGCGACCGAGAGGATCCGATCGTACTTGCCGAGTTCGAAGAGGTTCGTGAGGCTCAGAGACTTGCGGCAGATGCCCAAGGCGTTGGATTCTTCGAGCTATTTGGTCCTCGCGTTTGGAAGAGGACCCTCGCTGGTACGAGTGTACAAATGTGGCAGCAACTCCTTGGCGGCAATGTGGTAAGTATCGACGGCGTGCAATCTGAGATCTCATCCCTAGGCTAACACTTCCAGGCCATGTACTATGTCGTGTACATCTTCGAGATGGCTGGTCTGAGTGGGAATGCCAATCTTACTTCCTCCATCATACAATACGTCATCTTCCTGGCTACGACTGGCGTCATGCTTCCAATCATCGACCGCGTGGGCCGTCGTCAGCTGCTGATCGGGGGCGCTGTCACTTGCATGATCCTCCACTATGCTACAGCTGCCGTCATGGCCACATACGGACGACCGGTTCCAGACGTCGGTGGAAACACCAACCTCCGGCTACTGCTGTCGCCAACCCCAGGCAAGGCTGTCATCGCTCTGTCTTACATCTTCACCGGAGTCTACGGCCTAACCTGGGCTCCCACTGGGTGGATCTACTGCAGTGAGGTGTTCCCGCTCAAGTACCGAGCAAAGGGTGTCGGATTGTCCGCAGCCACTAACTGGATCTTCAACTTCGCGTTAGCGTACTTCCTGCCGCCAGCGTTCAAGAACATCACTTGGAAGACATACATCATCTTTGGCGTTTGTAAGTCAACCCCTTTGAAAGAGAAAGCAGAGGGATGCCATACTGACATATTATATAGTCTGCACTGTCATGACAGTCCACATCTTCTTCACGTACCCCGAGACTGCCCGCAAAACGCTGGAAGAGATCGACGTCCTCTTCGACAGCAATATTGCTCCTTGGAGATCGACCAAAGCGCAAGTGGGGACGCTTGAGGATCGTGCGCAGAAGATCGAAAGGGATGGAAGCCTGCACGAGGATATCAAGGAGAAGGATGGAGACGTCAGACAGGAGGAGGTTGTTTAAGAACGTGGTGTGCATACAAAAAGGTCGACACCTACGACCGATCATGCATTAGACTTTTTAGAGCCGCCCGAGCAGAATCGAGACTGTACTGAGAGAAGGAAAGACGTTTTTGGATCCCTTCCCCTACTTCATCCAGTTCTCTCTAGCTGACTTGGTGTGAGAATCGCGTTCTCCTTGACATCAACCAAGCAGTTTATGTTCTAGAAATGGAGATATCCAGACCTACTGACGAGAGCACGATTTCTTGCAACTCTTATGAGATCTTCTGCTAATCCTTCCGAACAAAGAGGTCACTCGAAGTTTCACGGCAGAAGACCGGCAGCCTTCAGACTGTTAAACTTCGGCATAGCCGTCGTTTTGTCACAAACTCGTGAGTAGGATTCTTCCGCTCGCGGTGTCTACCTGAAAGGGCTAAGCTTATGTCGGCGCTGTAGTCGCTTCTGTCAGCCTCGCCTCAACCTTAGTCCGTCTCGGGCTTTCGAGCTGCAAGCGACGCAAGTTCGCGAATACCACTCAAAGTGGTAACAACGACGATTGCCAATGAATATGTATGCACTGTGTGAAGATCCAACCAATTCTAGGCTAGAATGCCTTGCCTGCAGGGGAGTAACAGCGCAGCATGCATTCAGGGCTACACTAGAGAGCAGAAATGAAACTCCTGAGCATAGCTTTAGATCAAGTTCATAGCCGCGAAGTTCCCATTGCCTCAGTCATTTTTGATTCTACCAATCTCCTCCTTTGTTATATCTCTGACCACGGGAATAACAAACGGACTGTTTGACGGGAAGACTTGCCTCAAAATGAGATGTGTCCTTGACACTTGCATGCTTGTCTGCAGCCGCAAATATCACGCTCGAGTATGTCACAGTCGACAACGCCACTCAGATTCCAACTTCGCTCGTAACTCGATTATGAAGAGACGGGAAACGGGTGTTGCGTCACAAGTGAGAGCAAAAGCGGACCGGACGACAGAGGCCGCCCGCTTGGGGTACAATGCACATTGTCGGACAGAAGTTCCAGCATCAAGCTCGACCCTCCAATAATCAATCAACCCCGAGATATGGCGACTTTATTGAGTGCTCTATATCTACAAGAAGAGTGCAAGCCCTTTGCAGCAGCTAGAGCCCTTTCGAGGGAGGAAGAGATGGTAGCGACGAGCCGAGCCCGGCGCCCAATGCGGAGGACATGAGACAGGCAATACAAAGACAAGGAAGAATTCAGATACGCGGTGTGCCCTGATCCTCATCAAAAAAACTACCAGCCAACCCGAACATCAAAAAGACAGAGGGGAAAGAATTCGAGACATATTCTTTTGAAAGGAAGGGATTTGGTGGACAGCAACCTACCGTCTGCAATCGAGATGAGTTTCTTCGGCTCATACGAGTCCTGAACAAGAGGTCATGAGCTGCATTGGGGCCACGAAACCATCGTCAGCTCAGCTTGGTTGGAAAACATCCTACACCTTGAGTCTCGATTAGAGTCTTCAGAGCTGCGCGTCGTCTTTGTCAGCGCGGCCGTACACAGGTGTTGCTTACTACCATTGGATCATGAAATGGTAAAACGATGACCCAAGTGCAATATGGAGAACCGGCAAGTCTTGCGGGAATCTGGCTCGCTTAATGATGACGTAAAACGCGCGTGTTAGGTTTGGCTGGATTTCGTCTGCGGCTGGAAGGGAAATCCGACGAGGGCAAGAAAAACATCATCTAAAGCATCACTTTGGAAGAGGCTCTCATCACTTTCATCCACAGCCCGATGCCCCGGCCAAGCACAGGATGTTCGCTGTGCCGCCAGCGCCATGTCAAGTGCGATGAAACTAAGCCTGAGTGCAACCGATGCATCCGGCTCGGGCGACAATGTCCAGGCTACCGAGATACCTGCGGCATCATCATCCAAGATGTTACGGCGAGAATCAATGCCAAGTACCAGCGCCGGCAGACCTCTGATCGTGGACCAACGACGTTAGCTACGATCCCTAGCGCGATCCCGGACAATCGCCTTGCCTCGAGCGTGACCTTTCTGTTCGCCGAGTATGTTCAAACCCCCAGTCTGCTTCGGCGCCCGTACTTCAACTACCTGCCGCAACTGTATTATAGTGCTGGACCAACATCGGCTCTGAACTCGGCTGTCACTTTCGCAGCCGTGCGGGCAGCTCGCTTGCACTTTGGGGACCAGATGATCAAGCCTGCATCCGTGATAGAGCGCGGATCCAAAGCCTTGCAAGCCATGCAGACTGCAATTTCAGACCCAACAGAATGCGTTCGCGACGGAACACTTCTCGCTGTTCTGTGCCTGGACCTCGCGGAGCATTTTGCGAGCAGGTCCGACACCGAGGGCGCTTCTCGCGCCCATGTTGAAGGGGCTTTGCTTTTGATACAACATCGCCGGCCAGATTCATTTGCAAATCCCGTCTCGGCCTCCCTGATAACTGGAGCATCAAGCAACGTTCTCTTATCCGCTCTTTGGTCGAACGGCGAAACCGAGACCAGAGATGCAGTAGCGATTCTGCCGGATGTCGATGTTTCGAGCCAGGGAGCGTATGCGGTGCTGCATCAGCTGTTGAGTAGGGCGCTGAGACTCGAGGGCAAGATGCTCGACCACGAATCCCCCCCCCATGAGTATTCAACCCGTGTGCTCGCTGTCCAAGACGTTGGTGACTGCTCAAGAGTTGGACTCCGATATGGACTGGTGGCTTCAGGCTTTGCCTCCAGAATGGCTACGGCTTCTCGACCAGCCTAGAAGTCCCTCGTCACTCGTGGCGGCAACACACAGCGATGCCGACTCGAGTCTCCTCGAAATGACCTTTATCCTCGCTCAGTGGCATTGCACAAAGCTGATAACATTGAGGCTGCTCTATGCGGCAGTAATTAGCCAGTGTCCAGGGTTCCCCAACACAGACATCGTCTGCAAGGAAGTGCTGGAAAGAACTAAATCTACAGCAAACAGCCTTTGCAATCTGGTATCTATCATTGCCGAGACAGGTCCACTAGCCCCTTCAAGGGTTTATCGGATGGAGCGAGGCCTAAGCGGACTCGTGCCTGTCAAGCCGGGCGAGGCGGTGGACTGGAGGGGCGGTGCCATGGACGGCAAACACTGCTGTTTGAACATCCTGCGCTGGGTATTGGGCATCTTTGTTGATGAGAAAGATTCAGTCCCGGGTTTCCAGACAGACCAATGCGCGTTGGACTATTTCACGGAGGCGATGCGAGTCGTGCAAAATGCCTTCTCCAGCTAAGATGATCTCAGCTGTAGGCTCTTGTATGAGGTGAACCCGGCCGATCTGAGGATGCAACCGGGCATCAGGTTTCTCGTGCTATTCCCCGATACAGCATGATTGAGCCGAGGGCTATTCGAGAGCTACTTGTCACTGTCCCATGGATTCCAGAGGAGTGGATACCAGAGGAGAGGATTTGCTGGATTTACAAGAACAACGACCCATGCTCTCCAAACAGAAAGCACCGTGAGAGTAACTCTCACCAGCTGCTTCTACAGCTGCAGAGCTGCAAGCCACAGGTCCAGTCGCTCGCGATTAACGCCATGTTTGTACATGACAATTTGGAACGGAGCGCTGTACATGTTCAATGTAAGTCGGCATCTTCGGGCGAAAACGATGTCTGCACATGAGGCCAGCCTTGGGCGATTCGCCGTGGCGTGATGCCGCCAACGTGGACCAATGCCAGTGCTCTGACGCCAGACGTCTGGCGGCTCGCCTGATCAGCCAGGCCACAAATTCCACTCGCTAATGCATGGCCGCAGTAGCTGGCAGATTCAGCTGGCCCACTTGCATTTCAGCATTGCTGAAACCGAGAGGACCTCTCTTCTTTGAACAACAAAGACTCTGACAACTCGTTCAAAGATTTCATGAACAGGAATACCATCCAACCCAGCTGTTATTGAGGCGAGCACATACACACACACACGATGGTCGATGTTATCTCAATTGTGCTCGCCATCGTCTCACTGGTCGGCTCCCTGATCTCTGCCGGGTTCACGGGATGGATATCATTCTACATCGAAGAACACAAGCGCAGCGCTGAATCCAAAGCTTTGACAAACAAATACCGAGACCCTCTGACGCTGTCAGCCTTCGACCTGCAATCGAGGTTATTTGGTCTCGTGGATGGCCATTTACTCGTGTATCTCCAAAACAACAGCAAAAGGACTCTCGTCAAATCCTACACGGCCTTTCTGGTAGGCCAATACTTCTCCTGGGTCTACATTTTCCGTCGCCAAGCGCAGTTTCTGCGGTTCTCTACGGACTCCAAGAACAAGGAGCTGAATCGAATCATGGACAGCATCACCAAGGAATTCATCGACGACACTCCTAGAGAAAAGCTTTTCATGCTCTGGAAAGGCCAGCAGATGGCGATTGGAGAAGTTATGACGCTGTGCGAAGACGGTCAGCTGTACTGTATGGGGTTTGCTCAGTTCACTAAGAAGTACGAAGACGATGAAGATTTCAGGCAGTGGTTCAAGTCTATCGATGAGGACGTATTGCTTCTGGACCAAGCCTTGCGAGAAAACAATCCTGAAGCAGCCAACAAGCTTCGCAGGCTGCAACATTTGCTCATCGATTTGGTTAGCTTGCTCGACAAGGGCATCATTACTTCAGCTGGGTACGCTCAGCCAAAAGTCCACGGAGCTCAAAATTGCAGATGCATTGATTGTCCTGGAAAACGAGCACCTTATTTTTCAACAACCGAAAAGCAGGCCGGGCAAGGGCAGGCCTGAGTTTCCTTTGATAGGGAGCGATGTAAGGCCAGACCCAGCGCTCACGGACACGCTGTCAGAGGCTCAGAAAGCGGAGTTTCTTATTCAAACATCCTAATTATGCATGTTGAGAATCCGAGAAAACAACTGGTTGGGTCAACTGGGTAGGCCAAAGTGGAACGTACGGGATTGCCATCTCTCCGGTTTCTCACAAGCGACTACGCTGGTATTTGCACTTTAAGCTGCTTGGATGGCTTGGGAGTGATGGTGATGAATGTTTCAGTTTGAACAGAATACCGCGGGCAACTTTGTACTTGAAGAAACAGAATTGGGACCTGCATCTCCGAATGTGGCCCGGGCCTTACTTTGTGCTCGATTCGAGGCCAACCGAGATCCGCCAATCACATGTAGCACGTTCAGCCTCTTCCAAATCGATCATTTGGGAAGGATGCCGATCTTTGCGGAGGGGAGCTGGAGTGAAGTCTAAATATTCAGGCCATCGGACGATGACGATGGCGCGAACGTGCTGGTATTAATAAACACTCCCCCGCCTTACAACCAAGATGGTTCGAGTCCCCCCATCCCTCGTCAACGCAGTCCGGCGAGACAGACATCGCAATGGTCCGTCTCCATGCTCTCTTGAGCATCTTGCCTGCACTGGCTGCAGCGCAGATGCCACAGTATGGACCTGCTTTTCCACCAACTCCAGCTCGCCCAGTGCTCCCATCTAGCGCCAATTACGCTCCAAGCGTGACGCCGAACGTGTTGGATGTGGTAAGATGCAAGCATTGGAAACGCTGAAAGCTAGATCTCGCTGACCGCTGAATCACAGACAGCGCCAGATTCCCAGAAGCTTTGCCCAGGGTACAAAGGCTCCAATGTCAAAGAGAGCGATGGCGGCGTCACCGCAGACTTGACTTTGGCTGGACCAGCATGCAACACATATGGAAACGATATCCACGATCTGCTCCTTCAAGTCGAGTATCAAGCCAAGGAGCGTCTGGCGGTCCGCATATATCCAAAGACACTTGTGCCGAGTAATCAGTCCTTGTACCTTTTATCTGGAGATTTGACGCCATTGCCAGGCCGAGAATCAGGCTGCACGAAGACCAGCAGCGACCTTGTCTTCAAGTGGAGCAATGACCCCAGCTTTCAGTTCCAAATCGCCCGACAGAGCAGCGGCGAAGTCATATGTGATACCTACGGCAGCAAGATTGTGTTCCAAGACCAATTCTTAGAGCTGACAACCTCGATGGTTCCAAACTACAATATCTACGGGCTGGCAGCTTACATCCACAGCTTTCGCTTGGGCAACAACTTTACGCAGACCTTCTGGAATACCTACAATCTCGATAATGACCAGGAAATTGACGTTAACGGCCATGATACACATCCCGTGTATTTGGAGACCCGCTACGCAAATGGATCCTCTACTTCTCACGGGGTGTATGCGCGAAATGCTCACGGCCAGGATTGGCTTCTCAGGGATAAGCGAGTCACTTACCGCACTATTGGAGGCAGTTTCGACTCTATTTCTTGAGTGGATCTACACCGAAGAAGGTGATCAGTCAATATCACACTGGTATCGTCGGTACTCCATACTTGCCGGCATATTGGAATCTGGGCTTCCATCAGGTCCGATGGGGATACCAGAACTGGACCAATCTTCAGGATGTCATTGATCTATACGCTGAACAGAACATTCAGCTGGAAGGCATCATGAATGATCTGGACTACTTGAAGGTGTAAGTTGAGACGAAGAAAGTTGATTATGACGGGACTAAATGTTTCTACCAGGAATCGGATCTTCTCCAACAACCCTGGCCACTACGACATCCAGCAAGGGAAAGCGTTCTTGGACAGGCTGCATGCGAACGGCCAATACTACATGCCTATACTCGATCCCAACGTGTACGTGCCCAACCCTGCCAATGCGACCGATGCGTACGAAGTTTATGATCGAGGCGCCGCGGTAAATGCATACATTCGCAACGGGGAAGAGAGCGAATATATTGGAATTCTATGGCCCGGATTCAGCGTTTTCTAAGACTGGTGGACACAGGAGATACAAAGGTTCCATGAAGTCCTCGACTTCGATGGGTTCTGGCTCGATGTGAACGATGCCAACTCCTTCTGCACTGGAAGCTGCGGCGAAGAGATGCTGAACCAGAATCCCATCCATATCCCGTTGCCATTCCCCGGCGACCCAGATAGCGCCGTCGCTGTAGACTACCGATATCCCGAGGGCTTCGAGGTTACCAATGCCACTGAGGCAGCCTCTGCGAGGTGGGATAGGAACCCAGAGTTGGAGAGGAGATGAGCTAACACAATTGCAGCGCGGCCATTGCATCACAATCAGCCTCTTATCCTACGCCAGCGGTCACTCCAACTCCTGTATTGGGCCGCACACTCCCAACACCTGGCGTGCGTAATCTCAACTTTCCACCATACGCCATCAACAACTTCCTCCCGGGCCACTCTTTGGTCAAGCAAGCCATCTCGCCAAACGCAACCCACAACAACGGCCCCTTCAACAGCACCGAGTACGAGCTGCATAATTTGTACGGCCATACAAGTGGCAATGCGACATACAATTCTCTGAAGACTCTGTACGGTGGTAAGAGGGCCTTCTTCGTCTCGCGGAGCACTTTCGCGGGTAGTGGGCAATTCGCTGGCCACTGGGGCGGCGATACCAACTCGAAATGGGGGTAAGCCTTTTCCCCCATCGCATTGTCTGTTCCTTGTACTGACCTTAAGCTACAGTAATATGTACTTCGGTATTGCTGAGGCGCTGCAGTTCTCAATCGCCGGAATTCCATACTTTGGCGTCGAAACCTGCGGCTTCAATGGCAACGCCGACAAGGACCTTTGCACCCGGTGGATGCAACTCAGTGCCTGGTACCCATTCTATCGCAACCATAACAATCGCAACTCAATCGCACAGGAGGCGTATCGGTGGGCAGACACCGCAGAGTCCACCAGAAGAATTATGAACATCCGATACGCCCTCCTGCCCTACACATACACTCTTTTCCACCAGGCGAACACCATGGGCGAGACCGTACTACGAGCACTTGCTTGGGAATTTCCAGCAGAAGCATCTCTGGCTGCGGTCGAAACGCAGTTCATGTCCGGGCCAGCCATCCTTGTGACGCCCGTCCTGGAGCCCTCGGTCACTACTGTTCAGGGGGTTTTCCCTGGCGTGGGATCAGGCACTGTTTGGTACAACTGGTACTCTTATGCAAAGGTGGATGCTCAACCTGGCGAGAACAAGACGCTTGACGCTCCGCTGCTGCACCAGCCAATTCATATCAGGGGCGGTTATATTATTCCCACGCAGAAGCCTGGCAACACCACCAAAGCCTCGCGAACGAATCCTTGGAGCTTGATCGTTGCCGCAGATCCAAAGGGACAGGCTGAGGGCACTCTGTTTCTCGACGATGGTATCAGCCTCGTGCAGCAAGCCACCAAGGAGGCTGACTTCCGGTTCGCGAACAGCACCCTCTATGCGAAGGTATCCGGGAAGTACGAGGATAAGAACCCTCTCGCCAACGTAACGATTGCTGGACTGAGCACAGTCCCCAAAGCAGTCTGCGTCAGCTCAGGAGGTCAGGTGCAGAACAGCCGTGGTGTCAAGACCCGTACCGATGGTAATGCACTTTACATTACGGATTTGGAGAGTGTGACCAGAGGAGGAGCCTGGAATGGTAATCTTGTCATTTCCTTACTGTCGACAAAGGCCGGCTGTGGCGGTAGTGGTAAGCCTGGGTGGTGGGACTCGGGATGGGGTAAACAAGATGGGGATTGGCAAAACTCAGGCTCTTGGGGTCATGATGGTGGTTGGTAGATGTAAAGAACTGTCAGCTTTTATTCGGACCTTCGTTGAGGCTCCGAATATGATCAATCTTGAGTGATGCTCCTACACCATTCAATGTAAGCATTGGTATTCATACCGTCCCTTGCTAGAGAATTCGACAAATCTAACGGACCTGTCTTAGGAGAAACCAAGATTCATCTCCAACGTTGAAGTAAGATCTCCTCCCCAAAGCTGTGGTGGTTGGCCTGGTCGCTTGTAAACCTCGGGGAAGATGACGCATTTTTCTCTCTGCCTTGAGTTGATTTATGATATACACTCTGAGATCCAGCAGCGGGCAAAGTGGTCATTTGAGTTCAGAATATAGGGCTTCGACAGGGGTGAGATCCTCCGAGCCTCGATATGGATATCTAACGGCAGCCAAGACTATTCTTTCGGAGACAATTGCGACACGGGGCTAGTGCATGCCACTTTGTTCCCAAGGCTAAGTAGTCGGAGATCTCGATTGCGAGATGCACGGTCTGGACTCGCATTCGCACAGCGATGTCTCCGTATTGCTTTGAAATGAGCATTCATCGAGCGCGCCGCAAGAGATGAATATAAAGACCGCCTGCACGGGAGTCGATGCACTTTCGTCACAGCAGCCTCAAACAACAATGTCTTTCCCCAAGTCTTTCGGTATATTGCTCTATCCCCGGTTCGAGCTCCTCGACGCGGCCGGGCCTCTCGAAGCGCTCATATGCCTCTCCCGTCGCGAAGGTTTCAAGGACATGAGACTCAGCGTCATTAGCGAGACCATGGATCCCGTCAGCGTCGGTCAGAACTCTTCCGATGCCAATATCAACACCTTTGCCAACGCCATTCGATTGATGCCAACTCACACCTTGGACACGGCACCTCCCCTTGACGTGTTGATTGTTCCTGGAGGAATTGGGTCTATCGACTTCGAGAGATCAGACACACCACATCATGTCGACAAATACGTTGACTTCGTGAGGAGAGCTTACCGAGGCGAAGATGAACGGCAACCCCTGAAGTACCTCATCAGCGTCTGCAACGGCGCCATGCTGCTGGCAAAAGCTGGTGTCTTGGACGGCCATAGAGTGACTACGACCAAGGACCTTTGGCACCTGATTCCTCCACTTGGCCCCAAATCTCATTGGATTGCTCGAGCAAGATGGCATCATAGCGACAACATTTGGACAACATCCGGGGTCAGTGCTGGCGTTGATGGAACGCTCGCTTGGATGGAGAGCCTGGTCGGGCATGAAACCGTGGAATCTGTGGTGAACACCATGGAATGGATTAGAGCTGAAGAGGCGGACAATGACCCTTTCGCGAAGGTCTTCGGTGCCCAAGATGTCCCGCCTAAAGCATGATAGCGAATGCACGACACACTGGCTCAATTCTCTTATGCATTAGGTTGCATTCCCAATTATCTCCTCTATATGAATGTGTTACACTAAAGCCTTATCCGACTTGTCTCCTTGGCTGAGCTACTTAAAATGGAATGTGGATCCTAAGACTGGAGATCCTGCGCCTTTCTGAAGCCTTGACGTAGTCGATTTGACAATGAACGAGCATTGATATACTGAAGAGAAGAGCCAGTCGGAGAGGAAAATACATAGGCTATCCGGTGTCGATCATTTGCGGCTGAGAATGATCACTAATAATTGGCTTGCATACCATCCTTGTCCATTATGGCGCTTCTGCGGTTTCTTTCTCTCGGATTGCATCCATCATCTGGCTAGCCACCCCTTTCCGGGCGTTCAAAACGAATGCGGCTGCTGACCTGGCCGTCTTCTCGCTTGTGTACGCCATCTCATCACAATCCCGATCATGTGCGAGAAGACGGCGACGAGTCACGGAAGCGGCGTGAAGCTTGCGGACTCATTGCGCAACAGGCTCGACCCCAACGACACCGGTGACACAAAGGAGGCAGCTTTCGTTTACGACAAGCCGAGCAAGCATTTGTTCCGCCTCTTCCAACTTACCCAATCCGAGACTCGACATCGTGGCAATGAAACAAGCCTCCGTGGAAGGCTCATGTCGTTTACTTTTGACCAAGGAGACGGCGAATACATGCAGACATTTACGGCGGCCGTACAAGAAGATCGCGAATCGGTATTGAAGTCTCTTTCGGGCTACAAGAAGTACATTGCGTTATCATATTTTTGCGGCTCTGCTACCGACCGCTTGCCTTTATATTTGGAGAATGTTCGATGCAAAACTGATGAGGATGCGCCAGGAGAAACAAATCTCGAAATCATAGAGAGCGGCTGTATTTGGATCACCACGAGTCTTGGGACGTTCCTCCTGGACATGCAACGGCAGCAAGGGCGCCGGTTCATGTGGATTGATGCTATCTGTATAAACCAGGACTCCGCGGAGGACAAAGGCAGTCAGCCCCCGCGTATGAACGATATATATGCAAATGCTGAGACTGTATACGTCTGGTTGGGGATGGCGACTCCAAACGAGGCAATGGCTTTGAAGATGATGCCAAACGTGACCACAAAATTGAGAAGTCACCAAGGGAGGACACACGAAAGCCTCACCTCATTCTTGGACAGAACAGGCTTACCGGAGCCCGGCCACGAGATCTGGAAAGCATATGCCAGCATCTGGACAAGAAACTGGTGGTCCAGATTATGGACCTTTCAAGAGGTGGCCATGGCTACCACAGCTAAAGGAGCTATCGAGTACGAACGATTCTACAAGGCCCCGTACGCCTTTGTCTGTTGCGGTGAGACCAAAACTGCGTGGGAGCAATTCGACTTTTTCTCCGAAGCCTTGGCCGATGTAGGTCTCTTGTCGTGGCTCGTCACTGGCCAGGAAGAGGTTACGTGGGATCATCTACACGGTCTGGATGCCATAGCTGAAGTTCGTACCGGCAGGGAAAGTTTGTTGCGGTATGGATGGAGCTGCAGCCTGTCCGCTTTGTTAGTAGCTACCCGCAGGCGAGATGCTACTGAGCCGGCCGACATGGTCTGGGGTATGTACGCTCTCATAGACAAGCCGACTCGCAAGACACTGGCGCTCGATCCAGAGATGCCGGCGGAGGAGTCTTTTACACGCTTCGCAAAGCACTACATCCGCCATGAGGTAAAGGAGTGTCTCCTCAACCATACGGCGACGGTCGAGCGAATGCACGGGCTTCCTTCGTGGCGTCCCAACTTTGCCTCTCATGAAGAAACGACATCGATCGGCTCACGATGGTACGGCCATTACCAGGAGCAGGCTTGGCTGAAGAGGCAGATGCCTTGTGCCGGGTTCCAGAAGAAAGGTAAATGGGCACTCCCGCGCAGCAAAGCCTACTATGCCAAGTATATTACGAACTCGCTGCAGGGCAAATACTCTCTATCGGGGCTCTACGCTACCAACAATCCTCGTCAGATCGCCCTTGTACCAGAATCGAACGCCATCCTTGTCAGCGGCATCTATCTCGACACAATTGCAGAGATCGTGCCTTGCAATGATGCTGCCGAATCAGTCTTCTTCTTGTCGTACAACAGCGTCCAGCAGACTTCCCACTGGGATCAGGCTTGTTTCTCACTCGCTCAACGTACGCTTAGCGATGACTCTTTACTGGCCACCTCGAAATCAAAGTACGATCTCTACGCTCGGACTCTCACAGCGAACCGTGTGGTATCGCGGTACCGCGAAAGCCTCAAACCAGAATCAACCTGGGCGAAGGCATTCCGAGAAGGTCTCTGGTCTGACTCTGACTCTGACGAAGAAGACCATGAAACTGTCATTGATCGTGACCAGATGATTGATTTTGCTGCGCCGTACCTCGCTTTGCGAAATTTCATGCAGGCAACGCTTAACATCGGCGGAACAATATCATCAAAAGACAACCTCGATCGGGCTACGCAGCAGTTCGCAAGTTGCCTGCAGCTAATGAGTCGACAGAGGTGTTTCTTCGCAACCAAAGGGGGCAGAATTGGACTAGGACCTTCAGACGCCAGGCCGGGCGACCAAGTAGTCGTCATGTTCTATTGTCCCACGCCGTATCTGATCCGGCCTACAACAGGGCCACAGGATACCCAGGCTTCTGCACAGGGGGAGTTCGTTGGCGAAGCATACATGAACGGGTTCATGTACGGCGAAGCTCTGGCAATGTTTGACGAGGGAAAACTGCACGAGACAAAGTGGAAGATCAAATAATACGTCAAGACGGGCTGTTGATTCTGGAAGATGCGACATACCCTCTCAGCGAATCTACGACTATCATGCCAGAATGATCTTTGACTACAACGCGGTCCGCAATTGATTGAAAATTGGCGCTCCAAGACCCGTCGCAGCGTCCCATCCAGTGACAGCCGGGAAACCAAGACCATCACATCCTCTCGTCCCATTGATGGTGATATCGAAGAACAGGTTCGGGTTGGCATACAGAGAGGGGTTGAGATAGCCCAGAGTTGGCTGGCCCTGACTGATTCGGTAGTCGTTGATGACACTCGCCATGCCCGCCCATGCAGGCGCCGAAGCACTCGTGCCCCCTGATTGTGTCGTTTGGCCATTGACATAGATCTCCCAAGTGTCGCTGTGCGCTGCCACATCAGGAAACGCGCGGCCGCTGGCGTTGTACATGCCGTTATACTCGCCATTGAGGCCGTTGATGTAGCCTTGAACCGCCGACTGCTGGTATGATGGCATCGTGAAGTAATTGGAGAAACCACCCCCGGTTCCTCCGTTTGAGCCAAACGATGCTGCCTTCATCCCAGGATCGTTTGAGCCGTGGGGCGTGAACTGGTCGGCTGTGACAAAGTCGACTCCTCCCACTGAGACGACATACGGGCAGGTGCTGGGAAACGTCGGAGTGAACTTGGTGCAGGACTGGCTAGGATCGTTGTTGCCTGAGACGCCGCTGTCTCCCGAAGACACAAACACCGTAATACCTTTTGCTGCAGCAGCGGCGACGTTGTTGCAAAAGCTGCCCACATTAGTATTATATCAAAGGGATGCTCGATCGGAATGCTCATACCTATCGAGATAACCCGCATCAAGGGCATCCTCGTTGATCGAATACGAAATCGACACAGCTGGGATAGCGCTGGCGTCCCCAGAGAGACATTGGGCCAATTGCTGGAAGCTGTCCGTGGAAGCTGTGCCAGATGCGATGTAATAGGCATCATTGCCGGCACCAAAGCCGGATGTGAGCTGCGTATCGAGGTTGCCCTCTCCGTTCGAGTCGCCGTCGTTCGCTGTACTTCCAGGCAATGTGATGTCGCCGAACGGAACTGAGCCGCTAGGTGCGAGGTTTTGGGCATAGAGATCCGCGTCGCTGTGACTTGCAGGCGAGCCGATACGTGCCGCTGCGACTTGCGCGCCATCGTGGTTGGACGGCGTCCAGTCAATGTAGTACTCTGCCTGGATGCACTGGACCGTCAATGCGAGGGGATTGCAGGTCACATCACGCTTGCGAGCGTTCCTCTTGCGGCGAGATGGCACGGTGGACTGGCCTGTACGATGCTTTGGCGCTATGGGTTGAATGAAGACGCTCGTGGCTCCAACAGCGTCGACGATCTCGTCGATGTAATCCGGGAGCTTGAAAGAGAGGGTACGCATGACTGGAGCTGCTACATTGGCGTGCGTGAAGTTGTTGTATGTCGCGCTCAACAGCTTCTCTGCCTGTGCAATGGATACATTGGCATTCACGAAGTTGACGGTTGGGTTTGCAATGGCGGACGAAGGGATGCCATTGCTCGTCAACCATTTCTCAAGCGTCTGCACGGTATCGTTGTGGGGAGAAATGTATTCGTTGACCTTGAGTGATTTGGTCAGCATGTTCTCCTGGACTGCCAAAGATATGAGCGGTTCTACCTCGTCCTGTGTCATCCACTTCCTGAAGTCTGGGTGTTTGGGGTCACCGAGCTCCTCCAATCTAGCCAGGAGGGCAGGGATATTGTTGGCTTTGAGAGAAAAGCTCAACTTGATCTGGTTCTCTGGTGCAGTGGCACCATCATTGGTCCATCCCTGAGGAACGGCTTGTACCTCACGCACTACATGTCGAATGGGCGAGGCAATGCTGTAGCCAACGCAAGCGGCAAGGGAGACGAGAGCGATACTGTGCTTCATCTTGGATGGACGAGTCGTTTCGATGCTGTGATGTGCTTGCCGTCTGGCCCTTGGCATCGATGCTTAAATACCATTTCGACAGAGGCCGCGGCATTTCGTGGTTCAAGCAGGGCAGATGCAAAGGACCTAAGCAACAGGATCGCCCACGTAACGTTACAGTCGCTTCATCTTTGTCAAAACCATATGATCAGAGATAACAACGCTTGTATCTAGGCGCAGTACGCACTATTCACCAACAAGCGATAGTCAGGCCTCCTACAGGCCCAATGTGTACGCTTAGTTGATTGACAGTGCAAGTTGGCTTACACTGCTGTCAAGCGCCAGAACGTTTTGGAATGGGTGTATGTGAGACACCTACTCCATTTGAACGCTCAGCCTCGTTCGGGAATTCTGACTCATTAAGCGTGCCCCATCGTTGATATCAGACCGGAAGTTCCATGCCGATCAGGTGCCGAAATAGAACTGACCGTCGACACATACAGAAGTTCTTCTTTAGCGACGGCGGTTACATGATCTTGCACGTATCCGTAATAACACACCTCCCCTGATATCTACTGTTGGGTTTGCGGTCGTTGTTCGCAAATAACGCAATGCTGTTCAACCGATGCATTCAACGATCAAGAGCACCAGCATGTCAAGTCGAATAGTCCTTGTCAAAGTCGTTATCGCCTCCCTTGCACGGCTGCAGTGCAGAAAAACTTCATTCACATCACCGAAACCGCCACGCTCGCTCCGAGACCTGACCCTCGTCGTTCCACTCAACGTGGAAAGCATAGAACTTCCATCTCTTTGAAGTAAAGCACACGATTTAGGCAGATTTGATGGCCTGCGAGAGACGGAGATTACTTTGCGTGGAACAACCAAGGGACGTCTATACTTAAGATGCAGTAGGGGATCCCTGTTGTGTTGTAGAGGCGTCAGCTGTGCGTTCAATAGCAACTTTACTTGCACTACCAGCCTGGTCTTTGGTCTGCTGCAAGAGATACTTCGCCGGCTTTGTCGTACACAAGATCCGCCGTTCATTCACTCTATCTTTGGCTGAGTCCTTCATTTAGTCTCTCACTCCGAACTTGCCTGCTGGCGTGCTTCTATGTCTTCGAACATGATACTTTTCTGGTCGTGCACTCGCGTTCATGCAATTTCGCAAGAATATTGGTTTCCATGCATGATTTCTCAACCCGCGGGTGCCGTATTTTGTGGGTCAAGGGAAGATGAAGGTGCAAAAAGCGACAAGCACGGGAAGCTTGGACAATATATGTGGGTAGCAGAGGCTGTTCACATTCGGGGAATGCTTTCTTGCAGCATATACAAAAAGAGGAAATCGTCGCGCAGAGATCCGCTTTTCATGCAGAAGCTTTGACGTACATCGTGCAGGAGTCCCGGCTTGAAGATTGTGTGCCGGTGCTTGCAATGCGAGAAAAAATCGGGAATTACAACTGCCCAGTTTGAGGTCTATCAATGGGCATCAGCATGGGCAACATGCAGGTCCATGACTCCTATATGATTGCGTCGTCATTTGATCTCGCTGCATTTTCCCATTCAGCTTTCTGACATGCATTGTGTTGCGGAACAATGATCCTCTTGCTCCACGACTCTAGCGGCGACTCAATTTTGAGATCAATTCTAAGGGGGCTGACCGGAACTGACCCGGTCTTCCCAAACATCATATATCAACAATGTCGCTCCTCGCGCAGTGGTGATCATGAAATCACCGAACAGGCTCTTCCCGACCATGGAACCAACTCATACAAACGTGGGCGACGATCACTCGGAGCGACCTCTAAAAGTAGTTCCACTGAGATCGAAACAAGACCTGTTTCCGGATTTGAGCAAGAACCCAGGCCAGAGAAAGAGAATTCTCCGAATTTTCCCTCCGCAGTAAAGGACTTACCACCAGAAGAAGGGGTGCAGGGTTGGATTTGTGTTGGAGGAGGGTTTCTTGCGCTGTTTTGCAGCTTTGGCTTCCTTAATGCGTTCGTATCTACCGCCCCAAAGAGATAAGCCTTGCCTGTCGAGGCCAGCTGACGCTTGTCCAGCATGGGAGTTTTCCAAACCTATTACCAGGAGAATACTTTACACGAGTATGCACCGTCGGACATTGCTTGGATCTTTTCCTTTCAACTGATGTCGATGTGGGCACCTGGACCTCTCTTCGGCAGAATCATCGATACCTGTGAGTACAGTTCTACTCCCCCGCAATGGAGCCGACACTGACATGCAAACAAGATGGACCCAGGCTGGTTCTTTTGCCGTGCAGCATCCTCTGCGTCTTTGCTCTCTGCATGACCAGCCTAGCTTCGGATTACTACCAAATCTTTCTTGCTCAAGGTGTTGCATTTGGGATTGGGGCAGGAGGAGTTTTTACGAGCTCGACAGTCTGCGTCAGTCAATGGTTCTTGAGACGCCGTGGACTTGCGAATGGTATCATCACAGTGGGAAGCAGCCTTGCTGGCGTAATCTTGCCCCTGTTCATATACAAATTGCTTGTCGAGATTGGCTTGGCCGGAGCTCTTCGATATTCAGCACTAATGATTGGAGTGTTGTTGGCGCTTAGTTGTTTTCTCGTACGACCTCGAATGCCGCCAAAGAAATGGGACAAGAAGGCTGGGTGGTTTGATCCGAGTCTCTTTCGACAGCCACCTTTCGCCCTGTTCACCATCGGCTCTTTCTTATCCATGTACGTCGGACGACTGCGTTTGGATTTTTTTCGACTGACATTCTTTTCAGGTGGGGAACATGGATACCGTTCGCCTTCATATCGACCTTTGCGACCCAGAAGGCCTTCTCTTCCGAGATGGCCTTGTCGTTGATATCGTTGATCAAGTGCGTATCAAGAACGTGGGCCACGCTTGAGCTAACACGTCGGGCAGCGCAACCTCCATCATCGGTCGGCTTCTTCCCAATTACTTGAGTGACAAGGTTGGGCACTTCAACGTCATCTCCGTCGCAGGGTTTCTCTCCAGCATGATCATGGCTTGTCTGTGGCTACCTTTCAACTTTTTCTCGTCCCATGCAGGCATTACCGTTTTCTGTCTCTGCTACGGGTTCACAAGCGGGACGTTCATTGCTCTGATCGTCCCATGTGCTGCAAAGACGGGCTCGATCGAAACCATCGGAACTCGGTTTGGAACCTACCAGCCCGTCATTGGCATGAGGTATGATGCTTGATTTCCATTCTCACCAGCACGACGTCTTGCTAATACGTCGACAGCATGCTCACTGGTCTCCCAATCTCTGGCGCTATCTTGGATTTGCAAGGAGGGTTGAACTACTGGGGTCTGCAGACCTTTGCTATAGTCACAACCTTCATTGGTGCTATCATCATAGCTGCTTCTACCGTTCTGTTTAGGAGATCAAGCAATACATGGAGAGTATAAACACGCTGTACTCCAAGCCCACGATGCATACTTGCTGCAGGACATGAGTGCCACCCACATACTGCAAAAGCCACTCCGAGCTCTATTATCACGGTCCATCCCTCCTCGTTGATCATTCCTCTTAAGGAGACTGTGCTAAAACATTAATTATGGATGAGGTGACACGAAGTTTCTCGACAACCCCGACCGCACCAGATATCAAAACATAACACCCTCCACCAATCTGTTCACTTCGACCCGCTAATAATACCGACGGTCGTCCCAACGAAGCGGCTGTCATGGCCTTCCTCGAGATCGGCGGCGATGAGCTCTGCGTTCTGCTCGAGCTTTGTGTCGTATCGACTGAAATTGATGGCCATTTCAATCGACTTCCCAATCACTGGAATGAACCTGACCCAGAGATGCTGCCACGACGGTGGATTTGCGGCCTGAGCGATGAGCTTTCCTTGTGAAGTCTTTGTTGGCACGTTGAAATCGGACGACTCAGGTGTCATGTTGCCTGGACAGAGCATAGACCAGTCGACGCTGTTTGGTGGGAGTTCCCTTAGTAGAGCAACGTTCTGTCGATGTTCGAGAAAGACGGGAATGCTTGGGCATAGTTAGCATACAGCTTGAAGACAAATTGGCTGGAAATTGACATACTAGCTTGAGAGCATCGATTGGGTTCCTGGATAGTACAATACCCCAGTGCCTCCGAGACACCAGAATCTCAACGGCTGCCCCCTTTCTTCGCCAGCCTGGCGTACGGCTTGTAGGATGGCCTGGAAGATCTTGGGAAGATCACTTTTAGCCCAGGGAGCCATGGCGGCTACACCGGCGGCGGTAACGATGGCGTCGCATTTCGAATCGAGGATGGCTGTTTTTATCGCGTTGACATCGGTAGCATCGCCCTTGATGGTTGTAATTTGACGAAAGACAGATTCCGGGAGGAGTGACTGGAGCTTTTGAGCGGACCGAACGTATGCAACCACCGTGTGGCCGTGCGTGAGGAGTGCTGGCAGGATTCGAGATCCTAGATTTCCGGTAGCTCCCAGGAGAAGGACCTTCATGTTGGTTGTTTAAAATGGAGTTCTGTTGTGATAGAAGGGTAGTTAGTAGTTGTAGAGTGCCGCTCTTGTTGGAAAGCCTGTACAGTGTCTTGTTGGGAGACCAACTGCTAGTTCTATCTGTGCTATATAGTCAACCCAAAAGTTGGGACGATTCAGCCGCATCATGGTCGACATGCAAGCGATCCTGCGGGCCGCGTATTTCAAGCCGACACCGAATACAGCCCGGGCGGAGGAACGTCGAGAGACGCAGTTTGGACGGGCTGTAGCTACGCCGTTATAGCTTAGTTAGCTCCTTGTAATAATACGGACTAATATCTCCGCCCCTAATACTTTAGTAGAGTATAGTCCTCGTTCCCGGCTCCGACTTAGTATAGGTAAACGATAGGCGCTACTTTTAACGTTCGTCTCCGTTATAGTAGGCTAGACGGAGCCGCTAAAAACCTTTTACCCTAGTTTAGATATTTAGGGCTTCTATACCTCCGTATATTCGGCCGAACTAGTAGTAGCTTTACTACTTTTAGTCTATCGTATAATTACTCTTACTATAATCTTTTTACTATCGTTTATTCGTTAATAAATACGCCCGACTTATCTAGCCTTTTCCTAGATACGCTAGTTAGATAAAATCTAATATAATTTAGACTTAAATTAAATAGCCTCGACTCTAGGAGCGGTTCTTTCGGTACCGATTAGACTAAATCCTAAGTAGCGCGCTCTTTTAGTAAAGATAAATATATCTATCTATAATAGTAAAATTAATTAGGTAATACTAGCGCTACGACTAATATTAATTTAGGGTAGGCTATTCCGGCTCGAGACTTTATATACTAGTAAGCTTTGTAAAATAAATTTATACTACTATAGTAAACGGAGTAGACGATTTACTCTATTATTATTAGAGAAGACGGATTAACTATTAGCTACTCGGTTACCTATAGCTAGCTAGCTTTACCTAAGTAGAGTATATAAGCTCTTAGGTCTAGATTTTAGGTAAAATTATACTAGGTTTTCTATAGTACTTAGAAACTACTAAACTCTATAAAAATATATTCTATCTTTTATAATACGGAAGTTATATTAGATAAGTTAGAAGTAGCGTCGCTCGAGCCGAAGTTAATAAAAATAGTAGAGTATTACTTAGGCTATTATAGTAGGAGAGCGTCCTTTTACTAAAGTAGTTATAAAAGAATACTAAAAGATATTTAGAAACCTAAAAAGGACCGAGGTAAACCTTCCCTACGTAATAGTATACGTAATTCCCTAGTACGTATTTTATACTCGCTATATACGAGGATAGAGAAAGTAGAAGTTTATTCTACGCTTAACCTAGTACTAGGTTAATTAGAGTTCTATATATTACTATAACCCTCTATTATAGTTTAAACTTCTCTACTCTACGGTCGTAATCTATAGAACCTAAAAAATAACGATAGTTAACTTCGCTAGCGCGACGTAGGCGCCTCCTCCTAGCGTTACTTCTCTATCTCCTAACGATTAGTTCGAGTAGAACTTT